GATATACTAAGTAACGTATATAACCTTAATTTAATAAGCTTAAATAATAAGTTAGAAGATAATATTAAAACGTTTAGAAGCTTTTCTTTAACGTTCAATATTTAGACTTCTAATTTACAAACAGCTTATTTAGGTATTATAGTAGCTTATATAAGCTCTACTTTTAAGCTACCTTATAAGCTTGTTAGTAAGTTTTTATAACTTTACTTTAATACCTTTATAAGTTACTAACTTATTATTAAAAAAGGCTTTTACAAATTGAACAATATATATACTAGCAAATATATTTATACAGAATTTATTAACGCCTTATAAACTTATCCTTCTTTATCGTTAGAAAACATTTTAAGGTTAGTAATAAGGTTAGTTCTTATTAACTTTAACTTTAATCAACTTTACTAACGTATAACTAGTATTATAAGGGATAACGCTTTATAATAATACCTTTATAAGTGCACTTAAAAAGAATGTTAACTTTAATAACGATATTAAGTGTGCCGCCTATATTATTAATTTAGTTGCTAAAGATATTATAACACAATATATATCTTTAACAACTAGTATTAATAATAGTAATAGTAAGTAAATATTTTATATTACTTCCTTACTTTATAGCCGTAATCCTTTATAAACTTACTAATAAGCTTTTATAATTTAAAAGAACCTTTAACTTATATTAGTAATAATACTACTAATAATAAGTTTAAAGGTCTTTTTTTATATTTACAAGACTAGCTTACTATTAAAAACCTTATACAAATATTAGAGGTTTTTTTAAAGCCTAGTATTAAGTTATAGGGACAGTTTTATACAACTTTACCTAAAGCTTTATTATATATATATACTATATATAATAAGCTTAATAACTTAAAGTCTAACTTTAATAAGCAAGCTTTAAAAGGGTAATACTAAATTAGTAAGTTATTTTATATTCTTTCTTACTTATATACTTATATACAACTTATTATAACTAAAAGAAGTTTTTTAATAACTTTATAACCGCTATTAACACTGGTTTACTAAAGCTAAATAAGTATTTCCTAAGCCAGCTTACAGCCGAAAATATAGCTAGCTATACGCCTTATATTTTAAGTGTTATTTGAAACCCTAGGTTTAAAACAAAGCACTTTAAAAAGGACGGCTTACTAGCCTATTATACCTATATTCTAGGCGATGCTACTAATATCCTTAAAGATAAATACTTTAAGTAAGTTTACTTTACTTTACTTTATTTTGTATAACTAACTATTTATTAAAGGTTGAAAATAAAGTTAATAGCCTTCCTACAAATATATCTTTCAACGAATTAAACGAAGACCTATATAACGATTCAAACAATAATTTAAACGATTTAGAAAACGATTTAGATTCAGAAAAGGATTTATTTATATTAAAGACTAATATAAAGGAGGAATATATTTTATACCTTATAAAAGAAGAAGAAGGCTAAAAGGTAAGTTATAAACTATTAATATAAAGTATAAAATGATTAACTAAAGCTAACTTAATATTAGACTGATCCTTTAATATACTAGGCTAATAATGCTTTAAAATATCCTATTTTAAGCATATTAGCTAGGCAGTACTTAGCTATTCCAGCTACATCGGCTGCTATTAAAAGCTTTTTTTCTAATAGTAATAATATTATTACTAAACCTAGAAATAAGCTACTCCCAGAGACTGTTAAAAAGCTTCTTTTATTAAAGAGTTAGAAGATTAAAGACTTAAATGAGCTTAAAAAAGACTTAGAATTTAAAGAGGATTAAATATATTTTTTAATTATTTAGTTACTTAGTTACTTAGTTACTTAGCTATTTAGCTATTTAAAGTTAATTATAGTTGTTTTATTAAAGTTTTTTAAAATGTAAATACTAATTAGTTGACTAATTAGTCGACTAATTAGTCTATTTAGTCATTAGTCTTAGTCCTAGTATTAGTCAAGATTTTTAAAGTACTAATTAGTCTTAGTCAGATTTAGTCTGAATTAGTATTAGTTAAGGCTTTGACTAGACTAAAGTACTAATTTCACAACCCTGGTTAAAGGTATTACTAATCTTTTATTGTAAGTAATTTTATTTTTACTAGTATGCTATTAATAACTTACTACCTTACTAAAGCGTTTAGCTTTTCTTATAAATATAATATATTTAAAGTTTGAAGTTTAAGTAATTCTTAATAAAATAAATATAATAAAGCATATTTATATAAAAGTGTATAAACTAAAAAGCTTACTAAGTATAAAAGCAGTTATAATGCTTTTACTAATCAGCTACTAGTTTAGTAGTTAGCTAACTACTTACTTAAATAATATTTATATCTTTTAATATATTACTATATATATTAATATTATAACCGTTTTTTATTATTACTAACTACTTTTTTATCTTAGTAGTAGTAGTATTAATAGCTTTATAGCCTTTATTACTATGATATTAGTTAGCGCCTTTAAAATATATATAATATAAGTATATTTATTAATTTATAAAAGTTTTTTAACTAATAAAGTATTATTTAATAGTACTTATACTAGTCTTATATCTAATTCAATAAATAAAATAAAAGTGCTTATAAATTTTATATATTAAGTATAACTAATATATATTAGCATAAAAAGTAGTATTAGCATATCTTTTACTACTAAAAGCTTATACACCTTTTATAGAGTAGTTGCCCTATAATTATACATTACTTCTTATAAAATAAAAGGTAAAGAATATAAAGGTTTATATATAATATATAGTTATAAAGGCTTAAACTAGTTTATACTATTATATTAAGACTTTAACTTAACAAACTATAAAAGAATAGTAGGCGAGAGCCTACTATCTAATTTATACGTAAACAAGAGGTGCGCAATAGCGCAACCCTAAGAGGGTGTGGCACAGCGAAATGGCTGTGCACTGCCCTATGCACATGTCTAGGTAGTTCGTTAAGTCCGACGCTTGGTAAGCGATGGGTTGCCGAACCGGTGCATGGGGCGCGTGCGTGGAATACGCTTACAATGTTTTAGGGGTGTTTAAGCTGGAATGGGAAGGCAGGACTAGTTCTAACCACCGTTGTTGGTCTAGTGACGTACGGCGTTTTGCAGCAAGCGTGTTTGCTTGCTATGCTTTACTCGTGCTTTAGCATCTCTAGTGACAGCCCTTGTTGCTACAGCCGCCTGTGCGGCTAAGGTTTCGACGGGTATACGCATATAAGGCGGCCAAGCATTTGGACCTTGGTATCGACTATATTAACTGTATCCTTGCAGAGTGCCGTGTGTTTTATTGTTAGATTTTTGTTGTGATCCTAAGACCTAGGCGTGTGGAGCACCCAGTCGAGATATTGTTGAAAAGAGCTGTATTTGCGGACATACCGACATGTATATGCAAAAGACGTAAGTTAGTGTTGTTTAGATGTAACTTCGAATCACACCGGTTTGTTGATGCTACAACATAAGTCAATTGGATTATCGTAATACTCCGTCTTCGTTGGGTGGAAATATTGCAAACAACATTATTTAGTATATTGTTTGCAGAGATATATAATACGAGCAATATTCTTTTTGCAATCAGGCAAGCATAACAGTGTAGACTTTTAAGAAACGCGTACCAGACAACGTATGCATAATACTCGTAGACAGGAGATAGGAAACACTTACTGGCGGATAACACAGACAGACAGGCAGTGGATGAATTTATAGCATTACCACAGCAAGGTATCCTAATACGAAGTACTCTCGTACGGAGAACAAACGCTAAAAGTGGGGAGCATAGGATAAGATAAGATACGACGCCACCAGCGACAGAGCAAAATACTAGCCACCAATAAGGGGGCAGGTATTTTGAGTAATCTCTGGTAATCGGACCCGGCGCTAGGCATTAATAAGGCACGAACCATTTGACGACAAATTTCAGCCGAACAACACACCGAGTACATATTCGTACACTCCAATCTTTCACGCGACGTAAACCGACATCACGCTCTCGCCACAGAAAAACATCGAAGCGGCCTAGTCATACTGCATTGTACAACTCATCATCAACCAGTGGGTGTATAGCACACTCAATCAGTACAATGTCTACACGACAAGCGGCTCTGTAAGTTCTATCGTCCCATGGCCGCGGTTTCCAAGCTGACTTCTACGTACAGGTCGCTCTACCGTCGATCGCTCAAGCTCACGCTCGACTGGGCAGTGCATAGGCACTTGTGGCGGGGCCAGGCCCTTTATATTCGGTCACTATTTGAAGCCAATAAAAGCATCACCAACCCGAGACAACAAAGAGTAAAGAGTTCGACTATATGGACGCAGTGATATGATGCCGCTGACAAGATATACTCAATTCAGGCCCTGATAAAGGAGACAGAAAAACTGCTTGAAAAATGGAAGCACCCAGATCCTTTCGCATATCCTACGGCTCCGGGAGGTTCGTAGTAGCCCCCCAAAACAAAGTCGAGAAACAGTCCAGGCTAAAAACCCCTGCTAAACATTCTACAGGATCTAAATACGAAAGAAACCTTCCCGCACCTATTCTTGATGGTGAGTAGTCAAATGCAGCGACGTGAAATTCTTCCGTACCGTAATGAAGTGGATTGTGCTAACAGAGACAGCGCCGCGACCGTTGAAGTTCTAGTAGCTATGCAACAAATTTAATTGGATTTTATATGAAATATCAGAACGCTTAGCTCTTGTGCAACTACACACAGCACAGAGCGACACGCACATGATTACCTATCCGAGCCGAATAGAAGGACAGCAAAAACAGACTTGCTTCAACACCAAGAACTTCCCTCAACATGCGAATTAACCTGCACACGCAGAACTAGCATGTTCAAAGATAGCAAAGCAGCATACGAGGCATTAAACAAATTATCTCCTCATTCATGACCAGTTGCCTTAAAAAGGGACTTTAATGTACAACCCAGACGTAAAAAGACTACCAAACCGTATGATTCCATGACCCCGTGTTATGACACCCAAACAATCCCGAACAGGATAAGCAAACCAAGTATACCACAAATTACAGCTCCTGACTGGCATTCTTGCCACCTTTTCCAGGCGTCTTCTTGGGCAGGAGGTCTAAGACAAAGGTTAGTGGCGATGAAGGCTAAAACATCAGAAGTAAGTGACTGACTCTGGTGGATGTTGGGCAGAACACCGCCTTGTGCAATGGTGACATGTCCCAGAAGCTTGTTCAGTTCCTCGTCGTTCCGGATAGCCAGCTGAAGATGCCTAGGAATGATACGCGTCTTCTTGTTGTCACGAGCAGCATTGCCTGCAAGCTCAAGAATTTCGGCAGCGAGGTACTCAAGGACGGCAGCCAGATACACAGGGGCACCGGCACCGACACGCTGAGCATAGTTTCCCTTCCGGAGGAGACGATGAACACGGCCAACGGGGAAAGCCAAGCCGGCCTTGGAGGAACGCCTGTCGCGAAATTAGAAAAGCGACAAAAAGAACTAACTAGTCGCGTCTCGTAAAATAAGTACTCACGTCTGCGAGTTCTTCGAGCCACTGGCCTTGCCGCCGGATTTGCCGCCTCCAGTCATTTTGTAAGTGTGGGTGGTTGGTGGAATTGATGTTATCGAGCGATTTCTGATGGCAGAAGAAGTTGATCAAGATGGAAATTGAATGCGGTTGTTGGAGCAAAAGTTGCTAGTGGGGGAAGTATGCTTTTTAAGTAGTTTTCGTGTACAGCAACGCGTGAACACGGATCAGCCTCCTATATTTTGAACGCTAGTCCATAAACGGAAATGCGACTAAGGGAAAAGCAAACACGAAAAACTGGAGGAAATATATAATTTATTATTATTAAGTAAGGTTTCAGACCCCGGATAAATTGGAGCGAAACTCTGTTGGATGGTAAACAACAAATCACATCGTGCGGTTATTGCCTAGATATGTATGGTCTAACGCCATCATTGGCTATCTCTAGACCATAGGAAGCTGCTATAAGAATATCTTGACTATAACATTGATGCATATAGCCTTCTAGGCTAATAAAGTAGTATAAAGTCGACATTGTGTAGACACATTGAGCGATAGAGTTAGCTATTGTTATTGGCCCAACGTCGCTTGATAAATGCACGTAACGACTGTAAAAATAGCATATACACAGCGAAGCTGTTGCATAATGAAATGATGCATTGGAGACTAAAGCTGCACGCGTAAAATGGAGTCATCTGCACAAGTACTCCGTACATACCCGCCACAGATCCATATTCCTGGTTACGGAGTAGAGCTCTAATAACATTACAGACCAATTAGGCGGCGTTATAGGCTTAGAATTTACCGCATTTTTTGTGCTATTAAATTTAATAGCTGGTAGAAATCGAAGGCCCCACCTAAGTCCCATTCGACGCACAGACCATTCTACTAACGCCTACCAACGCCAAATCAGCACGTATGCCTCAGAAAGCAATCAGCAACAATAGTCACGGCTGTCGCGTCCAGATACAAAAAGGCTGGCGCCCCCCAAAATTCGAGACTTGTCTTTTCCCACCAAATATTTTTCCCATCACCGACTCTGTGACAGCGAACACTCTTGAACAACTCTAGCAACACCTTTCTTCAAATAAAATACCCCAAGCTCAACTCTCAAAATGCCTCCGAAAGCCGCAGACAAGAAGCCCGCCTCCAAGGCCCCTGCCACCGCCTCCAAGGCGCCGGAGAAGAAGGATGCTGGCAAGAAGACTGCCGCTTCTGGTGACAAGAAGAAGCGCACCAAGGCGCGCAAGGAGACTTACTCTTCGTACATCTACAGAGGTATGTAAACTGCAAAACCAGATTAATGGGCGCATGCCTGACAAATTCCACAGTTCTGAAGCAAGTCCACCCTGACACTGGTATCTCCAACCGGGCAATGTCAATTTTGAACTCTTTCGTCAATGGTAAGCTAAATTTGAGACCACCTATTTAATTCGACAGTGCTGATTGATTACAGATATTTTCGAGCGCGTTGCGACCGAGGCCTCCAAGCTTGCTGCTTACAACAAGAAGTCGACGATTTCGTCGCGGGAGATCCAGACATCTGTCCGTCTGATTCTACCCGGCGAGCTTGCCAAGCACGCAGTATCGGAAGGCACGAAGGCCGTCACCAAGTACTCCACATCGACGAAATAAGCGACCTGCCTTGTTATTTGCTGTTTTTCTTTGCCCAAGGATATGGGCTTACTTGGCATTTGGTGTCATGAGATCGGCCGGGTTTGTATCCCGGGGTCCCTTAATGCGTTACGGAAGGGTTTGCTTTTTTCCTGTCAGTTTTAGGGACGCTGTTTCTACACGGGTTTATGGGGTTCGCGGCTGTATATTACCTACATTAGGATTTCGGAATGAACTCGTGCATGAGTATACATCGGTCGTCTTATACTGTTCACGTTTTCGCAAACACCATGCAACGGCCCCAATTGCCATTCGACTCTAATTTATCCAAGTCCTGCTTTGGACCGAATCACAACATGCTCGATTGGCTGAGTCATCCCCTTATTGTCCATTGCTCCCAGGGCCATCCCTCTGCTCCAGCCCATCTTCTCGAGCATTGTTCTTCCTTTGTTGGTTTGACCTATTTCTGGTGCAGAACCACCGACGATCTCTCCATGTCGGACAACTGCAGCGGCGGCATGTCCGCGGCGTGCGGCTCCAGTGAAGCTCTTTTTGTCGTCCAATCGCGGCATGTACCGACCTTGGATGCGCCCGAATATACTTTGGAAGACGTCTTCGTCGTATGTGGCGGTAGACTTTTTCCGGGAAAGTGTCGGACGACGTTGGTCGCCAGATCCAGTAGATTTGGACGTGATATTAAAGCGATGTGCTAACTCATGAATTATTTTGCGAGAATGAGAAGCCATAGGGGTAAACGATATACTATACGAGGCACTTGTAGTTAGTCTTCGGGCTAAACCGATGTTTTCTATGGCGTTTTCGTGCATTTTGTTCCGATTTTAATCAGAATAGGGAGAGGGAGCTTGCCTGGTTTCTGTGCCATTCAGAAAGTTAAAAAATTCAGTCTTGATGTCATCCATATGCATTCCATCGGGATACTTGACACGGGGATCGTTCGAATTTGCGTCCTTTCTGAGAAGGCCTTTTGATCGCAGTTCCTCACGAGCACGCTTCTTCTCCTTTTTCCGCTGTCGGTCCTTCTGCCATGACATTCTCAACTGTACCTCAAGCTCGGAATCTGAGAGGTTTAACTCGAGGCCATCGCGAGCCCCCCCCCAGCCGCTCATATTGAGCCGTTCAAAGGCATCAGCAACAGCTTCAGCGCTAGGGTATGAGCCGCCCACAGTCGCGAAGTTTTTCTTCAAGGTATCCATAGGGGTCGATCTTTTCTTTGCCGATGCTTTGCGGTCACGTCGGCCTATCATTCCTTGGTCACCTCCTGCGATCGAATCCCCGTCAAGCAATAGAAGTTTGCCGCTCCCTAAACCTAGCTCTTCTTGTTTTGCCAGTAGCCTGGCTAATTGCGAATCATCCATAGTTGCCGATAAACCCCATGTTTGGCCGTCAGAGTCTTCGTTGTCAGTTTCGTCAGAATTGACATCTGTGCCGACGGGCGAAACTCGGCCGGGTTTGGGTTCTGAAATATGTGTACCCGGAATACCGTTGTCAAAGTTTTCTGGGATTTCGACTTGATCTTGTTGCGTCTGTTGCATTTCATCTAGGAGTATATTGGATATGTAATCATCCATCGCTGCATTGGTACCCTCGTCGTCGTCACTTTCTATAGGCTCCCGAGCCGAGGCGTTTGAAGGTTTGGGCGAAGTGGCTGGTCGATTGCGTCCACGCCACTTAGACCCGCGTCTGGCTTTGTGGCGGTTGCCTCGTCCTTTAAACAAGATTATTTCCCTATTCGAGTCGGAGTCGGTAACAGACTTGTCCTTTTTTACGTCGGAAGAAGAATTGACATCGATGTCAACATATGAGAGGGCGTGTGGCATTGGCAGCTTCGGAGTGCACGATTTCGCAACATTACCATCAACGTTCTCTGAATGATATGATGCATGTTCAGTCGCATGCAGTGTAAAAGTTGCGTCACATTTCAGCTCTGTTGATGGTTCAATAAATCCGCCACTGATAAAGCGGACAGGCTGATCCCGAAGACGAGTGCCCTGGTCCCAGTGTGCCGTTTGGTTCCTTGTATTTCTTGCCAGCTCCTGCATCATGTTCCCTTTACAGCTCTCCGTTAGCATGATAAGGACTTACATAGTGTATGGACACATAGGCTTACCAGAATTGTTTTTGGGTTGGTAGTTCGCTGGTGTTTCTGGTTTGCAAAGCTGTCGGCTAGAGGGGCTGTTCGCGAAGCCACCTCGCGGCCTGAATGCCTTCTTACCGAAGGCACCTTTTTTGTTCTTCGACATGGTTGCATCTAAATACTAGGCAGTGCTCGACTGTTTTGGTTGTGGTGGACTCATTTTGTGCCCACGAAGCGTGTGTTTTCGCGAGATGGTTGTCAGTTGTGTTTCGAGCTACGGAGTAAAGTATGCGAGTAAGAATTAGAACGTCGTACTCCGTACTTTCTCTTCCGATGACTAATGCTTTAATTTGTGCGGAGTTCTTAGTAATGTGGGGCACATAGCTGTTGTCGTCTACTCCGTACTCCGTACGTCGTAAGCAGAAGGCAGCAAGAACAAGTGCGGAGTAATCCCACGTCATATCCTCTCTTCATCTTGCACCATCACCAAAAAGGTACAATAACTTACCATCCAGACCACAATTTGTCGTTGTGATGCACCACCGGGGATAAACGTCTATCACCACATTTTTGGTATTTCCTATCCTATACATAAATCTTGCCGATATTCGCAGATTGCATGGTCACTCCCGTAATCAAACTTGCACATGCACTCGGGTTCACCTGAACCGAGCTGCCTCACCCGACAACAACTAGAACCAGCCCAATATCGGGTTATACCATGGCTCCGACTGGTACAGCCATGGAAATAGCGGTTGCCGGTGCGGCTGACCTGGGCCGCTATGGTCGTCGTATTGTCAAGATGCTTTGGGACCCTGAGCCTACCAACAATGCCAAGGACAACCAGCCAGTTTGGTGTCTTGGCCATTCCTACGCACTTGAACCTAGCAAGAGAAAGAGTGCAGTTTCTCGAAAGGATGTGTCGCCTACCACGCCGCCCTCAGATATTGATCCCACTGTTCCTCCACTTTCATTACTGGTGCCAGACACCCCCCCCGACTCGACGTCAAGTAGCTTCAGCTCCACGCTCGCGCTAGACGAATATGAAACGAGTGACGACGGCGGTTGGCCAAGTGCCTTCCTCGATGATTTCGAGTCGCGGTTTTGGATGACTTATCGCTCTGGTTTCGAGCCGATCGCCCGCTCGGTAGACCCAAAGGCTCCAGCAACTTTGTCGTTTACTATGAAGCTGAAGGCTTTAGGCGATCAGAGCGACTTTTCTTCGGATAGCGGATGGGGATGCATGATTCGATCAGGGCAGAGTCTACTTGCAAACGCCATGGCTATGTATGAGCTGGGCAGGGGTAAGGTTCCGTCTGCGATTATACTTGGTATTGTTTTTCTAACCTGTCGGTATAGGTTGGCGATTGTCGGACGGTGGCATTGCGGAAAAGGAGATCATCTCTCTTTTTGCCGATGATCCCCGAGCGCCATATTCGATCCACCGATTTGTCGGTCACGGTGCGGTTGCATGTGGTAAGCATCCTGGCGAGTGGTTTGGGCCATCCGCAACAGCTCGTTGTATACAGTAAGTAGGCCTAGCACCGCCAGTTCCTGGAATTTACGGAGAGCTTACGCATGGCTGGCAGGGCTTTGACCAACGCACAAGGGGGGCCTCTCCGTGTATATGCCACTGGGGATTTGCCCGATGTATATGAGGACACCTTCATGGAAGTTGCCAGGCCTGCTGGGCCTGATGATGACTTTCACCCGACGTTGATACTCGTATGCACTAGGCTTGGGATAGACAAAGTTAATACGGTATACTGGGAAGCGCTCACATCTACGCTGCAGATGCAGCAATCTGTGGGAATTGCTGGGTACGTGTTCTTTCAGTTAGCGGCCCTGTCTGTTTGTACTGACTTTTTATTCTCGCTTGATCAAGGGGACGTCCTTCTTCTTCGCATTATTTTGTTGGCTCTCAGAGGCACCTTGATGATCAAGGTTCCTTTCTGTTCTATTTGGACCCACACCACACGAGGCCGGGTCTTCCGTTCCATGAGCACCCTTCGGAGTACACGCAAGAGGAGGTAGGCTCGTGCCACACTCGCCGTCTCCGACGATTACATATCCGCGAAATGGATCCGAGCATGCTCATCGGCTTTTTGATTCGGGACGAAGACGACTGGGATAATTGGAAGAGTTCTGTCAAACATGTGCAGGGCAAGGCCATAACTACCGTGTCTGCCTATGATCCGGCCGGGGGCAAGGCAGTTGGGCGCCAAGGGGCTATTGATGAGGTGGAGACGCTCAGTGATGACGATGATGCAGAAACCGTTTTGGGCTTTTAGTCTTGATGGGTTGCCAACGTTTTGTGTATCGTCACCTTGTTGTGTGTTGGTAATGCGGTCTTTTTTTTTTTTTTTTGTCTCGGGACGTTCATCTCGGGGGGTTACCTCATATATCTCATGACTACAGAACCGGGGCGTCTAGCTCCTGTATCTCACGTCTTGCTTCCCCTTCGTGTATACATCCGAATTCGATAGCACGACCGCTACCCTTCATTTGACCCTAGGGTGCATGCTGTCTACGATATGTCCATCAGGAATTCCAAATTGATTCGAACTGGTGAAGCATACAGCTAACCCCTAAAATACCGGATGTACGGCAAAACCTGAAGCGTTCGATGGCATGTCTTTGTCCGAGCCAACCGCCTTCTGCAATCGATCAAACCAATGCAAGCACTTCACAATCTGTTGAGATGAAAAAGGATAATGCCGTCTATATATATGTATGGCTCACTGACAACCGCCCCGTCAACTACTCCTCATACACCCCGACTTTATCAGCGTACTGGTTGATATTGCTAACCACACTGTCTTGGATCGTGTCGCCATGACCCGCTGCCACCCTAAGGATCAATTCGTTGAGTGTTTGCCTTCCTAGAATATCAACGTGATCTGCCGTGTTCGGACCTCCTCGGGGATTGAACCTCTCTGGCTCATGTGGCATCTCAACGACGACAATTTTTGCGCCGGCTGGATTGTACCTGCGAATGTTCCAGCCCCGATTGCACATGTACCCAGTGCTCAGCAAATTGACCGTCCCGTCCCCCTCGCCTAGGATGACACCATGGTCAATCGCCTCACTCTGCATCACTGTCGTATCAATGGTGATGTTGAGCTTAGCCATGGTAGTGAGCTCGGGAGACCGGTAGTAATATGCTCGCTCCGTCGACTTCCCGACACCATAGAAACAGTATACCTTCAAATTCGGAGCAAGTGGCAGTCGGGTCTCTAGCGGGTTGATCCATTTACTCGGATCATCCTCATTTGCTTCCACCTCCGCAGACGTATGGGCGATACCGTGTGAGTAACTCGACTTCACCTGCTCCCGGTACCAATCTTCGGAAGTATTGAAAAGGTGCTTCAAAGCGCCGTCGACGGTCAGATTGTGGTGTGGCACAGTCCAATTGTCGGCCGCTCGAAAATTTAGCAGTGTGGCGAAGCTCTGTTCCTGTCCCGGTTGATCATCGGGTGCACCGTCCTCTACCGTGCCCCATACGGCGTCGCCGCCGATGGGGAGCATTGATGAGATCCCTGGCATAGTACGGAATATCTCGGCCCGCTCTTCCTTGCTAAGAAACTTCTCCAGGCCATAAACCGCAAACGAATTCAACTGCGCCGTATCCCGCATCTCGCCCGATAAGACCGCGGGCAGGCCCTTGACTGCCCCGAGCATGCAGCCGCTCACGTTTATCCACGAATCGACATGCTTCTCTACCCAATCGGGACCGCCATGGCCGCCGCGGGACGAGGCAACCCAATGGAAGAAGTAGAACAAAACCTGGCTGCCCATGCTGTGCGATACTAGTACAACTTTCCTGTCAGAGGAGTGTACGGCCATTTCAATGTACGTCTTGAGACGACTGAAATACTGATCACGCGTCTCGAGATTAGCATACGACAGGCGCCAGTCGTAGGCTGCTGTGAACGAGTTGGTCGGGTCATAGCCTAGCGATGCCAGGTTCTCAAATATCTTGTTCCAGATCCAGTATCCCGTAATAAAAAAGTCCGTTGCATCAAAACCTTGAGCGGCGCGCAGCTTGATGCCGGGCGGATCAAGCCCGGTCTTCTCATCGAGCATGATGTGCTTTTTCCAGTTATCCTTATCCAGTACAAGCGCGCGCATCATACTCCAGCTTCCCCAGAGTCTCTTCCTGAAATATTGTCGCGAAACATTGGCAGTACCCCATGACTCGAGACCCGTGGAGATGACACCCGGAATCATGATGATCGAGTGGTTGACACTAAGGCCTTCGGCCTTTGCCTTGAGTCCGACAGAAAACGCATCATAACTGTCCAGGAAGTCGCGTTCCCCATTCTGTGCCGCGATCACATTAGACACTGCGAAGAGCGGCGCGGCTACCAACGGAGAAGGTAAACTTTGCACGCAGGAAGTCTATAGTGAAGGAATATATATCGTGCTACTCACCACGAGGTCTCGCATGTCTTTCACCAATCCAGCCGGCAGGACATCCAAAAAGCTGTCCATGCTGAGATCCCCGATCTCGGGAAAGTCTATGAGATCGCTGCTCTTGGCAAAGAATCCGGCGGCTACAAGTCCAAACAAGCTGCCAAGCAGAAAAACGAACGTGTTGCGACGCTTCTTGCCCCGGTTATTTGAATGGGCGATTCGCTGTGCAGTTTCGACAGTGTGATCCCTTTTTCTACCGGCTTCGGGGCCATTATCAAGACGGCTGGGTTCGTCGGGTTCTGTGGCACTTGCCACCTCTGCGCCGTTCTTGGCCCCCGCTCCTCGTCGCCGAAGAGAAGCAGCCATGCTATCAGGTATGCAGGGTTAATTCCAAGCTCGCGGCTGTTTCTCGGAACGTTGGGATGTTTGAGAAGGTAACTCAGCAATGCCAGAACAGTGTATTATTCGTGTAGACACTTTGAGTAGAAGGTCGACGTTTTATGACGCAAGATTCTCTCGTCGCTTTGCGAGCACGCCGGGCAAGTGGCCAGTCCAGACTCTTCTTATTACCAGAATCAAAGCATGAGATTGCACAGGCGTTATTATTAGAGGCCGACATCCGGTGGCCTTTATATACTGTCGAGGTACAGGCAGCGCGTCGTGGCGTTCGTTGTTTTCAACGGCCCTTCCGGCCTCGACAAAATATTACACCAGTTGTAAAGTATATTAAGCAATGACGTTAGTGGCAGAGCTGATCCGCCGACCGGCAAATCAGAAGCAGATTTTAGCTCCACTAGCACCAGCTTAGCGCCTTCCCATGATTTTGCATGAGATGCTAGTTCTGCAGCAACATAGAAAAGAAAGCAGTACCGGATGCTCGCACGGAATATCTGGATTGGGGATAGAGGGCTTAGCATAGAGCGAAGTCTAAAATACAAGCAAATGCCACATTGGTGGCCCATTATATCATCAAATTCGGTACCACGGCACTTGAGACCGGCCGTGTTGTTTCCCGCCGTCCCGCCGTCCCCCTCCATCTCTTCTCAGCGCCACCTGGCCATAACACCCAAAGTGCCACGCGAGCAATGGGATCACCAGTGACAGAGGCGCTGGCTGCCAGCACCCTTGAGTCTGCTCCAGACCTGCACTACATCCGATACGAACACGGCCTTGAAAAGCAATATCTTCCAGCGATTCGGGCTCTAATCTCAAAGGACCTGAGCGAGCCATACAGTATATATGTGTACCGTTATTTCCTCTATCAGTGGAGTCATCTCTGCTTCATGGTACTGTTTGATATATAGCCAGAATTTCTGTGTTGTACCGATATTCATACTTATCGTTCCGACCACAGGCTCTTCATCCGACAGACTCGTCTCTGGTTGGTGTTATTATATGCAAACTAGAAACGCATACGTCAAATAGCCCACCCACTCGACGGGGGTATATAGCCATGCTTGCGGTATCGACCCCTTATCGTGGATATGGAGTAGCTACAGCTCTTGTCAAAAGGACCATTTGCGCCATGGCAGAACGTGACGCCGATGAGGTTGTGCTGGAGACGGAAGAGACCAACATACCTGCTATCCGGTTGTACGAAAGGCTTGGTTTTCTCCGTTCGAAAAAGCTTCACAGATACTACCTAAACGGCAGTAGTGCCTACCGCCTAGTGCTCCTCTTGAAGTCGGTTGACCCTGATGCTGCTGCCGACCTGGCTCTCAGTGATGAAGGAAAAACCTAGCGGCAGCCAAGGCGATTCGGGGATGTGATCGAGTCTTTGTAATTTTGACCTTCATCACGTCGAGCTAATTGCACGTCGGAAGTGCCAACCAAGACAGTCACATTTGAGCGTTGCCAGCTGTCCGAAATTGCACGATCCTAGTCAGATTGAAAACGTAGCCGCTTTGAGGCTGATACAGGCTCGTACGCTTCAGCGTGTGGCGGCCTAGAAGGGGGACCGTAACTGTTCCGTTTTCCGCGAATTGGCTCTACGTCTTAGTCACTACTCGGAAACATTCAAGGTACTATCCATACGCAAATCATCGATCTCGCGCAGAGACTCTGGCTGTTTGATCGCGACCGAAATTCAAATTCTGTTATCAAAACCCACCAAATCAAGCTACAGCAGTTGTGCTCATTGGTGAACGACAACGCAGTGACAGTCCTAGGTCAGTCAAGCTGAGCTGTCATAACTACTCGTATCTCAGGTGAAGTTCCCTGACTCACTCCGTCCCGATCATCTCCCAGAGACACAACAACCTGTCATAAAAGCTTGTGGAGACACAAAGTGATGACAGGCCAGGTTGTACATCGCTACCGTAGTTCATACTCTTGTGCTCTTCAAAGCGAGTTACAACATATATCTGGCAGTTTCCGCTAGTGTCGCCATTTATATCCAAGATTCGCACCCCAGCATGCATGCAGGAGGCCAACACCCTTAGCTGCCAACAGTTGTCCTCATCCGGAGGTTGCTGGCGCACCAGCTTCAACCTCCAGACGCCACCGCCGAGATGTTTGGAGGCCAGGCAGCTTGTCTGGTGGGCGCCGCCTGTATCGAGAGGGCTCTGAATCGAGTAGACTCGTATATGATCATCGTAGCTCCCCGTTAATACTACTTTACCTCCGTCGGACATATCGATGGGCAGGGGCAAGATGGCAGTAACACCAGCTCCGTGGCCGCTTAGTATGCAAGCGTCCAGAGAGGTCTTTGGCGGTAGACCGTCCTTTGGTGCCGACGGGCTGTGTACAGTACACGACGTGTAACGCAACTTGGAATCGTCCCCGCCAGAATAGAGAGTTGAGACAACAGTGCCGTTTAACGTTTGGTGGCACACAGCCGGTTGAAAGGCCACCGTCCATGCTTCCAGATGATGCAATATCACGGGCTGCACATCTACTCCGCCCGAGTCACCCGTTTGCAGCAGGTTCAGGATATAGACCGCCCCAGATGATGTTGATATGGCGATCAAGTCTGGGATGTCCGGATGCCAAGCACATGCCAGGAAGAGAACGTCTTCCCCAACTCCGGGGATACTAACAGTACCCAGGCTCTCCAGGAGGCCTCCGGCATACCGAGACGGCGATAGACGGTATATGGTCAATGTGGCTGTGCTCGAGGCAACGGCAAAAACGTCCTGCCTGTCCTTTTTATGTTGGAAATGCAGGTCCAAGACAGCAGAGGGCTGTGGCTCCGTCTGAAGACATAGTCTGTTATATCGGACGGTCAGTGGGTATTTCCACCGTTTCCGCTGATTCATATCATGCGAGCTCACAATTTCTTGTCCTGAAGCTGAAAGATCAACACGCTTCCATTTCTATTCTGTGGCCGGGACGAATCTCCAGAAGCTCTTTTCTCGTCCTGCTCGAGATCGTATGTACCCACCAAGAAATAGTCTGGGTGGGCAGGGCAAAACTCAATGCAGCTGGGCGGAAGATCGAGGGTCAAGGTCTCAATTGAGGATACCGTATCAGACATGGTAGGAAAAAGGGACGCAAGATTTGCGAGCGTCGAAATTCGCGTGTAGCAAACGCGGTGGGGTTTTTGGCGTAAGCCAGCAGAGAGGGGCTGAGCAACCGAAGTGCGGCAACGCGATTCGGAAACTCGCCGCCCAGAGTAGACGATTGCTCTAACACGCTTTGCGACGGCAAAAGCGACACGTATGAGATACCCGCCTGCCCTGATATCCAAGAGGAGTGACGCGGTCTGTATTCATAGCATATGGAGGATAGCAGCGATCCTGACTCGGACTTTTACGGTAGGCTGCGAGCACGATGCGTCTTGTATAGTTGTGTCTGACCGATAACTTAAAGGAGATGTCGAGACTGTCTCCCGGCTTCAGAAGCGGGTTCGCGCTGCGGATGCGGAAGCAGCAGGGAGCCGCAATGTAATGGCCTCTACAGCACAGCACCATGCGACGATTGGGCAGGCCAGGATGCAAGTCTATAACCCATTCGCAGGCGTATCATACGCATGGCAGTTTGGCGAGAGTGCTGGGGATTTTGTCTGCAGGCTTCCGCCGGCCACGACAGTGGCAGATATACACACGCCGTGGATCTACGTTTGCAACCCACATATCAAAAGACGGAAGAAGGAGCTTGCAGGAAATCAGATAATCGCCGGGTGCGAGGACGAGGGCCCAGAGACCGAAGACACGCAGACTGGGCTCTTTGAGCGGGGCGGTAGAGAGAGACTCGATTTGCTCCGGGGTTTCATAGATGCCACAGGAAAGATGGGTCTTCCTCGAACCGCTGAAGAGGCCGAAATCAATCGTGCCCGGCGGTCGGCCGTCAGTGATATCTTGGGCCTAGCGGGTCACTTGAGCGTGACATGTGGAAAGGTGAGAGACACTGCTTGATGGTGTTATCGTTTGGCTGACAGATACTGTCTCTTCTTGCAGTGGTTATTGTTTGTCAGTCCTGGCGCCGTCAACAGGATTTGGAAAGTGGTGGTGCGCAGTACTATCCAAAACGAACTCGGCATTGCGGCCAAGGTAGCGCCCTGGAACCCGGCCGTAGACATCGAGGCAGAGGCACATCGGCCACGACTGATCTGCATATATACCGGCGATTTTCGTGACCGCATCGACGTGGGTCGCGTGCTTCAGCGCATTGCGGCATTGGATATCCTTCCGAAGTGCGGTGAACAAATATACTACAAGTGCGGTGAGCGACCATCTTCAACTTGTTTTGTTGCATTTACTAAGTAGATGCACTTATCTCTTGGGGGGGATGAGGGGAGCGATCAAAAACTGACCCCTGTTTAGATGCGTATACTTACCTAGGCATTGGCGCAGCCAACCCATGGGGCATTCGGGCATCGCTATACAGCTCTCACGACTTCCCTGTAGACTAGGTTCAATTACGACGTATCTTATGTCGTTGGCGCCCGGCATGTGGGTCAACCGATTGGTGCATCTCGTAAGATAAAAAGATAATATGAGCGTGTTTTTCCCGATTCATCCGTCTCGTCTCCTCCATACATACCCCGACATATTACCCGCCTAACGGAACTTCACTGAATAGGAAGGAGCTTGCCAGCATGGAGCTTTTGGCTTCTGCCTAGTATATGTAGGAACATTGCCTCACAGGCCGTCATTTGGCGTCCTATACACAACACGGCCAATTTGCCGCCACTTCTACTTTCGGTTTTGCTTATTCCCCCCTAACCGTGACCATGGCTTGTCCGAACCGAGACGGGGACGCTGGCCGCCGCGAACGGACGTATCCCTTGATGTCAAGGCCTGAGGTTGAGACTATGATTGCGACTGGACAAGCAATTGTCGTTGTGGACCAATATGTCCTCAAGCTTGATGCTTGGATTCCCTTCCATCCTGGTGGCGAGAAGGCCATCTTGCACGTGTTGGGAAAAGATGCAACGGATGAGGTCCACGGGTTCGTACTCCCTCATCTCCAGGCAGAACATACTGTTGCAGATAACGAGAGCTCGAGCCAACAACTGACCATGGCCTATCCCATTTCGCAGGTATCATTCTGATGAGGCCATCCGGACAATGGACAGGTACAGAATCGGAAAGATTGAGGGCCATTGGAAGAACTTTTTGCCTCCTATCCAGGGCGGCGTCTTCACTGAATGCGACCCTTGCGACAAGCAGGTTGCAGCGAAAGTAAAATTGTGCGTGAAGGCCTCCAGTGGCGGGTCCATCCCGCGTTCAGCGTCTCCCTCACCTATATTCGATGAAAACGACTCTGGGGAAGCCGAAACAGATGTCTACACCAATGCTTCTGCCAAGCCGCGCCGGCGTGCTCGTGCCAACCGCACAGGATTGCGGTCGGTTTCATCGTACACCTCGATGTCTTCTGCCAATGAAGCGGAAGCGGACGACGAAAAAAGCAAACAAAGACGTCCGGCCAGATCTGGTGCGCCACAGGCTGTTGCCACCGCATTTTTAGATGCAAAGACTCGAGAAGAAATTAGCCTCGACCTCGACAAGTACCCGGCTCTAGACGGCGAGACACAGCAGCTCATCGTGTGCGAATATCGCGAGCTGAGCGAGAGAATCGAGGCCGAGGGCCTCTACACGTGCAACTACACCGCGTACGCGTGGGAAGTATCCCGGTACACGCTTCTGTTTGTGTTGATGCTTGTCTTTCTGCGGCTGAAGTGGTATTCTCTGAGCGCTGCCTTCTTGGGGTGTTTCTGGCACCAGCTAGTGTTCACCGCACACGACGCCGGACACATAGCCATCACACACAACTTTCAGGTAGACACATGCCTTGGAATTTTCGTTGCTGATTTCCTCGGTGGGCTGTCTCTTTGCTGGTGGAAAGACAACCACAATGTGCACCACATTGTCACCAACTCGCCCGAACACGACCCAGATATCGAGCACATGCCTTTTTTTGCCATCTCCCATCGCTTCCTTCAGTCTCTGCGATCTACATACTATGAGAAGATCATGGTGTATGATGCAGCCGCTAGGTTTTTCCTCTCCTTCCAGTCGTGGTCTTACTACGTGATCCTTTGTTTCGGCCGCTTCAATCTCTACCGGCTTTCGTGGACGTATATCATTCTTGGTCTGGGCCCGCGCCGGGGTCGGGCAGGGTGGCACCGGTGGCTCGAGGCCGTGGGCCAGGTATGTTTTTGGGCCTGGTTCGGCTATGGCGTGGTCTACCGAAGTATCGACTCGAATTGGGACCGGTTTGTCTTCGTGATGATCAGCCACGTCGTCACCATGCCGGTGCACTTGCAGATCACGTTGTCGCACTTCGCCATGAGCACGGCTGAGCTCGGCCCCGACGAGTCGTTTCCACAACGAATGTTGCGGACGACGATGGATGTCGACTGTCCGCCATGGCTCGACTTCTTTCACGGTGGTTTGCAATTCCAGGCCATTCACCACCTGTACCCACGAATGCCGCGACACAACCTACGCCGGGCACAGAAACTTGTCATGGAGTTCTGTGCTAAAGTCGGGATTCCCTATGCTCTATATGGATTCGTGGACGGAAACAAACATGTAATCGGGCGGTTGGCGGATGTCTCTAGACAAGCAGCCATACTAGCCCAATGCCAACAGGCCGTGGCGGAGGGCAGAGCCTAGATGGTCTGTCCAACCTTGCGGGCTTCTGGTGGCTGGCATGGCACCATCGACCGTGACGAAATGCGCAGGTGGGCGATGGACAACTGACAGGCGGTGTTTTGTTTTCTAGACACTAGCAAAAGGTGGTAGGTAGTATAAACGATGTCACTGAGTTGTGCGAGAATGTTCTGTCTTGCTGTTCGTCCTCATTTCTTTATATGTTTGTGTCACTTCCTGGGCATCCATTTCAACCCGGCTCAAAGCGCGTGAGTGCAACTTCTTCTGCATTCAAGCACTTTCCCCAATTTCCTCCCTACGGTTCATCGGCGACACGATCCCTTTTCGTCGATGTCATCTTAGTCCCCACCCTTCTCTTGTCCAAGTGCTGTGCTCCTCGCAAATACAGAGTAAGCATCACACCACGCGGGGCTTAAGCTACTCGTATTACCTCCTATTCGGTCCACCTCCTATTCGGTCCCTGCTTTGCGGATCGTGAAACATGATCGGTAGACCCCCTACTCCGGTCAGCATCGTGCGTGCGTGTAGGCGTGCGACAGACAGTGGGCAAGTGTAAGTGGCTATTTGGGCAGTTGCCTCAGCGCTCACCCTGGCCTAGAACAAAACGATGGGCGATCGTGCCGAGTGGCTATCTTTCATATATATATATATGAGGATGCGACCGGCATGGGGGCCAGAGCGGGTGTCTGCCATGCTGCTCAGGATAGGTGTTCCATGGTCACGCAGTCAATCGCCCCGATACGTAAGGTCGATAATCGATCTGAAATTGTAGGCCTAGACGCTATGGCATGCCCTCTAACCGCTGCTTCTGGTTTCAGGTTCGTATGGACCGGTCACATCCTAAGCCGAACGTTTCCCCAAGCTACTCAGATTCGGCAGGATGGGTCGCTTCAGCAAGCTGCATGCTGCTTGCTGCATTAAAAGTGTGTTTTTTGTTCTCGTGTACGACTTAGAAGACTTCTGGGTATTGTCCCGAGAGAGGGGGTGAATTTGATTACCACGCTTAGTAGAAAACCCAATCATGCTCCCATCGTTTCCTTTCGCGCTTCCTCTGTTCCGTCCCTGCATAGAATTTGGTGCACGGCAGGTAAGCAGCGAGGCTTTATTTCTTGTAAGATACTATATAGGAAGCATAGGGATGACTTATGTGGTCAATTGGCGACAGAATTATCGGCTGGAACTGATAGGGCCAATCCGTTCCCTTCATGCCCCTTCATTTGCGGGAGGTACTGTACAAGTATCTTGCATATCTTTCTCTTCTCACCTTCTAGTGGCGCAAAACGCCATGCGACCCGTAGCAGTAATTGTACGAACTGGAACATGTCGCTGTTAGTCCACGTCCGTCTCATACTCCTCACCATCAGTAAGCCATTCTTTGCAGGTGGTAAGATATATTCTCGTCATCGCGAAAGGCTGTAGCTGTTCTGTGTATCCAGTAAGGCGGGGTTGCCTTACGCACTCGAGTCTCTTCGTTCGTACATGGTAGGGACTATCCGTCAAAACGTGTAGGTTGTGTGTCGTGTTGCTTGACCATTGCTACTCGATTCCATGTGTCTACATACGCCGTAGTAGGTGCCGCAGCCTGTGCGAGCTCGGCTCCCTTCTCTCGGGTCCTGGCTCAAATTTGCAGATACCGCCAGGTTGGATGACCAGCCCCCCTGCCAGTCGGTACCGGCAATTTCTTTGCCCCCTGCCTCTCTACCCTAGTATATCTGTGCTCTCGCCCCTACTATGTATGCCCATGTTGTCCGATGCATCCCCTCTTTTCTCTTTTCGAGGAAGGGGGGTGAATGACCCAGTACGAGAAGTACTGGTACTCACACAAACACGAGCACTCTCGGTGTCCGGCCGCAGTATGCCTGCAAGTGCTACTCGTGTGTCGACTTTATTCTTACGAGCAACCCCACGCCAAAACAATGCACTTTGACGAGCTAAATGTGCTCGCAATGGCATGGACGTTTTTAAAAAAAACCTTGCTGCCGACAGACACAAGCAAATGACAGGGATGTATCGCCCAACCCTGGTAGAGAGCTCGCCCTTCGTGGCTCGAAGCTCGTCATGTTTTGCATGGTCCACACCACCCATGGATATACGAGTGCATGTGGAAGACCTCACGCCTCCTCGACCAACTGCGTATTCATAGGTAGGCGAGTTAAAGCGATGGGTGCATATAAGGCCAACGTATCCCGACACGAACACCACACCCATCTCTTGCCCTCTACTTGCTATCATCGAAACGCGCCCGTTAGCTGGTATTAGGGCAGCTGTACTATTCTCGTCTACTTAAAAGAGTCTGTCTCATCGGATAGTCTTGCTCCCCATATCCGTCAGCAAGATTGCAGACTGGATCTATATGCGTCTAACGCTACTCCGGTTTGCAAGCACCATCAATATCTATTGCATACCATGGGAAGAGGAAAGATGGATGAAGCTGCAGCCGCAAGGATCCGAAAGGCCAGAGGCGATAAGGTATGTCGAAAAAGCACAATGGGCCATAGCGTACTACTTAATATACCAAAAGACATACTGACCAAAATCGGCTACAAGGATGACTTTGCAAGGCGAGCACAAATTGCCGCCCGTGCAAATAAGGAGACACTGTCAGACCAGGCTGGACAAAGGGCGAATAAGGACGGGAGCGAGGGGAACAACCAAGAAAATAGCAGTAGAAAATAGTTGCTGCAAAGTGAGAGGATGCTTAGAGTGGAGATCCGAATACTAGACATGAGACAACCGCTAGTTTCAATAGAGCTACGACGTACTTACGATACAGACGAGCGAAAGTTTGCAGGCTGTACGGAGTAGCTGCCGTGTATTGGATGTACAATGCCTGTACATACATGGGAAACAAGAGAAGGGGCGGAAAAGCCGATGTCGGATTTCCCACAGCAGGCGATCAAAAGGATGATATTCTTACGCCGTAAAGGTCAACGTGCTGCAGGCAGCGAATGGCCGAAAATGTTGGTCCTTGCTAAGATGAGTAGGATACCGCATGGACATAGGATACGTACGGGGTACTCACATAAGTTGATCACACGCACGGCATTATGTAAGGTGCTGCGACGGGCTTGCATACTGCATGTATCTTACCTGTATTATAAGCGATGCCTGGTGCTGTGGATTTTGGGGTGATTTTGGGGTCACATGACGCCCGAAATCACTAGATAATACTGCGCCCTTCTTAGGGCGCCCAACGCACTTAAACCTAGTATATTCAGTCAACCACCCTACGAAATATCATCACTAGATCTTCTGAAGGCCTTAGAGCTTACTACGATACGTGCAACTGGTCCGGGCGTATATCCCACAAGGATTACCGTACGGGTCTTACACTGGTGCTCGCGCAGAACCTGCGCGGCAGACTAGTGGTGCACGGAGTAGAAGCCACAATGCCCAGCCAATCAGCTGACCATTGGGTAGATAGCGTGGCCGAGATAGCGACCATTAGCCCCGCTGAAATGAGGTAGCACCAATCATCTCGCCTTCTGGAGCTGAGCCTCGTTTCCTTATTCCCAGATTGCTCAAACAGCACTCAGTACCTCGTACGGGCTCTGGGTCGACATTCTGAGTAGCCAGGACACACGGCTGTGATCAGCCCCCACCACCGAACAACGCTGACCTGTCCAATACCGGCGCACTCACTGTTCAGTTACGCGTGCTTAGCACACAGGCCGGCTTTGCTTTCCGACCTCTCTCTCCGTCTCAGCTTTGTCGGAGGGTGCAACATATCGACTGGCCAACAAGTCCACTGCGAGACGATCCTTGCTTGACCAGCCATGGATCCTGCCATTCAACGAGCGCTCAACGAAAAGCTGTACGAGAAGCGGAAAGGCGGAGCATTAGAGTGCGTCTTCCTGCCTGCCACTTCTGCCGCCTGCTCATCTTTGTTAACCCCCCCTCGCCATATCCTAGGCTCGAGCGGACAATCCGGGAGCTTGTCGCAGTCAAAGACACGAACATAGTCGAGGCAATCCTCGACCAGCTCTGCAACGAGTACGCCTATGCCGTACACCAACATTCTCGGAACGGCGGCCTCATCGGTCTTGCTGCAGCCGCCATAGCCCTTGGCCCTGTGCGTCCCGTTTCCAGTGTCAGTATCTGATATGTAGCTCACATGTGTCTAGGAAGTGCCTCGATATCTTGAGATGATTGTGCCCCCTGTCTTGGCTTGTTTCGTCGACCAGGATGCTCGCGTGCGTTACTACGCATGTGAGGCAATGTACAACATCGCCAAGGTGGCCAAGGGAGAGATACTGATATACTTCAACCACATATTCGATGCGCTTTGCAAGGTGCCTTTCCCAGCCTCCTGCGGCCTCTCCCGCTACCAACGGCTGCTGACTTCGCGTGGGATGCAATAGCTCGGTGCAGATTCTGAGCTATCGGTCAAGAACGGGGCCGAGCTACTGGATCGTCTCATAAAGGATATCGTGTCCGAGTCCGCTGCTACCTATATTTCTGTCCTTGCAACCCCGACATCAGACGACATCGAAGGCGGCTTGCCACCCGAGGATGACAGCGGTTCCCTCCCTACAGCCTTTTCTCTCAAGCGGTTCATGCCGCTCCTCAAGGATCGGATTTTCGTCCTAAACCCGTTTACGCGAACTTTTCTCGTCGGCTGGATAGTCCTGCTGGATTCCATTCCCGACCTGGAGCTGGTGGCATACCTGCCTGAGTTTCTGAGAGGCCTGCTGACCTTCCTCAGTGACACCAATCGCGATGTTCACATCGCGACACAAAACTGCCTGGACAAATTTCTCAATGAGATTAGACGCATTGCACGGATCAAGAAGGGGATTGCCGAGAGCAAGCGGTCGAGAACGCGAGGCAGCGTGAAGCGGAAACGAGCCAAGTCGTTTGAGAGCAGCAGTTTGCGAGCCGAAGCTGACGCCCGAGGCGTCATCGATGACAGCGACTCCGCTGGTCCTGTTGTGAATGTGCGCAATGCCCAGGCCGATGCTGCTAACGAGGACGACGTGAACAGCGACCCGAGCGATGACGGATCCGGTGCGGATGACGAGGATGACAGCGAGGATGACTGGGTACCTGGACAGGATGTGCAGATCAACTATGCCGCAATCTTGGTCATATTGACGGACACGCTAGACTCACCCCAGGGCGGCGCCCAAGGCGAGGATGGGCTCCTGGAATCCCTCCGTTGGATCGTCGAGTTTTTGGATATCTGTCCCGAGGAGGTATTGCCGTTCACGCCCAAGATACTCGCTCATCTGCTACCCGCAATGGCAAGTGGCATCGAGTCCATCCGCCAGGCTGCTGCTCGGGTCAACAGCTCTCTGATGAACTACGTTGTCTCTCTCTCTGCCGACACCGACACCTCGTCCATGGCATCGCAGCAGTCAAGCCTGCCGCTGCGCTCATCTACTGCGGCTGCCGAAGCGAGCGATCTCCAGCTAAATCACCCTGGCTCCCGCGATCTTGACGGCACAAGCCCATCTGCATCGGCAATACCCAGCCGAGCTGCAGCTTCCGTTGCCAGTGCCGCGCGCTCCTCGCCGTCACCGGCCCCCCCGACAGCACGGCCAGTGAACATCTCCCAGCGACAGCCGGACCTGGACTATGCCGCTGCTGTCAGTTCCCTCACGCTCCTGTTTCTGAACGACTACGAGGCGACACGCGTCGCTGCTCTCACGTGGCTGATCATGCTTCACCGCAAGGCCCCGAGGAAGGTCCTCGCGTTCAACGACGGCACTTTTCCTGCGCTGCTCAAGACTCTGTCTGACCCGGCAGAAGCCGTGGTCACTAAAGACCTGCAGCTGTTGTCGCAGATATCGCGCAACAGCGAGGACGACTATTTCTCCAATTTCATGGTCAATCTTCTCCAGCTATTCTCTACTGACCGGAAACTGCTCGAGACCCGTGGCAATCTGATCATTCGCCAACTCTGCGTGAGCCTCAGCGCCGAACGCATTTACAGGACCCTTGCAAACTGCATAGAGAAGGAGGAGGACGTTGAGTTTGCAAGTATCATGGTGCAGAACCTCAACAACAATTTGCTTACTGCACCAGAGCTGTCTGACCTTCGTAAGCGCCTGAGGAATCTTGAGACCAAGGACGGACAGACTTTCTTCGTAGCTTTGTTTCGCTCCTGGTGTTACAATGCAGTCGCTACCTTTTCACTCTGTCTCCTGGCACAGGCATATGAGCAGGCATACCACCTTCTCCAAATCTTGTTTGTCCTTCCAGCCTCCTTCCCGGAATCTATCAGACCAGTGCTGGCTGCCGGCCCTTTGCCTGGATGCCTGTCTTCTGCTTCTACCTCTGCTAACAATGGACCTGCCTAGTGCCGAGTTGGAGATGACAGTCAACATTCTCATCCAGATCGACAAATTGGTACAGTTGTTGGAGTCACCGGTATTCACATGTGAGTATTCCCCGGGAGCCTGTCTTACCGAGCACCAGATCAGATGCGTGTTCTTAAGCTAGAGCCTGATGTCTCTGGTGTCAGATTTGCGGCTTCAACTGTTGGAGCCCGATAGATTTCCGCATTTGTACAAATGCCTGTACGGCCTCCTCATGCTTCTTCCCCAGTCGTCGGCTTTCGCAGCTTTGAAAAACCGGCTCAACAGCGTCAGCTCCATTGGCTACCTGCATATTGCCCCGAGGCCGTAAGTGCTCTTCTGGGTGACGTTCGCTGCACGTTGCTGACATGTCTTCAGAACTCCCACCGCCTCTGGCGGCTCCAATTTCGACCGACCCAACAGGCTTAAGGGCAGAGAAGACGGTATTATCCGCTGGGGCGAGCTTTTAGAAAAGTTTAAGAGCGTCCAGGAACGCGCAAGGAGGTCCCAAAGATTAGCCGGTGGCGGGGTCGCAGATTCTATCAATGACGGAATAGGTGCTATTGGACTCGGAACTGATTTTCGCGCCAGCGATGGCGTCTTAGAGTCTAGGGGTGCCAGGGATCCGGGCACAACACGGATGGCAACCATGGGGCCTCCTGCTCTCGCGAAAGAATCCTCTGCGACGGCAGCACCCCAGCAAAGAGCCAAGTCAAGTTTGGGGAAACAACTTGGCCGGTTCGGTGGTGCTGTATCGGGCAGGGTAAAACGGGGGCACCAGGGAGCGTGAAAAGCTGCATCCTTCCAGCCCATGTTTATTTCTGCCAGTCCCCTGTATCTTCTGCTCTTTTTGCGCGGCATCCTTCGTTTTCACTACACTTTTTCTTCCTTCCCCTATCGTGTGTTCTCCCCGAGTGCATTAGGCGTTCTGGAAACCGTGTATGCATTGATGGAACGGGCTGAGCGGTTGGGTTGCCCATATCTTGCTAAGTAATGTACACAATACAGTTGCAGATGATGTGCAGGTCTCAAACCCACACCTTGGCCCTAGTGAGGTGGCTCGTATATCGCCAGCCGGACAACAAGGCCAAAGTCATCAGCAGCAGCGCACTGAACTACCTTGGTTTTCTCGGTGTTTCACGGTCAACCAGGCCCTCAAACACAACATCTCTCTTCTGGGTCATTACCTGTAGTTCCTTTCGGAGTACTTCCAGCTGTTGTCGAGCCAGGTTTTTATCGGGAGGCAGGCTCTGGAAAGGCTCTATTCGCGAGTCTAGGCCCCTTTTGCGAGAGAGAAGGACCCGATACAGAGATTCTTCGTCCTGGACTTGCTGGAGCGTAATGTCGGGTGATTTGTCAGCAACCTTGGCTGCTTTCTCCTTCATCTCTAGAAGTTTGACAGTTCCCGTCTTGACTTTGCGCTGTAGTTCCAGATTGGCCTTGGCCAGGTCCGCAGCTGGGCGGTATGCCCCGTCGTCGAGTTCTCCCAACAAGTCACCCGACCGTGCCGATTCTTCTTCAACATGCGACTGTACGGCAGCAGTCCGCTTGGTGGCTTGCTCAAGTTGATAAAGTCGCGCTTGAAGCTGCACCGTCTCATGCCCCAGGACCTCCGGGTCCGGATAGGCAACCCCGAGCTCCACAGCCATTGCAGCCATGGAATCGAGGGCAGCCAAGCCGTCACGCGGCAGTTCTTGCTCGACGGCAGCCGTCACGCCAGTGAGGATCTGAGTGGAAGCGCCACGGGCCTCTGCTGCATTGTGGCCAGCCAGCGCTTCGAGAGCGGTAGTCTCAATGCTGATTACCAGATCTCGTTCTTCATCGGCAGTTTCGTTCAGGGCAGCTAGAGCTACCAGTGCCTTTAGCGTCTCAGGATTGCGCTCGAACGCCAGGCTCGGGCGGCCTTCGAACTTGGATGACAACCAGCTGTCAACGTAGTTCCAGTCTTTCGCCGCCGACGATGCAAGTCGGGCTACCGAGGGTGAAAATATAGTTTCAGATGCGCGCACATGCGCCATGGTAACAAATTGACGAGCCTTGTTGCAAGCAGCGGTGGACAGCGGAGGCCTTGTGATAGAGTATATTGGGGCTACTGATAATACCGGTTAGATAAATACCCACTAATTGCATGTGCCGGACAAATTGGGGGATATTACGTGTTATTATAGAACGTATAAAGCTACTCAAAGCGGCCGCGAAAGTATTAATAGTTGCATCTCGTTTCGCAAAGAGGCCAGCTTGCCGCACAATGCCACTCCCTTGCACCGGGGTCATATCACATAAACCGACTGGGGCAGGCTTCCTGACGAAACTCACGATCTACCGTAGATCTTGGTTCTGGTCGTGTCAAGGCTGATATTCTCTGGTGCTGCTCCGTGTATCTTTGCACTCGCATTCGACAAAAAGCCGGCGCAAAGCCGCCATCATTCAAACCCATCCGACACGTCTGCCGACGTCCATTAACGGCCATACGCGCGACAACCTCGACACCATGCTGTTCAGACTGTCAGCCGTGGTCCTTGCGGCAGGCATCGTCTCAGCCCTGTCGACACAAGACATTCCGACCGACACGCCCCTGTCTTCACTGCTCGCCTCTGCACACGGCCATCTGTCCCGCGGCGAGACGGGCGAGGCGCTGGTGTACTACAACGCCGCCATTGCGCGTGATCCGACCGGTTACCTGGCATTTTTCAAGCGTGCCACGACATACCTGAGTCTTGGCCGACCTGCCCAGGCCACCGATGACTTCAACAAGGTCCTGTCTCTGAAGCCGGACTTTGAGGCAGCACACATCCAGCTCGGAAAGATCAGGCAACGGGTGGCAGACTGGGATGGTGCGCGCGAGCATTTCGCCAAAGTGAAGGCGACCCCCGACATGCAGGAGCTCTCAAGAGCCCTGGGCGAGGCAGAAAAAGCGGCTGGGCTTGCCGAGCTGGCCGAGGCGGCCGGCAATTGGGAAGAGTGCATAAGTCAGGCAGGCGTGGCAATCCCAGTCGCCAACAGGGCTTTATCGTTGCGGCAGCTGCGTGCGCGGTGTCGCTTTGCCCGGGGCGAGGTGGAGGAGGGCGCTGGCGATCTACTGCATGTGCTGAACCTGAATCCGGGGGACGTGTCGCCGCACCTGGTCATCTCTGCCGTCAATTTCTATGCTCTCGGCGACCTGGAAAAGGGAATGGCACAGACGCGCAAGTGCCTGCACTCAGACCCTGATTCCAAGCCTTGCCGAAAGCTGCTCAATCAGGAAAAGGCAGTCCACAAGACGTTGGTCAAGGTCGACAAAGCCTTGGGCAGGAACCAGCCGTCAACCGGCGTCAAAAACCTGGTGCCATCTGGCGACAGCCAAGGGCTCATCCAGGAAGTCAAGGAGCAGGCCCAGAAGCTTCGCGACTCAGGCATCCTTCCTGCTTCTGCACCGGCTGGTCTTGTTTCTCGGCTGGTTGGACTTGCCTGCCAATGCTACTACGAGGTATGCACTGCTCTGCTGAGCTCACCGATTCGACCTTTGCTAATGATGCGTGTGGGTGTGCAGATGAACAACAAGAAGGCAAAGAACTGGTGCGAGAGCGCACTGGACCTGGATGATGCCTCGCTGTACGGTCTGCTGTACAGGCACAAGAGTCATCTGGATGCCGAGAACTTCGAGGCAGCCATCGAAACGCTCAACACGGCCAAGCAAGCTCATCCGGACAAGTCGAACGTGATCGACCCTCTGATCAACGAAGCCCAGGTCAAGCTCAGGCGGAGTAAGACAAAGGACTACTACAAGGTTCTGGGCGTGCCGCACGATGCCGACCAGAAGCAGATCAAAGCCGCCTACCGCAAGCTGACAAAGGTGCATCATCCAGACAAGGCAGCGCAGCAGGGCCTGACTAAGGAGGAAGCGGAGAAGAAGATGGCGTCGATTAATGAGGCGTACGAAGTGCTGTACGACCCGGAGCTGCGTGCTCGGTTCGACCAGGGTGATGATCCCATGTCCAACGAGCAGCAGCACCAACACCATGGAAATTCTTTCGGCCACGGCGGCGGCGGGCAGCCGTTCGTTTTCCAGCAGGGCCAGGGACAGCAGTTCAAGTTCCGCTTTGGATCCGGGGGCTTCCCGTTTGGGGGCTGATGCACGGCACTGCTGCCGGTTGTCTTTCGAGGTGTTTGGGGGAACCTGCGCTCCTTTGGTCCATTTCGTCACGGAGTTTATCGGGAAAGCAGAGTATGGGAACTGTTCACAGTGCCGACGGCATTGGTGCAAGATGGTATTTGATGCCTTGAAAATTAGGGCTGCGCCAACCAGGCAAGAGAGCGAGGAGATGGATGGGTGAGAAATCCGGATAAATCAGCAAACCAATACAAAACTATACTTTTCCTACTGCCCACCTCCCAAGCCCGAATCTTCCTCTCCCGATGTCGTTGTCGGTTGAAAATCCCACGAGCATACCGGAGCCGTTGTGAATTGTAAACAAAAGCCGACCACACCACACACATGAACATACAGATGTGCAGCCAACCGGTCTATCCAGTCCAATTCATACACTAAATGGCGCCACGGTTCACTCATTATCAGTCCGTCTGCCACCCGCAGTTGTGTGCCGCCACCCCCTAGCTGGTGCCAGAGCTTTGAAAAGGGCCACCCATGCCCTTGACCCTGACGTCTATATATGTACAGGTTCTCGAAGACTTTGATCGGACAGAGCATCCGATGCGCCCAACGCCTGCCTGGGTCGGTGGCATGCGGACCTAAAGTCGAAGCAGCTCGCTTTCGCATCAGGGATGTGGATGCATAGCGGTGCCTTCTACTACTATCGTGCGTGATCGTTTCGGTGGATGAAATACGCCCTAGAAGGAGCACGGTGTCAGTTGTGAACTTGGTCCCTACAGGCAGGCCGTCTAGCACTCACTTTGACGCCTCGTATGCTGACCAGCAGATTGCTGTGCTAGGCATTGTGGTCACAATCCGTGGCCGGAAGCCCTTGAAAAAGCCGCGAAAGCCCTCTCGTGCTAGTAGAAGACGGCAGCCAGACATGAAGCTGTTGACAGACCTCAGCTCGACATCTCCGGCCGTGCCGCGTGTTTGCAGCATGGTCTTGATAACATCCATAGGAGTGGTAAGACCAGCCGCGAGGCCACCAGCGATAGCACCGGCGAGACAGTGTGTGACCGGGTCGTATCTCTTCGACGGGTTCATCACCGTCGATATGGACTCGTAGGCCAGGAACTGCAAGGCCGTGAACGGAACTGTCATAGACAGTGTTGTCGGATAGGACACGTAGAAGGCGGCAGCACCTTCGCTGCGATAGACGTATTTGGCGCAATCCAGCATCGACCGATACATCTTACCGGACCCTTCCATCTGCATGCGCTGCTTGATGACTGTCGCGCATTGTTAGCACGGAAACGGGCGTGCAACGGTCTGCGAGAGGGGCGAAGTCCTACCGTCAAAGGGATTCATGAGGGCATCGCTGGCGATGGTGGCACAAGCTCCGCTTGTTGCTGTTGTCGAGACATCCCTGTCAGCAAGACGCCTCACATGCCGCCAGAACGTGGAGAGCGGAGGAACTGACCTGCTGCCAGCGGATGGTGCTCTCCGACTCTGTTGCCGCCCATCAGGTGTTTGACAGCCTCGTACGTGGCAAAGTATACAGCGTGGGCAGGGCCTACGCCAAGTCAGCCGGCCTGTTCTGTCGGCACATTTCGGTCTGAACACTTCGAGCTGGGAGGGAGACTGTGCGGCAACGAACCTGCACCGACGACGACACTAGACATTCCTCGCCACAGGCTGGCGACACCCTCGCTAGCAGCCATGCGATATGTGCCTTGTATTAGGCTCGAGTAGGCATTCACACCACTGGGGCTGATGATTTGCATCCGTGTCTGTGAAGGAGACGACATATTAGACTATGTCGTCCGAGATAGCATGCAGACGCAACATACCTTGATGGCATCAATTGGGTACATGACGGTGTGTTCCTAGCGACGTCAGTCAGCATTGGCCATGACCAGTGGGCTTTGCGAGCTGCGAGTAAGACGTACGGCAATGCCGGCAAAAGCGCCGGCAGCCATGTTCTGCACGAGGGAGAAGTTCGGCGGTAATGACTCATAGCTATCAAAGAAAGGTCAGCGGCAGCTCACATGGAGGGCGGCCGGTCTGCAGCATACTCGTACTCCTCGAGAGGCTCGGCATTTGGCTGGGCCATCCTGGCCACAGCAGCAGATGCGCCGCCCAGGGTCTTGTCGTGGAGAGCCAGGGTGGCGACTGGAAAGAAGGAGACAGAGGGATGAGCGAGGGGACGAGACGGCTGCCGCCCCCCTTTCGGTCCTCGGTGGTCCTTGGTAGCTGTGCCGCTGCTCGCGGTGATGTTGCCCGTCGGAGCTGTATACGGGCGAGATATGGGCGCCGGAATGCTTGGACGTGGGTGCGTAAGACGTGTAGGATGGCGTCGGGACTTGCAAGCCTGCTGGGACGTGTGGAAGGAGCAGGCACGCGCAGGACTAGCTGAATCGCGACAGAGAGGGAGGGGCGAGAGGGCCGAAGAACAGGCTGCTCGGTCAAGGAAAAGCGTTGTAAGAGGGGTTTGGAAAGGGAAAGAGAACAGACGACGCGGCCGGAAGGTCGGGGAATGCCAATGAGAACGGCAAGCGTCGAGGCCGAGCTAGAGAGGTAAGCAGGGTGAAGATGACAGAGAGACGGAGACGAGAACGATGGTCCGGGACGGCGTGAGCTGTTTGTCGTCGGACTTGGTGGCTAGAATTTTTGCGATGCTGCGCTGTCGGCATGTCCAGAAGAGCTAGGGCAGGAAATTTTACAGGGGAAGAGGAAAAAAGAACGAGGGACCAAGGCGGTGGGCCGAATACGACGCCCGTAACGAGCAGGACTCCAGGGACCGAATGACTGGCAAAAAGGTCTTTTAGTGGTTGTGCCTGCTAGCTCCGCCGGGGAGGTTGCGAAAGTATGGGGAAGCGCTCGGGCAAGATGCACGCAAGTGCCTCGTGCGTGCCTTCCTCGCAAACTCCTCGGCTGGAAGGACGCGGAGACAACAGTCCCCAAGCTCCAAAAGCCGATACCGTGCATACCGCCCAGAATGGCCACCTGTAGAGGGCAGAACAGAAGCAGACCGTGTCGGCTGTTCTTGCCTTTCACGCGCACATTACTGAAGCTCCGATCGTATCTTATGTCCGACCGTTTTCCCGGCCAGCGCTATCGTCATGTCTTGAGTCCGTTTCTCCATTGTCCAATTACCACATGTGTTGTTGTACAGAAAACAACCTGCCCTGCCGTACAGAGCACAGCTTTCTCATCTTCCTGGAATTTGCCAGCCTTGGTTGGAACCCCGGACGGCCAGCTCTGGAACATCCGGAATCTATATCAAATGCGCAAACCACCAGAGTAATATAAGATACATCAAGCACAACAAACGCACCCGGCTCCTACAGAATCACAAGTCAGTCGCCGCCGGGGACCCTTGTCCCTGCCTTAGAAGTGGATAGCCTTGGAGTACGTCGCCATGGCCGCCTCCTTGAACGCCTCTGACAGCGTAGGGTGGGCGTGGCACGTGCGTGCAATGTCCTCGCTCGATGCGCCGTACTCCAGAGCCAGCGTGCCCTCGGCAATCATCTCGCCCGCGCTTGGGCCGATGATGTGCACGCCCAGCAGCCGGTCCGTCTCCGCGTCTGCAAGAATCTTCACCTGGCCGTCCGTGTCCAGGTTGGTCTTGGCGCGCGAGTTGGCGCTGAACGGGAACTTGCCCACCTTGTAGTTGATGCCCTGGGCCTTCAGCTCCTGCTCCGTCTGTCCGACCCAGGCGACCTCTGGGTGTGTGTACATCACCGACGGGATGCAGCCGTAGTTGACGTGGCCGTAGCCCTTCTTGAGGAACTCCACAACGGCTACAGCCTCCTCCTCGGCCTTGTGCGCCAGCATCGGTCCAAAGGTCACGTCACCGACGCAGCGAATATGTGGCAGCTTCGTCCGGAACTCCGAATCGATCACCACGCGGCCACGCTGGTCGAGATCAAGTCCGATCTTCTCCAGTCCAAGACCCGTCGTGTAAGGCCGGCGGCCGATGGCAACGAGCACCACCTCGCCCTCAATCTGCACAGAATCGTCGTATCAGCATCGGCACGTCATACAGACCTGTCTCTTATACTTACAGTTTCTGGCTTGCCCCCCTTTGCAGAGTCGATCTCAAGCTTGATGTTGTCGCCGCTCGTGTCGCCGCTGAGCACCTTGGTGCTCAACTTGAAGTCGATACCCTGCTTCTTCAGCAGCTTCTGCGCCAGCTTCGAGGTCTCCGCGTCCATGCCAGGACCGCCAATCTGGTCGAGAAACTCAACCACCGTGACCTTGGCGCCCAGTCTGGACCAGACAGAGCCCATCTCAAGACCAATGATGCCGCCGCCAATCACCACAAGGGACTCGGGCACCTTCTCCAACGACAGGGCCCCCGTGCTGGTGATCACACGCTTCTCGTCGATCTCCAGACCCGGAAACGGCGTCGCCTCGCTGCCCGTCGCAATCAAAATGTTCTTGGCAACAAGCGTCGACTCGCCTCCCTCGTTAAGGTCCACCTTGATCGTGTGCTCGTCAACGAAAGAGCCCGTGCCCTTGACGTACTCTACGCCGTTCTTCTTGAACAGAAACTCGATGCCCTTGGTCAGGCTCGAGACCGACTGGTCCTTCGCCTTCATCAGCTGGCCCAGGTTCAGCTTAACATCGCCGACCTCGATACCACGACCCGCCGTGTCGTGCAGAACCTGGTGGTAGAGATGCGAGTTGTTGAGTAGCGACTTCGATGGAATGCACCCAACGTTCAAGCAGGTGCCGCCCAGAGCTCCCCGCTTCTCGATGCAGGCTACCTTCAGACCTTCCTGTCCAGCCTTGATAGCAGCAACATAGCCAGCCACACCGCCGCCAATGATGACGAGGTCTTTCTCTTCGGACGACTCAGATGCGAAACCGCGCCTCCACCGGAAAATCGCCGAGGATGTTGGGACGATGGTTGGGAAGCTAGAGGGCTGTTTCCGGAAAGCTGAACGAACAGCAGTCCGCGGTATTAAACGACTAGACAGCATATTCGGATTTGTGCTTGAGATATGGATGCGAAACCCACGATGGGGGCGGGGAAAGAACGGAGAATAAGTCGAGATTCGAAGCAGTTGCGAGTGTGGCGAGTGCGATTGCCACGAATTGCCTTCGTGTTTGGGAGTAAAAGCAGCGATATTTTCGAATGGACTCAATTCCGAGAAGAGGCTGTTCCGGGAGCTCTCGGGTAACGGGTAACAAATGGAGCTGCTCTTTTTTCCGTCGGCCTAAGCAACAGCTGGCTTTTTATTTTTATTTTTATTTTTATTTTGTTCCAAATTACATTTCATGCTCGCGGTATATTTTGGTGCCTGGTATGCCAGGCGCCCAAACAAGGGCGATATTGCCACTACCAAACCCCGAAGATTCCACTTTATCGTCACCTGGATCGTGAAACGGCGTCAGACGGGCCAGCTTGACTAGTCAGCACGACTTATATCGCCGTCTAAAGCTTTTTGTGCTCTATCACATGCCTTGGCAATGCTGGAAGCCTGTCCCGCCGGCACGAGCTTGGACTTGCGCACGACGTGTTTGAAAAAATACGCCAGTCCACGCCGCAAATCTTCATTCTGTCTGATGACTTCAAATCGCTTCCGGATTGTGTTGCTTCCACCACTGCCGCCGCCACTTGCTTTGGCCGCATTGCGTACTTCCTCAAACAGGGTTATCAGCAGAACCTCGACAAGCATGCGTGTCTTTGCTTGAAGGCGCATCAGTTGGAGACACTTCAAGATGTCCAATCCTAGACACCCGGTCGCAATCAGATAGCCGTACATCTTGGCTGTGTTCACAATGCGGCGAAGGTCCGTCGCTTCGTCTTCTTCGTCCGCGTCTTCTTCATCTGCCAGTTCGCCAAACATCGGTTCGCCCAGTCGCCGAAAAAGCTTCCACAGGCTGACCTGAAGCACCCAAGCCATCCTGTGATCGGTGCTGCACACCTGTCGTGCAACAAGTGCATAATAGCGGTTGTAGTGCTGCTCAGAGCCCACGCATCTGATAAGCACATTGGCAATCTCTCTCTTGTCGTATTTGTTCAGGCTCAGCCTCAGTAGTCGAGCATGGGCATCTTTGCTGTCCGCCGCGGAAAGCAGTGTCACAAATATGGACCGGCGAGCATTGGTGTTCATTCCCTGTTCGCGGGCGAGCTGCTCCAGCTCCTCGACGTCCGGAATGGCGTCCCCCCATGAGCCGACCACATCATCATTGTCGTCGCCTCGAGCAGCCTTCCTTTGCGCAACTCCGACTGCTGTGTCTTGTTGACCATCGCCGACGCTTTGCTTCTTCGAATCTCCCTGGCCATCCCCGCCAAACTCGCCGCCAGTACCGGCCGGTAGTGCTTCGTGACCTGCCCAGCTTGCTCCGACTAGCCACCATTTCCCTCGCTTGTCAGCTTGTTCGATATCGCTCAGACCAACGCGCAGGGATCCAGTGGCCTCCAGTTTTCGTGAGCTAGCAAGGTTGCCCAGCAATTTTCTTATTCGCTCCGCATAGGCAAAGCCGCTGCTGTCAGCATCGCGTGACTTCTTTTTGTCGCTCTTCTTCACCTCGTGAATCTTTTGAATCATGTGTTGTGCCCTGACAGAGAGGTTTTTCTCGCCGCCGGCAAGTACAACCGCAGGTCGTATGAGTGCCACGATTTGCTTGAGGGCTTGAGGGTCATCTTGGCGGAGCCGGTGCCCGCTGGTTTCGAATATGCGTAGCAGCAGCTCCGTGTTCGTTTCTGTAAAGTTGTCCAACAGCATGCGGACGTAGTCGTATATCAAATTAGGACCAATCATACGAAAGTTGTACAGCTCTGCAATAAGCCCGAGAAGATTCAATAGCACCTTCGATGTCGGCGCCCAGGAATGGTGTTGTGCTCGAGTTTCACCAGTAGCAGCATCTTGTCCAGAAGCCATGTAGTTTTGGCGGAAGAGTGTAGCGCTTTGCTGGATAAAATGAGCTCCAAAATCAACGCCCTTGACCTGATAGATGGCCGTCGCAACTCCAGCAATGAGAATTATGACACTGTTGGACAAAGCCCCCTCTATGGCAACCTGCTCCAATAGTTTTTCAATTACTGCATCCGTGACAAATTGTCTTGGGTAGTCCAGGTAGAGTTTTTCGATATCCCCCAGTATGGTCAGCATGTTGGCATCCGAGAGACGAGCGACCAAGTGATGGGCCTGTCGCCGCACTCGTGAGAGGGTTTCTGAATCATCACCCAGTGCTTTCTGCTGCTGCCTCAGAGCTGGCGGAACATATTTGCCAGATGATGCTGCCACCACCGGTGCCACGTATGGATTCTCGCGAGTTCGCTTGGGGCTTTCGGGCTTAGACTGTCGGTCGGAGTGCTTTTCTTGTTCGTCTCCTTCCTCATCTGTACTATCTCCAAGATCGTATAGGGAACCCCCCTCATCTGAAGTCTGGCGTCCGTCGGTATCCTCTCCCTCTTCACTGCCACCTTTGTCGGCAGCAAGCAAGGCCTTTCTGCGCTTCGATAGAAGCCACTCATCTGCCTCGGCTTTTCGTTTTCGCTTGTCCGACATCTCGTCCTTTTCTTCGTCTTCACTGTCTAAAGATTTCATAAGGTCGCCAAGACCGTCCTCTTTGAATGACTGTGGCAGGTTTTTGCGGCCTTTGATACCCAACTTGCGCTCCAACTCTGCGATCTCGGCTTCGTCTTTCTGGAGTTTCTCGCGGACTCGCCCCGAAACACTTGGTTCTGCAGCCGTGGTAGTGTCATCGGTATCATCGTTCTCTTCAGACCCCTCCCCATCCGTACCGAAACCGTCAAATTCATTGCTCCCATCTGATTCACTTTCTTCCTTGGACGTTCTTGCAGGTGCTTGTGTCTTAGTTGTGGTATTTACCGTCCTCCCAGAGCCGATTCGTGCTGACAGTTGCTTTTGTGGTTTTGTGCCAGGTGCCGCTTTTTGTCTTTGCTGTTGCCATTTTCTTTCCTCCGACTTCGAACCTCCTTGCGACCCGGTTCTGTTCCTGCTGCCCTTTCGTTGAAACTCAATACTGTTTAACCCGAGCTGACGCAAGAGCCCGTCAGACAACAGCGGCCCTTTACTCCTCTGAGATGCCCTAGCAGCCATGGTAGCGCACTCGTCTGGAGAAAGATTACTCTTTACTAAGTGGCCGCATAAGATAATTTGTAGCAACAAAAAAAAGACTGCTACCCTTCAAAATGCAGACTAATAGCTGATTGTGACGTGCGATAAGTGTGACTAATCATCCACGTGGAATTCTCTGGCGAATTCATTTTGTGGGGCAGAGACGAAAAGCGTACGAAATAAGATACATCTAAACCAAGGAATCTACGCAGAGGAAGTCCACGCGACCCTCAGCCTACCCAACTACTTCTAGTTGAAATGGGCGTTCTCAGTAACGACGAGGTGAGTGGTATCCTGGCTTCCTGCGCTGCCTGGGTATGTTCAATTATCCGTCGCTAACTGAACTGCAGTTTTTCTCGCGCCTCGGCGAACTGTTTGATGCCCAGAAGGGCAAAGAACATGGCGCAATTTACCTCAGCCAGAGGCGTTGTGAGCACACATGCTTTTTGTTTGATAAAAAATCCAATTGTATTTCCTAACATCTCTATCTCTCTCTAGTGGCTCGGGGAGAAGGCGGTGCGAGCTTGCATATCTCTGGGAAACCGGCAGATGCGCCCCAGCCGCTGATTATTCGAGCGAGTAACGGGAAGTCCAAGAAGCTCCGAAAATATAAGATACGGCTGTCAACAACCGCGGATCCAGATGATTTGGAGGCATTCTATGCTAGATATGCCGAGACGTGCAAGGCAGGAATGACGCTGCTGAAGCCCCGTGACAAAAGTAAGAAGAAGGCCAAGGCTAAGAAGAAGAAGGCAGCCACAGCAGCCACCACTACATCGTGAGCTCATCTGCCCGTTAACGCCAACGGCTTTGTGGATGTTGTGAATGAATTATCACCACAGCCAAACCTCTCCTTTTCCATAGCAGGCTTTCAGTATTGCACCACAGTTGAACGCGAAAACTATGTATGACGTCCTAATTTATGTGGTTGTCATGAAATAAAAGGTATCATCACAGCAGGCAGATTGATATCCAGAAAGTTTCCTGTTAGATGAGCTTGGTGATATTTCTTAGAGGCAGATGATGATAGACATGTCATGCTATCAAAAGGCTAGACATATATATAGCTATGCTGCATCAAGACCACTGGCACATTTACCAAGCTCTTGCTCTGATAGCATCCCATTAGATCCTTAGCTTACCCATGGCTGAGAATTATTCCGATAACTAGGCTAGCATGGCCAGCTTCCAGTACGTTGGTGGGAAGAGGCTTGCGAAATCCGTTGCTAGGAAGATTATGCCCGTTTGCACTGCATCAATCGCAGCAATAAGTCAAGCAATCTGCGCCTGAGCAGCCAATTGGTCAAGCTGATCGGCGTTGGAACAGCAAGCATATCACGCGGATCCCCAGAGCTACTTCTGCCGATAGACCATTGGCGAGGAGACACTTCTTTTCCTTGTCGCTCGAGAACAAATTACTTCATTCGTCCAACCTAGGGTTAGCCACTGCCCAATAAAACCATTCCTAACACTAAGCACCTTAACAACCCGTCGAGCTACTCCCAAGAAGATGCCGCCCTTAGACCTTATACCACCCCTGCTCATAGAACCAGATCCTATTCTTGACGAAGTTCTAAATAAACGACGGAAGCCATGTGGTTACCATCCTATGCAAGCAGATCTAAATCAGAAGAATGGAGACAAGCATGGAAAGCGTAGGCTGCCAGATAGCAAGAATTATAGGAGAATTGAAGAAAACAGTAACTTTTTGTGGCCTTTCCTCCATCAATGACTCGATCTAGCTGATGGCGGCTGTCGCCATCAGCAAGCTGGAATTACGTTGCTGAGTCTCTGGTCTCAGACTGCGAGCTACAATTGCACATGGCATCAGCGCCGAGTACCAAGAGACTCTGAAAACAACCTAGAGTATCCTCCTCGCCTTCCCCGCCTCATCTTTCTATTCGTTTTGTGCCGCTCTGCGTGCATTGGAACGAACGGCACGATATATGAAAATGTTGCGAAAAATGACGAGGATAGAAGAGCACAACCGAAAACGAGAAATAAACGAAAAAGGAAAACGACGAGGGTAAAGCAACTAGAACATAATTTCGACAATTGCAATACGACCTGTCCGGCTTCTACCCTTGAAGGGGAACTTGTGTATAGACAGCCATACAATTGCCGATGCCGAGTCCAAAGAGGACTTTGGTGAGTCAAGAGAAAGGCCGGATGGCGACACGAAGAAATGGTATCCTTGGTAGATCCTACATGATCTGGTCCTGTGTCAACCCGTTATGATGGTCGGATTCCATGCTGCTGCCGCCAACTCCGGGAGTCAAGTACTTGACAAAGCTGAGGCCAAGCGGCCGCCCGCCATATTGGTAACCTTGGAACTTTGAGATGGCAGTGTCAGCCGTCTCGGGGTTATCGAACCGAACGACTCCCGAGCCGCGAGAGCGACCACTTGGCTCATACTGAATCTCGGCCTGTTCGACCTTTCCGATAGTGCCAAAGAGCTCCACGAGATCCTCGTTGCTGGTCGACCAGGGAAGCTGTGACCGCAAGCGTCAGTGATGGTGGAAACGTATACTGGGTAGCCCATAGAAACCACAAACGGCTTCTTATGAACGATGATGAATGCTTACATTGCGCACAAAGATAATTTCACTTGGTTCGTTGCCAGAAGTGGCATGGTCGGTGAAGGGATTCGGGGCTGGGAAAGGGCCAGGGCCAGCACCGGGACCGGCATTGGCACCGGGACCGGCGTCGAAACCGCCGGCGCCACTATAGCCGCCACGGCCGCCGAATCCTCCGAACCCGCCACGGCCGCTGAAGCCGCCCCGGCCTCCAAAGCCTCCTCCAAAGCCGCCACGGCCACCAAAGCCACCGCGACCACCGAAGCCGCCGGCACCAGCGAAACGATCCTCACGAACTTCCAAGACGCGGCCCTGCCAGTCGTAGCCGTTGAACTGCTGGATTGCATTCCGTGCATCGTCTGGGCTTTCGAACACAACTATTCCGGAGCCCCTGGATCGGCCATCGGGTCCAATGTTGATGTCGGCGCGAGCAACACCAGCCGTGCGGGCTATACATGTCAATAAGAAAAGCATGACCACACCAGGATGCCCGGTACGAGAAGGTAATAATCAGGAACAAATGGCAACATACCTGCTTGTCGGAACAGATCTTTCAGGTCTTGCCATCCAATGGTGAATGGAAGCTAGAAACTACATGTAAGCATACATGACAAGGAGTCGGATCAGAAGCTGGAGTGGAAACAAACATTTGCGACATAAATCTGTCTGCTTCCGCCCATGCCAGGATTAAAACCAGGGCCGCCAATAGGGCCGCCGTAGGCTGGGGCACCACCCATTGCACCACTGTAACCGCCGCGGGGGCCGGATGCCTGATTGAACCGTGGCTCCGCCTCACGGTCCTGCGGTGGACAGCGATTAGCAAACGAGAAGGGAGGGGTTAACGGATAAGCACAGCTGAGCCCATCAGCATCGATAAACTGCAAAGGGGGGTATACCTCTCGGACATAAACAAGGCGACCCATCAGGTTCTGGTTGCTGAGTGTTGTGACCGCATTCTGGGCTTGTTCCCTTGTCGCATATTCCACAATACTAAAGCAGTGAGATCAGTATAACGTGTTTAGGTTGACAAACGGTAGGGGAGGATAACCAAACTTACCCGCATCCCTACAATAACCCAGGAACAGCGTTCCAACCCGTCAATCCAACAATTCCCATCAAAACAAAAAGATGAGCCAAGGGGGGGCAAAAGGAGTCCGTGTTAAAAGAAAAACGTAGCCATCCAGGACTACGAAACGTAGTCGCCCACCTTCGACATTCCATTAGGGAGCAGCAACACATCGGCAAATATGACCTCTCCAGCTGAAGTAAGCAGTCAAGTCAGCTCACAGCACAGCAAGCCAAGAAAGAGGTGGAGACAAACCCTGCCGCATAAAATCTTTCAGGTGGTGCCATTTGACGTCGTAGGAAAGATTGCCGACGTAGACCCGACGGTCCTGCTGTGAGGTCTCTCGAATGTTGGACATCATCTGGTCTCTTGCGGCCTGTCGGTCATCATGCGAACGATGAGGGGCGCCGCTACTGTAAGCAGATCCGGCCGGCGCTCCGGAGGCAGGGGTCTGTCCAGACATGGGAGAGCGAGATCTTCTTGAGCCACGGCGATAGTCCGGGCTGCGAGAGCGGTTGCTGCGGGGCGAATACGAACGACGATGGCCAGCAGCACGACCAGGGCTGCGAGATCGACCACGACGAGGCGAGCGAGATCGTTCACGCTGTGTCTTGTTAGACTTGAGCTAGCAATTGAAGCCAGGGTATGCGTCCAAGCTCCACCGGAGAAGACCCTCCCGAAGCAACACTTGACCTGACGTAGTCCAGTAAACGCTGGGAGGGAGGAGGGGGGTGCTCTCGAGCTGAAAAGAAGCAGTTAATTACTTACCGGACGGTAGGTGTCTCCAGAGTCGGCTAAAAAATGCATGTTAGCACGACAACGATCAAGGCACGGTCAAGGGAAAAAGAACAGGGAACGTTGTGGATGGGTGATGTAGCTAAGCGTCTAAAGGCAGCAAACAAGAAGAGTAGGGAAAACAAGTGATGACAGTTATATGACGAGAAGTTGGGTAAACTGCGAGTCTGAGAGGGTATGTTTGTGCCTCTTTCGCCGCCTTATGCTTAATGTGCTGCACACTCGTTCCGGGTAAGTCGCTTGGTAGTGCTAGAGAGTCTCTTGGTGGTCAAGGACAGCGAAGACGCCTGAAGCATTGTGGCCGGAACCAGGCATAGATACTCGGCAGTATGGTAGGCTGCGCGCAGCAGCACCAAGCAGCACAATCGCCGGTCGCGAGCCGCCAAGAGATTTCGGTAGAGGAGATGAGAGGCAACGAACTGCCAGAAGATGCATGGGAAAGGCGTATGGGAAAAGGGGGGGAAAAGGGGACGAAAAGGCCAGAAGGAAGGACAACATGCCTAGCAGAAAACCGGCTGAGGACTAGGGACAGTGAAGAGAAGAAAGAAAGACTAGGTGACAAGTCGGCAGCAGACGAAACCTGGGGCTGTGTTGGAACAAAGGATAGGGGAAAGAGGCGGCCAAGACGAAGAGCGTTGGTATGAAGGAAGGACGAGGTAGAAGTACAGGATCAACAAAATGCGAAAGAAGAGACGGGGACCGGGGGGGGGGAGAGGGAATGTCTACTAGATGTTGGGAGGGGGTCTTGGGAGGGCGTAGAGAAACCGAGTAACAAAAACGGTTGAGTCGAAGTAACGGAGGCGCAACGGAGAGGATCGGGGGAACGGGGGAGGACGGGGTCAGAAAGCACAGTACGACGTATTACTCGAAAGATGACTTACCCATGATGATAAATAACTAACGCTCAGAGGCAAATCCGGCAAGAGGGGCAAGGCAGTTTTAACGGGTTGGATGGGAGCGGCCGGTGAGATGATAGTTCGACAGTAGAATGGTGATTAGAGAGGAGGAGGGAAGGGGGATCTGTTTGTAAGATACGGGCAAGGCAGCAGTCGAAGGGGGCAGGACGAGCAGTGTCAGCGTCGCGGTTAGACGGCCAGCAGGCTGCGGAAGCTGTGGGATGGGAGGGTGTGATGATGGGGTGGATGGCGCAAATCGGGGTGATGGATAGGCGGCTTGTGAACGGGGGATGTAGGGGAGGGGTGTGGATGGTTGGATGGATGGGCGGATGGGGAGGGGAGACGAGAAGGGGTAAATTGACGAGGATAGACGAGGATGGACGATGATGGATGGCAGCGCGGTCTAGGTCGCTGGACGGTTGGGGTCGTTGGCCGGCGTGGTTCTTGGCCGGAAAGGGTCTATTGTCTGCAGGCGCGTGTGAGAAGAGGAGCGCGAGCATTCAGAGAGCAGCCAGATGGGGAGAGCGCGCGCGAGATGGAATAACGGGTACGTACATATCCCCGTACGCGTGCCGGGAATGAAAGGTGACGAAGTCTGCAGTATTTTCGTGTGCGTGAGGGAGAAGAGAGTGTGTGTGGAGAGGATGAGCTCTTTGCGAGGAAGGGCGTTGACAAGACAGGCCAGGCCGTTTTAGGGGGGTTGGTTCGGGTCTCGGGCACTGTGCACCGGGGAGCGGCAGTATTGTATGGTGTGCCTTGCGAGTGCTGTCTAGTTGTAGCTTCTGTGAAAACGTTGGGACGAAGAGAGAAGAGAACGAAGGAGGAAGCTGTATTGCGGGAGTATCTTACGCGGACTGGGGCAGCAGAAGGCGCATCAGGCAGCAGGAACGAACGCCTTGCTTGTCGCGCTTTTTTTTTTTTTTGCTTTTTTTCTTCTTTCTTTTTCTTCCAATTATTAGCGGCAGGTACGATCGAAACGAATCAGTGCTCTGGGCTGGTGGGCCATCGCTGTGAGGGAGGAGCAGGGGCCACCAGCCAGCAAGCGGCAGAAAAAAAAAGATACGGAGTACTCCGTACGGAGTACAGATTGCGAAGAAAGAGGTCTTTTAGCGGACCCGCCAGAGAGTGACACGGCCCCTCGGGAAAGCATTAGTGTGTCCGCGGCGACCGCGACTGGTTTCCGCTAGGCTGTAAAGGCCATACATGGTAAAGATCGTGACAGCTGCAGCCAGCCAGCAGCCAGCCGGCGAGCCTTGCTTGCTCGGAGCGGCTTCCTGTCTGGCAGGACAACAGCACCCTACTACGAGTATTTACTACGGAGTACGTCCAGGATCGTCTTGCGGACCGCCTGCAACCCGGCAGCAGCGCAGCGCAACCCGGCTGTCGATTGTCGGACACGGTCAAGTGCGCAGTGCAAAGGACCGCACATATGCACCGGCCATGTGCATGCGTTAGTGGCTATCCGGCCATCCACCACCAGCCTTCTATCGCCTCTGGTTCTGCGACCTCTGACTAATTCCGGCTCCTTCCCCTCTCTCTTGCTCTCTTCGGCACGATCGCTGACAGGTTACACGGTACGCCTTGTTCGTCAGCGGCCTCTTCCGACATCTCTCGTTCCCGTCCAAAGGCAGCCTCTCGAGACAGAGCCGCAGATAGAGAGGAGACAGCGATCATGAAACGTACAGTGACTTGCACAGAGGTGTTTTTAGTATCTTACGAGCAGAAGATGCGCCGGATTCTATCTCACTATGGATCTTACATAGTAACATAATCAATAGCAGGCAACCCTGGATGCAGTGCCTTGTGTCCCCCCAGCGAACTGCCTGCCCCTCTTTTCTCGAGAGCTGCCTGTCGGCCAGTCGGCCAGTCGGCCAACCGGACAGAGCCATTTCAGCCGGTGAAGAGCGACTATGTGCAAAGGAGGTACTTACGCCGCGTCTTGGGGGTAGACTTTTCGTTCCGTTGCTGAGAGCTGCTCGTATCTCGACCTGAGCCTGTCGTAGCCAGCCCGCTTCTGCTGTCACCCCCCACTCTGCGATCAGTCCGTCTCGGCCGTGTCGCCAGATTGCGCCGGTTTCTGCGAGAACGGTCGTCTGTGGCATTAGACGGAATGGCGTGTGTCGGCTGGCAGCTGTCGGCTGGCCGCCCGGTATTATCGATAAAGTATTAAAATAATCAAATATTAAATTCAAAATATTAAAATGCTAAAATGCCAAACGCTAGAATGCCAAAACACCAAACACTTCAGAGCATCATTTTCACATTGCCCAACCCAGCTTCACCAGCCCGTCATGCCTCCGGTTGCTCGAAGCCTTGCCGTGCTTCCCCGGCCGCAGTTGGCCGCTGCCAGGCGTCTAATTACCACAACTTCCTTCTCGGCCGCAGCCCGGCCGGCACAGCCAGCAAGTCCGCAACAGCAGCAGCCGCAACAGCAATGCCGACATCGCCATCCCATTGTCAGCTTCGGCCTTTTGCAGCACGTCCCGGCCGCTGCTCACGCCCCCACGCGTCTCCGGCGCCGTGCCTACCACTCTCTCGACCGCCCGGAAGAGCCGTCACCACAGGACCGCTTCAGCTCCGAGGAGCAGGCCATTCTGTCGGCTGCCTATTGCCATGTTCCCGAGCACGGCTTCTCCGACCAGACTCTCGCCCTTGGCGCCCGTGACGCCGGCTACCCCTATATCAGCACCGCCATCCTGCCCGACGGCGTCTTCAGCCTCGTCCGCTGGCACCTCGTCAGCCAGCGTGTCGCCCTGGCTTCACGCTCGCAGGCCGTCTTCCATCAGGACGCTGCCAATTCGCCACAGTCAGGCCCTCTCTCACCGACCGACATTGCTGCTCGTGCTGAACGCATCACGTGGGAACGCCTGATGGGCAACAAGGCCGTCTTGGGCCGGTGGCAAGAAGTGTGTCCTCTCGTCTTCTTCTCACCCCCCTCAATCCTCTCTGCTGACTCGGTTATCCAGGCCCTCGCTATCATGGCACAGCCCAGCTTCGTGCCCGCTTCGCTGCGAGAGCTCGCTCGACTTGTCGACGAGATCTGGGCCCTCGCTGGCGACACCTCGGCTGACCCGTCGTGGTACTCCAAACGCGCTTCTCTCTCTGCCATCTACGCCTCCAGCGAGTTGTTCATGACCACTGACCCCGACCCAGAGTTTGCTGCCACTCGCGACTTTCTCCACCGCCGTTTTCAAGAAGCTCATGATGTCGGTGGCTACCTCAATGCCGTCGGCCAGTGGGCCGGCTTTGCTGCCAGTGCCAGCGTGAATGTCCTCCGAAGCAAGGGTGTGCCCATTTGAGTCCGGCCCGCTGCCACATCTCACACACAACCACAACTACTGTATAAACCACACGCTGTATTCGAACAATCGAACGCTTCTATAGAACAGGGATATCTGCATCATGTCATCACAAACACAAAATCTCCGTCCCTGGGCTTTGCCCATGACCACGCAAAACACACATATTAGCACACTCTTCGTACAGTCTTCTCCGTCTTCTCTCTGCTTCTGTTGGCAGTACTCCGTCTGCCAGCAGTCTAAACAGAGAACAACACCTGTGTCCCCTTATTGTCATGCGTCAAGCGTCCGCTGTCTTGGATCCGTCAGCCGGATGATCTTGACGTCGGGCGCGTGTCTGGCACTGCCCTGGATCGCATTGGGCGTGATGAAGATGTACTGCCGGCCTACTGACCGGCGAGCAGCGTCCACCTACAAGATTGGTTAGCAAAAGGCAGCCGCAAAGGCAGAAGATCTCGCGCCACATACCAGCATGTTTGTGCTCACGTCGCGGTTGACATTGTCCATGAACACGTCAAACTCGTCCAGACACCGCATGCGCGACCCCATCGCCTCCCAGATCGAGAGGAGCAAGCAGATGGACGAGAAGGACTTCTCGCCGCCCGACAGCGTCTTCGTGTCGCGACCCGATACTGTCCGCCGCGTGTCGTCCGGTTCCACCTGCACCTGCAGCTTCTTGTTCTTGTGGTCCAGCAGCAGCTTGCCACGATATCCCCGTTCCGACAGCAGGTAAATGAAGCTCGTCCGCGAGTTGGCCGAGATGTAGCGCTGAAACTCCCTCCACTTCTCCAGCCGCTTGACCAGCGCATTCTTGATCGCTTGCACGTGTTCCTTGCTCACGTCGCAGATGTCTTTGATCTTCTCGTATGCCACCTTCGTCATTACCACCCGGTTGCTGGCCTCTTCGTCCGTCATGCCCACCTTGCGCCGTCGGACGTCCAGCTGCCTCACCAGCGTCTCGAGCTTCTTCTCCACGCTCGCAAACGTCTCTCCCTCTGGAATCTCCACCCGCTTCGGGCTCACCGTCGCCGCCTGCTTCGCAAAGTCCTCCACCTGCTCTGCCTGTCGGTCGCGTTTCCGACTTGCCGCCTCCTTTCGCTCCTCCAGCAGCCCGATTCGTTCGAACGCCTCGTTCTTCGCAACCAGAGCCACTCGCCGCAGGTCTCGCATCTTCTCCACCACCCGCATCGACTTCTCGATCTTGGCCCGGAAATCCTTCCGCTCTTCCTTTTCGGCCTCCAGCTTCCGCTTCAGCTTCTCCACTTCCACGCTCTGCTGGTTCTTCTTCACGTTGACGTCGCCGTACTGCCCGCCGAACTGGTCCTTCTCTTGCTTGGCAGTATTTAGCTCTTCCTGCAATGCCTGCAGCCGGCCGTCCGCACCGTCAAATCTGTCCAGCTCTTCCTCGGCCTGTCGCAGCGCCGCGCTCGCTGCGTGTTCTGCCCTCTTTAGCGTCTCCAGCCGCCGCTTCTGTGTCCCGATCTCAGCTTCGCAGCGCCGCTCCTCCTGTTGGAGCTCGTTCAGCTGCATCTTGAGAGCCTGCAGCTCCTCCCGGTTCTGTGCGAGAATGTCGGTCTGGACGGCAATCTGGCTCCCAACATCCGTCTTCATCCGTGGCCGCTGCGACAGGACAGGGATCACAGGTGTCGTGCTCACATTCCCGTTTCCGCGGCTGGTAAGACGCAGACCCTCGCCACGCTTCTTGTCGTGGAGTGTCAGACATGCGACCACGTTGCGGGGGACTGCCCCATTGAACATGACCTGCTGTGCCTTCTTGCGGTCTTCCACGAGAACCACCTGCTCGATGTAGTTGTTGATGATGAACTGGTCCCGGACTAGCACGTCGTCAAATTCCAGGATCCGGAGGATTGTGTCGAACTGCGGATCGGGCTCCTTGCCCTCTGTGTTAATAGGCCGCGAGTTGGCAATGAATACGGGGATGTTGCCCATATTCAGCCGCTTGATCAGACCGCTGAGGCGTTGCTGGTCGTCTTGGCTTGTCACGATAAACCCGTTCAGTGCGCTTCCAAACGTCTTCTCCATGATCGGTGCCCAAATTGGCTTCTGCACGCGCACCTTGGAGCCCAAAGGACCGACTGGCTTTCGCAAGAACCGTCCGTCCCGCTCGATCATAGCCACGAGCTCTGCCATCCGAGGATCGAAGGCGTCATACTGGGACAAGGAGCCACGGCTCTGCTCGAGGCTGCGGATGCGTACCTCTCTCGCTCTGACGTCCTCATTTTTGCGAAACACGTCGGTGGCCAGTTTCTGGCTCGCTACCTGCGCGGCTGCAAAGTTCTTTTGGAGCTGGGGAAGGCGCTCTTGTTCATGTACGAGATCTTGCGCAATGTCCTCCACCTTCTGCTTTGCACCATCGTGCCGAGCCTGCATCTCCCGGTGCACATTGCCATTGGCATCCTCAAGTCGCTGTTGTTCCTCCCGTATTTTGTTATCCAGATCCTTGGCACGGTCTGCGGCCGCTTTCAGGCGACTGTGAATATCCCGCTCGTCGGCGTGCAGGCCTCGCAGCTCCTTGACTGAGGCGTCATATTCTTCCGTCGCTCGCTCGACCCGTTCCTTGTAGCTGCCGTCTTCCGCCTCCAGTGTCGAGAGCGTATCTTCTGTCCGCCGAAGCTTATCGTCCTCGATCTCGAGCTTCTGTGCTGCGGCGTCTCGCACCGCCTCGGCCTCAGTGATGTTATTGCCGGCTTCCAACACCGCTTGTTCGCACATTTCCAAGATACGCTCCTGCTCCACGACCTGCGACCATGCCAGCTGGTTCGTGTAGAGACGTTTCTTGAGCCGCATGTCCTGGTTGTCCTGAATGATCTTGTGCAATTTCTGCGCTTCTTCGAAATTTTGCTTCAACCGTCTGACTTGTTCCTCCAGTTGCGGTATCCGCTCATCGTGAGCGTCGAGATACTGCTTAACCAGTTGATAGTCCTTGTCCAGTTGCTCAAGCTGCACGCCCTGGACAAAAAACTTGTACTTCAGTGACGCTGATGAGCTATTGAGAAACTGGCGTGCGTTGTCCTGGGAGAGCACGTTCAGAGGGTTGTCGACTTGGAGATAATAGTACTCTACAATATCGTCAACATCGGCGCGCTTGTTCGAGATAAGCCCACCGGTAGCAGACTTTAGCTTGAAGCTGCTGGTGCCGGTCTTGGAGAAATGCCGCTCCACGATGATGGAATCTCCGTATACGTCATGCTCATAAGCATCCTCTCCACAATTCTTGATCCGAACGGCCAAGATCCCGCGCTCCTCGCCTTCCTTGATGAAGTTTTTCAGACTCCCTCCTCGGTTCGTTGCACTTGCCTTGGCCCCCAGACAGAGTGTGATCGCTGTCAAAATTGCGCTCTTACCGCTACCGTTCTCGCCCACGATAAAGTTCAGCAGCGGACCGAGCTCGCACTCCAATCTTGTATGGCACATGAAGTTGACACAAGTGACGCGCTCGATAATGCCATTCTCAGCTCTGCGATTCTCACCACTTATATCGGCAGTGACTGTTGCGTTCTGCTGTGCACGTTGCTGAAGCCGTTGCGTGGCGACCATATCGTCCTCCTCTTCGTGGAGGAGGTGTTCGAAACCCATGTCTCGCATTAGCTCGTACTGTGAGGCTGCCTGCTGCTCCGGAGGACCGTCGTCGGGCTGAAGGGTACTTCGGTCTTGCTCAACGCTGCCGGCGTCCTCCTCTGAGTCTGCGTCATCGCTCGCGCCCGAATCACCCCCATCAGTAAGGATAGAATTCTCCTGCTCGTCTTGGGTGTTTTCATGTTGAGATTTCAGAGGCCCAGAACGTCGGCGTACAAAATCCTCATTCACATCGGAGATGCGGACTCGCTTGGAAACCTGTAGCAAAATGTGGCGTAAGTTTACTGTCCTCGGGCGTTGCAGGTGGGAGCAGGATAGCACCGGACCGGTGTAGCCTTACGGAAGAGTACTGCAATGAGGAGCTTGCCTCCGTTATCGCGACAACCTCCATGTCTTCATCGCCAACGGACGCGTCTTCCATTGTGCGCCGCGAACGCTTCCTCTGGGAAGGCCCAGCCCCATCAGAGCCTATACGGCTCGTACGGCCTGGCATTTTGACTGCATGCACCAAATTTAAACACTCAGTCGGGTATATTGTAAAAGTGGTTGCTGTGGGTAAGAACTACTAGATTCGGAGACGCGGTGATGAGGAAAACACGCGTCCGCAAAGCGCGCGGTTGTACACAGGCGCTAAGTGCTCTTGTTGCCTAAAACGGAAAACCCACTTATTATCCGCCATCAGGTTTAGAACTCGCTTATAAGATATGTTCGCTCCTCTACTTGCATATAGCTCTTGCTCTGTTCGCAGTTCGTCTTAAGTCCAGTATCCTGGCATTTTACCATAGCCAACAGCCAAGTAAGTGATGAGGACGTGAGCACGTCTGTTCGAACAATTCACTGCAGTATGGAAGACGGAGATTCTGGGGGCAACAGTGACCTCAATCCGCTTGCGCTTAAACGGATCTTACCAGAGAACTCTGCGGAATACATGCTATTTCTTGTGGGGGACGCCGATGATGAGGCTGCAGACCTTAAGCCGCTAGCCAGACTCGAAAGTCTACGCAAAACCGGGTTGCAGTTGTTAGGGAAACTCACAAGGGACTACATCTGGCAACGAGAGTCTTTCAATCTCGAGGTCGTCAGTCATAATGGTATTGACAACATCCCCGACGTCAAAAGGGCGTGCATTTGCTGACACCTGTTTAGGCCTGGTATATCTCCATGGTATAACCGATTACGGTGACTGTGTTGAAGATGAGTGGCTGATAGTATACATACTCCGTGAGCTCAGCAAGTCATTCTCGGATCTCTGGGCCCGCATATGTGATAGCGATGGCGAGTTCTTGCTTGTCGAGGCTGCTAGAACTGTCCCCAAATGGCTCAACCCTGAGATAGATGCAAACCGTGTCTGGATCCACAACGGACAGCTCAGGGTAATCCCCCTGGCTACAAAGCAAACCGACAAGTCTTATACGGCTGAAATTGAACCTTCATCGATCTCGTTGGCGGAAGCAGTGCAAGCGATTAAATCAGCTTCCGGAGGGCTGTTGCATATACCGGCTCTTGAGACAGAGGCCTTCTACCGGCTGGAAAAATACCCTGACCAGATTGCAGACTCTATCCACTGTGCACGAGTGCTCATACCCAGGAAGGTCGCCTATGTTCTACACGACCGACCCCAGGCTATTGCGCCAGCTGTTGAGGCTTTTTATATGCGAGACCCAGATATGACGAAGCGCATATTTTCGTCAGAACAAAAAACATTTGCGTTCCCACCCACAGATCTGGTCTCTGTCAGCGTCAGGTTCACCAGGATCCTTTTCGCTCAGTTGAGAGGACTGAGGTTCACTCCGCCAGAGGCTTGGTCAAAGGAATTTGCGGCACATGTCAGATCGGTTATTGAAAAGGAAGACGCTGCAGTCGGCAGTATGCCATCGACCGATGGCCGGAAAGTTCGAATAATGGCAAACCTGGGACTGAAAATCACTTGCGGGGCTGAGCTTATGGCCTTGACAGCTGAAACAAACAACAGTCGCGTTGTGCGGGAGGTTGGACTTGTTCTGGAAGACCTTGCAGAGGACGGTGACGATGCCGGTCATTTGCCGACAGATGAGGATATACGGTCGTGGAAGTATTTTGATCGCGACGATGACGAGTCATGGCTGAACATCAACTTCACAGAGTTCGAGCGCGAGCTGGATAATGTGCCAAGGAACAAAAATGACGAATCAACTTCGACTGCTGAATCTAATACAGCTGGCAATGTTCGGGCTTCAGATAGTCCTGGTTTTGGAGATGCTCACGTGCAAGCTGATCTTCAAAAGATGGTATCGCGCTTCCAGGCCTTTCTGGATGACGATGCAGCCGGCCTCGATGGCATAGACATGGACAGAATGGACGAAGATGATGATACCGACGAGGAGGACAGCGAGGCCGACAGTAGCGATGTGAGCTTCGATGAAGACACATTCTCACGTCTCATGCGAGAAATGATGGGGCTCCCCCCTGATACCGCGTCCGAGGCCACATCTTCACAAGCTCCGGTACAGAATTTAGCAGACACTCTCACAGAACGTCTGTCCACAGCATCAACCACTTCTAAGACGATACAAGGGGATGCTGGCAGCCATGGCGTAGTCTCAAAAAGTCCCGGTACCCCTGTGGATGATACAGACGACGAAGATGGCATTTCAAATCTTGCAGCACAGTTCGAAGCCGAACTAAAAGTGCACGGTGCTCTAAGACTCAATCCACCTTCAAAAGGACATCAAGCGACGGTCACAGAAGGGCCCAGTACTGGCAGTGATACAGCTAACAAGCCCGAGAGTGATGAAGAGGGAGAAGTGGACGTGGACTACAACTTGGTCAGAAATCTGTTGGAAAGCTTCAAAAGCCAGGCAGGTATGGCAGGTCCTGCTGGCAACATTTTGGGCATGATGGGGTTGACTCTCCCTCGCGACGACGACGAGGCTGAGGTTGGGAGCAGGGGTGAGGATGGGGTAAGTGGGAGCAAAGGCAGTGGTTAGAAATCCGAGTATAGGCTATTTCTATAGGACTTTAGTTTCTATATCATCTGAATGAAGTTTATAGAATTCAAACTGCCGCGAATCTAATATGGGTTTGCAAATTGGTGTAGATGGGAAACAAAGAGATGAAGCGAAAGAATAAAATAGCGGCTCGTAACCACCTGCTTCTGTAATTGATCAAGCGCCTCCTTCAGAAGGCTTTCCGCTTGTCTTTCTCAAGACTGGTCGCCGGGTTTTGATTTTAGCTTCTTCACAGGCGACATTTCCCCACTGGGCCTTCGATGTTGTGACCCGAGACTCGGGCTTTTGCCAACAGCATCCAGTTTGGCTAGAATTTCTGTCAACCTCTTTCGCGCTGCGAGTTCATGGGTTGTCTGGTCACGGCCTGGACGGTAGAAGCCTTTGACAATTTCTACCACAGCGTGGTAGCACTGATACATGAGCAGCCTTGCTGTCCTATTCTCCTGGCTTTCGACGCTCATCCACGGATCCGTACTATGCCACTGGGCTGATTCAGTCTCGGTCTCAATGCTGCTGAAGCCAGTTAAAAAGGGGTCACTAGGCTTATTGCAAAACACCGATGCAAACAAGGGGTCGCCAAACAGACAATGACTCCAGTCACGGACACCAGTAACAGCAATGTCTCCAGAAGATGGGTCATACCCGGAGCCTTCGTCTGTCCGCTTTTTTAAATATCCTGTGGTCGTATCTAGCCCGCATCTCTGAACTGTTGCCGGTGTTGAAGTTGTGTCTATTCCTCTTCGCATTGTCGATAACCGCTCCACCAGCAAATTCGTGTCATCCACAATGTCAACCACAACTAGACATGGCGTCACAACAGTATCCAGTATATGGCTCAGACGCTGGAAATGCTTTCGGATGGTGGGATATGCCAACGCAACAGCCACATCCTCACCGTCACGCAGTATACTTTCGAGAATAGAGTGAAACGCCACTGACCATGTCCCCATTCCGGCAGTTCCATCGTCCCCTCGAGCCGAATCAGAGTTGGACGATGGTGCTAGCACGGCCAGGGCAGGGCCGAATTTTCCGGATATCGGCGTGAGACGAGACAGCTGGCGGACAAGCCTTCCGACCTGGTAATCCACGGCCGTTCGTTCTTTGGGCGTCAGAGGTGTAGATAGTGTAGAAATTGGGACTCCCGGTGGCGGTACAAAGACGCTGTACGGGGTGGAAAACGTTAATCCAAAGCATTGGGGACCAGATAGTGTCGGCGATAATGAGGGTGGAGGAAAGGGAGTCGGGATAAAACTCAGGAGATCAATGTCTCGTGCGAACGAAGCAGGGCCATGATGTTTAGCACTATAGGTAGTTTGCGTATTTTCAGGACAGCGTCCTTTTTTCGACTGGCCACTTCTCGCGGAAGACTGCCCGGTCCTTGAATTTGAATCGTCTGATAAAGACAACTGGGAAGCTCCTCTCAACCAGCAAAGCACCATGGTCTCAGTCGTTGTCATCGTCTGTTCGAAGCGCAAGAGTCTTGACATTGGATGAGGTGGCATGACAACAAGCAAATTTGTAGTGTCGGAGAGGTGGACCTCATATACGCGACGTAGCCCATGGTTTGAAAGCAGAGCGATGGAGGTTATAGTTGTACTAGGTAAGGCGGACGAGCTTATGATGTCCCGTACGTCCTGCATAGAGTGCTCGGTTGGCAGCGGGGATTGCTGCATGGATGGCAACGGCATCAGTGGCAAGCGGGTCGCTTTGTGTTGAACAGAGATCTCCTGGTAGCCACAGTTTCGGGTTTGTGGCCTCGTGGGACGTTGAAGGGTGGCCAGCTCTAGCACAGTGGTGGGCACTATGTCAAGTTTCAGTGTCACAAGCTGTCTGGGTGCCTCGAAGAGTCGCGAATTGGAAGGACAAGAGGAAAAGGAAGCAGACTTCTGATGCTGGTTGTTGTGATAGAGGTTGCAAGAGTTGCAGAAACGATGACGGTGACGGTGACAGCTTATATAAAGACCGAGGGGATGCGGACAGTGACGGCAAATGTGATGGTAAGAATTCCGGGGGGCTGAGTTGCCTGGGCTCCAGTCAAGCAATATTTGTACCGGTAGCATGGTACGGTGTCCAGTCTTTACTCCGGCGTATAGGACAGAGAACCAGAATTCAAGCGAGCCTAGGAAAGGAAACGCGAGGGAGCAGCAGGAAGGCGAATAGGGGAGAGGCACATCGAAGAGCCACAATCTCGGGCCTTCTTTACTCTCCTTTCCTACCCTGCAGATCCACCAAATTGCTAGTCCAGTGGTACTTATGGCCGGTCGGTTCTTTGATTTATATAATTTCGGATTGAAAAGAATCAAAAAGCTGGAGCAATAATAAGTTATAGGTGGTGGTTTCAGCTCCATAAACAACAGAACCGTCGATATCAGGACGATGCAATATCACGCAGACCGACGAGAAGATGGGAATGCCATAACTCGATGAGAAAATTGTAGCCGAATGGGGATAGGACAGGCAGTGGCAGGCAGTGCAGTATTGCACGAAGATGAGAAAGGGAGAGGGGGTATACGCTCTCTGCTCGCTGTTCTCCATCAGTGGCCACGTCACTGGCAGCGATTGGCGACTAGGAGGTACATGCATGCGTAGCTTCAGACAAACATTGTGGATAGGTGGTAGTAGGAGAACGAATGTAGTGTGTGAGTGACAGCATGATGCTAAGACGAAGGGTAGTTGGGCTGCAGGGACTATCCCTTTTTCCCGAGTGTAAGGCAGGTCAAGGTTGTCGGTTTCAAGCTAGAGATTACATAGGAGGGGACGACAGTAATAGTAGGCAGCAGGGGCTCCGCAGAGAAAGAATCTGTGGCCGGTGGCTCTACCTCCGGAACGATGGTTCGAGCCTATTCTCCGTAGCAAGACAGCCAAAGGGAGGATTGGCAGAAGAAGCGAAAGGGGGGGTGAAGAGCCGGCCGGGCCGACAGCAAAGAACGGTTTCAGATTCCAGAACAGGGCGTGTAGAGTTTTCGTAGGACGATCACCTGCAGACAAGACCATCTGTCGGCGATCTGCTTGCGAAGTCGCTGCGATTTGAGTCGTGATTGTCTAGACGTTTATATGCTGTATGTGACAGATGAACAGGTCATCTCGTCTGGAGGGGCGCACACAGGAGACAAGCGAGCTGGACAGGCGAATTGAGCGACTAACAGTAGACAGGAGTGTGAGAGATGTCTGGATTTTGGAGCAGGCGGGAGCCCAAGGTGAGATGCACATTGCACGTTGGCAGATTGCGAGTGGACGATTGCGCGGCAGGCGACAAAGAGCTAGAGAGAGGCACAAGGGATAAGATGGTAGGGGCTGAGTCGGTTGGGTCGCTCCTGCCTTTCGGAGCCGCATCCAGCATGGCTAGGCTAGGCTTGCCAAGTCTGATATGTTGGCGTGGATGCATATGCCTGCTGGCGAATAGGGTGTTACAGGTAGCGAGAAACAAACGAAGCAGCCGGTGGAGACATCGATGGTGCCAGAGAGCTCCAGGCCTAGTGCGATTTAGAGAAGAAGACAGTTTAGAGGCCAGCAGGGCTTCCTCAGGTTCACTATATTAGGTTGGGGGTGCATTCGATGTGAAGGAGGGTGCGAGACATCTATTCCACCGGGAGCGTTTGCATAATGGAACATTATAGGCTGAAGCTCTCACGTGGTGGAGTGTATCACTTCCTTGAATCTTCCTTCCCATTACTGCTTGATTTCCTCTTCTTCTACATGCAAGTGACCTGGACGGAAGTGAGGCGTGAGGTTTGGACTTGCTTAACCCCAGCAGGGACAAGCGAGCGGGGAGACAGCTGATTGGCCAGCCTTAAGCGAGACAGTGTGGACGGCCTGCTAGCATATAATCTGATGTTTGCGAGTTTTGCGTTTCCGTAGATTCAAGCTCTAAGGAGTAGTTCTAACGAATGCCTATGCTTCCTTTTTCCTCTTCAACTACGGTGGGGGGAGATCTTCGGCCTCTTTGCCAAAGGCGTGAGCCAGTATGCTGGTTCATACCCACCTATGCCCGTACCTCGTCAAAATTAACTCAATGAAGCTTAGCTTGCTGGCGGAAACCAAGTGGACCAGAAATTCAGGGTCCAGTTAGCGTTAGCCAGCTGTGAAGCTATAGCCAGCAGCCACAATGCCTGCTTATCATATGCTGCATAGTACGGAGTATGTACGAGCAGGAAGCTCCGTCCAGTCGCACTTGGCGGTCAGTGACGGCTAGGGAGACCGCGAAAAGCCGGCTGTGAAACCGGGCTGCATGCTTTGTACGAGCGCGGACATTATCATCTCGCATTGGTCGTAACCTGGTCGCATGCAGCAGCAGCATAGACAGGCGAAAGGGAGGCGGACACAAGGGCACAGTCAGAAGTAAGAAAGACCAGGATTCCTCGCTTCCACCTGTTCTATCTGCTTGTCTCCCCGGTGTCATGCCGAGGTCTCCATGCCGCGAGCCCCATGTGAAGCAGCTGTAGGATACTTCGTACACATTGTATGGGGAAGGGCCATTGTCTGTCCCAAGTCGCCTGATTCTGTTCTGCGTCAGACAGTGGATCCTCGCATGCCAATCTGTCTCTCCTTGTGCGCGATCTGATCTTCCACGGCCCAGACCACACCGTTCGCTTGCACATCAGCGAGGCTACGTGTCACACAACGGCGCCGCCGCGTCCTTTTCGCCCTCTGCCTCTGGCTTCGTCTCCGGCGCGTCTGCTCCAACCTTTGCCGGCTGTTTGCCCTTAAGCGGCAAGTTGTAGATCTCCGAGAGGTTGTACTTTTTGAGCTCCGCCCAGTCACCGTCTACAACGCTCATTCCGAGGGTAGTCTATAGCCCGTCCATGTCAGCATTAGCGGCAACACGGCGCACGCGGATCGATACCGTACCTTGAAAATTTCCACCAAGATCACCTTGTCCGGCTTATTTAAGTCGACCTTGTGGTGCCCCTCGTCAATGAGCGATGCGATCTGGCGGATCACACCGTCTCGCTTGAGCTGGTTGTGGTGTCGGCTGGACAGGCGAATAGCAAACTGCACCAACGAGCACGGTTAGAGTTCGGCAAAAAAAAAATTTAAATTCTTTTCTCAGAAGGCAGCAGTCGACCGTACCGAGTAAGCGGGCTTCGCCTCTGCGTCCACGACCGTGTCCTTTGCCGCGTCATCTCCACCCTGGCTGGTGCACATCTTGAACCACTGCGGAAGCACATTGCGGGCGACTTCCTCGACCCCCTTTTCGTTGGACCGCCCGCTGGCCGTGATTGGTGTCAGCCGGTTGAGGTACTTGGTCGTCCTCACCACCCGGCTGTCGTCGCTTGCCGCCGCGTCCTGCTTGGCGTCGCGGCAGATCCGGTAAGCGAGCTCGACCGGCACGATCGGCGCCCGTGTTTTCGTGAACAGGAGACATTCGACATTGAGACGTACGGGCGTGAAGATGCGGCTCGGCGACGACGCATTTGACTTGAGCGACGCGATCTCCCTCTGCACCAACGACTCAATGTCCTCTTCCACCGGCTCCTCCTCGCCACCAGCAGAGCCGTCTCCCTCAGGATCAGGGCCGCTGGCCGCGGCCGACCATGCATCATCGGGCGGCTGAATGCCGTACAGCTTTTCCGCGTACTGTTCCGGGCCCGTCAGCTTCACGTCCCAACACAGCCAGGATAAGCGAGGTGGGGCAGCTGCCATGGGGGCGTTCCTGCGAGGATGTGCGTGATCTAGGCAGGCTAATCGATGACTCGTACCTCGTCAAATAGGAGCTGCAGCTCCCTTGCTGCCTTACCCTCCATGCCCCTGGCACAGGTCACCCAGACGCCCACATCGCCGGGCTCGACGTTTCCGCGCTGGATATTCAGAGGCTTGACGCGGGCCTGGTGCGGAGTCTTCCACTTGCCATCATTGCCGCTCTGTATTCGAGATCGAGGGCCGCGGGACTCGTCAGCCATAAAGCATGCACATCGACGTTGGACATGCGCGACGCACCTTTTTTCTCTTAAAATTCCGAGACGTGCCAGACGGCGGTCCTTTTCTTTTGCTGGAGTCGGCGTCCATTGTATGTGGCTGGTTCGCGGTCAATAGCTCTGTGTCTTGGCACAGGTTCACGCATATAAACCTGCGGGTGAAGTAATTGCGAGCAATATTCTACTAACACGTTCCAGGCGCGAGCTAGGATACGTCGCTGGCGAGGTCACGTGCAAGGACTAGTACTCGAACGCAATGTAGTAGGCCAACTTCCTTGCTGTCTATTCCTTTGGACTCCTGGTAACTAAACAAAATATCTCTATCATGGCTTCTCTCAATTTGAGTGGGATTGGAACTCTATGAGTCTACTCCGTCTTTGCGTTCGTCCGGGCACTGGCCTCGGCCGTCAAGATAAGAGCCCGCGGAGCATCATCTCTTGGCAGGTAGATCTCGACAAACTGCAGCCGCTTGGCAGCGATGAACTCCTCGTCGGTCAACAGGGCGTTGAGCTCGTCGACGGACTTGACCTGGATCTTGGCGGCCTGCTCGTCGGTGGCGCCGAAAGCGGTCACCAGCTCCTTGTAGTGCCACGTCTGAACGTCGTTGTACTCGGCATCCATGCCGTGGATGAAGCGTTCAATGGTGTAGCCATCGTTGCAGAGCACGAAGCTGGGGGGAAGACGTCAGCAGATGTCCTGGCAGCAGAAAGGGGGCCAGAGGAACTTACATGATGGGCTTGAGGCCGCGTCTGATCATAGTGCTGACCTCCTGGGCCGTCAGCTGGAAGGAGCCGTCGCCGACAAAGAGGATTGTGCGCCGGTCGGCAGCCTTGTCCTTCACGGCCAGAGCGGCACCCTGGCAAGCGCCAACAGACCAGCCAATGCTGCCCCAAAGAACCTCTGAGACGCGGGGCGAATGTTAGCAACGGGCGCAGAGCAAGTGCGGGCGGCAGAGGGAAGAAACTCACGGCTCAGAGCGGTGACACCAGGGGGGAATCTGGTGTCCCAGATGCCAAAGTTGGAGGTACCGGTCTCGGTAACGACCACGTCGTTCTCCTTCAGGAAATGGCTCATTCTCGGCCAGAGGTAGGCCTGGGTGATAATACCGTCCTCTCTCGGGGCAGGCTCGTTCAGGATTCTGTGGAGGATAGGCTTGACCTGCAGGCGGCTCACGTCGATGCGGTCTATGACCTTGCGTAGCACGCCGCGCATGGTGACGCCGGGATACTCAGAGTAGCGGACAACGGTGTGGGTGCTGTGGAGGTCGATGCTGTTGAGCTGGGAGGTGCGGTAGGAGAAGCCGGAGGTGTTGAAGTCGCTCTTGAGGGCGCCGATGGACAGGATCAGGTCGGACGACTCGACGCGCTCGATGACGGCGGGGTTGGAGCTGATGCCGGCATAGACGCCGCCGTAGGTGGCGTGTGATTCATTGACGGCGCCCTTGCCCATGGGGGTGACAAAGACGGGCAGTTGGGTCTTCTCGATCAGGTCGTGGACTTCCTCGAGAGCACGGTGGCGGATGGCGCAGGCGTCGACGAGGATGACGGGGTTCTGGGCCTCGTGCAGGGCATTGAGGACAATGTCAACGACAAAGTCCTCACGCTCGCGGTCATTGCGGGGATCGGTCAGGCGGATGGGCGTGCGAAGACGGTCACCCTCGACCTTCTGCTGGACCATGTCGGTGGGCAGCATGATGTAGACCGGCCGACTGCGAACCCAACACTCACGCAGAGTGTGGTCGATCTGGTCGGCAATCTCGACAGGGCGCTGCAGCTTGGCGACCTCGCACGAGACGGACGAGCTCATGTTGGCAAAGACGTCAAAGTCGCCATTGCCGAGAGTGTGGTGCAGCAGCAGGTTGCTGCGCTGTGAGATGGTGGACGGGCAGCCGACAATGTGGACGACGGGGACGTGCTCGGCAAAGGCGCCGGCGATACCGTTGAGGGCCGAGAGCTCGCCGACACCAAAGGTGGTGATGATGGCAGAGATGCCGTTGACACGGGCATAACCGTCAGCGGCATAAGCAGCGTTGAGCTCGTTCACGCTGCCGACCCACTCGAGGTTGCAGCTCGGAAGGTAGTCGAGGGCGACGAGGTTATAGTCGCCGGGCAGGCCGTGGACCGAGCGGACGCCAATCTGGTGCAGCCGAGTGAAGAGATACTCGGCCACGGTGATAGGTCTCACCAGGGACTGGGTGCGAATGTCGGGGGTTTGTGTGCCAGACATCATGTTGATTTGCTGTTGGTGGGGTTATGTCGAGCTGACAAGAAGATGGAGGGGATTATTCAGTAGCTGCGGAGCTCCCGGAACCTGCTGGGAAATACTGGTGCAGGAGGAGGAGGGGGAGGATGCGATTGCTGGATTGTGAAGATGGGAAGAAGAAGCTTGGGAGAGCTCGATCAGAAGAAGCTGGGCAGCTCTTTGCTATATATAGGAATGATGCAGGTGCGAGAATAAGAGGGAAGGAGCAGCCAGGTAGCTCAGGGGGTGTGCGTTGTTGCCCGAAGGGTCTGTAAGGATCTGCCGAGTGTCTTTTTTTTTCGTCTGCTATTTTCCTTCCATGCAGCTGGGATTGGGGGGTCGTTGGCGTGGGGTGTGTGGGCTTGTCCAGACGTCGAGATGTCGACAAGCGGGCGATGGCGGGCTGTTCTCCGTGACGTCGTCTCATGGTGGTGGTGTGAGGAGCAGTCGCCGATTGTGGTCTAGCGTCACACCACTAGGACGCCGTCTAGTCGGTGTCTGGTCGGTGCTACTTGCAAGCTTTCGAAGAGGGGCAAAGTGCGCGCAAAAAAGTTCGTGATACTATGTTGGGCATAGCGGCCAGACGCAGGAAATTCGCGCTTGCGTGCGCGATTGGCACTTCGCGACAGCCACGGTGGACTGGCCACATATCGCGGCGATTGCCCTGCTGTGCTTGCGAGGGACTTTGTCGCAGTCTCCAGTCTGGACGGGCATCAGGCGACGGATCAGTCACAACTCCACAGAAAAACATGCCGTTTGCCAGAGGAGATGTCAGTGCTTAATAGGCTGAGCGGCTGTGTGCTCTTGCCAAACCCCCCTTTTGTCCCAATTTGCTGCCCCTTTCAGTATCGGCATATCTGTTCCAGATCGCTGGGGAGATTTTTTTCCATTTTTTTCCTGTCTGGTTTCATGATCATGGCCAGACCGCATCGCCGTTCGTATCTCCCGTATTGCCATGCTGACCAAACATACTCTTACACATACGGAGACAGCTCACAGCGCACAGCGCACAGCTGTTCGCTTGGGTCCACTCAGTCGCAGCGGCCGTCCTTCCAGCCGGTCCGCCACCGTTCCTCCCACAGGTTGCAGTCGAATGCGGGCTTGCCCAGCTTCTGGTTGACCTCGTTGTGTGCCGCACACAGCCAGCGGCCGAGCTCGTCCCGCGAGGCTGTCCGCACCGGCGACCGCGCCAGGTACGTCTGGAAGTCTTCCGCACACACCCAGCACGGATAGAGCCGCGACAGGGTGCCCATGAAGCTCCGCACGTCGGCCTGCTGGCCCGTCGTTGGCTGTGTCGGATACTGTGCCGCGATTGTGTGCAGCAGCGTCCACGTCCCGCGTCCGAGTGTCTCCACGTCTGCCGGGCAGTCGGAGCCTGCTGCTGCCGTAGCTGAGGCTGAGGCTGTCGCTGCTGCTGTCGTTGCCGCCATGGCCGCTGCTGCTGCCGATCCGGCTGAGCCGCTGGCCGTCTTGATGGACGCCTTCGCCTGGCTGGCCCACGAGGCAAAGGACGTGCACGAACGGCATCTAGAGGACCCGGACGGGTTTCCTGGTCAGCCGGACTCTCGCTCTACAACCGCGACTGCCCCTTCTCAAGCTTACGGCTTTCCGTCTCTGCCCAGAACAACGCCCTTGGGCAGCCTCTTCGGAGGCTCCACTGCGGTGGTGTCTGCCATTGCTCTCTACAGTATGTCAAGGCGTGTCAAGATCCTCTCACGTCTCGAAGTTGTGTCGTGAGAGCTCGCATATCGTATATCGTGGTGCCGGGAACGACCGATGGAAAGGTGCACTAGCAGCTTTTTCGACTCGCCTCCAAGACGCTGACAAATATGACACCAGTCTCCATAATACCAAAGTATGTAAGACTACATGGTACGATGGAGGGCTCCAGCTACTAATCGTAGCCTCGACGACGTACAGCGCTAGCAACCGCCGCTAGACCTTCTGTAATTGCGCCGATTGAAATTTTGCTGCCAAAAAAAGTAGAACAACCATCACGACACTCTGATCGTGGCAAGTGGACCGATGGCCACCCCGACATCGTCCGTGCCAGCCACCCCGGTGCTGCTGCTCAAGACCAAGTCGTCGCCGACCGACGCGTATGAGGACCACTTTGCAGAGATGACGGGCGAGCATGGTGGCGGCTTCGACCCGATCTTTGTGCCGGTTCTGGAGCACCGCTTTGACGACGACGGCGTTGCACAGCTGCGCGATGTCCTGGTGCGGCGGCGCATCGCCTCGACGGGGGAGGTCGCATACGGCGGACTGATCTTTACGTCACAGCGGGCGGTCGAGGCGTTTGCACGGGTCGTTGCCGAGGGCGAGGGCGAGGGCGAGAGCGAGAGCAGAAGCGAGAAGGGCGCGTGGCCGCATCTGCAGGATGTGCCGACTTACAGCGTCGGTCCGGCTACGACACGTGCCCTCAGAGCGGTGCCGCAACAACCGCCGTTGCAGGTCGTCGGCGATCACACCGGCAACGGCGAGGACCTCGCCTACTTTATCCGCGAGCACTACGCCATCGCTCAGCCGGTCACACCGCCGCCACCGCTGCTCTTTTTGGTCGGCGAGAAACGTCGCGACGTCATTCCGCGCGTGCTGATGGACCCCACCAGCTCCAGACCCGTCCGCGTTGACGAGGTGGTGGTCTACGGCACGGGCGAGATGCCCTCGTTTGCTGCTGACCTTGACCGCGTTCTGACGGCCACACGCGACCGGCCCTGTCGCTGGGTCGTGGTTTTTTCGCCCACAGGCTGCGACAGGCTGCTGGCCGGCCTCGGTCTGCTGGACCCGGCCACCGGACGAGTACACGGCGACGGCAGTCCAGTGACTGCCCGCTCGACATACGTGGCCACCATTGGGCCGACGACACGGGCGTTTCTGCGCGACAGCTTCGGCTTCGAGCCCGACGTTTGCGCTGACGAGCCCACGCCCGCAGGCGTGTCACGCGGCATCACCCGATTCATGGCTGCGCAGACTCTAGGCCATTGAGAATGAATGAAGACAAAAAACACAATAACACAAAAGCGAGCACGCAGCATCTGCTAAGTCAGCAAACAGCAAACCCGACGGCGCCTTCCTTGTTCGTCACACCCCCCCAAAAGACAAAAGAGCCCCGCGTCTGGCTGCAAGCCGATTAGCGCATCCTTGTCTGCCCGGCTGCTCCACCGTAATAGTCAGCCAACTTTGGCACGGCTTTCTCTTGCCAACTTTCTTTGCACCTTCATCCTCGTCTGTCTGTCTCTCCCGCCAACCACACGGCTCGCACATGCCCGTAGATTGACCATGAACCACCACGGCGGCCCGACGTCGTCCGACCACCATTCACACCACGCGCATCGCTCGCCGGCCGGCTCAGGCACCGTCACGCCTACTTCTCCCTCGCCTGTCTCGCCATCCTTTCTGCCCAGCTCCTTCTACAGCGCCATTGGCGGCCTGATGCGCCGTCTCTCGTCTGAACCCGGCGGCCAGCTGCAGCCAGCTGCTTCGTCCTACCCTCCCTCATTCTCCCACAGCCGCGACATGGCCGAAGGCAGCCGCTCTCTCGATCTCTCTTCGCCTGCATCGGCCTCCCATCACAGCCCTCGTTCACCTCTGGGCGCCTACCAGCCCTACTCGCCGCCTTTTGCCCGCACTGCCTCACCCTTGCGGCCGCCTCCGCTCGAACCGCTCATTCTCTCCGGCTTTCACGACGACACTCCTCCGTCTGCCCGCCTTCTCTCGACCGCCATCGCCGAGGAGATCCGCATCATGGTGCCCGAGCGTCTGCGCATCGAGGACGAGTGGAAACTCGTCTACAGCCTCGACCAGGACGGCGCCAGCCTTGCTACCCTCTACGAGAAGTGCTCTGTTCACACTGAACATCGCAACGGCTTCGTGCTTGTCGTTCAAGATCAGGACGGTGGCGTGTGTTTCTCTCCCTCTCCCCCCCCCCCCCCGACTCCAATTATTATGGCTTCTTCCCCAGCTGACTCTCTTGCCACAGACTTTTGGCGCCTACCTGTCCGAATACCCTCATCCGGCGCCGCACTACTTTGGCACCGGCGAATGCTTTCTCTGGCGCGCCTCGTTCGTCCCCTCTCTGCCGCCGCCATCATCAATGCCCCTGCTCTACTCCGACGCCGGACAAGAGCCCCTCATCCCAGGCCTCTCCGGCCCCTCTGCATCGACCGTCCGCGCTGCCGTTCCCAGCTCTGCTGCCTCCCTCGCATCCACACCCTCGCTGGTGTCCATCTCTTCTATCGCCTCCTCAGTCACATCGGTCGCCCCTCCACACTCGCTCCGTCCAATGTCAAGCCCCTCTATCCGCTTCAGCGCTTATCCCTACAGTGGCGTTAACGAATACTTCTTGTACTGCGAGACCCACAGCCTCAGCATTGGCGGCGGCGACGGCAAGTACGGGCTCTGGCTGGACGACGGCCTGGAGAAGGGCGTCAGCTCCACCTGTCTGACCTTTGGCAACCAGCCGCTGAGTGACGAAGGCGACAAGTTTGGCGTCCTCGGCGTCGAGGTCTGGGTTATTGGATCAAGGCAGTAGAGAATAGCGGATACGCTGGATTGATTTATCCGTTTGGACTCGTTCTTTGTACCGTCGTCTATATTTTGGGCCTTGCTCAAAGCCTATCTTACGAGTGGGATATCAAGGCTGATCCCATGGTGCATATAGATCTCTTTTCTACTGTTCATTCTTTTACCATTTTGTCTTGGAAAGACAATCTGGATTGGGTTACTATGGCGTCACGACACAGGCTAAGTGGCCGGTCTTTTCTTTGAGCAGTCTCTTTAACGTTAATCAATGAGCATTCTTTCTGAACGCTACCGCTACTCTGCTCAATCGACAGTCTCCCCCCTCTCCTATTTCCTACCCTATATTGACCTCAGTCAACCGCGCTGATATGATGTGAAACAAAGCAATGCCAGAGGTCAAAAAAAAATATTGGGGGTGCATGAGCATATAAAAAACGGTCAGAAATGCAACGACAACCAAAAAATGGCAGAACATATATGCCATATAACCGGTAAGATCTCCACCACTGCGCTCCTCCCCCCTCCAGGTCCCGATCTTTTTTTACATGATAGTCCAGCCAGCCGTGACCTCGTGCATCTGTAGCATACGCGGCAGCTGGCTGACTGCGACATCGTGACCCTCTTCCGCTGTATCCATCACCAGCATTCGGTGTCCCTGAATTACCGCATGATCTCCTGGTAGATAAGCTGCTTCAGCTGCTCTTTGCTCAGGTTGTCCTTGTGCTTGTCAAAGTCGAAGAACTCCTCCGGAATGGGCGGTGCCGTCGGCTCGTCATCCGGGTCATGGTAAGGCTCCAGGTATGGGTGCTTGAGAGCTTCCTCCACTGTGATGCGCTTAACAGGGTTGAATGCAAGCAGCTTCTCCAGCAGGTCAAGCGCGAGATCCGACGTTTTGGGAAATAGCGTCCGGAACGGCACCTTCTTTTTGAAGGGCAGAGACCGGATATATTCACGCGCACGCCGCGACTTGATGCCATAGTAGTCCTCCATGGTAGGTGTGCCAAGAACGTCCAGGATCAGTGTCAGCTGATGGTGGTCTGAGGCTCCCAGTTAGCAAAAAACAAAATAAAAAACAAGGCAGCAGTATACGGAGGGAGCCACATACAATCCTTCCCAGGAAATAGGGGCTTGCCGCTCAGCATCTCGGCCAGAATGCAGCCCACGGACCAGACGTCAATGGCTTTTGTGTATTCTTTGAAGGTCAACATGATCTCCGGGGCACGGTACCACCGAGTCGCAACATATTCTGTCATGAATCCCGAGTTGTCTTCTTGCGATGCAGCCGACCGCGCCAATCCAAAATCGCAGACTTTCAGATCGCAATTGGCATTGAGAAGCAAGTTCGACGGCTTCAAATCACGGTGAAGGACGTTTGCAGAGTGCATCGCCTTCAGGGCGCGGAGAGTTTGGTAGATAAAGTACTGGCAATGGTCGTCGGACAGGTCTTGCGTGCGGATGACACGGTGCATGTCGGTTTCCATGAGTTCCTGTACTCAGAAAATCGCGCTAGTCAGAACCAATGTTTTCTCCGGCGACGGTGCCATGACGAAACGCACCTGAATCAGATACACCTCGTTGAAGGATTCGTAACTGCGTGGCTTTTGAATGTCGAGAATGGAGATGATGTTCTCGTGGTTGAAGTACCGCAAAAGCTTCATCTCACGCAAGGTCCGCAGACAGAACATGGAGTGGTCGAAGGGAGTGATCTTCTTGATGGCAACTTTTTGGCCAGACGGTTTGTGGATAGCCGAGCTATGAAAGGAAAAAAGCAAATCTGGGTCAGCTTGGGCAGGTCGGCATGGATCAAAAACGAACAATTTGAAGAAACGCACCATACGACGCCATATGCGCCTTCACCGACAACATCCTGAATGTCGTATTGCTCGCTGACGTTAAAAGAGATCTTGCGCGAACCTTGCTGGTTCGGGGCGTTGGATCGAGACATTGTAAGTCCCTTTCCTTGACGGATTTTGAAGGTGTCTTGGAAGTAAAAATTCTGTTGAAGAACAAACGAAGCTCTGCTCGGGCGGCGGAGAGGCGAGGTAGTAATAGGAGTCGTGGCACGGAGTATAGCACAAGTATGGAGTATTGGCCGGAAGAGGTAATGTACGGAGTACCCTTGGCAAATCTGATGGCTAGGGGCGTTGGCCCGGAGGTGGGGATCTAGAAGCTCTTTTCTGATCGGCCAAGCTTGTAATAATATGTCGTATTTCAAACCGAAGCCAGTTGTTGTCTGGCGGCGAGAGCCAGCCGGTATTAAGTATCGTTGAAAGTAGGGTGTGGATGCTGTGTGGGCTGTAAGCGGATCCACTCAAAACTAGAAGGCGCTCCAAGCACAGGGCCTGGGAAAGTGTCCAAGCACACACCTTTGGTCTGCCCCGTTTGGACACGAAAACACGAAACAGTGGGCAAACTTGGATAAAGTAGGTGGACCGCAACGAGAGCGGGCTTAAAGTCTAAGCTGTGTATAGCAGCTGAGGGGGGATGGACAACCGGCTGCACGTTGCGACGTGTGAGTTTTGCGCAACGCTATTTTGATTGGAGCTTCAGAATGATACTGTAAGACGAAAAGGGGCGGGGACGGTTCGGTTAGGATTGGAGGGTAGGCTGTAGGCTTCAGTTAGTATTAAGCGATATTTCACAACGCACTTTTTTTAGAGAGAAAAAAAAGACAACCGGTAAAGAACTACCGGCGACAGAAAAGAGACAGAAATATCAAGAGCAAGATGAGATGATATTGAAGACGTGAGCATTGCTCTTTGCGGAAAGTGGGGCTGGATTGGGAAGACTGGAACAAAGGGGAAGTGAATGACTGGCTCAGCTGGTGCTGTGGGTCATCAGGGGAGGACAAGGACGGCGGCGATGGGAGAAGGGAGAGAACAAAAGAGGGCCAGCAAGGGCAGCAAAAAATCCGTTTCCAATTTCCAGGGGCACTATTTTGCGGTTTCTGCGTTGTGGAGGCCGGATCCTTAGCAGGCCGGTAGAACAGATCCAGAAGAGATGGCACGGTGCGGATTAAGTGCTTTGTGTAGGATTGGCGGTATGCGAAACCGTTTGGAACAGCATGTCAGACGATGCTGTATCTTGGGTCCTGGATGTCAGGTATCGGGATCCCGTACAGGGAAGGCCGGTGGGGTGGAGGGAGGCAAGGGGGGTGAGAGAGCATGGGAAGAGAATCAAGGTGAGCAGTAGCAGCAATTGCAGCAGCTGCAACAACCGGAGCAACCGCAACAAGCGTAACTGCGACTGACAGTTACACAGCAGATACACAGGAACATGATAGTACGACTTTTTGGAAGACTGTAGACAGAGTGTTGCTGCTATTTGGTCTCGCTGTTCTGTCTTCCCCGGCTTGAGGGGAAAGTGAGGGGGGAAAGGGGGGCCTTTGCACACGATGCAAATCTGAACCAGCTGGACGGCGAGGCCGATCGCACACGGACGCACGATGATTTTCCGTGCGCATGTATTTCTTACCTGTGTCTTTAATTCGGACGAGCCGGCTTCCGTACTTCGCGTCGTCGTAAAAAATGTCGCCGTTGAGTTGTGTTGTTGGAAGAGGGGAGGCTGTCGAGAATGAGAGTGGGCCGTTTGCGACGAAGCTGCCCCGCGCTGTTGTGCTGGATGTGATATAGTGCGTCGGTAGCAGACAAGTCGGATTCTGGGCGAAAGTGTCCTGTCAACTAGCGTGCCGAAGACCGAGGGGATGCAAGACGCAGCAGAGAAAAGGCAAAAGAAGAGACCGGGAAGAGCCAAAGAGGAGCCTTTCTATGTTCGTGATATGAAGCGGACTGTAGGAACAGGAGCAGAAGCGGTCCGAGAGAGAAAGAACAACGGGGTCGGCTAGGATTAACGAGAAGGTGGGCAGAGTGAGCAGTAGCGAAACAGAAAGAGCGAAGGAGGGGCTCCTGCCCGTCACACCAGCAGGCCAATAAGTGAGCAGAACTGCAGGAAGGGTCTCACTCTGCACGCTGGTCGTGTACACAGTACACAATATTGGTAGGTCGCAATAGGGGCTCCCAATCGAGGTGCGCTGCACCTCCTGGCCGCCAGTCCAATGGCGGCCCGTGTTGAGGCGCCGGCGCGTGTGTTTCAATCACACAAAGTCCCGTTTCATGACTGCTCGGGCCACAATTAATAAAAAGAGTAAAAATAAACGGTTGCCAGCCAGCCCTTCGGCCTTTCGGATACAGCCTAGTAATCGCTGGCGGGCTGCCCATCAGAGAAGGCGCGTTTCGGGTTGGCCCACTTGGTGCTCTCTGGCCGTGCCTGCCTTTTCGGCTGCCCTGTCTCTTTCTTCCCTAGCGCTGGGCAGTAAGCACAGCACAGTCGGTCTTCCGAGAGTGAGATGCTTCAATTGCAGATCGTCTTGGGACTGGTTCTGCGCCCTGGCCGATCTCGCCACACCAGGCCTTTCATTCGCGCGTCTATGCAAATCAAGTCCTCCTTTGTGTACACAACGTGTGCTCGTCTCTCTCTTCTTTGTTTCATTTTTTTTTTTACTAAAAAGGGATGAAGGGGAAGAAATGCTGGTAAGTTGTATCGACCATAGCCTCCTGGTTTCGTCCAATTCCCCAAATGCGTCCCCATCCAACAAAACTCCTACCGCACACGTGCTCTCACTGAACGACCTATGCAGAATCCTGATTAGCGCCGTGATCGTTGTAATTCTGTTTTTCTCTTCGGGGATCACGTGCTTACCTTCTCTCTCAGATTGCCCATCCATTGCTGGAAGCTCATGCTGTGGTCTGCGCGGTCTTCTACAAGCAGCGTCTGGGCCCACAGCTTGAGGCTGGGCTCTCCGTCCTCGCGGACAAAGTACAGATGCGGCACGGTGATGCTGCCGACGCCCCGAGACTTGAAGTCCTTGCTCTTCTGTATAACAGCCCGCACACGTTCGTTAAAGTCATTGTCGAGCTCCGGCAAGGTTGCCTTGCCAACCCGCAGCTGTGTCCGGTCGGCCACGCCAAAGACGTCCACCAGCAGCTGCGGTATGGCGTCGCGCCCAATCCAGAGGAACTGCGTCTGGCCGTCGTCGATCAGGTAGAGGCCGTACGACACAAAGCGTTCTGACGACAGGTTGAGCGGTGGTGGCAGCACAATCTGGCTGGTCTCGGGGTCGGGGACGCCGGCGCTGTCGGGCATGTCGTGCAGCGAGTACAGCCGCGGGTAGATGAACTGCATCAGCAGTGGCACCGGCAGCGTCGAGAGCTGGCACAGCGCGGCCGAGCGCAGGTCCGATGGAATCTGCGACGACTTGCGCAGGCCCACGTTCTTGATCAAACCCAGAAAGAGGGCCGGCAGGCCGCGCAGATTCGACGGCGATTGCAGGCCGCCGCCCATGCTGCCGCCAGCAAGCTCCTTGCGGAAGGTTTGCAGCAGCTCTGTCAGCTTGTTCTGCAGGCTGTCCCGCGCCGAGTCCAGGCCGCCATCGAGTACGCGTTCGACCGCCTTGTGGCTGAAGTACGCCGTAATGGCGCACTGGTCGGCCGAGGCGTAGATGTCGGCTAGGCTGGTGGTCGTAGGCAGTGCCAGCGTAAGCACGCGGATGCGGCGCTCGCCGTTGCAGGTCGTGTGCAGCACCGCCGTCTGCAGGCACACCACGTTCTTCTGCAGCGTTTCGTCGATGGCCACCTCGACTACATAGCACTGGTCACGTGGAAAAGCAGGGAAGGCGCACAGATCGGAGCTGCGGTTGAAGAAGTTCCCGTAGAACGAGCTCATGCGAAGGCCGGTCGTTGCCCGCACACGCAGCACGGCTTCCAGGCCGATCTCGGACGAGAGGTAGTCGCTGAACTCGGTAGCGAACTTGATGGCATCCTCCGACCGACCGGCATTCCAGCCCGGGTAGAACCAGGTCTGGCCGCCGGTATAGCGCGGCAGGTTGCTCAGAGACGCCACGTCCTGGTACTGCGACGAAAAGAGGAACATGTCAACCGAGACCTGGTTCTTAGAACACTCGACGGCGAAGCTCTTGTAGAAGCTGTTGGCCGTCTGCAGCAGCGAGCCCTCCTTGGACGTGCCGAGAATCTTCTTGTCCTCACGCAGCTCCAGCTTGCCGGTGCCTAAGTTGGGCAGTGACGTGCTGAGGACGACCATCTTTCCGCCCAGTGGCGAGATCAACTTGTGCCCGGCACGCAGGGCCGAGCCCATGCACGAGCCGTTATTCTGGTTGTTGCCAAACATGTTGGGCAGCCGCGACAGGAAGAGCTCGATACTCTGCCGGCTGCTGGTCAACGGCACCAGCAGTTCCTGTGGCACGGGCAGGAACGGCTCGTCGAGGTCGCTAACCACGAGCATGCTCGTCTCGCCCGCGCTGCCATCGTCGTCCTCGTTCTCGGCCTCGGCCTCCTCGCCCGTCGGGGCTGGCTTGCTGTCGCGCGGAATGGCAAAGTAGTGCAGGTTGGAGTCGACAGCGATGAAGCCGAGTCGCGTGCGGCCGTCGGCGTTCGGTATCCGGTTGAGGCTGTCCAGAATGGTGCGCGCGCTCGTGGCCAGCAAGCCGGTCGACACGGCCGAGTAGCTGACGTCGAACAAAAAGAGGTACACCAGCGGCTGCGGCGGGCGGACCATGTATTCCTGAGGGGCGACGAACTCGACGACGGCGTGATTCAGCTCATGGCGCTGCCACCGGTCGACGCTCTTCTGGGCGGCCGCATCCCAGTCAAACGCCTGGGGAACGTCGTTGGTGAGGTTGCACATGTTGCAGCGCCACCGGTGACCATGGTCGACAAACGTCACAAACGGGTTGATGTACGACCGACATCTCCGGCAGCGCGAGATCACCTGGTCCTGTACCACCGGCACCGGGTCGTCCAGGTCGTGGAGGGACGCATAGGGCTGAATCACCAGCGCAAACGGAAGCTTGGACTTTTTCAGCAGCGAGTGGTTCGTCGGCACCGCGTTGATGGTCGACCGGACATATTTCGGCGCGCAGTTGGCATCCGGCGAAGGCGTCACGCTGGTCTGCAAAAGGGAGGGAGCCTGTCAGCTCTGTCTATCACACTGTTCCAATATCTCTCTCGCCGAAAGATCGGGGACAACTCACGTTGGGTGGGAGGATGATGGGTGGAGGGGGGAATTCCAGCTCAGCCACGTTAAACGGCTGGCTCAAAAGATCTGTCGGATACAACTGGTTGAGCGGTCCGGCGCGACCGGCGGCAGCCTGAGAAGACGGCTGCTGCTGCGGCTGCTGCACCTGGGGCTGGCCAGCACCGCCAAACGACATGCCAGCGACACCGGCTGTAAGTGCATCGACCCCAGGCACAGGAGGAGCCGTTCCTGGATAGTAGGGCTGCTGGTACCCGTATCCACCAGCAGCGCCCGCAGCAGCACCGACAGCCGCCTGGGGCACGCCATACTGCGCTGCCTGCACGGACTGCACCGGCTGAGCGCCGTAGGCCCCGTATGCAGGATTGTCGACCGGCTGCAGAGGAGCGCCATATTGGCCACCGGGTGGCAGCTGGCCGGCTGCGGGCACATTGGCACCGCTCCCCACGCTGAACGCATCGGCGGCATAGGCCCTCTTCTTCTTCTTGTGGTCAGAGTGGGAGGCATAGGATGCCGCCTGTTGCTGCTGCTGCGCATCCGGGAGGCCCTGCTGATCGCCATAGGGCGCCGGCTGACCGCCTGGCTGGCCGTAGGGAGCAGACATGTCGGGAGGCGCAAGGCGGGAGATGCGTGAGCCGCTGATTCAATGAAGGTGTGGGACGGTGAATGAGAGCAGAGAAGTGTCGCAAGGGCGCGAGACTGCACGGCTGGCCAGAGGTCGAGACGGTCGACCGGGTTGAGAGAGGGGAAAGTTGAGCAAGAATCCGGAAACGAGAAAGCTGGCCTTCTGCAAAATAGCGCCGATAGCTCCGCTCTAAAAGCGCAGGCGGCGGCTCAGATGGCTGGCACCAGGAGGACACGATGGGGGCAGGAGTGTCGCTAGAGGACAGGTGGACGACAAGGGAAAGAGACGGCGGTGCAGCAGTTCTGGGGGATGATTGGCATCATTGCATGTTCGCCAGCTGGCTGGAACGATAGCACTCTGTCCCACGGTGTGACCTGTCCTCTAGGATGGCCCGTGCGCATCGTCTTCTCACCATTTGGTGCCCCGCTCAGTGCTACTTTTCACGTGTTCATTCTGCCCTGTGGCTGGATGGTGTGGCTTGCTACGCTTGACAATTGCATATCCTCGAGCTTGCTGCGCTAGGTACCAATACGGGCCCTCGCTTTCTGGACCCCCACTCCGTACGAGGTTCTCGAAAACAGACACTCGTACTGTGTACTCTTACATCAAAGGAAAGGCAAGGAGTTCCCTGTGCGGGAGTCCCCTCTCCCGTCGCAACGCCCGGCGAAACGCGTGGCAAGACAATCAGGCCTCTCTTTAGTGAGCTTTTAGTGAGCTTTTAGTGAGCTTTTAGTGTGGCGGTTCAGCTGGGCAGCGCACACGCCTGTAATGTTCCGTACTTTTGCTGCATCTGGGCTGCTTTTGGCGCCTTGAATTCCAACCGTCACAAATCTTACGCGCCCTCAGCCCTTTCTCTCTTCCGCTTGTCTTTCCTCACTCTTCCATCTCCTTATTCTGATCCACGGCGTGAAAGGCTCTCCTTACACCACCCATCGGCCCACGATCTCGCTCACTCCCATCGTGTGCGTTCATCGACCAACCCTACTCGCCCCATCTGTAGACAAGATGGCGTGGAAGGCTGAAAAGCCCGACGGCTGGACCCTGTTCGGGTATGTTTTGCACTAGCAGGTCCCCTCCCCATCCCGACAGCTGCTGATACTTTGTCGCCGGTTCACAGCCATCTGTTGCCGCTGATCGTCCTGTTCCTCGTCATCGGCGGATTCAGCTTTGTAGGCTACCAGATCTACCTTAGCGTAAAAAACATCCGGACGCAGGCAACCAAGAACATCGGCAACAAGAACATCACGTTCACCAAAGACGGCATGCGCGTGGGCGTCAAGCACCTTGATTCGGAGCACTACGTCGATGTGACGCAGCGCGTATTCGTCGACGCGTGGAACAAGCACGGAGAGGGGCGGCAGAGGTAGGCCTGCAGCTTTTTACAGTCGCTGTATCTGAATGCTCTCTAATCCGCAAACTATAGAGCCGCAAGGCTGTCGAAATAAAGTCCAGCAGAAGCGATAGCGAACAGCGACATTGGCGGAGACTGCGCGAACAGGGAACAGCAGGGGCAGGGAACAGGGACAGGGAACAAGGAACAAGGAACAAGGAACAAGGAGCAAAGAGCAGGGAGCAGCGGGCAGGTAGCAACGAACAGGGACGATGCGCAACCTTATCTCTGCTCGTGAGGTATCTATGTAGCAATGGATGCAGGCATTTGAAGCTGTTTATCACGTACGACAGGCGATTTGGCAATTGTTCCTTTTCTGAGGTGCATTATGGAGTACTATTATTACATTACGACCGTGTCTATCATCGAAAACCCCACAGGCTTTATGCATTGCCGTGGGCGTGCAGTTTTCCCCAGTTGTTTGCGGGACATCGGACGTGCATCAAATTCCCTGCTATCCACTAGCTAGACGGACTTGAGCCGCTAGCCTTGATCAGCAACTTGACCTGTCCAACATCATCGATCTGTCGGGGATGCGGCTGCGCGCTGTTGTGCCCTAAATCGGTCTCGCTGGATGAGCATGGAGGGGACTCTAAGCTGGAGCTGCCGGGTTGTCAGCACGACGCCGGGGAAAGATAAGAGGCTTGCAGCATTACTACTCCATACCTTTGCCAGGCTTCCAGCGTACCGCACGCCGAGATCGCCCGCAATGTATCGCAGGCGGCCGACAGCCCAAACGCGCTGGGCGTCAGTAGCGTAGTCCTGGCTGTTGACGTTGGCCAGCGGCCAAGCCAAGAAGTAGCCAGCCAGGCCCTTCATCTCGGACTCGACGCCGCAGACGAAGCTGGGTGGATGCGGCTCGTCTGCCCCGGCCATCCTCCGCTTCTGTTGCTGCTGTCGGTAGTGCGTCTCGACAATGTCGCGATGCCGCAGGTGCCAGCCAAGATAGAACGGCACGGTAGCAATGATGTCGGAAATGATGTTGGAGCAGGTGCGGGTAGCGGCCGCGTACTCGGGCGTCGTGCGGTAGTCGGCAGGTGCGCGATCCCAGGCAGCGCAACGGACGATGACGGCGGCCAGAGAAAGGCGCGTGCAGCGCATCATGTTCCACACACTGGCAATGAACATGTCGGCGTAGACGTCGATGCGGCGGTCTCCTTCCCAAGCCACCGTCTGCGGCTGCCAGGCCGTTGGGAGGCGCTCGCCCCAGGCCACACATGCACGGTCGAGCGTGACGGCCTGTTGCGCGATACCGCGCAGGCGGGCAATGGTTTCGGACGTCCGCACGGCCATCGATAGCTGCTGGCTGGCTGCTACCCGCAGCTCGGCTGTCTGGATGCTAAGGCGTTGGCAAGCTGCCGCCGCCACCTCGCCGACGGCTCCACGGATCCACCACTCGGCCCCCATTGCTATCGGCTTGTCGGATGTTGCGCTGTGCATGATCTGATGTGCAGGTCAGTCAGTCGGGTTGAGGAAAACTGGGACTGGAGGCGAGCCCTACCATCTGTGTCCGGACGGCAATGAACAGAGAGAGATCTGTCCTGGTCTTTGGCTGGTTTCGGCCGCGACTTCGGACGAGCTCGATAGCACCTTGGACGTGCGAGCCCCAGGCAGACATACCCGACTGCTTGGCCGTGATGATCTGTAGATGACGGTCAAATCAGTGACTGGTCGGAATGGAAGCATAATCTTGGCAATTGCTTCACACACCTCAAAGAGACTCAGCAGCAGCACGGCTGCCAAAGTCGTGTCATCACACGCCTGGTCGGGGTTTCTGAGTGCCACGTGAGTTGTGGCCAGCGCCCGCGTGTACGCGGCCAGTGCCTCACCGCTGAAGTTGAAACCGTTCGACATCACCCGCGTCTCCATGGACGCCAGCGCACAGGCACTGAAGGCGTGTGTCAGCGGATTCGCCGTGGCCATTGAGGGCTCGACTGAACGCATCAGAGGGATCAAAAAGTCCATGTAGCCCCGGCCGGTGCCCTGGGATGGTACGAGCACGAAGTTGGAAAGAAAATGGCAAGTAGCCAGCTGTTGGGGCGGTGTCTGGAGGGCTGGTACAATAGCGATAACATCTGTGCTACAGCTGCTGCTGGTGCTGCTGCTACTGCTACTGCTGTCGTTGCGGCTGCGGCTGCCTCGACGGCCCAGAGGCCCGGACAGCTGTACGGCGACAGCGGTGTCAGGCACGGACTGGCCATGCTGCCGTTTGCGAGCTCTCGTCCGCACTCGCTTTTCTGCTGCCGTAACCTCGGTCTCATTTCGAAATATGAGGTCTATAACGCTTCTATATCCGGGACACAACCGGCCCAACTGCGTGCACTGACCACATGACGGCTTGCTTTCATCACACTAGCCAGGCAGTCAGCTTCGTGCTGCCGAAAAAGGGGGAGAGTGAGACAGTGAGAGGGTAAGAGAGTGTGCTGAAGCGAAAGGACAGAGGGCAGCCGACCTTGATCCGCCGACTCCTGCACATTTGGCAGCCCATCGACGGCCTTCCTGTGAAGACCATCTCGAGTTAGTCTGTCTTGGCGAGTCTCCGACGCCTGGCAAGGCTGGTCTAATGGACGGTTGGGACAGAAAATGAAAGGCAGGTGGCCAGCAAGAAACTCGATCACGTTGCAGTGTCCAGGATGACCGGTGCCATGAACAGTCTGGACCTGGGGAGTGCTCCGCTTAATACCTAGTAGCTCGTACGAGGGCATCCACACAGGGTCAAAGCAAAGCCTCACTTGGGCAGTCATGCTGAAACGCCACCGGACGGCGCTGCCGCATTGTCCTGGGTATCGTGCTCAGGCAGAACCTGAACCTAAATATCCTGTTACTATGTACTCCAAATTTGAAGCTGCAGTGGCTCTAGCGACCGTCCCGGTCGCTCCTTCCTGCATCACCGAAGCCGATTATGCAATTGCCTCCTGCCGCGAGGCTGATCATGTAAGATAGTGACTGTGACAAATCCCGACCGATCATCTGCTTTGCAATCCCACATCTATCATAGTTTTTTGTCCTATAGCCACACCGCATCCTCTGGTCTCCTCCCCTAGATGGTACAACACACCACAGACACACGCCGACGCGCACGAGGGCCGTCTGTCCCGCCTCTCCCACACTCTTCCGCCCCAAACTCCTTTTTCGGCATGTAAACCTCCTCTTTGTCAGCGAAACTCAGGCTCCAGACACAGCCTCACCCACACTCGCGAGAGACGTTTGTACAAGCAGCCACGCACGGAACCCAGCCCAAGACCTCCGGGGGAATCAAGTACAGCAGGAATACAAAACACGCAACAAAGAAACCGACAACCCTCGCCAGCGTCTCGTCTCCCTTGTCCGCAATCTTCGCCAGTCTCCCCGAAATCCTCTAATCCGCCAGATTAAACAGTCCTGCAACACCCTCGAGGTCGGGGCTGCCCCGCCCGCCTCCCTCCATCATGCGCGAGCCGACGTTCTCCTCTCCTACTGTCGTCGTCGTCGGCGCCGTCATGAACTGCTGCGCCATCTGGCTTCGCTGACTGGGCTTCTTGGTCCCTCGCCCGCCATCGCGCTTCAGGCCGGCCGTCTTGCTCAGCTTGCCCATCTCGGCCACACTGACGCCCTTCAGATCCTTGAGCAGGTCTAGTACGAGCGCCCTCTGTTGCCGGCTGTGCATGCCGGACCGGCACACCTGCTCGACCGTGAAAACAACATCTTCTGGCTTGATGTCTGGCAGCGACAGCAGCACCTGTCTGGGCGTCGTCGTCAACGGGCAGTAGTGGCAGAGGATGGACGCGATGAGTGAGCCCAGCTCTCGGTGCTGGTCCACAAAATATGGCTCATGCAGCGACAGGATGCAGCTCTTGAGCACCTCCAAGGACAGGTACTCGCGCACTGCCGTCGAGGTCTCCGCTGGCACCGGAAACGAGTCCGGTGTCCGCGAAGTGGCTCCGTCCTGCTGCTCGTCATCCGCATTCGCCGCCGTCGGTGCTGCTGGTGGCGCCGGTGGCAGCGCCTCTGCCGAGTCCACGCCGACAAACTCTGCAATGATAGTCCGCAGAACTCGAAGGACGATGCTACAGCAGCGGCCGTCGTGAATTCGAATCACGTTGTTGCAAAATACCAGCAGGGGCTCAACGATGCCTGTTTGCATGAGACAAAAACGCCGCAGGGTTGGAAACCGTTTCGTTGTCGCCTGCGTGCTCTCTGGAAGCAGAACTTGAAAGTGGTTAGTCAGAGTATGCAAATATCGGTCAGCGCGAGCGGCAAGACTCACTGTTGATCCTGGTCGGGTCTAGAAAGTCGGCCATCATGATCACAGCACAATAGCCAAACTGCCGGAGAATGCTCTCGGCCTTCATCTCCTCTGTGAGTGAGTCCGCGTCGGACGGCGTCTGCTGTACCTGGTCGATCCTGCCCCATTCCTGCACGAGCTTGGCCGAGGTCTGCTGGAAGCAAGACGCGATGAGAGGAGGCAGAAAAGGTTCGCGGAACTCGACAGGGCAGTTGTCGACGAGGAACCGGACGAGATTCAGCAGTCCGATGATCTGGTGCGGCGGCAGATGAAGAGCGTTGGAAAACAGAGCCCGTGACAAGGGCTCTGACAGCCCGTTGAAGCTGTAGAACTGGACACTGAACCGGCTCAGGCTGAGGAGGATCGAGTAGGCCGTCTCCCGGACATATCGCACCGTGGACCGGATCGAAGAGGCAAGGCCCTCCATGGTTCCCTTGCGGTCGAGGACGCGGGCATAAAAGTCATCCTTGCTTCCCTCGGATATGCCCGACTGCCAGAACCGGTCGGTGAGCAGCCGTCCGACGAACGGGCGCATCTCTTCGGGGAGCAGTGTCCAGCTGCTGAAATTATGGGACGCATGGGCATAATCGAGGAACTCGAGCAGCCGCAAGAGGATCAGCGGCACCGATTCTTGCCAGAGCACACAAGACGCCTGGAAAGCATCCGAGTTCTTCTCCAGCCGCTCCACCGACGCAGTCAGAAACGTCTTTGTCGATCGTAGCGGCAACAGGGCCTGGCGCGCCTCAAGGTCGGCTTGCAGGGCGAGGCCTTCTGCGTCCAGCTCGATCGCGCCCCAATCCGCAACCTGGTCGATGCGCTTGCGCGCAATGTACTCCTGCGCCTTGTCGAGGCCGACCAGCTCGCAGAAGCCGCTGTACGAAGACAGCGCCCGTTGCAGATCCGGAGCCTGCCATTGCTCCTGCACGGGCGTCAGAAAGATCTGCAGTTTTTGAATTCTTGCGCCCATGTCGATGCCTCGCGCCCGATGGATGATGAGGAAGAGAAAACTTTGGTAGGCGATCTGTCGCTTCTCGTCAAGCGTGCCCGATCGCACCAGCTCCTTCACCTTGGTCTCCAGCTGGTCGTACACGTTCAGCAGATGATCAGGCTGCTTTGTTGCCAGACGCTGGAGCTCAACCATGCTCTCCGATTGCAGATCCTTGACCGCGTCGTTGAACGCTCTGTGCTCAAGGCTCTCCAGATTTGGCCACGTGACCAAGATATGCTCTAGCACCTTGAGCATAAAGCTGCGATGCTGGTCCAAGGCCGTGATGGAAAAGGCTACCAGAAGCTGCAGAACGCGTTTGCGGATGCACGGGTCTTTAAACGTCATCTCGACCAGACGGTTGCACCACGACTCGAACTCGTCTTCAAGAGTAGCCTGTTGCTGTCGCCGCTAAAAGACAAGTGTTAGTGTCCAAGCACGAGACAGACAATATCAAGCAGCTCTCCCACCTCGGGCTGGTCTTCATCGGACGCGCCGGAAGATCTCCACCTCGTGTAGCCCTTCAAAGCCGACTCGATCACAGTAAACTGTGCATCGACCCGCAAGACAGCCATTGAGTTCTTGTTGTAGTTTTCCACTAGACGAATCAGCCCAGGCCAGGAAAATCATAGATGCCGGCGGATTTACCATTCAGAGATTGACCGCCGTCATAGAGGTGATGTAGCATGTTTTCGCCTTGGGACAGAACGTGTCGGAAAGCGTCAACGAGCTTGAGCTGCACGATCGTCTCGATCACCTGGGAACTGTACCGGCGGTAATTGCCCAGGAACGCATGGCGCTCCGGGATTGTGTCGGTATCTTCCAGGAGAAAGACGTAGGAGGCGTCCTGTGTGTCCTCGGGTAGGCTCTCGTATCGAATCAGCCGCAAGCTGCACACCTCCAGGAGGGGGCCAATCAAGGGCGTATCGGCGATCAGGGGGCCGATCGAGCGGTGGTTCAGCAGCCGGGTCCACGTCACCAACACAGGTATGGCGACGACGAGGCTTTCGCTCTGCACGACCTGGAGGAGAAGCTCGACGAACTTCTGGACGTCGACGCCCTGCGGCAGGCTGGAAAAGCGACGGTCCAGATAATTGCCTAGGCAGGATAGCATCTGTGCAGCAGACAAACGGATCAGATGAACGACCAGAGAGCAGGACGAAGGATGGCACAGGCCGTTGGCAGATGGAGACTCACCTCGGAAAACTTCTTGCTAAACTGGTACCTGTCGTCGTCGATGTCGTCGGCATCCACCTTGGCCCACTCAAAAAGCCTGCTGTACAGATCGACGTATTTGGAGTCGTACATGGGCACGACGATGGCAACAAACTCGTCCTCAGCGAAATGGCTGCGTGAGTACAGCGCGTGCAGGGCTTCGAGCGCAGCCTTCTGGACGGCGACGTTTGGCGCAGCCAAGCTCTCGCATAGACACGGCACGCACTGGCTGGCAATGATGGCCTTGGGTATGGTCCAGGGCAGCAACGAGGTGAAGACGGCCAGGGCACGGACAGCACAGCTGCGCGCCTCGGCGTTGCTCTGCACGTCGGCCTCGAGGCAGCTGCGCAGCAGATCAGACACGCGGAGCAGCCAGCCATCGTCGCCAGCCCGGACGACCGGCACACGCGAGCGATTGGGGAAGCATTCGTTGAGGACGGACGAGGGCGTGAAAATGTCGACACAAGCCTTGCTGAGTACGCTCTCGCGCAGAGCGACAACGGCATCGTCACCATTGAAGACCTCTTCCGAGAGGGTCTCAAGCACGTAGAGCACGAGCTCTTTGTGCACGTTGTCGCCCGGCCGCTGCCACAGCTGCAGGAGCAGCTCGTCCATATCCATCCACTCGGCGGCCCAGCAGCGCTTGGCCAGCTCGACCCACAGCAGGACGATCTTGTTGCGCAGGAACGGGGCGTCGTTGCGCGAGACGTTCTGGGCCAGCTCTAGGACCCAGCCGCGGATCCACGAGGTCTGCTCGGGTGAGAAGTAGGCCCATTTGTGCTTGATGGCGTGCTCGAGCATGGACAGACCAAAGTGACGAACCACCGGCGAGCTGGACTGGTTGGAGGCCAGGGCGAAGCCGACCGAGGGACCTTGGGTGGTATCCTTGACGACCTCGAGATACTTCTGGGCCTCCTGTCGAGTCTGGTTGGACGAGTGGGGGTTGTAGATGAGCTCGAGCGCACCGCTGATCTTGGGAAGCACCACGTCCTGCGGCTCGTTTTCCACAGCCGAAGCGGCGACGTCGCCAAGGCCGCCGTGAGCCGACCCGTTGCCAAAGTGGTTTGCCATCGCGTTTGTGAGCGTCAACGTCCGGCTCGAGACGCCTTGACTGCTAATGCTGCCTCAGCTGATGGTGCTGCTGGTGCTGGCGTCGCTCGTCTTCTTCGGACCGAATGGGCGGAGGCCGGTGTCGAGATGCGCAGACGGCAGAGAAGTGGTCGCTCGAAAGGGACTGATGTCGGAATTGGCTAGTGGCAGCTCGATGTCGGCGCGGGAAGAAGCTGTGGCAAGAGTCGAGCGAGGGAGGCCGGCGGACTAAAGGATACAAGCACGACCGAAAGAGCGAGAGAGAGAGGCAGTGGACAAGCAAAGAGAAAAGTGAGGCAGCTGTGAGGTGTAACAGGTAGCAAGAGAAGGAAGAAAGAAGAAAGAAGAAGTGGGGGGAGGTCAGGCAAAAGAGATTGAACTGCGCAGCTGACGGGGAAATGAGAAGGAGACGAGAGGCGAGCCAGCCTTTCTCTGCTGTTGCTCGCTCGCTCGCAATCGTGCTCGCAGATCGGAGACGGAAGGTCGATGCTGCTGGCCGCGGCAGGCAGCCACGGGGCAATCAGAAAACAGGAGAGGCCACGCCCGATGAGAGCCAGGAGGCGGCACGGCGCTGGGACAGAGATCCGGACGGCGAAGCGAGGTGAGGCGGAGAAGAAAATAAACTCTCACACAGGTTTTTGGGGGGGAAGGATGTCCACCGAAATTCACAGCGCAGGCAAAGGGTGATGCGGTGCTGAGACACGCCTATTGGCGGGCTGACCGCCCCTGAGCTGCCACTTAGACACGCCCCAAGGCGCGGCACCGCTGCACAGCTGACCCTCTTCACCGCCCTGCCCAAGCGACGCGCCCGAATACCGTGTTAGTGCCCGAACGCGCTAAGACCAGCTGTCCGCCAGCTGCGGCTTTAGTACGGACTACACCGTGATAGCGTCACATCGAATCCGTCATGGGTCACATTTGTTCTTTCGCCTGACCGATCTACTATGTACTGTAGTTCTTACAATAATCCCGTGTACTCCTCGACGCGCCGGTCTTGATCGTCTGCCCTCTATCTCGGTCGTATTCCCACCCCGTCGCATGTTCCCTTATCGTCCACCACCTGGCTTGTGGTTCATGTGTGCCTGTTGAAACTGATACATTAGACCGAGCACACCCACGTCTTCCTCCTCCACCACGCCGCTACTGCTCTCCCGTGAAGGACCCTTGGGCGGCGATGTCTGCCATGTTGACTCCTCCAGGCCAGCACCGCCCTGGAACGTCTCGCTCTGCTCTTCTTCCTGCTGCTGGAGACGCTGCTGTTGCTCACTTCCATCGTCGTCCTCTCCGTCGTCTCCCTCCATCACGGGCTCTTGAATCGTACGGCCGTCTCCGGTGTAGCCGCCACGCGTTCGCAGCCGATGCACACTGCGGCTCGCAAATGTCGATGCCGACGGCTGGTTGTGCGGGTCGAGCAAAATCGATGCCATCGGCGACGGCTGTGGCCCTCCCACCGTTGGCCCAAACCGAGGTGTCCGTAGCAAGGACTGCGACGGGCCTGAACCACCACCGCCACCGCCACCACCTGCACGCATCCGCATGCGGGAGCTCTGCATATCGGCCGCCAGCGTCGGCGAGTTCAGGCCGGGAAAGGCCGGAGGCGGATGGAACTGCGAATGATGGTGTCTTCCAACTGGAGGATGGTGTCCCGGAATGCCCGTCTTCGGGTTGATCACGTAGTTGTCGAGAAAGCCGTAGTACGAAGCTGCCATCTTGCCATGCTTCGTGGAGTAGTAGTCGTCGCGCACATCGGCGCCGGCACCCAGAGAATCTGGCTGCTTTGGGCGCTTCGAATTGCCACCACCAGCACCGCCGCCGCCGCCGCCATTCACGTCCTTGTTAAAGTCAAACACTGCAAAGGAGCAGACGTATCCCAGACCGTCGACGTGGATCGTAAACTCTCGGAAAAAGTCCACGATCTGGTCGCTGCACTTCGGCAGGCTCACAAATAGCACCAGTGGAGTGATGAGGATGCTGACAATTTCCTCCAGGAAGATCTTAATCTTATTCTGGTACAGCTCTGAGAATTCCATCTTCACGCTGTGGCTGTGCAGACGGCCCTTCCAGTGGTCCGGCTCGTAATGCGTGTATTCGATAACGTTGCGCAGCGCATATTCAGGATCAAAAACACTGTTCTCCTCCGTGATCATCCCACGAGCCGTCGCCCAGACGGTCGCGAATATGCCAACGTAGAACAGCACCGTCCGGTCGTGCGTGATCTCGAACCCCAGGAATAGCTCCGGATCGACCAGAGAGGCGATGGCCAAGACCGTCATCACCGATCCAGCAATAAATGCCACCGTTTTGGCCACCTGCTCCGTCTTCTTCTTCGGGAACTGCTCGAGATAGCGCGTCGCAAACGGATACGACATGTTCAGCCGCTCTTCAAACAGGTGGTCCAGCTCGTTGAACTCCCGGAATTTCCACTCCGCCAGCGGCGTATAGGCTCGAGCCCCCAGTGCAGATGGGTTCTTTTGGTATTCCTAAAGAAAACATCAGTGAGCGGAGATACGCAGAAAACGGGCAGTTATACACACATTGTAATAGGTCAGGAAGTATATGATGACAAGATAGCAGGCAACGAACGGAGCCAGTAGCAGATTCATGAACCCGGCGAAGAAAAATCGCGACTTCAGCTTCAGGCTGAGCTGGCTGCGGCGGCTGGCCTTGAGAAACTCCTGGTTCACCTGTCCGCGTTCGTCAAAGACAAAGTCCAGGACGGCAAACCAGAGCGTCCACTCCAGCGTGCGGGTCAGCAGCTGTGTGTTCCTCAGGAACGGCAGCGGAATGTCCAGGTTGAGTATATCCTTGTTGAACAACGCGATCAGGTAGTTCTCGCGGCGCATCAGACGATTTGCGATATCGTGAGCATCCAGCCTCTCCTTGGACTGGCTTCCGATCCACTCTCGCTGCACACGCGTCATGTTGATTGCCGTCTTGGGATTTTGGTCTCGGAGCGCCATGATCTTGACAACCACATCCTGCCACGAGACCGTCTGCATGTCGTGTTCAGGTATCTGCAGAAGATAGACGAAAAAGTCTCGCAAATTGAGCAGACGCCGCATATCAAAGATGAAAAACTGCATTGTCTTCCAAATAAAGTAGAAGGCAAAGAGCCACAGCCCAATGTTCCAAATCCAGGACATGTTCCTTGTGCACTGGGGAACCAGAATCTGATCCATCTCTGTGCTCCCGCGGATCTTTGAGTAGTCCAGGCACTGGGTCAGAAACGTCAAGAAGACGGCCACGAAGGCAACATTCCTGTTAAACATGGTCAGAAAAGCAGCCCGTCCAATGCGTGCGTCACCTCCCAAGCAACTCACACAAGATGGAGGAGCCGTTCCATAAGAATACACCGCAAGCCGCAGGCACGGTGGTAATCGTAGACGTCGCGGATAAAGTTGTCGAGATTCGTAACATTGACCCATCTCCACATAGCTATATCGTGCGGAATCCCGCCTCGTCGGCCGCCACTTGCCTTAAAGTATGACAGCAGAGCATTTCCCGGCCCGGCTGTGCTGGCCTCCGCCAATTGGCTGTCGCCCCGGACTTCGCTCGCACCAAATCTATCCGCTCCGGCAGGCTCGTCATTGTGCAGACGCTGCTGGTTCTGGGCCGCATCCCACAACACCCGGTTTCTCTTCGTCGCCGCACCGGAAACAGCCCCAGCACCTGCCTTTGCCGGGCCGGTCCCCTTTTTGGGCACGTTGGATCGAAGAGGTGCCGCCTTGAGCAGCGGTGGCAGAGGCGCCTGGCCAGGGCCATGTGCTTCCACGAGCAGCGAGCCTGGCACGTCATCGTTATCGCCGTCATCTTCTGCGCCAGGGACCGCCCACCGTGGTCGGGAATCGTTCCGCCGCGGCTGTCCATGCGACCGCATAGCTGCAGCCCCCATAATCGCTGGTCCGGCAGCGCTTGCGATCGTGGCCCGGCTGTCGCCCATGCCCAGTCCTTCTGCATGCTCGAGATCGTAGTCTTGGAACTGCTGGTTCAAGTTGTCCTCATCCAGGGCAAGCCCGGATCTCTGTTCTTCATCTAGTCTGTTTCCATCGCCCTCTTCGTCCCCCAGCTCTTCGAAGAACGGCCTATCTCCCCGGCCGGATGGGGCAAACCGAGAAAAGATGTTGGACGTCATCGCTTTTCGCGTAAGTCGCTTTCTGCGTAACCACAGTATAGGGCAGAGCTCGTCTATTCTGAAGCATCAAGGTAACGGAAACACAAGCTGTCGGTGTACCATAGCTCGTGGACGACAGTTGCCACCCAGGATGTCGACCGAGGCGATTTCAGGGTGTCGGCATGCTCGAAAGGATCGGTGAGGACCAGTGAGTCGTAGTCGGTATAAGTTTGGTCTCTGTTTCCCAGATAGTAAAAGAGCACAGTTAAATAAGTAAAGTCACGGTTGTATCGTGGTCAGATGGCCCGTGGAAGGTGTGCTGCCTTGATCTCTTGGGGGGGGCAAGTGACCTCCAGTCAGCTCTGAGTGCAGGGAGACGTGACTGGACTGGCGCCTGTAAAGGATTAGGTAAGGCTAAATTGCCCGGCCGATGACGTTTTCGCTAGTTATGTCCAGCAGAGCTAGCATTGATTCGGGCAGGCGGTGAGGGGTCAGTGGGTGTCGACAACCAATTTGACCAACAATGCATCCCATCGCGGCTCGAACGACACAGTGCTAAACGGATAAAGTGGCGAGCCCGCAACAGCTTCTCATCAGACATGCTTTTCCGATCAGCGATCATATTATGTGAAGATGACCTCAGATCCGCCTCGCTCGCTTCACTTTGAGGCCAGCTCAACCTCATCAGCTCCATCGCGAACATCGTCCTCATCGTCCACCCTCAAGGGCTTCAGCAAACCTCTAGCGAACAAAGTTACGGCGGTTCTCTCGTCTTCCTATGCCGACTCGGAATTCCGCGACTCACTCGCTTTGCTCGACGACAGGCACGTTCAGAACACCGCAGAAACGAGGCGTCGACTCCGTCTGGACATTCAGAAAGAGGTTATCGAGAGCAATGGAGAGGTCATCGCCGAGTTCGGTCGGGTTGCAGAGGTTAGCTTCCACCAGAGGATTTCGAGATTCTGTCTGACAGAAATTAGCAACTGCGTCGAATTGGCAGCACCATAGAGGCGTTGAGCACGACGTACAGCAGTATGAAAGCAGAAATAACGGCAGCACACAGTGCTACCAAACCAGTCTTGGACGAGGCCTCAGTCCTCATAGATCGCCGGCGGAATGTAGAGACACGACGACGCCTTCTTAGCGCCTTCATCGGTCATTTCGTTCTCACCGAGGATGAGGTCGCCATACTGACATTGACTGCCGAGCCTCTAGATGATCGGTTCTTTGCCGTCTTGAACAAGGCGAAAAAAATCAGCACAGATTGTGAAATCCTTCTCGGGTTTGAGGACAACCCGTCACTCGGCCCAGAGATCATGGAGCAGACTTCTAGGAACATCAATCTTGGCTTCCAGAAGCTTTATAAATGGGTCCAGAAGGAGTTTAGGCACCTCAACCTTGAGAACCCCCAAATCAGCTCGTCTATGAGCCGAGCTCTTCGAGTTCTTGCGGAGCGCCCAGCCCTGTTTCAAAGCTATCTCAATTCGTTTTCCGAAGCTCGGGAGAGCATCCTCTCTGACGCTTTCTACACGGCGCTTACCGGCAGCAACGAGAGCGGCTCGGAGATTGTGTCATCCATAAAGCCTATTGAGCTGGCCGCTCACGACCCGCTACGCTACGCTGGAGATATGCTTGCGTGGATGCACTCGGCTACCGTTAGTGAAAGAGAGGCGCTGGAAGCACTGTTTGTGGGGGACGGAGGCGGACTTGCCAGGGGCATACAAGAGGGTCGGGAAACAGAAGCCTGGCTCCTCGCATCCGAGGAAGAGAGCGCGGATGCAGGCATATTTGACCCTGTAAAGGCGCTCAACGATCTTGTCGATCGCGACCTGTCGGGCGTCACCCGAATCTTGCGTCAGCGCATGACCCAGGTCATTCAAAACAACGAAGAGACCATCCTGGCGTACAAGCTCGCCAATCTGCTCAATTTCTACCGGTTAACCTTCGGCAAGCTTCTCGGTGCCGGCGTTGGAGGCAACAACAACTTGACCGACGGCATACAGGACAAGCCCGGCCTCGTGGAAACCCTCAGCAGCCTCGAGTCTGAGGCGCTGCGCCATTTCCGGTCCCTGGTGCGCGACCATGTAGCCACGCTTCGGGGTGATTTCGGCCAAGCCCCCTCTGATCTAGCACCGCCAGACTTCCTCCAAGACGCCTTGAAGCAGCTCGTTTCCATAATGAAAACGTTCGACACGTCACTAGCTTCTCACTTAGCAGCCGAGAAGCCGACTTTGCGCCCGTTCTTGAAGAGGCATTGGACCCATTCTTGGTCGGTTGTGAGGAAATGGCTAAAAAGGCAAAGGAACCACTAGGAAGCCTTACTTTCATTCTGAATTGCTTGGCTACCGCCCGAGAGACACTGGCATTGTATGATTTCACAGCAGGCCGGCTTTACAAGCTTCAGGAAACCATTGACAGCAAAGCGCGTGCTCTTGTCGAGCACCAGTACTCCTTCCTCTGCCACCAGTCTGGGCTAGAAGACATGTTTGTTGCTTTGGGGCAGCTCAGCGCGGAAAGAAAGGAAGACCTGGAAATTGCGGTGGGCCTGGATGTTTTGCAGCCGCAAACGTTGGTTGAGATCAGCCAGTATCTGGACGACTTCTTGCCGTCAGCTCTGGTGGATGCTATTGACAATCTCAAGGCACTTCAAGACCCCAAACGGGCACGGCAGGTCACAGAGGAGGCAGCAGAGAGGTTCTGTGTCGATTTCGAGCATGTGGAAAAGATTATCGTTGCCGCAGACGAGCTCCTTTCCGAAAAAGACGAGGACAAGGATCCGGACACAGCGCTGCGGGCATTGCTTCCACGGACGAGCGTTGAGATCCGGGTGCTACTTTCATAGTATCACAGAGGCGCAATATCAGGAGTTAATATGTGATTATGCATATGAGACAAGGCAGGCCCTTTCGACCTAAGCTTGGCTGCGACAAAGAAATCTGAGAGCAGGGGAGAGCAGTCGGCTTAGTACGGAGTACTATCTTTTTAAGCGACATATATATGCATATATCCGTGAGGGCCCGCCAAAACAACAACCCATACGTCACTTGGCGCCCCGCCTGACTGGCGCTCCAACCAAAATCAAGCCCTCGTCTTCTCGTGTTGCTCTGCCTCTTTCAGCTCTGGGCCATGCCAGTCTGACACTGTCTTATCCTTCGCCCACGCTTTCGTCATCTGGCAATCCATGCGACAAGCCTGTACTGTTAGGAATGCGAAGCCACTTCTCAAAAGCCACTGACCCTGAATTCGTATGCTCCTGGCGACAGTGGTTGCAGCAAGATGCTGCATACAAGTTCATCGGCAGCCTCCAGCCTGCAGAGAATATATGAGGATGGCTACCTGAAATGCTCGACGGCTGTTTACTACGAAGGACAGGTAAGTTCCTTCTCAATACAGGATACGTTTTCATGGCTAGAATGGCCACTAAGTCGCTCCGCAGGGCAATGAGGAAGAGGCTATGCGATGCTGGAGATCGGCTGTGGAACAAATACGTCACCAGTGCTCCGAAACTGCGGCCCCAGACTTTGCAGCTCTTTCAGAATCCGAAAAGTCGCTGGTCAACAGTCTGCAGGAGCTGGAATACCAAGCACAGGAGCGTGTCGATCTCCTTGAGGCCTTGAGGCTGTCTCGTCGGGATTCCTCCATTCACCGGAACGGTTCTCCAACGGGAGCGGGAAGCACTTCTGGCACCGGCATGGGGACAGACCTTGCAGCTGGAGCTGGTTGGATAGGCGGCGGAACGATACCGGCCGTGAAGTACGGAGAACTATCGCGTCCTCTTCCAGCTGTTCCTCCACCAGCTCCTTCATCAGCTCCACCACCAATTCCTCCACGGCGGCCGGTTTCAAACTCACAGGCTGCGCCATCCAAAGAGCCTGCACCATCCCTTCCCGAGCACGGCATCCGCAAAAGTAACAGTGGCACCGCAAACGGCCTGCGCTACGACCCGAGGTCAACCCTTTCAGCGATCCGGACACAGTTCCGTCGCCGTCTCACCGAGACGATCTCACGAAGAAGACTTCCAGGTCGCCTTCTCGTGAGAAGCAGCACACACTGAGGCCGACCTTACGGACGGGAAATTCGGGCGAGGCTCGTCGCAAGAGCCATCGCTCTTCCAACTCAAAGCCATCGTCGGATCGGAAGTCAACTTCTGAGCGGATGGGTGCAAGCAAGGCCGCAACCTTGGCATGGAGTGCACTAGGATTCTCATCCGGAAGGACGGAAAGCCCGCGAACTCCTACCAGCACCGAACCACCTTCCTTGCCAAAGCTGCGGGATGACTCGCCAAGCTCCAGCACAGTTCCGATGCAATGGGACAGCAACTCTAGACGTCTCGTTCCGCAACGACCTGCGGCTGATTCAATTCCTGTATCAGCAAGCAGGGCCAGCTTAGATTCGGCCATTGCAGCAGCCATTGATGGCCGCGGTTCGGGAGAATATGCGGCTCCATATCAGCCCTCATCATTGTCCCTGAATGCTGCCGCAAGCGCTCTCAGTCGCTCCTTGCAGTCTGCTGCAGACTCGCCTCGCTCAAAACGCTCGTCGTCCAACCAACGGCCATCAGTGGCTGCCAGTAACTTACCGTCTAGCATCGAAAGAGGAGGCTCGGCCTCGAATTTGGATTACGCAAAACCGAAGTCGACGAGCCATCGGTTTGCGGGTGGGAGTAACACCCCAACCAGTCGAGTTGAATTGAGGCGAAATGCTCACTCTAGCACATCAGTTACCCATATTGTCGCATCGCCGTTGTCGGCATCCGAAAGAAACACGGCGTCTGGAGCACATGCTATCCTGCGGAAGCGCATAGCACGAGGAAAGGAGAATGCGGGCTCTAGGATCGACCCGCAGACGAATGCGACGAACCAAGTTTCTCACCTACTGGCCGACGTGCAGCTAGAGCCCTCATCCAGCGATGATTCTGACAAATTAGATGGGAGCCAAACACCTGACAAAGACGTGGAAGGAGAAGGCAGTAACCCGTGGAAGAAACGGAAACAGGCCATCCTCAAGCACCTACCTCCCGGTGTTGACGACGAAGCTGCCAAGCAGATTTTGAATGAGATAGTGGTGCAAGGGGACGTCGTCCACTGGAGCGACATCGCCGGCTTGGAACCGGCAAAGAAGGCGCTACGCGAGGCTGTCGTATACCCGTTCTTACGGCCCGATTTGTTCATGGGCCTCCGCGAGCCGGCCACAGGCATGCTTCTCTTTGGACCGCCTGGAACAGGAAAGACCATGCTGGCACGTGCTGTCGCAACTGAGTCCCGATCGACATTCTTCTCCATCTCGGCGAGCAGCCTAACCAGCAAGTACCTCGGCGAGTCGGAGAAGCTTGTGCGTGCGTTGTTTGTACTGGCTAAGACACTGGCCCCGAGCATCATATTCGTGGACGAGATTGACAGCATCCTCTCCCAACGATCTGGGTCGGGCGAGCACGAGGCGACTCGACGCATCAAGACGGAGTTCTTGATCCAATGGAGCGATCTCCAGCGGGCTGCCGCCGGACGCGAGGACAAAGACGCGGCTCGCAACGGCGATGCCAGCCGAGTTCTCGTTCTGGCCGCAACCAATCTGCCGTGGGCAATCGACGAAGCAGCCCGCAGACGGTTTGTGAGACGCCAGTACATTCCGCTTCCCGAGGCGGAAACCAGGGCTGTGCAGCTGCAGACGCTGCTTGGGCAGCAAAAGCACAACCTGGGCGATGACGACATCCACAAGCTTGTCACACTGACAGACGGTATTGGCCTCCTTTCCACTCCTCTCCCTCCCACTCGATGCTGACGATTGGATTGTTACAGGGTTCTCCGGCTCGGATATCACGGCATTAGCGAAAGATGCCGCCATGGGTCCGCTGCGGTCGCTGGGCGAAGCTCTTCTCATGATGAAGATGGATGAGATCCGGCCAATGGAGCTGTCTGATTTCATTGCCAGCCTGCAGACCATCCGGCCCAGTGTCAGTAGATCCGGACTGAAGGAATACGAAGACTGGGCTGGGGAGTTTGGGGAACGAGGAGGCTAGATTCTATGCATGCGCATACTTGTATTTGTCTTATTTGCTACGGGGAATAGAGCTTACGGCGGCCCATCACGGCGGCCTACATTGTTGGACGGGAGGTGTCTAGGGCGCAGGTTACTTTTGCAGATACGGTTTACTACAGTCTTCGATCGACATGCATGTGACATGCAGAGTAATGTACATATAAAGTGTTAACTACCCGAACAGGGGCCCTCTAGCTAGAGGGCCCCTGTTCCCGAACCACGCTTCCCGCTCGCCCGTTCTTCTATCCAAAGAACGATCCCCAAACTCTGCCAACTAACATAAGCCGCCGTCTTCGGTTCAGCTCACAGTCTGTAAACTCCGCTTCTTTTTTCAGTGTTCTCTAGGTCGAGCCAGGTTTACAGCTCCTGCTGTTCCTGCAGCTTGGCCAACTTCTTCTGCTGCTTCCGGTGCAACCGCCACGAGAGCACCTCGGCCGCCTCGGCTGCCTCCTGGGCCTCTTTGATCACCGCACGTCGCTCGTCCTTGGCGGCTCGCTGGGCCAGTGCTGCTGCCCAGCGCTCGGCCTCAGTCGGCACAGGGGGACGTTCCTCCACCGGGACCTGCGCCGGTGCGATGATGTGCTTGACCACGTGGCGCTTGTTCTTGGACGTGCGCCAGCCAGGGCAGATGGCCACGACATCACCGGTGCGGAGGCTGTCGTTGGGATCGTGAACGAGATACGATTGCGGTTTGTCAAAGTGCTGCAAGCGTCACGGTCAGCACGGCTGGTCGGAAGCAGACGGAAGTGTCAGGGCTGCCCGTCAGACTGCCCCCAAAGCGGAGCGTCACCTTTTGCACTTGCGCATTCCATTGGCGGCCGCCAACGCGAACCTTGACCGTCTTCTGCATCAGGCCCGCAGACACCACGACGCCGTGCAGTTCGCGGAACGTCCGCTGGGCGGCTGCGACAGCGTGTGTGGCCATTTCCGTATGCCTTTTTCTAGTCGAGGGTGTAATGTTCAGCAGTCGTCGTCGTCGTCGTCGTCGTCGCCAAGAGGGCCACCATCTTCATCCAAATCAGTTGAACAGGATCGACAGCCCGAAAATATCGCCATTGGATTATGTAAAGTGGGTCTGGATCTACGTAGATTATCCAATGAAAGCACGCATTCACAACAGGAAAGACTTTCGCTTTGTCCAGTATGCATACTGCCAATAAGCACACCACGACTTGTCCGAAAGAGACCAAAGTTCGGTTGAATCAGTGATGTACTATACTTCACAAACACACAAATACTATGCTTATGAATAAACTTTGCCATATCACAAAGCCTGCGGAGTACATGGTCCATTGAACTGGCATTTGACGTCTCCGTTATAACAGCGTTCGACCCCACAGATATTGTTGAATGTCCACCCAACTCTAACTGCTCTTGTTTCGGATTGTTGATCATACACTGCCAAAACTATCGTGCTGAACATTGCCCATCATTGTGGCCGAGCTGTGAACCCCTATATCGCTGTCAGAAAACGACTATATCCACAGCCCCATTGCTACGAGTAGTTGTACAGCTAGCGGATCACAATACTACTCTGACTGTAGTATTTAGACTTAGCTTTACTCCCACTGAAACCCTTTTTTTAGAGATGTGGCAGACACTAGTACATACGGAGTATAAGTAAGGGAAATAGATGGAATCGTAAATGAGATGCCCATGGAAAAGGAGTCCAATACTAGAAAGGGGGGGGGGGGGGTGAATTTTGCAAAGGCGATGTCAGATTAATCTGTAAATCGGCTCCCCAACCAAATCGTGTTTACATTGCGTGAGACATCAGGAAAAAGAATAAGGTACGGAGTACTACAAATGTACAAAATATCGAGCCCTCTAACAACCCACTTTCACAACCCACAGCGACCGGACCACTCAAGGGTCACTAAGACAAAAGGAAAAGCACAATTATACCATATGCTTAGGCAACAAATGTCCGGCGTGAGAAACGTGTAAGCCTGCCGCCAGGGCCCTTGCCACCGGCCTTTCCACCGAAGCCGCCGCCATTTCCGAATCCGCCGCCACCGAAGCCGCCAGCATTTCCGAAGCCGCCAGCATTTCCTCCATTGTTAGATTTGGCAGCGTTGGTAGCCTTGCTCGTGTTGGCAGCCTTCGTGGCACTGCTAGACTTAGTGTTGGCTTTTGCAGTGCTGCTGGACTTGGCAGCATTGTTGTTGTTGTTGTTGTTGTTGTTATTGTTGTTATTGTTGTTGTTGCTGCTGGCAGCACTTGTACTTGCAGATGCGCCAGCCTTGGTAGTAAACCCTGGGCCGGCGTCGACAGCCGACTGGGCAAGAGCAGCAGCAGCAATACCACTATATTGCAATATGGTTAGATTCTAGCATCACTTCTCGTGACTGCGGCAGTTAACTTACTTGGTTCCATCATTGGCTGCCACGTTGGTAGTACCACCATTGCCGGTGACGGTGAATTTGGTGCAGTCGTCTTGCGAGCCACGCTGGGCAACGGGCATGATGACCGGCTGGTGGTTGGCGGACGACGTCAGGGTGCAAACACGGTAGTTTCCGGCCGGCAGGCCACCAACAACAGTGGCAGACAGAAGGCCGTTGCCGTTGCCGGCATCATTGATGCCTTTGAAAAAGGCAAACTGTGTCGGGTCGGGAGGTGTCGTAGGGTTCAGGCTGTTGCCAAGATCCTGGACAGTAACGTGAACGTGGCCAACAATATTGCCGTTCTGAAGCTGCTGAGGTGCTGAGTAGTACGTGGCGTCTGCGTTGGTGAACGAACCAGCCACCAGATTCTTGGTCTGGACGGTGATGTTGAACTCCACTCCGGCCTTGATCGACTGGCTCAGCTGGGGGTTGGTAATGACGGTCGAGATCATATTCGTTTTGGCAGGGATCTGACCCATAACTGTTTATCACTTGTCAGAACGCTGTGACGCGCTGTTAAGGGTTGGTTCTATTTCTGTAACAACTAACCGATACCGTTGCAGGAGCCTGTGGTGATCTGGAGACCGTTCGTGAGGGTCTGGCCAGAGCAAAAGTTGATAAAGTTGTTCTGCGATGTCTGGGACAAAGCCTGGCCAACTTCAGCCGCGCCTATGCTGGTGGAGCCGTCCACAAAAGAACCCGACTGGATGGCATTGGCAGACAGCGAAGTGCTGTCGGAACCTCCGTTGTTTGTGTTGCTTGCTCGGACACTGTTCCGCGACCCGAGGGCGACCGAAAACAGCGTTGCCGTATAGGCCAGCTTCATAGAAACCATCTTGACTGATTGTTGTTTGCGTGTATGCTGAAGGGTGAGGAGGGGATATAGCACAAATGAGCGGCAACCTGTCCTGCAAATGGGGTAAAAGAAAGAGATAAAAAATTAAGCTGTCCTTGAAAAGAATGTAAATGAAATCAGATGCACGGTCAACGTGATCTGTTCTTCTTGACTAGCAAGCAGAATCAAGAAACAGATAAAAGAGGACAGTGGTAAAGAACGAAGGCAAAAGAAGAAAAGGGCGTCAACGACGGTCCAGGTTTCAGGACAGACGGTTATATATGAGAAAGTGACACTGGTCGAATAGTGGAAACGGAAATCAGCTCGGCCTTGAGGGCCTACTTATGTCTCTTGGCACAGACAATCCCATGGCATTACGGGCCTGATCTCCAACAGAAAAGCACCGAGCCTCCTCCTCTCCGACTCCACTTGCCAGGGGGGAGGACAAGGAGAAGTGGCCGAGGGTGGAATTCGGTACAAGCAAAATAAAATAAAAAGTAGCCTACCATGTAGGAAAAGCAGATCCCGTTGCCTCATTGAGATGTTGAAACCGGATACGAGGAGGTGCCTGTCGCAGGGCCAAAAGCCGCCCTCCTGCAGGTACCCTGCATCCGGCCTCCCGTTTCTTCTGTTCTCCACAAAGACCGGACGCGCAGGAGGTAAGGTTATGTTGGCGTCTCCACCGCGCTTAGCAGGCTCCCGACACATGATCCTCCCAAGGTTATTGCAGCCGTTCAGTCGTCGCGATGCCACCCGGCAGCTGTTGGTGCCAGACTATACGGAGTACGGCCAGCAATTATCCGATATCTGGTAAACGGTTCAAATGACGGAACTGCGTGGTAGACATTGGCTACATCCTATTAGCCGAAGCGCAATAGCCTCGTAATTGCAGTCTCCACCTGTTGCAGAAAATGTGAGCCAAGTGCATTGCCGTATATACGTCGTAGTAGCACTCCCTGCTGTCACAAGCGACTCGAACAAGTCGCATTGGAAATACCATGGATGGAAGAGGAATTTAGGGACGAGAGATTTACGAGCACGAGTACGACATAAGATCCTTCTCCAGCAAAGGCAGGTGCGCCCAACAGTCTCGAAGAAGGCACAGACCCCATCAAAGCCCCGAGGCCCTGGTATCTTACAATGGTCTGACCAATCACACTGCTTAGCTCCAGCTGGCGAAACAGAAAGTGTAGGAGACTCGCAACAAGATGACATGCGTCTACGACGTATGTGATAGCAAGCCAGCCAAAACCCCATCCTACATAACAGCCGGGGAAAATCAGCTCGGTGTCACCGTTCCTTTTCAGTGATGCCTGTTCTCAATGATGCGTTGTGAGAATAGGTAGCTGTTCGCTGTTCATCAAGTCACGATCAGCTTCAAGGAACCATCAACGACACACAGGCAACCATACGGCTGCATGGAAAGCTGTCTGTAAACATACCCGGCTGCAGCAAATGGTATAGTATGTCCTTCACTTCTGCTGTGATGTCGTGATGGTCTACTGCCATGCGATTGCAATTACCCCAGAGGAGCACACCAAAAGAAGGTATCTGGCTCAATCAAACACGGGCTCCACATAAGACAAAGCCCTTTTTCCACAGCTGGCTTCAAGGCATTGCCCTTGATACGCCGCTCTGTTGATACTGTGTACATAGCTCTCGTGCGAACCTTTTAACCGGAGAATGACCCATGTCTACAGCAGGTACCCGCAAGGAATCAACTCGACGAAACTTGAACAAAAAGACGACTGAACGAGTCTGCAATGTAAAGAATGCTACTTCATGATAGTAAATGGCACCTTTTTTGCTATCTCCAGTTTTGTTTCCTGGCAGTGTTTGGACGAATATTGTTATCCACTGCCCCCATCCATCAGCGTGGGGATGAGTTCTTCAGGCGAATGCCACGTTCTACTAAATACATATTGATGCCCCTGGTACGAAGAGGTTTGATATCACAGCCTGGCACAAATGTTCGCACGGCAATGAGACAGGCTTTCACTCCTTGTTGGTGATGAATGAAATCGGGCTAGTTTTCGTTAAGTGGACTTAATACTGCATACATATTTCGCACACAGTAGATCGTAAGCGTACTTCTGGATCCCGTCACTGCTACATGGTATCCTGTGACGACATGCGCATGGATACACATCCAGCCACCTACTCTTGGGTTTTGGGACGGATACGGCATGTATCTTACAATTGTCAGCATGAGGGTCTCGAAGCAGACCGCGAAACAATGGTCTGACTTTATCTTTTAAAGTTGACAAAACCCCACCGATAAACCTTTTAAGCTCCTTAGAATGACATATTTGTACAGCAGGGGTACGCCCACCCTCCTACTCGAGAAACCTCTTCATTACTTCATATCTTACATATGAGATTTGTGGTACTCAGCGCTTATTAGTTTACTGGAAGTAAATGCTCGTATTCAGGATAACGCTGAAACGGCGATCAAGATGGTCGCGTTGCAGCTTTCGGGGCTCCACAACGAAAGAATCACAGCGTGGTTTGCGCTTGGAAATTAGGCATAATATGGGAAAGACTGTCGGGAATAAGAATGGCGGGGACAATGCCATCCGGACTGTTTCGCAGCAGTGCGTAAATTACAGCGTACTGTACTCCCTCGTACGGAGTACGAAGTTTCTAGGATAGGAAAATTTGCTCCGTAGGAAAAAAATTCTTTCCGCTAGGATCTATAGGTGAAGTACTCCGCTAATGCTTATGCACAAGGATATGACCAAATAGAGCAAGCCGATGTGTTGATGATACGAATGATTTCAAAGCCTGCGACCTTATTATATCTAAAGCAACAATGACGACGGTATTGCAGAATTTGTGGAGATTTACAACTGTAGTACAGTGTGTCAATTCAAAAGGGCTACCGATATATTGGCGCGCTGTACTCCGTACTCCGTACTGGCTCTCGACACAAGTGGTCTAGGCCTGTTGATTATTGGTGCGATGCCGCACTCTAGTCCCGTGACTTTATTTTCATCAGTTTTCTCACCTCAACAAAATTTCCTTCCTCACTATTATACACCCCCCAACTTTTCCTTGTATCTTTTGCTTCCATTGCTTGCTTGTTATCCTTCGTCATTATCTCTATCCTAATTCGCCGTCACCGTTCCATTTTACAATTGGTGCTTTCCTTAAACTACACACAATGTCATCTACCGAGTACCGTGCTGGCAAGAGACCGCGTAAGTACTTATTGATCCCTTAAGCCATAATGCTGCTCGACACCCATTTTGGTGTTGTTGCAGATCGTCTGCAACGATCGATTGAAGTCTGCTTGATCGATTGGAATGCCATAGGTGCAGGGCCGTCTTCGTCGCAGCTCATTATATGCTGGAAAAGCTTGCGTTGCTTGTCCTTTGTTAGCAAGCTGCAAGAGCTTGCGTTGCTTGCCCTTTGTTAGCAAGCTGCATGAGCTTGTGTTTATTGTTCTTTGTTAGAAAGCTACATTGGAGCAGAGGGATACCTGGCGGGAAGTGATAAGACGATGAGATGGCCGATGAGGATTGATGTTTTTTTTTGTGAGGAACCAAGGCCCTGATGACCACCCCTCAATGACAGGAACCCAGTCTCTGCCGCCCCCAGCTCTCCCACAGCTTGTTGCAGAGCAACACCACCCTATTTCGTCTACCGACCATGACTCTAGAAGGCTCATTGTCGTTCTCGCCAACGCCAGCCTCGAGACGTACCGTGCTGCTTCTCAGAACAGTGCGGCCAATCGTCTTGGCCATCGGGACGAGAAGTATTCTCTGCTCAATAGCGACGAACACATTGGTGTCATGCGCAAGATGAACAGAGATATCAGCGATGCCCGGCCCGATATCACACACCAGGTTTGCCTTATCATAAATCCTGCTATCGCGGCTGGTGAACTCTTCTGCTAAGTCTTTACCGCGCTTGCCTCTCACAGTGTCTGCTCACATTGCTTGACTCGCCAATCAACAAAGCTGGCAAATTGCAGATCTACATTTTGACGGCAAAAGACGTCCTGATTGAGGTGTCTCCGTCTGTCCGGATACCCAGAACCTTTAAGCGGTTTGCTGGTTTGATGGTGCAGCTGCTCCACAGACTGTCCATCCGGTCTACTAACTCGCAGGAAAAGCTCCTTCGGGTTATCAAGAACCCCATCACAGACCACCTGCCGCCAAACTGCAGGAAAGTGACGTTGAGTTTTGATGCCGAGGTCATGCGTGTGCGTGACTACGTCGACAACCTCGATGACAATCAGAGCATCTGCGTTTTTATCGGAGCTATGGCCAAGGGCCCCGACAACTTCGCCGATGAGTTTGTTGACGACAAGATCTCTATCAGCAATTACAGCCTCTCGGCAAGTGTTGCGTGCAGCAAGTTCTGTCATGCCGCAGAGGATTCCTGGGGCATCATCTAGATGACCCAATGCCCCTGTTTCTTGCCGAGGTCATGGTGAAGAAATGGCACGGAAGAAATATGCATGAGAAGGGCGCAAGAGGGGAGATTGCGAAGCCAGCCAGCCAGCTGGGCACGAAACAAGAATGAGTGTACCGCTCGTGTTCTGGTCTGGTGAACTTCCGTCTCTTTTCCGACAGCTTGGTTGGTGCTGGGTCGGCAACGTGATACAACATCGCAGAAACTTGCCCAGTTAACTGGCCCTGTCTGGAACACTTGGGTCGATGTGTGCTTTGCGCTGTCTGCTGTTTTTGCAACCAAAACATGGGGCGTTCAACACCGGATCCAAGAGCCCGCTTTCGGGCGTGGCTCTTTGCATGGGACACTTCAACTTGTTCCATATTTCTTTCTGTCTTTTTCTTTTCGTGCTTGTCCTTTCGGGCTTGTCTCCGCGCACGGCTCCGTGCGTATAAGTACTGCTGGTGCTTGTCCAGCTCAAGCGAGAGACCGACAGGAAGGGTGTATGGGAGGAAATTGATAGCCCAAGGCGAGTTAGGCCTGTGTGATTGGTTGGGGTGTACTGTTGGATTACGAAGTTATAGCGACTCTTTCTCACTTCGGCTAATACGGGAGTTCGGGTGGTATTGATGTAAGATAAAAGAGAAAAACCCGTGACGGGGCAATCAAGTTCGGTCCGTTCAACGAGATAAAAAGACAAAACGCTTATATGGCTCAATGGCACACAAGCAGTGGGCCCGGACCAAGATGCAGCTTACGGAGTACAGTGCGTTATATGGTGCAACGGACATGATACTTTCCCCCTTCGAGGTGGTAGGCTTATGTGCCCTGTCCGCTCTGGCCGACATCTTTTGACATCTTGCAGATTGTCTGCATGGCCTATGCAGGTGTCCATGCCTATTGGAAGATGCGGGACGGTCTGTGTATTCTGGTGCGGCCAATTGTGCTATTGCTGACCTGGGGCAACGGTTCGCACTTCGTACGGTCCGGGCAGAGGACACATCTTACGTTGCATATTGCAACTTGTAAAAAGGAAGATCTGAGAGTTCATATTCCGTTTTTCATCGACCGGGGCTTTGTTGCCAGCCCTGGGATGCGCCACGTTGGGCGCGCATGCATCCGCGAGTTATGAAACTGATGCACGATGCATTGGCACGGGGCTTTATGGAGCTCTGTTGACTATGCAACGACGGCAAACAGATCACAGAGCTCGTCCGTTGGGCAACCTCTGTTTTGCCCAGGTTGTTGCCGTCTTACGATCCACATGCAACACGTATGTATCTTAGCTTAACTTTGTTCAATGCAACAATTCCTGGGGCTGGCGCAACAGAAAGTCGCTCGGACGCATTTTTCCTGATCGATGGATCCAACTGCCTATCGAGACCGAACGGGCACGTTGCTTGAACAATGGGGCGCACGTTCCGCCTCGGCTGGCTGCGATGTTGGAGTCGGCGTGTTTGCTACTACCCCGCAAAGGCATACAGACCTGGAGATGTGGCTGGAAAGCACAAGAGGCCTCTCTTGATAAACTGATTGTTGCCTGGTCTTTTTGCTCGCCTCGCCTTGCCTCTGGCGGCAAAAGGGTCAAAGAGGGGTGCCTCTTCATGCACCAAGCATGAAGCTCAAGGGCAAAGATACTTTGCAAGAGGGCATTGGTTGTTGGAGGGAGAGAGGGGCTCAACCTCAGTTTGATTGGATGCTGGAATGGGTTTCCCCCCTCTTGGAGCCAATTTTCTCGTCCACGCCTTCCTCTCGGCATGTTGGTAAGATATGTACAAATGTCTCATTTGCACTTTTGTATGGTTTCCGGTAGGCTAGGTTGTTCCCCACGGAAGACGGGCTATTTTTCACTTCCCTGATTTTGTTCGTCTGACTCTCTGCGTTGGTTCGAGGTTGCCTATGAGAGAGGACACGGTCCACTGGCCGACCCAGCGAACCGGAGTTCCTTCTGGTTGTTGCTTCGTGGGTGTGCGGGATGCTGCTGAAGAACGCATCAGGCGGCCGTTGCATACATACAAGTAGTAGCAAGCAGCTCGGTGGCCGTAGAAAGCACGACGCAACTTTCGGATGTGAGTGGAATAGCAGGCGCGCTTTTCTGCACTCTTGCCAAGTCTGGAATGGATACTTATCCCAGCGTACCTTCCTGGAGTAAGGCACAGGAATTTTATCATTGCTCATTTTCTCTGGCACATCTCTGCATCTCACGGCCCAACATTTGTGGCCAGCCGGACCTGAGATAAACAGGTTGCACTGCCCTCCTTCGCCCGCCCTAAACGCTTCTGCACATGGACAGCCATACAGCTGCGAGCGTGCAATTTGCCCTGACCATGTGCACGCACACTACTGCAGCCAGACAGTCCAGCACCAAAAAGGGAGAAAAAAGGGCACCACCAAGATGAAGAGCGGGTATGGCGGGTTGGACAGATAAATAATATCGCATCCCTTTCAGCGGGCGGCGGCCGGTCAGAAGTGCCTCGTTACCTAGAGAATACGACGTGCATGTTCTTTTTGGGGCGGTCTTCTCCACCCCCATGTCACGGAAAGGATCAATCGAGGCGGGTGCTCCTGGGCTGAAAGGGACATTTTGTGCCCAAAGGAGATGGTCCGAAGGCCAGAAACTCAACTACTGGTCTGCCACAGTCCGGCCGTAGCAATGCGCTGGCAGAGACCCGCCCTAGTCGTGAGAAGACTGGAATGAAGAAGGTTAAGCCGTGCTGGTCGCTGTGCGGGAGCGAACGGCTGCGAGAATCGAGTACCGAATGCTCGTAGGCGGATTGCCCATCACTTGTGCTTAACTGCTCCATCACATGCAGTCACATCGCCGCGCCACACGCACTTGTCATCACCACTTGCTGGCAACTTGCAAGCACAAACCGCTGGCGAGCCGAAAGACGAAATCCGAGGACAACAAAACGCCACAGTACCACACAGCATGAGTACCTGAGCAGCCCTGACATCTCTGGCCGGCATCCAACGCACTCGGACGGAGTATCTTCCTTTCCATCCTGACACCGCGATCCACACCACCACCTACGTCGTACTTTGGTATGTAAGAAGCACTGCCTAACCGCTGAGACCATCCTCGTCCCCTTTTGCCGCCATCCCCCCTGGTCGATCCACATCAGTCAGCAGACAAATCACAGCGCTTTTTTTACGCTCACTCCACTTCACGTCTGCTCCTCCTAATGATACCGGTCGTTGAAGTTTGCCGTCTCCCGGCCTCTTCCTTCCACGCAGCCGTCTGTCAATCTCTGGGGGATTCCTTGTTTGGCTCCTTTACCTTTCCTTCCTTCCTCCTTGCCTTGTTCTTCGTCTTCCTCATCTTCTTCCCGCTATTCACATATTCTCTTTTTTAGATCCGTCGACTCTCACGTGAACCTGACTTCCAGTCCAACCAAGTCAAAATTTAGGCTCGTCTCGTAGCAGACTGTTGCGGACCTGCCGACTCGCCCTGTCTGCCAATTCTCTTATACCATCGACGAGTTTCATTGGGCTGTTCTGAACGCCTTTCTCTGACCCCAAGCTGTCATCGGTACCCGTGACAGCCTCGACCATTCTGCTCAAGACCCTTTGACCAAGGCGAAGTGTACCCGGACGGCAAATACAATGGCCGTTGCTTACCGGCCGTCCCACAGCTATCCAACACAAACACAGTATGGTACATCATCTATGTCCCGGCGGCACCAATTCGGAGAGTCGGAGCCGCCTCGCGTGATCAGCTACGATCACAGCCCTCCAGCCGCAGAGCCGTCCCGTTCGTACTCCAGCAACCACCCCCGGTACCACGATTCGGCCGACTATTATGCCGAACCTGCTTCACACTCTTCGCCTTCCTCACGCTACCACACGGGCGGCGGTCTGCAGCGGTCCGCCACATCCGCAGCTGTATACGAGTCAGCACCACGCGAACAACCCAAAAGTGTGGCGGGCATGTTTGGCATGGCCGCAGTGGGCGCTGCAGCTGGAGCAGCGTTGACCTATTCTGTGCTGTCGGGCAGATCGCCGCGCGACCGTTCGTCCGAAGAGCCCGCAACTGCTCCGAGCTTCCAACGCCGATCCACCTTCCCGGATCCCTACCCAGCTTACGCACCCCCGCGCTTCAGCAGCCAGGAGGGCATGCGAGCGAGCTCGCGGAAGGAGAGCCGTGAAGCGGAGGATATGTACGAATACGACGAAGGCCGTAGTCGCCATTCCTCGTCGCGCCAGTACCGGTCCAGCAGCCGTCCGGCTAGCCGGTCGGTCAGCGAGGCCGCCCCAGGCCGTACGCCTCTGCTCATCGCAGAGGATGAGCCCCGGTATGGCAGCAGCGGCGGTGGCAACTATGCACCACCTCGCTACGACGTGTCTCACGCACCATCGCGCCATGATCTATCCCACACGCCGTCGCGCTACGATGCATCCCCTGCACCATCCCGCCATGATTTATCTCGCACGCCGTCTCGCCATGATCCATCGCGTGCAACATCCCACTATGACACAACCCGTGCAACTTCCCACTACGATACGCCCCGCGCGGCCTCCCACCACTACGACGCGGCCCATGCGCCGGCCCATGCGCCGGCTCATGCACCAGCTCATGCGCCACCCTTGTCGCGTCGCAGCGCCACTTTCGATGTTCCTCCCAGGGCTGATCCCAGAGCTGATTTCAGGCCGGACCCCAGGGTTGATCTCAGGGCCGATCCTAGAGTTGACCCGAGGATGGAACCGGAAAGCTACGTCTCATCCCGCAGCCATCGCACAGGCGTGACTATCCGGGGCGGTGGCAGCGCCAGCCGGCATGCAGCAAAACCCCCCAGCGCCAGCCGCGGCGCAACAGTGCGTCACTCTTCCAGCCGGTCTGGCAGCTATCGCTCGTCGCGCGATATGTCTCTGCCCCAGAGCGGTGCGGGCGGCAGCCATGCGAGGTGGGACGCCTATCCGAGCGACGAAGAGGAGGTTGACCCGATGCTTTTCGAAGACAACGACAGCGTTGCGCCGAGCGACAGCATTAGCTGTGTGGGTAGCCGGGGCCAGCGGTATTAACTGGGGTTTATGCTTGGGTTTCTAGACTTGTCTTCCTCATTTACATGAGCATTGTGTAAACTTGTTTCGGTGGGTCTCAACTCTGGTTGTTCCTGGGAGGGGGTGGCTTGTCTTGCTCTGTGGAGATTGTAGAGAGTACAGAGGACGAGAGATCGGAAGGAGAACCGGGAAATGTGCAACGGAAACGACATGAGTAATGTATCTAACATCTTTGACACAGTGCCTGTGATAGGGCAGTCTGTAAGTGACGTCGGCACCAGGCTTGAACGAAGCATAGCAGCCTGTTTTGCCATTAAATGCTGCTACACGGGAAGGTGAGGTGACGCGAGATGAAGAATGGCTCCTCTGGTGGGAATAGACGGAAAAAATTGCTGCCGATAGTCGGCCGTAACAAGAAGTCGTAAGGAATTGCGGCACGGAGATCACCGGGCTAGCTCGAAAGAAGAGCGCCCCTTCTGGAGAAGGAAAAGACAAAAAGCTCATTTCTTGATGAATGACCTGAACTACATGTTGATTGCACCTGGTAGTCTGAACATAGGCAGGAACTACCGGACGGCGGAGTTGGAGGGGTATCATTGCTCTAATTCAATTTTCTCTCTAGATTCGGCTATTCTCAACTTTTTGCAGACGAATACCGTTGTGGCTAGACCACCAATCTCCGTTTTCTGAGTCACTCGCCACAAGCAAAGCAGTTGGATATCGGAAGAAGCTGCTGGCGTTCAATCCCATATTGCCAACTCTCCCCTGCTCCCACACTCACGATGGTGACTATCGGTTTGGGCGAATCCATACCTCCTGACACGGAGCACGTGCGTTATATTCCCTTCCGGCGTGATGAGACTGTGATACTGACGCATATGGCCAGGCTGTAAGCGTGTCACTCCCCACGTGGGCGGACAATGTTGGCTACGAGGAGGGCAGGTTGGAGGTCCTGTCAAAGCTGGTCACGGGCTATCCAAGGTGGGCAGTCTCGTCGAGGGTGCAGACGTGGGAGTATGCGGACAGCTGACCGGATAACCGTTGCAGATTTTTTGTCCACAAGAGCATCCAGGCTTTTGCTGCCAGCATAGCTGAGCGGTACGGCCAGGCGGGCCAAACAGCCATGCTGTTCCCCAGCGGCGCGGCGGCGACGCGCTGTCTTGCCTTCGTCCAGAAGATAGCGACGCCTCCGTCTGTGCTGGACAACATATCTATTGTGCACCTGGGCTTGAACGTTTCCCGGCCAGACGCGTCACCATTCAGGCCGCTGGCCCCCACCATCTCAGCAGTCGTTTATAATCCAGAGGTCTTCCCGTTTGCCAAGCAGTACTGGCAGCATTCCGGTGACGGCGTCTCCAGTCGTCGTGCCGAGTATTGCCACAAGCTGTTTGGCAAAGGCCTGTTGATACGCGTGTCCGAAGACGCTGGAATTGGCAGCGGTGCACGGCAGGCCGAAAGCGGCCTTGTGCCATCGGCCCTCTCGCCGACACTGACACCAGCAAGAGCGCCGGCCGTGTCGCCGTCGACGCAGCTGCCGACTTCCGTGAAGCCGTTTCGCGGCCCCAAACGCTACCGTCGTCCGATGTCGCAGTCCGGCGATATTCTTCCCCAAGAGCGGCCGCTGACGCCGCGATCTGCAGGCCACAGCCCTGATGCTGCCGACGGCCAGGGGGTGGACGAGGACGAGACGGCGCGCTTCCTGGAAGAGCGGTTTGGGCGGAACCTTGATCTGTCATTTGTGCGGCGGGCAGGCTCGGCGATCCGGCGGCGCATCACCGGGGCCCTGACGGCGGACAACGAGGTGGACCTCGACACGCAACCGTCGACGCCGGTGGCAGCAGCAGCGGCAGACGCCAACAGCAGCAACATCCGCGGCACCGAGATCATCCGGGAGGACGACGTGTACCTCTACCCGTGCGGTATGAACGCGGTCTTCAACGCACACCAATACCTTCTGGCCAGCCGAAAGGAGAGCGCGCCGCTGCAGAGCATCAACTTTGGCTTCCCCTACGTCGACACGCTCAAGATCCTGCAGAAGTTCGGCGGCGGCTGTCTGTTCTACGGCCGCGCGTCAGAAGAGGACCTCGACGATCTGGAAGCACGGCTCAAGGGCGGAGAGCGGTTTCTGGCACTGTTCTGCGAGTTCCCAGGCAACCCGCTGCTGTCGTGTCCGAACCTGACGCGCATCCGCCGGTTGGCCGATGCCTACGACTTTGCCGTGGTGGTCGATGAGACCATCGGCACGTTTGTCAACATTAACGTGCTGCCATTTGCCGACATTGTGGTTAGCAGTCTGACCAAGATCTTCTCGGGCGACTGCAACGTCATGGGAGGCAGCCTGGTGCTCAACCAGAAGAGCCGCTACTACTCGGTGCTCAAGGCAGCCGCCACGGCGCTCTACAACCAGGACAGCTACTGGCCCGAGGACATTATCTTTATGGAGCGCAACAGCCGCGATTTCGCCGAGCGCATCGACCGGATCAACGCCAACGCCGAGGCCGTGTGCGAAGTCCTGCTGGCCAGCCCGACGGTCAAGGAGCTGCACTACCCCAAGTACGGCAAATGGCGGGAAAACTACGAGGCGTGTCGGATCGGCGGCGGCCAGAAGGGCACCGGCGACCATGAGGGCCGTGTCGGCGGTTATGGCGGTCTGCTCTCCTTTGTCTTCCACCGCAAGGAGCAGGCCGTCGTGTTCTTTGACGCTGTGGCGACGGCCAAGGGTCCTAGCCTCGGCACCAACTTCACCCTGACGTCGCCCTACGTTGTGCTGGCGCACTTCACCGAGCTGCCGTGGTGTGCGTCGCTGGGCGTCGACCCGAACCTGTTGCGTGTCAGCGTCGGTCTCGAGGACACTGCGGCTTTGCGGGGGACCTTCCAGTCGGCGCTGGATGCGGCGCAGGCTGTAGGTCAGGAGACCGCTTAGTCATGTACATATATATGATGAGTCAGCATGAATACAGGAGACGAGCATCAGACATGAGCGCTATAAACAATTGACCACAATCACTTTTCGATGTAGTTGTCATAAGGGTGCAGGAGAAAAAAACTAGAAACAAGCCATCTGGGTATGTGATCCGGCTGCTTTACATCACGACGCACGACACCGGCTTGTAGCTCTCGCCGAACAGCTCAACTCCACGTTCCATCTCGTTGGCCTGCTGCTTCTCCTTGGCCTCGCGCCGGAAGTACAGCTTCAGGAAGCGCTCCAGATCCCCGTCCAGATTGTCCAGGTCGGCCTCCATGACGACCTCGCCGCGACATAGCGGACAGAACCGCTGCTTTTCACGCTGCATCTTGATCACGCACCGCACGCAGAAGACGTGGCGGCAATGCAGCCGCACGGGCAGCCAGGCAAGGCTCAGACACACCGGACAGGTGTAGTCCTCCAGCCGTGGCACCACGGCCACAACGTCCTGTGCGATGCGCGCACACACGTCCTTGGCCATGCCCTCGACCAAGACGTTCTGATGTCGCCGCGAGAGCGCGTTCGGAAACGTCTTGGATACGCCCAGCGACGTCCACTTGTCGAATTCTGGCTGTGTTAGCGAGCCGGCCCCTTGGGTGCAGTCTTGGTGGAGGATGGACTGGACTCACTCTTCAGGATCTTGGCCTGGGCCGTCTGGTTCAGCTCGCGGAACCGCAGGTTGAGAAAGAGTCGCTTATTCAGCAGCAGGAACCGCTGGTACGCCACCAGGCTTGCTGGCAACTGGAAGCTCTGGAGCAGCCCGCGCTTCCGCACCTGTTCCTGGAACCAGTCGAGCTGGCGCGACGCCTCGGCCGACGAACGCGCCTTGCCATGATCACGCTCCCGCGTCGAGAAAAAAACTTGAGCATCCAAGTACAGCTCAAAGACTGAACGCCACCGCGAGAGGTCGCTGGCGTGCTTGTGCGGTTTGGCCGCCTTGGTTGCCTGGCCACCCGACGTGCCGTCGAGCCCATGGCCGTGGCCGTGACCGTGGCCCAGCAGCGTTCGCCGCTTGCGTTCTGGCTGCGACACCGCAGCCACCTGCTTGCCCAGCTCCTCCACGTCCGTCACAATGGCAGCCTGTTCGGCCTGGCCGATGCGCTCCAGCTTAGCCATGTCCTCGTACATGAGCCGGAAGAACTCGCCGTCGGCCGTGAGCGACACCTCGACGCGTTGCAGCCGCTTCTGGCCGCCCTCCTGGGCAGCGTCCAGCTCTTGCTCGTGGCCTGGTGATGCCAGTGCGGTTGTGCACGTTGGCGGGCCCACGCTGGCCTCGGTGCTGTGGTTCGGGGGTTCCATCGGTAGCACGTCGGATGCCGGGCGATCATGGTCTTGGTCGGCTTGCGAATCGGCCACAGCCTTGCGGCGAATGTCGGCTTGTTTTTGCAAAAAGGCCCTGGATGCCGGTGACAGAGAGGCGTCCACAACGGCGCCGTCCTCGAGATCGAGGTATACCGTAAAGTGTGGCTGGACGTCGGAGTCGCTCACTGCAGGCCCGTGGTCAGCAGCTTAATGAAGATCGGAAGCCAGAACCGGGTTTGAACTTACCGTCCAGCTTGTATTTGGCCAGGGGAATCGGGTCTCCATGCGCCAATACGGCCTGGGTCTCTTGTAGCTGTCGGAGCGAGTCTGCATCGAGGCCCAGGTCTTGCAGCTCGGCTCGAATCTTGTTGAGGCATTTCTTCAAGGTCGGATATGGGATCGCTGCTGTGCACCATTCTTCCGGGTAGTCTGAGACGAGTCAGCACCAAAATACCAATGGCCTGACCAGGGACGCGACGCTCACGAACCTCCGCTTTGCAAGGCGGCCTTGAACGCTCTGGCAAACTTCATCGTGTGCGGGTGGAAGTGGCTGGTCAGCAGACGAATGGTCGTAGGGGTTCGTCGACAGATGTCTGGGTTCCTGGGGGGCCCATGGCGAGCCGAACGTTGTCTTGGCAAGGCTGTGCTGGTCGGAAAGAGAGAGGGGGGCTCCTGTTCTTGAAAAGGAGAAGGCGATGGTAGGGCATGCAGGACCCAGCAATTGCCATACCAAGAAAGTATAAAATATGGTTTCGATCTAGGCCGTCTGCCGTCCAGTGCATGGGACTTTTTCTTGGCAGCCCTTTCGCGACAGAAGGCTGGAGGGTGATGTATCGTCTTTAGTATGCCACGAAAGCACCGAAACAGAGCGGTGTCAGGCGACCATGTGGGCAAATGCTTGGCCCAAAACGGCCGTCGCTAATCAGCGCGCGTCCCGCTAAGGCGAATTCGATGTTTAATCAATGCATTGCCTCCGGGGTTGACTGCCTGTACTTCCTGGGAATTCTCTTGCCTAAGTTCTGCCGTAATAAAATTTTGCCGATCTAGGCCAGTGTAGCAAGATACGTCACTGTAAAGAAGGGGGTTCCAGGGAACTGCTGATGTTATGTAATCACACATACACGGCAAAGTCTACCCCACACCAACCGCAAGAGAGTTTGTCGCAAAGTTTGAACTTCACCTCAGATCGTCTGCAGCATGGGAGCAGAGCAGTCCACGAACCGGAATGCCGGCAGCGCTGCTCAGGCACCGGCCGCCTTGCGAAAGACATGTTACTACGAGCTGTTGAGTGTTGAGCGAACAGCGACAGACGAAGAGTGCGTAAGCCGGTCGAGAATCTTGTATCTAGATATCACCAACCGGTTTTGTGTCTAGACCAGATGTCTCTGGATCCTTCTGACTTTTCAGCTCGGTCGCTGACATCACCGTGAGCCAGAATAAAGAAAGCATATCGACGCAAAGCTCTGGAGCTGCATCCGGACCGAAACTTCAACGACACGGAAAATGCCACCCGCAAATTTGCCGAAGTTCAGACAGCATATGAAGTCCTGTCGGACGCCCAGGAACGAGCCTGGTATGACTCGCACCGCGACGCCATTCTTCGTGGCGACGACGACACAGCCGATGCCGACGGACAAGAGGCGTCTTCGCGCTTCTACAACAACGTCCGCCTGACACCCACCGAAGAGCTCTACACGCTCATGGGACGCTTCAATTCCAACGTGCCCTTTACCGATTCTCCCACCGGCTTCTTTGGCATTCTGAACGAGACCTTCGCCCAGCTCGCTCTCGAGGAAGAGACCGTATGCAGCTGGGATGGGCAGGAGATCCCGATACAGTACCCACCCTTTGGCGAGGCGGCCGATGGCTACGATGCCGTTGCTAAGCCCTTTTACCGTGACTGGTCCAATTTTGCAACGCGCAAATCGTTCAGCTGGAAGGACAAGTACAGGCTTTCGGATGCGCCAGAAAGAGCGGTGCGCCGCCTCATGGAGAAAGAGAACAAAAAGGCCCGCGAACAGGCCCTGCGCGAGTTCAACGACGCCGTGCGATCTCTCGTTGCTTTTGTGCGGAAGCGCGACCCACGCTACGTGCCAAACGTGCAGTCCGAGGCCGAGCGCCAGAAGATCCTGCGCGACTCAGCCGCTGCGCAGGCAGCTCGCCAGCGGGCGGCGAACCAGGAGAGGCTGACCGCGTCCTATGTCGAGCCCGAGTGGGCACGATCCCGCCCCGGTGGCGAGACAAACGAATACGAAGGCGGGTTTTCGAGTGACGCTGAATCTGAGGTGGTCGAAGAGATTGAGTGTGTGGTCTGCGACAAGTCGTTCAAGAGCGAGAAGCAGTTCGAGGCGCACGAGAAAAGCAAAAAGCACATCAAGGCTGTGCAACAGCTGAAGAGGCAGATGAAGAGGGAAAACGCCGAGCTGCGCCTGGATTCCGAGCCTGAGCCCGTGCTTGCACCCGCACCCGAGCCGACATCGGAAGTAGAGCACAACGAGACAGGGGAGACGATAGCAGACCCTGAAGATTCTGGTCGCACGGAACACAAAAGTACTCCTGACCGGAAAATTGACGGGCAAAACGACGACGAGGAAGAGGAAGAAGAAGAGGATGAAAACGACGAATATGCTCCGAGAGATGTGGTCGAGAAGCGTTTTCTACCCGTCCAGGACGATCAGTCTGACGGTCCTGTTGACGCCGACGGCTTGGCAGCTCAGCTGGACGATCTTGACATTGGCCAGAGCCAGGCCTCGATTGCGCAGGCCAAGAAGGTCGGCAAGGCCAAGGCAAAGAGGGACAAAAAGGCAGCGCGCCAAGCTGCTGTCGCCGCAGATCAGCCGGATTCGGTGAAGACAGCTTGCAAGATTTGCAGCATGCCCTTTGCCTCAAACACGAAGCTACACCAGCATCTGAAAGCAGAGCATCCCATGTCCGAGCCCACAAGGAAAACAAAGGCAGGCAGCAAAAAGAAGAAGGGCTGAGAGGGACGCCCGATGGTTGAATGGCTTTCTGGACATGCTAGTCGTGGACGGTGGCTTGGATTTGACAGAGTTCCGATACCCACTTCATCAGATAGGAGTTTCACTTATAGAGGCGCAGAATCATACCAAGATAGAGATAAAATTGTGAGCAGGAAAGTCATACACATGGCATAATGTGGTATATGAAATTCTTTTATCCGTACCTACCACATGTGTAACTGTCGGCGTATGTCCATCTAACGCGCTCCTGCCTCTAACACTCTACCTTGTATGACAAATTCCCTAAATCCTATCCTTGCTAAAACCCTCTGCCCTTTTCTTCCTACTTCACGATTACTTCTCTCCAATTACAGCTATCACTGGCTGTACATCAACTCCCTTTTCGATGTCCCTTGCCCCAACAGCCTCCAGCGGTCCAGAACCGTCGCCCAGCTTTACTGCAGCAGCAACATCCGCCTCCTTCTCCTTTCTTTGCACTCTTGCCATCTCTTTTACTCGCTTGTTCTCGTTTTTGGTGTTGTCTTCCCGCATCTGTCGGATAACCCGACTTCGTCCCCGAATCCGCTCACCGTACCGGAGGAAGACGATCGGAATGGGTATCAAGCAGACCTCAAGCAGGCCTAAAAAGGTGCCAGCCCACTGTGGCGACATTTTTGCATACATGCTGGGCCCGGCCAGCGGAAGAGTGGCCCCGAATATGGATCGCATCACCGTGTTGCCGGCAAGAGCCGATGCAGCATAGATGCCATACGAGCCTGCCAGGTAATTGGAGCCATAGATGAAGGTCAGGGTGTTCCCTGCGCCAAACGGGATCCCGAAGACAATCGGTATGGCCCAGTGGATGGTCGTCGGTAGACACGTCCACGAGAACACCAGCTGTCCGACGGGGGTGAGAACGGCGCCAATAATCAGCACCCGCGCGGATGCCTCCGGTGGTGCGCGCCCCGTTTCTGGGTCTTTCCTGTGCTTGTTGATGAACTTTCTGCAGATGGGCTCGCTCACAATGGCAAGCATCGTACCGGTTCCCATGCCGACAAATGCCAAACCTGCCGTGCCAGCACTCCAGCCCCGGTGCTTGCGAAAGACAATGGGGTATGCCACGAAGCAGAGGTACCTGGAATTCAGTGAGTTCTTGTTCTATACCCCTGTTTGAGTCGTGAGACTGCTTACAGAATACCGTAGACAACAGATATCCTAAAGAGGGGACATGGTCAGCAGGATGTCGTCAAGATAAGCAAGCACATTTGTTTGCCATGTACAAACGGACCAAATATTAAAGAACCACAAGATCGGCTCCGTGAAGCTGAGGATGAACGGCCGGCTCATGTTGATCTTTAGGAGATGGGGTATCGATATTTTCTGGTCGTACCGGCACCAATACCGGTCATCTCCTGTTTCTTTGCGGATGCGAGCAGCCTTTGCCTTGAGAACAACAGGCGCATAGGTCTCTTTTACCGTGAACATAAGCGCAATAGCAACGCCGGCGAGGATCAGAACGATCCAGCTGTCCCATCGCCATCCAAGGTATTCGAACACAAAGCCACCTATAACTGGTCCACTGTCGGTGCACTGTAGTCAGCAAGTGTTTAATTCAGGACTATCTACCTGCAAGTATGGCTTACGTCACCGGGCCATTAAGGGGCGCAATCGACACGAGCGATATGTAAAAAGCGCGATACTCCTCGCTGGAGATGTCGACAACCGTTGCTGGACTGTTAGAGACCAGCGCGGCTCCGAACAGCGCCCTATCCAGACTGTTAGAGCAATCGACGAGTGGCAGGTATGGGTCGACTTCGCCAACAGGATGTCCCTACCCAAAGAATCGGACAACAATGATTCCTGCCAGCGATGTTCCAAGTGCGCTTGGTAGAATCAGCAGGGTAAAGCAGATAATACAGACTAAATATATTGGCCGACGACCAAAAAGCTCGCTCAATGGGGCCAGCATCACGCTTCCTGTGGCCAGACCGAGAAGATACGAGGTGACGCCAAGAGTAGTCACAGTTTCACTCGACTCGTTAAACGCTTTCATCAGGCCAGGAATCGCCGACGTGTAGCTGGTACTATACACGACAACGACCCAGGTGGTATAGGACACGCACAGGATCAGCCAGTAGCGGTACCAGGACGGCCAGTTTCGCGGGTTATCGAGGTCCCCCTCTCCAAAGATAACCTCGTAGCTGGGAGGACGCGAGGCTGAGCTTCCGACACTCGATGCAGTCCCGATATGCGAGATGGGTACGCGCGCGTCAATCTCATCCTGGGTCTCCAGGTTTGGTGTGAGAGCAAGCTCGAGTGGTTCAAGCGGGTCGGAGTCGTCTGTCTCATGGCCGCGAAGGCTTTCACTACTTGTTCTGAGGCGTTCTTGATCCACTTTCAGGCTATCTGGAGGTAAGGAGTCACATCTGTCGGCTCTGCACGCCGCTTGGCCCTTTTCAGTTTCTTTGAAACTGAAGCCGTCCATGTTATATCAATGCTCCTGTTGCCCTGGTTTGTAGCTTGTTCTTTTGTATGTCAACATCTGTCTGTAGTAAAGTTGACAGACTTGATCAGGAAAATGGAGGAACAGGGTTGGGTTCTTTGCCTATAAAGGACGAGGAGTTGTATTTCAACAAAAACCAAGAGAAGCGCCAGAGACAGCTGTCAAGATATTGGAAAGGAGTCTAAAAAAGAAAGCATCTAGAACGCCAAGCAGACGGCTGCTGCATTCGCTTTTGAGGAATATACTTATATTGCGTGCAGACGGGGAGTCACATGGATATAAGGCAGGCCGTCCGTTAAGAACACACTAAATGTCTAACTGCATGTGGCTGCAGTCCTTTTGCACTGCCAAACGGACTCGTCTCTACGACGTAGAGAGCGGAAGAAAGCAAGCCGGAGTCATGGTGACCAGGAGATGCCGCCCCAGATCACTTTGTGCGATACCTGATGCGGGTCAGTCTAGGCTAACCTCCATCTTTCTCCACCTTCTCCTACTCCGGCCTCCACCTTGGGGCTTCTCTCGAGGCGTCTGTATGTCGATCGGCGACTGGCTTCGGACTCAAGAAGGCGGTGCTGCTGCTGTAAGCTCGCCATATTCTCCGGCCGATCATCGGAACGATGTCGGGGCAGCGGCACGACGCAAGACCCAGGAATGGAAGGCGTGACCCCACCGTCAGATAGCGAATCGAAAACGGGAGGAGGATCCGGTCGGCAGGAGAAAAGGAGGGGGGGGCAGCAGGGTTTCCCTAACGGTCAGGCCGATGTTTGTTGGGAAAAGGTGTGTGCCATTGCGCCCTTCCGATGACTGCCCGCATTCCATCTCGGCTTTAGTCAGACGGACATTATATACTGGCTCGTTCGCAGTGCATGGAGCCGAGGCTCGGCGGTAGTTGGATACGAGCGCATTGCAGTAGACCATTGCAGCACTGTTGCTTTCTCAGGTTGCTGCCTTGCATGCCTGGTACCCTCGGCATACTTGCCATGTCGCCGTGTTGTTCTCGACAGCACTCTGTATCTCATGACTCAGACTAGCAGACACATTGGAAATTCAATCCATCAAAAAACAGCTGTCTGTCAGGAAGAGAGAGCTGGGGTGGCTGTGACAACAGTCATTCCTGCACGGGGTCAACACTCGGTATAGCTGCAACTCCCGCTAAATTCCCTTTCAAAGAGTGAGCTTGAAACAGCTGCTATCAGAGGTATTACGTGTTCCCTTACAAAACACTGCGTAGACACACTTCAACTTTAGCGCGCCTTCCTCTTTTGTACTTATACTCGTCCACCATTACGTTACACAGCCGGATCTTAGGCGTAGGAGTATATGGACGGAGGAGAATGGCCGAGCAGATCTAGACTACAGATACCGTAAGAATGCTCAGGTCAGCTTAGTACAGGCGTGTCTGTCCGAGACTGTAAGATATGAGATCTGTAATTAATAACCAGTGGTTTAACACATCCCCCCAGGCTTCCTCGATTATCTAATATTCCGGGCTCTTCCCAGACCACTCAAAGTATGCATACAAAAATCCATCTCCTGAATTCACACCAAATTAAAACAGCCCCCAGTCTTCCAAATCACAGTCAAGACCAAAAGCAGGATTTGGGAGGCCATCCTTAACAGCAAGTGCCTTCTTATACATTAGCTGCAAAGAAAGAAGGCACATGCATTCTATGTCCCAAGGACAATGCAAAAACGGCCCGTCTTCGCCATATCCGATGAACGCCTTGCTATCGCATGGTGAAAGCAAATGCATTCGCCCCATTCTTGCAGCGCCCCGGACGGAAATCAAACAAAAGGCGAGCGCGCAGCGCAAAAGGGAAACCAAATTAAGCCAGTCCTCCAAATTAATATACAACGCTAAATGTGCGGCTTGCTTCGTTGTCGGCGTCATATAGCCGTCTCGTCTCGTAACGTGTCGAATTCTCGCTCGCTCCAACTCCGTTCACAACGATGAGCTCGATTCCACGACTGCATCAATCGTCGACTGCAGACTTACGGTTGACACGGATGCCTGCCGCAGCCTGCCGATCCGGCGGGGTGGTGGTGCTTTTGGTGGCGCCTTGGGAGCCAGCTTCTTGATGCCGCCGTGCCCTGATGTCAGAGTGGTGCCGGTAGTCGATACGCTGGGAGCACTCATGCTGTTGCTGCCATCGGATGCGGCTTCAGGTGTCAGATCGCCTGTTGGCTTCATCAACACGCCATGTCGGTGCCTTGGCACAGCCGGAAGAGCGCGCCGTTGCCGTCGTTTATGGTCCTGGTGTCCGTTCCCGGACAGAGATTGTTGTTCTTGCGAAATCGATGTTGTTTTAGGCGATGTGTCAGGCGGTGCTCGGGGCAGGTTACGGGATGCTGTTCGTGGCGGCGGCGGTCTAGCCTGTGGCGTATGACCGCGTTGGGCGTGTAGTGTCGTTTCCTCTGGTTGCTCACCGCTGTGACTCTGCTCTGTCGTCCCGTTCGAGTTCCCATACTGACCTGTCTGCGGCATATCGGCTTTACGGCTGGGCGTCTTGACTCCGGGCTTCTCTTTCACGGAAGCCACGTTCACAACGCTACCGCAGCTTTCTTCGTGCGAGAGGCTGATGCCCAGCAGCTTGTTGATCATTTGGCTGCCGTTGTCGACGGAGGGTCCTGCGTTGCTCGCCGTTTTGCTCACGGAGGCCGTGCTGTCAGTGCTGATAGAACCGGCATCGCTGGTGTCGGTGTCGGTGTCTATGGTGTCAAAGATGTCAGCCGTGCCGATCGAATTCACGGTCGCTGCCGTGCTGGATGTTGCCGTCGTGTCCGTCGTGTCTATCGTGTCCACTGTATTTGTAGGACTCGACGGTGAAGCGGGCGCGGACGGCAGCAACGTGGTGGCCAACCATTCGACCTTGGACACGCGGTCTACAAGCCGCAGCGTCGTCTCATCTGCCGGCGCAAAGTGAGCATTTCCAGACCCGCTGAGAATCGCCAGCACTCTCAGGATCTCGTCCCGCTTGTAGTGTGGCGCCTGTTGCAACTGCGTGTGTGCCAGCAGCGGATAGAGCACGCGCAGGTACGTGTGGCGCAACGTCGTCAGCTCGTCGGGCAGATCCAGCAGATTCCGAATGATCACATCGAGCAGCACGCGCAGGTCGTTGGTGTAAAAATACTCGTACGTGGGTTTTGTTGTGAAGAGGAGATACATCAGCTTCAGGATCAGCAGCTGCAGCGACGTCTCGGTCTCGCGGTTCAGCAGCAAAATGATGTTCTCGCCAAACGTGCGGTACAACGGTCCGTGAAGGCTGAGAACCTTGATGACACGGTTGGTCAGTGGCGCGACCGGTAACACAAGGTCAACGGCCGCCGTCGTGGCTGCCGTCGTGGCTGCCACCATATACTGCTCATTGAGGACCAGCTAAATCCCGCGGCAATTAGCAATGCTTGCTCGCACGGCAGATGGGGACGCGATGTGCTCTCACCAATACACGGATTACAGGGTAGTGGTATGGGTCGTCAAAGTCGTCGGCAAGGTCTTCGATCATCTGGAAGAGACAGCCAATGAAGGCATCGTCCACATGTAGCAGATCGGTTGTGCGCACACGCTCAGCGCGGGACATCTCGTACATCAGCTCGAGAAGCAGTCGGTGTAGCCGTCGGTCGTCGTCGGGGCTGGTCTTGATGAGCTCGACCAGTCGCGTGAAGCAACCGGCATTGATCATCTCCTGAAACACGTCCTCGTGTGTCCGTCCGTCCAGCAGCAGGAAGTTGGCGATCACATGCAGCGACCGTGCCTCATCCTCCTGGAGCAGGCTGTATATGATCTGCGTGCGCACGTATGCGCCGTGGGCCTCAAATATCGTACTGGTCAACAGCTTCTGCGAACACCGCGCGAGATCCTCTTCCTCCTCAAGATACCGGTCGCGACATGCCGAGACGAGTTCGAGCCAGGCCCGCAAGGCGTTATCGATTAGTTCGTAGCTGGCACACGGAGTAGACAGCGCGTAGTTCAATTCTGTACCGAGAGAGGACCGAGGGTCCACCTATCAGTTTCTGCCTTCTTGGACAAGCAAGGTTCATCACTCACCTTCCCAAAACTGCTCCCTCGATGGCAGGCTATCACCAGCATCGAGCTCCTTAGGCTGTCCTTCAAATTGAGTCATTTTCCGTTTCCGGTGAAAAAGATAGTCGGCACTGCCGCTGGCGCAGGAAGCATCACGAGGATCACGGAGTCTTGATGTGAGAGAGGCAATATGCAATCGACAGGTGGAGACGAATCGAGCAGCGACGCATGTGATCACGGTAAACGACTGAAAGTTGCAAGGACGACTGTACGGCAGCTGCAGCTGCTGAAGAGAACGAGAGGAAAAGCGAGCGGTGGGTGCCAAGGCCGATTGCGCTGACAACAGGCAAACCAACACTGAAGCAGGAGGCTGTGGGCAGACGAGTATCGAAATAAAAGAGAGAAGTCGTATCCCGGCTATTGTTTCGCCCCGCGGAGTGCGCACGGACCACGGGCAAGGAGCACGTAGCGATACATAGAGACCTCTAAAATTGTTAGCACTTGGCTGCTGGCTGCATTGCAAGGCAAACAGCTAGCTGTACCCAGTGCAGCCTGTACAATGACCGCTTACCGATTATGATACAGACTCGGACGTTTTGCTGTACAAATGTACAAGTATGAGAGACGTCCATCATTTCAGCATCTTCGACTACTTCGTACACGTCCGTCATATCCTGCACCATGCATCATGTGACCCATGCTCCGAAAATGGAGCTGATGATACGCTGCAGCCAGATGCGATAGCTGATAGCCAGCGATGCTGGCGGTCTGTCGCATTTCTTGCAGAGCGGCAAGAGCCGTTTCTCCTGACAGCCAAGGTTGGGTAAAGGGGGATAATTGACGTGGACAGATTGGATTGCGTTCAAGAGACAGGGCTGAGAAGGCATCCAAAAATACGGTCAGGAAATTTGGACCAGACTTCGTCTCGTCCGGTAATATGTGGAGGTGCTTGATCGCATCTTTTCTGTCTTTGGAGAGCATGAAACGTATTTGGGCTGTGAAACTGCATAAATAATGCTGGTGTGAGCTGGGGCTGCTTTGGCTGCCGCCTGTGATGGCTGGATTGCATATGGCATCTCTCATATATACCTGCTGGTCGCGTCGCTGCGCCAGAAGGCCACTTATGCAGCGGCGCAGGCCGTGTTTGGGACAGCATGCACGACGGTCATGTAGTGTTTCTGGAAGGGCATTCATGCAAGGCGAAAGTCCGTGGGCCAGACTGCTACTATGTACGTCGAGTACTCCGTACATACGAAGCAGCAGCGGCGATCTGGACCCAGTCGTCCTACGACGAGACATGGATGGCATATATAACCTCCATTGTCCCCTCTGGCAACATCACGGAGAAGACCGGTTTCCGCACCAACGGGTGCATGGGCGATTGCCTCAATTCGACGTGTCGACGTGCATGGACGCTGACGAGCCGTACGAACACAGAACACAGTCAGCAGACGGATCTGGATGACGGACTTTCGCTTGGAGGCTAGCCAGCAAGTGGCCAGAATAGAGCTGCTATCGAATCGCAAGCAGATAACGGGAGCATGGCTGGAAAGGCCGAAGACCCTGCATGCAAATCGCACATCTGTGGAGGCGTGCAGGCATCACTTCGTACGAGGACGCACAAATGCAGATCGGCTCTCTCACCAGAGGATGCGTCGCATCGAAGCTAGCTCGGAAATGAAGGCTCGACAGACAGTATCCATCCCGACCGCAGCGTCGGCGGGCACGAGCCACAGCTTGTTGCAGCAGTGCCGTTTCTGCCCCCCCCCATCGTCTATCTCGAGTCAGTCGGTGCACAGACGGACGCGCATACAACACGCCCGACCGCGTCGTATCTTGCTTCGTATCTTACACGAGACAGGCCAGGCCGAACACTGCCTCGAGTCGTATCTTACCTGCAGCACGTTCAGCGAGACGAAACATTGTGTCCCCGCCCAGGGTTTCTGCTACGCGCGCTTGTTTCTCTCTGTGGATCGTTGACGAGTATCCTGCTTTATGGGGGTATGCAACTACAGAGCATGTGTCTCACAGAATCTCACATACGAGTCTGGCATCTCTGACATCTTGGGAGGTTTTTTGGTTATTTTCTTATTTCTTCTGCTCCGTCCAAAGCCGTGACTTTAGACGCCGTCCCACCACCGACTGGCACGCTGCATCCCTGCTGAAAACCGTTTACGGAGCACCAAGCCACCGCTACTGGTCTGCCCGGCCACCCGTCGGCTTGCCGTGCACACCCTCCCTCGTACGAGGACGTGCCAGAAACAGGCGGCATTCTTCCTCGACGGGAGACCGGAGAAATCGGACGGCCAGCAGAGACAGGAGAGAGCAGAGACGGGCGAGACAACAACAGACGCACACACGCGCTGCAGACTCGGACAGAGGCGGGAATCGGCAAAGAAGCGAAATCACGGTGTCTTACGACGTACATTGTAAACAGAAGCCAGGTGAGAGGCCTTGCGCCGCATCGACGAGTACTCCGTACGAGCAGGCGAAAAAGAAGATACGACGCCAATCAGCGCCAAAAGAAGGCAGCCAACTAAAACACCGCTAGGCTGGATCCAACAGCACTATCGTGGGCCCACCACAGGCCGCTAAGTGCAGACGCTATTTTAAGCCCACTCCCAGGCTGCCCTGCCTGCTGCCGTTGCCTGCATGGAGCGACGCCCGGGCCTCCTCAAGTTGTGTACTCCGTATTACTGTGTACTGAGTGTAGCACAGAGCAGAGTACTCGATGGCCTCGCACTGGTTTGGGACGAGGCGCGCCCGAAGCTCCTTCCGATTTGCCTCCCCCTTTTCTGGCTGCATATCTACTGTCGAGCACGATACGAACACTCGCATTGCGTCTGACAGTCTTATCAGCCATGCATTATTATACATCCCCGGCTGTCCCGTGCCTGTTTCTGTTTTGCCTCTGCTGCAACCAAGCCGTGGCTGCCATCCCTGCTCGTTTGACGAGCTTGAGGCGGCTCTTCAGCGTCGAGAGCTCCTGCCAACCGGAGATTTGCAAGAAAAAGTCACCCTCTGTGCGACTGCCAATCACAACATTCGCTGTACTCAGTACTATGCAACTAGTAGTATCACCCCCCCCCTCTATTACCCCTGGTTGGCTCTGAGACAAGGAGGGAAGGAAGACCCACTCCCTCATGTCTGACCCCTCTTTGTTCTCGTGCTGTTCCTGTTTTCTGGCCTTCCCCCTTGCCCCTGCTGAGATGCTATGTAGGTTTTAATCTCTGCATGCCCGATGTGCAATCCATTGCGACAAAGACAGGCCAGCCATCCTGCTCACACCAATCGTACCCGCTACTGCTTCTGCTGCTAGACGTGGCTGACTGCTGGTCCGTCCGACCCTTGGCCGTGGTACTTTTCCCGTTTTTTCCGCTTCTCGTTTGATTGTCCAGCACGCCAGGCTTTCCTATTAGGAACTAGCGAAAAGGGGCACGAGAGGGAAAAATGATACAGAGAGGCGCACTAAGGAAATAGCACGCTGCCCTGCACACGTTGTCCAGCCCGTGTGCACGCTTGTCCGCATTCACAAGCACGGCAACGACCTAGGGCCTGTATCTTGCTCCTGCTCCTGCTCGCCTTCCCCGCTAGAGACCCATCTTTTCGTTTTTTCCTCACATCAGACCGTTGCTCGCTGCCAAAGTCAGAGAATACACTCTTGCATCGAAGCCGTCACGAACACCCCCCAACAGCCCACACACCCCCTTGCTTTCCTTTATCTTTCTACGACGTATCTTACTAGGCCGACGAGTATCTTGCATTTCATTCCCCTTCCCTCCGCATCTCCACTCGCGCTTCTTCTTCTTTCTTCTTTCCATCTGTCTCGTTCCTATGAATGAACGTCCAGACCGGAAAACGCAAACGCAATCCGTCCGTCGCGCCTCAGCCCAACACAAAATATTACCACCAGACCGCGTCGCCCACGACTTCCCGCTCGACTATCACTACGGAGTACGTCTGCGACTAATCTAGCGTCTGCTTGTCCCCGTCTCGACGCTTTTTTTTTTGCCCTCGTCCCCGCCGCCTCCGCTTTGTTGACGCTGGCTTTCTCCGACCGTCTCTGGATTCTTCCTCCTGCTCAAATACACTACTCCTCCCGCCTGCACTCTCTTGTCTGCCACCACAACCTGCTCGGAAACGACTGCGTGCTACACTGTTCCTCGCGTGGCCCCGGCCGCTTGCTCGATCATCGTCGGCCTGTCGCCCTCGCCCGAACTGCTCGTTTTCCGCCCGCTGACACCTGAGAGTCGTGTCGCCAGAAACCATGTCTGTCATGTTGCATACGCCCTCGCGAGCTTCCACCGCCTCCTCCTCCTCGTTCCAGCCCGTCTCCCGACAGAACACCATGTCGTCCTACGATGGCTCGCGGTCTGCCCGCCAGTCCAAGCGGTACTCCATGTCCGCCCTGTACATGTCCATGTCGGCAAACGAGACCGACCTGGAGATCGAAGACGAGCTTGCCAAGGGTATGTCCTTATCGAATTGCTGATGTTCTGCCTCGCTCTGCTGACAACTTGCCGTTTCCCCCCACCACAGCACAGAAGAGACTCCGCGACCTCAAGGCCAAAATCTCGTCCCAATCGAAGCAGAACTTTGTGCTGGAAAAGGATGTGCGCTATCTCGATTCGAGAATCGCCCTGCTGATCCAGAACCGTATGGCGCTGGAGGAGGTATGTCGGACCTGTGGACGCGTGTTTGCACTACGAGCTTCCGTGTTTCCGTAGCTTTGCGCTGACCTCTACTTTCTAGCAAAATGAAGTTGCTAGCCGTCTCGAAGATACCCCGGAGCTGCAGGTCGGCGCCTTTCCCAATGACGACAAGACCCAGAAGTACGGCAACCTCATGTTCTTATTACAATCCGAGCCGAGGCATATTGCCCACCTGTGCCGCCTGGTTTCCATGTCCGAGATCGACTCCCTGCTCCAGACTGTCATGTTCACCGTCTACGGAAACCAGTACGAGAGCCGCGAAGAGCATCTGCTCCTGACCATGTTCCAGTCCGTCCTCACCTACCAGTTCGACAACACCCCCGAATACTCGTCGCTGCTGCGCGCCAACACTCCCGTCTCGCGCATGATGACCACCTACACGCGGCGTGGTCCCGGCCAGAGCTTTCTCAAGTCCGTGCTTGCCGACAGGATTAACAGCCTGATCGAGCTCAAGGACCTCGATCTAGAGATCAACCCGCTCAAGGTGTACGAGCGCATGGTTGCCCAGATCGAAGAAGACACCGGCAGTCTGCCTGCCTCTCTACCCAAGGGCATCACTGCCGAGCAGGCCGCCGAAAACCCTCAGGTTCAGGCCATCATCGAGCCGCGCTTGACCATGTTGAGCGAGATTGCAAACGGCTTTCTGGCCACCATCATCGACGGCCTGGATGAGGCGCCCTATGGCATTCGCTGGATCTGCAAGCAGATCCGCAGCCTCGCCAAGCGCAAGTATCCCGACGCAAACGAACAGATCATCTGCACGCTCATCGGCGGCTTCTTCTTCCTGCGCTTCATTAACCCTGCCATTGTGACGCCCAAATCATACATGCTCATCGATGGCACTCCCGCTGACCGGCCGCGTCGCACCCTGACGCTCATTGCCAAGATGCTGCAGAACCTTGCCAACAAGCCGTCGTACGCAAAGGAGCCGTACATGGCCAAGCTGCAACCCTTTATCCACCAGAACAAGGACCGCGTCAACAAGTTTATGATCGATCTCTGCGAGGTCCAGGACTTTTACGAGAGCCTGGAGATGGACAACTACGTCGCGCTATCCAAGAAGGATCTCGAGCTGTCCATCACCCTAAACGAGGTTTACGGCATGCACGCCCTGATCGAGAAGCACTGCAACGAGCTCTGCAAAGACCCAAACTCTCACCTGGCCATCATCATGGCCGACCTGAATACAGCCCCTCCGCAAGTGCCGAGGAAGGAAAATCGGGTCATCAACCTTCCGCTATTCAGCCGCTGGGAGGCCGCTCTCGACGACCTCACCGCTGCTCTTGACATCACCCAGGAAGAGGTGTATTTCATGGAGGCAAAGTCCGTTTTTGTCCAGATCATGCGATCCATCCCCCAGGGCTCGTCTGTCTCTCGCCGCCCATTGCGTCTGGAGAGAGTAGCCGACGCAGCGGCGACGTCCAAGAACGACGCTGTCATGGTTCGCAAGGGCATCCGTGCCATGGAGCTGCTTAGCCAGCTGCAGGAGATGAAGGTCACCGACAAGTCCGATGGGTTCTCTCTCCTGCGCGACGAGGTGGAGCAGGAGCTGCAGCATCTGGGCTCGCTGAAAGAAGGCGTCATCACCGAGATAACGAAGCTGTCAGAGGTGTACGCCACCATCACGGATCACAACACCTACCTGAACGGCCAGCTGGAGACGTACAAGAGCTATCTTCACAATGTGAGAAGCCAAAGCGAGGGAGCTCGCCGCAAGCCCCAAAAGCAGCAGGTGCTCGGCCCGTACAAGTTCACGCACCAGCAGCTGGAAAAAGAGGGTGTTATCCAGAAGAGCAATGTGCCTGACAACCGGAGAGCCAACATCTACTTCAACTTCACTAGTCCCCTGCCAGGCACTTTTGTCATATCTCTCCACTACAAAGGTAGGTAGTATGAAATTTGCACTTGCACGTGCCGTGCATTCTTGTCTTTGCTTACTAACACTGCTCTTCCAGGACGCAACCGAGGCCTCTTGGAGCTAGATTTGAAGCTTGACGACCTGTTGGAGATGCAGAAGGACAATCTGGACGACCTGGATCTGGAATACGTCCAATTTAACGTGCCCAAGGTCCTGGCCCTGCTCAACAAGCGCTTTGCCAGAAAGAAGGGCTGGTGAATCCTTTTCTCGGCCAAGACCGATCTTGGCTAATGGAATCGGCCGTCCCTCTCTTTCCTCATCTCTGCTTACGATCACGGCCGCAACCACATGATTTCTCGGTGTTTTGTCTAACTTTAATTTCGGCGTTATGATACCACCTGTCGCAAACACTTCTCGTCCTATTACCAACGTTTCATCCCTACCGATTTACGAGCTCCTGCTTTAATCTCGCCAATCCGCCAACTCCCACCGGACTCTTATATCTCAACCGCTCCCGACTTGCTCCCTTACTGCTTTCTATGTCATGTCTACTTATCTCGGGGGACACGTCGCTTATATTATGTAATCTAGCTTTGGCAGGTGCTTGAAGAGGACGACTTTCTGGCTTGTGAGTCCGACTGTCTGTCCCGCTCGGGTTTGGTCTTTGTGCTTTCCACGTTTTGCCTGGTTTCTTTATTGTCTTATTTGAATTCACGATGTGTCGTTACTTGGTCTAGGGTATGACTTTTTGAATGGGGGCAACGAGTGCGAAGTATCAGGCAGAATATGCATACCGGCTGGCCCGGCAGCATTGTCTAACTTTGTTTATGTATCTTGAAGTGCAAATTTGTATGTTTGCGAGTTGCTGGGCCGGGCATACTTCTAAGATAAGGCCAGATAACGGAGGCTATGACCCAATGTATTGATCTTCATGTTTCAATTGCAATCTTGCTTTACTTCGTGCTAACATGAACGGTCGACATGTGTGCTCACCTGGGACAAGTAGTGATTGGTATCTTTCTCCTTGGTGTATCTGCTGGTTATGACCTCGCAACGATCTCATTGGGTCAAGGCGGAGAAATGGGCAGACTCGTATATTGCTACTGCCAACCCTATCTCTTCCATGGGTTTGGGGGAGGAGCTGTCTAGCTCAGCTCCGCGCTGTTCCTATCTGATTAAAGCAACATGTATAGGTAAGGCAGCCCGTCTTCTGCTTATAGTTCGCAAAGCCACCTCACAAGCAAGGATTAGTGGTCCGACTCGCAACAGAAGACACAGTCCCAAACCATCAAAGGCGCAGTCCTCTTCGTCCTTTTTTTCTGTCTTTCATAAGCTCATTCCCCAAGACTGGCTGCTCTGCCTCGCAACTGTGGACTGTCTCGAACTCTCCATTGCCCTCTGATCTTTGACGAGCTTGATCACAAATTTGACAACTCAGATGAACCACATAGTGTAGGGAGTGAACTGTTTGTTCATGTCTGCGGCGATACTCGTGCCAAAAGGGAGAAGCGGTGGCGCCCTCCCGTCGGGTGCGTCTGGTTGCTCGACGTATTCTTTGCGGACCAGTTGTTCATCATTTTCTGGATATGCACAGGGTCTTTCTTCTCGGACTGGATGTCTTGGTGCGAGCGAGCGCGATCACCAGCCAAATGAGCATAGTACACAGCCGGGTGCAGGGAGACTGGTGTCGTAGACCGCGCGTATTGGTAGCATTGTTGATAGATCATCTTCTGCAGCTTGTGCGGCTCCAGCTTGATCTCGTCGTGAATGACGTGGTAATGAACGGGGCGTGCCGTACCCTGAATTGCAACATGAGAGCAGAGATAGAAGTCATAGTGGAAGGGATGTGTGACCTCCTTCTCAACGACGGTTCCCGGTAGCGGATTGCCATTGCGATCTCCACTGCTGCCTTCGGGGAAGAAACGGATGTGATGGCGTTTGGTAGCGATGATGACGGTGAATTTAGGGACCTGGCCACAACGCTCGCGGAAGATCTTTCTGATCTCGGCAATCTCAAAATCCATGACTTGGCCAAACTCTCCCTCCGATACACCGTCGCGGAAGTAGTAGACATGCTCTGGCATCCGACAGTTCAAAGCTTCGCGCCACTTGGTCAAAGCATCGTTGAACATGCCCTGCATCTTGAGAGGGCTGATAATTTCCGTGCGGAAGCCATTGGTCTGGCAAAATGCGGCGTACTTGGCAGCATCTCGATCCCAGGAAACAGTCATGGCCGCCATCGACGGCTCCAACTCACCCTTGACGTTCGTGGTACCATGAGAGATGTCAACACCAATGACCATGGTCGGGGCCTCAAAGAAAGCCGGACGGGTAGCGTTCCCTTCTTTCGGAATACGACAGGTTGTTCCTCCAAGCTTGGCGTTCACCTTCATGCAGACATTGGAACAGTACTGAGGCTGGGCTTTCATAACGTGCTGAGACCCGACCATCTGAGAGACCATTCCAAAGCGGCATTCGCCACTCTTCTTCAGACGGTAGTAGCTGAAAGCATTCTTGGTTGGGAGAACAAAAAACATCATCACCGGATGCTGGCCGCCATTCGCATTCACCGTTGCGTTGTACGCTTCGAAGTAGACCTCGTCGAGAGGCTTGTCTCTCGGAAACCTGGTCATATGCGGCGGCTTTGTCACCAACCCACCGTGATCCTTGTATGTCTTTGTGAAAACACGGACAAAGTTGCTCGCGGCAGCCATGTCGACGCAGTTGTCAACGATGACGAAACCCCAGTTGGTCAGCGGGCGATCTTTGTTGTTGATGTGCAAGATCTTTTGGCGCAAGTCCCAGCGGCCGGTCGTGCCTGGTTTGGCAACTCCGTTTTTGTAGGCCACACTGGGAGCCTGCAACAGCCTGCCCTGAACCTGAGTCATGCTGGGATTGACGCGAATACCAAAGTCACGAAGATATTCGTCACTTCCCCATCCAAGCTTGGCCACATTCTCTGCAATGCTCTTCGAACGCTCGGCCGGGCGAGTGACAGCAAATCGAATCATGTCAGATGTTTGGGCGGGCGTCAGCTTGTAAGGATACCGCTGCCAGGGAATGATCTGACAGACTTCCAAAGGGAAGGCTCCATCGCGAAGAGTTTCGACCACCGGGTAGTTGGGGTAGCGAAGATGAATATCATACTGCTTCAAGTAGTGGTCGGCAATGCTTCGAGTCTCTCCAGTCTTGTTGTTGGTGAAAGTCACATTTCTGGCAGTGGCGCCCTCAAACTGGTATTTGGAATCCCAGGCGAAGCGAGCGATGGAATAGGTTTTCTCATCATTTGTCTTGCCGCGATGAAATACCTTGAAGCGAAGCTTGTGCAGCTTGCGCAGGCTGACGAATGCATCAGACTTTGCAGCCTCTTTGAGCTTCAAGTTGAACTTGGACTGAACTGGCTTCAGGAGGTTCATGGCATCCAGATGGCTGCTGGCGTGCCACTTCTCTCCCGCTGTATTCAAGAATTTCATGACAAGATTGTCCAATGTCTGTTCTCGCCAGAACGTGGTGTTGGCAACATCAACATTGATGCCAAGGCCGGAGCCGCCGGTCCGGATGGACTCCGACAGTCGGAATGCGGCATAGATGCCCTTGGCAGCATACACTACGCCATCAAGATCCCGGCGAGGCGCGTTGGGGTGATAAAAGTTCCGTCGAATGGCTGTCATGTATGTGCTAGGCTTCTGACGCAGTGCATGGTCGAAAAAGTTCATGCATTCGAGCACATGGGTGTCCCAGCTAGCTGTACCGCGAAGGTACGCAATTAGAGACGAGAGGTAAATCGTGCTCGTTTGCTTGAGGATAATGAACTGTTTGTCCTCTTTTCCGGGTCGAGGCACTCGCCCCTTTTCCTCGTCGAGATCGATTTCGATTTGGATGGGCTCTTTCATATCATTGATCGACCTAATCTAATTAGCTACTGGAGAAGAATCACAGCGGGGGGCTCTGCAAGCTTACCAGACGAGGTTTCTCCCATCATACAACCAGGACTTGCTGTATTTCTCCAACTTCTGCTGAAATCTATGAGAGGACCAGCATTTCTTGTAGACAACATTCTTGAGCGGCTCTGGCTTGACCGTGAACTTGAAGAAGTTGTTAGAAGGCGATAATAGGAAGAGGGAGTTCAAATAGGATATAGGTACTTACTGCGTATTGGAACACCTTGATGTTCGCAGCCTGTTCAACGCGGTACTGGTTGATTCTAAGATTCACAGGCTTGTCGACGGTGTTGTATCCAGGGCGACGAGCATACGGTGTCGGCATTTTAGCCTACGATTAAACACACAGGTTAATATACACGGTGTAAGAAGGACTAAAAACCCCGACTTAAACTCACCAGGCTGTACGCATCTGCGGGCAGGTCGATGCGTGAAGGCATCTCCTTGGCCCTGCGCTTGGCCTCGTCAAGAGGAGCCCGTGCTGGGTCATATCCAAGACCCGGAGGGAACTGTCCTTGGGCGGCAGGCCCGGGGGATGGAGGCTGAGAGCCGCTGACAGAGGGACGGCGGCTTTGAGGAGAACCGTCCGAAGGTCCGCCCACTTTCGAACCGCCCTGAGACGGACGGCGACTGTGCGATGGGCCAGGATCCATGATTGCTAGATGCTATCCGAAAACTAGATGAGCTCAAATCAAGATTGACGCTTTATCAAAAAAACGGTGATCGGGATGAGAAGTATAGTCTCAGTAGCGATAAGGACAAGGAAATGCAGTGTATGGTGAGAGATGTAGGAAGTTAGGTGAGACGAGAAGTTTGGTATTCAGGATAGAGAAGAAGTTGACAATAGAGAAATGACTGTACTTGAGTTGATCCTCAAGCAAAAAGGCTGTAAAAGGACTTACCTGAAGCAAATTTTGCAGTTTTCAGGTTGTAGTGAGAGGAGAGAGTGAATATGACTCTCGTAATTTGCAGGACTGGACTGAGAAATTGTGAAGGTGAGCTGGTGGGTGAAGACTTAGGCAGGCGAAAGTAGCAGAAAGTGAGCAGAGGCGGACGGCTATATAGCCACAAGACTAGGAAATAACTTGTCTTGATTTCAGGATCTAGAGAGATCTGAGGAAACGATGAAGCGCACTTCTATATCGAGACGGCGCAAATGAAAGTCAGATTATTTTGTCAATACATTTTTTTTTTTTTTCAAGGTGAAACGTTGTGCCAGTGACTTGAAGAGAGAGATGGGCTGGGAAGAGAAGAGAGAGAGAGAGAGGGAGAGATAGGAGAAGGGAGAGGTGGTGGATATTTATGTATATGTAATAAAGATCATAAAGGCAAGAGCGAGCAGCTCAATGAGGAAAGAGCGACCTGGCCGCTGCGTTTGTCAGTATCGTGAAACACAATGGGACATGGAGATGAATAAGAGAATGAGTAGGAAGTCTACAGGTACAGGCAAATGGCCTGATGTCGACAATCAAGGTTCTGTGGTGACACACGCATCTGTAGGGGAAGGATTTATGGCCCTTTTTTTATTACTAGAATCAGTACTGTGTCGCTTGGTGGCTGCTGATTTTGAGATGCCTTGGCAGGTGATACTTTCTATATTACTATGACTATGCAAGCTCAAATACAGGCACGGCATAATTCTCAGGCTCCATGAACGATCTCGAGAAACGGATTTCATCTATTTGAAAGTGTGCTCTTCGTAGTAAATCAAAGAGGGGGTGCTCGCACTGTTGCAGCTCGCTGAGAAGGGCCGATAGGACCGCCGTACGATGCCTACATTACAGCTATTGAATATTCTCCGAATATTAACAGGTAAGCGGTGCCTTCCTCCCGAGACAGGGAGACAGGGCCATAGGCAGACAGGCCTATTGCATCCTGGGCAAACAATAGTTTCGATCGCGGACCTAGGCTCTGGCTGTTTGCAGGATCGATACGGTTGCATTTTCCCTTAAATCTAAGCTGATGCTTCTAGACCTGTGCCAAGAAATTCTTGGGTTACTAAATATATTCGATGAAAATGCATCGGATCTGCCATACCATGCCACACACTATTCTTCCGCACTTGCTTTGATAAATCCAAATTACATACCAACCCGCACCTTTCCTTTGGCCAAAGCACAACATAACTCCATTGCTGCATGCTCAAGACGGACGAAGCTCCTGCACCAGGCCAGACAGCCGTGGAAACTAACCAGCCGGTTGCGCCTATTGATACCGAAAGTTGCCGTACTGGCCCGGTGGCGGCGCCTGCTGCGGATACGACGGAACGCCGTAGCCCGCAGGTGGCGCTGCTGCCGGCCATTGCTGGCCGCCTTCAAACTGCTGCGGTGGCGGCGCTCCGTACTGACCTGGATAAACGGCAGGGACGGCTCCCAGCGACGGCGGAGGCGGCTCATATGCCTCGTCCGGCCGCAGAGACGGCTGCCGATACCCTCCAGAAGGAGCCGGCGAGTTCCGGCTGCCGCGGTAGTGGGCAAAGTCAGAAGACACCTGACGAGCGTGTCCTGGACCGGCTCCATGACGACCAAATTGCTGTCTTGCCTGCTTCGAGGCGTTCTTCCGGCCGGGCTCCCAGGTGTTGGGGTCAATATCGGTCTCCCGAAGCAATTGCACCAGGCCAATGGGCGCACAGCGTATGCCATTGTACAGCGCAGCCGGTGGCAGCTGTCCCAGCAAAAAGGTCACCATAGTTGGCAGAGGAGCCGGCGGAGCAGCAGCCGAGGACATGGCCCCGTATCCGGAACCCTGGCCGTGCAGTCGGCGCTGCTGGTCCAAACGTCGTCCGGCCGCTCCTTTCAGAGGAGACTCGCCTCGCACAAATTCGCGCTGGTCGGCGCCCCTGAGCATCTTCCGGGGCGGGTTGCTGTCGTCGAAGTCGTCCGTCGGGAACGGCCGCTTCGGCGAGTTCGTGGAGGCTGCCATGAGACTCATGCGTGGGCTATTAGGCTGTCGCAGAGACAGGCCACCCGGCATGGGGCTGTTGCGAAGAGACGCTGGCTTCTCTACTGACGGCATGATACCGCGAGGTGGACGCAGCTGTGCGGCTGGCGAGATGATGATGCGGGCACCGGCTGGGTCGAACTTCTCGGTCGCGAAACGCTTGCTGAACAGGGCCAGCTTCGGATCGTCGGGATACAGCTCTGCCATGCGCTTCTCCAGCTCAATCACACGTGAGAGGTCGCCGTATTCAGCCTCTCGCTTGTGCATGTAAGCCAATAGCGGCTTGGCCTTGTGCACCGTTTCCGGCTTCTGGGCAAGCCGGTTGACACACGTTTCGAACACGACTCGCGAGTCTATCGTGTCAGACAAACGCAAACAGAGCGAAGGAGAGCGGCCACTTACTTGTGTTGTCGCCATGAGCGATCAAGTACTTGATGTACTCTATCATAAAGTATGCATCCTCGGGGAACAACTTCGACCCACGTTCCAGAATCTTGCCGCCCGCTTTGTCGTTGTAGCACTTCCACTCCATCTTGGCAATGGCAACGTAAATGTCACTCTTGAGACGTCCTCCTTTGCGAGCCTCATAGAACACCTGGCGCATACCCCCAAGCGGGCCCTGTGGGCTGCCTTTGCCTTGTATCCGCCGCATCGCGCGCGCGAGGGCAATCCAGACGTGCGTTAGACATTTCGACACTAGGTCCATCTGTGCTGCAAAGGCCTGCCGGGTGAACGCGATCTTCCTTTCCCGCTCTTCGTCACCAGCGTGCCCATTCCCCCCCTGTTGTTCGTCGTCCTCGTCGTTCCCATAGTCGTCATCGTTCTGTGTGTTCTGTGTGCCGGCGGGAGCCATGGCCTCCTCTAACCGTGCAATCTCAGCCTTTTCCCGATCCTGCAGAGATTTGTGTAGGTCGCGCAGCGTCTGTATAATCTTGTCGTAGGGCACTCGCACGGCCAGGCCGCGGGCAATCTTGGCTTCGTCACCCTCCTCCACAGGATACGTCGATTCGATGCGGTCGGCGTGCTTCAAGGCCAGCAGGATGCTCTCGGGATTGGCCGCGATGCCATCGACAAGAAAATCGATGCCCTTGTCATTTCCAGACTCCTTCACATCGTTGGCGAAGCACCACTCGGCCGCCTCAACCCACAGCTCCGGCCAGAACCGCAACGGCATGAGAGCCTGCTTGTAGCAGTAAAGAATGCGCGCCTTCAGAACGTCCGGTTCGTCAGGGCCGAGGTCGAGAGGGTCCGATCTCTCCCACGCAATCCACCGCTTCCACAGCTCCACCTGCGCCATGTACTCCGGATATCCGTCAAACCCTGCGAGCGGTGGCAGCCGGGGAATCGTGGTGCGACTGAGGCCGCGTGTCAGGTTCTCCAATGCCGTGTTGGCGCTCTTGGCCGACATGTAGGCTGGCGATCGCTCGGCCAGGAATTTGCGGCCAGTGATCTTGTTGAGGCCCATCTCGAATTGGTCGTACTCCTTCCACAGCTGGTTGACGTTGGATATGGGGATGCAGGTTGCCCGTCGAAAGGCCTTCCTCAGCTGGTCCATTTTCTGTTGATCCTGCCAGCCGGCACCACCGATCGTGCCCGGAGCCGAGCGGATGAACTGCACATAATCCTGCCAGACCCTCCCGGCGTCCTTGTCGAGACCGACATTGTCGAGAACGAATTCGTATGCCCGGCTGACGACCTTCCGCGCCTCTTCGGCGTTGTCACCTAGCAGGTTGTTGCGTCGGCGAACGTAGTCGAGGTACACCACCCAGAGCGGGACGTTGAGCACCTTGGTGAGCGATCTGGCGAAGAGGTCCTCGGCCGCAGCAAAGTTGTCCAGCTCTAGCTCCATTTCGATGTTGTCGATCCATACTTCGGCCTGTTGTACAATGTAAGTCAGGGAGAAGGGCAGACAAGAGAACCGGGATGGAGACAGGGGAGACATACAGCCTGGGGAAAGACGTCCAAAAAGCGCCTGAATGCAGATCGGGCATCTTCGAATCTGTTGTTTTGGCGATATTCGCTAATCAGGGCAAGCCACGAGTCCACAGATCCCCGCGGATCGTCAGCGATACGCGCCTCCAGACGGCCGCCAGCATCAAGAACAGCAGCGGAGGAGGGGAAAGCAGCCGGCTGCGGTGCAGGTGCAGATGCAGGTGCAGGTGCTGGTATCGGTACCGTCAGCACGCCAGCCATCGTTGTTTGCGTGGACAGAGAAGGGTCATATGAATCATTGCCATCGGCATCCGGCACAGAGGCAGGGGCATTAAGGGATGACTGGCCGTCGCCCTGAGGAAGAGGGTATGCAAGACCGTACTGGCCGTTAGCGGCAGCGGCAGGAGTGTCTTCGTCGTCTTCCGAGTCCGAGTCTCCCACCAAGAAGCCTCCAACGGCCTTGGGCTTCTTCGCCGCGGGAACAGGCACGCGTTCAGGCTCTGCTGACTCGTCGCCAGTGGCGACAGCCTCGGGCTCAGCATCGAAGACGGCCTCTACAGCCGGCACCACCACCGCCCCGGGATCGTATTCAGATGAGCCATCTGCACCAGCGGTATGAGAAGGAAAGTCACCAGAGACATCAGTGTCTGCAGCAGCAGAATCATCAGGATCTTGATCTTGTCTGTCGCTAAGCGGCCTATCAGAAGGCCGGATCTGTTCCTCCCCAGCCGTCTCATCACCAGTACTCTCTGCCCAAGCTGCGTCCTGCTGGGCAGCATCTGTTTCGGAAAGGCTCGAGGCCATGGCCGCGTGGGTGGTAGATCTATTTCTGTTCTTCTTTGTTTCGGACGCGATGAAAAGATGGCCGAGGACACTAGACACGGCGCGACAGTAGTGAGCAAAGAGGAGGAGATGAAGACAGAGAGCCAGAGAGACTGATATTAAAGGCACTTCGAGCTGGCTCTTCGGATGGGGAGGTTTCTCGCTCACATGCGCCTCTGGAAACGAAGAATAGCGAGCGCCGACTCGGGCTAGAAACAGGAAGAAAAAGGCTGGCCAACAGAAGAAGCGCCTGGCAGCTTTCAGACGGATACCCCAGCACAAAGAAGACAAATCCACATCGGTAAGGCGCAAAATTGTCGCCGGCTGGGAAGAAAGGGAGGTGCAAGGGGGTTATGGAAACACGACACGTTCGACAGGCGACAGAAAATGGAGCTCTAGACAACGGTCGTTGGCAATGGCGACAATCGGATTCGAGAGCGAACGCCTCTGGCAGGCAGGAAAGAGAACAAGAAAAAGAAAAGAAAAACAATGACAGGGACAATCACAAACGATGCGGGTGGTGGGTAGCAGGGGACGGCGTGCCTCACTTCGCCTTCTGTTGCTGTATGCGTGTTTCAAGCCGAGGACGGCTGTTTGCACGTCGCATTTTGAAAGAAAGTTTGCTTGGGAAAAAAGCTGCATGCTCAAACGGGGCTAGTGCCGATGAAGACTAGTGCCGAAACTTGTGACGTACAGGCCAACAGGCCGGCCAGCCACCATCCGAGTTGTGGAAAGAGAGGGCTCTGGCTGACATAAGCTAGTGTCACCCCGCCGTGCCGCCAGGCGCGTCGAGAGGTCGAGGAGGGACCTGAGACCACTCAACGCGCCTGAGACCTATTTTCCTGGCGGCGACCGCGTTTTCGACCTTCGCAGCAGCACTAGCCACTTACAAGCCAGGAGCTCCGCTGCCGCCCGTCCTTGCGTTCATATCATTAGTCTGTTTGTCAATACCCGACCGGCTTATCTTCTCCATTCGCTGTTGCTTGTGTTTGGGCTCTGCTCCACTACGTTGCCATCTCCGAAAAAAAACAAGCCTGAAAACTAGTCTGCTCGAACAACATCTTCTGTCACTCTGTCCCCTTCACTCTTTCCCGCCCTCTTTCACTCTCTCTCCCTCTCTCTTGGCCAGGCCTCCGGCAACTTTTCAACCCGTCTCTCGCAATCATGTCAATCGTGTCGCTTTTGGAAGTCAAAGTCCTCAACAACCCAGCGCGGTTTACGGACAAGTACGAATTTGAGATCACATTCGAGTGCCTCGAGCAGCTCGAAAAGGGTATGCGATCCGGTGATTTGTCTCCTCTTAAATGGAAAGGCGTGTCGGCCGACATACTAATTTGCCCTGCCTAGATCTCGAATGGAAGCTCACGTACGTGGGCTCGGCCACATCGTAAGTGTCTTGGTTGTCCGGCTTCACCGTCTCCCTCGCCGACTGTCCTTCTCACACCGCCATTACAGTGACCAGTATGACCAAGAGCTGGACTCGCTCCTCGTCGGTCCCATCCCGGTCGGCGTCAACAAGTTCATTTTCGAGGCCGATCCGCCAGACATGAAGCGCATCCCGGATGCGGAGATCCTGGGCGTCACGGTGATCCTCCTGACGTGCGCGTACGACGACCGCGAGTTTGTCCGCGTGGGCTACTACGTCAACAACGAGTACGACTCGGACGAACTGAACGCCGATCCGCCGGCGAAGCCGCTCGTCGACCACATCCGGCGAAATGTGCTGGCCGAGAAGCCACGTGTCACCCGGTTTGGCATCAAGTGGTGCGCAGCCCCCTCTCTCCCGTCTCAGACCTCGCCCATGCTGACTCTAGATCCAGGGATTCGGACGCGTCCGCACCGGCGGAATTTCCGCCCGAGCAGCCTGAGGCCGACCTGGTGGCAGATGAGGAGGAGTATGGTGCAGACGAAGCAGAGGAGGAGGAGGAGGAAGAGGTTCCCACTGCCGGGGAGGCAACAAAGGTGGGCGAGGATGCTGCCATGGCTGGTACTGAAGAGGCGGCGGAGAATGGCGAGGAGGATGATATCTCAGAAGACGGCAGTGTCGACATTGAGGGCGAGAGCGAAGACGAGATTGAGGAGGAGGAGGAGGGCGAAGGAGAGGGTGGTGACGAGATGGATGTCGACTCTGACAAGCCGGCTGGCGCAGCCGAAGGCCACCACCCGGTCGAGGTTATGTCTCACTGAGGAAGCATCCGGAGTCGTTCGTCAACTTGCTTCATTTATATATTAGAGAACGTACGGGGCGAACGACGCAATTTGACGTGGAAGACAGCGCCCTCCTTCTTGCTTGACGATATGCGTATTCTCTATATAGAACCGAAAGGAAAGGTTGCAGCATCCATACTCGGCTGATATGCACATTGTGGGCTCATTGCTCCCCTGCCACAGCTTCAGGCGCCCTGCATGGCAACATCGCCCTTGCTCTGATCGCGAGACCACTCGTCGGGAGTCTGGCACTTTGCGCTCCAGGCGTGGATGCGGGCAATCTCATCGCGCAGCGTGGCGTTGACGAGGCGGTGGCGCTTGAGGGAGTTGAGGGCGTTAAAAGAGGGCGAGACGATGACGGCCGTAAAAGCCTGGCCACAGCCGCCTGGGGGAGAGGAAGTGAGCAGAGGGAGCTTTTTGGTGCAGGGCAGCGGGACATCTTCTGTGCCGTCATACCTGAGACGTCAGTAACCTTGACGTGCTGAGCCTGCAGCTTTTCTCGCAGCGTGTTTTCGAGGTAGTCTTCTGTGATCGTTGGCTCGGCCATTTGGGGCGGCAGGCTGCTTACGGCGCTAGGCAAGCGAGGCAGCAGGCTGATTGTGGTGGTGGGAAAGGCAATAAGAGGGGAAATTGACCGGACAATAAGATGCCTTCTTTAATTTAAAAAAAAAAAAGATAAAAATAGTGCCTGCACGTTCGAGGTGGATAGCGTATTATTGTTCGCGCCGCTGCTTAGTCCTGCGTGTTAATGTCTGCCACTACGTCGTAACTCAACAGGCGCAAATAAACAGGAAACACCTGCCAATACGAAAGAGTCATTCTAATTACTACATACTGGTCAGGGGAGTAATTGGAATCGCCCTTACAACTTTTAATAAAGAATATTGGACTACTCCATAATTACTGTTTTTTTACACAGAGCACAGCAGGCTTGAAACAGGACGACGATACCTTTATCGGTAGAGGGGAATAGCTTGTCGGGCTTCTATTACCTACGACGTAGTGGTGCTATGTCCAAGCCGGCGGACCGTCTTGGCCGAAGAGGCAAACTTCTAAAAGGGATATTTACATAGTCATAGCATGAGGCATGTACCCGCCGTTGCTGAGACAGATTTTGACCCCCAGAACGATGACTTGAACGCCGTTCAGTTAATTGTACTGAGTATAGCCTTCGCAATTCGGATCTCTACTACGTAAAAGAGAACAGTCTGCCAAGGAAGATGGATCGGACAATCAGTGGATTCTCCTTTGGGCTCCAACTGGGAAGAAGAGCAAAAATTGGTCCCGGAGGGGCTCGAACCCTCGACTTTCGCATTGTATTTCAAATGAAATATTAGTACGATGCGCTAACCAACTGCACCACGGAACCATTCAATTGATTGGTTGATGAAGTCACTGCTGCGATTGAGAGACTTAATGGAAGCTTGCTGAGAAGGGACACTGGAGCACTATGCTAACATTCATCTAAGGAGAACTACCCAGCCGTTACGTCAAAGTTGACCAGCAATCTGGCGGTCTTTCTTTTTCTATAGAAAGGCGGAGACGCGTCAAGGTACTGCCTCCAGATTTGGGGGGCTGGTTGTGGAAACAAGATTTCGATCTCCAGGCCCGGCCAATGACAGAGCAATAGTTTATATGACGAATGGAGTGCTCTCCGCAAGGAGGATGGGGGCTCAAAGGCTCCACTGCTTCTGTATGTTGTCAGCCTGTTTCTTATGCATAGCCCAATGCATCTACTCCGTAGTGGGGGCCAAGAAGAGGCGTAGGCTGCGTTTTGGCATCTAGCATTGCATCTGCAAGACCATTCGCCACGTACCACCACTGATCTCTTTCCTAGTTTACAAGCATGTTATTGGCTATATTCCTCCTATGAGCATTCTTGGTCGTCAGGGGTTAAACTGATGTGGAAAAACGGATCATGGTGTATAGAATGCCGAGCGGACGACCTTTATAAAACTAAACACAATCTTTCATATACTGTTATTCTAGCCCTGTTTTGTATTAATACTTATAGCAATGTCACAATATAACAAGCCAAGGCCACGGGATACGTTCAATCTGGTGTACTGATACCAATACGGTCGGTGAACTTGTTGTTGAACATTCCTGTCGAGTTCAGTTGTTGGTAAACTGCGTGCCAAGCTGGAAAATCTGGATACCAGGCACGAACATCATCGGCTGTAACTAAACCCAGATCCAGACCCCAATGCACGCGGACAGATGAAGTGTCGTTTGTACATACGTGCTCCTTGATGCTCTGTGCGAGGCTTGCTCCTGTCTCGACGCCAACCAGCATATCCAGCTCAATTGAACAGGTCATTCTGCCCGTTTCTGGAGCCAAGAATGCATCCGATGGCCCGGTGAAGCGGATTCCCAAGGGACCTGCCATGTACCAGTTGTGACGCTTGGCCTCTTCATTGAAAACAGTGAGGAGGTTGTCAATGACCGGAACACATTGAGCAGCATTGCAGTGAAGCTCCAGTGCTTGTGCCTTGATGCCATTGGCTGCACCTAGGTTGAAAACCCGGAAACTCTTGTCAATGTAGGGATCACTCTCGACAAGTGTCGCTATGGCCTTGTTTATGGCAATGGGGCTGACGACAGGCAGTCGGTTGAGTAGGCCGACTAGGCCAGACACGGAATATATGGAGAACTGCACGAGGAGTGCGCCTAGCCAATCCTTTCGCTCACCCGACTTTCTGGCCTTACCATTCATTCGCATTCGCTCAACTCGGATGCAAGAGCTGTGTGACCAGCTCATGTATGGGTTTAAAACCAGTTCAAAATGGTCCGCACCTGCAACGATTGGGGCAACCGGAGCCCACAGCTCTGGCAAGAGCTCTTTGCGAATGTCGTCCCATTTGGTAGCCGTGCGCATTTCGCGAATAAAAAACGCGTCTCTCACCTCGATCACGTAGCTGTATATCACACCGAGACAGCCTATGGAGACAAGAGCGGCACGAAACCAGTCGTTGTCTTGCTTGAGCACCACTGGAACACCATCGACAGCATTGGGAAAGATCGACGAGTTGCTCAGTGGCCCGTTTCCGACGCTGTTGTCGCCGGGCTCGATCTGGTAGACAGTACCATTCTCAGAAACGAGCACAATCGCACGCACAAAGCTAGGTAAAGGTCCGTACGTGATACCAGAGCCATGAGTGGCCGTGGACATGGCACCAGCCAAGGTTTGTCCATCATAGCCTCCCATATTGAGAAGCGAAAGATTGCGGTTGTCCAGCTCTGTGTTGAGATCTCGTATTGTGATGCCAGCCTGAACCCGGGCCAGCTTGCGACTGCGGTTGGCCGTATCTCCTGGGTCTCTCAAGCGAGATACGATGGCATTAAACCGTGCCCTGGCGTCGTCATTTGGTGATATGGAGGTTGGTGGTGTAATGGCAACGATGCCATCCTCCCCGTTATCGACCATGGATAGACGCCGGAGAAGTTGCATGCTCACCAGCACGGCGTTGTCACAATTCGTGATGTCCGAGAATGAATGTCCAGAGCCAGCGGCGTGCACACGGTGCCCAAGTCGGTGTGCATCAGTCAGGATGCCAACAAGCTGCTGGAGGGTCTCGGGTTTCACAATGGCAAGCGGGAGGCTTCGTTGTTCATTGACACAGTTGGCCCACACTGGGTTTCCGTTTTCAAACGTAATGTTGGCCTCAGTGTTGTCAATTCTTAAGGCCATATGGACCGATTCGTGGGCTTGTTGTTGGCGCCACTTGACATCACGCGCACGACGGCGTTGGTCCTTGCCTTTTTCCCTGGCCACATTCCATACACCGTTATGAGCTCTCGCCGGGTCTTTGTACGAAATATTTTGTTGAGCTTCCTCAGGGTCTCCTCATCGTATGGCTTTCCGCGAAAGTCCCGTACAGTCCGCTCTACCGAATGCTGCGCCCCCATGCCGGATAGGTTGTTTAGGAATAATAATAACGTATGTATATTAGATTGGCTAATGATACTGGCGGAATGGTGGACGTAGGATGACCTCACAGGTAACCTGCGATGCTGCGTAGACAGATGGCATCTTTCAGGATGGCTTAGTGGGCTGTTTTCATTTTTGTAGTTGCTGTTGAAGACAGAAGGCACGATCAAACAGAGACTAAAGGACAAAGCCAGCGAATGCGGTTTCCATTTTCAACTCTGAAGGGGGCATTCCATGCTTGCAATGCGCGTCAAGCATTCTGACCTTATTTCAAGCTCGTCGTTTTCTGGAGCGATTATCAGCCAGTGAATTTGCTTCCATAGAGAGGTAAAAACATACCGAGATTTCCTTGAGAGTCGGCGACGCTTATGAGCTACTTTACCTGCTCGGCCTTCTGAGCTTATTCTCACGTCGAGCCCTGACAGGAGAACAGACTGGAAATGGTGACACGTTCACATTGCAGTCCTGTGAATTGTCCAACTCACTTCTGCTTTCTTTCATCGGCCGATTGTGTAATACTAGCCAAATTCTCTTCGCCTTGGAAACTATCACGCCGTCTAGTTTGCTTGCGGTGGTAGGAAAACCAGTTGCCGTTCCCGGTAGTCCGGTTCAGATGGCTTTTGGTTCTTTCCTTTGTTTGAGATATTTATGCGATCATCACGCTTTCCCAACTAAGAACACTGGGAACTACCTTTTCCGGTATACCAAACCGATCACGGCTTTCCCAGTTGGAAGTCATCGCTTGTTGAGGAGTAATTTCTACTTTACAGTTTTCGTTGGGCACGCTTGACACACTTCAAACACTTGACCACTTTGATTATCATGAGAGTTTACAGTCGCCAGCCGCACACAACGTTACCCAATCGGGCTTATGCGCGCAACAGCGACATTGCTTTGTGATGCCCTGGCCCGAAATACGAGAGAGAGGCGACACTAAGGTGCAATCGGTGGTCCGAGGACCTGGCCGAGGCCTAGAACGGACCAGCTAAGATGGAAAATAAACAGGAAGAAATGCTTACTTATGCAAGCGTTAGTGGTGGAGCCTACAGACGTCACATCGGCCAGATTGGCCATGGAGCAAGAAACAGCTTGAAAACTACGGGTGGGGTCTTTAGACCATCAGTTGACCTGCTGGCATCTGCATGTTCAGCGCAGCTGAGAGAGAGGCGATATTGACGATGCCCCGAGACGCGAGATCTGCATGCCGAAGACGGTCAGGGCCACCTGGACATACGACGGAAGAGGCGGACAGAGGAGCCGCAGAAGGTCAATGTCGGACGTGTTTCCGGTAAGGCGCTGATCTTCACTTGCCCATCGTACCGGGTCTGCAGTTGGGGGACGTGATCAAAACCCGCTAGGACGGTTAGTGTGTGTCGTGGCAGCAGCAGAGCTGCAGAGGTGGACACGAGAAGCCAAGACTCGCTCCAAGTGCAAGTGATTCTGGCGTGCGGCGGTTTTCCGTTCAGCCCAACGCCAGGCGTTGAGACAGGGTTCAGGATCCAGGATCCAGAGCAAAAAGACGGTTGTCGAGGAGTTGAATTTTAAGAACAGGACCCAGAAAATCACGTTGCTGCTAGCGCATTCGCCTCAATGCACGCAACGGCCACGCAGTCGTTATCGCGCAGGTTTGCCGAGTCGCCTGATTTCCGTCCAGACGCCCATTCGCTGACGCGCGGATTCGACAGGACGCAGTTGCGCGGAAGGCCAGCGGAACCCACTCAAGCCCACCAAACAGCATCTTCCGCGCATCTGCAAAGCGACGAGGCTGCGCAGCAGAACGGTGTCCTGCATTCCGACACACATTGTCCAATTCCACGCGACAAGCTCGACGTCCCCCAGAACATGCACGTCCCAAGCATGGCACACTCCTGCAGCACACCTGTTCTCCCACCTGTTTCCGGGCTCGGTACTTGAAGCTGGCAGGGTGGCAGTGGCGGTGAACTTTGCGATACACGGCTAGTGCGTGTAGCGTGTATCTCCCTGACCGAACCAACGGCGGCCGCGTCTGTCTCGCCGTGTCTTGTCCGACGCATCTGCGTCACGACGCAAGTCAGGGGCATCTCGTCGTCGAAATCTTCAAGGCCAGAGAACCCAAAATGGCGCTCCGCAGCGAAAATCAAAGCAGACAGCAAGCTGCGACCGGACTTCAGGCCCAATGGCACCAGTTCAAGCGCAACATCGGGTGGCAGACGTGAGTATGCCGCAGAGGTGACTGATGGGGCGGCAAAGACGCTGCTCGAGTAGATTGGACTGGACGTCCATGATGGACATGATGCGTTCACCTGTGCAGCTGCGAAACGGATGAAAAGGAGCGGCTGCCCGTCGTTTGCTGTCCGTGCCTCTGCCTCTCTGTTGACATCGCATCTGCTTCCTTCGACAGTTCTGTGTTCTCTCGTCTGCCTGCAGGCTTCTCATCGTCATCAGAGGAGCACCACCCTTGAGACTGGAGCCACGTCCGTGCTAGATACTCCCCTCTTGGCCCCTCTTGCCCCAGGATTAGTCCTCTTGTGCCTCGCTTCTTTCCCAGTCATCCGAGTGTCTGAGAGTCCCATGCTGGCTATGGATACTCGACGCTTGGCGGCCCCGCTCCGTCCGGCGGTGGACAATATCAGACACGCCTCGCCGCGAGTGGGCATAAAGGAGGCCAGTCTTGTGTTACGATCGCGAGCCCCATCCAACAATCCGCCTTTTAGGGGCACCGCCTGCCAGCCACCTGTTTCTCTGGCCTCCACAAGCAGCGAGCTGAGCACAGCTGTGACCAGTCCATTCGTCCTATTCGACAAGCCGTCTGCCGACAGCCGCAGTGAGACGTCCAGATCGTCCACACCGGTTACCGACATGTCCAGCATGTGCCATTCCACTGGAAGCAGTTTCGCCACGTCTGTGCAACCGGATGGCGAATGTGGATACCCCAAGGACGAGGAGAACGATTCTTGTGCGAGCAGATCAGATAAAGAGTATGTCCATGTCGAAACACCCAGACAGCTTCGTCCCCGCCTCTTGCTTCACTTTCGCTGCACAAGCCTTACCCGCAGCTAACGCCAGTGTCTTACTTTTCAGCTCGGATTCGGGCCACGGAGAAATGAGATTCGACGAAGTGGATATCATGGCAACAGCAAAGGAGGCGCTGAACACGCGGTCTTTGAGAGAGGGCCAACTGCGATACTCCATGTCGGCGCTGTCAGCGCAGTCCGGGGTCTCCGACTCGGGCGAGAGTGACTACGCTCGTCTTGCTTACGAGGACGACGAGAATCCTGGTGCTTACGAGGACGATGACGATTGGAGCGGCACCGACAGTCTTGATGCTGCTGTCATTGCAGCAGTGGACGGAGATCTGAGCCTTGCCGCTTTTCTCATCCCACTCTTGCACAAGGATTTGCGTAACGCGGTGAGAAACAAGGTGGAATCCTGGCAGAACACATCGACGACCCGACCTCCCAGCTCTGCGACAGGATCAACGGTGACGCGGGGAGGCGCATCCGGAGCAGCATCTGGAGCAACTTCGGGCAGCTCCATCGTGGCAAGCGGAAGTAGTGGGGCACAGGACCAGGTATCTAACCAGTCCCGAAAGCGACGGCGCCGGCCGTCTGACTCGGAAGACGACCGGGAGGAGGGAGAGGACGAGCACGGGGGCAATGGCGGGAACGGTAGCTCAAGACCAGAATTGATCGACGAGCCGTTGTCACCACTTCTGGCCTGTCCGTTCCACAAGCTCAATCCGTCCAGATATGGAATCCAGCATAACGTCACGTCTGGTTCACGAAAGGATGGATACCGGGCCTGTGCCGGCCCGGGATTCAAAAGCATCCAACGGTTGAAGTGAGTTCTGCTCAGGGGAAAGCCGAAATCTGCAAGCGGTATGCTAACAGGGCGAAGGGAGCATCTAAAACGGAAGCACACGCCTGTCCAGTGCGAGCGGTGCTACCTAGTGTTCAGCGGATCGGACAAAGCGAGGTGCATCAACGAGCTGACTGAACACCTGAGGCTGGAGGTGCCATGTCAGAAAGGGGAGTCTGTGTTGAAAGAGGGGATCAGCGAGGCCCAATGGGCGGCGCTGGACAAGCAGAACAGGAAGAAGAACCAAGAAAAACACAAGCTGGAGAAGTGGTTTGAGATCTGGCGCGTTCTTTTCCCTGAAGTTCCGGAGCCAGAGACGCCTTGTAAGTCCAGAAGATCGGTTCGGTGGTCGAGTGGAGCGCTAATTTTTGCTTAAAGGGTACAACGAGGTGACACAAAACCGGTTTCCGTCGCCGTCGCGGGAGAACGAGGCGTTTGCCGACCTGTTTCTGCACATCCTGAACCATAAGGTGCAGCAGGGCGACATCAGCTTCCCGGGCTGCAACACGGATGACGTGCAGCAGCGGCTGCGGAATCTTGTGCAGCAGACATTCCGGACATATGTCAACCTGCATGGGCCGATGTCGCGGACAACAGAGACGACGTCAAGCCAAACAGGGACCAACAACGTGCACTCGTCACTGGTTGGCGGATCGTCAACGCAACAGTCTCGTCCGACCAACAGCATGTCGTTGCCGGCGACAGCAACGTCCCACACAACGGGCACCGTCATCAGCCAGATGCACGCGCAGACAACAGGGCAGTATGCGATGAACATGCCGGCGGTGACGACGGTCGGCGTTCCGGGAATGTCGTATGCTGTTCCGATGCCCCAGAGGCCGAACAACTACGCCCAGTACCACCACACGCCGATGAGCGTGACGTCGATGCCGGGACAGGTGGCAAGCACTGCGGGCACGGCAATGCAGGCCAGCTTCACGGGCAACGGACAGGAGGAAGTGTCCATGTACTACTCGACACCGATGATGCACTGGCAATCTGCCGGCATGCAATATGGAGCAGCGCCGATGTCAGCCGTGCAGTACCCGGGCGATTTCTACGGCGCCAATGGGTACATTCCAGGTCCAGGGGCTGACTACAGCAACTGCCGTTGACCTTGTAGGGGGGTTTCAGTGTTCGTGCGTGACTTTAGATGTATTCTCACTCTTTTACATAGCTCCTTTGTATCATCCTGCATGGTGGACAGCACTTGAATTACAGGCATATCCGTTCCAAGAAGACCCACTCTCTCAGCTTCAATGCAGGTCGCAGATGGGTCGTATCTTCGTAAACTGTCGTGTCTGCTGGCAGAAAGAGAGCGAAAGGACAGCAGCCAGAACTGATAGGCCAGAGCGAGGTGGAATCGAGGGGTGCCGATCTCCAGACTACGGAATACGCTGTTAAGCCACGAGTTGGCTCCTAAGCTCCTAAGCAGCTATTCGCCATCCCGGCAAGTGGGTCGGCGCTCAAACCGCAAGCTCCACTCTGCGAGCCCCTGCCTGTTTGGGTTGGCAGGCAAAAAACGTAACGAAATAGGACAATGAGGAAGGAAGAGTTGGATGGTAGCAGCCTTTCCTTCCTTGCACACGAGCAGCGCAACCAGACGACCGAATCGGCCGCTCCAAAGATACGCAAAAAAGGGTCGTGTCTCTCTCCCTTTCTCTCTCACCTCTCTCTCGTTCGCTTCTCTGTTCTTTGGGCCCCCTCTCTCTCCCGATTCCGCCACAGCGTCCGCGCGACTATACCAGACAGCTGCGATAGCGCCAGGCCTTTTTTTCTTTTTGCCCTTTGTTCTTTGTGGTGCATCGTCATAGCCTCAAGGTTGGACCGCTCTCTCTGGAGCCTCCCCTTCCACCTTTCTCAAACATGTTCTCCCGATTCCACCGGCGGGCTCCGTCCACGCCCAGCTCACCACTGCCCGACCAATTGCCCTGGGAGGCTTCACAGCACGAGAAGCACCACGGCCGGACGCATCACGACGTGTCCCGACCCAGATCCAGCGGCAGCGCAGGAGCTGCCACGACCAGCTCATTCTCCTCGACTACCCCCACATCCACAACGATGGCCTCGCCAGCGGCAGCAGCCACGAGCCCGAACATGCCGCACACCCTCCCTCCGATCACGCGGGTCGCTTCAATGGCTTCGTCGACGGACAGCGCATTCGACGGCCGGACCTCAACGACTGCCTTCTCGGGACAACGGTCTTCTCTCGATATATGGCGTCAATCACAAATACAACCACATCTACCATCAAAACCACCACCACCACCACCACCACCACCCCAGACACAGCCACCGCCACCTCCATCCTCGCTATCCTCGGTGTCACAGCGAGCATCCAACCTGTCCGCTGCAGCAGCCGGCTGGCCGTCATACTCCATAGAACACACGAGCTCGATAGCCGTGACACCAGGTTCGGCATCTGGGTCGACATCAGAGTCAGGCGACATGTACGGCCCGTCGGAGAAACGACTGACACGATCTAAACCGCCCCCGCCGCCAATCAACACCGACCTCGCCTCGGCACAGCTTCTCAGCGTCTATGCCACCGGTGCAGACAGCAGGCCGGCCAAACTGACGCCGTCCTTTGTCACACCGACTGACCTGCAGTTTTCTGCGGCAGCAGCAGCAGCAGCAGCTTCGGCCGTTCATACGGCAAGCACAGATGCCCACGGCAGCAGCAGCAGCAGCAGCAGCAACACACGCCCCAAAAAGGGCCTCCCGTTCCTGATGAAAAACCCAATGTCATCCCTCCTCAGTAGACGACGTCCAGCTCACAACAGCGTCGAGCCGTCGTATGCGACCGACCATGCGGACGTTCCGGTCTACGCGCCCATCCGAGGCACCAGAGTACACGACTTCAGCGCTCCTCGGCCACGACGTGTCATCTCGACCGAAGCACCCCAGAGCATGGCCGCCGCAGCCGCCGTAGCTGCAACTACGGCAGCTTCGGTGGCCAGCCCAACTCATCCGTCTGCCCCTCTTGCTGTGAGCGACAGACCTCCAGCTAGCCGGTATGCCAAAGACGACCACAACTATACCGTGCAGCAGCAGCAGCAGCAGCAGCAGTCGCCGTCGCCGTCACCGGCATTCCTCCACAGAAGCGCCTCGGCCGCTTCCTCTTCTACCAGGATATCGATGGAGAGCCGCGGGTCGCTGCACCTGTCGGCCTTGCCGACGTTACAGACACTGCAGGAAAACAAGCAGGTGTCGTTTGACGAGAAGCCGGTTCTCGGGCTGCCAGGTTTGCACGTCTCGCCGCCGAAGGACGCGGCTGTCGGATCGTTGCCCTCCCAGACGCCTTCGACTCAGTCGCGGGCAGCCTCCAACGACGCCTCCTCTCTCCTCAAGCAATCGTCCACCTCTTCGATAGCGACTTCCCAATCCCAGTCTTTGTCACTGCCCGACATAACGCCCAGCCTGACCGTTGATCCACCACATCAGCCTGCGCCAGCGCCATTACCAGCGCCAGCGCCTTTACCGGTGCCAGTCTTGTCCTCGGTGCCGAGGCATATGAAGAGCACGTCATCCCGGTTCAGCTTCATGGTCGGATCTGCGAGCGAAGAAAAGCTGCTGGAAGAACGCCATCGAAAGAAGCAGCTGGAGAAGGAGGCAACGCTTCCCGACGAAACGGTCGCCGACATGGAGCCACGGGACTCGAGGTTCGACGATTTTGACGAAGACAGCTTTGACTACGACACCATGATGGATGATGGCGGACTCGAGGAGAAGATTCCGGGAGTCAACGCGGATGCGGAAGAGGAGGACGACTACCTGTTCGAGGAGCCCGGTTACGGCTACGAAGAGGAGGAGGTTCCGCAGACGACCATTGACAATTACGACGTCGAGGACGAGACGATGCCGACCACGCTTGAAGACGACGACCCGGAAGGACTGGACCCGAACAACGACCAGGAAAACTTTGCCGGCTTTGTGTTCCAACGATCCAACCCGACATCGTCACTGGTCAGTCCCATTGCTGCAGGCACGACGGCGACGCCGCGCGACACGACTGACCGAGGGACCACGCCCGACTTTCTTCTGCCTGCCGCATCGCCATTCTCGCCCATGTTCCCGCAAAGCGACATCTACGGGACCAGCCAGGAGGCTAGAGGCTACGACGAAGACGCCACGATCACGACTTCGGACATCAGCATCAGCACCTTGGCGGCCGCGGACCAGCTCAGGGCAGAACAAGACTCAGGGTCGGAGTATTCGGACGAGGAGACGGCATCCGAGCCTGCCCACGAGACGCAGTCCGAGCAGCCATCGAGCCAGCCGATCCACATCAGCAGCATGCACTTCCAGCCGCACCATCGCGGGGACGATCTGTACTTTGACCAGGGCCTTGCCGATGAGCTGGATTTTGGCGTACCGGACCCGTCCAATGGGCCGTTTGACGAGTCCATCTTTGACAACAATGACACGGACCAATACGGCCGACCGATCCCGGGGGCCTTTGCCAAGGCGCAGGCGCAGCGGGCGATAGCAGTCGAAGCGGCCTCAGCCAAGCGAAACTCGGACATCGTCTCGCCACAGCTGTCGGAACAGTCACATGTGACGCAGTCGACAGCGCACACTTCGATGAGCGCGGCCGGCTTCCCGATGTCTGTGGGTGAGCTGGGCGAGCTGGGCGAGCTGGGCGAGCTGGGCGAGCTGGGACAGTCGGAGAAGAGATTGAGCCAGCTGAACGAGAATGGGGATTCGCTCGTATCTGATGTTACTCTTCGCCGACAGCTGATGTCGGTCGTGACCGATGCCGACCGGGTTGCCGCTTACCAGGCCGCTCTGGCCGAGGCAGCGCACCAGGCGGCGGCGTCTGGGAAGTTTCGTCGCGACTCATCGCCAGCTCCTGTTTCGCCCAGTCTTGGTCTTGGCCTTGGCAGTGTCGGCGTCGGGTCAGAGGAGGACGGCGGACCGGGTCTGGACATCGACATCGTGGACGCTGCGGCCTCAGGTCCAATTCCGGCAGCGGCTTCGGCTTCGGGCCAGGACTTCCAACAAGACGAGGAGGAATACAAGTATACACAAGACATGGACGACTATGAGTTTGATGACGACGCCATCATCGATGCGGCCAATGCAGAGGTGCTGGCCAACGACAGCGACGGGTTCTACGGGCAGGAGTTCAACTTCTACTCAGCGCCGCTGTACCACCACGGCTCATCGGCATCGGCGTCTTCGGCCAGCTCGGCGGAGTATGCCAACGGGGGCTACTTTGTGGCGGCGGGCGTGGGCCGCAGCACGTCTGGGCGGGTGGTCTCGCGCGAGCCGAACCTGACGCCGATCACAGAGCGGTCGGAATACTCGAACCGGAACAGCGTGTTGTCGATGACGATGCCGCCACTGGGCACGAGCGCGGACCTGCGGTCGCCGGGGCTGGCTCAGCTGGCGATGCTAGACGATGGGGGCAACGGCAGCGAGATGAGCATGCAGGCGTTGCTGCGGCTGCGCACGCGAACATTTGGTGGCGGCAGCCAGGCGAGCCTGTCGAGTCGTGAGGGCAGCCCCAAGTCCGTGGCGGGCGGCGTCATGGTTGCGGATCGAGAGCGGGACCGAGAGCGGGACCGAGACCGAGAGCGCGAGGGGACATCGCCGCCGTGGGGCGTGCCAGCGTATTCAGGTCTTGGGATCGGCATCGCCGGTGGCAGCAGCGGGTATCTTCACCAGCATGGCCGCAAGAGCTCGGCGACGGGCTTCTCTTTTCGCGGCAGCAGCGGGCTCACGTCAGAGACGGGCAGCGACAGCGGTAGTCCGACGATGACTAACTTCGCAGTCATCCCCATCATGGCGCCGTCGCCGATCTCGCCGCCGGTAGTGTACTCGGGCATCAGCGGGACGTGTCCGCCAGTGAAGGAGGAGAGCGACGAGACGGCGGCAACGACAACGGCAGCGACAACAGCGACATCAACGGCAATGTCACCGACAACATCGGCCGCGTCGCTATGGGACACCCGGACCGGCTCCAGCTCGCTGACCGGGTCGGGGTTGTGGATGCGCAGTCCCACCAGCATCGATGCCGGACTTGCCTCGACGGGAGGACAGCTGCAGCAGCAGCAACAGCACCCGAAAGGCTACGTGATGTCGCCGACGATCATGTCCGAGTGCACATCGCCCACGTCTCCGCTGGCATCGTTCCACCGGCCGACGGCAGGCTTGGGCCACCGACATCGCGGTTCGGCCGACAGCATCTCGTACACGATGGAAGAGGACAGCGGAGAGACGGTGTGGGTGATGGAACGACGACGGCTGGCGGAGTCGGGCGAGGTGGAGATTCTGGAGCGCGAAGTGGTGGAGGGAGGACGGATATGAGAGCCGGGACGAGTTTGTTACATTTGCTTTGCATCACTTTAGCGACTGCCGCATTTCCGGGAAGAGGGACGAAAACCAGAGCCAGAATGGGAGAACCGTCAGGACAGTGGGATATGAATGCATAGGAAAGGCGGGACACAAAAGGGCTTGGATAGTATTCAGGGAATAGATTGATACCGGTGGCCGAACAGCAACGGAAAAAAGACAAGCTGTAGGCCTCAAGGCTATTGATGAGTCTTTTGTGCTAACCTCCATTTCTTGCAAACACTAGGTACAAATAACTGTTTGTCCACACTGTCCGTCTTGAAATCTATACTGTTATACTGTCGCAGACAGCGATCCAGACCGGTTCTCTAGAAACCGTCCTCGCCATCGGCCGTGGACTCCTGTGCTGCGTCTGCCATCTCGAGATCTTCTGTCTTGTGGCCGTTGCTCTGCGACGGCGCCACCTCGACGCCGCCATCGACGTCATCCAGCTCCGTGTCCTCGTCCTCGGGCCTGGCCGTCACCACCTCCTCCGTCTTGACGGTGGCCTTGCGACCGCGGCCACGACCAACGCCAGCCGTCTTGGCCGGTTTGGCCGCTCTGGGCGTCTTGGGTGTCCGAGGTGTCCGAGGGGCGCCGCCACCGCGACGACGCTTCGGCGTGCCGTTGATCGGAGTGAACTCGATCGTGCCGTTCTCACCGTTCTCACCGTTCTCACCGTTGCCAGATTCGATGGCCACAGACACGCCCCCGTCCACATCGCCAGCCTCACCGGCTTCATCGGCTTCGCCGGCTTCATCATCCATGGCTGCCACCATGGAGTCGGCATTCGGAGCCTCCACGACGACAGCAGCCGCTGCTGCTGCCGTGACGGCTGCCGACTTGCGCTTGCGGCCACCCGGTGTCGCGGGCGCTGCACCACCTGCAGCAGACGAAGCGGCCGGCCCAGCAGCCGCTGGCATGTCGGAGAAGAGCTTTTTCTTGATCCGACCCCATGCGTTGGAGGCACTGCCGACGTTGATCATGCCGCACTCGGTGGCCAGCTTGCCGTAGTCGACCTGCAGCACGTCAGCACTCCGCTCTCCTCTCTTCTGCGGCCGGCTCGCTCACCTCAGGCTGCGTCTTCATGCACTTCCAGGCCTTGCCGAGAATCTCGATCTCGCGTTCCGTCAGAGCCAAGCCTTTGGGGTCTTCCTTGGTTGGCGAGGCCATTGTGTGTGTCTTTTGGCAAAGCTGATACGGTATGGAAGAAGGAAGGTGTGTATAGACTGGGAGTGAAATGAAAGGGAGGAAAGAAAGGCGAGAAAGCGGGTGTAAGTGGAAAATGTGAGTGGAACGAATCCGGCCGATCTCGTGGTTGAATGCAAAGGACAGGAGTGAATGCGTGCTGTGTGGCTCTGGATGTGCTTCACTACAGCGACGAGATGGATGGGAGACGACGGTCGATCGCAAGGCTGCTCCGTCATTGTGTCTCGTTCAGGGCAGACGACAGTATGAGCGAAGTACGGCCGAGCTGTCACTGGGCCGCGCATTCACTTCAGTTGCTCGTCAGACCGACGTGATCAACACGTCGAATCGTATCCGCCTCAGGCCGTCATCGCATCTGTCTCACCCTGCTGTCAGGGGGGCTTCGCTGACGCTTGGTAGGTGCACATCGTATACCAGCTGTATTACAGCTACCAGCATAGCCTTTTACCTGTTCTGCGCTTACATTGCTGATCTGAAGTGAGGCCGGGATACCACGTCACGTGCTGGCTTATATTATGTGATATGGCACAAAAGTCAGTCAATCGTTTGCACTACCACTACCATATTTGTGCGAGACAGCTGGTCCTATATTTCAGCCGTTCTTTCGTCCAGGAACATCGCTGACAAAGTGCATCATCAAATTCTTGTTCCCTAGCGTCTCCACTCGGCTCTGCATCGCCCGAGATGTCCTCCTCGACCTGTCCAACTGCTTCTTCTGTGTGGCCAGAACGGCCCGCTGCTCCGAGATGGACAGGTGCACGAGACTCTGTCGGTCTGCTGCGCGCAGATGAACGAGCTGGTGCGTTGTAAAGTCCCGCACACGCCTCTCGCTTCGTGTCATCGCTGTCGGGCTGTCGTCGCCCTGGACAGGATCCGGAGTCGAAACGCACGATCCGCCGTCCGGCTGCTGTGACGGTTCGGCTGCGTTGTCTCCTGCCTGACGAAGTCGCTGCTGGCGAGGCCACAACGGCCTGGCTGTTCGCTGCATGACAAGCTTGCCGGACGGCAGACGCAGACTGTCGTCGACAGGCCGCCATGACGGAGAGGCCCTTGCATGTAGTGTCAATGCTCTGTTGGTATCATCGACGTCCCCGTCAACACTTCCGTCGGCGATGTTGTCTTGCTCGTAGGAGCTGAAGTCATACAGATCACGAAATTCCGAGTCTTCGCCTTCGAGGTCAAATCTGCAATGCGCCTTTCCCCTCATATGTTGCTGCACCGCATCGACCGTGTTCCGCTCGCTACCACAGTAGAGACACTCCATGTAACCGGATATAATCAGGTCAAAGTAGGCCAGAAGTGTCTCGACATCCACTACTAGATGCTCCCTGTTCGGGATGAAGAGACCATGGGCCTTTTGCATGTGGTCGAGGTTGTCGTCAATGCTGGCACTCATCTGATTGCAAAACAAGCATCGCGACGAATCAAAATCAGGACTACTGTGAAGATCAACCAAATCGGCATCGGATGCCATTGTGTTTGATGTAAATGAGAGACGCGAATGGCAATGCACAAGGTCGCGGACCCGTAAGAATGCAGTATCAACAAATTCAATTTATCGCACAGTTGCGGCGCTGCAATATGTTCCATCATTCGCCCCGTGCAAACGGTACCATAGAGCAAGACCCACGAGACGTCAAAAAATGCTGGGAATCATGTTCAGGCTCCACTCCAGCCAGCTGTTTAGGTCGATGAGTCGAATCTGCATCACTGTGAGTCAACACTAGGTCTCGAACAGAAAAGCTGCCCAAGCCTATTGGCCAGATTCTGATTCGTGAGTGCACGTTCCACCAAACTTTCCATACAGTGCAGACGCCAGGTTCCGTGGTGCAGTTGGTTAGCGCATCGTACTAATACTTTGCCATACGGCGAAATACATGCGAAAGTCGAGGGTTCGAGCCCCTCCGGGACCATTTTTGCGCTTTGCTTTTTGTCGTCTTCGTCGCTAGACGCACAAGGCTCTCAATAGGTCCTATGGTTGTCTGAGGGTGGGATTACAATCCTAGTAACTCACGTTAACCCGGTGCCATTTAAGTAGAATCCTAAATGTATCGAAGTTGTCTTACCTAGCCCCACGCATATCCTTAGGATAGGGTGTTTCCCATGTCCAGTTTTCAGGACAGATCCTTGCCTAGACAAAACAGCAGGCCCAGGCTCGACATCAATCGAAGAAAGCAAGCGTTGTGATGGAGATAGAAGTCTGGGCGATATTGAGTTGTCGGCCACTTTTGGTATTTGAAGCGCAGATGAATTGTCTGTCCTGTACTCCAAAAAACTGCTGTCATCCCCAATTCAAGTTTCGCTTTTCTGTCGTTGTTGTGATAGTCGAATTTCTGTGACATATAGGTCGTGTCTTTTATATAAAAGTGATCAACCCAAGTATTGTTCTCTTCCTTTGAGAAAACTAACATTGTTGGTAGTATCAACTCGTCTAGATGATTTTTTGTACCAGGAATATCTCCCGGGCGTTCAAGCTGAAATAACTCCTTATTTGCCGTAGGCCTAGAACCGTCTTCCTTCAACTGCTTGTCAAATGCCTCCCATATTTCCGAGAGGTTAACATCGCCTGTTGGCGACCGTTCCATCAGTTCAAGACCTTGTGCTGATAAATGATGTTTTTTTGCTAATTTTATGATGATAAGCATCCCATCTTCATCCGGATAGCCATATTTCATGCGAAAATACGCAAGCATGTATATTGGATTCATAGCAATGGTATCAAGGTCTCGACGAAAAACTCCCGGAATCACTGATGCTTTCCGGGAAACTGAAATGGCATCTTCCAAACTCTCACGAGTTTTGAGCTTTTTACATCTCGCGTAACCCATATAGCTAAGTGTGGTCATCAACAAGATATAAAGAGGGCCGCTGTCGAGGATCAAATCTAGTGCCTTATAAATAGCAGACAAGCATTCTTCGATATCCTGTAGTGCATTTGTTATACTACACCTCGACATAATCACATTGATATATGCTGCAAGGGCAGAAGATAATTCGTCATCTCCTATGGCGTAATGAATCGCCTTTTGGATGCCGAAATTGCCTCTTCAAGGGCTCCGGTTTACCGTATTTCCTGAATAAGAGGTTGCACATATTGGCCAATTCCCCGAAATAAGACGGACGTGTTAGTACGAGTCCTGTCTCGTCAATTGTCTTTATTACCTCGGCAAATGCCAGCGCATTGTTTATAGTCTGCATCGTGTTGGAACTTCTTATTGATGTTGCCGTTAATATAAACTCACTTTTTCTGGAATAGGACTTTCGTGATAAATAAGATCGGTTGTGTCCCCGGTGCAAGATGTTTAGCTGCCATTATCAAGTGCATCCAATGCATGAACATATAGGCTGTGCAAATCCTCAGATGTTAATTGAACTTGTCCATCCACCAGGCGGCCTATGGTGCCAATTCCATAGCCAAGGTCCATAGTCGAATTAGCGTTTGAGTGCGATTTTCTTATACCTTGACGAAATGGGCAAATCAGCACATGCCAGTCGTTATCCCAGAGTAGTAGTACATAAGCATGAGATAATACCGAGACCTACAGAACAACACGTGTATGGCCACGTAAGGGTGAAACATAGGATATGAGGCCGTGAACGCCTTCTTGGCAGCATCCGATTGGGCATTCAAAAACAAACAAACCCAGGCCGCCAGTCGGGACTTTCGTGTGCCCTTGTAAGATGCCCTTGTAAGATTTATTATGCAGTATTGCTACGTGTTGTATGATTCTACTCTAGGCACCTGCGGACCTATTGCAAACTCGTTGGGTTCCTGCTGCGGCTCTGCTGTTTCAGCCTCTGATCACATTGTTGGATATAAATAACGAGGTTATAAACCCTCACATAGTAGGGTCTGTCCACCTTCTTTCCCAATCTGTTTCGCATCACCATACAATAACCATTAATTAAACTGGTTAACACTGACAATGCCAACGCCATCAGTCGGATCAGAATGCTCCGTCAGTAGCTATACCATCATGGACACAGCCTGAAATACTCACAATGGTCAGAGGTCGAAGACCCCGTGCTTGAGGAGCAGCGATGCAGAAGTTTGGGACAGTCCCATATTATCGTACACCGATACACAAAACATGAAGCTTCGAAAACCAAAAATATTGCTTGGTCAACTCACTCTATTGAAGTCAAAAGTCCACATCTCAGAAAAATTCTAGATGATATGTTTTGCGACTATCCGAACTGGGCACCAGATGATTCCCCTTACACGTTCTTTCTCATTCAAGCCGCTTGTTCACAGGGGAAGTATTCTGGACGAAGAAAGTAGTAACCAGACAGACAGAAGAATTCAAATGGAGGTTCACATGCTACGCCAGGAGATCGATCCGCTTTTGAAACCCAATTTATCGGCTTTGGAACAAGTAAAGTCCAGCGATACGATATCGTTCGAGGATCTATGGCTTCTTCTTGAACCAGGGTGTTTGTTTGTCTGTCATATCAAGGGACAGTCAAGCGTTGCCAAGCTTATAGATGTGAACCTTGTTGACGATCCTGATGACCTTGAAAGGAACGAAAAACCGCACTGGAAGCTCACGATGGGCCAGGTTGATTGGAACGGTGCTTACAGCGGATTGGCAAAATTCCAAGCGAAGATTGAGCAGTTCAAAGAACCGAAGCAGGTATCAACCCTATGCATGTATCCGCTCAAATTTGTCTCGAATACAAAGCAAGAAGAAATCCGGAGGACTATGGGCGAGAGAGGACGAAAATTTGAATCCCTTCCGAGGTTCCCACTTCATGTTTTGTACGGGAGAGAAAATCATCACAACGATTGATATGTATGGGTGTCCAAAAGAGATAGCCGAGCCGGCAAGTACTCATACCATATCTTCTTAGTTTGCGTTATTCCCATTGATAATGTCTTACTGACATTATTTAATACACAGGTCGATGGTAGAGTGATTGTCGACGCATTTGCATTCTATCATTGTCAAAAGAAGGTGCTTCCTAACTTGATTCGAAAGTCGGGAGAAACCCCAGATGAGGATATAGACGAAGATAGCAGTGATCATGATGAACCACCTACAGAGAATATCACGAGGACTGAAGATCTGACACCACTGTCTGAAGAAGAACGCATCTTTACGACACCTCGGGTCAAAGGATTTGACATAAAAACAAAACAATGGTGTAAGTAACATGGAATGAAGAGTACTCCATCCATTCTAACATTTGATACCAGGTCAATTTCACTTGGATGATCTCAAACAGTGTGAATGGAACGATGCTGCCTGGGACGGTCTCGTGCTTCCAGACAACAAAAAGGAAGTTCTGATGGCATTTTCACTTTTCAAAAAAAATCGCAAACCTATTTTTGACGACTTGGTTGAAATCAAGGGTAATTGTATTCCAGGCTATTTAAAGAAAGCCAATCGATGTAACACATGTCAGGCAAGGGTATCATTGTCCTCCTACATGGCCCACCAGGTGTAGGAAAGACGCTCACAGCCAAGGCCAGTAAGTTGAACAACTGCACCGAGCCTTCGATCGCAGAGAACTAATGGCAGTCGCAGTTGCCGAAAAATCCAGATCCCCTCTATATATTCTGGGTGTAAACGAACTGGGCACTGATCCAACCAAACTCGAGATCAGATTGCAAGACGCTCTAACATGCTGTAGTCTTTGGGGGGCTATTCTTTTGATCGACGAGGCAGACGTCTTTATGGAAAGCCGTGGATCTGACAATTTAGAGCGGAACGAGCCGGTGTCTAGTAAGTTGATTGGAGTGAACATGCCTCTATTTCTCATGTGCTGACATAAGAGTATTCCTTCGGCTTCTTGAATATTACCAAGGATTTCTATTTCTCACAACGAACAGGGTCCGATCGATTGATTCTGCATTCAAGTCACGGCTGGATCTGCAGCTGTCGTTCCCTGATCTTGACCTACCATCACGCCGCAGGGTGTGGACCACATTGATCCGCCGTCTCCCTCAGGGATTAGTTAAGCTGTGCGAGAATGACTACGATACATTGGCAGCGAGGCCACTCAATGGGCGGGATATCAAGAACCTGATCAAAACGGCAGCCATTGTTGCTACACCTCATGGAGAACTGTCAATTCGCCACTTTAATGCGATTTTGGATTTGCGCGCTGAAGCGGCAGCAGAGGATGAAGAAGACAGAGAGTCAGAGAGACCGACAAAGAGACGGAGATGTGCTGACACATTGACATGATATCAAACAACAGTATCTTCTATTCAGACTTGCTTGATGATGGAGACGATCTCCAATGTCTGCGGACAGGGCCTAGAAAACTTCTCCTAGTTTCCTTACAATTACAAGGGTTATATTTTAGTGCTGGTATGTCATTTTATGGGCGCCTGGTGAGCATGTGTGTAATTCTGTCGACTTAGACCAGCCAAAGTGGGTAGAAAGTGGTCTTGTGGCGCAGGATTGAAAGATGCATGTACCGGGCGGCGTATAGTGCCAGGCTCTACCTATTTAGTAGGGGGTTTCATGCTCATCGGCACATGTCGGAAGTACCTGACCACAACAATTCAAGTTCACCGTCCATGATTCACACAAGGCGTCTCATTGTCCTTATATATTCACTATTCGCAAACTCTAAGCACGTACGGCCATAGATACTGGAAAGCACGGGATCCCGTCCGCTCTCCCCTAGTTAAACCAGTAATCGGCGGATTAGTAGTTGGGTCGGTGACGACCAGCGAATACCCGCTGCTGTACGTTTTTTTGCCGTTAGCTTTGCGCATTTCTTTGCTGGTATATAAGAGTAGCTGAACTTTTTTGATGCAGTATAATTCCGTCTCTAAATTGAGTGCAGGCAATATGGAAGACGTAGGCAGATCCTACTTATGTACTCTGGTGCAGGGGTAATGACAGGTTAGCAGCTATTACTCGTACAAAAGGCCAGGCAGACCAGCTGTGATCTTCCTCAACTCACTGACAGCTGTCATAAGCCCGGTGTCAAATTCTCCACGCCCTGTCCTCCTTGCCAATTGTATGCAGTCTCGGTCAGGTCAAAGAAAGGATCTAGGAGTTGCTTCGCATACTCTGACCTGTTTCCTCGTCCAAATAAGCATTCGGCCATCACTCTAGAAAGCCCACAAGCAGATCGCAGATCCCTTTTGACTCTGGCTCCCTCTTTTCGTCTCTCTCAAGCGTGTGTGACCTTAGGGTGGACGCACCCGGTGCTCTTATGCACGGGTACACCGTTGTATCTAGACCATAGATCATTCCAATCAATCCCGCCGGCTCCGGCTCCGGTCTTTAAGCGTAGACTGCCTTGGCTTTGGCTTTGCTCGTCGCTTTCCTGTGGTGGCGGTAACAAGGCCACAGTCGTTGTGATGGTGCACCTTTAGCCACGCAGCTTCTCTAACCAGAGCTGTCATAAACTTGATGATCTGAATCGCTCTTAGTGCTACGGGAAGGGTTAAAGGTCGAGCAAAATCCTTAGGTTCGGCAACGTGATCAAAGCCGAAGAGCAAAGTGACCAAGGCCACCTGCTCGCCGATGTCTCCGGGGTTAAGTGCCCCGGAGTGCAGGCGGCTACTCTAGGCCCGGGTGCATGACAGGCGGTTTGACGAGTCCTGTACAAGGCAGGACGAGGCCAAAGCTAGCACCGGCTCGCTGGCTGCGTTGTGATGAGATTTTTCTGGTCGACCGAGACAACAATTAGGTATCGCATCATTAATACCACTAGCTCTTCAGCCAGAGCTGGAGAGCAAACGTAAAAGTTTGTCCGGTACGTAAACAGAGCTAGGTGGTAGGCCATATGATATTGCTGCTTGTATCCATAGATCTCGTCGATGGCAAATCGAAGGAAGGGTTTCTACGAGTAATCAGCTTGAAGAAATGCTCCTTATAATGACCGGCCATAGGGAAATAACTATTCGACAGCTTCCACAGTTCCAGAGAATTTTTCAGTATAGTGTCAGAAAAGACGTTGAGAGAATTGATCTTGTAAACCGGGTGAAATACTGACTTGTATACTGTAGTCTTCGCGTTGGTGTTATACTGGCTCGGAGGGGTGAAGTTGCTAATCTTAACGTGGTGTCCAAAAGAAGCATGAAGAAGAGCACGGCAAATGGTTCTCCCTGCTCTGCGTGTTCTGACTGGTTTTGGTATCCTAGGCAATTTGCTTAGCCGCATGCTAAAATTATAAAAAGCCGGTTTGTCGTATTGTCGAGTAATGCCTTGGCTTGAGAAGACCTTGAATAGCCTTAAGGTTATCCGCTATTACAAGAAACCTTCCTTGCATCCTGTAAGGTAAACAGCTTTAAGAGGCTAGGGGCGATTGTTCTTGCTTCCTTGCACCAGTTGACGGATTTTAACTCGCTCCGAAGGTATAGCTTCCACTCTAAAGGCATAGCTTTTCGATTGATGGTATTGCTGTCCCGACCATGAATGAGCGGGTACCCGATTTATCAGTGATGACTGACTGAAATAGGCGATGTAAAGACCATGACGGACGGCCGATTGCCACACACAAACGACTAACCCACTTCAGAAGGCCCCACGATCGTTGTGTATGGCGAAAGGTAACCACCACCCGTGTAGCACGAGAGCTGGTTCCTTAAGCTTTGAAAACGCCATCATTGGCGAATTCTCCCTTTGCGGTGGGTGTCTCGTTAACTTGAAAAGCTAGCACAACCTTTGTATAATCCCGAGGCTCTTGATCTGCGGGATTAACCGTGGATTGAACCAGGTCCTTGGTGTTTCTGATTTCAGAGATCGGGCTGACTTTGTCGTTGTTCGTCGTACAAAAACCCAGATCTTAACGAGCTGGTCGGTGTCACTAAAGAGTGATTTGGCCAGGTAGGATTGCTTGGCGTATGGGTGAATAGAAATCTGAAGCCATTCTGTGCGCAGGCCTTTCCGCAAAGGATTACATCACTGCAAAAAGCATTGAATAAGTGATTGTCGGCCCAGACCCTGCAATCTTGCATAACTCCTCTGGGGATGGTGACTTCAGCCATCATCGGGGTCGTTCGAATTAGCATCTGTGATCGGTATGCAGATTGATTATATCTAAGTACTAAGAAGGACCGACGAAATCTGCTAAAGTTTTGTTTGAGGGCACGGTGTGACTTTCTTCCGATCTTTTGCACGGCGGTCACACGAACATATGGACTTTGGCACGTTGAAAGCAATTATGTCATATTGTTTACAGATCACTCTGCGACCCGAGGAGACCAGAAGCTGACATTGTCACGACAGACATATTCAAAAAGCGAGAACCGGAAATCTGGAATGGCAGCTTCAATTACGGTCTGTATTCAACCAATTTATCCAATCTTGACAGCAGGATTGCCAGAAAGTCTTGGTGGCAAGAGACGGTCTGTTCAGCATCCCTAATACTTACTCTCCATTTTCTACATGGATGATCAACGGTGCTTGGCTAGCGTCCGTCGAGTGTGGACATGTGAGAAAGTACTCAGTAGCGGCCTCACCAATGCAGCTCAGCCCTACGGCGTCTCGCCATAAATCATACCCGTGCGAGTCCTAGGGATGGGCTTGATGTTGCTCTAAAGGCGTCCGTAATGAGGAAAATAAGAAACGAGCCTCGAACAGATCCGCCAGAAGATGCAAACCCTCGGTATTTTCAGCCAAGACAAATGAGAGAGAATGATCAACGAAACAGCGAGTCCTGCTTTAGACACAACGGCCCAGGCTTGAACACCACTATCAGACAGGGGCGATTTATCACAGCACTGCGATCACAGTTCCTTTCCAATGGAACGTATGCTTACTAATCAATTTGTCGTCACGAAGCAAGAACCTGGGCTGATATGGTCACTTTCACGGCCGGGCCGCCCACACAAAGGCTGTTGGAGAAGAGCGGGGATAGAAAGCAGCTGTTGGGAAGGCCATGAAACAGCTTGCAACCGATGACAGCCGTTCGGTAAGGACCAGGCGAGGCCGATCTGTTAATATGGTCTTATCGACAAGCGAGCAGGCAAACCCGGCCACCCGTATCATTATAGAATCGTATTACTAATTACCGCTGCTCGTCAGACGTTACAGATCGTCAGCCGCCTTCCCATGCGCTCACTCGTCCTCGTAAAAGACTAGACAGCGGACCTCGATGCTCTGGCGGCCCTTGCTTTCGGGGGGGGTGGCCGGGTCGTCAAAGGCGGTATGTGGCGTCCAGGCAGCGACACCAGGGCGACCAGCGGGCACGGCCTGGCTGCGGGAGTCGAAGCACTTGATGAAGAGCACCGAGTTGGGCGTCATGTCCTTGGCGTAGTAGAACCGGTGTTTCTCGTTGGGCACGACCGTGTACGTCTCGCCGCGGATGGCGTAGCCGTCGGTGGACTGAGCCTTGTCAGCGTCAGGCAGCAGCTCACCGCCAGGCCGAAGGGCCTGCCATGCGGGATACAGAAGATCGACGGCAACAGCGTCGTCCGGGTCGGTGGAGCGCCAGTCGACGAGCGCGAGCGGCGTGTCGGACGCGGCGTGTCCGATGGGACGCCACACGTTGATGATCTGGTAGCGGCCGCGCAGGAGACGGTCCACGTCGGCGTCGGTCACGCCAGCCACGTCAGCCAGGTGGCGACGTGCTCGCTGCTCGGCTGCTCGCGGCGTCTGGTCCACGTGGATCTGCTGTACAGGCTGGCGAGGCGCCTCAGGGTTGCGGCGCCGCACCGTGTGGTCGAAGATAACCACCCGGGCGACTGGCTGGCCCGACTGCTCTGGCCGTGGCAGCTGGGCACGCAGCAGCTGCTCCACCTCTGCATAGTAGCTCGTGCGGATAGCCTCCTCGTCAACAAATGCTCGCTCTGTCGCCGGCACGTTTTCGAACAGCGCAAAACCCGACTTGTCCACGCCAAAGGCGGCCGGATCCGCGACTAGGGCTGTGCGCATGTCGCTGACCAGACGGCGCACAGCGGTACGGCTAAACGACGTCACGTCAGCATCGACCTTGGACCATGGCTTCACAAACGGCTCGTCGCTGGCCACAATCGTCGCTGGATCGGCATAGCTGAACGTGGCCGTCGTCGCCATTGTTCGTCGTTGAAGGAACAGGTGAGGACGTAATCGAACAAGTTACGCTGCAAAGAGAAAGTCGCTGCTCACTCTCCAGCAGTTGCTGGCCAGTTCGTCTGTCGTTTGAAGCTGGAGGTGGGGATCGTCAACTTTTACTCCGTAGCTGTAGCCGCTGACGCCATCGATGGATTAGTAATGCGGTTTTGCAGAGTATTTTAAAGCACATCAGCCAGCCACCTTCGACTGCAGGCTGCTCGTGATTTATCAGCCATTCGGAAAAAAGATTGACAGATTTGTGACGGTCGGAATTGGATGTGTGTTTGTAAGAGGCAGAGACGAAGCCCTTTCCCATTTGACGCTTGAATGGCCTGGGCAACGTGCTAAAAATATAGAGACACTGTGCAAGCTATCGTGCGAAAGAATCCATTAGCTTCAAATAGACGAAGCTGTCGACAGCCTTGTTCACAACAAGCAAACACAAACGCCAGCGATTTCTAAACACGACACTCTGTTAGATGAGCTTACTGTTTAGAAGAGGCTCGAGATTCCGATTGAGCTGCCGTCCCGTCGCACTCGGTCGTTCTTTCAAGCAGCCGCAGCGACAGCCCCTCTCTCTGCCACCTTTGCGTTCTTTGTGCACTTGCGCCCGCACGATGGAGCATCCGCGCAACACGTTTACGGCCGGTGTGGTCAATGCGATGCAGAGGCTGTCAGGACCCCACGGTTTTCTTCTCGTTTCACGGACGAAGCTGTGTTGCTGACTGTTGGCTCAGATATCCGCTGGAGTATGCCGACTCGGCTTGGGACAACGTCGGGCTGCTGCTGGGGAACCTCGAGGAGACGGAGCCATTTCGGAACCGGGTGCTGCTGACGACGGACCTGACAGCGAGCGTGGTGGACGAGGCGATCCAGTACGACGTCTCTGTGATTGTTGCATACCGTGGGTTTTTCTGTCTCTGTTTTTTTCTTTTCTGTTCCCCATCTCCTTCTTTGCTGACCGGCAGACCCGATCATCTTCCGGGGCCTCAAGGCCATCACGCCGGCCGACACGCAGCAGGCGTCGCTGCTCCGGCTGGCGCAGAAGAACATTGCAGTGTACTGTCCGCACACGGCGCTGGACGCGGCCAAGGGCGGCCTGAACGACTGGCTGGCCGACAAGGTGGAGGAGGCGGCGGCGGAGGCTGTGGGCACGGCGGCACACGTGCTGGACGGCAGCCGGCGGACGACGCTGAAGCCGGTGCGCGGACCCGAGAGCGTCGTCGGCTACGGACGCCAGGTGGACCTGCCGGTGGCCGTCGACGCGTTTGCGCTCGTGCGCAGCTTTGCGCAGCGGCTCGGTGGCATGCGTCACGTGCTGATTGCGCCGCCGGCAGACTACCGCGACGGCTTGGACGTGGCCGAACACCTGCTCGTGCGCTCGGTGGCCGTCTGTGCCGGGTCCGGCAGCGATGTGCTCAAGGCGGCCACCTCGGCCAAGATGCTGCTCACGGGCGAGATGAGCCACCACGACGTGCTCGCGGCCGTCAGCCGGAACCGCTGGGTCGTCTGCGTGCTGCACAGCAACTCGGAACGCCTCTTCCTCGCCGAGACCCTGCAGGCACAGCTGCAGCACCGCCTCGCCGCCGGCCATGACGATGCCAAGGTGCTCGTCAGCCAGAACGACCACGACCCCTTTCTCTTCTGGGATGTCAGCGAGCCACCGCCGAGCGGACAGAAGCCGCTGCCGGCAGCGTGTGCCATCTAGGGAGCAGACTGTCTATTGAAAGCCCGAAAAGAGTTTATAAAAGAATCATGCCGCTGCTAAGAAAACCAAACTCCCTGTCTGCGTCGTATGCGCTTCGGATTTGTACAGCCGGTCACGTGACTAGTTCATTCGGGCTCGCCTGCTCGCCACGCAGGGCAGCGTCACCGTCGGCGAGACAGGCAGCCACATCATCACCGCCGAGGCCCTTGGCGCGCCAGAGCTCGAGCAAACGGCGGGGCCGGTCCCAAGCGGCCTTGGCCTCGTCAGGACGGCCCTCGCGCATGAGCTGGCGCAGCCGGTCGGGGGTCTCTAGCACGGCGGCAGCCAGCTGGCGAGTGCGGGCGCGAGCGGCAAAGGCTGCGGCGTCGGGGGTATCGGGGGCCGGCACAGACTGACGCATAGCGTCGCAGAGGGCCTTTGCCTGGCTGTAGATATGGGCAATGGCCGGATCGAGGGTGGAGGCCATGGGATTGAGGGGGTCCATATTGGCACGCATCTAGAGGATTAGCGGACGAGCGAAGCGAGGAACAGGGAGGAGAAGCGAGAAGCGAGAAGCGAGCGAAGCGAGGAAAGAAAAGAGAGATGAGTGAGGCGAGGAACGGAGAAGGGAGAAGCGAGCGAAGCGAGGAAAGAAAACAAACCTTTCGGATAGTCTCGGTAGCCGTAATCAGGCGGCTGTAGTTGTCGTAGACCAAGCTCTTCTTCTCGGCGTCGAGGGCGCGCATCTCGCTCAGCACGCGGGTGTAAGTGCGCAGCAGGTCTTCGAGCCCGCCGGCCTGCAGGGTGTTGCGCACAAAGGCGACGGCGTCAAAGTCGGGGCGGTCCATGGCAGACGGTGTGACCTCGGAGTAAGATGCCGAGAGGCTACCGCCGAGCTGCTGTTGTTGTTGTCGTGGTGCAAGGTCGACGTCTGTGACCTCGAGGGCGGGCGTGGCCGTGCCGTTCTTGTGGATATTGTAGTACTCGCGCAGAGCAGCGCGGTTGCGGCGCACGGCAGCGGTGGTGACGCTGGCCGGCGACATCAGTCCCGACGGTGTCGCCGTCGTCGAAGCAGCCGAAGCGGCCGACGAGGCGCCCGTGATGCTGGGGTTGGGCGAACCGGCGACGGACCGGCTGATCTCGATGCTCGGCCGCGTCGACGACGTCGGCGTCTGTGCCGAAGGGATACGCCGCAGCGGCGGCGGCTCGCGCGGCGAGGCGATCGTGGACATGGTGGGTGGGATGACAAGGGACGATGGACGAAGCTGAAGCGATGGAAGTGATGATGGAACTGTCCATTGGTCACATGACTTGGCGTGTGTTTGGCGACGGAGTATTACGGAGTACGGCGTAGTAAGAAAAATAGAGCGGGTCTTTTAGCAGGTCCTCTAGCTTCTTTCTGCTCAACTTCTTCACGACCATGAACCAGGCCCTGCAGATCCGGTCCGCGCTCACGGCCGAGCAGCTGCCGCCGCCGTCACAGGCATGGCTGCAGGCGTTTATCAGCCAGCAGCAACAACACCTTCGACCGGCGTTGCCGGCGCTCGTGGCCACAGCCCGGGCACAGCTGCTGGCGGCCGATCTCACGATGCCGGGGCTGCTGGACGCGGCGGCCGTGGCTGGCTGCAGCTTTCCGGCCGAGCTGGCGGCACCGACGGCGGCCATGCAGCAGGAGATGCGGCTGCCGCGTGACGTGGTCGTGCAGGTGGTCGACGTGGAGAACCTGGCGCAGAGCCGGTGGCAGCAGGTGCAGGAGCTGGAGGCGATCGAGCGCGGCGAGCAGAAACGGGGACGGGAGATCGTTCGGGTGGTGGAAGAAAACGCAGGAGGCACGCCCGCAGAAGACGCTCTCCCGGCTGCGGCGACACCCTCCGCTGGCCCCTCGGCCACCCATCGGCTCGTCCTCCAGGACGGCCGTGGCCAGACCCTCTTCGGGCTCGAGCTGACGCGCATCTACCGCATCGGCATCGGCCGGATGGCCATGGGCGAGAAGCTGCTCCTTCGTAGCGGTACCGTCGTCGCCCGCGGCGTCGTCTTGCTCGAACCGCCGGCTGTACGCTTTCTCGGCGGTCGCGTCGAGGTCATGCACAAGTCCTGGCTCGAAGGTCGGCTGGGCCGTTTGAAGGACGCTGCGAGGACGTGAGGAGAAGAAAAGAGGGGGCGTCAATGAGTTGATGAGAGGGTGTTCATGAGTAAAATGGCACGTGATCACACAGATACCATTTGCCAAAGCAATTATTGCCGACTTTGCTGTATCCTGACCGAGATTCTGTCCAGCACCTGATCTCTCCCTTCCAAACCCCATCCTAGACCACCGCTTCTGCCAATGCTTGCCAGCCATCCTGAAGCCACGGCGCCACAGCAATCGAGACCTGCGCGTCGGTTGTCCGCCGTGTGCCCACACACGCTCTCGCCAGGTCTTCGGGCCGTAGATTGCCGCGTGGTGGGATAAGGCTGCGAGTAAGCCGCAGGGCCATATCACAGGCAAAGTTTTGCTCATCATCGTCGTCGTCGTCGTCGTCGTCCTCCTCCTCCTTCCCCTCCTCCTCCTCCTCTCCTAAATTCCCCCATCCATGTGGCAAATGTGGCTGCAGCATAATGTCTCTCTGTGCCTGATGCCGGCTCTTCTGTCGACCGTCCAGACTCGCCAGCGCGTGCATCAGGTTGCCCATCTGCGTCTGATCGCCGGCGGCTGCCCGCGACTGCGACCGTGTCTGCGTCTGCATCTCGGCCAGCTCGGCCACCACAGCCTCTGCGCTCTCGCCGTCGCCGTTCAACATCGCCATCGCTCCTAACAGCAGCACTGCCTGCATGTGGTCCGGATGCGCCTCGATCACCGCAAACAGCTCGTCCTGTGCCCGCTGGCGTCCCTCGTCCGTGCCGCTGGCCCAGAGCACCTGCGCAAACAGACACACTGCGTCGGGGTTTTTGTCGTCGTCGTCGTCGTCACCTCCCAACACCGCCTCAAACTCGGCCAGCGCCTCGTCAAACGCCGAGCGGAAGAAATGCGCCAGTCCGCTCGACAGATGTGCCGACAGCCGAATCTTGGCTCGTTCTGGCTTGCTCACCTCGCCAGCACCCCCTTCCCCCACCAGCTGCAGCGCCATCTCCCCGCTCTCCACTGCCTTCTCGTATGCCCCCAGCGCCACATAGGCTCGTGCCACGTCGGCCTTGGCCACGGCATACCGCCGCAGAGACGCCGCTGACTCAGTCGCCTCATAATCCGCCTCCAGCGCCGCGCAGATGCCTTCCAGCAGCTTTGTTGTGCCGTCCGCATCCGAGATCCGCTCGCGGAAGAGCGCAAACAGGTGGCCGTATGGCAACTCCTGTGGCCGCAACCGTCGCACCTGCTCCAGCCCGATCAGAGGTCGCACCAGGTCTGCTGTCGACGATGTCGACGCCTCGTTGGCCGTCAGCCGGTCGAATACCGAGATCGCATATTGCTGTCGAGCCGCCAGCGATGAAGCGTCCGAGAGGTCCATCGCGTGCATCGCCAGGCTGCCGGCCTCGTCGGCCTCGCCAAACGCCAGCGCCACAAAGCCTTGGCCAAGCCAGCTGGCCGCGCTGTCGGGGTCGCTCGACTGGCCCTCGGCAAACGCCCTGTTGGCCAGCTCCACGTCGCCGTGCTCCAGCGCCAGCGTCCCGTAGTTCGCCCACACCGCTGCCCGACCCCGTCCAAGATACAGGCTGCGAGCCAGCGCGTGCTGGCTGATCGGCGGATGCACTGCGCTCGTCGCCACCCCCAGTCCGTTCCAGAATCGTCGGTTGCCGCCCTCTAGCTCGATTGCCCGCTTGAAGCACCGGATTGCCGCTCGCAGGTAGCCGTTCAGTCCGCTCCGGATCGCTGTCGGCAGACAACTGTGCGCCCGGTATTCCGCCCATCCCACGTTGTAGTGTGCTGCCGCCAGCATCTGCCGTTCGCTGGCATCCGTAAAGTGCAGCGCCCGCTTAAACGCAAGGATCGTCGCGTGCAGACAACGTGTCAGGTCCACCCCGGCCTTCTCACTCTCCGCAAACATCTCGCTGGCCGCCACCACTCCCGTTCCCACCCCATCAATGTCCTGCAGAAAGCTGTATGCCGCCGAGCCCAGGGGACCCTGGCCCTGCTCTCCGCCCGCGATCAGCTCCCGACACAGTGCCACCGGGAACTCGCTCACTCGTCCTTGAACCGTCGAGAACACTGCACACGCGCTGGCTACCGCTGTCCAGAACCCCGACGTCGAGGCCGTCTGCGTCGTCGCTACCTTGGCTGCCAGCTCTAACGCTGAGCCTGCCTTGCTCGTCGCCTCGCCAAAGAGCCCGCGCTTCACGCAGCTGTCCGCACTCTCCACCATTGCGTGCATCATCGCTATCAGCACGCCTGGCTCGTCCGACCGTTGCTGTAGTATCGCCTCGTACAGCTCCGTCGCCTTGTCGTATTCGCCCACTCCCCGGTACACGTTAGCTAGCAGAAAATCTGTAAACCAGTCGTCGTAGGCAGTGTCCAGCCCTCCGCCCTCCTTGATCTTCCGCGCCTGCTCGATCGCCCGCACTGCCGAGTAGTGCATCCGCACCCGGAGATATGTCTCTGCCAGCGCCACAAACGAGTGGTAATCTCTCGGGTCCAGTCGCGTCGCCATCCGGAACGACATCATCGCCTTGTTGTACTCTTTCTTGTGCAGCTGTGCCGTGCCCAATGCCGCAAACGGCCAGCTGTGCGCCTTCTTCTTCGAGCCCCAAGGCGGCGTCGCCTGCCCTGACTCTACCACCCGCTGCGCCACTAGCTCGATGCTCTCCCAGTCTCTCTTGTCTGCAAACGTCTGCACCAGCCGTCGCCCTGCCTCCAGCTCGCCCGACGACAGCTCTAGCGCCTTCATGAAACACTTGTACGCCCGCTTCCGGTCTTTGCCGTAGTCTGCATAGTAAATTCCCAGGCTCGTGTATGCTGGCGCCAGGTGCAGGTCATTCTTGAGCGCGTTCAGCAGCTGCTTATACGCTCCGTTGCGGCTCTTCCTCGCCGCCTTGGACCCGTCCAGATGCCACATGCAAACCCCCAGCCGGTACTGCGTCAGCGCAAGCAGCTTCTTGACCGTCACTCCCGCTTCCACGAGCAGCGGAATGCATGCCTCCAGCTCCGACCGTGCGTGCTCGTGTTCTCCCCGGAGAGACCGCACCCACGCAGCCTCGCTCCGCACCCGCAGATCACTCCGGTCACGTTCCAGTGCCCGTTCCAGGAACGACACCGCCGAGCCGTAGTCCAGCTCTTCCTCGTCGATCAGTCCCACCCCGACGAGTGCCGGGGTTGCCTCTGGGTTGTGCGATAACACCCTCTCGAAAAGCTGCTTCGATTCGGGGTGGTTCCGCGGCCTTTGGTAGTATATCAACGCCGTTGCCAGATATACCGTAAACGCGTCTTCCGTGTTCTGGAGCGAGAGGCCCGTGTCGGCACGCCGAACGTCGAGGAACTTGAGCGCCTTGCGCATCAGTTCGATGTTGTCCAGGAAGTCCTCCGAGTGCTGGTACCAGATGCCTGCCATCCGGTAGGCAAGCAGGGACTTTGCCTGTTTTATCCCATCGAGCAGAAATGCCAGACGGTCTTCGTCCGTCTTCGGAAGCGTATCATGCACTGTTGGTATAGCGTCACCCTCGGCCTTCTCGCCACCTCCCTTAGCCGCTGCACCTTCGCTTTCTTTTCCACCCTCGCTATCCGCCTGAGGCCCAGCGTCCTCCTCCGGAGGCGCTTTCTGGGAAAACGGGGACAGCTCGCTTGTCAAAAACCCACCCAATGCCTTGCCCAAGCCAGATGTCGGGAAGAGAGTGTAAAATTCCCACAGCAGGGCCACATCCCAGTCGCTGACATCGGCAAAGTCACACCAGTCAATCGTGATTTCCCACGCCAGCTGAAAAGGATGCTTGATGATGACCATGCCCTTAGCCAACTTGCGCACCTCCTCCAGCTCTTGCTCCTTCTTGTCGCCAACAAACACTGCGAGTCGCTCGACACGATACGACAACAACTTCTCCTCATACGACCGTCGCAGCTCGTCGTCATTGGTCCAGTTGATCAGCTCGCCGTAGATGTCCGTCAGCTGGCTGTCTGCAAACGTGTCCCGCTTCACTTCTGCAGTGACTTCGACCAGCCGAGCGCCTAGCCGTGTTCTCCGCTCGCCGATCAGAGTGTTGATTCGCATAGCCTCATCCGCTTCCAGCACCTTTGCAGTCGCCGTGTACGTTGTTGCTGGAGGCTGGATGCGACCTCTTAAAATCGGATACACCGGCGAGTCGGGAAGCAAGATGCCCAGGGCGTCGACAAGCTGCTTTCCGCTTGCGTTGGCTCGGGAAAAGTCCACAAACGTGTCCACTACGACCTGGCACTTGTACATGTCCTCGGCATCACTGTATATCTCCGCCAGCTTGATGGCTGCGAGCTTGTACTTGGGAATCGCTCGTGACCCCTGCTTCTCGAACACCTTGATGAGACCTTGCCATGCCTGTGGGTCGGCAGGTTTCACGCTGGCTGCGTCTTCGTAAACGGGTACAGCATCGTCCAGCTTGCCCGTCTTATCCAGAGCGAATCCCAGGAAAATTAATCTGCACGAGTCAGATCTTTACTGCAAAATTGCCAGATACAGTCGTTACTTACGCCTGGTAGTTCTTAGAGTCTGCCTCGAGCACGTCTCTAGCCTGCTGAATCGCCTCATCGTACTTTTGCTGGCGAAGAGCTTCTCCAATCGCCTTCAGCTGCGCTTTTGCACCTTGCTGGCTGCTACCGGGCTTTTTTGCTCCGGCCATAGTTTGACTCAGGCATAACAGATCCAATACAATGGCAGACGAAGCAGCCTAGAAGCAGCTGCAACTGCAGAAAGCAGCTATAGCAAGGCCCCGCCGGCCACTGATTAATAGTTGATCCGGTGTTATCGATAAGGATTCTTATCGTATTTTTTTTATTAGTCTGGTTTTTTTTTCTGCTGCATCGCAAAACTGACTGCCTCCGAGACAGGATCGCAGACAACACTTGCCTGCGCCATACGTCAACGTCACAATGGACTCCAATCCTGCCAAGAGACGAAAGACGGACCACTCGTCACCCGGCGAGTTCTATGCGACCATGAATGCCGAGTCGGCTGCCGCAGCCTCGGCTGGCATCTTCCGGCCCAGCACTTTCATTCTCGAGACTGCAGAGCTGCTGGAACAGAGCCGGGTGGATTATGGCAAGCTGCTGCCCGACTCGGAAGAACTTCTGCGCAAGCTCAAGAGCGCCGTTGAGGCAGTAGAGACGCATGGACCGGTTCTTGTACGTACCGGCTGGGCCTGGGACTCTTGTCTGCCCTCTTGCTAACCCATGGTCTAGATCGGCAAGGCGTCTTCTAAATTCGAAACGAAAAACTCGATACGCATACCGTACCCTAACCCGCGGCCGTCAGACGACTCGCTCGTTAAACTGTCGATTGAGAAACCGACACACTGCAATGTGGTGGGCAGCTTCGTCTTGAAGACCATGGCCCGGTCGCAAAGAGAGTTTGCCGTCGACATGATTGTAGAGATGCCACGTTCGCTTTTTCAGGAAAAGGACTATCTCAACCTGCGGTACTTTTACAAGAGGGCGTATTACCTAGCCAACATTGCAAAGTCTGTGTCCAAGGCCCTGTCCGACGCCTTGAATCTCTCTTTTGAGTATCTCCACGACAACCAGCTGCTCCCGATTCTCGTTGCGACACCCGTCCGGAAGACGACAGAAACGGAGAAAGGCAAGCCGTCAGGTCGCCGCCATCACAACGAATGCAAGATCCGGATCATCCCGTGCGTCGCAGACGGCATCTTTCCCAAGCAAAAGCTGTTCGCCAACAAGAATTGTCTCCGCCTGGACGCGGCTGCCGAAGCAAAGGACCTCCCGGCAACGCCTTTCTACAACACCACGATCAAGGCAGACGGTGCGTACATTGCGTACCTGAAGCTTCTGCATCAGACGCAGAAGTCGTGCCCTGCCTTTGTGGACGCCTGCCTGTTGGGTCGGGTGTGGCTACAGCAGCGTGGATTTGGCGGCTCTGTCACGCGTGGCGGCTTTGGAGCCTTCGAATGGGCTGCACTGGTTGCTCTGCTCATGCAGACGGGGAACCGGAAGAAGGTTGCGGGGACGATCCTGTCGACGTCGCTGAGCAGCACGCAGATCTTCAAGGCCGTCGTGCAGTTCCTGTCCGTCACAGACCTTCGCAACAAACCCTGCATCATCGGAGGCAACACGCCGGACGTCGGGGTGGATGCTCTTCGTGAAGGAACACCGGTTCTGTACGACGCCGGGCGCCAGCTCAACGTGGGCTATAAGATGAGCATCTGGTCGGCAGGACTGCTGAAGCAATATGCCAAGCGCACCCACCAGCTGCTCACAGACGACTCAGCGGCTGACCAGTTTACCCTGTCCTTTATTGCACGGGCCGACATTGCTCTCGAGGCCTACGATATGGTCTTCCGGATCCACAAGTCGAAGCAGGCGACGGCTGCAGAAGAGAACGCGATTCACCGCCGCGGTTCGTTGTGGGAATTTGGCGACAACGTCTTCCAGACGATGAAGAAGGCGCTGGGCGACCGGGCGAAGCTTGTGCACGTCAAGCTGCCGCCACAGGTTGGGTGGGCGCTGAATGAGGCCTGTTCGGAAACTGCTGCTGCTGCTGGTGCCGACTCGTCGCAGACGAGCATCGTGGTGGGTGTCGTGTTCGACCCGGCCAACATGGCCCGCCAGGTGGACCATGGCCCAGACGCGGAGAACAAGAAGGAAGCCCGCAAGTTCCGCGAGTTCTGGGGCGAGCGAGCAGAGCTGCGGCGGTTCAAGGACGGCAGCATCCAGGAGACGCTCGTATGGACGTCGTGCGGGACGTCGGCGCTGTGTGAGGAGATCACACGGTACATCCTGGGCCTGCGGCTGGGTCTGGTGGCCAAGGACCACATCGAGGTCGCTGGCGGCGGGTTCGCGGCGATGGTGCCGCTGGTAGCCGAGACAGACGCTGCCACGTTCACGGCGGCACGCGACGCCTTTTCCACGCTCGAGCAGGACCTCCGCAGCCTGGAGGACCTGCCGCTGCACATCCGACAGGTGTCGCCGATTGCGGTGCAGCTGCGGTCAGCCAGCATCCGGCTGCCAGCCGTGCAGACGGAACGGGCAGCCCTGCAGCCGATGGAGGTGGTCCTGTACTTTGAGGCGTCGGGCAAGTGGCCAGACAGCCTGGTGGCGATCCAGCGGGCCAAGATGGCCTTTATGCTGCGGATCGGCTCGTCGCTCGAGGGCCTGCGGTCCGGCATCGAAACCCGTCTCGGACTGGAGGACGCGCAGCACGAGACAGAGAACCAGGCGTTTCTGGACATTGTGTATGCGGACGAGGCGGCATTCCGGCTGCGCGTGCACAGCGATCTGGAGACGAGCCTGCTGGAGCGCCAGACCAAGGACAAGACGGCCGAACAGCACGTGCGGGCCTCGAGTGCCCATCTGCTGGCGACGCAGCGACGACTGTTTGACGTGCTGCCGCTGCAGAACCAGACGATCTCGACCTTCTGCACGCGCTTCCCAGCGCTGTCGCCGACAATCCGGCTGGCCAAGCGATGGTTCAGTGCACACAAGCTGTCGTGCCACGTCTCGGACGAGTTTGTCGAGCTGGTCGTGCTGCACGTCTTCTTGCAGGGCCATCCGTGGGAGACACCTGGCAGCCCGACGGCAGGGCTGTTGCGCGTGCTGCAGTTCCTGGCACGCTGGGACTGGCGGACGGAGCCGCTGGTGGTCGACACGTCGGAGCTGACGGCACACCTAGACACAAACGAGACAACCGACAAGACCGGGGACGATGCTGGCGCTGGTGGCAGCACGGATCCACGCACACGTCTGGAGGCCTGGCGGAAGATCGACCCAAACATGCAGCACACCGTGCTCTTCGTGGCAGCCACGCACGAGATGAGCGGCACGGCCTTTACGACAGCCGGTGGCGGCAGTCGTCCGCTACCCTGCAAAGTCGTGGCCGGTCGCATGACCAGTCTGGCCCGGGCTGCCTGTCGGCTGGTCAAGGACAGGGACGTGGGCGTGGGCTCGGGCTCCAGCGATGATCTCGACGCGCGCCAGCTGTTCCAGCCGTCGCTGCACGACTATGACGTGCTGATCCACCTGTCGCCGCGCCTGGTCCGACGGCTGGTCCACGGCGAGGTCGAGGAGGCCGATGTTGACGCGCCGGCAAAACGACGGTCGGCCGTGTTCAAGAATCTCGACGGTCGTACCGGCCGCGACTTGCGCCCACTTCCGTGCCACCCCGTCCAGCTTCTCTTCGACCAGCTCAGCGAGGCGTACGGTGGCAACGGCACGGCGGCGCCGCTGGTCTTCTTTCACGGGTCGTGTGAGGATGGCGATCACGTGATGGCCGCCATGTGGAACCCCCAGGTGCAGCCGAGGGCTTTCCGAATCAACCTGCCATACTCGTTCAGGCCGGTCAACACCAAGACCAAGAAGAAGCGAGGCAGCGACGATGCCGAGGCCGTTACCGACGAGCCCAGAGCCGAGGACCTGGTCGAGGTCAACCGTGACGCCATCCTGGCCGAGGTTGCGCGGATCGGCGGCGCCCTGATCGAGCGGATCGAGGTGGTGGGACAGCAGAAATAAAAAGGAGCGAGGGACAGAGCGGTAGCGGGTGCTCGTAGTATTGTCGACGCCAACAGAATTAATGCGAAGCGAATCAGAATTGCACAACCCCGTGTCTTTTGCCCTCGACGTCGCGTGAGACGGCCCGCTCTTTCTCGGCTGCAGGCTGCAGGCTGCCGGCTGCACCTTGCGAGCTGTGATGCATTGCAGCTGATGAGCAGATGACTAACTTGCTGATCGACCTTGCTGCCATGTGGCCATGATACCACCCCGTTGGATATTCCGCTTTGGCCGTTCCGCGTTGGAGTACCGCTTGGGTAGAAAGCATGCCGTCTATACTGTGTAGTATTTTGTCCTGAGGACAGAAACAGGTATCACTAGACAGCAACAGACAAGACATGCACCGAAACACTCTCCTGACCCATGGACTAGTGCAAGTCAAGACAGATTGAACAGACCCGAGGGATGGCGATGCTATGCACTTCTGTGCTCCTCCGTTCTAACGGTCCTCCAGGCCCAGACCGGGCGCACGTTAGTCGCTCCGTTGTCTGAGCTCTAGAACCAGATAACTCTCATGCACGTCATGTGTACAGCCACACAACGTCGTTCTGCTCTTACCTAAGCCGTCCAACGGCCCAGCCTTGAAGAGCTAGCGAGCCGAAGTGCGGGGAAAGCGCGGAAATGGTCAGTTTTGCCGTTTGGCGTCCGTCTGCATGGGTTGGTGAGGGTCACCTGGCTGACGCCCAATCTCACATAATACTCTTCCTTTTGCCAGTCTCCCCGGACAATAAACCGTGTACCTTTGTCAAAGAGTCAAAAAGGAGGCAGACTTGATTACAGCCTGCCCCTAGTGCGACGTCCTTAGCTCCTTCTTCTGAAATCGTACGTGGCTGCCAAGGCATCCCTATCTGGGAGCTACGACCGGCGTTCTGCGTCGTCAGATCCTTCTAGCCCCTACCGCTGACCTGCTCCAATCTTCTCTTTCCTGACGTATCCTTTCCCCATCTTGTTTCTTGGCCCTTCTTGGCCCGCCTGCCTTTGCATCCGTTACTCATTTCCCCTCCTCTTCACCACCCGTTCCATGGTTCATTCTCTCTGGGCCTCGGCTGTGACCCAAAGACCATAATGGGTTCCTATAAAGTTCCCTCGACCATAGTGAGCAGACAGGGACTGCTTGCTCGTTCAGCTTTCTGTTCCCTAGAACAACAGATACCTCAGATAGCTCTTGCTTTGTCTGTTCGCCAAGTCAACGGCCAGGCCTGGGCCCTTATCTCTGCTGCTCTCTCTACCTCCCTGGCAATCTCTTATCCCTAGTCGCAGTTCCCGTGTGACTCCCGTCTGCTGTTCACCTTGTTTGACATCTCACAACGGCTGCTTCTCCTCTGCTCCCTTCTCGCTCGAACAATCTCAGTGGGAACAAAAGGGAAACAGAGAAGGAGCTGAGAGCAAGAAGCGCAATCACACATACAGAACGCACTAAACTACATCAACAAAGTCAATAATCATGGCTGTTGACATGGAAAAGCATGCCGTTGAGGGCGATACCTACGCGGTCAAGCCAGAGACCACATTGGTCGAAGACGCAATGACACCCGAGTTCACTCTTGCCGAGCAGAAGAGCATCATGCGCCGCGTCGACCGACGCCTCGTCACCACCGTGGGCTTCATGTACTGCGTCTCGCTGATGGACCGCACCAACCTGGGAGCTGCCAACATTGCAGGCCTGGCAAAGGATCTAAAACTGACAGTCGGAGCCCGCTATGTATGCTATAAACTTCGGCAGAACATGTGCGATCTAGGCTGACTCTCCGCTCTGGCAGTCCATTATCAGTTTGGTGTTCTTCGTCCCGTACATCATTTGTCAGGCGCCGTCGACTGTCATCGTGCGCAAGGTCGGTCCGCGCCTGCACCTGTCGCTGATCACAGTCTGCTGGGGGGCCGTCATGGTCGGCATGGGCTTTGTGCCCACTTGGGAGGCTTTGGCCGGCTTGCGTGTCATTCTCGGTATCTTTGAGGCCGGCTTCTTCCCCAGCTGCATCTATCTTCTGAGCACCTGGTACACGCGATGTGAGCACAGAATGGTACAGGTCTCGATGGCAAGCGCAGGCTAATCGTTAGCAGTCGAGGTTGGGAAGCGCAATGCCGCCTTCTATATTCTGGGATGTGTGGCCTCAGCCTTTGCCGCCATCCTTGCCGCTGGCATCATGCAGATGAAGGGCCTCGCTGGTCTTAACGGGTTTGTCTTTTTCATTGTCTTTGCCGGCCGTCTTTCCAAGCAGCACACTAATACACAACACGACCAGCTGGCGTTGGATCTTCATCACTGAGGGATACATCTCGTGCCTGATCGGCATTGCAGGCTTCTGGCTTCTCGTGGACTTCCCGGACTCCAAGCGAAAAATCTGGAATTTCCTGGGTGATCGCGAGCGCGCCTGGGTTGTTGCCCGTGTGAACGCCGACCGCGGCGATGCTGTGATCCCGCCGTTCAAGTTGTCGCAGTATTTCCGCAGCGGCCTCGACTGGAAGGTGTGGGCCTATGCAATGATTTTCTTTAGCACAACAACGATCACGTATGCGCTTTCCTACTTTCTGCCCGTCATCCTCCAGGAGAATATGGGCTTCACGACAGTGCAGGCTCAGTGCCTGATCGCCCCGCCTTACGTATTTGCCGGATTGGTCATGTTCTCGTTGGGATACATCGGCGATCGCTACAAGGTGCGCGGGCCGCTGATCGTCTTCTGCATGCTGCTGTGTCTGATCGGGCTGCCCATCGTGGGCTTCCACCCTAACTCGGGCGTGCGCTATTTCGGCATATTCTTGGTGACGGCGGGCGCAAACTCGAACGTTCCGTGCATCATGTCATACCAGGCGAACAACATCCGGGGCCAGTGGAAGCGAGCCTTTGCCAGTGCAACTCTTGTGGGCTTCGGCGGCTTGGGCGGTGTCTGTGGCAGCCTCGTGTTCCGCGAACAGGACAAGCCGGGATACCGCCCGGGCATCTACGCCTGCATCGCTGTGAGCTTAGTGACGCTACTGCTTGTCTGCGCTTTGAGCCTGGACTATCGCTCGCAGAACCGAAAGGCCGATCGCGGAGAAAAGGAGCTGGAGACACTCGAGGTGAGCAATACTGGCGAGAAGCTGTCGTTACAAATTAATGACCGTTTCGTTTCTAGGACGGCTACCTGCCAGGATTCCGGTACACTCTCTAAGGAGACGTGGCTTGGGTGTTAATTATTGCCTTGTCAAAAAGTAATGTCGGCTGTGCGTGGTGTGAATCAGCATCCCTGAATTGAAGGATGTGAACAACGAATGCGCATTGTCCTAGTCGAACAGGATGGACTGTTCAGGATGCCTATCTTCTCTTGTTCATAGTGGGCCCCAAGCAATGGAAGAAGAGCGGATGAGCAAATGAACACCATTGAACCGGGTTAACCCAGCAGTTCAACGAACAATCTGTCTGTTCATATAGTCAATCTAAGACGTTCAGTCTTGGACCGCCTGCATATAAAACCGTCTGAAGTCTCGTGTTTCTCTCCTGATTATCATTGTCCTATCCATCATTCTTCTACAGGCCTAGAGAGTCGCTCAAGATCATCTGAGATCTAAGTTCTTCTGCGATCTCTCAAAGTCGTACAAAACAGCAATAAGCACAACTCTGCCTTACTAAGCAGCAAAGCCATATTCTCCCTTCTTCCCCAGACCCCACTTGACAGAAGAGCGAGGAGAGAAGAGATGGCCCCGATCGCGGTGTCATCTGTTGCGATACACATCCGTGCAGATACGTCTACTGCCCCGTCCAAGCCTCCATCTCCATCTGTTCTTGTCACCACGTTGGTAGTCTCGCTTCTCGGTGTCTCACTCGTTTTGGCCGTCGTCCTGGCTTTTCTCGCGGTGGGTCCAATCTGCAAGACAGTCAAGGACGCGCGCGGGTGCCGCAGAGAGCGAAAGAAGTTGACAAAAAGAGGCCCCAGCCTCCGATCGCATCCTGATGTCCAGTCAGTGGCGCAGCTTCCGCGTGTATATCCGCACCCTTTAGAGCCGGCGGCGGCGTACTGGCAACGGCAGCCACGAAAGCCGCTGACCAAACTGCCGGAGCTGCCACGACGGGTGCTGGAAGTCAAGTGTGAGGAGGCGCAACTGCAGATGGAGGCCGAAACGGGCGCGGAGGATATGTACCTCCTTCTGGACGAGAACAACCAGCTCAGTCCGATCGGGTCGCATTGCACGGCTACGCCCAACGACTGCTTCTGAGTGGAACATGAGCTTCCATCGACCCAGAGCTAGTGGTTCTCAGAGTGTCGTATTTGGTGCATCGTATTGGAAGGTGATGGTGAGGTGAAGTCGTAATGTAGTGAGAAGGGAAGCTAGTCATTGTTGTTTGTATTTGGTAATGGAGAAATTTGATGATGTTCCTGGTCGTGTTATATATATTAAATACGTCATCCGATTTCAATTTACCTTTGTGCCTTCTGCTATCAATTTTATTTTTATGTTTACAACGCTTGCCATTATTGTCCTATATACCATTACTAATTCGGTTTCTATCGTCACGATGAAATATACCACTTAAATCGGATCTATGATCCATGTGCCTAATCTAGACGAGGCTTGCTTCGTCGAGACGAATCAATTCGCTCTGTCATGCGTCGAATGAAGACTGAGCACTTCTTGACTGGGCCAGTACCTGCCCCAGCACGCGTTTATGACGCTGATGGAGACGAGACAGGGGAATTAGCAGAGGCTTACGAGCTTTGGAAGACGAGGCGTGATACCACGAAAAAATACATCCCGATGACAACCCGCAACGTCAAGGACTGTTTTGCGGGTTACGGTTGCATCACATTATTACTATAATGCGTGCAGATCTTTTGTGTACAACGCCAAGCGTGTTATACTCTTTTAGATTCATCTTGATGATCCGCCACTTTCGTGTAACAAGCGACGAAAGAGAGGAAAGAAGGATCGAAGAGATTATCATCGGTCTCACATTTGGTGGTACTGCGATCTGAAGTTATTGTATGTGCTTTTTCGCCTTTGGAACACTCTTCCATCTCCAAGGCGGCAATCAGCTGGCCGCAGAGCAGGATATCACATGAAGTGGTGTTTTGGATGATGGTTTGGACGAAGCCAAGTACGTCTGTCCATCTGGAAGCGTGTTTTAGACCGAAGCGCAGTCTGAACGCCTCGGGGAAGTTGGGCGGGAGCGTTTTCTAGCACAGGCAGCGTCTTCTCCTCTTGACTACATTGCAGGCATGGATGGGTCTTGACGCAGGGCTTGCAACGAACAAACAGAACAGAACAGCAGCAGGAACAACTTGTGTAACATACTACCCCTTCACACCCGCCACGTTAGTGTAGAGACAATGTGTCAATGCTGGCGGTCTTACGAGTTTGCTTATTGGCGTCAGAGATGGGCGGTGCTATAAAGCAGTACTTGATGCGGCGAACCGCTTCTGGCGAAAATTGAGCGCCCAAACAAGAAGAGTAGCCAGCCAGTAATGTATTTGTTTGTGTAGGACACCGAGCTACAAATTTTAGACCTTGCTCGACTGTTTCGGCAGGGACATACAACCAGAGATCTCTACAAAAGCACGCACAATTCTCCATCAGAGCTTGGCCCGCTGTTTACGTTCTGGGATTAGTAAGCAACCCAATTGCATCCTGTCAAATTGTTCATCCTTGTCTAACTCTCATAAGAACTTGCTCTTGACAGCGCCCATGACCAGGCTGCGCTTCTGGTTCGACACGTACTTGCTGACGTCGTCGGCCCAGCCCTGGCTCTGTTCCTGCAGGTTGTCCATGCCGTCGCTCACAAATGTCAGCTTCTCGGTCCGCTCGTTGAACTGTCGCGAGAGGTACTGGCCCCAGCCCTCCTGGCCGGTGCCGGCTCTCTGTAGGCCGGCCTGTCCGGGTGGTGCACCGGCTCCAGTAGCGCCCTGATGGCGGGCGATGCGAGCCTCCTCAGCAGCGGCTGCCATCATGCGGTTGCTCGGCGGCCGGTCGGGTCCGCCGATCAGCAGGTCGAGATCTAGCGGCGACACATACTGCGTGCCCGAGATCCACTGCAGATTGCTAATGGTCGGACGCGGCGGCACGGCTAGGTCTGGATTGACGAGCGTATCGCCCGGCCCGTCTGGACCTCGCACGGCACCCCACGACGATACGATGACCAGTTCGGATGGCCCAGTCCAGCCAAAGATGTCACCGCTCGGCGAGACCACGGCATCGCCCAGACGTGCGGCATCCAGCTGCGCCAGCGGTGCCCGGCTGATCTCCTTGAGTCCCGGTAGCGTGAAGGCCCGCGTGGTCCCGTCGCCGAACATGCCTACCAGCGCGTGTCCGTGCAGCTCGTTGTGGACGACCTCAGCTGCGTAGCAGAACACATCGTCAAACGATTTGGATGCGCCCTTGGCAGCTACTGGTCGGAAGATGCGAGCTTCGCTTTGGGTGGCTGTACGTGTTAGGGCGGATGAACAAAAACAAAAAGATCAGACGACAACACACTCACCAACAACCAAAGTCCCATTCACGTGCTGTCCACTGCGAAGACCAGCCACGGCTGCGCCTGTTGCCACGGCCGAGACGCCGGTGTCGGCCACAATCGGACAGATGGCCACGATCTTGTCCTTGAGGTCGGTCATGCCGGCTAGCTTGGCCGTGTAGCCGTCAGCCGACGGCAGCAGCTCAAACGTGAGCAGCTTGCCCTGCTGCGTGCCGACCAGACAGACGAGGCTGGAGTAGGACTTGCCCTCGAGCGAGAGCACGGCAAACTCAGCCACGACCGGGTAATCCTTCTTCTGGCCGCTGCTGCTGCTGCCACTGCCATGTCGGCCGCCCAGAAAGGACGACCGCTTCTCGGACTTGGCAAAGTCGGCCAGCGCGCCGTGGAAGATGAGTGACGGCCCGCGCAGGTCGATAATGGACAGAAACCCGTTCTCGGACCCGGCCGCCACGAAGCCGACGTCAGACCCGGCCACCATGCTGACCGGCCCCTGTAGCATCTCGTACAGAACCCACGGCTGCAGCCCGTCCTGCAGCGAGTCCTCGGTGCGCTTGCTGATGTCGGTGAAGCCGCCCGGGTTGGATGGCCCCGCATTGGTCTTGTTGCTGTCGCCGCTGTTACTGCCAAACGTCCGGTTCGTTCCCCAGCGGAACAGCACGACCTCGCCAACCCGCGTGCCGATGGCCAGCTCGCCCGTGACTGCAGCCAGCGACAGCGCCGTGATCTCGACGTCACGATCGCGCGCCACTGCCCGAGCCACGTCCACCTGCAGCACAGCCGGGTTCTCGATCTCGTCGCCGTGGCCTGCGTCCCAGATGCGCACCGTGCCGTCGGCGTGGGCGGTCTGCAAGATGTTGCGACGCTCGTAGCGGCGCCGTGGCCTCGGTGCCGGAGCACCGCCCCGAAGCAGCGGCTCGCCCGTGTTGCGTGTCTCGGTCAGACCCAGCCAGCGGTCACGGGCCATGGTGGCCACGGCGTACTGGGACACGAACGGGGCCACAAACGAGATCGACGGGTGCAGCTGGTTCGTCGGACTGATGGGAAAGCCCGATGGGAAGCTCAGCGTCAGCATCTCGCCCGAGCTGAGCAGCGTGAAGACGGCAATGGGGTCGCTGGCACCGTCAAAGTGCGGCGTCAAGCGCGGCGCCAGACAGAAGCCGCTGATCTCGGTGCCCGGTGGAATGGGCAGCAGCTGCTGGCGCTTGCCGCGGAAATGGTCCGAAAGCATCTGCCACGACGACGTCGCATACACCGGCGTCGGGCCCAGATCCAGAAAGGTCAGTCCCTTCTCGGGCGCGTCAAAGGCCAGCCCACCGGCCACCAGAAGTGCCGTGTCATCCGGGTTCTTCTTGCAGCACCAGGCGATCTTGACAAACGGATCCAGCAGCCGCGGCTTCGTCGGGCCCCCAGCACTGGCCTGATCCACCCCGGATGCGTACAGTGACCGGGCCAGCACCACCCGGCCGTCCTTGGGGTCCCAGAAGACCAGGCTGCCGTCGTCGTGTGCCGTCAGCACAAACGTGCCTGTGGGGTGCCAGAGCGCCTGAATCAGCCGTGGCCGTCGCTCCACGTCGGGCGTCTCGCCGTTGCCACCCGGTGCTCCGGCCGGCACCACGTACTCAAAGTACCGCGTTGCCTGCTCGTGCTTGAACGAGTAGATCACCGCGCCCTTCGAGTAGCCCACCAGCAGCTTGCCGGCATCGCGTGGGTGCAGCTGCAGCGACACGAGTCCCATCGACGCCGTCACCATCGTCGACGACGTGGCCGGACGAGCCCGAACTCGCCCGACGTCTGTCGCGTCTGGTCGCGTCCGCCACAGATTCGGCACCCGTAGAGGTGACAGCCGCTCACGATCTAGGTCGTAGGCCACTACCTCGCCGTTGCTCAGCCCCAGAAAGGCCCAGTCCAGCATCGGATCTGTCGCCATCGCTGCTGCCGGTCCTGCCGACACCGTCCCGGCCACCCGCTCGCCCGTGTCCAGGTTCCACAGTGCCAGCTCGCTCTTGGCGTCCAGGCTGACCAGCCTGTTCGCACTGAACTGCAGCTGTCGCAGAGACGCGCCGCCTTTGGGCTGGATCACCCGATGCACGCGGCCCTGCCCGTACACGTAGATCGTGCCGCGTCCAAACCGTGACTGCGTCGTGCCCACCGCCAGCAGCGACTGCACCGGGTCGTATGCGAGACAGCTATACCTGTCAGAGCACGGCCTAGAGACTGGCAACGCGCCGAGAACAAACACTCACCTGATCTGAGAAGCCACTCCGTAGCGAACCTGCTCTTCGGGCGTAAAGACGCCTGGCAGAATGCCGGCCGACAGGTCATTCTGCATGCCTGCCTGCTTTCCGCGGATAAAACTCGCCATCGTCGCTTGCTTTTCCGCCCCGAGTCGGATACATCAGTCGCTGGAGACGGGACAGAGAGAGGAGGAAAGGGGGCCGTTGAGCTCCGACGTCTTTCGCCCTGGTCTTTGTGATGGTGGGGTCTGCAGATTGTTGCCGGGGAAGGCGCTAGGGACAGGCGGACGTCATCAGTCGTTGAAGAGTGGAGTCACGTGACAATGATCCGCCCTGGAGTGGAAATAATACCCTCTTCCTACGGAGTACGAAATCCGCCAGTTTGGACGACGCGCACTGCGGGAGAGGGGACGCCCCTTCTGATGGGTAAGAATAAACTCCGGTGTTCAAAGTAGACCCACGGATATGCGCACAAAAACGGCAGAGCATCAATGCGAACCAACGTCTGCCGGGGAGTGGGCCCGGTAGACCAGGCGCCAGGCCCGGGACCCATAAGGTTACCGGGACTTGCAAAACTGATTCGGGTTTACTTTTGTCTTGTGACTCCTGCTTGTAAGCTCCCCCAGGTATATGCATGCCAAGATGGAACGGCCCTGCCTTGTATTGTGACATCTGCTTGTAATTATCCCAGGTTGTGTCCACGCCCAACCATACAAAATGGGACTTGGTGAGGTCTGCGGAAACGACAACGGCCAAAACGAGAAGAGCCCAGCTGGTCTGAAGACGCATGCAAGGCTGGACTAGGCTGGCACCATCAGACTGGCACGCCGAGCATACAGAATCTCTGGGTCCTCCTTTCGTCGGCTCCGACAAAAGACGAGAAGCCTTGGTCCTGGGTCGTTGCGCTCCTTTTCCTTCCTTCCCTTTCCTCCTTCCCCTTCCTTCCTCTGCTCGGACGTCTGAGAAATATGTATATATTGTGGTCTTCCCAGACCTTGGGAAACCAACATCTTCCCACTTACACACAACACTCTTCATATTTCCAGTACAACGCCAAACATCTGTTCTTTTGATTATTTTGCAACAGATCTACTTGCTCTCATAGGCTTTACTCCTTCAGAAAGCTTGTCACAGAACTGTAGGCCATGGCTCAGAGTGTTGATGCCGGCGAAGTGACCACAGACAACCAGCAGTATGCCTCGTCTGTGCAGGTCTGCAACGGCAGCATGAACGAGTAAGAGCCTCGTCACTGGCTTTGAAAGGTATTCGAACACAAGACACGTTCGCTGACTGAAAAAGGGGCCGTCAAACAGCGTCAGTATCCCAGGAGGACTCCCGTCTCCGTGCTGAGCGCCTTCGGACTTTCACCGAGGACACGAGTGGCATCAACGACCGCTTCATGGCCATTGCCAATGCCCCTAACAATGCGGGCGGCACTGCTCCCTAGCGGCGACAGGGGGACTCGGGGGGGTGGTGAATTGAGACTGGGATGAACGACGTACTGGGACAATGCCGGCGCTGTCACTTATGATAGAAACTAATTGAGAGCGGTTGCCTTACTATTGGTATCGTCAGGACCGGGGATCGACAATTAAAGATAGCAAAGTGCTTCATCTTGATCCACTTGCGGACTTGTGACGAAATCAGAGGGGCGCAGAATGGCTCCGTTTTCAGTCTGTCGAGTGAGAATGGTCGGGGAAATGGATGTGCTGATACCATGTACAGAGCACGTAGTAGTGACGGGTTGTTCCTGACCGCCTCGCCGTGTGGATCTGCGACCCAGGCCACCGGGATCATACGAGTAGCGCTTACGGGATATGTACATGGCGTAATCTTCCTGGTAATGAATATGATACGTGGTCCGGCTGGTTGGGACAATGCATAGGGGCTACCTATTTATGGGCTGCTCGGATCGGCCGTTTCCTGCTAGTGTTCTTATCAGCTTCTGCAAGGCAAGGCAGCTGGAAATGACTGAAACGTGCAGGATGGGCAAGCTAAGAACAAGCGAAATTTGGGTCCTGCAACGCCCGATTTAGGTGGGTGAATTGTTGGCATTTCAATCAGGGGGTGCGCAAACATTGGACGTTGCGCCCGGCTGTTCAAAGCGATTCGGCAACCCCGCTGCTCAAAAAAAATACTGTTACAGAGTACAGAGTACTCCGTAGCCACATATCCAGGATTCCTAACTTTCAAAACAAAGATAGCCAATCAAGCCTCCTGGCCCACGGTTACTTGCAGAAATCCATCTACGGTGTGCACGAAATTCATAAGGCCGAGTCCGTGGGTCTGAATGTCCCTTCTGGACTTTGGTCCTCATTCGGCACGCTGGCAACAGGATGGATGACTAAGCATAAATGAGAGATGATTAAGCCGCATCCGTTCCGCAATATCCGCCGATCCCAAGAGCCGCGGGTCTGTAGGCCAGCCAGCAGGACAACATCCGCCAACTGGGAGCAGAATGAACGCGAGCGGGCGCAAGCGATCGCGCCTAGCGTGCAACCCATGCCGAGAGCGCAAGCGCAAATGCGATGGCCACGAGCCGTGCGCGACATGCACGGCCTACGGGTACGAATGCACGTACGCGAGTGCGACACGACAGCGGCGAAAGCGACCGCGGCAGCCGCGGGTAACGGCGGCGGAGACGCTGCGGATGACGCCGCCGGCGGAGCGAGCATCAACAGCAGCAGCAGCAGCAGCAGCAGCAGCGGCGGCAGCAGCGGTGGAGACGGCGGTGGACGACGGCTGCGGGCTGGCACAGCGGCTGGAGAGCAACTCGGGAGCGGCATTTGTGCGACGGCTGGGACTGAAGATCGACCCGGCACGAGCGCCGAAGCTGAACCTGTTTGGATGGAACGTGGGCGAGCGGCAGCTGTCGATGCGGCTGAGCCTGAGCGCATCGACGCCGGTGCTGTCGGTGGTGGAGATCACGTCGCAGGAACACGTGCAGGCGCTGGCGCAGTTCTACTTTGACAAGGTAGACCCGTGCTACGGCTTTCTGAACGGACGGGTGTTTGCCGACCGGCTGGACCGGCGCTTCCGCCAGCAGCAGCAGCAACAACAACAAGCACCAGCCGAGCCGGACGTGTACGACAGCGTGATCGCCGGCGTGGCCGCGCTCGGCTGCCTCTTCTCGCAGGGCGCGGCCACGCTGGCAGAGCTGCAGCTGGTGCGCACGGCATTCCACGCGCTGCATGCACAGCGGCTGGCCGGGCCGCCTGGCATCGACCTCATCACGGGCTGGGCGCTGCGCACGGTGTACCTGCGGCTGACCGACTCGCCATACGCCGTCTGGATGGCCAGCTGCACGCTGATGCACCTGGTCGAGGCGTCAGGACTACACGGCAGCAGCGCTGTCATGGCGGCCACGACGGCCGTCGCCGGCGAGGTGGACCTGGCCGAGCCCGAGAATAGCGGTCCCGGGTCGCCGCCCGGCGACGGCTACGTGGACCCGGTCATCGCGGCGCGGCTGCTCGGCATCGCCCACCACCTGCACGTCTGGACGTCCTTTGACCTGGGCCTGACGCGCGTCGCCTTTCTCAAGACGGACCTCTCGCTGCCGCCGCTCTGGGGACAGGGCGAGCCGGAGGACGAGCCGAGTGGACGCGGAGAGGCTGCGTCGGCCACCCGCCCCTCGGCCGCTATCGGCGACGCCACCGCCGAGCTGCTCGGTCTCCTGCCGATGTCGGTGGATCTCGATCCCGCTCGTCCACGTGACGCGGCCGATCTCACGGCCACGCTCGGCCGCCTGCTCGCCGGCACCCACACGCTGGCGCCGTCGGTTCTGGCCCAGTGTAATCTCGTCCTCTGTCTGCTTCGACGCTTCCACACGCAGCACCTCGACGTGGCGCCCGAGCTCGAGGCTCGCGTGCTGGCTCTGCTGCGCCGCGGCCTCGCCTGCGCCCGCGATATGGTCCTCAGCTGCAGTCCCTGGCACCAGGCCTCCAACGTGCCGTTCCAGACCATCTGCATGCTGCTTGTGCTCGACACCCGCTCGTCCCTCGCGCTCCTGCCCGAAGCCATGCAGACCCTCGGCCTCGTCGCCTCCGTCTACGATACCGACCGCATGCGCGAGGCTCACAGCGCTGCTCGTCTGCTCGTCCGCCTGCATCAGCAGCGCCGCCGCGACGACCTCGCCGTCCTCGGAAACGCCCTCCAGCGCCAGTCCGAGCCGCCCGTCCTGCCCGTTCCCGCCCAGTCTCAGACACACTTGCCGCAGTCCCATACAGAGACGCCGTCGCAGCCACACATACAGCCACATATACAGCCACACGTTCAGCCACATACTCAGCCACAACCGCTCCCACAGCAGTCCTTACCCCTTCAGCTCGACCTAGGCCCCAGCGAGGAGGAGTTCTCTTGGCTTGGCGCCCTCGTGTCCGACCTGCCCGGCCTGCAGCGCGTCGATCTCGAGCAGTTCTTGTCTACTGATCTGATCGACGATCCCTCCCTTATGGGACTGTAGCATCTGCTGAGTCTGCTTAGTCAGCAGATCGGCAATAAACTGTTGCATCCAAAGAAGAAAAGTGTGTAGAAGCCAATCCTGTCAACGTACTCAGTATATACACATCTGCATGCACTAGCCCCATGGCCACCCACGGTTGTGTGCCGAACGGTAACAAGCATTGTTAACCGTACCCAGCCGACCTAGCGGGTATTGCGGATCCAAGCGGGATGCCATTCAAGACAACGTCTGACAACACCGAGTCAGGCCAGTGAGGATGATGACAAAGATGTATATGTATCGTACATGTCAGTCCTTTGGCTTCGTCCTGGCCCAAAACCCTTCCTTATAGCCGTAACCCGTCATTTGCATGTCTCTTCCGCACATAGAACAATGTCAACTTGACCCATAATTTAAAGACGCAGTCTACCAGGTGAATGTATCTTTCACCTAACCGACCATCTAGAACTAGACTGTGTTCCCGCACAAGACTACGGCCTCGTCTTTGCACAATCAACCAAAAAGTCACGTGAACAATGGACTTACACGGCTGAACGGGTATTTGGGAAACCAATTATAGGCGATTGTCAAATATACTCCACACGGACGTACGCAGGAAACTCATAGCAAAATCAAAGCAGAAACACCATCTACGCCTCCGGAGCACGGTCGCCTACGTGATGCAGAATGCTCCAGGTCCACGGCAGCACAATGTCGGGACGGTCCTTGATGGCCGTGTGCAAGAGGTCGCGGCTCTCGTCGTAGCGCATAGCCCCGGTCGCGTGGTAGGTCTGCCGGCCGAGCGCGGCGTCGACAAACATGTCGCGCTCATAGGCGAGCGCAGCGACAGGGACCGTGTTTGCGCGCAGCCGCTGGGCGTCGAACAGCGGGTCCCAGTCGGCCTTTTGGGCGAGCAGGTCGGCCACGGCACGCAGCGGCCGCAGTGCCGCGAACTGGCTATAGTGGAACGGATAGACATGCTCGCCGGACAGGTAGATGCGCTCAGACCGGAAGCGCTGGGCGAGCTGGACGTCAGCTCCGCTGCAGGCGCGCGCGAGCGGCGTCTGCATCGGATCCGGGTCCCGGTCCAGCTCGCCGCTGGCCGGCAGCCACCAGTACTGGTCGAGCGAGCGGCCGACGCGCCAGGCGGACCAGCCGGCCTGGATGCCCGGCTCGCCGTAGATGGGCTCGTGCAGGACGGCATAGAGCGGGCGATCCTCAAAGCGCAGCCAGCCGTCGATATGGCGCAGGGTGGCGACCGACAAGCTGCCTTTGGTGGCAATGTCCGCCAGACAGCGCTGCAGCTCGCGGTCGGCCCGCTCTTCGCCATCCATGGTGCCCAGTGTGCGGCCGAGACAGAGAAAGCGCTCGGCCGAGAGGGTGGCGCCACCACCGTTCGGCATCGCGATGGCGTTGCCGCCGTGCGTGACAATGTGCTGCACGATCGTGCGCACGCTGGCAACGTGCGCGGGATAGCGGTCGTAAAAAGCGTCACAGGCCCGGATGGTCGACTGGTACGTGTGACCGTAGACCACATCGGGATGCACGCCGACCGGCGGCACGGCGCCGGTGAGGAAGACCTCGCGCAGGCCCTCGGGATAGAAGGACAGGTACGTGAATGCGAGCCAGCCGCCATACGACTGGCCAACCAGCGTCCATGTGCGGCCGGGCCCCAGCAGCGTCTTCCGCACTGCCTCAAGGTCGCGAACAATGTTGTCCTGCCGGAAGAGCGACAGCAGGCCGGCCTGCTTGTCGGCCGGGCAGCCCTGCAGCGGCGGCTGGTTGGCCCTGATCGGCGTGCTGCTCCCGGTGCCGCGGTAGTCCATGTAGAGCAGCTGGAAGCCCAGGTCGAGATAGAAATTGTTGATGTCTGTCTGCATCGTCGGCGGGTTGTCCGAGCCCGGGCCGCCGACGAGATAGACGGCCACTGCTTTCTCTGCGGCCGGCCGCAGTCCAGGGGCGTCCTGCTTCCCTGCGATCACCCGGACGGTCAGGCTGATCTGCTCGCCGTCTGGCTGCCGGTAGTCCAGTGGGACGCCAAACTCGAGCTCGCTGACGCTGTAGCCATTCTTTTGGAGAGCAGAGCTCTGGTGAATCTTTGCAGGGGGAACGGGCAGAGACATGGTTCAATATGGATGCGATGCAGAGAGACGAGGCAGCCGGGCAGCACAGAACGGCATGTTGCTATATACCAGGCCAGACAAAGGCTTCTCCCCCGCGAGGACCGAGGCACACCGAGCGGCAAAACATGATCAACCGCATCGAGCTGGCTTTGAAGGAGACAGAGACGTTGGGCCGTGTAAGAAAGGCGGGTGGCACAGCCAACTGCACAGCCAACTGCACAGCAGACCAAGACCTCGCTGAGCGTTGTACGCAGGGGAGCGTTGCGAGTGTATCGTTCTTTGCTGTTTGGAGACTTGATAGCAATGTCATTTCATTGTCGTCTTTATTTGTAGATTCGATAGTCGTTGTCGCCCAAATAGGAAAGAAAGCAGTGCATGGGAGTGCATGGCCGAAACGGGAAGGCAGGGGGAAGAGGCAAAGAAGTGCGTTCTTTTTTTAATTCAAGGCCACCAGTTCCCCCGCTCGTTCTTCTCTCACAAGACCTGACCTAAGCGAGCTTGCAGCCGACGCCCAGCACCAACCGATCATAGACCGGAACACACAAAGGCTGATAGGCCTGGCTTGTCATCCAATGTTCCCGAAAAGGCTAGACCGACACCTTTACACATTCCTGGTCGTACCGCATGCGTTGTCGAGAAGAAGATTCGCTCAGTCGCCGTTGTTTCGGCCAAGATCCCGCCTCACTCTCCACACCTGCGATCCGACAGCCCTCTTTTCGTTGCCATGCAGCACCTCCACCCACGGCATCGCCTCGTCGTCACCGTGTCGGACCTCGTCGCCGTCAGCCTCGGCCTCGACGTCTGCTCGCCGTCGGTACAGCTCCTCCGTATATGCCCACGTGGGCGCGTCCTGCTTTCCCGACACGAGCACGACGCCAAGGCCATCTTGGCGCAGCACTTCGGCCACGGCTGCGGCAGCCGACACCGGCGTCAGCAGCTGCAGCGTCTGCGTCGTCGTGTCGATGCCCCGGAGCAGTGCCACGCCCACGGCATACGAGTGCAACGGGTCCAGACCCGTGCTCTCGCTGTTCACGATGCACGGCAGGCCTTCGGGCGAGCACACGACCGGCAAGCTCTCCACGCCGTCATCCGACCAAACCGCGGCCGCCCGCTCGACGGCCACGATCGACACCACCGTTCCGTTAATAGCATCGGCCAGCAGCTCCGGCCCCGGCTGGTAGTCGTAGCACAGAACGCCCAGGATGCCGCTCTCGGGTCCGCTTGCATACGGCACTACCCATGGCCGCACGGCCGTCAGCGGCGTCGGGTCCCACGAGAGCCCGTCTTTGGCTTCTTTGTCACCCAGATCCAGGTGCAGGTACGACATCGTCTGCATCGCTCGCAGGTGCTGTGCCGTCCGCGACGTGTACTCGCTCGGCTGCGACGGCAGCGCCACCAGTGGCACGTCCACATAGGCCGCCCGCAGCCCCTGCATCGTCTCCTCTGGTCCGTCCTGTGACATGTACACCACCCGGGATGGCCGCATGCGTCGTACCAGCTCGGCCAGCACGTCCAGCCCCGTGCCTAGCACCCAGCCCGGTGTGTTGATCACCAGCGGACAGCGCCGCCCGCCTTGGTCTCGCTGGTCTCGCTGGTACGCCCCGTACAGATCCATCACGCACGCAATGTAATGTTCTGGGTCGCTGGCCAGCGATGCTGCCGCTAGGTCGTGGGCCCGCAGCCGCTGGACGCTGCCCGGACTGCCTGAGCTGCCCGGACTGCCCCGGCTGGCCACGTATGGATGGCAGAACGGCGGCGACAGGTTCGGCTCGCTCACTCGTACCAGGGACACCGTTCCTGGTGTCGCAAACTCGGGCTGTCCCGGGTCAATGTCCAGCATCGCCACCGCGCCGCCCGTCGAGGCCTCTTCGGTCAGTAGTCGATTAGTCAGCAACCTTGAGAACGTCGACTTGCCCGACCCCTTGGGTCCACACACAAAGTATACCCCAGCCCCTCCGGATCGCCTGCTGCCGGTCCGCTTGGCTGCTGCCAGCTCTGCCATGAGCTTGTTCCACTCTGGAGGCGACACCAGCCCCTGTGACCGTGTCGTCCCGTCTTGCGGCGTGTACAGCTGTGAGGACGTCAGCATAAGAGAGATGGCACGAGCAGAAAGTACCCACTATTTGAAAGGTCTCCTTGGCCTCTTTTGTCTCATTCCACAGCTGACCAAACACGGGCGCGAGCCGCTCCAGCTTCCGCAGCCCGGCCGCCCCGAGGTGAGGCACCAGCGTCACGGTCGCCTCGTCGGTGCACCGCACTATCGGCAGTGCGTGGCACTGTGGCGCATGCACCCAGTAGGCCTGTCGCCTTGGCCGCAATGTTGCGCCGGCCACTGTCACCTCACCGCTGCCGACAACGACGCCGTAGCTTCCCAGGATGACCAGTCGCTGTGTGTGTGTAACATATACCGAGTCAGCATCTGCATGCGTGTCCATGCTATCCAGCACCTTCAACACTCACCTCTCCCTCGGCCAGCTTCAGCCGCATGCTCCCATCCGCCCGATGCCGACAGTTCTGCTTCGTCGGCCGGAACGTGGATCGCTGCACCGGTGCCTCCCGTCTGGGCTTGAAGCCGGATGGCTCATCTGCCGTCTCAATTGCCTCGGATGTTTTGGTCGCACTGGCTGGCCTGCTATCCGGCTCTGTCTGGCCTGCTGGCCGTGTCGTGCTGTCGTCATCCGGACCGCTGCTTCCACACGACTCGCCTGTCGGAGCAGCCTGTATCCCGATGTCGCCGCCCACGACTGGCACCTCGGCCTTCTGCAGCAGCCTGCGACGCAACGCAAAGGCGCTCATCGCCGGGGCTGCAGCTGCTGCAGTAGCAGCAGTAGAAGTGGCAGCAACTGGAAATGACAGCCTATCAGTAACATGAGGACTGCTTCATCCTACACGGCCGCGCTTACCTTGCGTTTGTGGCTCTGTCTCGAGCCGTCTCTTCTTTTTCGTTACCGCCATTCTCGCCGACACATGAGCTGTGGCTGTTCTGCCGTCCGTTTGCGCAGGCTGCTTCCCAAGACAGAATTGTCAGTCAAGGCGCCAAAACCTGCAGAGTGGTCGACCCACTCTTCTCGGTGTAATCAAGCCTGTCAAACAGAACAAGCTCGACGGCTCAATTACAATCCCAGCCTCCTCTACGCTCTCAGCCAGATTGGTCGTACACTTCACAGCCGTGTCATCTCAAAATATTGTCAAAATTCAGCACGAGCCATCAGCCTGCGATGAGATCCCCGGCCCTGCATCTCTCACCTCGACAGACTGAATTTTTGGCGGTGAGGCGTTTCTGCCACCGTTTTGGCTCGAGCTGCCGCCTTACACCAATCACAGCGCGCATTCACCCCCACCTAGACTTATTCTTCCCTACAGGGGATTTTTTTTTGTCGCGTTTTAAATTTTCTATCAAAAGATCCGAGACGAATAAAGCAAGTTCGCTGCAATAGCCAATTCCGACTACGTTCTGAGAAACCTCTCACAAGTGCCACTGCATCTCCACCAGACTTCCAGCCCTACAAAAACCCGGCCGAAGTGCTGTCTATCGGAGTCTGCGCTGAGAGAAAGCAACACATAAACTCCAATCGATCCAGCTGCCATCTATTGCTGTGAAATGGTTGGCCCTAGGGCTCCGATAGGCTCGTTGACGGCCCACGTCAAGGGCATCAATGGGTGGATGGGCAGCCGTCCGTCCGAGACGCCGAAGGCGTCTCTCTCCAGCCTCGGTGGTGCTGGTGGTGCGCTTGACGACAGCGACGGTGACTCTGACTCGAGCAGCTCGGATGACGATTCCGATGGCGGCAACACGGCCTCGTTTCTCCAAAAAGTCTCAAACGCCGTTCGTGGGGGCAGCGCGAACGCCATGCCGCCAGCAGCAGGCAAGATCCAGGTCAAGAGCAAGGCGAATGGCATCAGCACTCCGGCGCACAAGGCCGCTGTGAAGAAGAGCGAATCCAGCGCCGTCAGCGACTCCAGCGACTCAAGCGACAGCAGCGACAGCAGCGACAGCAGCGACAGTGACAGCAGTGATTCCGACAGCGAGAGCAAGAGTGGACAAGACGCTTCTCCCTCCAAGAACGGCAAGCGGAACAAGTCCCCGGCAAAGCCAAAGATTGTGGCCGCGACAGAAAAAACGAGGTCGGAATCCTCCAGTAGCAACAGCAGCAGCGATGATGATGACGAGGAGCCAGAGAAGGGAGATGGGGAGGAGAAGGAAGACGGCCAAGATGCAGAAGAGGAGGACGCGCCGCAAAGAGAGGCTGCCTCAAAGGCTGTGGCCGTTGCCACACAAGCAGAACCGGCCAACCCAGACAGAGATATCACCTCCGAGTTTGCATCGCAAGGCTTCCAGCTGCGGAAAGCCAACGACGAGATTGATGCCTCGGATGTGGCTAAGATTTTCCGCCAGGCCCAGCGGGAAGGAAAGCAGCTTTGGTACTTCACCGCGCCGTCCTCTGTGCCCATCACCGTGGTCGAGAAGATGCAGATCCCGCTCGATCGTGCCCAGAAAGGCCTCCCCATCCTCAACCACGACGGCCAAGACTACTCCCTCAGCTTTGACGATGCCCTCTCCTCCAAGACCATCAAGCTGATGATTCCCAATAAGGCTGGAGACAAATACTCTATGCGTTCGTGTCATCCCGTCCCTGTTTGTCCATCTGGTCCCATCCCCAACTGACTAACACGATCGTGTGGCGACAGACCGGACGATCGACCAGACGATGCACCTGAAGCGCGTCACCCACTTCTCGCACGACGACGACGAGGCCGGACCAGCCGAGGCAGCAGCTGGCCGCCCGCTCACAACAGCGCCGAAGCCGCCGCGAGCCCAACCACCTGGCCTCAAGACGCGCTTCCTGCCGATCGGCGTCAGCAAGACTGCCACCCCGAAGCCGTCACCCTCGGTCGCCACCTCGGTCTCGAGCACCACGAGCGCGTCACGGAAGCGGAAGCTCGCCGCCCAGGATGGTGCGGATGCCGAGTCGGACAGCACGTCTGTCACCAGCGCCGCCTCCAGCGCCGAGCCAGACCCGAAAAAGGCCAAGAAGGCCAAGCCGGCAGCGACGACGACGACGACGACAAGAGTGACTCCCATTGTGCCGCCCGTCCCGACGCTGGCCGTGGCTCAGGAGGCCGACGCCACGCCGATCAGCGGTGCCAAGAAGTCCAAGAAAAAGGCTGCAGCAACTCCTGTCTCTGCCGTTGCCGCGACGCCCTCGACGGCCAGGAAGCAGTCGGCCATCCTGCCGCCACCTGTGTTGGGTGTCACCCCGACCGTCCCCTCGACCCTAAAGACGGCGGCGGCGTGGGAGCCCAGCAGCAGCCAGATGGCCCTGCCGCTGTCGTCGCAGTCGTTCCAGATCGACACGCCGTCCAAGGTCGTGCTCAACGGCGACAGCCCAAAGAAGGACAAGAAGAAGAAAGAGAAGAAGCAGAAGGAGGACGTCTCGGCGGAAGCTGGTGCGCCGGAAGAGGCGGAGGCGGAGGTGGAAAAGCCGAAGAAGGAGAAGAAGGACAAGAAGGACAAGAAAGAGAAGAAGGAAAAGAAGGACAGGAAGGACAAGACGGTCGAGACTCCCGTCTCTGCCGGCCCCAAGAAGGTGACGCCGGTGCCGATTCCACACCACTAGAGAGGGCTGTGAGAAGGGTGTATCATCTGGCTGAAAGCTCGTCTGTTTTCCTTCATTTCTTGGGCATGGCGGTCTATTCTGGCCGAGGGGAGTACAGGCGTCTACGGTTCGCCTCGTCCGTCTTTGGGGTGCAACGGCAATTCGAGAGACGAGCATCATGTCCGCATCTGGCCAGCTCTTCTGTGTTCATTGCCTGCTTTGTAACCCAACCGTTCTATCTATTGCTTCGATAATAAGAACATTGTACATGTCATACGTGTAGCACTCGATGAACGATTTGAATTGGAGTATGATTTGTCATTGTACACTTTGTCTATGTTTCACATTCACAAGCAAGTCGTAGAGAAACTATCGTCAAAAGCGTCGCCAAGTTCAGCCGCTTATTAACTATAACGAAAATAGGGCCCATCTTCTCTCCCATCCTCGCACCCATTACGACTGGAGCCTCGTGTCCAGTCCTCGTCTGAGCCAACTCCCAACCGGCCGCCTGCCGGCTCGCCAGAGTCTCACGGCTCCAACCCCTGCTTTGATGGCGCCCTAAACCGTCTGGCTCGTACCCCCTCCATTCGTTTCCACGTGGATAGTTTCCCAGAAACATCCAAAAAAATATATATATATATCGAAAACGACAGGCCCTGATATGCTGGTTTGAGGTCTGGAATGCATTTCCAAAGACCATGAAACGACTGTAAATCGCTCGCCCGCTTTCCTTGTCGTCGAGATGCATTCCAACTCCTTGGAAACCGCTAATGCCAATTAAACGAATGCAACGCACACGTGCGTGTGCCTTTGTGTATGTCTCGGTACTCTTTCAAACACCCCGTCTCCCGGTTGAAAGTCCCAATAACCACGAAACGCCATAAACACCTCTCGGCCACCCCCAAAATCAAGGACGCCTGTATAACGACCGGCTTGGCTCTCCCGTCCTCAACGACAGATTGTCCTCGGATCGCCCCTTTCGGACGGCGAAAAGAAAAAAGAGTAATTATGCGAAGATGAAATATTCCCTCAGGCCGTGGCTAGCCCTCGCGCGGAATATGCCTCGAAATATGAGTTCGTCTCGGAATATTAACGTATTAAGTAAGTTGTGCCACTTGACAATCACCCGACAACGGCCACCTCGGCAAGCTCGGAATCGCGGACAGTGTTGCCGCCATCCCAGACATGCCCTTGCGGTGTCATACCGAAGATGGTCACCGGGCGAAACTCTGCTTCTGGGGTGATCGGGCTCATCGTCCCCGGGCTGCTCTGTCCGCGGCTGGCGCCACTCACGCTGCCGCTGATGCTGCCGCTTGCCGAGCCAGTCAGACTTGTTGCGAAGCTGGACGTGCTGCCGACCGTCCACTCATCACTGCGGCGGTTGAGGTTGTGCTGTGGGAGCAGATCGATATCAAATCCTTCGTACGCGTTGTAGGAGTACTCGTCGACGATCGAGCGGGACTTCTCGCCAACCTCAATGTACTCGTACTCCCACCGGTGGCTCTTGTCAAGCTGACGACGCGGCAGGAAGTAAGCACGTGCGACGTAGTAGAAGAAGGCAGAAAGCAGACTGCCGGCAACAAGATCGACAGCGTAATGGTGGTTGAGGTACATCGTAGCCCACCAGATCCAGCCGCAGTAGCCGACAAAGACGACGCGGAAGCGAGGGAAGCAGTAGCTGAGAAAGAAAGCCTCCAGGACCGCGTCGGCAGCGTGAAGACTGGGGAAAGCACCGAAAGGCACAGGTGCCGTCGAGAAGCTGGTGGTGTACATGTCGATGCCGAAAAGCTTGTCTATGCGGGCCAGGCCAGCGGGCGAACCGGGCATGCCATAGTGAGCAGGCGACAGACCGTTCGCCAGCTCGTACCACGGCGGCGTGCAGGGAAACACCAGCTGCGTCGTAACACCGATCAGAGAGAGGTAGCCAAAGCAGCGAGCGAAGACAGGGACCGTTCCGGGAGCAGCGAAGAAAAATAGAATTGCCGAAGTAAAGGCGGGGAGGGCAAAATGGAAAAGGCCGTACGGAATCCAGGCCAACAGATCCAGAACCGGGTGGGTGTGTGCAGAGAGGATATTGGAGAGGTTTGCGCCGTACAGGACGTTCTCAAGCGCCGGAAGAACCTTGACCCAGATGTGAGGACGATATTCGACCGGAATGAACCTGTTACGATTAGCCAATGCGAATGAAGTCGACGACCGGTTCGGCCGGAAGTGAGCGCCACGGATGTCTTACCGACTGCAGAAGAAGTAGAGCAAGTAGGCCCAGATCGAGACACTGGGGAGAAAGAACTGGCGTGTTGCCGGCGCGAGAACGAGGAAACTGTAGCCGACGACAATGGCGATGCACACCGGGAGAGGAATGGAAGCAATTACGAAAGAGAAGATGACGAAGAGAATGGTAATCAAGTATTGTACGTCGTAGAGGCTCCACCGATGCTGCCGCAGGTGGCGGAAACCATCCACGGGGTTGAAGGAGATCTGAAGAGCGGCAATCGTGTTTGGCACACCCTTTCCACTGCTGCTCTCTGGGCTGACAAAGTAGCGGGATTGGGTGATCAAACGCGGCTTTGGCCTTCTCTTGGTGCGACCCATGCGGTATTTGCGCGGAATGGGATTCCAGTGGGAGAGGGTTGACGCGGTCGGCCAAGTGAAAGCCATAGTTGGCTTGGCTTTCGAAGAGAAAAGGGTGTCGAAGAAATCTTGCATTGCCGATGCTTTCAAGGACAGAGGCCACGAGAAAGTGAGGGAGATGCAGACGCGGGGTTGACTAGAATTTCTTCTGGTGCGAATCCGAGAACGAGATCAGTCGAGAGGTGATGCTCGCAGTCGAGGACGGCCGGATGGTCGAAGGGAGGGGATTAGGCGGTCGAGGGGAAGACCGTGATGAGGTTGGAGAAGAAATGCTACCAACGACGTGACTGGCTTCGCATGGTCCTTGCTTGAATTCCAGACTGTTCAGGTATCAGGAGTAAGAGGAATTGCGAGACAGAAGAAAGAAAGAGAGGGAGGGAGGGAGGAGAGGAGAGAAGAGAGGGATAAGAAGGGAAATGAGGGAAGGGTGTGCTAGTAGAGAGAAGGACTCAAAAGGCGAGGGAATTGTGAGAGAAAAACGGAGACCCAAGAGTTAAACGGAGGGCCCGGGCGCTGGGCTGGGGCGGGCTTCGGGGACAGAAGTAGTGGCTATGCGCCGATTGGCAAAGTGGAACAGAAGAGGTGGTGAAAAAAAGCTAGTCGCGCTAGCGGCAGCGTATGCAGGCTGGCAATTCGCCTGTTGCCGGGGGGCGTAATATTACGTCGCCGGGATGCAATGTCATCATAAAATGCCGGTCAAAGTTTCAGGATGGTGAAAGCAGAGCCAAAGGTGCAGAGTAAGATAAGATGCATGGTACGGTATCTTACGGGTGAGATCTCGTGCAGGAAGAAACGGAAGAACGAGGCCAGAGTTTGCCAGTGAAAGAGCGCGCGGATTATTCAGCAGAGAAAAACCAGAAACGTGTCTTCCATGTCTTCCAATGCCTTCTACGCGACAAGTCACGACCATCGCAAAGAGGGCTCCGGCCGCGATTCGTAGCTTCGGGATGTTGAATCGGCCGAGGAAGAGACATCTGTTCGCACGCGCTGCTGGGTAAGCAACGAGGCCAGGCCGACGGCGAAGACGGTGTGACCATGGCACCGCCTGCACTAACGGTGCAGAGACGGAAGAGAAAAACTGGGTCGGTCCACAGTTAGAGAACTATCCCGTCGGGTTTGCCAATATTTGGCGGCTCCGTTCCGTTATGCCGAACAGGGCAAGGACCTGCTGGTGGAGGTATACGTTGTTCGAACCCAAGCACAAGAAGCTGCGGTTACTTTGAAGGTTTGGGTGTGCAGCTCGTCAGTCTAATTAGGACGGGACGTTGTGGTTTCATTTGCGTCTCTGCATCACTGCAGGCAGCCTGCCACTGCGAATGGTTATGTAGGTCTCTATTCGATGATTTAAATCCGATTCCCTAGGGGGCGGCCCCCAGAAAAGGAGCCAGGCCAAGAAAAACGGCCATTTAGCGTCTCGCAAGCGCCTGTAGTGCGGCGCATGCACGGGCTGTGTTACTATGTAAGACATGTCTGCTTACTGGTAAGCTCTGTAAAAATGCCTACAAGCCCATGGCAATCTTATTTCCTGGACACTTTTAGGCCTTGGCCCCCTGTCCTTTGCGCCTGTCCGCGTGGCCGCCACACTGCGTGACGAGATGGCGAGTAAGATACGAGTGCTGTATGTAGGCTGCCATCCTACCATCCCCGTTTCACATGCGACATTATAGACACAAGTACGACAGCTTGCCACAGCAGCACGCAAATGGGCCCGCTCCCAATGTTTGACTGGGCAACGCCCAGCCTGCCCAGTTGCGACTTGCTCGTATATGCTTGTCAAACACCCAACCTCGTCGTCGCAGCACGACTGTTTGGCTCTGGTTTGAAGATGCTGTCACAGCATGCGCCCCTACCTCACGTGTGTCTTACGGCGTGTGGGTAAACCCAATCGCAGCGGACGAGTAATTACTCCGTGGCGCCAGGACCTCACATGCCAGTGGACAGCGTCCCGTGGCCCGATGGCAGTTTCAGCTGTACTCGTACGAAGTACACGGCGAGAAGCAGTCGGAGAGGCCCAGAGGCCCAAAAGATAGGGATGGCATGCCAAGGCTGATGGAGCCTGACTTCGGTCATTGCGATTCGTTGTGATGGGCACAATAACGTGTCATCGCCACCTCGGAGCCGTTCCGTCGCTTAACTTTCGTCTCTGGGGACAAGCACCTGTTTCTCTTGAGTCTTGTTCTCATTCGCCTCACCCGGCGTCTCGTCCCGACGCCGAACCCCAGGATTTTGAACTGTGAAGTGGAGCAGGCAGCATGCTTTGGGATTTGATTATCTCCGTCTGGGTCGATGAAATATCTCATTTAAACACGGATTGTTATATCATCCCGGTTTAACAAATTGGTGCTACAGAATTGCCGTGTATTAGAGTTATGACACGCGATCCATAGCTTCGGTGCCGCTCTCTCTCATCTCTATCCACCAGGCAGTGCCGTCGACCTACCTCAGAACCTGCTCCGTACGGCATCTTACTGCTCCGTATGTACCATGTATTATTAGCAACTTCTGGCACAATGGCGGTGGATGCAGCGTGGGGCCGAAATGTACGGAGTATGAGGATACCAATGCGTTGTATCCTGCCATACCCTCCGTACGAGTACTCGTACGTATCGTACATCAGGTGCAGAAGCCGAGGCGATGTCGCATACGAGCAATATTGCACCTTGCATCCCTTTTCTGTGAGTCGGACGCGCTCGGTTCGGGCAAGGGAAAGGCCGTCAGCTCATCAGCATCAGCGATATCATGAGCGAAGCATACAGATGGGTCAAATTGCCCATACTGGCCAGTTACCCGCCACACCGTCCTTGTTCACGATAGCAGAATATCCCAGCATTGCTCGACAACGGAAATTGCGCTCGGGGGCCATCAATCGACTATGGAGCAGTCTTCGCTGGGAAAGGAGACGCCTTATGCCATGGGCGGCGCGAAGCATTGGCCCTACGTAAAAACTGGGCGATCAGCATTACTCCGTAGTTAGTGTACAGACAGACAAGATTCTTGGCAGCGGGTCTCGTGAGATGAAGCGCCTGACTCGGCAGCCAATTTGCAGACGGAGCAAAGATGTAGCATATCCTCCGAGTACCAGTCGTCTACATCTCCGTGCGGCGCATGGTATTTTGGTCAAAAGCAAGCGTCTCCGTACGAATGAATATTCCACATAGCGGCCTGGACATCTCCGATTGGAACGGCACACGCACCATTGGCCGGCGTGCGGGTTTGCGGGTTTGCGGGTTTGCGGATTTGCAGACTGCCCGCCAGTCTTACTGCTCGTAGTATTTATTGCTCTTGACCGACTGCGGAAGAAAACCCTTTCGACGAAAGCAAGTATCATGCGGTTCTGCAAGGCGAGCCCAATCTGGACAGTCGCGTGCCGACGATTGGGCAGAGATGTGCTTACTCGTATGCATGCAGCCTGGTAGATCAAAGTCTTTCACTACCAGCGATACCCGCGAGTCATGCACACAGATTTGCCTCTGGCGGCCTTGCTAGTCTGCAGATGCACTTGGTCACGCCGTAAACCAAAACCAAAAAAAAAAGGTAACCAAAAGTTCGATCCAAAAACGAGAACTCGTCCTTGCATAGCGTCTCCATACAAACAGTAATACATTCCGAGCCTTCCGGTATGCACATTTTCATTGGCCAGTGTTCGTCCCCTCAAGATTCCGCGGTCCATTCGAGGAGCGGAACGGTCGTAACACGGGTTATCATTTGCAGACTATCGCTGCAGGCAAGAGGATCCAGGCCGTTGCCCGTCAACCCAAGTAACGAAAAGCAGACGGACGGCGTTGCTCTACGCTTGTGCAATAGTAAGATACTAGCCATTCCACTAGAGCCTGATCCTAAAGCCTATCGTGCCATATGTACCGCATCTCATACATGGTAAGCAAGATGGCCATGTTCGAGTATCTTACAATGCATTCCGGCCGTCCCGCTGAACGGTTTCTGCTCTGCAGTGTTATCAGCGTAAACCCGACGCTTCTTCCAAACCCCACGTTTCTGCATTCTGATATGACACAGGAAGGGCCGGACAGTGGTGCCATACTGTAAGATAAGAACAATGGAAGAAGCTCATGCTATGTATCCCACACGCCAAACGCTATCGTTTCGACCACGAACCCGCCAAACCCATGGAATGTCTTGCTTTACGACACGACTACGCGACTCTATACGTCGTAGGACGCGCAGCTCGCTTTGTCTTACGTAAGCATCATCATCGTAAGATGTGTTTGCCAGTCTCCGCTCACATGCACCACAGCATAAGCTGGGAGCCTCACCGTCTGAGCTGGCACAAAATGAAGGACTCGCTCATAGGATTCACTGCGGCCGAGACTAATGCTCGCACGCTATACGTAGCTTGGATGCGAGCACAGGCCCTGGGGTCGTACCGCGCCCCATGCGCGTTCGCATACTGTTGCCTACGAAGAACTGGTACCATGTATTTTTGTGAAGCTCTAGAATGGAGCGCACTGTGATCGTTCTGACTAATGCCAGCAACGCGGCCTCTCATTGGTCAGACAGATAAAAGTGGGGACTAGCCCCAGTGAAATCTCTGCACCAGTGAAGGCGCGCCATGTACCCTCTCCTAGCTAGTTACAACACGCAGATCATCAGCCACATCGTGAAGACCCCCATACAGTGCACCGCTACCCCTGCCATAAGCATCAGTTGTGACAATTTTATATATTTAAACAGAGCAGAACCTACTCCGTGCTCCGTATGTAATATCGCAATCGTGCGCTAGTCCTAGCGGGGATAAGCGTGGGAATACAGCTCCTTTACAGCATAAAAAAAGAATATGAATTGAAATTACGGAGCACACGATATCCTGTGAGGCGGTTCGAGAAAAGGGGGTCCAGGGTATCCTACTCACATATTACACTACAGGTAAGACATTACGATACAAGTTTTCCGACTCCGCAGATAGATAGCGTCCTAATAGACGTGTCCGACGGAGGACGCCGTTGTGTGCCGAAAGAAGGCCATGTGTAAAAGTTTCGGATCCCTTTCTCATTACCAAATCTCACGGCTTATCCACAGCAAAGATGATTATTCCGAAAACCATGTTTTATTGCTGACTGCCGGTCAAGGCCGTCTCCACCCTCCCGTGCCTTGCGGCGTAAGCATCCTGCTATAAGAGCCCAATGGGGAGCGAGAGCCAAGACAACAGAAAGATTAAGGAACGGAGAAGAAAGAAGAAAGAGAAGCATCTTGAGATAAATAGCAACCAGGGAGCTCATCCAATGCCCAGGAATGCAAACGACAGAAATAGATCGTCAAACTAAGAGAGTTTGTGAAACCGAAAAGGAGAAAGGTAGAACACGAGTTTACGACGTACTAAAAACAAGCAAAACAGGGACACATATGCCAGAGACCTCCTGGTCTTCAATACGAACGGGTCCAGCCCGCTGCTACCGCCAGACTCAACCACGGCTTCCCACCCCTGTCCACAGGCCCTTCGTCGTCTCGATCACCTTGTTCACCTCCATTCCCGGCCGCAGAGATAGGGGCACCGCGCCCATAGGCGGCGCATCGCTCATGCGCACGTCCTGCTGGCCGCTCTGCAGCGTGCCGTAGCCGGAATCTGCCGTCCGGCCGCTGCTGTTGGGCCGTGTGGTCGACCCGCCTGCTGCCGCTCTCGCTGCCGCCACCACGCCCTGCATTCCGTCTTTCTGCGGCTCGCGCGACCGCTCCCCGTTCATGAGCCCGTGGTTGCTGCCCTCGCGGAGCTTGTTGATGGCCCGCACCGTATCGATGGCGGCGTGCAGCGTCCGCCGCGCGTTGAAGTTCTTCTTTACCGTCGGCAGCAGGTTCTCGCCCTTGTCGTCGCCCTCCCGCCGCTCGTAGCCCGCCACGAAGGGATGCTGCAGCGCCTCGTGCGCCGTCATGCGCCGCGACGCATCAATGGTCAGACAGCGCGTGATAAAATTCTTAGCCGCATCCGACACGCCGCGCCAGTAGTCAACGGGCGCAAAGGCATAGTCTGCCTTGAGAATGGCCTGCATCTCCTCAAAATCGCTGTCCCGGTCGAACGGCGTGTACCCGCACAGCAGAAAGTATGTGATGACGCCCAGCGCCCAGATGTCCACCGGCTTGCCGTGGCCCGTCTTCTTGAAGATCTCCGGCGCCATGTATCCAGGCGTCCCGCACGTAGTCGTCAGCACGTGGAACTGCTCCTCGTCCATGACCCGTGAAAGCCCAAAGTCCGCTATCAGGAGGTCGGCGTTGTCTTCCGGCGTTCGAAATAGAAGGTTCTCCGGCTTCAAGTCGCGGTGCACTATTCCGTGGTCGTGTAGGTAGGCGACGGCGGAAAGCGTAGCCCGGATCAAGTCTGCGGCGTCTGACTCGTAATACGAGCCTTTCCGGCAGATTCGGTCAAAGAGCTCGCCCCCCATAGCCAGGTCCGTCACCAGGTACAGGTTGTTCATTGTCTCAAAGTAGTCGACCAATGTCAGGATGTTTTTGTGGCCCATCGACACCTTTTTCAACACGGCTATCTCATTTCGGACCTGACTCACATCCCGTCGTTAGAAAGAGGGTTCATCGGCGCGCGGCCTTTGCAGAGGAATGAGAGACACCAACCATGTGTTCGCGACCAGTCATCAACCGCTTATTGATAACTTTGGCGGCATAGCATCGCCCCGTATCAATATGCACGCATTCCTTCACCACCGAATATGAACCAGCGCCGAGCGTTTTCCCGACCTTATAGCGGCACGGCTGCACCTGGGGAGGTGCCTGTGCTGCCATGGTATACGTCGCCGTCAATGTGGTCACTTGCGGCTCGTAAGAAATCGACAAAGGAGTCGCGTGAGGTGTTCGCTAAAAGACAAGTAAGTCGCAGGTCTCCTCGTTATCAGCTGGTTGGGTGGCGATGGTCAGAGAATCGCGAATCGGGTGAATATAAAGCGGTGACGGGAGCACTGAGGTGTAACAGGGACGATATTTCATAGACTTTTCCGATCGAGCAGCAGGCAATGTTGCAACGAGCTGATCATTCCCTTACCGCGAAAGAAAAGGCGAAACGAGGTGGGGGTGACTGGATGCGATGCTGACAAAGAAATCCTTTCAGGGCAGGTTAGCCTAGATCTGCGGGGCGCCATCTTGTAACGGCTTGCGATCAACATCAACGGACTTGTAACAAATGGAGTGACGGAGTTAGCTCATTTGGAAGAAAAACGATGAAAGGGAGGCTACCTCAGCCGTAGAAAAAGCTAGCCTCACAACACGAGTACGACCACTTGGTTTGCTAAATCGACTTATCGGCTTGCTCAGGACACTTCTTGCCTGATCTATGCTGAACACTTAGTTGTCGGTCCCTCCGCTTCGACGAGACTGTTTTTTGCTGCTCAGCTTCTTTTTTTCTCTGATACGTTGCTCATGAAACGATTTTTCTCTGGTTTCAGTCAGCCTTGGGATGGTGATGTTGAGATGAAAGGAAAACCTACACCAGTTTATATTTTCGTGCATTTTCTGGGCTTGAATCTCCAGGCACGGCTTCGTCGTACATTTTCAGCACCTCTTCATACATCTTCTTCTGATTGTCGGCAGCATTGGCACTTCGGCTACGCTGTGTCTGTGCTTGGATCGTGATGCTATCCGTCGTCCTTGTGTAGTATCGTGACAACCGAATTTTATCCTGCAGCAACTTTGGGAGCGTACCGGCCAGCTCGTTGACGGCCCAGAGAGTGGTGGCCTTGGATTCAGTCCTGCCACCATTAGGCATCGGCATTGATTATCTGTCCTGGACAAATCTTACTTGTTTACATGCTGGCCTCCGGGCCCGCTAGATCGTGAGAATGTCGTCGTGCCCTTGAGAAGGGTATTTTCGGAGAAAGATACGCGCCACGTTCTGGCAACGCGAAGATCGTCTTCGTTGGCGCCAGCGTCAAAGGCTGCATATCGGCTTGCTGATCGGGCAGGTATTATGTGTCCTGCTGGACGACTGTTATGGATTACCAGCCTATGAGTAAGCATCGGCCGGTGGGAAATCCCTCTCAACATATCGACAGCAGCTGAAATTCTGGCATTGGATTTGAGTAACGAGGCCGAAGCCATCGCCGTAAGAACCAGAGGGCCGGACTCGGCGATACAAGTTGCCCACAGCGGGAAGGCCTCCTTGCCGGTATGTGAGTGAGAGTGCCTGAAAGACAGTGTATTGGTCGAAACGAGAGCCTTCTATTTAGAAAAATGCGACTCGTACACTTCACATACGCTTGTGGAGTAGCAAAGGACGGCGATTGTTCAAGCAGTAGAAATCAATGCCAGCTGGTGGCAGCTGCTCCACGTAAGCTCCCACCATCCACCTTGGCGGCCACTCTTATTGGTCCATATCGCACCCCCCTCCGCCCAAGTTTATAATACTCGCGTTCGAAATTTCCCACTTCTTCTCCCTTCGTCACCTTTCGCCAGATCCATTTTCCACGATTTTCATCGCAGCCGCGTGTCTCGATTATGCTGACGGCAAGCTGCACGTATTTTGCCGACTGCATTCTGACACAGATAGCTTACTATTTCAGCTGATCAGGTCTACCTGTCAGCCGCTACTTCCGTCCCGATTAAGCCGCTTTCTGTTTCCAGCCTTGCTGGCATCAAACCGACCATCCATCGCGCCTGCCTTCTGCATCAAACCTGCACAGCCCATTCAGTAAAGTGCGGTTCTTATCCCAAGAAAGATCGACTCGCCCCGTAACTCTTCTCAAAAAACTTTCAAGTGAAGTTCTCCTCGCACAAAGCCGGACTGCTCCTCACAAACGCCTCACATCCCTGCTCACCACACGATATTTGCCCTTTCGTCCTCTTGAACTCGCTGTCACGTTGGCCAACGTTGATCCTCCGTCGCCTGCCACCATATCCCAGCTGTGATGGCTTCTGAATCTGAGGCGGCCTCGGCTGTAGCCATTCCGGCAGCTTCCAACGATGCCAACGACTGCAACAACGCCCATATATACGCTACTGGTAACGGAAATATCGATGCGTACAGCGGCAACGAACAAAAGCATATGTCCGAGAATGGCCAGATCCTAGACAAAACCGCCGACCTGAACATTTCTTATAATGCCGACAACGATGACCATGATGCTGAGTATGAGAGCTCGCTGAGCTCTCCTACGTCCTCCCTGTCGTCCGCAAACGAGGCTATGCTGGAGACGACACCCCCCCCGCAAGACAGCACGCAGGATTCCCCGAGTAGCCTGCCGGCTTCCACCACCGCCCCCGACGAAGCATCCATGGCCCTCGACTACGCTAGCGCTGCTGGTGCCAATGCCACACTGTCCTCCAACTCCAATGCTTCGGTGGTTCCGCTTGCGTCCAGCGAGCCGTCTGCTGCGACAGAAGCCGATGCTGGCACCGGCGTTCCTGCTGCCTCTGGCTCCGAAGCTGTCGATACGGCGATGCCACTGGCGGCCGACGCATCTAGTTTTGCCGCCGCAATCGCAGCCATTTCTGCAGTGGCCAGGTCTCCATCCGTCTCCCAGTCCCAGCCCCAGACCCAGGTTGATGCTGATGCTGCAAGAGATGCAAGTGAATCTCTTGCAAAGGCCGAAGCAGAAATCCAGGCTGAGGTCGAATCCAACGAGCCGGGCATTGATATCGACAAGATGCTGGACGCCATCTCAGCCGATGCACCGCTGCCAGCAGCGTCGTCCTCTGCTGCTTTTCGCCCGTCGCCGTCCAACCCGCAGTCCGGCCAGGCGATGGCGTCTGGCGGATTTCCCTCTGCCGCAGCCCTGCCCACTGACAAAGTGCAGCCCTTTCCCTATGCCGCTGTCGGTGCTCCCGGGACGGTTGGCGGCATGGCCGTCCTTGGCGCCCCCCCATCTTCTGTAGCTGGTATAGGCGGTGCAGGATCTCAGGTCCCCGATGCTGCTACGGCTTCGGTCCAGACTCAGCTGCCTGCTCCCCCGCGGCGTGGAAACATTGCCAAGGGAGGCAAGACAGCAGTAGATAAGGCTTATGAGGAATTTCTTCTGGAGGAGCGACGCTACATGGCAGATCCGAACTGGGAGAAGTTTCCCGATGGTTCGCGCATGTTTATTGGTACGTCGTAACGCTTCTGGCTCACTCATCATGGCGGTTTGGCTAACATCGAATTACAATAGGAAACTTGTCTCAAGAGAGAGTCAGCAAGAGGGACGTGTTTGAGGCATTTCACCGTTTTGGCCGTCTTGCGCAAATCTCGATCAAATCTGCGTATGGTTTTGTGCAGTACCACAAGGCTTCAGAAGCCCAAGATGCGATGAAGAATCTTCAAGGGTTCGAGATCCGAGGTCGCAAAATCAGTATGTCACCCCTAACCCAACACTGGGCTGCCCGGGTTCATCAGCATTCTAATGTGTGTGCCAGACTTGGAACTCTCTCGTCCTCAGAAGAAAGAAAAGGAGCGGGAACGATCACCAGAACGCAGCAAGGGCAGAGGCGGCCGAGGTGGAGATCGATACGATGGCCGAGAGCACGGCCGAGAGCACGGCCGGCGTCGAGGCAGAGATGACTACCGACCAGACGCGAAGGACCGGGAGGCTTCTCCTCGCCGTGACCGGGGTGGCGATCGCGACAGGGACGAGCATCACGGCAGGGAGCGAGGAGGGCGTGACGGTCAGGGCAGACAGGGCAGAGACCGCTCCCGGTCCCCAAACCGTCCCGGGGCCGGCAGCAACAGCCGGTCGTATCGGTCGCGACGGTCGCCAAGTCCCTATGGACGGAGTCGGGGCGAACACGGTGGCAGCGGTAGCAACTTTGACGGACTGAAGGGCCGGCACGCAAGCGACGTTCCCGACGTGCAGTTCCTGGTGACGCAGGGTCTGGAACGGGACTTTATCAAATGGGTGCAGGGCGCCTTCACGGAGCGTGGACTCAAGACGGACATCATGCTGATGACGCCACACAGCCCGTCCCGCGACGCTGTGATCCAGACACACGTACTGGAAGGCGTGATTGCGGTGGTGGACCTCAACATCAACTCGCAGTCGTCGTTCAAGATACCGCTGCAGGTTTTTGACCGATCGGCCGGCACGAGAAACGTACGCTTTGACGGTTACCAGGACCTCACACCGCAGATTGCTGCAGACGTGGTGGCGCGGTCCAAGGCTGCTTCGGCGGCGGCGGCGGCTGCTGCGGCTGCTGCGGCCAACCAACGCATCCCGTACCAGGCACCCGGTGGCTACGGACAGCAATACATGGGGGCAACTCCGGGAGCGCCAGCATATCCGACGAGCTACCAAGCACCTTCAGCAGCGGTATCACAGCCGGCAGTCAGCACAGGACAGCCGGCGGCTTACGACCTGGCCTCCCTGATGGGCCAGCTGGATGGACAGACTCTCTCACAACTGCTGGCCACACTGCAGCCATCACAGGCAGCGGCAGCGCCTCCCGCTGCTCTGGCTACGCCGGCATATGCACAAGGAGCGCAATACGGGCAAAGCGCAGGGTCGCAGGTGAATCTAGGGGCACTGCTAAGCACGCTCGGGGCATCGAATGGCGGGTCGATGGCAAGCATGACTGCCGGGTCTTACGGAGGCTCGGCGCCGTATGCGGGCGGAGTGGCTGGTGGAGCGCCAAATTCGTACATGTCTGGGCCGCAAGGTGGCAGTGACCAGAGCATCCAGGCGATCATGACGCAGTTGGCGCAATACAAGAAATAAGGGCTTCTTCTAATAGCGATGGGCGCCAGTGGACACTATCTCCTCTCGTTTGCATTTCGGGACTGTTACGCTGTCGATGCAGCAATCACGGCGTTTGTACGAGGGAGCGAATGCTAGACAGGGTATGTGCAATAATGAAACAAGATGAAAAGTGAGTGATATTTTGCGGGAGCTGTGATCTATAGAGGGTGAGACGAAAAGGGAAGCAGATGGCCTGGCATTCTGACTGAATATGCAACTGTTGCACATGTCCGTTTGTTTCTCATATACAGTGGCACGGAGTACACTTTCCACAATCTCACTCGACCTCTGGCCACTCATTGGGCCGTTTGGTGAGCAGAGCGATGCGCTGGTCAAATCCGGGGTCTGACGATGCGGTGTGGTGCAGCCAAGCGGCCAGGAGTTGGCGCAGGTGGTCGTCCGAGAGGCCGCGGACATCGAGGCCGCGATCGATGCAGGCGAGGACGATCTCGGCAGGCTCAAGGGCAGGAACGCCACCGCTTTGGCGCAGGAGGGCGTCGTCCTGGGCGAGGAAGCGCAGGCGGCGGGTGGTGGCGGAGCGGGTAATAGAGTCAGGGATCCAGCCGAGACGGTCCCAGAGGGGAGAGACGAGGCCGAGGCTGCGGGCAATGAGGACAGGCGAGCTGGCGTGAGGGTCGCCAAAGGCGGCGTGACGGCGCTTCTCGGCGAGGCGCTGCAACTTGTCAACCTGTCTAGGGATGCGGCAAGGATAGGGGACGACGTGAGGAAAGGCGATGACGACGAGGGGAGTGCATTCGCCACAGACAAGCAGCAGGACGGCAAAGAGCGGCAGGCGGCGAAGATCGTGGCTCCAGCGACGGCGCAGAAGGAGATCGGAGCGGGTGCCGATGTCGGAACTGGTGGCAGGCGAGAGGGCACGCACGAGCTTCCAGTTGGCGTAGAGGTAACGCAGGCCGGTCTTGTAGAAGGCGAGGTAGGCCTTTCCGGAGGCCATCAGATGGGACAGGGCAGAGGAGTCGGGACCGCGGACAGGCAGGTGCAAAGGTGGCGGCCGCGTGGTCTCAGGGGGGTTAGCGGCATTGTGAGCGAGGACGGGAGCGGCGGTGGTGGTGGTGATGGTGGTGGATGTGGCCGCAGTCGTGGTGGCGACTGGTTGTGAGGAGGAGGACGAGGTCGAAGAGGCGTAGCGGACAGCGACGGCGGCCCAGCAGGGGAAACCGACGGCCGACGTAGTGGCAGCGTGGCCGGGAGGCGTTCGGGAGGCGCGCAGGACGCGCAGGGCGCGCATTGGGACAACAGAGGCCATTGAGTGTGGGGGGTGGCCGCAGAGGAGGCTGAAGAGAGGAGAGAAGACGTGGTGAGAAAAAGTTTATCGCTAAGAGGCTTGCATTACGTCAGTGGACGGACGCACTGATTGGTGGGGAAGTCCCGGGGTTTGGGGAAGGAGCGACCCGTGCAGCCAATCCGGACAGCTGGTCTTTTGAGGAGGAAGAACGGACAATGGACAACTGACGAGCACGCACACGCTCGCACGACACACAGCACAATGGGCTGGCCGTATGCGTTTATGCAGCTGAGCGCGGCGGAGGTGGAAGCGCGGCGGGCGATGCTGGACCGCTACGGCCACTACACGGTGATGCTTTCGGTGCTGCCGGTAGTGGTGATGCTGGCGATGCGACTGATCGGCTGGACAGCGAAGCAGGTGCAGCGACGACTGCGTGTTCGGAGCAGGCGAGGCGGTGGAAACGGCAGTAGCGACGACGGCGAATACGGAGCGGTGCCGACATCACCGACGCTCAAGTCGCGGCGCCAGACAGCAGGTGGCAGCTGGGCGGCCCGGCAGCGACGGCTGCGCTGGTGGCTGTCGACAGAGGTGGAGGTGCATCTTCCCTGGAGCAGCAGCGTGATGTGTTTGGGTCCGCGCGACCAATGGCTCGTCGGCCTCGCTTGGACGGTGGCCGTCGTCGTTCTCTGCACGGCGCAGACAGGCGGCGATTTTCTGCACGTGACCAAGCGTTGCGGCATCGTGGCCGTGGCCTTGCTGCCGGCGCAATACGTGTTGGCATTGCGACGGATCAGCCCGCTGACGACAGCGCTGGGCGGCTTCTCGCACGAGCAGCTCAACCGCTGGCACCGGCTGCTGGGCGGCATCGTCTACGGACTGCTGGCCGTTCACACGACGCTGTACCTCGTCTTCTTTGCGCGAGCACCCGGCGGCACCTTCTGGCCTCGTTTTGCCCGTCCGGTCGTCTGGCTCGGATTCGCCGCCCTGGCCGCCATGACGCTGCTCAGCACGACCGCGCTGGAGCCTGTGCGTCGCTGGTCGTACCGCGTCTTCTTTGTTGTGCACGTGACCGTGGCCGTGGTTCTACCACCGATCGTCTGGCTGCACACCCACCACGCACGACCCTACGTGGCGGCTGCGCTGCTGTTTCTCGTCGTCGACGTGGCCGTGCGGCGTGCTAGGACGATGGACGGCGACGGAAATGGCACTGCTGCCACTGTCGTCGCCATCCCCGGCACCGACCTCGTTCGTCTCACGGTCCCGCTGCCGGCCGCTAAGCTGTCGCTCTTCCGCGACCGTCCCGGCTCACATGTCTATGTCAGCGTGCCATCCGCTGGCCGACCCCGTGCCTGGATGCCGTTCCTGCTGTTCGAGCTCCTCTTCAACCCCTTTACTGTCGCCGCCGTTAGCGAGCCCGATCACAGCCTCAGCCTGGTCGTGCGCACACGCAACGGCCCCATGACCGGACTCTTGGCCGAGCGGGCGAGCCGGGTCAAGCATGTGGAAGCGGACAACGAGAACATCGATGACGACGATGACGACGACGACGACGACGACATGGGCGAGGATGTCCCGGTCATGCGAAACGCGGCAACGACTGCCTCTTCTTCTTCGGCCCCCTCACCCGACGGCCTTGTTCACCTCAGCATCGACGGCCCTTACGGTGCGGCTGCCCACTTCCCCGACCTGTCAGCCCAACAATTTGACCACGTTCTCCTCGTCGCCGGTGGTGTCGGTGCCACCTTTGTCGTCCCCATCTACCGCGCCCTCGTCCACGACGGCAGTCCCAGCCCCAGCCCCAAGGTCGACCTTGTCTGGGCTGTCCGCACGGCCTGCGATGCCACCTGGGCTGTCGTTTCGGGACAGGACGGCAGCAACATCCTTGCCGACCCCAACGTGCACATTTTTTTGACTGGTGGCCGTCAGGAGAACAATGGTGGTGATGCTGCTTCCGACATGGAGCTCTCCAGTCTGCGCCATCGACCGACGGCCGGCTCCCACGGCCGACCCGACTTTCGGCCCATCGTCGACAACCTCTTCCACCGCGGCGCCGAGACCCGCGTGGCCGTTATCGTGTGCGGGCCCCGTGCCATGGTGCGAGACCTGCGCGCTGTTGTCGGGCTCTGGGTCCAGCGCGGCCGCTCCATCTGGTGGCACGATGAGGCGTTTGGCTGGTGACCTGCATGCATTCGTCTCACCGCTCGAATTCCGTCACGCTTCTCTTCACGCTTATCTTGGCCCTTTCATTCTTCATATACGGCCACCATCTGCGAGGCCGCCTTCTGTAGACAGTTGTCATGACGTACAAACAAACACAAACATTCACAAGCATGGAGCAGTCGTGTAGTCTCTCTAATCTGCGTGCTTCTTCGTCTTGCTCGGCGGCGGCGAGGCTGCTCCGCCAATGTCCCCGTCCGCCTCACCCCAAGCGTCGTCCTCCGCATTCTCGTCCCAGTTGTCCAGCTCCTCCTCGAGCGAGACGGCGCGTGGTGCTGTCGCTGCGGGAAGCGCTGTGCTCGGCGTGGCCGCGGCAGAAACAGCAGAAGCAGCAGCAGCAGGCAGAGCAGCAGCAGCAGCAGGCACGCCGCCGTCGCCGTCATGTAGCCCGACACCTTCGCCCAGCTCGACGTCCACGTCGCCGGCACCGTCGACCAGCTCGCCGTCGTCTTCGCCCGGCACTGCTGTATACCTGCGCAGTCGCTTGCGCTCGAGCATGCGCTTGTGGTAGATCGTGCAGAGCGTCACACCCACGAAGCTGCCCAGCATGTTGGCCGCAATGTCCATGACGTCAAACTCGCGTCCGTTGTTGGGGATGACTGCCTGCAGCACCTCCGAGCCGATGCCCAGCCCAAATACGCACACGCCCACCGCCAGGTTGAGCGCCCGTCGCCGGTTCGTGTCGACGATCCAGTAGAAGACCACCGACAGGACGAAGAACGTGACCAGGTGCAGCAGCTTGTCATTGATAAGGTGGCCCAGCTGCAGCGACGACAGTCCGGCATAGCCGGCCACCACCAGCAGCACGCAGAAGGCCCCGACAAACGGCCAGCGTATTCTCATCATGATGTGTGTTTGTGCCGTTCTTGACTGTACGTGTGTCTCTTGCTTGTCTGATGTGCCGGATATTGATCCCGCTTGCAGCTTATAGCTGCAGCTTGTTGTATGCTCGTATGTTGCGTGGTTATTGCGCCGGTTTTGTCGGATCACGAAGCTCCACACTTCCCAGATCGATGCAGACGGATCGAGCAGACGGATCGAGCAGAAGCTCTGCTGGGGTCCTGAGACAAAAGGCTGCGCCGGTGCGTTTGCGAGAGAAGTTGCGCAAGTACGGCCAATAACAGGTTGGCGGAGAGCAATATGGACAAATTTATGGGGTGGCCGGGGAATGGAGGAGGCGCTCAACAGAATCTCGGACAAGCTGGACTTGCCGGATGTGGTGATTAAGCAGCCAGCAGACTGTCAATTTATCGACTTCCCACAGTGTGCACACACTGTATTACAACCCAAGCTGGCGATACTCTGTTCGACTGCCCATGCATCTATGATTGTATTTGGCGCACGTACTCCGTACAACGTATCGTACGGAGCATCTTACGTTGCACGCTTCATGGCCTGGTCCTGTGGGGGGGGGGGGGGTCGCTCTGCGCAATGCCCCGGCAATGTGGCCCTGTTCCCTGGCTCGTCAGCTCTCCATGCCGGCATCTGCTTTCTGGGCAGACGAGCAGCAGCTCGGTGCGGAGGACAAGGAGCTTGTTCAAGCCTTCCTGGGCCAATGGATGGCACAAGAAGAGAAAGTGGCCGTTGTTGCTGCCCCTCATTCGCATGCGTCTGGCTGCCGGCTGGTGCTGCCGTGCGTCTTACAAGGCTTCAAGGGCTCTGGTTGAGGCTGAAGCTGAAGCGGCCGGCCTCCTTGCTGGCACGCCCCTAAGCTCCAGCGCTCTAGCCCTATTCCAGCACTACGCCAAGGTCACGTGGAGCACTTCCCGGCAAATCAGCTGGACGGCCCAGAGTACTGCTACATGGGCTGCCAACGAGCAGTCGGCATACGCTGACCGGAGCTGCGTGAAAACAAGAATCCATGGCGAGCCGAGCATCTCTACATGCAGGAGAACCAGTAGGTCCAAGAATGTGTGCTGTTCGGTTGTGCTGGCGTGCTGCACGACCGCAGCAGCAGCACGGTCCCGTACCCGCTACCCGCTGGGCGGACGCATAGGCACAACAGCGTCCTGGGAAAGAGTGCACGCCGCCGATTTTTGGCGGCCGACATCTCCCTTAACCTCACCCCAGGATTTACCGACAAAGTCGAGCTCTTGCGATCCATCGAAGCCGCGCCCGATCGCCTCTGTCTGCCCCCCAAACCGGTCTGCCATCTATACCGATGCTTACCTTTACTTCTATGGTCTTTTAGGCCCCCCATCCTTCCCGGGCGCCTCTGTGGACGCGAGCCCATTTGTCGCTGGTCTCTTGCCGCATTGGTTATGCAGCGTCCACTCTCTATCGAAATTTCCACATCCCACGCCAAACACGACGCAACATCAACACCGCCCTTCCGCCATCCAAAGTAACGAGCGGCCGGCTGTCTGCACAGGACGGCCATGTTCCCCGGCGCAGATGACGCGCCTGCGCGCACGCAGACCCCCACCATCGCCTCCGACAATACCATTGTCCCGTTGCTGCCTGAGGCACCAACAACCGACCTCGAGGACGATGCGCGCCGCGCCACCTTTTCCGACCTCTATCGCAAGAGCGAGGCCCGCGTGGCCCTGCTGTTTTCCGAGGATGGCCGCTACAATCGGGACGCTATCCGCGGTTTGCTGTACCCGTCACGCACCCACAACGGACTGCTACCACCGCCGGCCACCGATCATACCCCTATACACGAGCCGCCCTACAAGAAGACCAAGCGGACAATCGACGAAGACGACTACGACGACGATGACGACGACGAGGAAGCGGCCGAGGACGGTAGCGGCGGTGGTGCCAAGGCCGACGGCAGTGCCGCAGCCGAAAAGGACGCTGTCCCGGGCCCTGGTCCTTTGGCTGGGGGTCCGCCAAGACAGCTCCTGTCGCCGTCCAAGTCCGGCAGCTCACCGGTGCATTCGGTAGGCTCACCGGACAAGCAGAACGGCCGGACCGCACACGAGGATGGCCCCACATCACAGCCACAGCAACAACTGGCGGCCAAGACGTCCGAGGACGTGCGCAAGGAGCTGGAGGCAGCACGAAATGCCACTGAAGTGGCGGCACGGCGCAGCTTCCACACGCTCTTCTACACGCTCGAGAACGACCGGACAGCCATGCTGGAGCAGCAGCAGCTGGAGGAGTCGGAGAAGCAGATCCAGGCGGAGATGGAAAAGCACGGGGCGAGCAGCACCAACGGAACGGGCGGGCAGAGCCACGGGACGCTCAGCAGCGCCAACCTGGGGGCGTCGAGCCTGACGCTCAAGCACCTGATTGCGCGGATCGACCTGAAGCGCGACCAGGTCAAGGCGACAGACACGGAGCTGCGGTCGCTGATCAACGAGGTGCGCAAGAACCGGAGCAAGTGGGCCAGCGAGGAGCACGTCGGACAGGAGGAGCTGTACGAGGCGCTGGAGAAGGTGCTGAGCGAGCTCAAGGCGCACACGGAGTACTCGACACCGTTCCTGCAGCGGGTCAACAAGCGCGAGGCGCCCGACTACCACATCTACGTCAAGCAGCCGATGGACCTGGGCACGATGACGAAGAAGCTCAAGGGACTGCAGTTCAAGAGCAAGGCCGAGTTTGTGGCGGACCTGAATCTGGTGTGGGACAACTGTCTCAAGTACAACCGCGACATGGGCCACCCGCTGCGGCGGATGGCCAACAGCATGCGCAAGGAGGCGGAGAAGCTGATCCCGTTGATTCCAGATCTGACGATCCGGTCGCGCGCCGAGGTCGAGGCAGAGGAGCGGCGAAAGCAGAACGGTGGCGACGACGGCGGCGACGACGACAGCGACGATGAGCCCATCATGTCGTCGCGCGGCCGCACAGCCGGAACAAAGGGCGTGGGAACCAAGTCACGGGGTGCAGCCACGATGTCGGCCACGATGCACGAGCACGCCAAGGAGGGCACGCCAGGCATAGACCGAGATCGAGATCGGAAGCCGGTGCTGCAGCTGAACGGACTGCTGGCCAAGAGTGTCGGCGGCAACAACAGCAACGGGCGCGAAGGTTCAGAGGCAGGCGACGGAAGCATCGGGTTCGGCACGCCGCTGATGGGCGCGGTCGGATCGGTGACGCCAGGCGGACTCAACGGCGGACACCACTCGGGAGTCGGCAGCAACGTGGATGCGATGGACCTGGACGGATCGACGCTCAACGGCCTCGGCGGGCTGGCACTCGACCGAGCCATCAACGAGGCGGCCGAGCAGGTGTACGAGGACGAGGAGGACCTGACATGGAAGCAGGTCACCAAGAAGAGCCGGGCGCTGCTAGCACGCCAGCGCTACGACATGTTTCGCGATGGGCGGCTCAACATCGACCAGCCGGCACTGCTGCGGACCAAGGCCGACATGCGGTGGTACGTCCGGGGTGTCAAGGAGGCTGAGGCCATGGGGCTGCTAGGCCCGAGTGCTGGTCGTGGCGGCGGCGGCGGTGCTGACAGCATGGCGGCAGCGTCGTCGTCACTGCTCGCGACAGCCGACAGCAGCAACAGCAACAGTAACGGCAACGGCAACGGCAACGGCCTGCTGCTGTCGTCTTCTTCGTCCAAAGCGAACGAGACAACGCTGGCCGAGGGCATGGAAGACGACGTGGAAAAGGTGGTGCCCGACTACTACGAGCCGCAGTCGATCGTGCCAGACGTACCGCTGCGGCTGCAGTGGATCGAGGACGACGAGGGCGGCGTGATCAACCCGAACGAGGAGTTTTTGCGGCTCGTTCCCGAAGGCCATTTTGTGGCACCGCCGAGTCGGCTTAGTAAGCGGTTTGATGAGAACATGCGGCAGATCCAGGAGACGCGCAAGATTTGCTCCAAGATCGGGGTGGTAAAGCAGATGCAGATCCAAACACAGGTGAGTGTGTGGACGACTGGTATACTGTCGAGATGGTGTAAGTGTTAACGGGCTCAGATCTACCAAAACCAGTTTCAGCGCTACGATCCCGAGCCGTTCTTCGAGGCCGACATTGAGCGGCAGTTTGTGTGTGGCGACGGGGCGTTTATGGTGGGCGAGACGTGCCGAGCAGCGATGCAGCGGTCGGTGGCCAAGATCTTCTTCCATGCCGGCTTCGAGGAGCTGCAGCCGTCGGCGATGGAGGCGATGACAGACATTGCAGCGGACTACTTTATGAAGCTGTGCCACACGATGAACGTGTACAACGAGGCCGAGCGCAAGGAAGCGACGGGAGCCTGGGCCGCACGAGGAGCACGGTTCCAGCCACGGTACACGCCCGAAGAGGTGGTGCTGCACACGCTGCACGAAAACGGGCACGACCTAGACGGGCTAGACTCGTACGTGCGCGACGACGTGGAACGACTAGGCGCGAAGCTGGGAGCGATCCACGAGCGCATGAAGGCGCACCTGGGCGATCTGTTGCGACCAGCGCTGCAGGACGGCGGCACAGAGGCGTTCAACGACGGCAGCGAGCAGTTTGTGGGCGGTGACTTTGCCGAGGAACTGGGCGAAGACTTTTTCGGCTTCAAGGCCCTGGGCCTGGACAAGGAGCTGGGCCTAGACATTCTCAGCGTGCCGCTGCACCTGCTGCAGACGCGGGTGCGCAACCAGAGCACCAACGACGCACCGACCGGCGTGGCCTCGGAGGCAGCCTTTGAGGCGCCGCCGCCGCTGGAGCCGGTCACGCGGACGAGCATCGGCGATGAGATCGGCCTGATCAAGAACTTTTTTCTGGCCAAGCTACACGCCAACGGCGACCAGCCGCTGGTCGAGGACGAGGACCTGCCCGTCAAGCAGCGCCGTCCACGACCACGACTGGGCGCCACCGGCAAGATCGTCTCGCCCCAGAAGCGGCCGCCCAAGGAGCAGATCGCCCTGGCCAAGAAGAAGAAGCGCGAGGCCATGCAGGCCGCCGCAGCCGCGGCTGCAGCCGCTGGTGCTGGCGCCGAGAAGACGTCGCCGTCCAAAAAGAACAAGGCTGCCGCTGTCTTTGCATCGAGCTCTGCTGCTGCTGCCAAGACCAATGGCAGCCGGCTCACAAACGGTCTCGGCCCAGACCCGCCAGGCGGCGGCGACGCTAGCTCAGCCCGGAGAGACAGCACCATGAGCCAGGTGAACGGCACCCAGGCCGAAGAGAAAGACGGCATGGGCGGGCCAATGAGCCCGGAGAGCATTGCGCGGTAGGCTGACTCTGGGTAGGCGACACTCTGGATAGGCCGGCTCTCTGGTCTCTGTGTGTGTGTGTGTGTGTGTGTTTGTGTTGTTTTATGAGCTCCCACGTGTTCTATTGTGCTTCTGAGGAAAGGAGGGTTCGGCATCGTCTGGCTTCCACGGATGGATGGGGTGTTTTTTTATTGATTCATCGAGGCTCTTTTGGTCTCTGCTTTCCGCCTTGGGTCTGTGTTCCTATGTCAGTTGTAACTTCCTTCCCTGTATATACGGTCCGACGGCTACCCCAGCGCATTACCGGTCGCTGTTCTTCACCATCCTTCTTACCCGCTCACCCTCGTTCTCACCTCCGTTAATGCCTGTTCCTCTTGTCTTTATGTTTCTTTGCCCCCCCTGCCGGCTGTTTACGATCGAACCACTGCGGACGTGGTGTTCCAAGAGAAAGCTTGAGCTTTGCGAGTGAAGACAAAAATAGAAGTATCCCACGTTTCGTTCCACCCGTCGCTCCTTCCGTGCAAATGGATTCTGGCTGCGACGCTTCCTTTTCTACGGATAGCACACTTCTTCGTCCTTATCAGAAAGCTTCCATATTCCATATTTCCGATTCTATGTAGAATCAAACATTTCCGCGTTGAAGCGGCGCCCCCTCCCTAAGATCCGATCCCGGTATCATGTATGAAACAAAAACTCCCATGTCCATCCGCTTATTTTTTCTTTCATTTTTTACTTACTCCAGCCGGTTGAAACGCCAGATTGAATGCCTCAATATCATGGTTGAAAAATCTCCCCTCCCATCCCTTTTTGCCGTCACTCCCACTATACGTCTGCCTTGTTGAAAGCAGAGAGAGGAACATCGACCGCTGCGCGTCCGACACCGCCAGCTCACAGGCCGGCATCCGTCCGCCAGCCCTCGACCGGCAGCGGGAAGCCGCTAGACCAGGCCGCAATCTCCTTCTTCAACGTGTTGATCGTCTCGACCTCGCCGCTGGCCACCTTGGCCTTGAAGTCCTTGAGCTTGTTGGCCTCCTTGGGCAACGACTTCTGCACCTCCAGGCAAATCTTGACGGCCGCGTCAATGTACCCGGCCACGCGCTCAAAGTCGGCCTTGCCGAAGCCACGGCTCGTCATCGCCGGCGTGCCAATACGGATGCCACCCGGCGTCAACGCGCTGCGGTCACCCGGCACACTGTTCTTGTTGCACGCAATGTTGATCTGCTCCAGCACCGCCTCGACGCGCGCGCCATCCAGCGGGATCGGCCGCAGGTCCACCAGCACCATGTGCGAGTCCGTGCCGCCCGACACCATCGTGTAGCCGAGCTGCTTAAACGTCTCCTCCAGCGCCTTGGCATTGTCCACCACCTGCTGCTGGTACGCCTTGAACTCCGGCGACGCCGCCTGCTTGAGCGCCACTGCCAGCGCCGTGATCGTGTGGTTGTGCGGGCCGCCCTGGTGGCCGGGGAAGACCGAGAAGTTGATCGGGTTCTCCAGGTCGTACAGCGTCTCCTTGCCCGTCTTGGCATCCCGCGACCGCACACCCTTGCGGAAGAAGATCATCGCGCCACGCGGTCCGCGCAGCGACTTGTGTGTCGTCGTCGTCACAATGTCCGCGTACGCAAATGGCGACGGGATCACGCCCGCCGCGATTAGACCCGAGATGTGCGCCATGTCCACCACTAGGTATGCGCCCACCGAGTCGGCAATCTTGCGCATGCGCGCGTAGTCGATCAGGCGGCAGTACGCCGACGTGCCGGCCACGAGTACCTTGGGCCGGAACAACTGTGCGTTCTTCTCCAGCGTGTCGTAGTCGATGATGCCCGTCTCCAGGTCGACCCGGTACGGCATGGTCTCGAAGTAGGTCGACACGGCCGAGATCCTGGACAGTTAGCGGGACCAACGAACCAGTCAGACCGGAAGGCACTCACTTCTTCTGCGGCGTCTGGTAGCCGTGGCTCAGATGGCCGCCGTGGGGCAGATCCAGGCCCATCAGCCGGCCATGAGGCGGCATGATGGCCTGGTACACCTGCAGGTTGGCCGGGCTGCCGCTCAGGCACTGCACGTTGACACCCCAGCGCTCAGAGTCCAGGTGGAAGGCCGTCAGCGCACGCTTCTGGCACAGCAACTCCACCTCGTCGATGTGCTGGTTGCCGCCGTAGTAGCGAGCGCCAGGGTAGCCCTCCGAGTACTTGTTGGACATGGGCGATCCAAGAGCATCGAACACGGCACGCGAGGTGACGTTCTCGGACGCAATCAGGATGATGGACTCCCGCTGGCGCTGGATCTCCTTCTTCTGCGGAGGGGTCAGCCCTAGTTTCTGTTTTTCCGGGCATAAGCCATTGACGTACCATGATCTCCGCGACCTCGGGGTCCGTCGCGACCAGAGAGTTTTCCAGCATCTGGTAGCCATTGAGTCAGTGGTCCATATAGTGGCAGGTTCAGCAATTCTGACTCACCTCGCGATGCGTCTCGGAGAGAGCGTAGGTACTGTTGGAAGCCATGACGAATTGTGAGGTCTGAAGAGTATCAAGAACCAATAACTGAAGCTGTCTCTTGAGTGAGGAAAATCGCAATATGGGAGAGGGTTGAGAAAGAAGAAGAGGAAAGAAAGACGAAAATTTAGACGTCAGCAGCTCTCAAGAAAAAAAAAGGCCAAAATTGTATAGTGGGGGACTGCGGTCTCGGAGGGCCAATTAGCAATTAGCTTCGCTACGCCTGCCGACTACTATTTTAATGTGAGTCTAGAGCCCATGGATCTCTATATGGTGTCGCTGGCTACTACTGTAGTAAGACATGCCTTGCCGTTTGCAGAGCATCTGTCGATGTGTGCCATGGCAAGTCGACCTGTCTACAGACTGACTACAGTCAGTACCAACTCTATCAAGTTCCATCTCATCCTCGAGAGTTTGTATAGCTACAGTTTGACGACCAACAAAAGGCAACGAATGCTGTGACTAACAAATGCTGCATTCCCCGCTTGTGCCCCTCACATTGCATAGCAGTGGAGAGTATGGAGTATAGTGCATAGTGTAGTACCGTGCACAACAATATGTATCATGTGACTTTAATGCAAGCCCCGGCACACCAGCCACATGTTGGCACGCCCCATAAATTGACCCCGACAGACTTCGTATCTTGCGTATGCGTCACCGCCCAAAACTGAACGTTGCGTCACTTTGTCAGGCACCTGACCCACTAAGACAGCAAGTGCACGCCTTCCTCGCCCACCCAATCTCGTAGCTTGCTTGGTTGCCTGGTTCCTTATCCTTGAGCACAGGCCCTGTTACATATTACCTCCATCACCCTCCCATCACCCGGATTGTTTCCTCTCTTCTTCTCGCCTCTCTCTTCCTGTCTCTCCTAGCCCATCAATCATCCTCTACAAACAGTCACCTTTGTCCCTTTCCCATCGTGCGACATCTCTCGCCCGATCTTGTACCTCGGCAGTCCTTTCCTGCGTCTGTTCCGTTCCCTCGTTTTACGTCTTCTCTCGTCTTGATTGCGTCTTGCCGTCACCTCCATCGACAATGAAGGGTGCTTTGGTTCTAGCCGCGGCTGGGCTGCTTGGCTCTGCCCAGGCTTCCGGTATTCAGAAGCTCAAGCTCAAGAAGGTCCCTCTTGCAAAGCAGCTCGTTCGTCTTCCCCTTCCCCGATAACATGTGATGATAGCAGAGCGGAGCGAAGTCGAGGTCGCTTAAGAGATGGGCCAGATAGCTAACCCATCGTCTGTGCGCATTTAGGAGTCTATTCCCATCGATGCACAGATCCGGGGCCTCGGCCAGAAGTACATGGGTGCCCGCCTGGGCAGCCATGCCGATGAGATGTTCAAGACCGCCGTCGTTGAGACCGACGACAACCACCCGCTGCCCGTCAGCAACTTCCTCAATGCTCAGTGTATGTGGTGATTCCATCCTGTTTACCTCCCCCTTTCCCGCACGTTCCGGAACTACCCCTGACACGGCTCCAGACTTTGCCGAGATCTCCATTGGAACTCCGCCCCAGAGCTTTAAGGTTGTGCTCGACACTGGCAGCTCCAACCTCTGGGTGCCTTCCAGCCAGTGTGGATCTATCGCCTGCTACCTCCACACCAAGTATGACTCCGAGTCTTCGTCGTCGTACAAGTCCAACGGCAGCGCCTTTGCCGCCCAGTACGGCTCGGGCAGCCTGAGCGGCTTCGTGTCGCAAGACACAGTGTCTATCGGCGATTTGAAGATCGTTAAGCAAGACTTCGCCGAGGCCACCGAGGAACCTGGCTTGGCCTTTGCCTTTGCCCGCTTCGACGGCATCCTGGGCCTGGGCTTCGACACCATCTCGGTCAACCACATTGTGCCTCCCTTCTACAACTTGATCAACCAGAAGCTCATCGACAGCGGTGTCTTTGCCTTCTACCTCGGCAACGCCGATTCTGACGGCGATGATTCCGAGGCCGTCTTTGGCGGTGTTGATAAGGCGCACTACACCGGCAAGATCACCACCATCCCGCTGCGCCGCAAGGCCTACTGGGAGGTTGATCTTGACTCCATCTCGCTGGGCGAGGACACTGCAGAGCTCGAGAACACTGGCGTGATCTTGGACACCGGCACTTCCCTGATTGCCCTCCCGTCCAGCCTCGCTGAGATGCTCAACGCCCAGATTGGTGCCAAGAAGGGCTACAACGGCCAGTACTCTGTTGACTGCAGCAGGAAGAGCAGCCTGCCCGACGTGACCTTCACGCTGAGCGGCTACAACTTTAGCCTGCCTGCGTCTGACTACATCCTCGAGGTCTCTGGCAGCTGCATCTCTACCTTCACGGGCGTGGACTTCCCGGAGCCGGTGGGCCCTCTGGCCATCCTCGGCGATGCCTTCCTGCGCCGCTACTACTCCATCTATGACCTTGACAACAACACCGTTGGCCTGGCCCTGGCCAAGAAATGAGTTGGAGCGCACCTCTTGACTTACTTGATGCTACTTATCTGATATACTTGTGTCCTAAAGTTCTTTCGTCATTTTTTGCCAGGACTTGTGTGATTCGAGTGCGAGTTACCCCATTACAAGCTAGAGAAGACTATCCGGGGAGCCGGCGAGATCGAAGGGCGTGTTTTGAGACACAGATTGAAGCCATCGACAAGCCTATGTGTTCGCCACTGCGTTTTAATTGCATGTTTGCTTGTTTTCGCTTTGCTTGAGTACTCATCGCAACGCCTAATTTGAAGGTCGCTTACTGCCTTTCGCTTTCATCATTTATGTACAGTAAGAAGTAAATAAACAAATAGCCTTTCATCATGCATTTCATCCTCGGAGAACATTGTACTCGTGACATACGATACGTGCGCGTGATGAGTATGGGTCTTAGCTTGGCGGCTACTGCCAAAGTGACCAAGGGTGTTTGCTTAGTCACAGACACCCGGACGCGGTCACGTGCAGAGCTTGCAAATTTAGCGTGACAGAACTTCAATTTTCGGAAGGGGCGCTTTTGGTGGGTGCAAGTTGTATTCAGCACGCCCTTTCCCTCCCTTTGCTTCCTCCATTTACGCCGCGCCTCTGCTGCAATCCAAGGGAAAATAATAGAGGAATAGGAGGGAACGTGCTAATTCTTGCAGAAAGTGTGCATGTGCTTTTTTTGGAGGGCGTGCCTCGTTTTTGCGGAAGATCCGTTCCCCAACCCGTCTTTTCAACAGCACTGCGCGTTACCAACATCGGCGAACCTGGACGTGTTTTTTCCCTTTGCCTTTTCGTCACCCATATTCTTTTCTCTTTCTTTTTCCATCCCCTCAGCCTGTCCCCGGTTCTTTTTGCCTAGTGTTGCCAAGCCCACACTTTGCTCGGCCGGCAGCAGGAAAGGAGCCACTTGATTGATTCGCATTTCGATCGCTTCCTAACGCGAAAAAGCGGGAACGAAGAGTCGCGACGACAGCGGCAACGAACGAGCGGACAGGCCAGAAGCCAGACATCCCGTCCTCAACAGCCATTGTCCCATCTCGCACCCGCTCTCGCCCATCGGATCAGCCCCGTTGCTGTCGCGTATTATACCCAAACTCGACGCATCGACGCCTCGACGCCTCGACGACGCCGTCGCGCCGTCAGCCTTCCCCGACCCGCTCTCTTTCTCCTACGATCATTTGCTGGAGACCCTTCCCAAGATAGACAACCCATCATGGCCGCCACCGCCATTGGCCATTTGAAGGGCCTGGCTGCTGATAGCGGCGTGTCTGACTCGGCCAGCGTCAATTCGTCAGCTTCATCCGTGAAGCGGAAGCGCGACTCGACCGACAACGGTGACCAGGTCATGGTTGATGCAGCAGCCGAAGCAAATGGCTCCGACGTGGACAGCAACGAATCGCAATCCAACGGCGGTAGCTCCCGCGATGACACACCTACTGCAGCCACCACTAGCACTGCCGGCAATCGGGACGAGAAGAGGCTGATTTATGACTACTTTGAAGTTTTGTCCAGGTACGACGCTCTGAGATGGAGCCGGTTGCGATGTCGTTGTGGTGTATTGCGGCGTGCTAACGTGCCTTTTTATCTGCGCTGATCAGCTTCGACAAGTCAGATCCTCCCATCCTGAAGCGACCGCTTCCAGAGCTATCGGCGTCAGAGGAGCCGCAGGCAAAGCGCCAGAAATCCAATGGCAGTCCGAGTCTGCCTCTCCCGGCCTCCATCGCCGACAAGGTGGCACACGATGTCTACGTTCTGCTTGATGATCTTGTCGAAGATTTGGCGACCGTCGTCAGCTCAGAGATGGCGTCGCTGACGGCCGCGGCTCCCAAGACCGAGGCCGATGCGAAGCTTGACGATAGCACAAAGGCTGCAGATGCAGCTAAGCAGCGAGCCCTTGCACAGATCACCAAGTTCCGCAGAAAGGCCCACGAGCTGTATCGACGTGAGACGGCATACCCAAGCTCAGGCCCGCTCACCAGCAACGATACGGCAAGCGAAGACGGGGATGCCATCCTTACCGTCTTTGGAAACACCCCCCAGCCTCGGCAGCTGTTTTCCAGTCTTCCCCACCGGGTGCCTGCCAAGCGTAGCAATGCGGAGGTTTACAAGACCGATGAGGACGACAAGGACTCCATCGAAGAGGTTGTCCGTGAAGACAGCGAGCTCGACCTGGGCGGCAACATCATGTTCACCCGACTGTTCCCTGGCCAGAGCACGGCGAAGCCTGGCCGCGTGCTTACATTTGGAGAGCTGTTTCCGTCGCCACGAAATTTGCCGCCCCTGCAGCCACCGAAAGCGCCAAAGAGCACGACCAAGTCGACGACACTAGGCTTTTATCATCCGGAGCTAGAGGACAAGTCCAAGTACCGTTCGGGGTCGTATTTCTCACAGCACATCACAGTCGGCCAGTGGCTCGACTACAGCAATGCAACGCCATCGTCGCAAATCAAGACGAAGCAACGAGAGCGGGCGCAGAGTCTTGCGGGCCACAAGCCGTCTTCGTCCGAGTTGGAGATGTCCGAGATGGAATCGCTATTCCGCGGTGCGTTTAGCAGTTTTGCACCATCCAAGGATGACTCGGCCGCTCTGGTGCCGGCAGCACAAATGGGACACATGTGGTGGCAGCGTGTTGGCCACCGGGTGTTCCAGCGCATGGTGGACGCGGAGTTTGCAGTGGAGGACGACGATGTGACCATTGCGGACGGCTATGGGGTTCCTTGGATGGCGAATGGCGCTAGCTCTAGCCCCGTTCTGGACGAGGAAGCTCTTCAGAAGACTATAGAAGAGTGGGACGACAGCCTCGTGGACCCATCTCTCGAGAACGTGATGGGCCAGAAGCCGGATACGGACAAGGACGTGAACGACCTGCTCCAAGACGTATCGGACCTGATCATCACGCTGGCATCATACCAGCGCAACCGCAACCTGACGCTTCCGACCAGCCAGGATCGTTTCTCGGCGGATCCTGTCAATGCGGACATGTTGCGCAACGGCACACTCGCGCAGCAGCCAAGCGAGGAGGAAATGGTGACATACCAGGCCCTAAAGGCCCAGCTTGCACTGATTATCCAGAGCCTGCCGCCGTATGCAGTGGCACGGTTGAACTCGGACCGACTGGCCGAACTCAACATTAGCACGAAGATTGAGGTGCGCAGCGAAGAATACCGGGGCGTGATGGAGGAGGATGAGGCAGTGCTCCGGGCGCGACAGGCTGCCGCGCAAGCACAGGCGGCAGCAAGCACACCACAGCGTGCACCAGGCCACCGAGCCGGGAGCGTATCGAACCACGGATACGGCCAGCAGTTTAGCGCGCCTAGCCGGTCGCCGATGCCGGCGACAGCGGCATTCTACCAGACTCCGGGACGGGCGACACCGCAGCATCGGCAACCGTCATTGACACAGGGCCAACAGTTCCGTGCAGCGGCAAACGGATATGGGAACTACACACCCACGGCTGTCAAGGTGCAGCAGCCGCCGTTCCGGGGCCCACCACCGGGAGGGCCTCTGTATCCGGGCACGCCCGGTGGCCAAGCAGCGGTTCCGGCACACCTGTCACCGCAGCGGGTTGCGGCCCAGCCACAGCCAGGGGCGTATGGATCCCCTGCCGTGCAGACAGCAGGCGCTCCGCCACAGTTCCGGTACCAGCCAGGCAGCTTTGGGGCTGGCGGGTATCCGCAGCAGCAACAGGTGCCGGCGCAGCCAGTGCCACAGCCGGGAGTCCCACCACAACAGCAACGGCTTGGCCAACAGCCGGTGGGATACACACCGTCACCAGCGAATGGGGCAAACCACGTGGGACAGCAGCAGCAGCCACGGCCAGGCCAGGTGCCTCCGCCGGTGTCCAGCCCTCAGCCGCGGGCGCAGATGCCGTATAGCGCTGGCATTCCGAGCCAGATGACTCCAGGACAGCAGCAGCTGCAGGCTCGGGCACCCTTTGGAGGTGTGCCAGTGCCGATGCAGGGAATGCCGGCCGGAGCAGGACAGCGGCACTTCAGCGCGAGCGCGCAGGGCGGAGCAGTTCCTGGTGGACCAGGCAGCGGGGCGAACCTGGGGCCGTTTGGTTACCATACAGTGATGGACCAGCCACAGCAGCAGCGGTTGATGGAACAGGCACGAGCACGGGCATCGGCACACGAGCGGACACTGGGGTTTGCAGACAAGATGTCGCAGGGTGGCGTGGGCCCGATTGGCGGGCTTGCGGGCATGGGACCAGGCGGCAACGTCGACATGGCCAAGCTAGCGGCAGCACGGGCGAACATGCCAGGCAGCGCAGGACCGCGAGTGGCACAGCCACAGCAGATATTGCAGCAGCAGCAGCAGCAGCACGGATTTCCGCAAGGAGTGCCATCGCCATCGCCGGTGACGTCGAGTGTGTCGCCAGCTCCCAGCGGCGGGTTCCAACGGCCGTCGTGAAGGAGCAGAGGCGATTCTGGAGCGCGTGGCTGAGGCAGTGTAACACTACATCTTTCTCTTGGCCGTCTTGTTTTGTGGTCTTTTTAGGCTTGGTTGGCTTGTTGTTCTTGGATGTGTCCCAGGCTTCTGCTCTTGGCGTTGGCGGTTCAGCCCGGTTGGAATGGGCAGGCGTGGACGGCTGTATGATAGACCGAAGGGCAACACGAGAAAAGGCGGGCAGGAGAGAGGAAGAGGGGGAGAGAGGGGCGAAGTGGCTTGCTATTTCAGCGGCGAGGGCGATTTGCGCTACGGCGCTCTTTCAGCTCTATTTCCTTGGGTGTGCTCTGTTCGTTGCTTGTGCCGGTTCCTGTCATCTGTCCGGGGCACGCAGGCCGTGAGGCTGCCGCTGCCGTTATTCTATTATATCAAAATGATTCTCAAGCTCAGAGGAGGTGTATATTTTCCGCAGAAGGTACTGCTTATGTAATATGGGAAGAATGATATGATCACGTGCTTTACAGGGCGAGTTCGTCGGTGTTGTTGGACACCTTCTTCTCGGGCCACTCAAGGTACACGCGGCGCAACTCGAAGACGACCTCGACGGTGATGAGGACGATGATGATCCACTCAAGGCGGGCGCCGTGGCGCTCGCTGGAGATTTCGCGCAAAACGGTAGCGATTTCCTGGGCGTAGTCCATCTTCTGATTGAGGGTTTTGATGCGGACGCCAACGTCGAGGGCACGACCGACCTGTTCGTAGTAGCCCTCGAGGCCGAGCTCAGCGCGAGCGTCCCAGAAGATGTCGGGGAGGGCGTCGGTAAGCTCGCGATAGTGGTTGAGCTGGGCACGGAGGCTGAGGAGCTCGCCGGTCTTTTGGAGGATGAAGTCCTGGGAGAGGTGACCGAGGCCGCCGAAGCCACGGAATCCGAGCCAAGGGATAGCAGCGAGGGCACCAGACCGGACAGACGGCTGCCGAAGGCGACGATGATGGCGGCGGTTGGCGAGCATCTCGGGAATGCGACGGGTGCTCTCGAAGTAGTCGGTAAAGGCGCTCTCGAGCACGGCCAACTTGGTGCTGCGGGCGAGTCCGGACGAGAAGGCGATCATGGCGAGCGTGGTGGCGAGGCGATGGCCATCGGCGGTCTCGCGCCTGGTTCCGAGCACGACGACGTCGCCGCGCATAGCGCTGCCGTCACGCGCGGCGTCGCGACGGAACTCGAGCGTCTCAGTTTCGCGCTCGGCCACAAACGGGTCGACGGCCGAGCCGGTGGCCACGAGCCGGCCGGTGGCCAGGGCATCGACGGCATCCGGCGGCAGGCCCCAGCCAACGACGGTGCCGGACTCGAAGACGAACAGGTCGACGTCGCGCGTGCTGGAGCTACCTTCGTTCTCGCTATCCGGCCATTGTCGACGGCCATGCACCACCTCATGCGACTCGAAGCCGCTGCCGTCCGGGTCCAGCTGGTAGCCCTGCGCCTGTAGTGCGGCCATGACCTTGTGCATGTCAAACGACTCGGCCACGCAGACGGCACTGATCACGTTGCGCCCATCGTCCGAGACGGCCGAGGCTAGGAGGCTGTGCTGCTGCTGGCGGTCGTGCTGGGAGTCGTGCTCCGGCTGCTGCTGCGCGATCACGGCCACGCGACGGAGCGAATGCTTGGCGCCGGCCGAACGGACTTTGCGCTTCGCCAGGACGGCCGCCGGGGTCGTCGTGGGCCCCGTGGAGCCAGATGCCCTGTCCGGTCCGTCTGGTCCGTCTGGTCCGTCTGTCCGCAACAGGAGGCTGGACGTGGAAAAGGTGCGGCGACACGACAGTGCGGCGGCCGTGTGGTGAAAGGCTGCACAGCGCTGCACCAATGGCGCGGACAGCACATGGTGGGCTGCCGACGACGACCACCGCCATGGCAACAAGACAAAAGCTGCCGACGATGCAGATGCAGATGATGCAGTTGCAGCTGTGGGACGCGCCAGCACGGCGCGGCCGAGCTTGGACGGCAGTGAAGACGGCAGAACCGTGGCGGAGAGACGCATCTGCTCGGGAAACCGGTCGGGTCGTCAGAAAATGCGGGCGCCAGTTGTGCAACGGCCGGGAGGCTTCGTTGTCGACAGAGAGAGCACTGCTTTGTACGGAGTTTCATCCTGATTTTACAGCCGGCTAATAGCGGCTGCCGTCCAATTGCAGGACGCTAAAAGATGCGTGTCTTCTTGACAAAGCAGGGTTCTTGCCATAAGTCCGCTGTCTCGGCTTTCACGTGTTCCAGAGTGGAACGCCATGTAATACGGGTAGCTTTCACGCTACTGCCTTAGCTGGTTCCGGCAGTCGAAACGCATGTATTGGTGATGTGTGATTAGTCAGCACGAGCGGGCCACAAGAGTTGCCATCGGAAACAGACAAGCTGACATGGATTACGTTTAGGCTGGGGGCAATAGGAGAAGTATCTACGTCGTACGAATTCTGAGGGAAATTCAGGGTGGGTCTTTAAGAATTGGGTCGTCACCTTTTCTCTACACCGTCAGTTCTCTCCTAACAAACGAATCCACCTTTCCTAGTCTCCGAGTATGAAGCTGCCCAAGATGGAGACACCGAAACTTAAGCTGGATCCTGACGGCGACGTTGTGCTTATCCTGGAGAACCCCAACGCGCAATTATTACAATGGGGCGACAAAGATCTCGAAAAGACCGGCCGAGCGGTCGAAGGGGAGGCGATGAGGGCGCCTGCAGTGGAAGAGCTGCGGATGCTGGTCTCCTCGCGGCACTTGTGTCTCGCATCGTCGACCTTCAAGACGATGCTTGGTGGCCCTTGGCGAGAAAGCACCGGCAGCAACACGAGGATCCGCGAGGTGTGGGCGTCAGACTGGGACGCCGAGGCCTTTCTGATCGTGCTTTCCCTCATTCATGGCCAGCACCTTTCCGATTACAGCGTCCCCAATCTCGAAGAGCTGGCCAAAATAGCGGTCATCGTGGACTATTACGACTGTCACGATGCCGTCGAACTTCTTGCCGAGGTTTGGATTCGCGACCTGCAGAAAGAACTGCCTTCCTCCTATGGAAAGCAGTGCGTGTTGTGGATGTTCATCTCGTGGGTCTTCCTCCGCGTGGACATTCTCGAGAACATGGCCAGGCTGGCGGTGGAAGGCTGCAAAGGACCTGTCCAGACGATGGGTCTGCCGCTGCCCGACAGCTTGCTGCGTAAGTACATGGACATTCCCTGCGAACCACTCCTCTCCTTCTTGTCCAAGGCAGCTTACCCGTCCTACAGAAGTCATCGAGGCCAAGAGTGCGGAAGTAAAGACGAGAATCCTGAAGATCCTCGAAAACTTGAAGGAGTCTTTGATCACAAAAGGCTGCAACATGCAATGCACGGATTTGACCCTGGGTGCCCTAACAAGACAGATGCACACGGCTCAACTACTGCCATCGAGAGTCCAAGGCATGAGTGTCGTCTACCTGCAAAATGTGGTCAGTAAATTTACTAGCACTCCTTCTAACTGCAGGAGAGCACAGTATTCTGTAAAATGCGACCTGCAGGCGAAAATCCGGCCTTTCCAGAAAAAAGGCCAGCTTCAGCTGGAAAATCTTCAGCTGGAGGAGATTTGGAGCAACCGGCTCCGGTCCCGAGAGGAGAAGAGATTCAATGCCATGGAAATGATGATTGATTGGTGGAAGCCCGAAGCATGACTACTGGTCTGCACGCTCGGACATGTAATTATCCATAAAGACGCCGAAATACATAGGCAAATCTTTCTCGTCCGATCATGTATCCTAACAGTCCGGCACGCTCACGGGAATGTGCAGCGGCACGCTGGTGGCGAGGCCGCTGAGGCTGGTCTCTTTGAACTCGTTGCGCATGCCCTTGGCCGTGAGCCGCATGGCCTGGATGGCGTCGTCGAGGCGAACCTTTTGGGTGCCGGGGCTGCTGCTGAGCGCGAGATTGGCGCTGGAGACGGCCTTGACGGCGCCGAGGGCGTTGCGCTCGATGCAGGGGGCCTGGACGAGGCCGCCGATGGGGTCGCAGGTGAGGCCGAGATTGTGCTCGATGCCGATCTCGGCAGCCATCTCGATGGTCTCGAGCCCAGCGCCCATGCAGGCAGCAAAAGCACCGGCAGCCATGGAGCAGGCGACGCCGACCTCGGCCATGCAGCCGCCCTCGGCGGCGGAGATGGTGGCGCCGCGCTTGTAGAGCATGCCGATGGCGGCGGCCGTCAGGAGGAACGTGCAGATGTCGCGTTCGGCGTCGTCGCTGATAAACTCGATAATGTACTTGAGCACGGCCGGGATGATGCCGGCGGCACCGTTGGTCGGCGCCGTGACGATGCGCCCGCCGGCCGCGTTGGTCTCGTTCACGGCGATCGCATAGACAGTCAGGTAGTCCATGGCCGGAAAGGCGGTGCGCCGTGGCGGCGACGGAGCGATCGGATGGTCGAGAGCGCCGTGGATGCGCGGGATGACTCGCTTGGCCAGACTGGCACCGGTTGGCAGCGCAGCCATAGCAGACGACGGCGAGCTCGGCCTAGTTGCGTCGCTGTCGGCCGCCGAGTAGAGCCCCCGCGTCAGCCGACGGTACAGAGCCGGAGCGCGGCGATGCAGCTTCAGAGAGCCCGGCAAGACGGCATTCAGCGGCGCCTGCACGCTCTCCAAGATGCTGTTGTCCATGACCTGCCATGTGCGCGCCAGCTTGGCGTAGATCTCCTCGTCGCTGTACCCGTGGCTCCGCTCGTTCTCATACACCAGCTGGGCGATCGTCAGGTTGTGCTTCCGGCAGAGCGACAGCAGGCTGGCCGCATCGCGGAAAGGGTATCGGGGCTGGCTGGACTTGTCGGCAGGCGCTGCGGCTGTGGCTGGAGCTGTGACTGAAGTAATTGTGGCTGAGGCTGCTGGAGCAGGAGCGGCCAGCGACGTGCTTTCGGGCGGTCCTGGCAGCAGCGTCTCGTCTGCAGCGTCTCCATCGCCTAGAGACAGCGGCCGGACTTCAGCGCCGGACCGCCGGTCACCGGAGGCGTCAGAGCGGCGGGTTTCCTTGTAAAAGAGATTCTCGGACAGGTCAGCCGGGTGTCCGCGCTGCTCGTCAGAGGAGCCGGGCAGCGGATTGACCGAGAGGGCACCGTTGACGACGAAGCCGCCGCCGACGCTGAACATGTCGTTGCGCGCGAGGACGTAGCCGTCGGCGTCGAAGACGGTGAAGCGCATGCCGTTGCTGTGCATCGGCAGCTTGCGGCCCCATTCCCAGACGAAGTCGCGGCTATAGTCGAAGTCGATGGTGCGACCGGGGCTGCCGTCGGCGAGGCCACGCCCCAAGACCAGCTGCCGGGTCGCCTTGATCTGCTCGAAGCGTGTGGGCACGTAGGCCGTCTCGACCGTCTCCACGTCGGCGCTCTCGAGCCCCAGCAGGATGGCCGACGGGGTCATGTGGCCCTCGCCCGTCAGCGCGAGGCTGCCGTAGATGGCCACGCGGATCTTGTGCACGCGGTCCAGCAGCCCGGCCTCGGCCAGGTCGACGATGAAGATGTTGCCCGCCCGCATCGGGCCCACGGTGTGCGATGACGACGGGCCGATGCCGATGCTGAAGAGGTCAAACGTCGAGATCACCGCGTGCTCGTGGTCCGACTCGCTGTATGTCCCTGCGTCGTCTGGCTCGTCCGTGCCCGGCTGCGGCTGCTGCCGTGTCCGGCTCAGCAGACGCGTCTGCTCCAGACTGGGCCGTGCCAAGGGAGGCCGAACAGCTCGGATCACAGAGGCCGTCCGGCTCTCTCCCATCACGCCTCGCATCAGGAACCGCCGTGTCATGGCAAAAGTCATCGCTGTGGCCACACTAGCCGCTCGGACGCTGGCCAATCGTGACAGCGGTGTGCACGCAGCAGGACATGATTCGAAAGGACGCTGCGGCCTCTTAGCTTCTGTCGAGTCGGCACCTAACTGCTGCTCGGCTGGCTAATCATCCGGCACAGATTGAAAAAGCCCTAGCTGCTGCAGAGAACGCTAGGCATCTATCGGGGCAAGCACCACAGGGCTCCGTCCTGGCCAGAATGCGGGGACTTGGCAGGACCTTTAGTGGGGTCGTTCCAGCTGCTGCACGACCACAGCACTCGGAGCCTCGTCTACGCGGTCACCTGCTCTCGCCATCTTTCCACCTGCCTGCCTCAACAGCCAAGAGGAATTCCTCTTCGGCCCGGTCTGGCCTCTCGCCTCTCGCCAGCTCTGTCCTTCACTCTCGCTCCTCACTGGTCTCCCCCGCCTTCGCTCACTGTCTTTTCCTCCTTCTCCTCGTCTTCGGCTACACAAACCCCTTCTTGTCGTGTCGAACGGCCCATCGTCACCCCACAACACGGCTGGACTGACGGTGTGTGACCACCTTTTCTGCCGTCTGCAAAGCTGCCACCCCGTGAGTGGCCTTGCCCCCATGATTTCCCCACACACCTTTCCTATGCGGGTGGAAGCTTCGTGTTAGTCAATAAGAGCTGCCTTCCTGCATGTTGTCGTCCTTTCGGTTTCTTTTCTCTACTTGTTTTACCCCTACCTCTCTCTTCTTCTTCATCCATCAAACACTAACATGGCCAGCTACGAAGCTCTTACCTACCCGTTTGCCTACGCAGGCCCTCAGCCCATCATGGACCCCAAGGAACGCTTTTACCGCCAGTTCCACCAGGAAGTTGCCAGTGTGTTCTGCCTTTGCCTTATTCTCTCTCGCTTCTGCCGCTGACGTGTTCAGCTTTACAGGACCGCATCGTCAAGCTCGGCTCCATCGCCGTCGTCGGCGGCGAACGCCAGGATGCCAGGGACAGCATCCTGACCAGCATCTCCAAGCTATCCCTCGAGGTAGCCGATGCCTCAGACTACATTCCCGCCTACGACCAGCGAACCTATTCCGAGGTATGCTTGTTTTTTGTTCCATGTTATGCTATATTGGTCTTCCATCTCATGCTAACCTCCCAGGCCGTCAAAGCACTGACGGAACAGCTCAACGAAGAGCTGGCCAGACTGACGCCCAAGTCCCGATTTCAATTCAAGCGCACGAACAGGACCACGGCGCCCACTGCTGCCGATCCGCGCCTCCTCCGGGGAACGCCTCTGCCGGCCGCAGACAGCAAGGCCGACGCGGCCAGCACCCAGCCGGCCGTCCTGCCCAGCGGTAAGAACTACAACGCAGAGCTTTCCGGATCTGGTGGCGAGGTGTCGTCGGTGCGCAAGCCGAGTTTTTCGTCGGCGCGCGAGGTCGCCCTCTCGGGCCACGCCGGCCTGCACATCATCCTGCCGCTGTCCGCCTCGCGGGCCACGGCCTCAGGCAGCCTGACGCACCTGCGCGGCTGCGTCGTCGACATGTCCGTGCCGACGTCCAGCACGGGCAGCAGCGGCGGCGCCGCCTTCCTCAGCCTCGTGCTCAAAGACATGGACCGCTGTCTGATCGTGTCCGGTCACGTCAGCGGACCCGTGCACGTGACCGGACTGCGCGACTGCGTCGTCGTCGTGGCCGCCCGCCAGGTCCGCATCCACGAGTGCCGCAACGTCGACCTGTACCTGCACTGCGGCAGCCGGCCGATCATCGAGGACTGCAGCGGCATGCGCTTTGCCCCGCTGCCCCACGCCTATGCGAGCCCGGAAGACGAGGCGGCCACGAACCACTGGGACGAGGTGGACGACTTCAAGTGGCTCAAGGCCGACCAGTCGCCCAACTGGAGCATCCTGCCCGAGGACGCTCGCCTGCCCGAGACCGTGTGGACGGGCGCCGTGGCCGGCGCCGGCATGAGCACCGAGGATGTCCTAAAGGCAGTGGGCATTGACAAGAAGTGAAGAGGCGAACGGGTGAAGGAGTGAATGAGTGAATGAGGTCGCTGTACAATAGAAAATAACGGCTGTACTTGTAGCGTGTAGCAGGGTAGCGCTCGTTTCGGTGGAGAAGCGCAAGAGCAATGCTTCCTCCATAGTCGTCAATCGATTCCCATCGCATCTGCCCCCCTCCTCACATCTCCATACTGTCTGTCCCGTCCTGGAGCTTCGGCTGCTGTCCCTGTTCGCCCTGGGCAAAGCGGGCGCCTTCTTCGCGCAGCCGGCCGAGGACGGCCTTTTGTTTCTGTAGGCGCGCCTCGAGCGCCTGCATCTCGGCCTCCTGCTCGGCCACCGTCCGGCTGATGTCGGGCAGCGCCCGGATCTGGTCGCGGGCGTGCTGCAGTTTGTGTCGGAGACTGTCGGTGGCCGTGGGCAGGTCGCGCAGTCCGCCGGCGCCGTCCGCACCGACAGACGCTGCCGTGCCAACACCGCCAGCACTCGCACCGCCCGCACTGCCGCCCGCACCACCGGCTGCTGCCCCCGTGCCGTCCACGCCGGCGCCGGCAGCCGATGCGTGGGGCTGCAGCCGCTCGACAATGGCGGCTAGCTCGGCCGTCGCCTCGAGGTCGTCGGGCGAGAAAGTCTTGGGCAGCGGCAGCGGCATCATCGTGGCAGGCGTCTTGTGTTCTCTCCTTCTGTCTGTAGAGCCGTAGGGTGGGAGGTAGCGGTGGGGTAGGTTAATGTGTGGTAGTCGCTAAAACTTGTCGCAAAGCACGGAAATTCATAGCCAGGAACGCATGCTACAGTTGGGAGATTAGGTATCCGGCTTACCTAATATTATCTTATCCCCTTTTAGGAGCTGGTCCACTTTAGCTGCAAGCTCGGACTATCACATTTAAGCCACGCCACTACTCTGTACTCCGTACTCCGTACATCGCTACACTCTCGTAGAAAGGCGACTTCTGCCGCGGGAATCTTCATCTTGGAGCGTAGCCGTCAGCGGGTGTATTGACGGCGCTCATTGCTGTCTAGCGCTTTGATTGAAATGGGCGGCCCAAGCTTTACTTCTTTGTATGGTTTTGGTATAAACGGGCACTCCTTTACTTTCTCTTGCAAAGGGACTGGTACAGGCCGTTGAATAGGAATGCTAGATACATAAGAGCAAGGATAGTATGCGCCAAGGCGTTTGCAACTGGAGGTTCCTAACAATTCTCTCCCGTTCCACCGATACTGCAACAGTGGCGGGCTTACAACGGAAGCGTCTTCTACAACGCCATAGTCGACGAGAAAATAACAGCGAAGGTTCTGGCAGGCAAAGTTGCCCCCGTACAGATACCATCGGTCTCGGAGGGATCGAAATCACGATGCAGTTGGTGTTGGCAGATCATGTCTTCACAAGTCTACCATTTTCGCTGTATGCGTTTCCAGATGGGTTATTGTCTGGACAAGTATGCACCCTAAACCCTCCGGATTCGGCATGTTGGTGTACAGTTGAGTTTGGGGTGGGCGGTCAGGGGAGGAATGAGCGGTTGAGGCCGTTTAATTACCTTGTTCTTCTTTCATGCTCAAACTAGGATATATTTCACGCAGATTCGGGCCCCAATGTGCGGCGTTACCGTCTTCTCAAAGAATCCATATCTTGAGTATACCAAGCTTTGATCGAATACTCGTAAGCGACAGGCCGCTTCAGGTACCATCGTCATGTTATTCTACATAATACTTTCTATGCCACGAGCAGGATTGCGGGCGTGAGGAAGCGGGCTGGCAGCCGTGGCAAAGCTGCTGCAGCTACTAAAGAGGAGGGGGAAACAGCCGGTCACGCTCGACCGACAGCCTGCTGGCTGATGAGGAGAGCCACCAGAAACAATAGCAAATAAACAGTAGTAATAGTTGTTCTCTTTGGCTACTCTCACCGCGTAATGGAGGTTCGCGAAAAAAACGGCGCAAGGCGGAAAACTATCAGTCCGAGACATAAGGCGAGGCTTATGTCATCTGCCAACTACACGCTTTTTACGAGTACGAGCTCGTATGCGCTGCACCGTGTTAGCTAGCGTTTCCGCAGGGAACGGACGGCCTGTCACAGTGCTATCAGCGGGCTTATCGCGCTGCAACACGCTCTTGTTCTCGCTGTTTTTAGCTTACGACCCCGCCATGATGCCGTGGGGGAGAAAAGCAGTCGACTCTGGTAGTGTGGGAAGACTAATAAGGAGAGAAACAGACGACGGCGATATAGAAAAAAACTCACTGAGGATCAGCTGAGAAAATCACGCAGCTTGCCGTTTTTCCCTCGCAACGTATAAAAGCTTCGACTCGGTTGGAACTGTGTCATTCCGCACCTCCTCCAGCTTAGCACAACAACCACACAAGCGATTGCAAATCGTGCAAGAATCTATATCATCGGAAAATGGCCAAAGTCGAGCAAAATGCCTGTCTCAGTACGTTTCCCGTCCACTTTTTCTTCAGCTGTGGAGCCGATCAACGAGGCCGGAGGGGTGTCCGGGCATGAAATGCAGCGCAAGGATGAACTTGGTGCTGGCGAAGCGGAAAATCGAGTAGCTGCAGGTGGCAGCAGAGATGAGGCTGCGGACAAAGAGAGAGCACTGCCGGAGAGAGAAGAGACAGGGAAGAGTGACGAGAAAGACAAGAGTGGGGAGCGAGACAAGAGCAAGGAGAGGGAGGGCAGTGAAAAAAAAGAAAGAACAGAAAGAGCTCTCCGGCCCGCATCAGACCCCCTCCTCGTCGGCGCATACATGCTTTTCTATCTGGAGGTCGCCTGGCTAATCTTTGTGCTCGTGCGCGCCGTTTCGACGTGAAACAGTCGTCATTGACGGTTGGGGCATTGCATCGGCCGAGTCTCCCAAGAATGGCGACGCCATCGCCGCCGCCGACACTCCCGTGATGGACGCCTTCCGGGCCAGCTCCACCGGCTACACCGAGCTCGAGGCCTCCTCGTTGGCAGTCGGCCTGCCCGAGGGCCTGATGGGCAACTCCGAGGTTGGCCACCTGAACATTGGCGCCGGCCGCGTCGTCTGGCAGGATGTCGTCCGCATCGACCTGTCCATCAAGCAGAACACGTTTGCCGACAACGCTATGATCCACAAGACCCTGGAGGCAGCCAAGAACGGCAACGGCCGTCTGCACCTGTGCGGCCTGGTATCGCACGGAGGAGTGGTGAGTTCCTTTTTTCTTTGGTTTTCTGGAGGGGGGGATCCTTTTATATCTCCACTTCTCGTCCTCCATTCTGCCCCCCTCTTTCTTTCCTTCTCTCCCTCTAACATCCACAGCACTCCAAGCAGGAACACCTGTACGCGATCCTGCGTGCCGCCAAGGCCGCAGGCGTGCCCGAGGTCTACATCCACTTCTTCGGTGACGGCCGCGACACGGACCCCAAGTCCGGTGCTGGCTACCTTAAGGAACTGCTGGAGACGGCCAAGGAGATCGGTACGGGCGAGCTGGCCACGATCGTCGGCCGCTACTACGCCATGGACCGCGATAAGCGCTGGGAGCGCAACGAGCTCGCGCTCAAGGGCCTGATCCTGGGCGAGGGCGAGGCCAGCACCGATCCCGTGGCCACGATCGAGGAACGCTACGCCAAGGGCGAGAACGACGAGTTTCTCAAGCCGATCATCGTCGGTGGAGCCGAGCGCCGCATCAAGGACAAGGACGTGGTCTTTTTCTTCAACTACCGGTCCGACCGCGTGCGCCAGATCACGCAGCTGCTAGGCGATGTCGACCGCTCGCCGCTGGCCGACTTCCCCTTCCCCAAGGATATCACGCTCGTGACGATGACGCAGTACAAGGCCGACTACCCCTTCGAGATCGCCTTTGCGCCGCAGCACATGGGCAACGTCCTGGCCGAGTGGCTCGGCAAGGAGGGCGTCAAGCAAGTGCACATTGCGGAGACGGAAAAATATGCGCACGTGACCTTCTTCTTCAACGGCGGCGTCGAGAAGGTGTTCCCACTCGAGACGCGCGACGAGACCCAGGATCTGGTGCCGTCCAACAAGGCGGTGGCCACGTACGACAAGGCGCCCGAGATGTCGGCAGCCGGCGTGGCCAAGCAGGTGGCCAAGCGCCTGGCCGAGCACGAGTTCCCCTTTGTGATGAACAACTTTGCGCCGCCCGACATGGTTGGCCACACGGGCGTCTACGAGGCCGCCATCGTCGGTGTTGCCACCACTGACAAGGCCATCGGCGAGATCTACGAGGCCTGCAAGCGCGAGAACTACGTGCTCTTCATCACGGCCGACCACGGCAACGCCGAGGAGATGAAGTTCCCCGACGGCAAGCCCAAGACATCGCACACCACCAACAAGGTGCCCTTTGTCATGGCCAACGCGCCAGCGGGCTGGAGCCTGCGTACCGACGTCGAGGGCGTGCTGGGCGACGTGGCCCCGACGGTGCTGGCAGCCATGGGGCTGTCGCAGCCCGAAGAGATGACGGGCAAGAGCCTGCTGGTGAAGGCGTGAGCTTGGGCGCAAACGTGAGCGAGAACGTGAACGTGATCATGGCCGTGGGCAGAGGACCGGGGTCGACCGACCAGTGCCGAGACCACAACGCGGAGTAAAGCGGAGAATTTTCGTGGGAGCATACGATTTACTCGTACCGGTTCGCAGGTATTCTAGAAATACACATGTAGACATCAGCAGACAAAATATGGGCCACCAGCGTGCAGTGACGTCAGCAGACGTGGGGGATGATATTTGTCATCTGTCTTTAGGCGGAGCTGCAGAACAGCACAGCACAGCAGTACTCGTAGAGCCAATACCCAGCGGCTGAAGATCGTCCAAAGGGTCGCGTGGATAGACCGGAAATACCTCAGCCAAGGGGTGATGAACAGCAGTCCATCGGTACACGGCTGCGCATCGCTTAACAAGGGCCGACTCGACGATACGTGCGAACGTACGGGGAATCTTACTCTGTAGTCAGACTGGACGGATTGTGCTTATGTAACCCCAATTTTTTCGTGCCATATGCGCAAGGTTCGCTTATCCCCTGTCGCTGCACTTGCACAGATGACAGCGCCGTGTGGGCGTTCACATGGTGCGATTCCCTAAGTCAGCCCATATGCCAGATCTGATTGGCCGCCGCGATCGACGATGAACAAACGGGGCGCTGGTCCAGCTGCGGACATCGTAAGTAGCAATAGACACGCACCTAGATGCCGTCCAAGAAGATACATCCAAGGTACGGGCTCGGGACCTGGCTGCGTAGGCGTGTCGCCGCCTGCCGCCTGCAAGATAAGATACAATGTGTCGTCCCTTGTCGGCGACGCGCAATCAAAAGCCGCATACGCGCGAGCAGCCTGGTCATCTGGGCCGACGGCCTGCGATGTGCGGAGGCCCTCCGCTGCACACACGCCTTTCGGGGCGAAAATAGGGTGAGGACACGAGATGCGCGCTATAATATAGACGATGCTCCCCTGAAAACTCTGCTCTAAATGTGCCCAGTTTGTATACTGTACGCCATACCGTCCGGCGGGCGCGCCATGTGCTGTGGCCGTGGCGCTGTCTCGCCGCCCAGGCTTCGCTTCCGCACTGTGTCTTTCAGCCCCGAACCTCGATGACCACCAAATCTGCGATCGAGACTGCCCAACGGCCGCTAACACCAGCTGGACCGTGCGCTTGGAAAGCAAGCATCATTACAGACTCGTACTCCGTGTATGCAAACCTGTGAAGGTGGCCCCACCGGCCGTTCTTGCCCTCCCCGGCCACTCTTCTTTCGGTCTTTTTCCATCCATCGGGCTTGCGCTTTCCTTTTCTTTCCACCGCAGCAGAGGACTTGCTGGTTTGACCATGTCCCCATAATAGCTTCTCCCCCCCCCGGCCTTTGTATTTCGACTCTGACATCGTCCAATTTTCATCCTGACCTGTCGAGAAACCGTTCCAACGCCTCGCAATTGTCTTCAATCGTGCACTGCACCCGCCTATTGCGCAATTGTGCAGCATCCACACCCATAACATACAAGCAGCGTCTAGATCGAGGCGATCTTTTCCTGTTTTGTTGGTCTCTTCGCTATATATACACAGTCTATCCCATCTACGGAGTACATATCCCGTATACTTCCCTGCGCGTCCACTCCGTCCCCTGTATCTACCGCTTCTGTTTCGTCGCTGGGCAGGAGCTGAAATGGCATTGCCCTGTATTTCCTTTTGACCCTCTCAAGGAAATATTTCGCTGTAAAAGCCAGGTTGTTGGGTGTCTGACAGCTTCTACACGGCCCGGTTTCAATGTCGTATTTCTAACAGCCTACGCTCTCCGCGAGGCATTAGAACATCGACGGCATACTATTTCGAAAGAAGCAAGAAAAGGAAAAAGAAAAAAAAAATAACAACAAAAGAGGTTCCGTCTTCTTCCGCTATGGCCGACAAAGGAAGGCAATCTCACGTCCGAACCTCACCCGCGACCTCCCGCCATTCATCACACCAGCAGCAGCAGAAGGAGCAGAAGGTTGATCAGGCGTTGTCCATCGACGCGCAGTCGGTGCGCCAGCGCCAGCGCCGGCATGCCCTCGATGGACCCGATCATGTCAAGGTAGCCGGTGACGAGCCGACATCCTCCCCACGCGCCTCCAAGATCGTAGCCGACAAAATGTCACATGAAAAGAGCCCCACTGGCGACAGCAGCGGCCCCAGTTCAGACGAAGCCAAGAACTGGTTCGATTGCGCGAATCGAGATCCCACGATCGCATTGGCCGGCTCTACTTCTATGGATGGTAGGTCGCTCTTTTCTCCCTTTGGTCGACAGTGTGTCTTCGGGCCATTGCATAGGCTGACAGCTGGGACTTCATCCCATGACAACAGTCGAACCGCTATTTTTTCAGAAAGATTCCGATTCATCTGCCGACGACGACCGCATCAATGCCGCCGCCGCGTCACAAGACGACCCGTACCCTATGATACCGCCGGCACCCGAAACCCCGTTTCTCGCGCAAGGCTTTACCCGCCAGACGACCAGCAGCGTGACCGAAGATTACCGAAGCGTCATCGACGACCTTACTATTGAGAACAAGCGTCTCAAGGAGGAGCTGAAGCGCTATCGCCAAAGCGCCGGTCGCGATGTCCTCGAGAAAGAAAAGCTGTTTGAAGTCAAGCTGCACGGCCTTCCACGTCGCAAGAAGCAGGAGCTTGAAGCCACGCTACGCAACTTTGCCGCTAGCCTCGGTACGACCAGCGCCTCCGGCGAGTCCAAGTCTACCTCTCGACATAAGCGCGAGAAGTCGGCGTCATCCAAGCACAAGAGCAACGTCGGCATATACTCACTGGCTGGCGCTAGCTCCAAGCATGCCTCCACCTCCTCGTCGCGGTCGCGGCCTGTTGATTCGGCTTATGCATCTATGTCGACTGGTGCCCATTCGTCCGGCGTCGCGTTAGCCCGGCCATCGTTTGGAGGCCCGCAGGCGCGGACGTCGGAGCAGAAAGTCGAGCGCTATCTGCAAGACATTCCCGAGGGTCTGCACCCAAACTACGGCCTTCGGGCGCTCAGCGACAAAGACAAGAAAAAACTTATCGTACGACGATTAGAGCAGCTGTTCACCGGCAAGATTAGTGGCCGATATGCTCGCCGCAATCGAAGCATGCTTCCACCAACAGACGGCACGCCAACAGCCCATGATACGACTTCTGGATCTGGAACGGGACCTGGCTCGGGCGTTAGCGCTGCTGTCAATGCTCTTCCTGGCTCTGGCCAGCCTCCGAATTCTCTTACTTCGCCAATCGTTCTGGGTTGCTCCATGCCCCCTAGTGAACCGACGCGGGAAGCTCTCATTCAGTCTCGACAGAACAACCATAAGAGACATAGTTCTCGTGATCACTCACTTTCCAATTCGAATTCCAACGGAGACGAGGCCGGCAATGGAAATGGCAGCAAAAGTGTAAGTCGCAGTGCAGGCCATTGGAGTGGGAATGGCAACGGGAATGGCAATGGGAACGGGAACGGAAACGGAAACGGAAACGGCAAGTCACCAACGAATGGCTCTTTGCCAGAGCAGCGACCTACTCGACCTCTCGATCTCGATCCGGACAGGGTACAAATTCCTGCGGAGAACATGGAGTATATTCGCCACCTTGGTCTAGTTCCTCCCGAAATTGGGCATGCAGACGAACAGCTTGCCATTGACATGGCTCCCGATGTCGACGGCTGGGTCTATCTCAATCTGCTGTCCAACCTGGCGCAGCTGCACATATTCAACGTCGCACCGGACTTTATCCGCAAAGCTATCGTAGAGAAGAGTACCAAGTTCCAGCTGTCGCCTGACGGCCAGAAGATTCGCTGGCGGGGTGGCACTGACGGCACTAAATTCAGCAGCGATGGCAGCAGCGGAGAAAATGGCACCCAAAACCAATCTACCGACGAGGGCGATGGATCAGACAAGAATGGCAGGCGGAACAAGGCGAAGACATCTGGAAATGGTTCTGCATCAGTTTTGTCCAGCAGCAAGAAGCAGTCCAGATCTGGGCCATATGCATCCAAGACGTCGTCAAGCTTCCACTACAAGCCGCTGTTCGTCCATCAGACCTCGGTTCCCCTGACGTCTGTCGAAGACCTGGCCTCGCAAAGCTCGGGCGATATAGGCTGCAGCATTCCTGCGGCAACAATCAACAACAGCAACAGCAACGAGTCCAGATCAGACAAGGATATGTCCGGGTCTTCGTCCCACCGCCAAAGACGGATCTCGGACGGGGTCCTGGTCTACTACACTGGCGCTCCGTTCTGCACCGATTTGGCCGGCGACAGTGGCGGCGACACGAGTCCAGCCACGTTCGTAACGTCCTCTGGCCAGACCCGGGATTCGGCGCTGAGCAGCGCTGAATCTACCCAGTCGGCCAGGCCATTGTGTCGGACCACGTCTGGCGCTCGCGTCCAGCTTCGGCCTCTCACAGACTTCTCGACCCTTTCGAAGGAGGAACTGGCAGAGATTGGGCTGAGTAGCGATGACGACGGTGACAGCACTTTGAGCACAACTGTTCCACCTGACGAGCCAGAGCTGCAGTTGCTGGACGATGCAGAATCGGACTACTGGCCAGTGGAACCAGAGGAGCCATTTCTGGAGGCATCGGGCATCGGCCGTGTGTTCCCAGAAGATCACTTTTCCCTGGTCGTGACGACAAAGCGGCCTGTGCGTGCCGCCAGCAGCAACAGCCACGATGGAAATACTGTTTCTGATGACGACGGAAACGACGAGGATGCGGAACATGCCGAGGGAGTGTTCTCTATGAGTTCCCTTATGAAGCGTCTGGCGGCACTGAAACGGCAGTCTGCCCCCATTTCAGGGGCTGTGCCGAAACGACCGCGGTTACATGCGTCTGGTGTCAGGATCGAATATGTCTCGGCGAAGATGAGGTACCGGGAGCCTGTTCCCCTGCCTCCACCGGTGGCGTTTTATCGGTCATTAAGCACGAGCTCGGAGTCAGGCTACGACGAAGCCTCAATGAGTTCGTTGGGCGAGGAGGACGAAGATGAGAGCATGCTGGCATCATCATCCGAGGAGATGATTTCGCGACGAGCGAATCCCCACCAGTCGGACAACCACCCGTCGCCGGCATCGCTGCCGTTGGCTATGTCTGGTGACAGTAGCGATGTGGAGGCGGAGGCGGAGTCTATGGAGGTGGACAGTACTGGTGGTTTTTGAAATTCAATGTATTAGGACCGGAGCCCTCCCCGGTTGTCTTTTTCCGGGATTATGAAGGCTATGATAATTTCTTGCTAGGTGTTTGGGATATGGGAAGATAGGGTCTGGAAAAGGATATGGGGAGGGGATGAGCGCTACAGTGTGAGATAGTCCACCAAAGGAAATCCGCTGTATACTTATGGGAAGTCTCTCGCAGGAACGGGAGGAGTGCGAGAGGGACGTCCGGATAGAATATATGTCTGCTGCAGACGAAGCATTAATACGATTCTAAGCTGCCCCGCTGCAATGGACGATTCTGCCCCTAGACACCGCCAAAACTGGCGAAGAAAGCAGGCCATCACCATAGCTCGCCGATACAACGGCCCCTCTCTTGTTCGCCGTGTCGAGTCTTTTCTTGCGCCGAATCAATCTCCGATTTCGATCGAACCGACAATGGCGACCAAGAGCAGCGGCAAAGAGCCGGAAGCGTGAGTGCGGTACATGATGGCCGGTGTGCAAGGCGTTTTGCCCCGCCAAGTCTGTCTGGTTGTCTGGTAGCAGCATAGACTGACAAGCTTTGGTAGATCCGACGAAGTGCCTACGAACCCGCGTGGCATTCCACGGGCGCCCTTTGTCGACCGGGTCGAGGACTACGTGGCCTCGCGGGACGACGTCGAGCCGACGCTGCGGCGGTTCCAGGAGATGATATCGTGGGGATCCCCTGTCCCGACGCAGCTTTGCTGCAACGTCCTCCCGTCTTGACACGTTTTGCGCTGACGCCTCTGTGCGGGCAGAAAGTACCAGTTCATGGAGTCCAACCTTCAGCGCCGTGTAGCTGGTCTGGACGAGAAGCTGCCGGACATTCAGAAGACGCTGGACACGGTGCGGTTCCTGCAGCTGCAGAGGAAGAAGGGCGGGTCTCAGTCGGGCGCGGACTCGGATGCGGAATCAGACGACGGCGACGCAGCCATCGAGACGACGTTCGAGCTCAACGACACGCTGTACGCCAAGGCGACTGTGCCGCCGACCGACGAGGTGTATCTGTGGCTGGGGGTATGTTGTTGTTGTCGCCCACCCTGACCTACGGCCCTCGAGACTGACGGGCGCTGCTGCAGGCCAATGTGATGCTGGCATATCCCATCGACGAAGCCGAGACGCTGCTGCGGCAGAAGCTGACGACGGCCCAGACGACGCGGCGCAACTGCGAGGAGGACCTGGAGTTTCTACGGGAGCAGATCACGGTGGGTCCTTGCCGGCAGCCGGCTGCCACAGGCACCGGCCGTCTACGCCTCCTTTCACCGACAATCATTGCTGACAGGCGCAGACGATGGAGGTGGCCCTTGCGCGAGTGTACAACTGGGACGTGGTGCAGAAGCGGAAAGAGAAGGAGGGCGAGGCGGCAGCAGCCAAGGACGGCAAGGCTGTCGCGGGGTCAGGTGGCTAGAGCAGGAAGAGGAGATAGATGCCGGAAATGAAAGCGCACGAAAAAAGGGCCAAAAAAGGGGGAGACGCGCATGCGAGGAAGCTGGGGTGGTCGTCTGTGTGGATGTCTGTGCCAATAGCTCGACTTTCTGTCCCACCGCAACTTTACAGCAAGGCTTCCCAGATAACAGAGGCCTGGAAATGCGGGGCGACCGGCTGCCGTGAAATGGGCAGGTGGCCAGACGAGAGCGAGAGAGGGCGAATAGAGGGGGAGACGGGCCTAAAAATTCAGCGGTCTGGGTCCCTCTTTACGTCGTATTTTTTTTTCCCACTGATGACGGAAGGGCAGCAGCCGCCAGGAGAAGGAAGGCGCCAGCCAGGCCCCTAATATAACGAGAAAATCAGTAGCCCATTTTCCCTTCTCCTCCCCCATCTCCTCCTTACGACGACAGCCGCTGTTTCTGCATCCTGCATCCATCTCGCGCTCGAGACTGTCCATCTGTCCTCTCCGTCCTGCTCCTTCTGCTCACCCTCCCTATTTACCGCCTTCGCGTCAGCCAGCCAGCCAGCCAAGATGACAGACAAGACAGGTGGCATGGAGCTTGCTCCCAAGTACGACGACTACGACTATCCCATCGTGGCGCCCAACGCGCAGAGCGGCCATCCCGGCCAGGTCAGCGAGCAGCAGCAGGCCCAGGTGCACCAGCTGCGGTTGATGCTCGAGGCCGAGGGCTACACCAAGCGGCTGGACACGTTGACACTGGTATGTCGTCTCCCGCTTGCTGCTGCGTGCTGTATCACGACGGCCGTGTGAGCGTGCTCTCCTGCTAACGTTGATGCTGCTGCTGCCAGCTCCGGTTCCTGCGGGCTCGCAAGTTCGATGTCGCCCTGGCCAAGAAGATGTGAGTTTGGTGAATAGGGGGCGGGAAGAAGGAGGGAGAAGAGGGAAGAAAGAAGAGGGAAGAAAGAAGAGAGAAAACAATCTGAGGGGAAGAAAGAGTGCTTGCTGACGGTCTAGGTTCGTCGACTGTGAGACGTGGCGGAAAGAGACCAACCTCGACGATCTCGTCCCGACGTGGGAGTACACTGAGAAGGAAAAGGTCTTTGCATTCTACCCGCAGTACTACCACAAGACCGATCGGGTACGTATCCCCCTTTTCCCCGTGGTCCCTTGGCCAGGCTGGCGGTGCCGGTGCTGACTCTACCCTCCAGGACGGTCGCCCGCTCTACATTGAGCAGCTCGGCGGCATCGATCTCACGGCCATGTACAAGATTACGACTAGCGAGCGCATGCTGACTAATCTGGCGGTCGAGTACGAGCGTCTGGCGGACCCGCGGCTGCCGGCATGCAGCCGCAAGGCCGGCCACCTGCTCGAGACCTGCTGCACGATCATGGACATGAAGGGCGTGGGCATCTCCAAGGCACCGCAGGTGTACGGTTACATCCGCCAGGCCTCGGGCCTGTCGCAGAACTACTATCCCGAGCGCCTGGGCCGCTTCTACCTCATCAACGCGCCCTGGGGCTTCTCGGGCGTCTGGTCCATGATCAAGGGCTGGCTCGACCCCGTCACCGTCGCCAAGATCCACATCCTCGGCAGCAGCTACCAGAAGGAGCTGTTCGAGCAGGTCCCGCCCGAGAACCTGCCCAAGCGCTTCGGCGGCCAGTGCGAGTGCCCCGGCGGCTGCGAGCTCTCCGACATGGGCCCCTGGCACGAGGACGAGTGGTTCCGTCCAGCCAAGTGGGCTCGGGAAGCCACTGCGGCTGCCGACAAGTCGGCAGAGGCTGGTGCCGGTGCTGTGGAGGGCGTCACACTTGAGGTCCCCGGTGATGCCGTCGGCGAGGCCACTGACAAGGCAACGGCTTAGAGGCTGAGCAATATATTGGCAGACCGGCATACACCTTTGCTAGAGTTCTTGCTGCGGCCTTCTCTCATCCTGTCGTCTTTTTGGTTGGCTTTTTTTTTTGCTTTTTTAAAAACTCCTTGGTCAATGCTATCATTTTTCTCTCTACCACTCCTGACCTGTCTGTCTGCCGCCTCTTCTCCTCTACTCACCTGCCTGTCCCGTACGTTGCTGTCTGTTTTGGGATTTTGTGTGGCCGCAATCACGGACTCTTCTGGCCGGCTTCTACTTCTTTACCCCCCCCCCCCCCCTCTCCTCCCCCCTACATTCCATCTACCTTTTGGACTACGCAATTGTGGAAGAACAGAACAGCAAACAGAAACATACTCAGAAGCTTGCACCCGTATATCGATTCAGGCAGAGGCGGCAATGCCTGGTAGGAAGGGCTTGAGGTGGAAATGGAAAGCAATACATAGACTAGGGAGGCTTGGCTATATGCCTAGAGTTCACATATAGACGGCATTCTGTCTTGCAAAAAAAACGTATCGTTTGTACTTTGTGGTTGTCTGTGGCCTGGAGGCCGGGTGATACAATGTGTGTCCCTGGTATCGTGAAATGCAATCCACCCCAACGCCGTTTGTGTTTCCCGAAGCATTTGGTCACTCCGAATGCTCTCCATTTCACCTCTCTGCTGCAGCATAATCGCCGGCCACTCTGGCCCGCTCCATGCGCGCCACAGTGGCCGGCATTGCCTGTTTGAGTCGTCCGAGTCCGGTGACGGCCTGGGCGAACGCCGTCGCCACTGCAGCCGTGTTGTTGTTGTAGTTGTTGCCGTTCTGGCGGGCGGCTGCGGCGACCTCTCTGGTCCAGATCTCCTCCTCGGCCGCGGCAGCAGAAGCAGCAGCAGCCGCCGTGACAGCGTCTGCCGTGGCCGTGTCAGCAGCGACGGCCGATTCGAGGCGGCGAGCGTGTGCGCGCACGGCGGCGGGTGGCACGCGGCGCTTGAGGGCGGCGATGTCGCGCAGGAGGTCCTCTTCTTCGCGGGCGAGGTCCTCGACGCGCTGGCGCTTGCGGCCGTCAAAGGGCTCGTAGGCCTCGTCCTCGTCGTCTTCGTCGTCGCTGTTCTTGGCCGGACCGCCAAAGTACGGGTCCGTGTCGACGGGCAGGCCGTTGATCGTCAGGTTCGGCGCCGCGAGCGCGTACGTTCGACGGATGTACTGCTCCGGTCAGCTTCCCCGTCTTTTTCGGTTGTCCGCCTTTTTTCTCTTTTCTTTTCTTTTCTTCTTTCTTCTCTTCTCTCCTCTTCTCCCCTTCTCCCTCTCCTTCTCCCCTCGCTCACCTCATTCACAAGCGCCTCCACGCGCGTGTGCAGATCGTCCGCATCGTCGCCTGGCGACTTCTTCCGGCCCTTGGCCCGCGCCTTGCTGCCGTTCGTCTTGTCCGTGGCATCTTCGACTGGTGGGAAGGCTGCCGCCACGCTCTCCGCCGCTGCCCGCCGCACATTCCGGGCCAGGTAGGCAAAGTCCTCGGGCGACTGCAGCTCAATCTTCCGGTGGTATGCCGCCTCCATCGTTGCGAAGACGGATGCAGGTCGGCAGAGCGGACGGAAACGCTGCTGCCTCAACGCGTTAGAGTGTCGAGGCTGGCGCGTGTTTACCACAGGAACCAAAATGCTACTTTGCTGCAAATTGTGGTCCGTGCGCTGATCGATGTGGCTTCTAGCCGCCAAACATAGTGGAGAAGATGCAAGACATGTGACATCACTTGAACAGCATGAAAGCATCTCCTCCAAGAGCGCGCACTTTAAAACAGACATCGTCTCTTGAAAGGTACTATATAAAGACACGAAACGCACAAGATAAACGTGAAAACAATCGCACCAGCAACAGATCAGACATAGACTCCGAATCCCTAATTTACGCCGTCTTCCGGTCATCCTGCTCCGGCTCGCTCTGCGAAACCGTACACAGGCCAGGAGCCTTTCCAAAACGCAATGCCAAATATTCACTCGCCCCTTCCCTCCTGCCGCCAAAGGCTATGTAAGTGTAAGGATAAAAAAAGGTGCAGAGAAGCATGTAAAGTGCTGTGTAAGGATGATAAGCGAGGGCCGACAGTAGGAGAGCGAATGGTAATGTGAAGATGGCATCCATCTCTGTACTGCCAAGTTCTTTCGCAGCCTTACGGAATACGACCCTCCCTCCATCCCCCGCACAATTTGTGTAAAGGAGTCAAGCGTCATGCTGGGAGTTTGTATATGATCGAGTGGCGTAGACGGTTGTTGCTGTAAAAAAAAGGAAAGAAGAAGCTCGGACATGGCAGTTGTGCGTAACAGCCACGGCGCATGTACTCCAGTGTAGTTAGTCGGCCATTGCTTATTTGGGGAACATGTCAGCAATTTCCTCGTCACTCAGGACGATTTCATGCACTGGTTCCCGCCGGTTCTCGAGTGGGGTATAGTCAAAGTCAATGTAAGAAGGGACGAATATTTCTGTATGTGAGTCTCGAATCAGCAAGCTGCTACAGGTATGGGGAGACGTCTGAGCCAGGAGGCGGCTTACCAGGATTCCATGTGAACCCTTGGCTCGACGAAAGATACGAGATCTGGATGTGGGTGTTAGATGAAACGGGATCCGATTTCCCCGCTCTGCAGTGCCGCGGTCAGATTGTTACGTACCAGACGCGGAGGACCATCCGGGTCGCCGATATTGATCACTTGGGCCTCCTGTTTGGAGATAGCAGAGCCTGTGGGAGTCTATTAGTCATGGTATCGCGGGGATGAGGAAGAGAGGAAGAGGACGTACTCAGCAGACTAGGCCGACGCTGGTAAAACATCCGCTGCTTTCGGGTGCACAGTGGCGACTGAGACAAGACGGAGGACGACTTGGAAGGCGACCCCGAGTAGTCGGAAGATGAGGCAAGAGACGAGGCAGGCGAGTGTGCAGAGGACGTCGAGGAGGAGGGAGACATGGCCGTAGAGGCGTGCGGGCCGGAAGAGGAGCCCACGCCAGCGTCGATGGAGCGAAGTTGGTGGCGGTGGTGGCGGCGAAGATGGTGGTGGTGGCTGGGGCCGCCGCCAGAAGATGACGCCGTAGGAATGGCGATGGACGAAGACATGGTCGCTACGCAGGACGGAGGCTTTGCAGTCGAGATCGGAAAGCGACGCCCGACCGACCGACAGGAGAGGAGTACGGAGTACTGGAGATCGCTTTGACCAGTGGCGGGGATAGGCAGTGGGGCACAAGGTTGACAAGAGACAGAAGCAGAGAGGCTGGAGACGACGATGTGTGTTGGGGTCTGTGATGGGAGAAGAGTGAGGCAGGAGAAGGTGGTAATTTAAATGACGAGGCAGCGAGCAGTCGGATCGGGGGGAAATGAGGAACACGAGGAGACGGGGCGAAACAGCACAAGGCTTGAACAGGGCCGAAGCTATGACGCAGGGGGGTGTTCTTTCGACACAAGGCCAGAGGGGAATGGGAAGCCGAACAGAAGTGAAGGCAAAGAGGCCAAGGGAAGAGGGAGAAAGGAGGACGAGAGAATAATCCGAATGTGTCCAGCTACATAAAAATAATACAAGCCGACGACTGCTCCGGTCATACCCAAAGTCACGTTTGCTGGTGTGACTCTTGCCGTCCCCTCGTTCCTTCCTTTGCTCTGCCTGATAGTACTCGTACGGACTTGTATGGCTGCTAGGGTGCGACCCCCCATCCTTAAGTGGGCCTCCAGGCTGGGCAGCAGCTGTAACTGTTCCGTCTACGGGCGGCCACAAGTACTCACAGCGACACGCCCCACATTTCTTCTCCCCACTGTTCGCTGTTCGCCCTCGTGGATCAGCCTATGGGGGTCGTTCAAGCGCAGCGTTGGGCCGTACCCAGGTTGACCGATGGGCGCGCTCGAGCAGACGTCCGACTGTAGCTGCTGCCCCGGCCACGGCTTATCGGTGTCGGCCAGGCTAGTCATGCATCGAATCCACCGCCAGCCATGGTCGCTAGCGTGCTGAGACGCCCCGCTTTTTACGAAGTCACGTGCTATTGCGAGAGAAAAGAGAGAAAGTGGTGGCGCAGGTGTATGTGGCTGGTGCTCTCAGCCCGGTTCTCAGGCTGACAACGGCCGCGTCGCTGCTTGGATCTGGGCCAAAATGCAAGATCCTCTGTCTGCTGGGTCTGCGCTTCACACAGCTGCCCACACCACACCACCTCCAACGACGAAACGGGCGACGCTGATCTGAGCCTCTGTCCTTGACCGGAAACGACGCCCTGTCCGAATTGCTCTTCGACGTTCCCCCTCCCCCGCCACGCGTTCTGTCGTCCTCCCTTGGGCCACAGCCAGCTCCGCGATCATGGGCGACGTCCTCCTCGAAACGCCGGCCAGCAGCCATGCGGCCCCGTTCAAGACGGCAGCCCTCTCGACCATACCAGGGCTGGGCAACTTTGACGGCGTGGTGAGCGAGAATGGCGACGAGTATGCGACGCTCAAGAAGCTGCAGGGCCAGCTCGAGTACATCCAGCTGCAGGAGGAGTACATCAAGGACGAGCAGAGGTGAGAGAGCGCGAGCAAGAAGGCGAACGAACGAGAGAACGAGAGAACGACAGCATGGTCTGACAGCAGCAGGAGCCTCAAGCGCGAGCTCGTCCGCGCACAGGAGGAGATCAAGCGGATCCAGAGTGTACCGCTGGTGATTGGGCAGTTTATGGAGGCGATCGACCAGAACACGGGCATCGTGCAGTCGTCGACGGGCTCCAACTACGTGGTGCGGATCCTGTCGACGCTGGACCGGGAGCTGCTGAAGCCGTCGTCGTCGGTGGCGCTGCACCGGCACTCGAACGCGCTGGTGGACATCTTGCCACCCGAGGCGGACTCGTCGATCGCGATGCTGGGCAGCGACGAGAAGCCGGACGTGACGTACGCCGACGTCGGCGGGCTCGATATGCAGAAGCAGGAGATCCGCGAGGCCGTCGAGCTGCCGCTGACACAGTTCGACCTGTACAAGCAGATCGGCATCGACCCGCCGCGCGGCGTCCTGCTCTATGGGCCTCCCGGCACCGGCAAGACGATGCTGGTCAAGGCCGTGGCCAACTCGACCACGGCCAACTTCATCCGCGTAGTCGGCTCTGAATTCGTCCAGAAATACCTCGGCGAGGGCCCCCGCATGGTCCGTGACGTCTTCCGCATGGCCCGCGAGAACGCCCCGGCCATCATCTTCATCGACGAGATCGATGCCATCGCCACCAAGCGCTTCGACGCCCAGACCGGTGCTGACCGCGAGGTCCAGCGCATCCTGCTCGAACTGCTCAACCAGATGGACGGCTTCGACCAGACCGCCAACGTCAAGGTCATCATGGCCACCAATCGCGCCGACACCCTCGATCCCGCCCTTTTGCGGCCCGGCCGCCTCGACCGCAAGATCGAGTTCCCCAACCTTCGCGACCGCCGCGAACGCCGCCTCATCTTCTCCACCATCGCCTCCAAGATGAGCCTCGCCCCCGAGGTCGACCTCGACAGCCTCATCGTCCGCAACGACCCCCTGTCCGGTGCCGTCATCGCCGCCATCATGCAGGAGGCCGGCCTACGCGCTGTTCGCAAGAACCGCTACAACATCATCCAGGTCGACCTGGAGGACGCCTACTCGAGCCAGGTCAAGACCACCAGCGACGAGAACAAGTTCGACTTTTACAAATAGATCATGCTCAAGCAGCTACGAGGCCGAGACCCGGCCGGAGGAGAGCCTCCTCCTCACACTTGTACATTAAGGCGCTTGATTCCTTTGACTACCAAAAAAAAAATACTTTTTGTATTCCTCCTTGTGCTTTTCCCGTCTGCCCGTCATCCTTGACGCTCTCGGCATGCACACAATGCTTCCTGTGACCTTTTTTTTGTCCTACCTACCGGCTCTTCCATACCCGCATCCAAGTATACATTATCCAGACACAAGGCCCAGTGCAAAATCAACCGTATGTTCTCCAGATATGCAATAGCCTATATACACAGCCCATCCAATGCCACTAGGGTATATCCGACTTGACTTTCCAGGTCCTTGTTCTAGAACAACAACCCTTTTCCGGTGTCGCCGTAATCACATCAACGCCATACATTAAATAGTACATGCAATACGGCAGCGCCCACTTGGCCTGCCAAAACAAGTCTGCCGTACTGCTATTAGATAAAATGGTCCAAAAGGGGACCCCAAGGATATTATGCGCTCAGCATCATGCCAAGCTCCAGCAGAAGCGTGACAAAGCGTGCATGAAGCTCGATGAAGAAGTCAGGCTTGCCCAAGATCTCGGGCAGCCCGCGCGCACGGAGAGACGAGATTGAAGAGCTGCCCAGCCCACCGAAGCCAGCATAGCCTGGGCCCATTCTTCGCGACAAGCCATTGCCCGCAGCAGCAAGAAAACTGCTGCCTTGGCTTGCAGGGCTGTCGTTGACTACTGACGACGGCTGCGTCGGCGGAGGAGACATCGGAGCGTTCGGCGCACCCAGAGGATAGCCGGTCACGTGAGCCCCCACCGCGGGAGTGTTGGTCCCAGAACGCGAAGAGGCATTGGCAGACTCGGACTGGGGAGCAACACGTTCGGCCTCGGCATCGGCCAGCTGCTGGATCCAAGTGGCGAGCTCGTGAAACGCCGCCGACACGAAGCCAAATGCCTTCATTGCCAACCGCTCCCGAGACGTGCTCAAGGCGATGAGGGCATACACGCGCTTGTGGCCGCGTGCGTGAACGTCAGACACACGGAAGACATGCGCCGTCGTGTAGCCAGCAGTCGGATCGCCGAAGAACAGAGGACCACCATTCGCCGTAGCTGCTGCCGCTGCTGCATTGGCAGCGCCGTGCGGGGAGGATGCAAAGTGGGACATTGCCGGAGACGGCTGCCCCATGTGGCCAGCAGGCCCGGCTCCGGCAGAAGCTGCAGCACTCGACACAGAGCTGCGAGGAAGAGTTTCGAGAGTGAGGGTGCGCAGACAAGAGGCGCGGATGATGTAGTATGTGTTGACGGTGGTCGGCTCGTGGGTGGATGTGTAGTCGATAAAGTGTGTGTGGCTGTTGATTAGCCGAGAGGCAGAAGAGGAGGTACTAGACCTCGACGTAGTAGCCGAGTTCATGGTGCCAGTCCGTTGGTGGTGGCGGCCTTGGCTGTAGTACCGGGAAGGAGGTCGCTCTTCGCTTTCGGTGTCCGACGACGACGAAGATACGGAGGGCGATGAGTGTGGGAAGTGGGAGTTCTCGCTCGGTGCCCCGTCATAAATGCGCGCACATGGGACACGGGTTCGCAGGGTGGGCTTGCGCGAGTCAGCAGCACCAGAGTCTTCAGTACCGTTGGCGGGATCCTGTTTCCGGCATGGGAGAGTCATCGCGCAGTTATCGCAAGGAATAGCACGCTTGGCCACAGAATCGTCGTAGGTTTTTCGAAAGTGGCTGCTGGAGTCGGCGGTCGCTTCTGCGGGAGTAGAGGGTGGTGCTGTTGACGTCACCGATCGAGGGGTGGAGCGGTTGGGCGTGCCGTTGCGGCGAACTGATGAGGCAGCCGAAGAGGGATGACTTTCTGCCCGACTTTCAGGTTCCGGCTTTGCAGCCGAGCTTGAAGAGCCACGCCGAGGCGGGGCAAGCTTCATATTTTGGATGGCCGTGGCCACAGCAGTGGATGCGGCTGCATGTGCAGAGGATGCATTTGAGGCAGAAGAAGAGCCCACAGCCTGACCGGCAACCACAGCTGCAGCGGCCGTGACGGCAGCGATCAGGTCAGGCACGCTTCCACGGTCATCGCAGGTGCTGCATTTGACTGGCAGGCCTTCGGTGACCATCAGCGGCGTTGGGCCATGGACCTCGCAGAAGTGAGCAAGACATAGCTGAAGGTTCGATATTAGTATCATATTAGCAAATGCTAGCGCCTTCGCGGCGCTAATAAAAGAGCAGAGCAAGAGAGCAAAACAAAAAAGCAGGCTGGAGATGTCGGGTGGGACAGATGCAGGCAAGAGCACACTTGGGCTATGTGGAGGGAATGCGAGCGGATGCGACGGGTATAAACGAAAGGATTTGGTCTATAAGACGGAAATGCAAGTGCATGACTGAGCAGTGCAAAGTCAGCGCATCCTTAGTCGGATGGGGTGGGATCAGCGCGCAGAGTGATGAGTTGTTCGGGAAGTCCCATGGACCAAACAAAAGTGTCAGATATCGTTTGTGGCCCTGCTAATATTGGGCGAGGCGCGTGCAACATGCGTTTGGCCACCCTCCATGATAGCTGGCCGTCGAGCCTCGATATAGTTTTCTGCGACGTACGTCGTAGTGGTTGTCCGCAGAGAGTGGGGGCAATATGAGGACACAGAACAGGGGAGCGGACCGGGGGGAAGAGCTGTTGTTTGTTGGAGATAGGAGCACAAGTGGGGGTTTGATGAGATGCAAACGAGTGGCCAAGCAGACGCCACATTTGGGTTTGTGTACGGGCTGAGAAACAGGAAGCGGATGGCTGCCTCCGGCATGTTGTGAAGCGTGTGATTGTGTAGCAGCAGCGGCGCAGCTGCAAATGCCGCAGTTTGAGCTGCTAACGGACCTTGTTGGAGAGGCTCGTTGGTTCAAAACAAGGCTCACAAGCGTGCGCCCTGGGTAAGGCTCTCAGTAAGGTGAGAGGCGGTGAGACGGCAGAGATAGGGAGGTGGCGTGGGGTGTATGTATGTCCCACAAGGAAGCGGCAGATGGGGCGACATAGAGAGGGCGGCTGGCCGGAAGAGGAAGACAAAACAGCAATGGCAGAAAAAGAAATGTGGCGCGAGCGTTGATTCGATGTCGTGAATAGGGTGCCGGCGAAGTCGTGTCATATTGGCCGGGGGTCTGAGCACGCAGGACAGCTGCGTGCGGCTGTCGAAGTGGCCCCGTCCGAGAGCAGAGGCCAGGAGGAAGGAGGGAGACGAGAGGGAGACGAGAGGGAGACGGGAAAATCCCGTTGGAAGAACAAAAGGACAAATGTGGTTGTGACGAATGACGAAAGCAGGATAGAAAATTGGGGTTGGGGCGCAGAATCGGGTGAGACTGAAGACTGAAGACTTACAATCGACGTCATGGCAGAGACGCCCAGCTATCTCATCAGTTGCAAAAGACCAGCAATTGCTGAGAGGTTCTGCTGGACGCGCAGAAACGGTGTGATGTGAGGGGAGACTGAAGAGCTGTGATGCTTCGGGCTTAAAAGGGCGGAATGTGGAAAGTGACCGGAAGGCAAGCAGGTGCTTCCGCGGCCGGGTTGTAGTTAATACTCCTGGCCCTGGCAGCTATTTTTTTTTTGGCAGGAGATAGGAACAGTCCCGGCAAACGGGAATAGACAGGCGAGATTCGGAGCAAGAAGGCGGGGGGTTTGGAGAAGCTAAGCCGGGTGGAAAGGGAAGGAGTGATCAGAAGCGAGAGCCGGGTGGTTCGACCGAGCTTCTTGGTGTAACAAGATGCGAATCTGGAGGGAAGGAGCCAGAACGGGAGGGGGCGGAAAGGCCGATTTATCAGGCAGAGCAGAGGAGATCTGTAGGCAATGCGAAGAAGAAACAAAAGAACGTAGCTGCAAGGGGTGGTGTGCTGCCGGGTAATTTGTAAAGATTTCGTACTCTAGTTTTATTTTTATTTTATTTTTTATTTTTTTTTTACATACGAGTAGCTGCAGGTCATTTCGAAATAGAAGCCGGCAGGGCGGGGTTGGCTTTTCCCTGCGGGTGTTTAATAACAAAGAGCCGACGATTAGTTCTTTTTCCTTTAGAGTCTTGTTCTCTGGGTCGCTATGTGGAGATGTTTAGCCCCAGTCAGGGTATGCCGATTGACAAAAAAGAAAGGACCCATCGAAGAAGGGGGGCCGGTCGATTGGGAATATGGGAATAGTCGTAGGTGCGGGTGAGCGTATGAGCTGTTTCCACTACCACTTTTTTCTGGCCGCTCACCGGAGATCCTTCGTATGTACGGAGAGCACGGTCTCCGTTGAGAAACGACTAGAGTCAGGTCTTGGGACGACTAACGGCATCGGCATCCAATGGTTTTCGTGCAAGGTCCAAGGGTCCTGGCCGGGGCTTCCTTGGTTTCCGGGCTTTGGTCCATGGCCGGTTTGCAGCTCTTGCCGGCGAACGGCCGAGTCTGGATCTGAACCGCTGGGCTGCTTGCATCTATGCGGTGAATCTCGGTAAAAAGAAAGGTGAGTGTGGAACATTCCCACTGAACATTCTGGTGTATATTTTCTTTTCTTTTTCGCTGTCTTAGAAGGGGAAACAATGGCGGCCTCCTGTTTGCGGGAAGCTGTGCGCAAAGCTATCGTACAGCATGCCTGGGGTGGTGCTCGTAGTGTCGGGTGTGGAGGCGGCTATGAGTCTAGTCCGGTCTGCGAGTACGAGTGCGAGTGGACATGCGGCGAGCCTGCTTCAGGAACAGGCTTACCGAGCGTGGAGTGCTAGGGGCAATTCAGACTGTCGAGGTCAGTCGTCCGTGTACGGACGCATAAACGTGAAGGTGAGCATGAGCATGAGCATGAGCATGAGCATGAGCATGAGCATAAGCATGAGCATAAACACAGGGAACCTTTAAGACGCGGGGAGTCGCGTCTTCGTCCATCGCTCTTGCCGCCGCGCAAGGGTTTGCAGATTTGCAGACGGGCGACCGTGTCGGCTGCGACGGGAAAGGACCATGCATGCAATCCGGCATCCTCCCAGGACGAATCCAGCACGACAGCAGCGTAAGATTGGCCAGGCCCGGCCGGCTCGTAAGATACCTTTGGTACACCGCCTGTAATGGAGCATGTTTCGGCGCCTGGCTTGACGGCGCTGATCATCAGGCCATGTCTGCAACGTGTGTGCAAGGGGGGAAGGCGAGGGGAGGAAGGAGAGGGAAGGAGCGAGCGGACACAGCGCGTGCTCCGCAGCCGGTCGCATGACCTGTTTTTGCTGGCTGTTCCTTTGTACGGAAATGCATTACGAAGGATTTGTGAGGACGAGGAGTCTTAAGGTCTGAGGAGTCTGCTGCTGCTTCTGGTCGTCAGTCCATCGCCGTTCTGGGCCAATCAGCGTCGTGCTGTTAATGTGGCCACCGCCATCGCCGCCACACCGGTTCGTCCAATCTTGCCTGCTAAGCCCTCTCTGCTGCCGTTCTCCCGAGATGAAGAGATGGATTCCCTTCCTCCCCGGCGGCCGGGACAGACGCAACGATGCCAGCCGCAGCAGGAACTGTGTTGGCATCCCCTTTTATTCCCCCAGCATCGAGACCCTGTCTGGCTGCCCGGCATGGCGGAATGTCCGATCGCCATCCTCTCCGGCCGTCTTCCCCTTCTCCATATACGAGTCCAGGCAAGGGCCAATGCTGCCCGAACACGACAGGTGACGACACTCGAAATCTTGATAAATTGGGCCCCTGGTCGCCAGGGACGGCCAAGAGGGGGCTTCTAGGGCACTTCTCGAACGAATTGGCCAGAGAGAGGCGTCTCCACCTGCAACACGACGTACGGAGACGAGCGCCAGGTCGCCGCATCGTCGCGGTCTGTCCGATTACCCTTGTCTGCCATGTGCCTTGTCTAGAGCTGTCAAATTAGCACATTATCTCGGTCATCTCCTGTGGTGTAATAAAACCACTGGAGCTTCGGCCGCTATCTCTCAAAGAGGAAAATCGCTGTTCGGGGCTCAGTCAGCCCATCAAATCGTAATAAATACATAGGACTACGGGCCCCTCCCACACATGGCGGATGCCCAGAAGGGCAAATATACGAGGCCACAGCCTGCAGGCTTACCGCAAGCGGAAGGCCATCGGACGGCGCTGGCGGGACGGCGTCTCGGCCTTCTCCATGGCATTTGTCCACCTGTTGTTTTGCCCATGTTTGCGCCCACGGTTTGTGTCCGGGACCGTGCTCTGGGCGGATTCGCGCATTGGTGCGCGAATCCGCCTCGCTGTTCTGTCGTCGATCTGCATGCAGACAGAATACGAGTACGGAGTACGGAGTACGACTTTTGCTGTCACTTCTGAGGCTTCATGCAGCCGACCATACCGAAGGCCACTTTGACACACCTTGCAGATCTGTTACCGAAACAGGAGAACGGCCGTGTCGGCGCGGAACAATTCTGGAATAATGGGATTCCGTGGTAGCATGGCATGCTGCTAACAGGATGGCCGCAAGTAGAAAAACGTAAAGAGGCTAAAGCATAACGTAAAACATGGAGCATAAAGCGTAAAAACTTCACCGAGCGTGTAATACAAACGGAAGGTAGCCAATGCTTCGCTGTATTTGTCTGTTAGCGCCCCAAAGGGCTCCTCAATCATCTGCCGCCCTATGCAATGCTGTGGTATCTTATCGTATGTGTAAAGCTTGTCGCTTGGGGGATGCAGCAATGATGCAACAATAAATTATCCGAAGCCAACCATTTGCCGCGCCTCGCTTGAGAAAAATACGAAAGGGGGACAGAGGACAGGGTAAGTGAATTAGTAAAAAAAAGCATAGTAAGGAAAAGGGAAAAAAAAAATAGAAAAAAATAGAAAAAAAAGGAAAGAGAAAAGAGAAAACGTAGACTAAATTTTGTTACGCTACAAAAGGGTCGACCTCCAGCCGTTTCGGCGCCGGCTCGGATGATGCGACATCGTCGTCCTCGTCGCCCGGTCCTGTGCTCTCTTCCAGACCCTGCATCTCTTCCGCATCGCCGTCGCCGTCGCCGAGGCCGTACTTTTCGAGCCATAGCTTCCGTAGCACCTGGTAGATAAAGTGGTACTGTGAGTCCGCCTGCACCATTGTCCGCCGCTGTTCGCGCAGCTGGTTGACTGTCGTGAAGATGAGGTCGTCGGCCTCGGCTGCACACTCGCCGGCCTCGCTCGCAAACTCGGTCTCGCCGGCATTCCGGTCGCCTTGTTCCACCTCGTCCAGTCGGCCGGCCTCGTCCGCGCTGTCGCAGTTCTCCAACACGCCCGCGTCCAGCTCACGCACCAGGTGCTCCAGCGCGATAAATGTGCCTGATCGGCCCACACCGGCGCTGCAGTGCACGATGCGTGGGTTGTCCACGTCTGCGTTCTTCTCGGCCGACAGCCGCATCAGGGCAAAAAAACTGTCGACGTCTGCGAGCGCCGGCACGCCAAAGTCGGGCCACTTCTTGTACAGAAAGTGGTACACGATCCGCTCATCCTCATAGTCCTCGTAGTCGATTTCGGGCGAGCCCATCGCCACCTCCAGATCCATATCGGTCTCCGGCCCGACAGGCGACGATACCGACGACGATGAGAGGCCGGCAGCAGAACCAGAGCTGCTGCCGAGATCATCGCTTCCTCCGTTGGCCACGGCGGCCGCAGCTGGAACGGCTGTCTCGCCCCCGTCTGTATCTGGTAATGATTTTGCAGCCGTCTCGCCACCTGCTGTCACGGTTGCCGGCGACGGCACGCGCGACTTGGGATTGACGGCCTTGTGGTGAATGCGCAGCAAAATGCGGCGCTGCTCAATGGCACCGTCAAGCAGCTCCTCGACGGCAGCACAGCGCACGCTGGCACGGAAGCCATCGCCGAACTCATCGTGTTGGTTGATCAGCATAGGCGGGTCGTCCGGCTGCTGGGGGTAGTAAGGATAGCACTTCTCCATGCTGCCTTCGTGGGTCTCGGTCAGCATGACGATGACGGCTGGTGACCGCAGCTGCTCGTAGACCATGCGCCACACGTGGTCCACTGACGACTTCTTGGGCCCCTGCATGGCGATATAGCGGTCGGGTGGCCGCGCGGCCGCGGCTGCAGCCGTCGTCGTCAGCACGATGGGTGATGCGTTGATGTAGTCGACGCGACCCGGTGGCACCTGCAGTCGTACCCGGTTCCGGTCCCACGGCTGTATGTTGGCGTAGCGGTCGAGCACCCGCAGGTGGCTGCCCGTCACGCGCGCCCATTGTCCTGCCGGCGCGACGATGGACTCTTTCAGCCGGCTGTGTTCGTGCCAGAGAATCTTCTGAAACCTGCGGTCGATCTCTGGGTGATTCTCGTTAGCAGAAGCAGTGACCAAATCAGCCTGGCCGGAGAACGGGCTCACCTTCTAACGAGATGTCCAGAAAAGGAGGCAGCTTTGGCTTGCGGTCCTGTGCTGGTCGGTCGAGGGTCAGCTGCCCTTTCTGGGTAGAGAGGCGAGAAATGCCCGCCTTCACTGGCAGTACAATGCTTTGGAACCGGGTATTCAGTGCTGTCGTTGGCGACTCGGGCTGAGACACGGGCGTGACCGCGTTGCCTGGTGGCGACTCACGTGACCTTTTCGTAGACGGGCGAAGGAGGTCGCGAAAGGGTGAGCGAGACGATCGCGATGGTCGCGATGACTGCTGTGTCCGGATGACGTCTTGGCCCTGCACCGGACCTGTCGCCGGCTGTGGTGAGGAGCGTCGAGCGCGACGAAAGGGAGAGAATGGTGGAATGATGTGCGATCCGGGGTGTATGCTGGCAGTGTCATCGGACGCTTGGACTGCGAAGTCGCTGGCCGCGATAGTGGCTGTCTTGGGTGTAGATGTCTTCTCCGCCGGCAGGGTCGACGTTGTCGGTTCTGTGGATGCCCTCACCATCGTTCCCGTTGGGGTAGAGCCTGCCGCTGCTGCTGTTGCTGCCGTCGCAGTGGCGGCAGCCTTCTTGTGGCGCCGAAAGTGAGAGATGCGATCCATGGGGCCGAGAGACAGAAGCGGTGGCAAAAGGATGTTCGAGGCCCCGAGAAGCGATCGAGTGCAGCACAATGAGGCTGCCACTGCCGGCCAGACAGTCCGAACAAAGACGGAAGGACGATGAAAATGACAGAACGGATGAGATGTGACAAACGAGTGACAGGAGCAAGAGAGGCCGCGTTGCTGGCTGACAGTCACTCTCTTTTTCGTTTCTTTTTTGCCCGCTGCGCAGTGACCAGAACTGCCCCCACATTCGAGACGCCCGATCTCGTGCCAGGCTGCGTTAGCGGGCTTTCCCCCTGTCAGACGTGCCCGAGGCTAACCCGGACAGCCTGTTGGGAGGCCCGCTAACATTGAGGCAGCTGGGGGACGTCGGCTTTCTGCAACTGGATGCAGCCAGATAGCCGCCACGTGGGGGAAATATGCGTTCTTGCCACGGACGGCGATCACCCGCATGTGGGAGGGAGGAGAAGGCAGAGAACAGATGGCGGAGGCAAAGAGCAGAGTAGAGAGGGTGGCTTTCTGGTCGAAAAACAGGTTGTCGGCCCTAATTTTAGGCGATGCGACAGTCGATCATATGCCAGCTCACAGGCGGCCGTGTCACGTGGCCTTGCGAAATAGGCACTCGGGCCCAAAGGATTGAAACACTCGTACCCCTCTCCCCTCACTGGCAGCATATTAATAGTACGGAGTACGGAGGCCCAGCCGAATACCGTCCCAATGCCGAATCCCTCCGATGTCGCTGCCTGCCGCCCGCCCGTCATGTCGACAAGTACACGGCGGACACAAAGCGCCCGCAGACAATGTGCTGCTGCGTGCTGACCTTCCGACCCTTACCTCTTTCGCCCAGCCGCACTGTTGCTCGTGGGAGGAGTTCCAGCCGCTCGCGTTGGCCCGTCATCTCCGCGTTCGGCTTCTTCAGCTCTGCTGCCGCGGCTTCCAGCTGGCCGATGTGCACCGGCTCGCACTCGTTATTCCGTCGTCCCGTGCCCAGCTGGTAGAATTCGTTGCCGCCCCACCAGAGCACCTCGGAGCCCCAGCTGGGTTCTGTGCTGGACGGTGCCGAGACGTGCGTGGCGTTGCCCAGAACAGCGCCCGCGTGCGTCGCACCGACGGCCAGGCTGGCTGGCCCGATGGGCACCGTCTTGCCCCGGGCTTCGCTGTACTCAGCCAGGCCCGACAGTGCCTTGACCTTGCTGGGGCCGTTGGCCGAAATGTGCGTCCACTTGCCCGTGCCCAGGTTGCCGTAGAGTCCCGACCCGCAGGCCCAAGTGTCTGCAATTGTCTTCCGCTGTAGCTTGGCCGCGTCAGAAGAACCGGGACTGTCCACCAGAGCCTCGGCATCGACGGTGAAGAACGAGTTCGCGCCACCGGCAGCGATCGACGTTACTCGAGGCGGCCGGGCGAGTCGTGTCTTCTCCGAGAGCCCGTCGGCCTCGTACAGCTTCTGCATCGGCAGCTCCACCGGCTGGGCCACGAACGGGACACTGGGCTGCACCGGGACACCCAGCTGGCCGGCCGCATTGTCGCCAAACGCAAAGACCCGGCCGTCCTTGGACAGCACCAGCGAGTGATGGTCGCCCGCGGCGATCTTGGAGACGGCGATGCCGCACAGTCCCGGAACCTCGTGTGGCTGGTCGAGGGGTCCCTTGGGACGCGTCTCCCACGTCACCCCGGGCAGGCCGAGCTGTCCCCGTGCCGGGTAGGACACGAGGCTCGAGACGGCCGAGAACACACGACCGGCAGATGTCAGCAGCAGGCAGTGCTCCAGTCCGCCACGCACATCCACCACTCGCTCGCCCCACGAGAGTGCGGGCGTCATGATGCGGAAGCTGCTGGGCGGCATGGATGTCGACCCCGAGTTCCAGAGGATCCGTCGCCACCAGGCAGGCTGTGAGGTCGAGACTGTTGTTCCGCTGGACATAGCCGCCAGCTGCTGGTCTGACTGCGAAGCCGGCAACGAATACACCGTCCCGCCGGACGACAGAGCGATGACGCGGTCCTTTGAGAGTGCCACCTTGATAATGTCTTTGCCGGTCATCGTCGCCGTCAGCTCGGTGGCCGTTGCCTTTTCGCCCCAGAAGGCCGTCCCCCACTGCAGCACGTCTCCCTTCTCCGTCACTGCCACCCCGAGATCGCGGTCCAACTGCAGGTCGCGCAGCAGCTGGCCGTCCAAGGCGGCAATGCGCCGCGGCCTCTTGATCGTTGTCTCCTTCGAGTCTGGCGCCACCACCCGCCCGACATTTGATCCCCACGCGAACACCCCCGGTTTCTCGATGCTGCTCTTAATCTGTCGATTCTGCGAGCTGCCTTGCGCCTTCTCGGCCTGCTCGAATTCCACCTCTGCCTTGGGAATCACCACATTTGGTACTGGCTGCTCCTTTGCCACGCCGCTAGAGGCGTCGTAGGCATAGTATGCCGCGGCAGAGAAGGCGCCGACGCCGAGCAGCTTCAGCGCTTCACTTCCGCCACCCCGACGTCGACGTCCACCTCGCTGTAGTCCTCGACCAGGTATGGTGCTCGCCCGCCGGACAGCCGCCTGGAACGGCCGCGCCGCCAGACTAGGAAAAATGCGAGTGGCTGTACGCATTGAGGCCATTGCAGACCGTCGCTGGTTTGGAATGATGTTTTTTTGTCTTCCTATTCTGTTTGCTTGCTGAAAGCGAGCTATGGAGGCCTTGGTAAATTGCTAGTGCGAAAAGTGTTGCATTCCCCGTCCTCTGATTTGATGGCGCCCCATTGTCCTACCCAGCTCTTTTCTTCAACGGGACAAGTTCGACAGTACTGCCCTAATAAACAGCACAACGATCCCGAATGTGTTGACGGCTACGGTCCAAAAGTATATTAGAATATACTTGAGATCTCTTTCTGTCTTGTTCGGTGGCCTAATTGAGTTAGATGCTTGTTTGCCTATCAGACGAAGAAGGGAGCCATTGGTACCATTCGGGAATAGCCAGCTCACACCACTGAAGGTGAACAACCTTGTAGCGGAGTAGAATGCTTTCCATCTGGAGACGACAAACTTCCTTCTCGTCGGTTGTTAAAGCAAGCTTGGTTTCCACTCTCTCGATTTCTCTTTCGATCTTGTCAATCAATATTTTCGTAGTCGAGTCTCCAATAATATCATTGTTCATGTAGCACTGAGTAGCCTCTTTGATTTGCTTTACAATCCCGATCATTCTCGAGGGATCGAGCTTTACAACAACTTTAGCTTTTCCATTTTAAAATCTGGCAGATGGCTTTCTGGTGTTTGTGTCTGGGTGCAGTTTCAAGCCAGTAGCTGAGACTATGAAAATGGGATACAAATTCATTAGAAGAGAACACCCATATTCCAGACACAAAGTGCACCATTTATATTAACATTACGATCTTTCTCTCCAAAAACCATCGTTCTTGCCCCGTCGAATCTTCTAAGACAGCTGTGGATGACAAAATAGGAAAGAGGCAACACCGCCTAGCTCCCAAGCGGGCAGTCGCACCCCACTAGACAGCAGCCCCATATTTAATAGTCGCAGTACGGAGTACTCCGTAGTGCCTTATGTTTCGTGTCCCCTGGCGGTCGACATCGCAACCTCCACCAAAAGACGACAATCCGCATTGCGCTGTCTGTTTGCCCCCGGAGGCACCAGGCAACCCGCCCCGCCACCCACGTCTTCCTCTTTGTGACCCACCTCTGTGTGCTAGCCATGTACGAGGACTCCTGGTACAGCTTTGTGCCGGAGCTGCAACGCGGGCGCAATGCCGCCCAAGGCCCCGGACATCGACGTCGAGAGTCGCTGCTGCAACAGCCAAACGTGTGTTTGCCTCTTTACGACGGTGTATACCTTCTCTCTGACCACCGGTTTCCGCTGTGTAGGGAACCTCTCAATCGGCAGATGTGGTCGAGCCTCTCGACAAGCTGCTAGAAGAAGAATCGGACGACGATGAGGAGAGCGATATGCTACAGGCGCACGCGGAGGCGCTGCTTGGGCGAGCGAGATCTTTCCCGGAGCTAAAAAACGAAGCTTTGCGAATCAAAGCGATCAAGGCGGCAGCAGAAGAAGCAGCAACATTGAGGGCGCCAGCGAAGACAGCCGCCAGCCGCGGCCGAGACGGGACCAAGGAGAAGGAGAGGCAAGACAGAAGAAAGCATAGAAAGAAGAGAGTGGTCACACTAGAGGCGCTTTGCGTCGAAGGAGCGGACGGCGAGTGGCTTCTGCAGAATGAAGTCCCACCTCTTCTCGACTCCTACGACGCCGACCTGCTTGACGCAAGCCAGCAAGAATTCACGTACGCAACCGTCCTTCCGCTTTGGTGAAGGTCCAAGCTGACAACCTCTCTAGGCTCTACAGAGACCAGCTGGAAATGACAGAGAGACACCTCGGAGGGCTGATTGACGACGCAAGCGGGACATTGCAGCTGCTTTCGTCCCTTGCAGACTCATTTCGGGCTGTTGAGGAGCAAACAACGTCCTTTCAGTCGCAGTGTAACGACCTCCTGTCGGAGCAGCGGCGGTTGGAGAAACTGGCCGATGAGGTGGGCACGGATCTTTACTACTACGCCTATGCAGACGGTGTCACGCGCCGTCTCAATGCTATAGGTGCAAGCCGCCTTGTCGATGACGAGAGCTTTGGGGAAATACTGTCCAACCTGGACGCCTGTATTGCTTTCATGACAAAACACGTAAGTGTATCATGGTCATTTGGAGGAATGCAGAGTGCAGGCCGAACTGACACGTCTTAGCCGACCTATCGCGATGCAGAAACCTACCTTGCGCGGTACCAATCTCTTTTGACCAAGGCACTGCATCTGCTCGAAGTGGGCTTCAACTCGCGGCTGGAGAAGGTGACGGCGGAGCTGTCAAAGCAGATCGCAGCAACCCAGTCGGAGTCGGCACAACACGCGCTGGCCTACGGTCGGTTTGAAGAGCTGCTAGTGGACGGGTCATACTCACTGATCCCCAACGTGCAGCTGGTGATGGGAAAGTCTTACGACCAGGCTGGAGCGCCGTGGTCTGGGCGCCAGAGCTTCTCGGTCTACGTTAACACGGCAAACAATCTCCTCCGCACATATCTGGGCTGGCGAGATCAGAACCTCCGGTCGATTGTGCACAAGGAGATGGAAGCTTTTCGCAGCGAAGCCAAAGGCACAGCGACCGAGACGGCATCACGGAACTTTATCAAGCAGAGTTTCGAGCGGTCGCACCAAGAGTCGCTGCTGTTCGTCCGGGTGTTTGCCATTGAGCCACAGTACAGCACGCAGGTGGAGTCGGCCTTTGTGGCGATACGGGGACATCGCGGCGAGCTTGTCAACGCCATCAACATTGCGCCGCTGGCCACGAACCTGCAGACGGCACTCTCGGCAACGGCCGATCTGTCGATTGTCTGCAACGTGCTCGGGTGGATCACACATGAGTACCTTCTCCTGGACTACGAAGACGAAGATGAGGATGAAGGCGAGACGACGGCTCTCGCAACGCACAGTCGACAACTGGCAGCCCGGCTGCTAACGGAACATCTGTGGGCATTTACGGACGCCCTGTTTGAGGCGGAAATAGCAAAGACGATCACGAAAGCGCCGGTGGTGCCGGAAGCGCTGAAGATTGTCTCTGCTGCGGATGGCCACGCATCGTCGAATGCTTACCCACCGGTGCGACATGCACTGGAGCTGCTGGTCAAGTTCGATCAAGCCATGCCCAAGGAGCGTTGCGTAAGTTCCGGTCTATCTCTGATCTCTTTCACGCCCTCCCTCATGCTAACACGACGATGCAGCAACGAGACAGCCCTGTTGTGTTTAATATTGTTAAGGAAACGATTCTGGCACTGCAACGGGCCGAGGCACGCATAAAGTCGAGCCGGAGCAGCACAGATGGGGACCTGTTCATGATTAAGAACCTGCTGATCCTGAAGAACGAGCTGCTTTCGTTGGAAATCGGCGACATTCGCAGCAGCGGGGGCATGCAGCACTTTGGGCAGATCTGGGATGCGCTGAGCATGGCGCAGAATCTGGTGGGCTATTTCAGCACTTTTATCCCAGGGAATTCGCTCTGGTCGCGGGCCGCGGGCGTTGTGTCGGGGGCAGTGCCCGGGGCAGGAGAGAGAACATCGGCGTCTGGCAGTCTGTCGACAGCCGGGACAGCGGCAGCAGCAGCAGGATCGGGGACAGAGCAGGACGTCAGCGAGCAGCTGGACGAAGCGCTGCGACGGTCGATTACGGCTTTTACGCAGAAATGGGGCCGGCAGGTGCACGAGGCGACGTCACGTAAGCTCGGCGGCAAGAATGTGGCCAAGATCGAGCGGGAGTTGGACGAGCTGCTGCAGACGGCATTCAGCAGCCAGCCGGAAGTGGTGGCCAAGTTGAAGGAGGCGATCCAGATCCAGGCGGAGGCACACGATGAGCAGAAGGGAAGCAAGATCAGCCGCGTATAAAGGCTAGGACGTGCGAGGGCAAGGGTAGAAAAGCATTGTGAGCGCATTGGGCTCCATAAATCTAGCGAGAGTTTAATATGAAGTAGATGATGCGTCGGATTGTTTTTTTTTTCTTTTTTTTCTTTCTTTCTTATTACTTTTTCTCTTTCCGGTTCCCATTTTCTTATTTTCCACCCTTTCTTCTATTTCCCTTTCTCTTCCTCTTTCTCCCATCTCGGCTGCTCTTGCCTTGTCAGGGCCGATGGCGGATTGGAGTACGTAATTTTGTCGGTGGGGCAGCAGCGGGCGACGGCCAAGCTCCGGTCTAGGAAAGCATGTTGGTGTCCGTCCGGGGCAAGTAAGCCCCCCTTCCTAGCCGCCCTATTATGTGACGGCGATTTTTTACGTTTCTGCGACACACAGCTTGTATGCAAGATATGGAGATAGCGTACCAGACAATTGTGCGATAGTCGATTCCGTATTGCAGCATCGCCGAACGCACAAGAAGCACACAGTACAGAGCGAGGGCCGCAGACAGCTCGCCCACACAAGCACAGTCGCAGCACACAACACACAAGGACAAGAGGCAGAACTACAGCTATGGCGGACGAGGCAGGCATTCTGGACGAGCTGAACCACGAGGGCAGTGCGCTGCAGACGGCCAAGGATCTGTTTGCAGGCGCTGCAGGCGGTGTAGCCCAAGTGCTGCTGGGTAAGTGACTATGCCTGGCCTTTCTGCGCCTTCTGCGTCTTTCTTCTTTGGCCGACTGCTGACATTGGCAGGCCAGCCGTTTGACATTATCAAGGTGCGGCTGCAGACGAGCACGGCGTACGCGGGAGCAGGCGAGGCAGCGGCGGCGATCTGGCGCCACGAGGGGCCGCTGGCGTTTTACAAGGGCACGCTGACGCCGCTGCTGGGCATCGGAGCGTGTGTGTCGGTGCAGTTCGGAGCCTTCCACCAGGCGCGACGCTGGTTTGAGGCACGGGCGCAGCAGGCGCGCGGCCGCCCGGAGCTGACGTACGGCGAGTACTACGCAGCCGGTGCGTTTGCTGGCCTGGCCAACGCCGGTCTGTCGGGGCCGATCGAGCACGTTCGCATTCGCCTGCAGACGCAACCACACGGTGGTCAGCGGCTGTATGCTGGCCCAGCTGACTGCGTGCGCCAGCTGGTGGCCCAGAGCGGTGGCGGCCTGCAGGGCGTCGGCCGTGGCCTCTTCCGCGGTCAGGCCGTCACCCTCTGGCGCGAGGCCCAGGCCTACGGCGTCTGGTTCCTCACCTTTGAGTGGCTCATGAACGCCGATGCTACCCGCAACGAAATTGCTCGCAAGGAGGTGCCCGCTTACAAGGTCGCCTTTTACGGTGGCCTGGCTGGCGAGGCCCTCTGGCTGGCATCCTACCCCTTTGACGTCGTCAAGAGCAAGATGCAGACGGACGCCCTCGCCCCGGCCGACCAGCGCTTCCGGTCCATGCGCGACTGCTTCGCCCAGATCTGGCGTGCCGACGGCTTCCGTGGCTTCTGGCGCGGCCTGACTCCTACTTTGATGCGTGCCATGCCTGTGAGTGCCGGTACCTTTGCCGTGGTTGAGGCGACCATGCGGGCAATTAATTAAGGAGAAGAGAGGGCGAAGTAGAATGGGAGCACGAGAGAAGAGACTGGGGCCTGGGATTAGGATACAATCACGGAGTACGATGTATTAGATCTATGAGTCAAGCACGTGTTGTGTCACGTGTTCTTTTGAAACCCTCTACCCACTGCTCTCTACCCGCCGCTGCAAAATCAGTCGAGCGTTTGCCGGCGTCAACGAGGCCAGGCCTAGTTCCTGCAGCAGCTTCTTGGCCTCGGTGTTGTCGACAAAGACGCGGTCGGTGGCCTCCCGGAGGGTGATGGCAAGCTCGGCGGAGGCGGCCTCGACGGGCAGGTTGAGCAGCTGCAGGCCCTCGCGCAAGCCCTCGAGAGCGGCCGCGGCTGAGCGTGGAACGTACTGCTCTGTCAGGGTGGCGATGGCGGCGACGTCGCGGGCGAGCTGGGCGGCGCCCAGGGCCGAGAAACGGTGGACGACGAGCACCTCGCTCCACAGGAGTTCCTGCAGTTTCTCGAGGGCACCGCGCACGATGCGACGCAATGCGGCCGTGCCGAGAGCTTGTGAGAGGAAGTTGAGGTTTCGTCGGATGACCTGAGTTAGGGGAGATGTTAGGGGGGAGGGGTGAAGAAAAAAAAAAAAAAAAAAGACACTCACCCGAAGAGGCTCATCCAGCTCGGCCGTGATGGCCAGCTCTGTCGGATCTACCATTCCGCTGGCTGTTCCCTCAGCCACCGTCATCCATTGGGTTCGCAGCACGTACGGACGAAAAGCCTTGCGGTGGGACTCGGCCAGCGCGGCCACAAGAAAGTCCTGTGCGGTCTTGCGACGCCGACCAAAGGCCGCCATGGTCTCGTCAAAGAGCGCGCTGCCGCCCTCGTCGCCTAGCCGCGTCGCCCGTAAGAGCGCACGCTCCTGACTCGGCTGGTCGCCGCTCGCGGCCGCCCGTGTCTGCAGCTCCGCCCAGAGGAGGATGAAGAACTGATTAGTCAGCATACAAAGGAATTTTTTTCTTTTTTCTTTTTTTCTTTCTCTTCTTTTCCCACCCACCTCGTCATCTCCTAGATCCTGCAGCGTGTGCACGACGTAGTCGGCGCTGCCGTAGACGCGGCAGAGGGTCTCGAGGGCGCCGGTGCCGTCGAGGGCGGCCAGCTGGTCGCGCGTGACGCCGTGGAGAGTGCGGCCGACGGCCGACGTCATGGCAGCGTAGACCTCGAGCGAGCCGCGCAGGCGGTCATCATAGGCGTCGAGTACGGTAACCTGAATGTCGACGAGGAATCGGAGACGGTGTTGGAGCCGGCGCACGCCGCGGTACTGGGCCGTGACGGCCTGGAGGAGATCCATGACGCGAACGGCTGCTACTGTCGGCTTGGAGCGCGCGTGTGTGTTTGTGCTTGTCGCAGACGAGCTGCCGCGCACAGGACTGCCGGAGTCATAGTCGTAGTCGATGGCGTGGCCGTCGGCCGCGTCCACGATGCTGCGGTACCGCGCCAGCGCGCCATCCTTCTCGGCCTGCAGCCAGACGGCAAAATGGTCCTGGAGCACATCGGCCGCCAGACCGGGCCAGCCGGCCGTCGTGTCGGTCGCCGTTGCCGCGCCACAGCCGCCGTCATAGCCGAAGCGCGTCCGCAGCTCATCGTCCAGCGCGTGCACCTGTACCACGAACCCGCACAGAAACGGCTGTCTCTGCTCCTCTGGCGACGGTCTCGCCTCCAGCTGCTGCACCGCCCAGGCCGCCGTCTGTCTGACCTTTTCGCGCATCACTGGCAGCAGCGCCGCCACAAAGGCACATGCTGGGTCGACATACAGCGTCGTGGCCGCCGCGTCGACCACCGTGCCGCCAAAACGCGCCGCCAAGATGTCGGCGAAGCTGTCGCGCAAAAAGTCGGCCCATGCACCCACGCGGTCCAGCAGCCACGGAAAACACACGTCGGCCGTCTGGCGCGGCTCCGCCGTGCGCCGGCTGCTGAGGAAGTGGTACCGGAACTCTCGCTCAAAGATGTGCGCCATCACGTCGATCGGGAGAAGCACCGGTCTCGTCTCCGCTGCCGCTGTCGCGGCCGCCAAAATCTCCGGCGCCTGCAGGTCCACCAGCTTGGCAAACACGTCCCGCCAGGCCTCGTCTGCGCGCACTGCCGCGTCGATCTTCGGCCATCCTCGCGCTTCCAGCACCGCCTCGAGCTCTGCCCGCATCGTCCTGTTCATGTCGGCCCAAACCCTGTCCGCTACTGCGGTCACGTGTGCGGTCACGTGCAATTCGGCACTCTCCAGGCCCTCGATCTCCCCTTGCAGCTCTCGGCCCAGCTGCCGCAGCCGGCCGTACGGCTCCAGTGCTGCTCGCGGGTCTGCCGGCAGCGCCTCTCGTGCTGCTGCCGCCCACGTCGACACGTCTGCCAGCAGCTGCACGTACCGCAGCGCTGTCGACACGCGGTGCAGTTGCTCCATCGGCTGCTGCAGGCGCTGCACCACGGCCTCCGGCGCGTCCGATGCTCGCACTACCGCTAGCCGCGAGCCCACCGCCTGATCCAGTGCCGCAAATTCGTCTAGCTGTCCAACTAGCACGGCCTCCTGCGCCGCTGTCGTCTGTTGTGCCGCCGTCAGCGCTGCCGCGGCGCCCTCCAGCTGTGCCTGCAGCGCCGCCTGCTGTGCCTCGGCTTCTACTAGAAGTGCGCCCACTGTCTCCAGATCTGCTGCCGACTGCAGCTTGTCGTCCAGAAAGTCCTCCAGCCGTGCATCCGGCTCGTCAAATGGGAACATCACCGTCTCCTCTGCTGCTGCTGCTGCAGTAGTCGCTGTCATTGTTTCCACAGATATCAGTATGTAGTTCGTCCTGGAACCTCTCTTTCCACAGAGGACACGGCTGTGGCATCTCGTGATCGTTGACGGCGCGTTGGATCAGGTCTTTGGACGTCGTCGATTGCGATGCGAAGCTCCACCTGTCAGTTAGCTGTCCATTTTGGCCTTAGCTTAGGCGGTGGAGCAACATCGCTAGATTTGTAATATCGCTATATCCAGCCAACATGCAACTACGCATTTCATCACTTTATGGACAAAACAGCCATTTCACACCTTCAGCACGTCCATCTAGGAGATAGACATCAGTGCCCAAGAAGGAGGTATACCCATCGATGCCAGGTGTCTACAGGTACATGAATCTTATACTTCTGTTCCCCCGTAGACAGCCAATCCCAAACCTAACAATACTGCTGCTGTATAGAGTACTGTCTCCCATACTTACTTCTTGAACGTGGCCGACTTGCCGTTCTTCTCAAAGTGCATCCGTCTAGCGCCCTTGGGTCCGTCTGCACCCGTCTTCGACCGGTACGGATCAAACACCTTCTTCCTGCCGCCAGTCGCCTTCTGCTCCGTCTTCTTCGCGTTCATCACCGATCCGGCTGTGTCATAGTTGAATGGCACAAACTCCTCGCCGCCAACCGGCGCCCCTCCGTCACTATCCGAAGTCTGCGTCTGTCCGCCGCTCGCTTCGCCCTCCTCGCCTGCCGCCTTCTTTCCTGCCTTTGCCGTTGCCGAGACGCCGCCCTTGCCGGCCCCCTTCTTGCCCGTCTTGCCTCCCTTCAGCGTGAACTCTTCTTCCGAAGACGAGTCGGATGACGATGACGACGACGATGATGATGATGATGATGACGAGTCGTCTGCTGGTGCTGTCGCTTTTTCTGCAGCAGCTGTGACCGTCCGGCTGGGCACCACTGGCGTCCCGGCCGACTGCGGAAACTCGATATACTCCTCCTCGGCTTTCTTCTCCGTCGCTGTCGCTGTCGACTCAGCTGCCGGGCTGAGGATCCCTGCTGCCACCGCCGCCTGCACAAACGAGAACCACGGCGTGTCCATGTGCACTCCCGTCACCGCCTCGTCCTCGCCCGCTGCCTTCTTCTTGCTGCCGATCGGCGTTGCGCCCCAGAGCTGTGACACTCCGCTGCGCACTTCGCTGATGTCTGGCAGCTTCGCCAGCTCCTTGGCTCGCTCTGCCTCTCGTGCCTCCCGGCCTGCGCCCTTGTCGGAACCTGGCTTTGATGCCGCCCCGACTGCTTCCGATCGCAGAAACTCGGACGAGCTTGGTCCGTCAGCACCGCGCAACTTCGCCTGCTGGATCAGCAGGAAGATCTCCTCCATCGACGACTTGGTCTCCCGCGCCGCGTTGTTGAGCAGGCTCCACATCGCCTTGCGGTCCGATGGCAGAATCCGCGCTATGTCGCCCACCGACCGAATCGGCATCACATACCCCGGGCTCTCGTCCAGCCGCCGCGCCAAGTCGTCCCGCCACCGAAAGATCGCCTTGAAAACTGCAAACTGCGAGCTGTTGAGCATCGAATATGTCCGCATGAGGCTGTTGAGCCATCCACGGCTGCCCAGTCCCGTCTCCGGGTCGCACAGCGCTACCTCATGCCGCAGCATCGAGGTCTCCTTGGACCGCCGTAGTACGTACCCTGTCAGGCTGGCTTCTGGCAGCAGCTTTTCCGACTTTTCCGCCAGCTCGTTGCGCACCATGTCGTAGACGTACAGCAGGAAGTGCGTGTCCGAACGGGCATAGTAGAGCATCTCCTCCGGCAAGGGCCTGTAAGTAGCACGTGTCAGTAGCCACACAGCAACTACTATCACCTCCACCTTCCCGCCTGAAACTTACCGGATCCGCCAGTCGGCCATCTGGTACTTCTTGTCCGCGTCAAAGTCCACAAACTTCTTGAGCAGATACGCCAGGCTTCGTGCCGGGTACTCCAGGCAGTCGCATGCAAAATACGTATCAAACAGCCCAACAATATACAGGCCCAGGTCCCGCTGCAGCCAGACAATATCGCTCGTTGCACCGTGAAACACCTAAAGGAGACGTTAGCCATCTCAACGGACATCAGACAGAAGTGCAGCCTCTTACCTTAATTTTTGTTGGGTCCGCGAACACCTCGTTGAGAATCTCGAGCCGATGGCGCCACGGCGTCAACGTGTCCACCACCCAGTCCTTCTCACGCGTGCTGATCTGCATAAGCGATAAAAGTCCCGTGTATGTGCGGAAGTCATGGTGCTCCAAGTCTACCGCGATCACGTCCGCCTGTCGCAGTTCCTCCAGCATGGCCTGCACACCCTCAAACGTGTCGACCCATATCGCCTTGGTCCCTTCTGTGGGCTGGTACAGAATCGGCTCGCTCTTGTGGTAGACCGCCTCGGGATACCGCATCTTTGTGATTTCCGTTTCGTAGGGATGCTTGTATCTGCCAAATGTCTTAGCTCTTCTCCGTGTCGAAATGGCACGGGCCTTTACTTACTGTACAGACCCGTTCTCATCCACAAATGTCGTCAGGCTCTCGGCCAGCGGTACCGTGGCGTGTGGCTTGGTCGTCAGCAGTGGCTTCCAAGGCCCCTTGTCGAAATTGTCAGGCTTGTGCTCGAAGAGCTCCTGTGGCTTGGCGATGTTGGCCCGGCGAATGGACCAGTCAAGTCTTTCTGTTGTTGGCTTCGGTTTCTTTGACTCGGGGCCCTGCAAGCAAAGAAGTAAAGAGGTTAGCTATCCAGACAGGCTGTCGACCTTCTGTCGCGCGTGCCAGACTCACCACTTCAGTTGTAGGTGCATCCTTGCGCTTGAGCATGCCCGTGTACTCATCCAGGCTGGTGTCAGCCTTCTCCAGCAGAGCATCGATCACATCGACCACGCCTTGCCAATTGAGGTCTACATCGTCTGCATCCTCCAGTTCCAGCGGGGCCTTCCGTCCAGTGGATGCTGCTGAGGCTTTGAGCAGCTTGTTCGTCAGGCGCAAGAGTCGTTCCGCATTGTCATCGAGCTGTGATGCTACGTCAGGGTTGACTGTGCGCTGAAAGGTCAGGTCCTCGCTTGTGATGCTGTTGGCGCTGCGGTTGACGGCGACTAGGGCAGCTTGAATCTTCTGCTGCTGCGACCGGAAGTCCTCTGAAGCCTCCATCGCTGCTTTCTTCCTGATCCTTTGACTGCGTCGTCTGTTTGCCGTTGGCCGTCACTGCGTCTGCAGAGTTGAAGACCAATGTAGATGCCCTGCTTTTTTTTTCCTCTTGTAAAAAATGACGGCAGATCTTTCCCACCGCTTTGAGCTACTGGCGAGAGCTCCACTAATTACTTTTCGGCCCACTTTTTCATCCGCAAAGCTGTAAGCCACGTCAGTTTCCCTGAATGGAAGGCATGCTCGATGTTGCCGAATTCAAACGGCAGAAAGCGATACGACTGTTTCAGTCACGTGTTTTGGGCTGCTTTCCAATAAGGTACAAGAGAAATATATTAGAGCTTCTAAGTCTGTAATAATAGAAGCACGGTCTCATTTGCGGCAGGATAATCCATCCACAAGGGTATCCCAAAAGCTCAACAGAAAAAAAAAAGAAAAAAAAGAAGAAAAGCCATTGCGTTCGCATTTGTTTAGGATGCTGTTACCTGAGCGGGAGGCCTGCCTCCCCATGCCCCTACGACCAGAACAGATGCCGTCACCGTTGCGGTCACCGTCAAGAAATCCGTCACGGTGTCGTGCACGCTGACAGTCGCAGTAACGGTTTTCGTGACGGTGGTAGTAGTGACGGTTCCGGCATTAGCGCTGGCGGCTGTTGTCGTTTCTGCCACTGCTGCATCTGCTGTCGGTTTTGCTGTAACGCTCTCTGTCACCGGAATGATCGTCAACGGAATGGAGATTGGCGAAAAGGTTGAGGACGGCGACTCTGTAACAGTTGTCACGGCTGTCTGGATCTCGGACTTGGTCTTTGTGACCGTTGCAGTCCCCTCGGTGATCTCCTTTGTCGTCACAGACGGAGTGGCCACGGTGACGGTCGTTGTGGCCTTCTCCGAAGTCGAGGTTGAAGCCGCACCGGCCGAAGAAGACGCAACCACGATAATGGTCGTGGTGGCCACGTCAGAATGGCTCACTGATGTAGAGGACGAGGTGATTGTGCCAGACGTTTTGACCGTGACAGAGGACTTAGTCGTGCTCGAGGTTGTACTAGCAGACAGAGACGTGCTGCTTGCAGTGGTCGTGCCAGACGAGGAGATCCCCAGAATGTTTGCGGCCGTGATCTTGTCGACGCAGCCGACTAGCACACCGCTCGTCACATTCTCTGGCATGGCGAAACAGCTGGTTCCGGCTCCACAGGTCGAAAGGATCGCGAATTTGCTCTGGCTGGCGTCGCACTCCATCAGGTTGCCGTCGATGCAGGCTGCTTGGCCGCTGGAGCAGGCTGTGTCCGTAGTCGTGACCGCAAACACCGTGTTCAGGCGCTGTGCGGTGGCCAGATTGTTGGCGTATACAGCCGAAGACACCGTCGTGGCCGTTCCTGTCGGTGCTGTCGACTGTACGATTGTCGGCAAAATCGTGTTAGTCAGCGAGGCTGTCAGGCTGGTAGCCGCAGAGGATACAGACGAAGCAGATGAAGATGATGTCGATGTTGTCTTCTGGGTGGACGAGGTCGAGATTGACAGTGTTGAAGACGACGAGGTTCCCGAGGCTGATGTTGATGACGTTGAGGACGTCGATGAGACCGAAGAGGAGGTCTTCTGTGGTGATTTCACGGTGGTCACACCAGAAGCGGTTGCCAGGAACGGCGAAGGTGTCACGCCGGCAGTTCCAGCTGCAGTCGTGCCGTTGGCGGTCGCGTGTCTAGCAATTGAGCTACTGGAAGGGGTTGCTGAGGCCATGGTTGTGGACAATGTCTCAAGTGCAACGCTGGACGATGTGGACGACGTGGACGACGTGGACGACGTTATTAACGACTTTGTAGCTGCTGCCGTAGACGCATTCTTGCTGCCGCTTGTGAGAGGAATCACAAGGCCGTCCGACGTGACGAATGTGACGGTCTGCGAGGTTTGTGGCGCTGACAAGGACGACGATGACGAAGTGGCAGCCGTCAAAGCGGTGACTGTCGGATTTTTTTGCGTCGTGGTTGCTGAGGAGCTGGATGCAGTCGAGCTAGTTGCTGTCACGCTGGTTGCTGTTGAAGTGACTGTTGAACTGGATGCTGTCGAACTAGACAATGTCAAACTGATAGCCGTCGAACTGGCTGTCGAACCGGTTGTTTTCAAGCTGACTGCCGTAGTTTCATCAGAAGAGGTGAACGTTACCAAATTAGATGTCGTCGCCGTCGTGCTGGATAGGGGACCCAAATTGAGACTGTTTGCCATAGTCAGTGGTGTCGATGACGTTGATGATGTAGCAACCAGATTGGCAGTGGCAGCAATTCTTGTATCGTTGAAATAGCCACCAGCTGTTCTCCGGATGTGCGGCCGCAGTGGACCGGCCACTGCAGCAGTCGTCCAGAGAAGAAGCACCGAAGAGTATGCGAGATGCATGGTTGGTGTTGTCTGCTATGGGATGAGTATGAAAGATAGGCTTGTGATTTTCTGTTTGGCGGTCTTGTTTGTCAAAAAAAAAGCGGTATTTTCTCAGAAATGGAAACAGACGAGAAGGCGAGAAGGCAACAAGGGGAAAGATATGTAATATGAAGACGGACAGAAGCCAGCTGTCCACACTGAACAAGGCGAGATTAAGACAAAACAAGAACAGCTAGTTCAAGTGATGTTCGTCGGCGCGGGCTCACAAAGCTCGTTACAATGGCAGACACAACAAAAGAGATGGCTAGAACAAAGCCGGTTAGAATAGGCTGGTCTAGAAAGACGAAAATAAGTGAAAGAATGTAAAGCCAGTGACGACGACCGCGGGAGAAAACGACGAAGAGAATGAAGAAGAGAACAAAGTGTGCGTGCTGTTACAGAAGAGAAGGTGAAAGGAAGTTGGAAAAAAACCCGGAGAACCAACGAGACCGAAGGGAAGGGCGACACAGGAAGTGCGATGCAAGACCGGCGAGGCTCAGGAGGGCAAGGCCGGAACCACTAGATGAAACGGCCTTTGAGCTCGGGTGATAGTCAGGCGACAGGTCCAGGGGTAGAGGGAAAAAAAAAAAAAAAAAAAAAAAGACCGGCTGCGAAACGAGTGGTAGCGGAGGCGATTGTGACGAGGGGATTTCAAAACGAAAGATGGACTGCGAGAGGCTGTGGAGTTGTCACACTCGAGACAAAAGAGGTGCATCTGGCTTGCTCTTATGTGTCTCTGTCTGTTGGGGTCCAGATGCGCTCCGGCAGACGGGGGACATAGTCGTCCGTGCCAAAGGGCATTCCCGTCGGCCATATCTGCAAGCTGCAGACTTTTGCAACGGAAATCGAGACCGTCCTTTTCTCTGCTTCTTTGTCCCGGCATGTTGGACCAGGGTGCGTCTCATGGTCCAGAAGCAAGGCAGCGTCTGACGGCCAGTCATCGTCTCCCACGGCCAGATCCTTCTCCTTTGTCGCGGGCTGCGTTTTCAGTCCTAATTTCGCCGCTTTCTTCGCCAGTTGGCATCTCTTTGTGGAGCCTTGTCCTCTGCGAGTAAGGTAACGGGTCCAAGATGTCCAGACGGAAAGAGCACATAATTCCCGGAGCCGCCAACAAGGGGCTCTGGCTCAGCCCAGAAGGGTCTTTCTCGCTGTGGACTGTGGATGCGCTATACGAAATCCTCGCCAGAGAGAGATGGCCAAACGTTCCACGGAAGCGACAGCATCCAAAAATACCAAACAAAAAATCGGATGCTCTTGTCCAATGAGGTTTAGTGGGACTCTCATGACCCACTAAATAGTCTCCTGTTTCTGATCGCTGTTAAGCCGCTTGCAAGCTAAGCGATGATTGGCTGATTTGGCCTTTGACAGCCTCCTCTGCTTGACGCCTCTTCATGCCTCTCATCCAACCGCTGGCTCTCTGGCGCATGTCGGCGGCAAGATTGAGTGATTCATGGTATTTGACCCGCAATGGCTTTGATCCTTGTAGGAAGACAAAGTACGCATGTGTATATGGATCATCTAATTTCGTTTTGTTGTTCTTTCACACGTAATCACCCTAACCTATATACAAATAAGGGCGTTCATCTTGAGTCGGAAGGTATATGTAATGTAATAATAGATAAGTCTAACGAACTACTTAATTATATATTCTTGCATACGAAGAAGCACTTGAGAGCAGAAAAAAACACCGAAAGGGGTCGTGCTACTAGCATTATCATACAGAACAGATTACATCTTCCGCAACCGCTTACCGTAAGCTGTTCATGTATCTGGGGATTTGCTTGTATTTCGTAACTCGGTTGTTTTCGAAAGATTGGGTTTATTTCCGAGCTATTGGTGGATTAAATTATGAACAAACTATGCAAGTCGTTGACGAGCCGGTGAGAAGTTCGATAGAGAATGAAGGGATGTAGGACTCAACGCATCTTACGGGATCTAGAGCAGCGGGGTAAAGTGTGCGCTATTACGGATAAAGGAGGAGGGTGCCTGAGGGGAACTCAACTCGGGAGTTGTGCATGCTCTCAAGGTTATTAGAGCATCAGAGAGCGTATAAAATGGCCAAAGATCATCTAACTAGCTACTAGGTTGTAGCAACAAGCGGAGATCAATTTCCAAACAGCAGCTTCCTTCTTCCGTGAGCTCTAATAAAGGCTATTTTTTAGAGTGACAATGATTTCCAGGCACATTCTGCCTCTTGTCGTCGGGCCATTCCTCGTCGCCTCTGCCTTTGGCGGATATTCGGCGTCTCTTTCCTTTGAGGATACGGATTACGGCCCTGAAGACTTGCTGGTCAGGGACTTTCTTGTGCTGGGCGGCGGAGCCAGCGGCACCTATGCTCGCCGGTGCGATTGACGGACTACAACCGTTCCGTTGTCCTGGTCGAGAAGGATAATCGGCTTGGCGGCTGTACGCACACGTACATCGATCCGGTGTCGGGAAACACGACGGACATTGGAGTTCTCACGTACGACAACCTCACGGAAGTGCGGGCCTTTTTTGGGCGCTTTGATATCCCGCTTGCACTTATAGAGGACCAAGATACAACCAGTGCATACGTCAACTTTCGAAACGGCCAGCCGGCAGCCAGTCCAGACCAAGCTACAATCCAGGGCCTTTTGGGCTACTTCGATACGCTGGCCCAGTTTCCCTACCTCGCAGACGGGTTCGATCTGCCTGAGCCCGTGCCGGAGGACTTGCTTCTGCCGCTGGGCGACTATCTTGAAAAGTACAATTTGAGCAGCATTGCCTACTTCATCTTCGACCAGGCGCAATGCCAGGGAAACCTGCTTGACCAGCCGACACTGTATGTGGCCAAGTACTTTGGAACGGTTAACAAGGCGTCTGTGGTGCACGGCTATCTCACGTCGGCGCGGCTGAATAACTCGGAGCTCTACTCGGCATCGCAAAAGCACCTCGGTTCAGACGTCCTGCTACAAAGCCAGATTCTAGGGCTCCGGCGGACCGGACACGGCGTCACGGCAATCGTTTCCACTCCGTCGGGAAAGAAGCTCGTCAAGGCCAAGAAGCTGATATCGTCCATCTCCCCGCAGCTCGACAGCGGCAACCTCGCCGGCTGGGATCTCTCTGCCAAAGAAACGAGCCTTTTCGGACAGTTCAACAGCTCGGCGTACTGGACCGCGTTGGTGACTAATACAGGACTGAGCAGCTCGGTGATGTGGAAAAATACAGACCCGGCGCAGGTCCTAGATATCCCTCGGCTCCCGCAGGCCTACGTGATCTTCCCGACGGGCACCATCGAGAACGTCCTGCACGTCTACTACGGCAGCCCATACGCAATTCCGGAAGAGCAGGTCAGACAGGACATCGTTGCCGAAGTGCAGCGAGTGCAGGCACTGGCCGGCGTGCCCATCACACAGCCGGAGTTTCTGATCATGGATGCCCACATACCTTTCCAATGCACAGTAAGCACGGATGCGATCCGCAAGGGGTTTTACAGGGACCTGAACGGACTGCAGGGCGAGCTCAGCACATTTTGGACGGGAGCAGCATTCCACACTCACGACTCGTCGTTGTTGTGGCAGCGAACAGAGAAGCTGTTGCCGTCTTGGTTGGCATAGGGTTTATTTTGATCCTCGCCTGCATTTCTATAAGTGCTATGTCAGCCCTACTTGGCTTATTTTACTTTCAAACATACCAACCACATTGTGAATTTCGTGAGCCTCTTGTGAAATTACTACAAAACGACACAAAACGACATATACGAACCAAGTACACAAAGTGCTCTTATAGCCATGCTACATCACGGAGTTGGAGGGAGTTTATAACAGAAGTTATCCACCTCAAGTGAACCACTTCTGTTCTCGCTGTTTCAAACACACGTCGCCTCATCATTGCCTTATGATGAACATGTCATGCAATGTGCTTGCTACCAGGTTCATGTCTTGCCTCAATGCTTCTGTACTATGACTTTGCACGAAGCTATCCTCGCTCGAACGCTACCTCTGCGACATCGACGGCCAACCTGCCTAATGCCAAAATGCTGACCGCCTGGTCACGGACACGAGTGTGAGCGCAATGCAGCCAGGTTGTCATAATTATCAGCTCCCTCGCCGACTTCACGTCGTGCACGGGGACGTATGCGATAAGCAGGGCGTATCTCGAAAAGCTCACTGGGCATGCGTTGTGTAGGAGGCTTGAATCCCAAGTTCATCCGGATGCAAGGAGGGATAAAATGCCCCTCTGCGTAAGCCAAACTCTGTACGGAGTAGAGATTCCGGAGAGAAGCCACATTGGTCAAGTATCACCGCCAATCAACTTGTTCGCTGCTTATCTTCAGATACTGGAGTTTGAATAGAGCTGTTTTTTTCATCAATTCCGCTTCTCGTACTTCTCGTTTCTCTCGTTTCTCACGGACATAGAAATAAACGAGGTCATCGACATGAATTGTTTATGTGATACGTGCGAGAAGACGCTTAGACTTACCACCTTCGATCTCAGGCCGAAAAACGGCAAGCTAACCCAACAATACACTCTACATGACTCAATAAAGTCTTTTCTCGACTCAGTAGACAAGAAGTGCTTTATCTGCTCACGTCAATTCGAGAGACTAAGTGCCAGAGGGCGGGAGTTAATGAGAGCCAGTAAAGAGTTACCTACACCAAATGTCGTCAGCATTGAAGCTCGAAAGCACTCGTTACCAGGATGCATTGAAATGACAACTGACTTTACTCTGCCATTGACAAACTTTCCTTACGATTGGCCAAACATCACATCCCTAATTTTTGAGACACGTCAAACCCAACTTACCATTGCTCAATCCTGGCACATCTTCGTTGATGATACGTCAGAACACTCGCCTGTTCTAGTCAGACCCTCGTCAGATAACACCAATTCTCCGCAGACGGTTGAAACCATCAGGAAGTGGGTCCAGATATGCGAATCGAAGCATACTGTCTGTAATGGTCGGCGGAGGAATCCATTGTGGCATCCAACCCGTCTTCTAGATCTTGGCCCCTTAGGCGGGCCCTATAGCAAGACATGCCGTGTGGTTAGTCAACAGGATGCTTTGCCCGACGAAGCATATGCCACACTTAGTCACCGCTGGGGAAATAAGCATATGGTATGCCTCACAACAGACAACATGATCGACTTTGCTGGGAATGGGGTTCCGATTCCATCCCTAAGCCAGACTTTCCAAGACGCCATTTTCTACGTACGAGCTATACTGATACATTATCTTTGGATCGACTCCCTTTGCATTATTCAAAAAGGTGACGGGGGAAAAGACTGGCTCCGAGAATCGGCGACCATGCAACATGTGTATCGGAACTCGTATATCAACATCGCGGGTGACTAGGGTGTGGACAGTGACGGCCTTTTTTTCTCACGGGAAGTCGACCAGTTCAGACAAATTCGAGTTGAGCTCTAGAGGTGACCCGGTCGCCGCTCAGCAGTTGGGGTTGGGTACTACAAGAGCGTCTACTTTCGCCTCGCAATGTTCACTTCACCGGGAAGGTCCTGGAAAAGCGTTGCGCTTATTACTTGAGCAACATTGGATATAAAGTGACCGACCAGCCTTACCAGTACTGGTTTGATATTATGGAGGCATTCGGAAACTGCCGGTTCACGTACAATTCCGATAGACTGTTTGCAATATCTGGTCTAGCGAGGGATTTCAAGTTGTTACTGGACGATACCTATGTCCTTGGGATTTGGACGAAGCATTTGGCAATCCAAATGGCGTGGGAAGCCGCTTACCCCCTCCTGGAACGGGAAACGTTTATCATTGAGGGCGATGCACATACGTCAACGTGTCAGGTACCTACATTTTCCTGGGCTTCTTGTATGTGGGATTTTACTCCACAGCATCCACTACAAGGTGGCGCATTGCCGGAGACGCAATGCGTGCGGTACCGCTCTTCGAACCTTCTAAACGTAACGACACCACCGAAAGAAGATGTGGCCATCACAGAAGACATTTTCGAGCCGGGACCGGAACCTATGGTGGAGGTGAGAACGGTTGGCATGCTAAGGCGTGCTGTTCGAGGCCAGGGAGTAGGAGAAAGTGTTCGTGCGTGGTCGGATTGTCCTCCAGCAAAGTTTCTTGAGCTTGCAACCGAAGCCCGAACCTTTTATTACATGCCCTGGCAAGACACGTACAGTCAACCAAATGCTTGTATATACGGCAGATCCAACTGGAAACTCTTGCTACTGGATCTCGTTGATGGAGCAATGGGATGCTATCGTAGGATAGGCTACACTAATGTTCGCACACTCCAACAGGACATTTTCATGGCACCACAAGAAGACGAGCAGTCGATTCCTTGTTGGTCTTATGATGTGGAAACGGGTAAACACACAATTTATATAGTGTAGTGCTAGACCTTTCTATGCTAAAGCCATCTGCCACTCAATGGGGTATACAAAGACTAACAGCTCTTAGGATATCTTTCAATACATAGCCACACGTAGAAGCCGACATACAGGTAGATCCCATTATCGATCTCCGAGGGTAAGGTATTACAATGGTATTTCCTATGGTAGTTACCACAACTCGCCCAAGTCTCCAACACAGTCACTAGCTAGACTCATCGCCCACCATGGTGGCCTCGCTATCGCTGTCGTAGCGCGGCCTCTTTGCCGTCAGGTCGATGACGACGGGAGGCGGCCTCTTATGGGGCCGGTCTTCGTCGAGGTCCGAGTCGGCGGTGTCGGCCAGCGAGACGACGGTGGCACCAGAGACGGTGGACCTGCGCACGCTCGTCTTGAAGATGCGGTTCTGCTTGAACGGCGAGCTGGCGGACGAGGTGGCGGTGACAGTAGTCAAGGGTGTCTGCCTGTTTTTGGGAGACGGCCTGCAGGATGACGGTGGTCTAGGATCTTCATCCAGACTGCCGAGCCAGGCCTCGCGCACGGCAAGGCCGATGGCCATAGCGAGTGGTCGTGCGACAGCGTTGCCGACCATCTTCCACTGGTCCTTGGGCGAGCCGACGAGGACGTCATCGTCGGGCATGCCCTGGGCGCGGCGAACCTCGAGGACGGTCAGCGGGCGTCTGTGGCGCCAGTGCAGGACGGCGCCGGTCCATCCGTCGGCGGCGTTGCAATTGGTAGTGACGGTGGCGAGCAGGCGAGTCGGGTCGACGCGCTTGTAGGCGTTGGTGGTCATCTTGGCGGCGAGCACGTGATCAGTGAAGAGGACGCGAAGCGACGGCGAGGTCGCGGGGTCCTCGTGGCGGCGGGCCATGGCACGAGGCACGTTCATGCCAAAAGGAAACGGGGGAACGTAAGCGATCTGAAGGCGCATCTGGTCGGACGTGTCGGCGCAGACGCGATGATCGGGATGGGGGATGCAGACATCGACAAAGCCGTCATCGACACAGGCAGCCGGGCCAATCTGCAGGTCAGCAGTGGCGCGGCCGATGGACACAAACGGAAAGGCCGTGGGACCATCCCAGGCCTCGGCGATGCAGTCACCGTTGGCAAGGCCGCCGACAGCCGTCGTCGCGTGGAAGTCGGATGGGCTTCCGTGAGACGGCAGCGGAAAGACCGGCAGGCGGACGGCGGGCGCGGCAAACAGCAGAAAGACGCGCTGACGACTCTGAGGCGCACCGTAGGCCCAGGCGTTGCCCAGATGGACGGCGACCTGGTAGCCGAGACCGACGAGAGCGCAGAGCAGCTGTCCAAAGATGTCTTCCCGGTGGTTCTTGTCCTGCTGTCGCGGCTGGCGGGCCACAAAGGCCGGCACGTTCTCGAGCACGCCGTACAGAGGTCGGTACAGGTCTACCATCGACGCAAACGACGCCACCATCGACCGGTTCTTGTACTGCTTGGGCGCGGCCTTGTCGCTGGTCAGGACCGAGAAGCCCTGACACGGACTGCCGCCCGAGATCAGGTCCACCTCGCCCGGTGCTGGCACTGCTCGCGAGTAGCGTCCCTGCAGTGCGCGTGCCAGAAGCTCGTCAGCCGAGCCCAGAAACGGCTCGACCGCGTCGGCTGTCGCTCGGTTCGCCATCAACGTGTGGATGGCCCGGTCCCAGATGTCGTTGGCCCAGCGCGTCTCCACCACGCCGGCGTCTTCCAGCCCGCGACCCAGACTGCCGCAGCCGCAGAACAGGTCTAGTGCCCGCAGCTTGCGCTGGCACGTCGGCGTCGGGTGAAAGCCCTGGCGCAGCGAGACCGGCTCCTGGAGGGGGATGTAGGTTGGGGATGAGGTGGTGTTGGATGTGGCTGGTGCCGTGGCTGATGCGGCGCACTGTGTATTGCTGACTAAGCACTCCTTGTGCGTCATAAAGAACAGGTTCCCCGCGCCGCCGCGATTATACGGTGACGGAATCGAGCTGTCGGCTGGGAAGACGCGGACGACACAGCGGCCGACGATGCGGCTGGCGGGCAGCGATACGATCTGCTGGCTGTACACGAGCTCGTTGTCCGCAGCTGCGGGTGCGGTCGCATCGACAGCCCGCCGCCGCAGCAGTCGCCGCAGTCTTGCCATCGGGACCGGCTCTCCTTTGATGGAGTTGTCGTCGGCAAAGAGAGCGACAATCGCAAACGGCTCTGAGCGGACATCGTGCGCGGCCAGTGTGGCCAGCACCGTGTCGCCGACGGCTAGCGGCCGTGCAGCTCCAGCATAGCGATTAGAGCCGGCATCGACCAGGTCGGCGAACAAGGCCAGCATCGGGCTGCTCTTGCAGACGGTATGCTCGGCTTGCAGGCGGACGAAGCACCTGTCGGCACAGAGGTACGTCTGGCGCACAAAGAAGTCGGCAGTGGTGTCGGGACGACCAAACCAGTCGACCGAGTGCACGGCGACGACGTCGTGCTCGGCTAGGAAGACGTCCTCGTCGCAGGTGCAGTGATCCGACAGGAAGAGCTCGTTGCGCCACGGATACCGCATCTGGCGACAGGGCGTGTGCTCGGGCGCATAAAGCCAGGCCACGTCGAGGCGCCGTCCGGTCGGAGAGCTGCTCGTCACCCGGTGCACCAGCGCGTACCAGAACGGGCTGCGCTCGCCCTCGGCACTCCAGCCAGACCCTGATGCCGTCGAGTCGCGCAGACACGAGATCACGTCGCCTACCTGGATCGCCCGTAGGGCCGCCTGTTTGTCGGCAGCCTCGGGACCTGTCCGGAACGATGTCTGGCACTGGGGCAGAATCGACGTCGCATCACCGCATCGAGCCACACCCTTGCCCGGGGTCTCCTGCAGATACGGTCCGATGGCCAGGTGTGAGAAAAGCCGGTAGTTGTAGGGCGTCACCACCGTCGGCTGCACCGGCTGGCGGTCTAGGTCTGGCGTCCAGTTGTGGTACAGCTGGCACGAGACCTCGCGGAAGAAACCGATCGACCGGCCACGCTCCTCGCCCAGAATCGAGCTTACCTCCTTCCACAGATACTCTCGGTGGGCCGTCACGGCTGTGCGGAAGTCGTCGCGCCCAAACTGCGCGTGCCATCGCCGACAGGCTGTCGACTGTCCGTGTACTCGTCGCAGCCACCGCGCAAAGGCTGTCTTGAAGTGGGACAGCCGCACGCCGCGTCCGTCGCTCGTGAGATGCTCGCAAAAATCGACAAAGTGCTTGCCCAGATCGACGATCCAGAGAAAGGGCCGGAAGAAGCGCTTGTACACCACCGATGGCCGTCCGAGCCGGTAGAACACGTTCCGCGTCCGGCCCACCTCTGATCGCAGCCACACGCTCTCGGCTGCCGTATCGCAGTCCGCCCCGTAGTTGTCTACCGGTACTTCCACCACCGGCACTCGCTGCACGTAAAACTGCCTGCTGCTGCCACCGACGCTGAGGATCCCGTCAAAGTACAGTCGTGGGCTGAGCCGCTCGTCTGTCCCGAGATGGTGCAGCGACACCAGACGCGCCTGCGTCTTGTCTGGGTCTCGATAGATCTCAAACTCGTCTAGTTCCAGCTCGACATAGTCCTTGTCGATACAACGTAAGCGTGCCGTCGCCAGCAGCTCGTCCACCGCCGTCGTCTCGACCGTCACTGCTAGCCGCGGCTCGTAGTTGACCGCCACAGACCGCGGACTCGTCACCGTGGATTCCGGCAGCTGCACGCTCAGTGCCCGCGCACCCTCTCTCATTCTTGGCCGGTCGTCGCCAAGAAAGTAAACAAAGACGCCCAATCGCTACACCCTGCCTAGCTTCAATGCCTGGCGTTAAGGCCTGTCCTGTAGCGCACACTCGCAACGCGTCGGACCAACAGACAACGCACGCCGGACAGAGAATAAAATCACTTGGTTGGCTGGGTAAGTGAATGTCCCGTTTTCAGCTTTGCTGCGCCGAATTGTGGACTTGGAGGAGGCTGGGAGTTGAAAACTAGCTCAAGCGCTGATTGGTCAATTCGACTACAGACAATTCAGCCCAGTGCAAAGCTCTATTACGCCTAGACTATACACCTGGACGCACCCGAGACCAGAAGGCTGCATTGTGCTCTTGTCGGTGCCACCGCACAAACGCGTCTGCATCCTCCTGCGTCGGCCATCGCCACGTGCAGTATTTTCTCTCCTGCAGTGCGCCCATCTGCCGCTCCAGCTGCTCCAGCACCGACCCTGTCACCTGCGTCTCCGCAAACGCCCGAAACATGACCAGAACACGGCCTATCGTCGAGTACTGCCCGTTCAGCACGTCCTTGGCATCCTCCAGCACCGTCTCGTCTTCCCACATCCGCAGTATCCACCCTACCGCCTGCACCATCCCGTCCACGTCCCCCATATACCCCAGTGTCTGCATATAGCTCTGCAAGCTGCCGGCTGTGAAATTGTGTCGCGTTGCCGGATGGTGCTGGCTGGCCGGAGACCCGCCTGCCATCTCCGAGAATGCTGAAACGATCGTCGCATGTGCCATCCGCAGCAGCGGCTGCAGGTCGCCGCCACCGTCTGTCGTCAAGCCCATGTCCGTCCACCGCAGACATTTCTGTGTCGCCTTGCAGAGACCGTCCAGCACCACAACATCCACGCCGCCGCCCATCTTCACCAACCCAAAGACTCGCAGCGCCAGTCCCAGCGCCTCGCGGTCGTGGAACCGCCTGTCTTGTGTGTTCTCCGCGCTGACTAGCAGCTTCGGCTGTGCCAGTGTCTGCATGATCGTATGCCACGGAGCCTTGTACGTCTGCCCATCGTCCAGCGTCGGACGGAGCCGCTGCGCACAGATGTTGATCGCATGGTGGATGAGCCCTGCACGCCGCATCTTGCCCAGCCGAGCAGGCTCTGCCGCCAGTCGTGGCTGGAATCGGCACATCAGGAAGATGTACGCCCCCAAGTTGCCCAGGGGAATTTGCTGCAAAACTTCGAGCGTCGGCCCGGCGGCCGCATCACGTCGACGGTGCCGTGAGATCGTGCTCGAGTCGGCCGAAGGCACATGAGGGAGCTGTAGTGCAGATATGGCCGCCTTGTCCAGTGGGCTGTCGTGCAGATACCGCATCGCTGCCTGCATCGACGGCGCATGCTGTATCAGCACCGAGAGACAGTCGCCGACCGGCCGGGTGCCGTTGTGCAGCATCTGCGAGTACAGCCCCTCTACTGTCGGTGGTCGCAGCCGCTGCTTCTCAAACGTCGTCAGCGTCGCATCGTTGACCGGGAACACTTCGCGCGCATCGCCCGGCAACAACGCATGAGCTGGATCTGGCAGTTGGTTGACCGGTATTGCCACAAGCTTCTTGAACATCTCTGTGTACACCTGCACGCTTGGCTGCAGCCCTTCGGTCGGGCTGGTCTGGAACTCGTGCCACGCCTCGTTGATGTCGCGCGTGGCCTTTACCCGTGCCGCCCAGGTCGAGAATACGTTCAGGTTGGCCTGACGACCCGTCCACGTTCGCGGGCTCAGCGATCGCGTCTGTACCGTTGGCGCCTCGCCGGGCAGGACGCCGCCCAGCACACTGAGTGCACGGTCATGCTCCATCTCCGAATATCCCGCTTCGTGCATGAGAACCCCGGCCTTGACACTCCTGCTGAAGTCGTCTGCCGGCTCTCGCTTCTCGTCCAGGCCGTCCCAGTCTCGCCGGTACGGCGGCCATGTTCGCATCATCCGCAAGGCAACCCGTCGCTCTGCTGGCGACTTGCCCAGCGCCAGCATCACCCTGCGGATCGCCCGGAAGCCCGACCGGTTGATGAGCAGTGGCCGCGGCAGCGTCGTCGACATGGCGAGCATAATCTTTTGCGCCCGCCAGTTGTAGCGCATCTGGAACACAGGCTGGACGGGGGACTTGCGCTGGAACATCACCAAGGCGTAGTTGAAGATAGAGCACGCGTCTGAGTACGCTTTCCGCCCGTTCTTGGCCACCTGCTGTGTTATCTCGACGTACAAACACACCAGCTTTGCAAGTGCTGGAAGTGCCGACGGCCATACCCGAAGGTAATGGTACACGAGAAGGCGAAACAGCGTGGCAAAATTCCACCGTGTCATGTTCAGACCAGGGTCCAATGTGCGTCGCACAGCTCCGAACGGCAGCGCTGCATCTGGAGGAGACGCTTTGGAGCGAACGTGGTGGCGGTAGACATAGTCATAGATGGACTGGAGAGAGCTTCCCTTCTGGAATCTCTGGTCGTGCCGCAGCAGCTGGAACAGAAGAAATATCGGCTTCGGTCGGTCCACCGAAACGAACCGTTCAATTCGCTCGTCCGCATCTTTTCCTTCCATGATCCAAACCCAGTGCTGAATGTCCCCCTCGGAGATGCCCTTGAATGCTAGGCTGTTCAGTCGAGTGCGCCACTGCCCATCGTCACACAAGCTCTGCGAGAGGCTGGTCTTCATTTGCGCCTCATCCTTCCGTATCATCATCTGCAGCGTCACTATCGGAAGTCGCAGGCTCCGACTCCTCGCTGCCTCGTCGAACCGCTGCCATGCCCTGAACGTCAAAGGCGTCGTTCGGCTCCGGAGCCGCAACGCAAACGTTCCACTGGGCGAGTCGCGGAGGTACTTTGGGAACCTCCGATGACGGCGCCAGCCGACCGTAGTACCAGAGCTCTTCTTCGGCTCGGCTGCTGCTGAATGTCGTAGCGTCTTCGAATAGCCAGCATGAAAGTGAGAGATGTGGTTCAAGCCAAGGCCCAATTCTGGGCCGAGCCGCACCGCATCCCTATGACGGATGATCCTCGAGACCAGCATGAGGAGATCACACGGTGGGCAACCATCTCGACGTGCGAGGGAAAATACAATGGTTTGGTGACGACGCAGCACGGCGAGAATTAACTTTCCTAGTCGTAGTCCCAAAAATTGTAACTGCTAAAAGAAGAACGCTGAATGGCTGATCCATGTCACGAGCATGATCACGTGACACCGTGCTACCCTGGCCCGCAACCTTTCCGCTCATGCAGATGAAATCGCGACGTGACTTGCAGCTTAATAGAGGGGAACATCTACAACCAATAGAGAAAATACGCCGAGAGGATGGCGATACCGTCACCTTTCGACCCAGTACTGTTGACAGACTGAGACTTCCCGATTTCACCGAAGAGAGCGGCCGGCCAACCCACTTCGTACCTGAACAAGATTGCACATAGCTAAAGAGGAACCTTCTTCCAATATGCCAGCCCTAAAACGAAAGCGCCTCCAAGATGAGGAACAGAGCAAGCTACTCCCAGATGAGAACAGCCGAACACGACGTGTGACGCGCCAAATATCGATCCTTCCTCCCCCGCTCCCCGTACCACCGAAACCAACTTCCCAAGGACGCTCGTCACGCGCCAATCCGACTGCTGTAGCGAACCCACAAGATGGCACTAGAGTGAAGGCGCGCGGTCGAGGACGGCCACGGCGAGAACCTGACACTGCTGCGGCTCAGGCTGGACAGGAACCAGACAGAGAGGATTCGGTCACGCGAAGAGGAAAGAGAGGCGACAACACGACGAGTACCAACGTCGGCCACCAAAGAAAGGCGCGGAAAGGGCGACAGCCAGAGTCCTCTGCCGCTGCCTCGGAACGGAAGACGAGACGATCGGCCAAGACGTCAGATACTGTTCCAGATTCCGAGGCCGAGGTGTCTTCGGCCGACTCTACCTCCGGGGAGGAAGAAGACCGAGAAGAGGGGGAGGAGGGGGGGAAAGAGAACGGAGACGACGAAGAAGCAGAAGACGGCGAGAAAGAAGCCGAAGCCGTCTCGAGGACAGCTCCATCGATGCGCCGTCCAAAGAGGTCGGCAGCCCCGGCTGTCGCCACAGCGCCTGCGGCACGGATGATAGCCAATAAGACAAGCCCACTAACAGCAGACGGGAAGGAGCCATCATTTCAAACGCCGGTAGAGGCATCCAGAACAGAAATCGTCTTTAATCACATCTCGTCTTCCCCGACCACCACCCAGCTCCAGTCGGCCACAGAGATCCAGCCGGCATCCGTGCCTCTACAAAATCGAACCGCAGATGCCACTTCGGTCCTGTCACCAGCCTCGATTACCGCGCAGGAGCAGAAGCAGCCGCTCTTGTCGCCCAAGCTGCTAAAATCTGGCCTCGCATCCATGAGCCCAGCGACGAATGTGCCTGCGGTAATCCCGGGCAGGCGCGCATCGCAAAGCACTTCCTCCGTTGGCTCGTCTCTGCAAGCACCGGCACCGCCGCCCGGCTCCGGTCAGCCTGATCGTAACATCGACAAGGTTGTCCTGGGCAAGATTTGCTTCCGCGCCTGGTACCCGTCGTACTATGGCAAGGAAGTGCTGGGCGAAACGGCAGGAAGCACGCACCACGGCAAGGGCCACCCGACCAGCGCGCATTCCGGCCAAGGAAGCGGAAAGGACAGCCACCACGGAGCCCATCGCAATCCCCAGCCCATACTGGACCGCCTTTACGTCTGTCCATGGTGCTTCAAGTACTCCAAGGAGATAGTGCCCTGGTGGGGTCATGTGCAGGCTTGCGAGCGGCAGTTCCAGATCCCGGGAGAGAAGGTTTACGTACACCCAAAGGGAATCCGGACGGTGCGGGTGCCTGTGCAGCCGACTCCGAAGACGAGGCGCAGAAGGGGCGGTGGTGAGCCGGAAGTCCAGTATGTCGAGCAAGTGGTCAAGGACGAGGGCGAATGGAGCATCTGGGAGGTGGATGGCGAAAAGGACGGGGTGAGTAAAGCTGGCATAGCCTACTGTTGTCATCTGTGCTGACTCGACCAGCTCTTCTGCCAGAACCTGTCGCTATTTGCAAAGCTCTTCCTCGACAACAAGTCGGTCTTTTTCGACGTCACTGGTTTCAACTACTTCCTGCTTGTCTACACGCCGCCACCTCCTACAGCAGAGACGTCCACTACGACATCCGATGGCCTTCATGCCAAGAGCGCGGAACAAGAGGGCGTCGGTTCCCTGCCGCGCTCGCGAGTGATCGGCTTCTTTTCCAAGGAAAAGATGTCGTGGGATAACAACAATCTTGCCTGCATCCTGGTGTTCCCTCCATGGCAACGCAAGGGCCTAGGGGCACTGTTGATGGGAATATCCTACGAGATTTCGCGTCGTGAAGAGGTCCTTGGCGGCCCGGAAAAGCCGATTTCGGATCTTGGCAAGAAGGGGTATAAGCGATTCTGGGCAGGCGAGATCGCGCGCTGGTTGCTGAGCTTGACCGTGCCCTCGGAGCAGAGCAGTAGCCAGTCTGGCGACGGCAGCGAGGAGAAAGCGCTGGTGATCGACATTGCCGACTGCAGTCGGGCGACATATATTGCGCAGGAAGACTGCCTGCTCGTTCTGCGGGAGATGGGTGTCGTGGAAGATGCCGGCATGGGACCGCCTAAAAGTCAGTATCGCAACACGCTGCTGCTGAGTGACGAGCCCGGAGCCGGACTCGAAGGCCGTTCAATGTCTCCGGCGCCAGAATTGACGGGTGGCGGAAAGGCTGCGCCGGCAGCCCTGGTGCCGGTAACGGGCGCCGTCCCACCGACTGCATCGGGTGTCTTGGACGGAGGGACGGCACCAGCACCGGCATTGTCCGAAAAACAGGACGTGCCAAAGGAGGTGCAGAGGATCCGCATCGCCAAAGCGACTGTGCGCCGGTGGGTAGCGAAGAACCGGATCAGTCTGGAAAAGGCGTGCGATCCGGCAGGGTTCATCAAGATCTATTCAAAAAAGGACTTGCAGCAAACGACAGATGAATGAGGCCTGATGCTGTCTCGAATCCGGGACAGCCCGGAGACATATACCTCGGGTACTTTGAGTCAGTAAATAATGTGTGTAAGAGTAGAGGCAGTGTACGAAAGAGCAGTGTGAACCAGCAATGATCAATGCATGCACGCCCTGCCACTGCGTTAGAGCAGAGCGCTGGAAGCACTGGGACCCAGAGGCCAGCTCCCCCTACAGAGCAGAATCGCAGAGAGCCCCACAGCGCGTCAATGGCACTCTCGCAGCCAAAACGGAGCGGGGGGACGACTCCCCGATTTAAGGCCGGCTAGGGCGTTCGTCAGAGACGGTCGAGACGGTTCGTCATTCCCGTAGCGGGGACAGGTATCCTGGCTCCGTCTCGAGCGAGATGGCCAAAGTATCCAAAAATCGTTCATACTGTGTCCATGGAGCACGATCGCCGTATTGTGCTGTTCTCTCGTGGGTCCGTTTTTTTCTTTTCTCAAACCGCCAAACGGAATCACACAGCATCAATCGGCGAACTCAGCAACAAATGCCATACTCTGGGGTGAATCGATGCCGAGAGCATTGATTCGGTGCAGTGCACCTGCACACGAATAACAAATATCGCGCACTCGTAGACAGAAGAAACGGTGTAGGGCCACCCGTAGACAAGCCCTGTAAAGTTCTCCGTATTATAATTTCCAGCGCTCACTGTTCGTTCTGACTTGTAAGATACCTGAAAGATACCTGCACATCCGAGAGTTTCCGAAAAATAGAGTGGCGGATTTGTGCGCAGTAGCTTAGGTACCGTGGAAAGAAACGGAAGCATTATTACGGAGCATAGCGCTCGAAAAAAAAGAAATGCGAATAAGCGAGTGTGGCGCTCAGGTGAAAACATAAACATAATAAAAGCACTAACCGGATCTGGCGAGATCTCGTAAAACGCTTAGCACGCAGAAAAGATCGGGCAAATAATTATATGGCAGTCCAGCTGGTCACATCTGCAGCAGTCTGCATCGCAGCTATAGGGATAAAATTCCAGCTTCGAAAAGGTTGACTATACCTAAAGTCACAGTCGTCCCAGCGGCTGCCGAAGTAATATAACATTCCGCTTCTCGATATTCTCTGCTAGGGTGGTTCTTGTAATTACGCTCTGCAGTACTCTGTAAAAGTAATAGAAACCGCCTAACCATTGTTGACAACTCTTTGAGGGAGATCCAGGCGGTTTGGCGAGTTTCGCAGGTATACTCCGTACTTGCGGGGAGCCTTGCCGCTTCCCGACCAAGTCGTTCCGAGAGCCCGAAGAGGGCCGTTCTGCGCCTCAGGCCGTCTCCGTTTCCGACGTCGTGCTGTTCCATAACTCTCGAGAAACGGCCGCTGGGCACAATCGGGCAGACGGACGAGTTGTGCCTTCCTGATGGAATTGTCGTAACGGAGTTGCCCATAGCAAGAATTGTCTAGGTACACGCGTGGCCCGCACACTGACCTCTTAGAGCAGGTACCCAGTACCTCATGTGCCTGGCGCGCTTGGCACTGGTGCTGCTGCTAAGTGGGGGCTGAGGGTCTCTGTGGCTGCAAGTACCCACTGTTTGGCGAAATATGGACTGCGGCGGGAGCAGCAAGCAGCCAATAAGGACGCCCAGAGCAGCGGGAAGAGGCGTGGCTCTATCACCTGGGTGTTCCGTCACACAAATGGAAAAATCTTATCTCAACGCAGCTCAGATTCGATGCCTCCGACCACAGGCCAGCAGCGCGCCCATCGCACCCATCGGGACGGCTGTCTCTCGCGCTTGCGGCTGCTCAGAAGCAGTTGCCGTCGGGAAGGAGCTTGACGAAAGCCCATACTCTGTAGAGGGGTCGGGGTCGCTTCGTCATGGTTCTGTCCCGCAATCCCATCACCAACGCCGCCATGGATCATCGAAGTTGTCCGCACTGGCTCCGGCAAAGTGGACATGCCTCGTCAAATCCCTTAGGTCTCTGCACGTTCTGATTCGTCCGTCTTCCGACTTTGTCCGAAACGGAGGGCCCCAGTGCACCACACGCACCCCAATCCTTGCAGCTTGGTTCCTTCTTCATTTTTGGCATGCACTCGTATGCGGTTTCGTCTGCCCTTCTTGCTCGGCCAGCTTCAGGTTGTCATCATCCAGTCTTCCTTTCGCAATTGTCAAGCCTCGTCCGTCCTTCTCGGTTCGGGCTTTGTTCTAGCCATACGCAGTCAAACTGGAGCCAGTAATCTCCATCTCTGGACACACGTCATCCGTTGCCCATGTCCCCCGTAAGCTTTGATTCTGTGCCCTGTGGTGGAGGAAACAGTGGGAACTTTCCCCGGAAGAAATGGAAACGAACGCCTCCACGAGGCTGCTCGTCGAAGCTTGCCCTGAGCGCCCGTTGTAGCTCCCACCCATTGACCTATCAGGTCAACCATCGCCCCCTTGTAGCAGCAGAATGCCTCCGTGCCTCCGTATAGCGTATGCTCCGTAGGCAGACTTCGTCCTGTAGCTGGTCGTCGTAGCGTGTGTGCAGTGTCTTGAGTGAGGTTGTCCGAGAGTACCCACCATCAACCACCAAGGCCAAGCTGGGACCCGGTAGTTCCCACTTCTTTTTTTCCCGGCTTGCACTGAATTCACTCATTCCCCTTCGTCCATTCTCGGCTCCTCCTTTCTCCTTTCCCTGCCCCCCCTTCCCTCTTTTCTCGCTTTTCTCCCACTATTTTTTTCTTTCCCTCCCCTTTCTTCCCTCTCCTCCCACCCTTATCCACACCCCAAACAAAAGAAAAATCTTTTGCCTTGCCTCGCTTTGCATTTTTTCTTCCTCTTCCATCTTCCCTCCATCTTCTGCATCCTCTTTTTTTTTCTGCCTCCTTCGCAGTTTCACATAACCGTCGCAATGGCTTCCCGCGTCCTCGCCTCCAGAATGACCACCATGGCCACTAAGGCCGCTCGTCCTGCCATGCGGACGGTCGCTGCTAAGCGCACCATCACCGGTAAGCCGCCGACAGCTTTCTTTCGATATATTCCCTCCCCCGCCTTTGAACCCCCACCCCCCCCAACAGCGCTGGCTTGTTTGACATCAATTCGGCATCTGTTCCGGCGATGCATTGATTTCAATTGCTCGTTTTGTATGAGGTGTTTTCAAGCAGCTCTCGGAGCTAGAGCTTATCGCACAACTGGCCTCAAATAATTTTCATCCCGGATCATCCGGACAAGCCCAATCGATCAACATGGGCCATCAATTGGTGAATGCGAGCATCATTGCTGACTTTGCCCTCACCAGCTGCCGCCCGCCCGAGCCCGTTCCAGGCCGTCAAGCGCCAGCAGACCCCCAGCCTCCTGGTCCAGGCCGCCACCAAGAACGCCTTCGCTGGCCGCCGCATGTACAGCTCTGAGATCGCCAACGCTGCCGTTGAGGTCTCCAAGAACATTGGTATGGGCTCTGCCGCCATTGGTCTGACTGGTGCCGGTATCGGTATCGGCCTGGTCTTCGCTGCCCTGATCCAGGGTGTCGCCCGCAACCCGGCTCTCCGTGGCCAGCTCTTCCAGTACGCCATTCTGGGTTTCGCCTTCGTCGAGGCCATTGGTCTGTTCGATCTGATGGTTGCCCTCATGGCCAAGTTCGTACGTCTTTACCCCCCTTCCCCGCAATCGCGACTGGGGGCAGCTTTGCCTCCACGGCGCCGAACTCTCAGCTAACCATTGGATCTAGACGTAAACAACGACAATCAGCACGCCTCACCCCTTTCATTCCTGAGGGACCCGAGGTTGGCGTCTCTCTGATCACTCGCCGTTTTTTTGTCGACCCACCATGGCCGCATAGAGGAGTGAACGTTTGGTTGGGAAATGCCGCAATCCAGTCAAATATTGCCGAAGTGTACGATCAACGACAACACGAAAGCAAGATAATCAGGAAATTCGAGGTTTGTAAATATGGAGGGAAAGGCAAACCGAACCTTGTAAAAAAAGAAACAATAAAAATTTTCAACCAAAAATATCTGACCTGGAGACGGGCGAGGCACTTGTTGATTGACGGGAAAAGAGGAATGAATGAAAATAGGGGAATTGAGGTATTGCATTCACCACAATCAGATGGAGATCTACCGGTAATCTCTTTGTATCTGTAAAACGGCTTCTTTCTTATCTCTGAAGCCATGCGACTGTATGAATTTCTGGCGCGTCTTCTCAACACGGATGTGAACTCTAATCTTCATATCCACCACCTTAAGTTGCGAACTGGGTCGTAAACTTGGACGTCAAGCGTCAAATTCACCTTAACACCATGGGGGGTCTGTGGTTAGCGTCGCTGTATGACAGATCGGCTCAATGTCCCACGAGTAGCAAACTGCTGCTGGCTTTGTCAATTTCTCTTGAATCGCATCTCGAAACCAGCGGCAGTCAACTTTTCTCTCTAGTTGACCCATCGGAAAGCATGGTGCAGGCGGCCGTTCCTTCCGGCGCCAAAAAAAACTCCACTTGGAGCTATGAAGGCCTAGCTCTGCCACTCAATTGGATAGGGCAGATAAATTTCAGGTCTATTGGTGGACATTGATAATGGTATTTAATAGTCAAGGCGGCCGTTGGTTTACAACAGGAACACGGAAAATGGATAGAATCGGAAGGAAAATTGGATTTACAAAGTGAGGAGAAGAAAGAGGAGAAGGCAACATCGACCTTTTATAAACCTGCCACTTACGCCAGCCCGGAGTGCACTTTCCCGTTCTGTCTTTATTTCATTTATTTGGCCATGCATGGGTGCGTGTGCGGGGAAAGCTTTGTCTGGGGATGGTAAGATAGTTCCCGATGAGCTATTTCTCGTGTCACGTGATGTCGCACAATGGAACACCGATCATGCACACGGCGAGCATTCGGTAGACGATATCTTACTGTTATGTATGTCGGTTTATTAAGAAGGCGCGGAGTACTTATTAGGTCGGCAACTGACATTTCATACATCAGGGTAAGCCCGGACTTCGTTGTGTCACGATCGTGACCGACCACTACTTCCATTTTGTCCTGGGTACTTTCTGCTGGTATTTAGTCGCGGAAAGACCATACGTTTGGCCTTGGGTGGAGGCAAAGACTTGAGTGCCTCCCACATCTCCCAGATTCCCGTTCGCCGAGTCGGGAGCATGCTGTATTGTAGGCTGTACAGATTCTTGCGATTGATCGGCGGTACAAACTTGCCGGTCAAGAGGCAGAGTAGTACGCGCGGCGAGACGTAGTGTTTGCGGATACGTGAGCCCATGCGAAAATACTGATGGAACATCGCCTTGAAAGACAGAGGAATAGGCTAGAGGAAGTACACCTGTTAGAAGCTCGTACTCTTGTCTTATCTGAGAATACGTGGCGTATACCTTGAGGAAAATAATGGAGGTGGACGGAATGCTTGGCGATGAAGCAGTGGGTGATGCGGTCATAAAGTTATAGGTATCTCGAAGCTCAAAACGAATGCCACCTAGAGGGACAGCAGATTAGCACACGTTTGCGCATTTTCCTCTCCAATAGAGCCTGGTCATTGGTACTAACCCGGGAGGCGCCTTGGATCCTTGACCCGAAGCATGAGGGCAAACAGAGGGAAGTGGTTGAGGAAAGCGAGAAGGGTGTCAAAAACAGCCTTCAACGTGATAATGACCATTCGAGCAATAGCAAAATTAAGGTAGAACACGACGACGGTCGGTAGGAGGAAAAAGAGAAAGGTGAACAGGATGGTGCCGACCAGTAGCTGGTCCAGGTCATAATCACAGGAGTCGATCCGGTTTCGTAAGACGTTGTGTTTTTTGCCCCGGAAAAGGTGGAACAGCGATATCAAGATGGACAGCTGCCAGTGGTATATACGCGCCGATGCGAGGTAGAATGAATATATATGGATCGTCAAAATGGAAAGAAGGTCGGAAAAGAGGGCAATCGGCATGCTGGCCCCAGCAAAGCTGGAGAAGCCGATGAACCAAATGATCTGAGGCAGCGCCGGACGGAGCGCCTCGATGCAGTCTTGCCCAGAAGTTAGCAGACGGACAGGACGGTTCAGAAGAAATTTTCAAACATACTCGCCCAATAGTCAATAACCCATAGAAACAAGTCTCCTAGAAAAGCGGCCAGCTCGCCATTGAGCTTCAGGCCGGCCGGCCACCCCATCAGCCACGATATGCTCCTCTGCAGGGCCTCCACCGTGTATGTGCTCAGTAGGTTACTAATTTGCTCGGCGACCCATCCGGCGTTGTCGATAATGTACGAGCCCAGAGCGATGCCAATGATGACGTCGTTAGCCACCAGCCAGAGGCTGTTGTAAAAACGAATGTAGTCCGGATGGCTGGTCGTCACGCTTTCCCAGTCGTTCTTGCGCTGGCGCAAAGTGACGTACTGCATAGGCCAGTAGCAGAACTGCAGAAGCCGGATTTCTACCTGCTGCGCCGTAGCCGAACTGTCTTTGAGAGCGGCGTATCTCGGCCGCGCCCGCCACTCTAGAACGAGCAGCAGCATCTCAGCAGCGATTCGATGGCCTAGGAGTCCCAGCACGAAGATGCGCGTTATGACGGGCACCACATACATCATGATGAATTCCCAGATCCAGTGGACTACATTGTCCTTCATTGTGGTGGCCGACTCTACAACACGTTCGGACATGCTGAGGACACGCTTCGACCGGGTTCCGATGCGCGACACGTTCTTCTGCAGCAGCCTCTCGAGCTCCCACGACCAGTTGATCTGGTTGACGATCCGTGGGAGGGCGCGTTCCTTGGGCGACGGCGTGCGCCTCACCACGGAATGCAGCTTAAGCTTGGACAGAAGCTGCTGATACTTCTCTTTGCGCAGCCGCTCCTTCCTTTCATCTTCAGCCTCGATTTCGTCTGTCGGTTCTGTTCGGCTGCCTCCCGAGCTGTCGTAGCAATCTTCGAGGGCCAGCGAGATGGGGTTGAGGGATATGTACTGCATGCTGTGCGGGAGGGGCCGTCGAAACAGGACAAGCTGGATGTTGGAGGACCGGGCGCAGGTGACCTGGGGCATGCGCAGGCCCGGGCCTGTTGCGACACGGACCCAGGACGGGTCGATCTCGGGGCTGTTATCGACAGCATTGGACAAGCCTAGGACGTGCATGCTCGGCTGGCCGCATAGCTCATAGATGCGCGAGACCGGGTGCGAGCTGCTTCGGAAGAACGTTCCGACCTTGAGGGCGAACTCAACATGCTGCACGTCTGCGTCTTCCAGGATGGCGACGACAAAGACATCGAGAGGCGAGTTCTTCCACCCCACCACAACGCCAGGGTGCTCCGACCTCGCAATGTCGATGGGCCAAAATATACGCATCAGGCCATCATGCTCTGGCATGACAACCCACGAGGAGTGGCACAACGAAACGGAGGGCCACGTTAAATATGAAGAGGGTGTTCGTCCACGCTTAGAAGGAACCGCGCCGCCTCAATTGCTCTCGCGCCGATATGCCGTACCCAGGAGACCGTGGATGCTATAATGAGACAACCCAGATCAGTACACTGGCACGCTTGCGGACCGGCCAACAATATCTGCCGGGAAGAGGGAGAATCTTACCAGACTGGCCTCTCTTGTCGCCAATCGTTCCACTGGGATAAAAATGAGGACGAAGAACAGAGAAAGCACGGCAAAGCCCCGGGCGGCACGAGTCTGCGGTGTGTGGCCATACGAAGCAGTTAGGAAAACGTTCTGCGGTCAATGGATAAGATGAAGAGGACTGGGTTCTCGTACGACGACTCCGTAGTTCCAGGCGAAGATGGCCAGCTCATAGAGACGAGTAACCAAGTCCCAGCGAGCTGTGATGTAGCCGGCCACAAAGATCCCGAGGGTCAAGATGGAGAAGGGGTGCATAGAATCCGCCGTTCCTATTGTGAGGTGTACATGCCGGGTTGATCGTCAAAACGGTATGGCTGCTAGCAATACAGGCGGCAAGCAGGACAGGTTTGGCTTCGCAACACAAGAGGGCGGACAGGCTTGATCTGAGACAGCTTTGAGGTGTGAATGTTGGAAGGTTGTCGTATGGGCTTTGTACGGGTTTTGTAGCAATTGTACTCGGGGGAAGGAGAGAATGGTATTGTCAAGGGTCCAACAAGGAGGAGGCTGTGTTGGTGGTAGCAACGAGGTGACGTGCAGTTTGGCCTGTCGCGGGATCGAAATATAAAAAAGAGGCGCAGCGTCGTCGTCTTCTGTCGTGGTCGTGCTGCACTTCGTGGCCGCCTCTTGTGTTTATGTGTTGGATCAGAGGCTGATCGCACGGAAAGAACAGGCGCGCATTACCTCGTTAATCCTGTAGTAACAAGCCGTCCCTGCAGCTTATTGTAAATAATTAAAAAATAGGTGGTTAACTTGCGAGTCTCTGTGCATCAGTTGCGACTGGAAATGCCCCACATCTCATGCTAGCAGCCTGGCGAATCATATCGATTTGTTTGAGCTGCAACGTGGACAGAGGGGAAGTGCGAATGCACGCCATGAATAGGAAGACGACACGCTGTGATGTAAGCACCATCTAGTATTTCTGTGTCATCAAGTCACATCAAGTCACATCTGAAATTTTGGGCAAGATTGATGTTCTGTCGGACGTTTCAGGTTCGCATCATGCTCATTGTGATATAATGCACGAAACTGAGAAGTGTGGCACGCAGGCAGCTTTCGGAGGTAGGTATAATATGAAAAGAGTATGAAGAGATGAAATATGACCACACAGTATTAGACTTTTACTCCAGCTATCCGGCGCCATAGCCCCGTAAGTTAGTTCAATAAGTGACTTCATATCTTCATTTTCGTCCCATGTAGACGTGGTCATTCTCCTTCTGGTCTTCCCTTGCCTCTTCGACCAGCTTGTCGATCCCCTTCTGCTTCAAAGCCACCTTTTCAGTCATGTCAGCGTTTGCAGCGCAACAGGACTCGTGTATGGCGCACGATGGGATTTGTTGAGCAAGATTGCATTGGCTCTCACCTGTAGGCATTTCTGGTAGTCTTTAAAGAGACCGTCACACTTGTCCTTGCTCTCGGTTGACGTCGAGCTTTTCTTAAGAAACTCTACACGCCCAGAATTAGGGATATACACCAGATCAAAAAGGCAGGTCAATGTGCTCAAAAAAAAAAAAAAAAGATAAGCCTACCTTCGCTGTACCACTTCAGGAAGCATGTGTCGTATTTCCTGAGGGGAAAAGTCAGCAAAGTAAACAGACAATCCGGGGAGATGCTTACTCCTTCATTTCGTTGCACTCGGGTGCAAGTGACGCCGCCATAGTTTCAAAATCCAGCCGTATGAGGCAATGTCCTACTTTGTTCTTAACAACTTCTGTGGCAGGGCAACCCGTGGCGGACGAATGCAGACACGTTCGGTGGGAGAGGCGGGAGAGACACAGAAGATGTAGTGACGATATATAGAGTTTTGCACATGCAGAGGCGGCGGCGCCTCTTTTGGGTGTGCTTTTTGGCTGAAGGTGCGCTAAATTCCGGGGCTCATGTGTGCTGTAAAAGTGCGGGTGGCGGCGCACTAACTGCCAGTAATGTGATGTTTTGCCGCTGTGTGGCAAACTTGCTAGCTTCACAGCCTCGTCTCGCCAAGATATATGTGCGAGCTCCGATCAGATGGCCGAGTCAAATGTTTGAGCCTCAATTGGGACAATTTCCGCAAGTGATCTACAACGCCTGTCTCTCACACTTTTGTTCACTTCCGCGCATGTGTCCATGCCACAGCGTGATTGAACGTTTTAATTATCCGGCCCTTCCATGCCTTCTTTCTTCCATTTAATCACATCATCCTACACCCCTAAGCCATCGGGAACCAATGTCGGTCCAGCGCAGGATACAAAAACACAAGCCAACGATGAGAATTGTCGATTCTGGTAGAGGAAAAATACATGGGGGGTGATGTAGTAGAGACAACAGTATAGTATGGTCCCGATGAGAGATACAAAGCTATGACAGTCCGACAAAGAGAATGCGATGGCGAGAGCGAGGCCGGTGAGCCAGGAGAATCGGCGAATGACGGGCAAAGCTTTAGCGCAGAGATCAGACTATTACATCCCGTCAAAGTCGCCGCCCAAATCATCCTCGTCCAAGTCCCCATCTTGTATCTCCTTTGCCATTTCCCGTTCACGCTCTCGTGCTTCCTGAGCATTCTTGAGCTCCAGTCGGTGTTGGTTCATAGGGAACCGCATTGCCTAAAGCGCCAACGTTAGTCTCAAACATGCACATGCCCACATAGCTCAAAGCAGGTGCTGGAGGGTCCAAGTACCTTGACACTCTCATCGTGTAGAGCAAGACAGGCCCGGATGCGTTCGTGGAAGGCCTCGCCCGGCTCCCGTGTTGCGTATACATCGCCAACCTCTTTGCTCTTCATGAATCCGCGCTCACGGTCCAGCGTGGCCTCGATAACACCATCCCGGATCGCCTTTGCCACGATGTACTCGGCCGACTCTTCGCTACCGAGATGCAGACGAATGCAGATGTCGCGCAGTGAGATACGGCTATACGACAGCGACATCATCCGGATGCCTGTCTTGATCACGTTCTGCCGCAAGCGCAGGATGAGCGTGTACGTGCTGTCCTTGCGGAATGTGTCTGCGTGGTCCGCAATGGTGGTCTCAAAGTCCTCCAAGTTGCCGACCCGCACGGCCTGCACCAGCAAAAAGTATGGGTGCAGGGCATGTTCAATGGTCGGTTGCCGGAAAATAGCCCGCTCGGGAATGTCGCCCATCAACAGCTCAACCACAAGCATCAGCTTGGTCGCTGTCTGCGCGAAGCCCACAGCAGAAGGGCTTGACGGCGCCTTCCGTGTGGCAGCAGTCAGGTGTTCATGGGCCTCGGTATAGTTCAGCTGGATCGCACGAATGCGACCAAGGTAGTACAGGAAGCGGGCGACCTGGTTGTTCGCAGCATTTTCCGGGAACTTGGTGTGCGAGACCAGAAGATCGGCCTGTATAATGTGCGATGTGGAGAGGTAATTCCGTAGCAACAGTACGATCACAGCAGCCTGTGTGTCCACGTCCTTGCGGAGGACAGCCGTGCGCAGGGCTGCCAGCAGGGCCGGGCGTATGGCAATGACAGGAGACTGCGGCGATGGCGGTAGCGGAGCAAGCTGTTCACTAAATAGCGAGTAGTAGAAGTACACCTTGGCCGAGAGAGAATCGAGTGTGCGGCGGTTCAGAGCGTGTATGCGATCAGCCAGGGTGCGTGAAATATCGAAGCCGCGCTGAAACTGCTTGGAGTCGAACAGGTAGACCTGGGCCAGGATGCCAAGGAAAATGTCAATCTCGGGGATGGCGTCCTTCTTGGAAGCTGCCGAGGGAGGAGCTGCCGGGGAAGCTCCGTTCTTGGGCGGCGTTGACGCAGCCGGAGTATCGAGCTCCATCTCCGGGCTTGGCCGCGAACCCAGCGACAAGTCCTCCTGACCCAGAGCGGCGAGCAGCTGTTTTGCTACGGCGGCCGAAGCGGACGTGACCGAAAAGGTCTCCACGATAACGCCCGCAAGGATCTCCGGGGTTATGCGTTTGCGGAGGGACGAGATGGACCGTAGCGCTCGGAGAGAGAATCGGGCATCGAAATGGATCACCGCACGTTCGAGAAGAGCGAAGCTGGATTTGATATCTAGTGGCGTGACGGGTCAGCACAATTCCATTGCAGACTCTGGAGAGCTCATGGGGCCGGCTAAGGCCACAAACCTGCAGATGTTTGGACGGCTGGGTCGATCTTGACGGCCTCGTCTTCCGCGGACGCGCCTTCATCGTCCATGGCCACGTCGCCGTCAGCACCGTCTAGTGCGCCTTGCTTGCTAGCCTTTGACGGTGGCACGACAACGGTCATCTCCTCGTCACCATCCTTGCTCGCGACGGCCTTTTTTTTGCTCTTGAGCGCAGCTTCCTCGATCTCCTTGCTATTCCGAACGCCGCTATTCTCGACCGGCTCCTTCCCGTTGCCGTGAGGCGTCTTCCCTGGCATTTCGAATGGCCTTTGGGGGGGTGTGACGGGAAACGATAATGCAGAGGTGATCTGGCAAGTGTGTTTGCGGCTGACGCAATGGTGAGCGTGCCGTTGGAATTTGCAGTTGCGGGTGATGCTCCTATGCGGACACTTCTTGTAATTGTATGCTTCTCTCCTCTACTCTATAAACGCTGCTGTTTTTGTATTCTCCTAGCGATAGTCGTGGAGGACCCAGAAATGGAAATGGGGGGTTGATGTGCTGGGTTTATCTCGTAATTTGTTTGTCCAAGGGAGAAAGTCGAGAAGACACAGGGCTGAGCCGAAAAGAATTATGTGGTCTAGTTCGACAGGTCCGGGCGGTGGTCAGCTTGACAAAGCCTTAGACTTTCTGCTGACGCATTCGTCTTTTAGCAGGGAGAGCGACAACCAGGCGGTAGATGGTGGGAGCAGAGAAGGCAAAATAGAGAGAAAGAGCAAGCACACGGCCAATTCGAAGAAAATGGCCTGGTGAAATGCAGGCAGCTGGAGATGAGAATTGGCAATTGGGTTGGACAGCTGCAAATTAATGCTCTACAGAGGCAGCGATACGCGAGCCACAGGTGTCGCAGTCCTAGTATAATGTTAAAGTGTCCTTGTAGTTGGGTTGTTGGGGCGCAATAAGTACTGGCTACGACTAGTTCTAGCACCCAAGATATAGGGTGGAAAGTCTACAGTACCAGCGTTGCCAGCAGATCAGGCAGGAAGGCGGCGTTTCGCGTGACGTTTGTCCATGGCTGCCTTGGTCAGGACCCATTCGTGTCCACCTTGGCCCGCATTACTCAGCCCGCATTCCATCACCACGACGTATTAGTGCAGTCCATTTGTAGTTACATATATGATAATCCAAAAAATAATCGAATCTCTAAACGGTGCGGACAGACATAGCCCAACCGTGCAGAACCTGTCAACATACGGAGTACATAGTAGCCATGCGTAATCCGCTACTGCTTTGAGATGCCAAATACTACTTCGTACATAGCATCAACCTGCCACAGCTAGGAGCTGTATCCGTGCCCCATCCTTCTGCATGATTTAGCTTCTGTGCCTGCAGCAAAACCGCGGACATCTTGGAGAGCTCTAATAAACCGAGACATGTGACTAATAGCTGGCGATTTAGTGCTGCGTAGTGGTGCTAATCTCTGTTGCTACAACCCAAGTTATGTGATATCAATGCCGTCTTCGTGTTCAGCGACCTCGTAGCTAAAGTCGTCGAACCAAATAAACGAAATTCCGGGGTAATAAAAAAGTAATCCCAGTCCTGTAACCGCCGTCCTGTTCCTAACTAGTCCCGTGTCTGATACGAAGTAAAGCTGCAAAAAGGAGGTGAAGAGCCCCCCAATCATCCATGTAGAGTCAAAGCTCTATGAATACCACGTCTGCCATCTATGAGTCGTTCTTGCTTCCAGACGTCACCTTCGCTGCCTGTATCACGCTCATCTTTGTGATCCACTGCACCGACGGTTGCACCTTGCGTACGGTGCGCAGCTCGTCTGAAGAATATCCCGGGATGCGGATATTGTATGTACGCTCTAGCACAAGCTGGATGTCACGAATTTCCAGCACTTTGGATCCGCGTTCCTTGGCGTTGCGACAAGCAGTGTGAAGCACATTGTCGACAAAGGAGTCAGCCAGGTTGAGAACGGACTGTTTCGTTAGCAAGTGATCCAAGACAAGTGACAAGAGCGAAAGGGGAGAAGTCGTCTCTAGTTACCTCTTCCACGTCTGGTTGTAAGAGGTTGCCCTCATGACCCTCTGCGGTACCACCGCACACTTGGCGAACCAACTCATCCAACTTCTTTTTGTTCAGAACGCGTTCACCTTCGCCCTCCATCTGAATTGCAGGCACTTTGGCGACAACCGGCTGGCCCATAACACCACCAACCATACCACCACCGCTCGTCAAGGTGGGACGGCCTGGTGCTACACCGCCGCCAACGGCCACAGGCTGCGGCATCTGAGATGCCTTCTCAGACAGCTGCTTCGGGATCGGCAGCTTATCAGTCATCCGCTGCGGCAGACGCAGCTCCGGGTACCCGCCGGCTGTTGAAGGGGTACCTGAGGCCTGTTGCTGCTGCTGCTGCTGCTGTTGTTGTTGTTGTTGTTGTTGTTGTTGCTGTTGCTGCTGCTGCTGCTGCTGTTGCTGTTGCTGTTGCTGTTGCTGCTGAAGCTGTTGTTGCTGTTGCATCTGCTGCTGCTGCATCTGCATCTGCATCTGAATCTGCTGTTGCTGCTGCTGCTGCTGCTGCTGCGGTGTTGTTGTCATCGGCGTTCCCCCAGCAGAACCTGCAGCGGGGGCAATGGGTTGCACGTTGGGACCTCCCGGAGTACCGGACATACCTCCACCGCCGATTGAAGCAGTTCGTTGCTTGTTTGCCTCTTCAAGAGCCTTCTGGTGCGACAACGCTCTAGGTGCCGCATTGAGAGGTGTTGCGGAGTGCTGTGCTGGAACACGTGCTGCTGCCACCGAAATAGGTGTGGGTGTGCCAATATTAGCGGCTTTGTTGGCAGAAGCAGCCATTGCACCATTCATAGGCATAGGTGGGGGGACTGGTGTCTGTGTGGCTGGCTTCTGTTGTTGCTGCGGCAGCTGCTGCTGCTGTTGTTTCTGAGCTTGCTGCATGGCAGCTGCGGGGATGACAGGTGGTGGAATCGGGGTCTGTTGTGTGGGGCCAGAGGCTGGCTTGTTTTGGCCGAGAACAGCTCCATTGCTAGCCATGCCGTTATTTCCTGCAGCTCCCTGTCTGGCTGCTGCTGCCAATGACTCCTTCTTGGCAGCTTCGATGGCTCCATTAATGTTGGCCTGTGAGTGCTGCAAATTTGTTTGCTCAGTCTTGATGTTGCTAACATGTGGTTGCTGGGCGGCGACTGCTTGTTGTTGTTGTTGCTGCTGCTGCTGCTGCTGCATTTGGGCAGTCGCAACACCGCCAGCCGTCTGCTGCTGCTTCAACTGCTTAGCCGCCTCCTGCTGCTTCCGATAGCTTGCGATGAAACGGGCAGCTTCATCATGGATTCTCTGGAACTGGTCTTTCTTGTCTTTAAAGCTCTTCTGGTCTTCGGCTGACAGAGTTCCGCTTTCCGTACGCGTCTTGTATAAAGATTCCAGCTTGATCATGTTGGCACGGGCGCTTTCGATCTGCATCAACGAGATTCCAAGCTTCTTCTTCACGTCTTCTTGCCACTTGGCAACTACCTCGGGCGGCTTGTCTGCAAAGCTGGGAATTGGAAAGTAGGTCAGCTGGTTTAGATGCTGCTGAATGTTGGCAGGAATCTTTGCCATCTGCTGCGGTCGCGGCTGCTGTTGTTGTTGCTGCTGCTGCTGCTGCTGCTGGCTTGGTTGGGCCTGAGCGTCTTGCTGGACTTGTTGCGTTCCGCCTGCTGTTGACCCCGCCTGTCCAGGCTTGGGAGCACCCACGTTTGGAGTTGCAGCAGCAGCAACACGAGCCTGCTGTTGCTGGGCATGTTGGGCATGAACCTGTTGCTGCTGGGCCTGGGCCTGGGCTAACTGGGCTTGCTGCTGCATAAGCTGCTGGGTCTGGGCTTGAGCCTGAGTCTGAGCCTGAGTCTGAGTCTGAGCCTGAGCTGGGGCTTGAGGCTGCTGCTGCTGCTGCTGCTGCTGTTGTTGTTGTTGTTGCAACTGATGAGCTGCTATAGCCCGCCTCTCGCGCACTTTTCGTGCAAGAACCGGGGCAAACTCATAAATCTTCCGTCGCGCATTTTCTTTTTCCGGGGTGCCCTCTGGAGATTCGTTGAACGTCTTCCACAGAGAACGAAGCCCGCCTTCATACTTTGCTTTCTCAACAGCCGACAGCTCCTTGATGTTGCGCATCTGCTCCGGTCTATACATAATGCCCTGATGCTGCTGGGCTGCGGTTACTCCGTTGCCACCTGCCCCAGCAGCCATTGGTACCGCCCCGTTGCCATTGCCTTGGGCACCTCCAGGCACCTGCTGCGGACCGGCCTGGTTCATAGCAAAGAAGGAGCAACGTGTCGCCTGAAATATAAAGCTTTATCGGCGATGTCGTGGGCGATGCAATCGGCTAGTTGGACGCCTCGTGGGATAATAGATGGTGGGCTAAAGTGTGAAGCGAGCCCGACCGTGGAATTGTAGGGCTGTCAGCAGGGATTCCGCAGTCGACTGACTCGATTTTGATTGTATTTCAAGGCACAGCGAATCATGGACCGGTAGTAGACTGATTTGAAGAACGCGAGGAGATGAGGACTCTCGATGATGGAAGGCGGTGCTAAGGGAGGTGGTGCGATGGAACTGATTTCGCGCCTGGTTCCGCGCCTGGCTCCTATTCAGCCGCTCGTTCGCTATACGCCACAGTATCAAGCCACAACATTTTCTCTACATGTGTTGATGACTAATATGTCACTTATCAGTTTTGGCGGTATTCACGCATTTTGTTCTTGAAACTTACCAACAAGGATGCTGAAGTGTGCGCAGAAGTTAATGTTTTTATCACTACTGATGTGGAAAGACACCATAGACATTAGTATAACCTCTATATCCATATCATATGGCAATCCACCACAAACCCATGCGCTTTGCCCCAACTCTATAATATATCACGATGTGTATACATGCAGACACGCTGTGACGAGCGAACGACAGGAGTGAGAACGAAGTCGTAATCATACAGGAGAAAAGGCACGTCGAGCCACAAAGAACAATCACGACTCAGACTTCTACATAGCCAGATGCATGAAGCCAACCCCAATTTACCCGGCTCTCTGCACTTTATCCCCCACACCGAGAGCCAACAAAAACCGAGACTTCCAGATGAGCTTTCCCGGGAGGTGGGGGGGGAGGGACAAATTAACTTTGAGACGCGAAAGTGACGAGCATGAAATTTAGCAATAGACATTGCTAGGTTGTGTATGTTGCGCCGGCCCTTGAGCAGCCTCCAAGAGGGAAGTTGACAGTGAAAAATATAGATCATGTAATCGTGAGGCCATCGTAAAGTACATTAGGGATGTGCGATCATTAGCAAGCACAGGCGTCTAGTTCAGGCCGAGTCCACCTCCATGCTAATATATTCCAAAGTATAGTATGGCAGTTCACGGGCCAGAGTCTCGCCATCCCGGATCATGTCGTCGTCGCTGGTGTCTGGCTCGTCCAGCTCTTCAATGCGAGGCGGTGGCGGGTCGGCAAATAGCAGACTGTGGCGATCAAGGCGGCGGCGCAGGCGACGTGCACTCGCGCCGACGTCATTCGCATCCAACGGCATCTGGGAAAGGTCCTCAGTATCGGTGTCACTGCCAATACTTTCGCTGATGGTGCGCTTGCTGATGCTACCCGACGTCATGCGACGGTGGCGTTTTTTCTCGCGATCCCTCAAGCGAAAGAAGTTATGCTCTGCCTCGGTCAGGTCCCGCTCGTCGTCCACGGCTGCACCGTCTTCGTCCGACTCGCCCCGGCACGTGAGATCTTCCAGTCCATGCATGACGTAGCCGTCGATGTCAGGACGGCTGGGTGAAGAGCTAAAAACGGGTGGCGTCCTGTGCCGGCTGCGATCCCGATGATGGGTGTGACTGGGAACCGGGGTAGGGCTACTGGGCCCCTCTGACGATTCGGCCTCCTCGATCGTGGTTGGCCGGAGCACCAGCAAACGGCCGTCTTCGCTGTCAAAGTCGCTGATCTCCTCTATGATTAGAGTTTCTTCCGCATAGAGCACAAAGCCAGACAGGCCGTCAGCGGCGGGATCTGGTGCGGAGGGCAGGTCGAGCGCATCGAACGCATCCGGTACAGCCGGCGCATCTGGTGCCGCAGACCTTGGCACGTCGGCTGGCGCTCGCCACTGTGGGGACGAAGACCGGGACGGCGTGGGACTCGCTGATGAGCTGGCATCCGAATCCGAGTCCATTTCCTCATCGTCATCGACATCCTCGTCATCATCATCGTCAGCGTCATTCTCGGCGTCATCACTGTCGTCGCCGGTGTTCATGGTAGGAGAAGAGCCCGAGGAGCGTGGCGATAGGTCGTCTTGCCGAAAAATGCTGGGGCGATAGGGAATGCTGTTGGACCCGAGGCCACCGGGAGGGGGAAACTTGGCATGCTGAGAAGTCGGCTTTGTGGCGTGATGGGAGGATGTGTTCCGACCAGGATGGTGGAGATGGTGGCTGTGACGGCCGTGTAGTCCGTGGACCGGCTTATGGTGGCTGACCGGAGAGGCGGTGACGGGGGTCTGGGGCGGTGACGCTGGGCCCGCGGTGTGAGACATGTCTTTGTTCGGCTTCCGGGATGGCGAGGTGAACGTCTGGGGGCTTTCGGGGCGCTCTCGTCTCGGCGGACGGTATGATATGTTCTTCTGGACGGGGTGTAGTCACCGTTTACAGGTGTTCCCTGTCGTGCCTCTTGTTCTCGTGTTCTCGTCTGTGAGGCTTTCTTCTTCTGCAGCCGCCCACTCAATACCGAAAGCGCCACGGCTAATCGCAATTAGCGAGGGGCTGTCGTCTCTCTTTTCCCCTTATTACCTCTCCTAAAATTTTCTCGGCGGTGGTGGTTGGCTGTGGCGGTGGTGCGCCCACGGGGGCGACAAGAGAAAATAATGGTAGTGTGCAGTAGTAGAAAGAGAGAGCGCAAGAGCGCAAGATAGCAAGAGCAGAGAGAGAGAGAAAGGAAGGAGGAACGGTAAAAAGGACTAATTGTCCAGTGAATTTCAGGGGCCGAGCACCCAATCTATGAGCCTCCGGCGAGAGGAATGTATTGGGGTTTGGTTGGCTGTCATGATAAACCTCGTGTTAGGTCAGATGCAGGATTTCGCGCGGAAAAGAGACGGCCAGAGACGCCGAATTAAAGAGGCAAGCACAGAAAAGAGGAATGGGGAAAAAGACGCTGGGAGGAGGGGCAATGCGCTAGGAGGACCAGGAAAATAAGATTAAAAATGCAAGAGCAGCAGACGAGTGGTTGCGACAGGCTGGTGGAGGACGGGGGGTGATGTATGCGAGCAGAGAAGTAGCTGGCAGATGTCAGATCTGGGCCGTCCTTCGTGTTCGAGCCTGCACCTCTTGCTTTGAGTGTGCTAGTGCTACAACCGTAGTTTGCTGCACCTGGGCTGCAGCTGTTGCAGCAGCAGTTTAGCTGCTGATCCTGACTGGGAATAGGCCCTTTGGGTGGGAGGGGCGAGAGTTGATGCAAGTGAAAGCACGTTAGAGAGCCCACACAACGGAACCTGGGGGCCACGTAAACGGGGTTGGGGGAGGGGGGGCGAATGGAGCAAGTTCACGAGACGGGGAAATGGATGCCCGGTAGACGATAACGGGGCGTCAAGGAGCCGGCAGGTCGGATTGGCTCAGCAGGTGGACTTTGGTCCAGCGAGAGCGCCCTTCTGTGCGGCCGTGTGTTTCGGCGCTGGGAAGGCGATACACAAGGCGGGATGGCGACGCAAGAGAGATATATCGGTGTAAGATACTTTGAGTGGGTTGTGGGAACTGGGGCCGTGGAGACGGTTATCTATCGTAGCTCGCCGTTTTTCTAGGAAAAAAAAAAGATTTCAAGAAAAGTTAAAAAGGGAAAAAGGCACGAAAAGGCAACACCTCATGGCGGCCGTCTCATAAAATAAAAGGGCCGAGCAGAGGCTGCCTGCTCTTCTTTCTGACCGTGAGGCTTCAACGCTTGTCCAGTGCAGTTCGGTCGGGTTCGATGACTTACACCTTGCTGGCGAAGACGCCAGGAAACAAAAGACGAGAATGGCCACCCGACCCACCCACAATGTTTCTACTGAAGGACAGCACCAGTAGGAACTAGCGCCAGCGGCCCCCAAGCGGTAAGGAGAGGAAAAACCGGGCCAGCAAGGAGCCTTTGGGCAGCAATGCTCGAGATACCCTGGCTTATGGCGGGCCTAGGTTTTTCCTCGTGTTTCTCTCTGCTTCCTGTGTCCTTTTATGTCTGAAAATTTTGCTAGCCTCTTGATCCCAGACGCCATTGCACTTGGCAGCGTGACCGAGGAAGCACGGCAAGTGGCAGGGTAATGGACCTGTGGTGATAGTATCTGGGAGGCTGTAGTTGGCAGATTGGAGGGCACAGAGCAGAGAGGATAACGGCGCCAATGGAAGAAGGCTTGTGAAGACGGGCTTGGCGTCCGCGCAAGGCTGTGGGATATAGTACATAAGACAAACAGAAATCTTACATAGTAAGATACGTAGTGGAGAAAGAGCGCCCGCGATCTTGCCGGGGCGCTCTTTCCATCAGTTTACTGGCATTCTGTCACTATTATCTGGATCTCGTAACTTGTGAGTCGTGGCTTCACTGGCGCCAGCGTGCCTATGGGCATCGCGCATTGCGACTGCCCTTATTCCTGCACGGGTTCTGCGGTAGCACTGGACAAAAGAAGGAACATGCGATGGCGCTACTCGCAAGGAGGGGCAGCTTGCATTGACGACAGAAGGCGGTCAGCAACCAGAGTGAGGTGAGGGGGGGTGCCGATAGCGGGGCTACGCCCTACTATGTAGTCCCAGCGCGTCAGTGCCGCGTCTTCAGCAGAAGAGAATTGGGGTCTGCATCCATTGAAAGCAAGAGCAGAGCAAGTACGAGATGTCGCATCTTGGCGTCTATCTGGACCAGATCTCGGCGTCCTGCCAGGGCATCGACAGCCTGCCGTGAGTCTTGCGAGTCTACCCTGCTCCGAGGACTTCTCCTGTTGTTGTATTGGGCTGACAAATCTGGCAGCTTCCCGCCACCCAAAGTCTTCACCAATGCGCTGCTCTACAATGACGACATCACCGGCCTGATTCGCGACACTGAGGCTCACGAGCGGGCGCTTTTCTCCGTGCCAGAACCGGCGAGTCGATCGGCTGCGGCCGAGGCGGCCCCGAGCGAGGTAGACGAGGCTCCGGTGTCATCGTCTCGCCGACGGCAGACCGTCTTCAACGTGACGGGGGGCGAAGTAACGACAGGACCGCCATGTGCACGGCCCAGCGCGGCCCCGCGGCGACGTACCGCGGTGGCGGCTGTGCTGGGTGGCGACCTGCACGCGCAGATCACGCGGAAGAGCGGTGATGGCAACGGCAAAGGGGCGCGTTCCGGAGAAGTCGACATCGGGCTGTTGCTGCAGGGAGCAGAGAAGCTGTGCTCGGTGTACGCGTTGCCAGGCGCACTGGAGCGCATCCCGACGCTGCGGCAGAAGCATGCACAGCAGAACAACACGCTGGCGTACTACGAGGCCAAGGTGGCCGAGCAGACACAGCGGCTGGAAGAGATGAACCGTGACTGGCGAGACGAAGAAGACGACTACGACGACGACGGCGGAGCTGCAGCGACTCACCAGCTGCCGGACATGGCTACAGAGGAAGAGCTCCGGCGCGAAGAAGAGGAGGTGCGCGAGCTAGAGCGCAGAAAGAAGGAGCTCCAGGAGCGGCTGCGTGCTATGGAGAAGGACCTGGGCGGCCTGCGGAACATGTGAAGGGCAGAGGAAGACGAAATTGGGTGCTGGGACAAGGAGGGGGAACAAATGGTATAATAGCAGACGCTTTTCTATGGACGGACCGTCATTGGACCGTCATCTCCCCGTCAAGCCTCTCGCCTGGCCTTCATAAGCTTCTCGACAAAGACCTGGACATCCTGGGCGCCGCCGATCTCGATGTTGTCGTTGATGATGAAATGCGGCACGCCGCTGACGCCGCGAGCATAGGCATCGTCCACCTTGGCATCGACCTCGACGCCGCCCTTGCCGCTGGACAGCCATGCGCGGACCTCGGGGCCGTCGAGACCGGAGAGCTCAGCGGCAGCGACGAGGTCATCGTGCGAGGTGATATCGCCGCCGTCCTCAAAGTAGGAACGGAACAGGTGTGTGATCACGGCGTTTTCCAGGTCGGTGCTGCCGTCGGTCTCCTTCTGCTTGGCCAGCTGGACGAGCCGGTGGGCGTCACGCGTGTTGCCAGCCTTGCCGGCGTACGTGAAGTCGATACCCTCGGTGGCGCCGACGCCGCGAATGTGGGCGATGATGGCGCGAGAACGGTCGGCGCCGAACTTTTGGGCCATGCGCTCCAGGCTGGGGATCCCGACCTTGGACGAGCCGGGGTCGAGGTAGAAGGGCAGCCAGGAAATGTTGAACCGGTCGTCGGCTCCGCCGGGAACAGACCTCCGGTACAGGTCGATGGCACGTTCGAGCCGCTTCTTGCCTACGTAGCACTGTTATGCGGTCCGCTTGTCAGTAAACAAGATTTCGACAGGACGCGAAGATTCCAATATTGGCACTGACAAAGGGACACACGGCATCGGAGATGACCTTGATGTTGATGACAACCATTGTCGCTAGGACGGAGGACAGTACAGTAGTCGGAGGGCGGCTCGGTTCCGTGTGAGAGTTGAACTGGGAATTAGAGCCCGTGGATAGGTTTCCAAAGTTTATACCCCGTAATTGCAGATTAGCCTGTCTGTCGGTGAAACATTCGCAGATTCGCAATTGCTGCTTATAAATCAAGGATGATGACGAATCGCAACATCGCAACGGAACAACAGGTTTGCAGACACCTGTGCAAACTGTGCACCCGACGGTCTCTATTGCTGATCTATATGAAGCCTATTTCGGGATCTGGCAGAAATACGGAGCAGGCGCTGGAAGTTTTTTTGAAGGCTAGCAAAATTCGCCGTCCACGATCTAGTTTAGACTGTATTACTCGGCTGGCCGTCCCCGACAGGTGGTATTGCCGCTGCCAAGACAAAGGGCTCTCGGCGTAGGGCTGTCTCTTGCAGCTGCAGGCCGGGGGCGCAGCTTACAGGCCGGGACCGTCCTTTTCCGTGCTGCTGATGTGGGTGCATTGGTGCGCCTGAGCCCAAGCCGACCCATTGGGCTGTCTGGGCCATGAACGGTCAGCTGGGGTCGTACTGCTGACAGGCCTCGCGCAGCGCAGTCTCGCTGCGGCTGGCCAGGCGTCGTTTGCTGCGGTGGCGCGACGGCGTTGTAGGGGCGCCGTACTGCACGTGTCGGTCCCAGCTGTCCAGCGTCAGGTAGGGGCTGCGCAGCCAGCTGCGCAGCTCGTGCAAGAACAGGCGGGCGCAGTCGCGGCCGAGAAAGTCGCGCAGCAGCTCTTCGGCCTGGCCGGCACTGCCCTGCGTGTCCATGGTCTTGAGGATGGCGACGACGTATTCGAGGAGGAAGGCGTGCGTGGAGAGGCGGCGGGAGGTGGCCGAGGCAGCTGCGGGCAGCGAATGACCGTCATTGTCGTCACCTCCGAGCAGGAGGACGGTCAACTCGCGGCGGACAAACGCGCGCGCACGCGAGACTAGGTCGGGGTCCTGGACAAACATGCGGGGCGTCAGCTCACGGTAGTAGCGCGAGTAACGGTTGGCGCCGACATGGAGCGAGTAGAGGCCCAGACGGTAGACACGGCGGCGGCGGTCGAGGGCCGTTGGCGAGGAGGACGACGGAGAGAGCGAAGACGGCGGATCGCGTCTGGGTCGAGGTCGTCTGACCGCGGCTGTAGAGACGACGGACGAGGACGAGAACGCGGTCGGGTTGGCGTTTTCGCCCGTCTCGTCGACCCCGCTCTCCCGCGGCACGATAAACATCTTGCACTGGCCGTCGGCGAAGCCATACTGCACCGTGGCCACGGTGGCTTTGCACAACGGACATGTCGGCCGGCGATGCAGCAGCCAGCTGAGGAGACAGAGAAAGTCAAAGTGGCGGTGGCCGCAGGGCTGCGCCGTGCAGGGCTCGGACACGGCGTCCAGACAGATGACACAGCGTGTTTCCTCATCGTCGGATGCCGGTCGGCCGGCCGTGTCCGTCTCTAGAGGCGGTGCTGCATCCTGGACGAGGGGGTCGCTTCTCTCTCCGTTCGTATCGGCTGTCGTCACGGCAGGACTGCGGCCATCTCGACACTTGCTGTTGTCTTCATTGTTCATGGTGCGCGCAGGGTGTAGCCATAGAGACAGATTGCGGTGCGTGAGCTGGCCGGCGCCCAGGACGAGTGGATGAATGGCTTAAGGTCGAGGACGAAGGCAGAGGCAATTGAAGGGGCCCCCCAATTGAATGAGGCACCGATCCGATAAGAGACTGTTATCGCAAGTGCTCGGATTGGTGCAAGTGCGCATTGGTGCATTTCAGGCACGCGACGTGACCGCTCAACGCGTTAGGGGTCGCGTCTGGCAACAGACGCTAAGTCGCAAAGCTAAATGGGAACCTCCTATCATCGCACACTTCTCGAGGGAATATCTGACGACACGGCCGAAACGATGCTCGAGACGGAAGAACGAGCAAAGTACGAGGCGGAGTCGCAGCAGCTGCGCCTTGATCTCAAGACATGGGAGACCGAATGGGCGCGTGACCACGACGGCGCGAAGCCTGGCCGAGCAGACATCAAGCAGCACAGCGAAATCGGTATGGACAAACAGACGGCCTGCAGTCCGGCCAAGTGCAGAGCGAGCTAACACGCTTCTGTTACCGTGTGACCAGCCCAGAAATACACGGCCTACAACCGGGTACGGAGCATTCTGTCCGGCAAAGTGCCCCCGTCCGAGGCCGCGAAGAGAGAGCCGAAGAAGGACGACTCGGAGGCCAGACGGAAGCGCAAGACCGAGGCCGATGCGCCTGCCGAGACGCCCACCAAGCGGCTGCGCCCGGTAGAGACGCCACAGAAGACCAGCACCGCGGCCGTGGCCGATGCCGTGACGCCGTCCATCTCTCGCCGACTCTTCAGTCCCGTGGTGCCGACGTCGATTGGCCCGACGCCCCAGCGTGATGGCCGTGTGCTGGGCCTGTTTGACTTTCTGGCCGAGGAAGCAGGCTCAGCCGAGCGGCGGAAGAGCATGGCAGGCACGCCGTCCAAGCGCAAAAACGCGCCGGGAAAAGTAGCCGCAGCAACAGCATCGACATCGGCAGCGCTGCCATCACAGCCACCACTGTTTGCAGAGTCTGTGGCCACGCCACGCAAGCAGACGCTCGCGCGCTACGGGGACGAGGACGAGGACGCGGAAGACGGCCATCGACGACTGGGCCGCACACCCATGTCGTCGGCCAAGAGGAATCTGCTGGACCGCTTCACGGCAGGGACGACGTCGGCCGGCAGAACTGCATCCGCCGCAGCGGACAGCTTCATGATCATGTCACCGCTGCGAGCACGTGACGCGAACGTGCAGCAGGGCGGCAGCGGGCAGCCGGACCAGGACCAGGACAAGCAGCAGCAGCAGCAGCAGCAGCAGCCGCAGTCGCCGTTGCCGCCGTTTGCCACGCCGACGTTTCTGCGACGCGCTCCGGTACAGCTGTCGGTGGACGAGAACGGCGAGTTTTTGTCGCCGCCCGGCCGGCTGCGGCTGCCACGGAAGCCGCTAGTGCGCGGCCTCAGCAGCGTGCTGGCCGGCCTGCGCAAGCTAGAGGATGACCGACTGGACGAGGAGCTGGATGTGCTGCGGGAACTGGAGGCAGAGGAAGCAGGCGGACCGCCGGTGAGGAGAACGAAGACATCCGAGGAAGCTGCTCCGGTGCAAGACGGCCAGCGGCTCCTGGGCGGATTCGACGACGAGGGTCTGTACGACAGCGCGCCCGAGGAGCAGACCGGCCGCGACGGCCAGCCGCTGCGGTTGTTCAAGAAGAAAGGCCAGAAGCGCACGACGCGGCTGGTATACATGCGACCGACGCGGACGAAGCGACCGGTGGCGGACGCGACCGTTGGGCAAGATGGCAGCGACTTTGACGAGGAGGACGACAAGAACGACGGCGAGCACGAGGCTGTGCCTCTGACTGGCGGTGGCGGCTCAGACGACGAGTGGAGCGACGGAGAAGAGCAGACGCAGCAGGCAGCCAAGGAGAAGAAGGACAAGGACAAGAAGAGGGACAAAAAGGCAACAGCAGCAGCAGCAGATGGCACAGAAGACAGAGAGAGCAAGGCTGGACCGGTGAGGCGGGCGGCACGCAAGGTGAACGAGCTGGCGCATGCCAACTTCAAGCGGCTGAAGCTGCGCAACTCTGGGTCCAAGGGCGGGCCCGGATTCAACAGCCGATTCCGGCGGCGGCGGTGAAGCGACAGATCATGCAGGCGATCAACGTACATACACTAGAGCAGGGCATGAGCAAATGTGAATACGACTACTGGAAATGGGCATTGCGAGGGTCGTCAGGCCGTTCTTTCTAGCGGGCCGAGAACAAGTAGGCGTGTTGACAATGTAATGTACGAGCAGTCGTATTTCTACAAGTACTCGTACTCGACGACGTAGAAGAAGTCATGCTGGTGTCGTCCGGCATCATTGGCCATCTCGGCACATCGACAGTCTTGGCAGGCGATCGCTGCAGGTCCAACAAGATTAAGTCCGTCTGGGTCGGTGGGTCAGGGGTAAGAAGGATATGTAGGGCCAGACATGGAGAAGACGCGGCGGGAGAGCAGGGAAAATTGGACGGGCGACTGTTGACATTGGCCTTGTTCCGTTGCCCGGAGCAACTGTCAAGCCTCTTCTTTGTATCTGTCAGAGACGGCGGCTAGCGTCTGGCGCCTCGCTCTTGCCTGAACCTTGCCGCGCACGGCTGCGCCTACGCAGTACGAGTACGGAGTACATGGTACGGACTCCGTACTCTGCAATAAAACGAGGCGGAGCTGTCACTTGTTCCTGCCTATTTCGGCGCTAAGCAGTGGTGTGGGGCCACACAGCTTACCCCAAGCCTCTCGCCGTCGTCCGGCCAACAAGGCCAGCCCCCAATCCTGTTGACATCACCGAACAATAGGCCGCTGTGCGGGCCCCCAAGACAGGGAAAAGCGGGCGCGCCCAATGGCCGGGCGACGGGTGTGCATACGACGTACACATAGTACGGTGCCCAGGGCTCGTATCTCAGCAGCACCAGGTACGACGTCGGTCTAGCGTGGAACAGCCAGCGGCTGCTGCTGCCTTTTGTCTTTGGGGCCGCGCCCTTTTTCTCGTCGCCGCTCCCCATTCCTCTTCTCCTTCTCTCACACACACACCTTCCCACCACGCATACAACAGGTGACATTCCGGCCAGCTTTTCTGCGAGCGCGCGCATTCCTGTCCTTCTCACCAACCTCTGCCCGTCCAGAGGACCGTCCCAGCTCGCCCGACTCTTTCCTCTTTCCGGACAATGATCTCCGGCAAGCATTCCATCATTTGACGAAAAAGGAGAGCATCGTGAGCCAAAACAAACAACCCCATCCTTCCTGACCCAGGTCTTGACCCGCTGCCGCTACCGCCTACGCAATCCCTCCTCTCTCTCCTCTCTTCTCCTCCATACTAATCTTCCACCAAAGCTTATTTCGCCTTGCTCACAGTCTGGCCATCTTCCGCCGTCTAGCGAGACAGCCGCGATCCCACATTTCTCCACAGCACACCGCACCGACGCGCGACGCTTGACTTCATTCCGGCATCCGCTGGCTTTCATTCCAACCTCCCCGACAGCCTGCTATTTCTCCGCGCTCCGCAATCCGCTACGGGTCCCATCGCTCGTTTACTACATTCCTCTCGCTCCCCTGTAGAGCGAGCCCGGACAGCAGCGCTCTTCCAAACCGGCTCGCCAGACACACGTCGCCGCCATGGCACAAGCCGTTGTGCAAGTCGGGTGGTACCGTGAGTGCACTCTTCCTGGAATGCAGGCCCCAGAAAACCGTTGTGCTATGCTGACCGACTTTCTCGACAGGGTACATACCGTTTCTCGGATACCACCACGTGTTGATGATCCTCATAGCCGTCGCTATAATCCTACTATGTACGTCTCTCTCGACATTCCATCCTTACCGACAAAGACTGACAGACATTTTTGCAGCCCTTTTGCTGGCCGGCTGCTCTTCTTCAAGTCCGCTCATCCCAGGCATTTTCCTCCTCTCGCTCTACTACCACCACTATACCGCCGTTCCCTCAACGTCACAGGTTGACTACAGTGTCAGCGCCGCCATCAGCAACATTGCCGGAAGCGCCCATCTGCAGGCCCGCGTCGGCTTCTTTGGCATCTGCATCAACCCCGATGGCGGCGCTTGGCTTTGCTCCAACAATGCTACAGCCTTGGCCAACGAGATCAGCGTCGACCAGGATCCGCTGAACCTGATCTGGATGGCCAATCAGTTCAAGGATATGATTGTCTTTCCCTATCTGATGTGAGCAGCTTGCCATTCCATGTCCTGGCACTTGTCTTGGTCATCTGCCCTGCTAACACGACGCAGAATCATCGCCATCATCTTCGCCTTTGTCTGTCTGCTGATGCTCGCCACCTTTCCCGGCTGGCACGAGGAGGACGACAGCGAGGGCTCCGAGCGCGAGGTGAAGCCGTTCCCGTCGCGGTTCGTGTCGCAGATCGCGCTGGCCATCATCTTTGTGTCGGCCATCTTCATTTTGGTGTCGGTACTATGGCAACACACGGCATCCGTGGCAGCCAGCGTGATCGCGCAAGACTTTGGCAACGGCAGCGTGAAATCGGGCATTGGCGCCAGCGCTATGGTGATGGGCTGGTTCTCGTTTGCGCTGCTGATTGTCGTCACGATAGGCCTGCTGGTCATGATCCTGAGCATCCGGGTGCTGAACCAGCTTGCTGACTAAGCAACTGGGCGAACGACGTATGAATATTTTTTCTTTCTCTCATCAATACCATCCATCACCCCGTCACCCCCCAAACAACAAACGACGACTACGACTACGAAACGACAAGGACGGCAACCACGGCGGATTTGACGACCACAGGTGTTCTGGCTTCGTTGTGAAGCCACAGATCTTGCCGAATACGATATTGTCGACCACAAGACGGTTGTGGGCTGGCTCTCCAAGAAGACGCTGGACGCCTCTGCCGTTGCGGAACTGCGTGTTGAGCCTGATATCAGACGACAGCCGCATGTGGTGATGGTGTACACAGCGACGAAACGCTGTCGAAACGACGAAGCACTTAGTATGTATATATAGACGGGGCGGCATGGCATGCGACTGCAATTTCAAAACTTATTTATTGCCTTTTGATCTTGTACCCGGTGGATGTCGGATTGGAGTCTGACAAAAACCCAGCAAAGAACTGCGAGAGCTCTACAGAATCACATTTGCTCTATAATTTTGTCGGCCTTATAATATAACAATAGCCAACGCCTGAATTTATATCCTTTCCCCCCCTCCAGTCCAAACGATTTCTATATGCATCCCAACAATGTGAAAGACGGGGTATCGTTGCAAATATGCATAAATAAAACTGCTTGTCATAGCCCTATAAAATACAGATACCACACAAGTTCTTTCTCCGCCGCATCTTCTCGCAGGCCCATGCAACGTCAAGGCAGACCACACCGGCTGACACGAGACATTGATCTGCCACTTTGGGTGTAGCAGCCGGCCCCAATCTACTTAATCCTCGAGAGCCATGTCTCTTCACGTCGGCCGCCTGAACGGGTGTGCTTCCGTGTTGAGGACCCAGTCGTCCAAGCTGACGACGTCTGGCGGGGCAAACAGCAGATAAAAGTACTTGAGTGTCTCGGAAAACCAGAAGCTCTCCATGCTGTCGGACTGCTGGATCTCGTCCGTGACCGTCACGTCGTTAATGGCGCTGTGGCCGACCTGGTTCTGGGTAGCCTTGATCACGGCCTTGAACATCCGCCAGCCCTTCTCCTGCCAGGCTGGGTCGCCGGTGATGCGGTACATGTACCATACCGACTCGATTGCCTCCGGCCTGGAAACGTCAGCATGCTGAGCCTAGAGTCTACAGCTACAGCCCACAGCACTCCTGGACTTACCGAAGAATGTATCGCCGGTCAATGACATCATCGAAGCCGGGCTGCAGGTGCTTCCGCTTGATCTGTTCTGCCACATACTCCTCGTGTGTCAGTGGAGGTTTGGGTTTCGGCCCAAGAGTCTTCGCAGGCGGTGGCGGTGGCGGACTGACGGCCGCAGTGGACGTTGAATCGAGTTCGGCCATGGCGCTGAGACCGAAGTCGCTTTCCACAGCCTCGGCCTTCTGCTCGACAGCTGCACTGCCGACGTCCCGCTTGCCCACAACGCTTGCCGTGAAGTCAGCCGGAGCTGCGGCTTCTGCTGCGACAGCCGGGGCGGTAAACTCCTCCCGCTCCAGGGCTTCAATCTCAGCCTTGTCTGCCTCCCACTGCGTCAGACGATCTTTGTATTTGGCCATCTGCTCGGCGCGCCAGTCTTTGCTGGGGTCGAGCCGGTCGTACCAGAGCGTCTGGTTCCACGGACAGTCTGTCATGCGGGCACACGGCTGGATGGTGGAGAACTCGGGCATGATGCCGGCGGGCATGACTTCATATGCCCAGGCACAGCCGTCGGCCAGTTTGGCACCAATCTCTACATCCTCAGGGTGGTTAAAGATGCGGCCGCCCATGGCAAACATTCCGCCCAGGAAACAGGTCAGATGAGTGACCTCGTAGGTGTACGCTAGCTTGTTGTCGGTGCCATCGCGGCTGTTGACTCTGGCGGAGAACAGGATGTCGCGGGCCTCGTCCTCGATCATGGGACGGTACAGAAGATACTTTTTCACGGCGGCGACTACTTTTTCGTGCATTGTCCGGTATTTGGGCACCAAGCCGCCGAGAAGGAGGTATTGCTAGTCTGTCAGCACGGGCGGTACCAGGGAGCAAGGCAACAGAACGGCCTGGCTACTTACCTTGGGGAAGTATTCGTAGGTGGAGTCCTGGCTGCCACCCATGCTGTAGGACTCTGATCCGTAGCTGGCCGTCGTCAGGTTCTGGGGTCTGCATTCCCAGTCAAAGGTCTCGCCGTTGGCTTGTACGGGAGGAATGGGACGGTGCTTCAAAGGAGACGGCGGTATAGATGGTGCTGTTGCGATGGGCACAGCGGCCGTGGCGAAATCGACTACCGTAGAACGCGTATCAACAGGTGCAGCATAAGCCAACGGAGGCTCCACGAGATCGGCTGCACGTTTCTTAGAGACGGGCTTCGTCTGCAGCGGCTGGTAGCCCACGGGCTCTTCGCCAAGGTCTTGTGCCTCAGCAGCTTGGGACTGAGCGGCCCTGCTGGCGCCCTCCAGCTGCATCTGTTCGACGGCGGCTGCAGTTCGGTTGCAGCCGGACGCGTCGACGTGCTCGGGGAAGATACCGGGCACGGCGGTGCCGCCTTCGCGGCTCTGCCACTCTTCGAGGGCGTTGACAATGCGGGCAATGGCGTCGTAGTACTTATTCTGGCCCGTCAGCTGGGCGAGGCGGGTAAACTCCATGGTCATGGATCCCAGCTCGGCAATCCCAGAGGCGGTGTCTGCCATCCTTGCCTGAGACGCCGATTCGGGCGCCCATCGGTAGTAGAGGATGGGCATGCGGTTGGGCGTGTCGAAGACGCTCATGAGAACCTCAGCCAGCTCGACGGCCTTGTCCAGCAGGGCCGGGTAGCTGCCGGCCTTGCCGCCGCTGACGTCGTAGGCCGCAATAAGGCCGCCGAGATAGCGGATGATGGTCTCGAAGACAGGGATCTCGGGGCGGTAGGGCGTCGTGGTGAAGTCGATCTTCTTGACGGCCTCGTATGCGTCGTCAAAATCGTCACGTAGGCCCATGATCCACAGCGTGTCCATGGCGTCGACCAGAGAGGCCGCCCAGCCACAAAAGGGATCGCGGAACGTCTTGGACAGCGGCGCCAGCTCGTCGTGGGCCCAAGCATACGTGCGGTAGCCGTGCCAAGCCCGGGTCATCTCGTCACGTACGGCAAAGAGGCGGGCTTCGCGGGCCTCGCGGGCGGTCTGCGTCTCGGGGCCGAAGTCGTATTGAATTCGCGGAATCGCTGCTGGCACTCCGGTGGGCAGTTGGATCAGCGACTCCACCGGGACAGGGAAGTGTTCGGGCGTCTTGTTCCAGTGGACCACGGGGGCGGACGGCTCAATGTTACCCTCCTGGAAAGCGCCCGGGGGGCTAACCCGGTGGATAGAGGCCTCGGCTTCGGCCTCGTCGTCGGTCTCGACTGGTGGTGGCTCTTCGACCGCCTCTTCTTCTATCGGCACCAACGGCTTGGCAGTTTCCAGCCCTGTTGTGCTCGGTTGGACTGCCGGCAGAGCATTGGAGCTTGGCGCTACCTCTGTGGCCTGACCGGGATGGTTGTGCTTGGCTGCATCTTCATCTTTACCATTATAGGAGGGAGTGTCGGCCTCCAGACGGCCATACGAGCTGTCATCGCCGACTGGCGGCTCGTAGCCACGGTAGATTGTGGGAGAGCCGCTGGGCCCCCAGTCGGATGAGCGGGAAATGTGGTAGAAGAGAATTAAGGATATGACGGCGCCGTAGAACACAAGGCGGTATCGCCTGAAGCGCAGCATGATGAAAAATGGAAGAATCTTGGGGGCAGCTCCAGGCCGCAATTAGACGGACAGTTGAACGGCGCACATGTGCCAGCATGCAAACAAAACGAGGACAAGGACTAAATAACGGTGTCCAGAAAAAAGAAAGCTCCAGGGGTCGGAATGCAGCGTCGTCTGGAACGCTAAGAAGAAATCGTGTTGAAGTGTTGGTAACGTGCGCACAACCAAATCGTGGTCGAGCCCCTGAGTGAGGCAAGTGAAACCACCAGACAATGAGGACGCGGAAGAGGAGAGGAAGAGAGAGAAAGAAGGTCGCGAAAGCGAGAGAGAGATGCGAGAAGAGAGAGGGAGAGGCTAATGAACGCCAGTAAAAAAATAAACACTAGCAATATAGAGACGGCAACGAATCGAGCAGGTGCTCCGAACGGACCAGCTCTCAATGCCACCCCCCATACGGAGTTTGTGACGATACGAGCAGGAGCGAGCAGAACGGGGAGGGGCGGTGGGTAATGTGCTAGAAAGGGATGATGAAAAGCCAAGAGGCGGAAGGAACGAGACGCCAATAAAGGGTCAATACACACAGTAGTGTGGAAAGCGAGACTGGACGCCAAGACTCGGGGCTCTTGGCTCCGCCAGAGGACTTTGGCGGGACCAGCGCATCAGCCCTTGGGCTGTCCGTTTGAGAAGCCAGGTCGGGGCGGCCGGCTGTGGCTGGCCTGGCCCACGGCAGAGCTGGAGCTGGAATAGAGTTGTTCGGATGCACGATGCAAGCTACGAGCGCGAGCATCGCAGATTTTTAGTGCGCGCAGCATGGCAGCAGCCTCGGCTCCTACCGACTGAAGACGGCCACAGAAGAGGGTCTGGAACGACAAGGGACGGTGTCTCGAAGCCGAATAGGGGGGCCCACTATGTAGGGGTTCTAGGCCTAGTGGACACTAGCGAGGCCTAAATGGAGTGACGCCTGTGGTAGGGCTTGCACTGGCGATCAACAACTCTCAATACGAGCCGCTAGTCTTTGACAGGCGGGCCGCTGATCCAACTGCTATTATTGGCTATTGGACGATTCGAATTCGGCTGCCGTAAGCATTGTCAAGCATCAGGCTCAAGTCATGCTCAAGTCGCTATCCAAGATGCTGCGGAGTTCGGGGACTATGGAGAGGATAAGGGAAGACGAGAAGAGAAGAAAGAGAAGAAAGAGAAGAGAAGATAGACGGTAGAACGAAGAGGACAAAGCCGGTCCAGACCGAGCACTACTAGTACATCCCGCCACGATCACGTCGTGTCAAAGGTCCCCCGGATCTTGGAATACAGCGCCGAATCCAGAAAGTTGTAGTTCTGGTCCAGCTCGCAGAAGGGATGTTGGGAGAGCAGCCGGTTAGCCGTCGGCCGATCGGTCGGGTTTCTACAGGGTTAGAGAAGAACAAAAACAGGAGCAGAGGACAAAGCAAACTCACACTGTGAAGCAGTCCAGCATAAAGGCCAGCGCGTATGGGCTGATGGTGGCCTCGACGTCCTCTGGGATCGGCGGGGTCTCGCCCTGGGCGATCTTGTAGATGGCCCCTACGGTCTCCTCCTGCGACCAGGGCCGACGGCCGGCAAACATCTCGAGCACGACACAGCCGACGGCCCAGATGTCGACCTTGGCCGAGTAGCCCTCGTCCTGCGACCGGATCACTTCGGGCGCCATCCAGAACACGCTGCCCTGCATCGAGTTCGTCCGGTCGTTGCCGTAGATGTTGTCTGTCTTCTTGCTGATGCCAAAATCGCTGATCTTGGCCGTGCCGTCGACGTCTAGCAGAATGTTGTCCGCCTTGAGGTCGCGGTGCAGGATGCCCTCGCGATGCAGGTATGCCAGTCCCGATAGCGTCTGCCGTGTCAGGCTGGCCACCACCGGCTCCTCGAACTTGCCGTGTCGCCGCAGACACGACCCGATGCTGCCACCGGAGATGTACTCGAGGAAGATGCTGATGCTCGTCTCTTTGCGCTCGCACCCCAGATACTGCACAATGTTGACGTGGTCCAGGTGTTGCATCGTCTCGATCTCCTGGTTGAGCGCGGCCACCAGCTCGCGCACCCGGTTGCGATCGTTCTGCGCCACCAACTTCGGCGGCACCTCCACCTCCTTCACTGCCAGGAACTCGCCCGTCGTCGCGTTCATTCCCAGATACACCCGCCCGTACGTGCCCTTGCCGATAAGCTGACCCTTGAACCAGCGGAACGTCGTCTGCCGCTTCGGGATCCCGTTGTTGCCGCCACTGCTGTTGCTGCCGTGGCTGAACGCCCCGCCTGTGCCCACGACAATCGACCCTCGCTGCCGGTCCGGCTTCACCTGGATGATGCTGGCTCCGAACATCTTGGTCGACTTGCGCCGCATCAAGGCCGCCGGGTTGATGGCGGTCGGCATGCGAGGGATGCTAGGCGGTGGCTGAGCGTATTGCTGCTGATGTTGGTGTTGCTGTTGCTGCTGTTGCTGCTGTTGTTGTTGCTGCTGTAGTTGCTGCTGCTGCTGCTGCTGCTGCTGCAATTGTTGTTGTTGAAGCTGCAGCTGTGCTAGCTGCGTCTGCGTGTATCGCTTGCTGGCTTCGTGGGCACCACGAGCGACCTCACGGATCGACTTCATCCGGCCCAGCCCACCCGATCGCCGTCCGCTGCGTTGTGTCGCACTCGTTGACGAGCCCGAGGTTTGCCGGTCCAGTGCCTTGAGCGTCGATTCATCCGACCCGAGCGTATCGCTCTCGTTGTACGTCGACGTCGACGAGCTGGCCGCCTTGGCTGCTGCTGCTGCTGCTGCTAATGCTGCCGCCGCTGCCGCCGCTGTTGCCGCCCGTGGCGACTCGTCCGGCTCGGCTACCTCGGCAATCGGTGACGGTGGGTTCTCGGCGTCTCCGCCCTCCTCCAGCACCGGCTGGTCGACGTCCAGGTTCGGGAAGTAGTCCTCCAAATTGTTGATCAGCGCGTCTGTCGGCGGACGGTTCGCCCACACGTCCCGCTCCACAAACGACTTCCGTCGACCCAGCCCGTTCTCGTCGTTGTCCGGCCGCCAGTCCGAGTCCGAGTCGGGCGTCGCCGGTGTCCTTCGAGAGCTGCTCTGGCTGGAGTCGTTGTCGTCGCCTCCACCGTCGCCCCCGTTGATGTTGTTGCTGCTCGCGCCCGCCGTCGCCGACACGGGAGACGTGAACGACACCGACATCGTCTTGCGTGCCCGCTTCGTCTCGAGAGTGAGGCTGGGTCGCTCGCCGCCTGCCCCAGCACCGGTGGAAGACGATTTCGACGGTATGCCAGTTCTGCTGCTCCCAGATGCACTGCCGCTCTTGGCCGCCCCTTTGCCCTTGGCCGTGCTAGCACCGGGCCGTTCGGTAAGGGGCACGATGAATAGGTCGTCGTCAGAATCTTCGTCGTCCGAGTTGCTCGCGATCGAGATCCGCGACGGATTTGCCAGCGCCTCTGGGAGACCAATGCGCGGCGGCCCGCCGGTCCGGGAGAACCTGATCTCGTTGCCCTCGACCGGTAGTGCCGGTTCGTGGGTCTGGAAGCGTGATGTCGATGGTGGTGCCGTCTCAATGCGGGCAAAGTTGGCGCTTAACGGGCTGGAATCGGCAAACGACATCAGATGCTGCGGGTAATGCTGTAGCGGTGGTTGATGTAGATGTTGTGGATGCTGTGGCTGTTGTGGATACTGTGGTTGTTGTGGCTGTTGTGGTTGTTGTGGTTGTTGTGATTGTTGTGGATGCTGCATTTGCTGCATTAGCTGTTGCTGTTGCTGTTGCTGTTGCTGTTGCTGTTGCGGTTGCTGTTGCTGTTGCTGTTGCTGTTGCTGTTGCTGTTGCTGATGCTGCTGCAGCTGAGGCGGCTGCGGATGACCAGTGTGTCGCGATCTGCTGCTCTCGCCCGGACCGATCGGTGCTGTCGACACCCGATGGGGCGACGGGCCCCGAGACGGATGGCCGAGTCCGCCCAGCGTGCGACCCATGCCAGCCAGCACCGATGCCACGCCCAGGACAGTCTGCGGCCCGCTGTCACCGCCGCCAAAGCCAGACGGCTTGCGACCAACCCGCTCCGACATCTCGGGCGATAGTTCGTTCGCCATTGTCAGCCGCTTGCTGCTGCTGTGGCCGTCGGCACCTTGGGACAGCCGCGTCTGCTTACCCTGCTTGCTCAGCATGTTGGCCTTGAGGAGCGTGGCGGACGGGGCTTCGGGCGGCTCCGGCGCACGGCGCTGTGGCAGCAGCTTCTCCTGGGCCTTGTCCTCGAACGGCGACACCCGAGGCTGGTCAAAGTCCACATACCGGCCATTGATGCTTCCAGACGGCCCGGTCTCCAGCAAGGGCGCCTCTTTGTGTGCCGCCTGTCTGCCGCGTTTTGCCAGGTAGGCTATGCCCATCTTGCGCTCCTGTTCAGCCCGGCTTTGGCTGACGACATCGACACTTGGGGCGCTGGCGCTGGTGACATTCACATTGGCGGCATTGACGGCACTGGCATCACTACCGGCACCGACGACACCACCGGCACCAACGCCGCTGGCCACCTCTCTCGCGTCTGCGATCAACACGCTGTTCTGTCGCGACGACTGCGGCGACGAGCTCGATCTCGGCCGGTTCACGCCGTTCAGAGACTCGTACGCGTCCTTGTCCAGGGAGGCGATATGTGGGAGTGGGTAAGGCGTCTGCTGCCCCTGAGCTTGCTGCTGTTGCATGTTGCTGCCGTAGCTGCTACCGGTGGTGGCGGCGACGACGTTGGGCACGCTGCTTCGCAGCTGCACAAACAACTTGAGGCTGGCGACAGCATCGGCCCGCTGCTTCTTGCTGGCTACCAGCTTCGCGTCGTCTAGCGCGGCCTCGTGTCGGAACTGTCCCAGATCGGTCAGATAGAACGAGACGTTGTCGCCGTCCGGAAGGCCTAGGCTCGTGCAGATGAGCCTCCGCAGGTCGGCCGCGTTGTCGACGTCAGTCACGTCGACCATCCGGAAGTTCCACGAGTCCGTCGTGGCCAGGACGTAGGCGCGCGGCGGCTGCTGCCAAAAGGTCGAGAGAGGCCGTCCGTAGGAGGAGGTCACGCTGCTAAAGTCGTGGCTGGGCGCGAAGCTCGAGAGAGGCCGGTCCAGCGACACGTCGCTCGCGTTGCCGGCGCGGCTGCCCAGCTGAGAGGCCGACGACTTGGTGACGACCGGGCTGGTCGGCGACTCCAGCCCATCGGGAGACGGGTAGCTGTTGTCGTCCTTCTGCTTCTTCTTCCGGTGGTTCCAAAACGAGAGCAGCGACTTGTTGTCCTTGGCACTGCTCGGTGGGTCCGTGCCAGCTGAGTGGTCGCCCGAGTCGTGCGAGGGCGGCCGGGCGCTGGCGGGATTGCGGCTGGCCGAGATCATCTCGCTGATGTTCATGCCCTGGCGCAACATCTGGCTGGCTTCGGTCGGCAGTCCAGACCCGTAGACGGCCGCGTTGGAGGACATGGAGTCGGTGCTGTTGCGCGAGCGGTGTCCAAACCTGGTCGCGTGTGGAGAAGCTGAGAGATTGGGAGTGGAGGCCATGAAGACCGTGGCGGAAGTGGGAACCGGGCTGCCGGCAGCGCTGTTGTTGGGGCTGTGACGGAGCGCGCTGTCGACGTCGAGATTGAACAGGATGCCGCCCGGAGACCCGGCGTTGCTGCCGCTGATGGCCGGCCGTGTCGTCGTCTGTGAGACGCGCCGCCCGGAGAAGCCAGGGCCCGGATCCCGGATGGGAGTATGCAAATTGGCATCAGCCACGCTGCCCTCGGGCGTGTGGGAGATGCCCATCCGTAAGTCCGCAGAGTCGCCCGGCTCGGCTCCAGCACTCGGCGGGTTGTGAGGCGCCAGGCTCGCGATTGTGTTTGGGTTGGAATCTCGGCTCATGCTAGGTAATCGTGCTGGGTCGACAGGACGGCCACTGACGATGCCCCGAATCATGTGGCGCATGTTCCTGCCGACCTCGCGGTCTTTGGTCGGCTCCCAGTCCTTGCCTGGCTGCCCGGTGCGTTCGACCCAGGCCTGCTTCAGGGCCGGGTACACCTGCTGGTGCATGAGGCTGAAGTTGCCGCGGCCACCGTGGGCGCTGCCCAGCTCGAGAAAGGGCGCGCCGCACAGCTCCAGCGTCCGAAAGGCGTCCTGCCAGTCCTTGGGGAACTGGTTGGCCTGCAGCCAGGCCAGCACGCGCTCCAGCGGCCACTGGGCAGCGAGCTCTGGCGGTACGCCTTTGCTGCTGCTACCGCCAGTCGCACTGGTCGCGCTTGTCGCACTGGTCGCACTGGTCACGTTGGTTGCGTTGCTGGCTGTCGACTGGCCGCGGACTGCATGATGGCCTGGACCGAGACTGCGGCTGGGGTACTCGTCTGACGGGGTGCCGGTCTGACTGGCCATGGGGTTCGCAGACGTCCCAGCGGCTGCGGCTTTTGCCGTACTGACCACAGTGGCTGCATTGGCCGCATTGGTCGCATCAGCTACACTGTTCCCGTTGGCCACGTTGGCCCCGTTAGTCCCGTTGGCTCCGTTGGCTCCGTTGGCTCCATTGGCTGCACCGACAGTGTACAGATCACTAGCCCAACCGTCACCCTGGGCAGGCCACATGACCAAGGGTGTGCTGGCCGAGTAGGGCGTCATATCGCCGGCGATGCCGCCTAGCCCAGGAATGCCCACGCCCTCGCCGTACGTGTTGACCCCGGGGATGTACGTTGCCGACATCTGATCGGCCTGGCTCTGCTGCGGCGGCGGTGGTGGTGGCGGTGGCAGCGGCATCAACGGCACGGTCTGGCCGGGAAGCACACTGACGGCGGCATGCATCTTGGGGTTGTAGGCCTGGTGCTGCTGGCCGGCAGCCACGCTGCCTGGAGGCAGCAGTGGAGGAGGCGGCGGAGGGAAGCCTACACGGGTGTCGTACATGCGACCCCAAGTGTTGTGCCAGGGTGCCTGCTGGCCGATGGCGCTGCCAGGAGGCGGGCCCGAGGGAGGCGGGGGAAGGCCACCAGGGCCTAGGGCACTCGGAGTGGTGGTCGGATATCGGATTGGTGGTGGTGGTGGTGGCATGACCATGCTGCCGGCAAGCTGTGGCGCTGGAGGTGACATTGGGGGAGGGGGAGGCACCTGGTAGGGCCGCGAGGCGTTTGCCTGGCCGCTTTGGTACATGGCGAGTGGGAGGAGGAGGGTGGATGAACTGCCCACTGGTTCAAAGTCGAGGCAGTTGAGCCCGAGGCTGAGACGGCGACTGTGCGAGGCAGCCGGCCTGGACGCGGGGCTGGGCGGCTTGATCGGCCGGCGTGTGTTTGCTCATGAGGGTGGAAGTTGTAGCTGGAGAAGGGCGGCGTGTGGTGGGATATGGGTTGCCACGAGAAACAGACCGGGTGGCTGAATAGAAGAGGTTGGGACCGGGGTTTGGAGGGGAGATTCGTGTTTGCGGTCGCAGCGGCGCTTTGAGCTGGCGACGATCAGCAAGGCGAAGGCGACAGCATGCTGCTGGGCGGCGCAGACGAAAGAAACAGTGCACCGACGGAGACGAAGACGAAGATGCGGTCGACGTTTGGGAGGGAGGTTGTGGTCGGAGCTGAGGCCAAAATACGTCCGCTTTTTTGAGGCCGTTGGAAGCCGTTTCAGGCCTATGGAGTCTGCCGTTTGGAGAAATCAAAGACTAAGAAAGACGGTAGCCCGTGAATAGGGCACGGGAGGGGTGAGAAGGCGAAAGAGGCGAGAGAGAGAGAGAGAGGGTGGGCGTCGTTGATGGGTGGAGCGGTGGATCGAGACAGTTGTCGTCGGAGTGGTGTGGGAGAAAAAGACGGGGGGGAAGACACGAAAGCCGGGAGAGATAGCCCCCCCAAAAGACGAAAGACGACACGACTAAACGGCCGTCTTTAGCGTACATCTGGGGGGAAGGAGCGCCGAAGGGACCACCCCGGCAGGGAAAGAGCGCCATCTCGATTGGGCAGGACGGTCGGCCAATCAGACGATGCGGACGCCCTGTAAGACGAATTGCTGGGGCCGGGCTAGGCTACACATGTGCTCGTATCGCGTACTACGACGTACGGCGCACGGCAGGAGCATTCGAGTCTGTGCTGCAGAGTTTTCGTGCTAATACGAGCTGAGTACGGAGTAGTAGTATACGAATAGGAGATGCATGGTCAGATGCATTACTACAAGGTACATAGTAGATTCTCGTACTTATCTTCCTCGCGAGCTGTCTTGCCAGACCGCCCACGGCCTGCTCCACCCTCCTGCCGTGTCTCACATGGGTCCAGCTGGCCAATGGGTCCCGCTGCCGGTGCTTTAGTGTGCTGCAGCCTGCAGGTCGTCTGCAGCAGAATGTTCCTACTGGTCTGCGAAGCGCCCGGGCCACCTGATAGCGGAGGAAGAGCAGGACCAAACTATCTTACATGCTCCGTACGTAGTACTGAATATGTAAGATACTCCATACTCCGTACTTTGTATCTTTTTTAATATCTTACGTTGCAAAGCATGGCACGTGACTCCGTGCGGCTGTTTCGTGTCTATGTATATGCTTGGACGAACAGAACAGAAACAGAACAGAAACAAAAACAAAACGCCTTTGCCTCCCAGGGCCCAGTGCATCCTCCATCCTCCATCTTCCATCTTCCATCCACCATCAACCACCCCTACATCACCGAGCAGTTGCTCAGAAAGCTCGACATCTGGTCGTAGTAGCCGTCCTCGCTCGAGATGCCCTCCACGTAGTTGTGCTTGCGCACCAGCCCAGTCACCTGCACCGTCTGCTTGCCCGGCCCGTGCCACCACCGCAGCTTCTGCGCCAGCTCCGTCTCCTCCTCGTCCCACGCCACCTCCCACTTGCCTGAGCTCACCAGGATGTCGATGCTCTCCTCCGGGAAGTGAAACTCGGGCAGCAGAATCGTCGTCGGCACCGGCAGCAGGTCCTCCTCCACTGTGTCAGCTGTCGCCTTGTCTGCATGCTCTGGCGCGTCCATAACGCCGTCCATGCCGCCCATTCCAGCTCCAGCTCCTCTGCCCATGTGCAGGCCCGCCCCTCCGTCCACTGTCAGCGCAAACTCACACCGCCGCAGGTCGAAGCCGTACTTGATAATCGTGCCGGCCACCGTGATCGGCGATGGCCGCACGTACGCCTCGGCCGCCCGCAGCCCCGGCGTGGTCGTCAGCTCCGGCACCACGTGACTGTTGGGCGCTGACGAGATCGACGGCCGCGACAGCGCCTGCTTCAAGTTGCTCGGCGTCACCGCCCCCGCACTATCGCCGTCGAGGCTGTGGTGTGTCGTCGGTGTCGCTGGCCGCGGCCCATCCGCCATGGCCGTTGTTAGCGGCGTCGTCACAGACTCGTCCGAGTCTGACCCGTCCTTGTTGGACACCGGCTGCTGTTGCTGGCGAGGCGGCATGCGTCTCGGGCCCGCCAGCGCTGACGCCGCCGTCACCACGCGCTGCAGGCTAGGTGACGACGCCCTATGCGCCGACGACAGCGGCAGCTGCGAGTGTGGCAGATGATTGTCGTCCAGCGACACTATCGACAGGTCCTCGCCATTCCACAGGTCGCCTCTCTCGTGATCATTCTAGATTGTCAACACACGCAACAAACAACACACACACACACACACTCACCTCAGTCATATACAGCCACAAAGTGTAGCCTCCCATCAACGAACCCTCCACCGCAAAGTGGTTCGCATCCATGGCCGCCGACTGGCTGGAGTAGTCGCCCGTCTTGTAGGCGTGCTTGTCGTCCATATCGTAGGGTATGCCGAACTCGGTCAGGATGCACGGGTGGTTGCCGACGCGGTCGAGTCCCTCCTGGCGCAGCGTGGCCAGCTGGTCGCGGAAGCAGTTCCGGATGGCCGTCTCGCCCACGCGGATGGCAAAGGCCGGGTGCAGGTAACGGCCGCGCAGCACGCCGATCACGTCGACGTTCCAGGTGCGGTTCCACTTCTTGGTCATGAGCGTGATGCCGTCGTAAAAGTGCGGCGCGTACACCAGCCGCGGCTCGTCATCAGCCGTACCCCTGATCTTTGGCGGCAGCTCCATCGTCGGGCCCTGCAGCAGCAGGATGGCGTCCTCGTGGAACGTGCGGACGACGTCGCGGTAGCGCCGGAAGTGGTCCATTAGGTACGTGTCGGCAAAGCAGGGGTGGTCGATGGTCTCGCCCGTGCGCGGGTTCCGGGCAAAGTAGTCCTTGCGCAGCAGCTCGTCGCGGGCCGGGTCCCAGACCCCGTGCTGGGCCCAGATGCACTCACCCAGCCGCCAGCCGGGGTCACGCGTGTAGCCGTACCGCGAGTCGTCGTAGTCGGCCGGCAGCCAGGCCTGCTCGCCGTGCGGGTCGATCAGCGTCCGCCCTGACTTGACCGGGCCCAGGCCGCCCATCTCGTATGTGTCGACCTCGCACGGCCGCCCCGATCCCGTCAGCATCGCCTGCCACATCGTCGGGCACGTGCCCTTCTTGAGCTGCTGGTCCTTGGGGATCACGCTGATGTCCTGGTACCCGAGCAGGCCCTTGTTGGGCTCGTTGAGGTTCTCCCATCCAAACACCACGTCGTTCTCAATGTCGCCGGCCTCGCGGATCCGCCGCGCCAGGTGTGTGATCGACTCGATAAAGTGCTCCTGCAGGTAGTCCTGGATGTTCTTGCCGTCGATGATGCACCTGGGCGCAAAGTCGCGCCCGCCAAAAAACAGCGCAAACATGGTTGCCGCCGCCAGCCGGTAGTAGTTGGTCGACCAGATCATCTTGGGAAAGTCGTTGGTGTCGGGGTACGTGTTGTGCACAATGGCCGCCTCGGTCGACGAGAAGCTCTGCGGGTTGAGCCCGCAGGCATAGAGCGTCCACATTGGGGCCCCAGACCCGCCGCAGTATCGGGACCACTGGAGAGGTCAGATAAGAGGAGACAGAAGGGCCAGAAGGGAAACAGAAGAAGAGTGGTAGAAGAGAAAGAAAATGAGAAAGAAGCAAAAGGCAAAGCAGTCCGACGTACCACGTCCTGGTGAGGATCCATAAATACGTAGAAGCCGTATTGTCTAGCCACACGCAGTGTCTCGACGGTGTGTTGGATCCATTCCTCGTCATATTTGCCCGGACCAGCAGCCTCGATGGCCTCCCAGGTGAAGACGTAGCGGATGGTGTTGTATCCCATGCGCTTTAAACGCGAGAAGTGCAAGTGGGCATCCTCCTTGGGAAAGGGCCGCTTGTGAAAGTTGACGTTGTCGCCGTCGTAAAAATCGTCTGCGATGTGTGACGGGAGGTTCGGGGTGCTCGGATACTTGGCATCGCCGGCGACGTTGATGCCGCGCAGCACAACCTGCCGACCGAGAGCATCTCGAAACGTGCTGCCGTCAATGAAGAGGCGGAGAGGAGACATGGTCGGTGCACGGCTTTCGAGAGCTGAGAGGAGATTGGAGTGCAAGTGGAGAGAGGACAATGGACCGTCGCAGTTGCGAGTAGGAGAAAAGGGGCAATAGTAGCCAGTAAGTAGCACAGGTCAGGTCACTCCGTCACATCTCGGGGCATGCTCGATCGGGTCTCTGTCCGCGATCAGGCCTGATGGATGAGCCCGTTTAAGTACTTCGTACGTGCTAGGTTGCAGTGGATGGCCTGCCTCACGAAAGAGCTGACGACAAGGCCGTTAGTGCTGCCGAAGCTTCTCCATCCTAGACCAGCGGACCTGCCCACCAATTAGTCAGATCAGCCCGTTATCTTCGTGATAGCCGGCAGGAACACAGTGGAGCACTGTGCTGTCGTGATTGGTCGCTGCCCTAAAGCCGCTTAACGCGTCCGACGCGTTCTGGGGCTTCTTCTCGCGAACAGCCTGCAGCGATTCAATCGCACACACGCTGGCCTCAGCCTCAGCATCCGCCCGGAGCCTTTATGAGCAATGCCGCACTCGGTCGAGCCCAAAGCTGTTTTGCACGACGAAGCCGCTGCCGCCATGGCTGAGGAGCAGTCGTCACCGGCCGTCGGCAACGTGGACGCCGAACCGTCTGTGAGCGAAGATGTGGACATGGCAGATGGCTCGGCTATACCTGAGGTGGCCGTCAAGGCTGAGCCCGCCGAGGTCAATCTGGACGATCTGTTTGCGGACGACGACGAAGACGAGGAATTTCCGAGCTCGCTGCCACCAAAAAGCGAGCAGAAACCCGACTCGCCATTGTACGTTCTGGGCAGATCGGTACAGATGTGTGCGTGTGTTCAGTAGGGCTAACAGCAGCAGAGGAGCGGACTTGGCGTCACTAAAAGCGTCAGACCCCGAGGTGATGCGCAGCTTCTACCAGCGGTTATTTCCGTGGCGATACCTGTTCCAGTGGCTCAACCACAGCCCGACACCGACCAATGACTTTGGGCACCGCGAGTTTGCGTTTACGCTATCCAACGATGCCTATCTGCGATACCAGTCGTTTCCGACATCTGAGCTGTGAGTGGGGTGGATGGAGACGAGGAGAAGAGAAAGAAGAAGAGAAAGAAGAGGAAAAAAAGGACAAAAAAAAAGCTAACAAACAGACTCCGAAAAGATGTGCTACGACTAATGCCGTCCCGGTTCGAGATCGGGCCGGTGTACACGACAAACCCACGCGATCGCAAGTCGCTGAGCAACACGAGCGCGTTTCGGCCGCTGGCCAAGGAGCTGTGCTTCGATATCGACCTGACGGACTACGACGACGTGCGGACGTGCTGTGACAAGGCCAACATCTGCGGCCGCTGCTGGCAGTTCATCACGATGGCCATCAAGGTGGTGGACGTGGCACTGCGCGACGACTTTGGCTTCCAGCACGTGCTGTGGGTGTACTCGGGGCGGCGAGGTGCCCATGCGTGGGTGTGTGATCGGCGTGCCCGCACGCTGGACGACCAGAAGCGCCGAGCCATTGCCGGCTATCTCGAAGTCGTCCGTGGCGGCGCTCAGGGCGGCAAGAAGGTCAGCGTGCGCCGACCATTGCACCCGCACCTGGCCCGCAGCCTGCGGCTGCTGGCACCACACTTCCAAGACGACGTGCTGCAGAGCCAAGACCCCTGGGACACGTCTGAGCGTGCCGAGAAGCTGCTGCAGCTGCTGCCCGACCGCACGCTCAACGCGGCTCTGCGCCGCAAATGGGACGCGGCGCCCGGTCGCAGTTCGGCTGCCAAGTGGGCTGACATCGACGTCGTGGCCAAGACCGGTGCCAGCAAGGCGCTCGATGCCAAGGCTCTGCTCGAGGCCAAGCAGGACGTCGTGCTCGAGTACACGTACCCGCGCCTCGATATCGAGGTCAGCAAGAAGCTCAACCATCTGCTCAAGAGTCCGTTTGTCGTCCATCCCGGCACTGGCCGCGTCTGCGTGCCCATCGACCTCCGTCGCCTCGACCAGTTCGACCCGCTTGCCGTGCCGACCGTTCAGGAGCTGCTGCAGGAAATCGACGCCTGGCAGCCGCCCGCCGGCGCTGCCAACACGGCCGCTGCTGAAGCCAGCGATGGTGCTGCTGCCCCAAAACCCCTGCAGGATTGGGAGAAGACCAGCCTGCGCCCCTATATCGAGCTGTTCCGCACCTTCGTCCAGGCCCTGATGCGCGACGAGACCGACGTGAAGGTCAAACGGGAGCGCGACGAGGGATTGGATTTTTGAAGAAAGCTGGCACCTGACATGGTTCAGGTCCCTTTGGCACGACGTTTCACGATCACATAACGGACGGCTGTCTCTTGATTTCGCTTCTGGAACTGGAAAATTGCTGGATTTGTACAGGTATTAGAGGTCTTCCCGTTTTGCTTTGTCAGCATCGACATGTCGTCCACTTTCTGACGAATTCTCGCGTCATATTCTGTGCATCAGACACACTGCCTCCACAAACCAATGCAATTCGCTTTTCCGCCGTCGCTATGCCTCTGCTGCCGCCTTTGTCGTCGTCTGGACTTCCGCATCCACGACGACTTGGTCCTGGCTGTTGTTACCCTCGGCTCCAGTCTCGGCTTCGTTTTCATCCTCATCGTCCTCGTTGTCTTCACCCTCTCCATCCTCATCCTCGCCCTCGCCCTCGCCCTCGCCGTCTTTGCTGGCCCCTGGTTCCCGCAGCCGGCCACCCTTGCGCTTCGGCATCACGCGTTCAAACGCCGTCGCCCAGTCGCCCGTCTCTAGCCACTGCAGCATAATCTCCACCACGTGGTTCGTCGTCAGCACCTTTCGGCTAGCCATCACCATGTAGTCGCCGATCGGCAGCTTGGCCGTGCGCACGCCGTGCTCCTGTGCCCGCCGGTAGCAGAGGCCCTTCTCGCGGTTCTTGTCGACGATGCCGCCGATCACGTAGCTCGTGTACGGCTCCAGCCGCGTCAACGTGTGCGGCGAATCGGATGTCAGGTAGACTACCGAGTGCAGCCCTGAAGTAGCTTCCTCTTTCGCTTCTTTCGCCTCCTTGTCCGCGTCGCCCAGCACATCCACGACCACCCCCCCGCCCTCCCGCCGCATGGCCGCCTCGGCCTGCCGTCCCGCACCCATAAAGTCCTCCTCCACAAAGTAGGCATGCTGCCACCGCTTGTGCTGGTTCGCCAGCAGCGTCTCGTAGCGCTCCCGCAGCTTGCCCTGCCATGAGCTGACAAAGATGCGCGTCTGCCGCGTCGCCATCCGGTTGGCCGAGTACGACCGCGTGATCTGGCCCGACAGCGAGATGAGCTCCGTGTCCCGCATATACGACTCGAACGCGCAGTCAAAGATCAGGCTAATCGGCACGAGCACCCGCTCCTTCACCGGTGCTACCTCGCCGCTAACCTCGGTCGTCGTGTCTGGCGCCGCTGTGCCTTCCGCTTCCCGCTTCTCCCTCTTGGCCGCCCGCCGTTGCACCTGCTTCTGGTGCCGTCTCTCTTTCCGCTTGCGCTTGCGGTCCTCACGTCCGCCTTCCCACTTCAGCTGCCGCTTGAGTCGCTTCTGTTGGTTCTTGGAGAGCGGCGCTGCCGACGCTGCATCCGACGACACGGCTGCCGTGACGGGGGCCCCGCCGGCCGTGCTTTCGTCATCGTCTCCGCTGTCGCTATCGTCGTCGCCGTCTTCGCGCATCTGCACGTCGTTGAGCACGGACGGTGACCTCGAAAGGGCCTTGCTGTCAGAGGTCACTCCCAAGAAGCGTGTGTCGCCATTTTCCACCGCCGACTGTCTGTTTACCGAATCTTTCAAGTCATCACGAGGCGATAGTGCCCCTAACATGCGCGGGGTCTCGTCTGTGTCCATCTCGCCTCGATTGTCGTTAAGTGACTCGCAAACGTCCTTTCGCTACGAAGGTCGCATTGGCTCTTTTTTTCAAAGTAGTGGGGCAGCTCTGCACAATAGGCGGTTGTTCCGGTTCGAGTTAGTGCGCTTTCCCGCAAGTCGCGCCTTCGCGTTAATTGCCTTCTGACGCGTCTTGAGAATACTGTCCCGTCCTCGTCGAAGCATCTTTACGGCCGCAGCATATTCTATTTCGGGGAAGGCACGAACAGGCGACAAAGCCCGTACTACAAAATCCTGTCCTTTCAGTCTCCTTTGCCACTTTCAGCTGTTTTCTTCAGTCAAACACCAAAATGTCTTCTCGGCCTGAACTGAAGGCAAGCCTCTTATTCTTACGCCCAGTATCTGTCAAGACAGCAAGACTAACAGCTCTTCTTAGGTCGACGATGAACATGGCTTCATTCGCTTCTTCAAATCTCTTCCGTCTATTGGTGATGAGACAATCCGGATATTCGACAGAGGAGACTGGTACACAGCTCATGGAGACAACGCGAACTTCATTGCCCGGACGGTTGGTTGCCCTCTACAATGTCGGCCTCTCAGGCGAGGTGTCACGGACAACAACTGACAGGTGGCCTTCTGAGTCAGGTCTACAAAACCACATCCGTTGTGCGGCAATTAGGTCGAAATGACCACACCGGCCTCCCTTCCGTGACCATGACCGTGACCGTCTTCCGACAATTTCTCCGAGAGGCCCTCTTCAAGCTTGGCAAACGCGTCGAGATCTGGGCCAGCTCTGGCGGCCGTATGAATTGGAAGATCGCCAAGCAGGCCTCCCCCGGAAACCTCCAGGACGTCGAGGATGAATTAGGCCAGTTTGACAATGCCCCCATGATTCTAGCCGTCAAGATCTCGGCCAAGGCAAACGAGGGCCGCACTGTCGGTGTCTGTTTCGCCGATGCCACCGTACGTGAGCTCGGTGTCAGTGAGTTCCTGGACAACGATCTGTACTCCAACTTCGAGGCCCTGTTGATCCAGCTCGGCGTACGCGAATGCATCGTCCAGACCGAAAGGCTCGACCAAGATGGCAGCGTCAAAGACCCTGAACTCTCCAAGCTCAAGCAGATCATCGACAACTGCGGCGTCGCCGTCGCTGAGAGAGCCCTCTCCGACTTCGCTATCAAGGATATTGAGCAGGATCTTGCCCGGCTGCTCAAGGATGAGCGAGCAACCCTTGTGCTGCCTCAGTCCGATCTGAAGCTGGCGCTGGGCTCCGCTGCCGCGCTCATCAAGTACCTCGGCGTTCTGCAAGACCCGTCCAACTTCGGCCAGTACCAGTTATACCAGCACGATCTGTCACAGTTCATGAAGCTGGACGCTGCCGCCGTCAAGGCTTTGAACCTGATGCCAGGTGCCCGCGACGGTTCCAAGACCATGAGCCTGTTCGGCCTGCTCAACCACTGCAAGACCCCACTAGGCGGCCGACTGCTGTCGCAATGGCTCAAGCAGCCGCTGATGAACAAGGCCGACATTGAGCAGCGCCAGCAGCTGGTGGAAGCCTTTGTCAACGACACCGAGCTGCGTCAGACCATGCAGGAAGACCACTTGCGCTCCGTGCCAGATCTGTACCGTCTGGCCAAGCGCTTCCAGCGCAACAAAGCCAATCTAGAGGATGTTGTGCGTGCATACCAGGTGGTCATCCGTCTGCCGGGCTTCCTCGGCACGCTTGAGGGCGTCATGGACGAGGCGTACCGCGTGCCGCTGGACGCTGCCTACACTACAAAGCTTCGCACGCTGTCGGACAGCCTGGCCAAGCTGCAGGAAATGGTCGAGACGACTGTGGATCTGGACGCGCTAGACAATCACGAGTTCATCATCAAGCCCGAGTTTGACGACAGCCTGCGCATCATCCGGAGGAAGCTTGACCGGCTTCGTCTGGACATGGACCGCGAGTTTGCCGAAGCCGCACGGGACCTGCACCAGGAGCGTGACAAGAAGATCTTCCTGGAGAACCACAAGGTGCACGGCTGGTGCATGCGACTGACTCGCACCGAAGCCGGCTGCATCCGCAACCAGTCGCAATACCAGGAGTGCTCGACGCAGAAGAACGGCGTGTACTTCACGACGAAGGCGCTGCAGGCACTTCGTCGCGAGTTCGACCAGCTGTCCAGCAACTACAACCGCACGCAGAGCAGCCTGGTGAGCGAGGTGGTCGGCGTGGCCGCGTCGTACTCCCCTGTGCTTGAGCGGCTGGCCGGCGTGCTGGGCCACCTGGACGTGATCGTGTCGCTGGCACACTGCTCCGTGCATGCTCCTATTGCCTACGTCCGGCCTCGGATCCATGCGCGTGGCGAGGGTCGAACGGTGCTGCGCGAGGCCCGCCACCCCTGCCTGGAGATGCAGGACGACGTGCAGTTCATCACCAACGACGTCGTTTTGGACCGGGAGTCGTCGGCCTTCCTCATTATCACGGGTCCGAACATGGGCGGCAAGTCGACATACATTCGCCAGATCGGCGTCATTGCACTGATGGCACAGATCGGCTGCTTTGTACCGTGCGCAGAGGCCGAGCTGACGCTATTCGACTCCATCCTGGCGCGTGTAGGTGCCAGCGACTCGCAGCTGAAGGGCGTGTCGACCTTTATGGCCGAGATGCTCGAGACGGCAAACATCCTCAAGTCGGCCACGGCCGAGTCGCTCATCATCATTGACGAGCTAGGCCGCGGCACCTCCACCTACGACGGCTTCGGCCTCGCCTGGGCCATCTCTGAACACATTGTGCGCGAGATCGGCTGCTTCGCCCTGTTCGCCACCCACTTCCACGAGCTGACCGCCCTGGCCGACCGTTACCCACAGGTGACCAACATGCACGTCACCGCGCACATTAGCGGCACGGGCAGCAGCGAGGACACGGCCAAGAAGGACGAGAAGCGCGAGGTCACGCTGCTCTACAAGGTCGAGCCGGGCATCTGCGACCAGAGCTTCGGCATCCACGTGGCCGAGCTAGTTCGGTTCCCAGACAAGGTGGTGCGTATGGCCAAGCGCAAGGCCGACGAGCTAGAGGACTTCTCGACCAAGCACGACGAGGCGTCGCTGTTGGGGACGCAATACAGCAAGGAGGACGTGGAGCAAGGCAGCGCGCTGCTGAAGAATGTGTTGGTGCAGTGGAAGGAGCAGGTGCAGGACAGCGGCAACGGCGCGTCGAAGCTGAGCACAGAGGACATGGTCGCCAAGCTCAAGGAGCTAGTAGCGGGCGACGAGAAGCTGCGGGAGAATCCGTTCTTCCAGTCGATCAAGGCGCTGTGAAGACGCATTGATTTAATTTGATTTGTCTCGTTCAAGGAGCGCCATGAAATGATGGGTAGGAAGGATGCAATGGAAATTTAGGGTTAGTCTACAACGGCATGTTACAAGGGGGCTTTCGCTTAGATTTGATATTTAAAGGCTTAAATGGCAAATAGAGCCAGCACTATTCATGAGGTACACTGTAAAGCTTGTTAGCAACGATACATCCAACAGCAGCTCAAGGCGTGTAACAGGGAAGCCGAGTTCAGGTGTGCATCAGATATAGAACAATGTATAGGTTTGGTATAAACATGCTGGCCTAGGCCAATTCATAAACAGCCTCTGAAAAGCGAGGTTTCATCATAGCAGAAGAACTCGGCGGTGATTGTAAAGTGAAAGAGCGAAAGATCAAACGTACCGTTTAAACACTGGCGATGCTGGTGTCCAGTGACACGTCTTCCAGCTTGGAGAGAAGGCCCGGTAGGCAAACGAGAATAAAGATAGAACTTTGTTGTCTTGGACCAAATGCGTATATACAGAGCTAAAGGGGCATAGCTGTAGTGTGGTGTGTATTGTGTGATATATGATAGGAGTGTCCTCGCAGGAGGTGCGCGATATCCGCTCCTGTTTCCCGTTCATCGGCAATTGAGGGCATTCCGGCCTTTGCCACGGTCGTTCTCGGGTAGTGTACAGCTTCGTCTTTTCGGCGACAGTCGCGCCTGTTTCCTCGGCGCTGCTCGTCGCCTGTGCCGTCTCGGGCTCACGCGTTCGGGTCTGCAGAGACGGTCTTGACGTCGATGCCATACCGCTCCTTGATCCGTTGGACACGGAGGGCCTCGTAATCGGGCGAGTGGATCACTGAAATGGTCAGCAAGATGCCGCGGTCGCCAGCCGCCGCATCGGGACAGGATCGAACTTACTGCCCGCACGTCCGTCGCCGAGCTCGGCAAAGGTCTCTTCTGCCGGCCGCCTTCGGTTCTTCCGCAGGTACTCTTTGTACGAATACCCATCGTCCACCTTCTCATCCGACCAGCCGCGCAGCGTGCCGCCCGTGAATTCGAACGCGGCCAGGATGGACGCAGTGAACGCGCCCATCCCGACTATCCGCGGAATCCTGCCGGCTAAGAGCCATGTTAATTGGCAGATCCGGAGAGAAGTCGGGTGGAAACAAGAGAGAAAAAGCAGAAAAAGCAAAGAAAAAAAAAAAAAAAAGACGAATAATTATAGGGAAAATTTTTCCAACTTACACGCCAGTCCAAACACGGATCCCGCCAAGAACCCACTCACGGCCGTATTGTAGACGTCCTTCTTCTCGCGCAGGTTGGCCATGGCAACGCGCGAAAACTCATACACACCACCAACGGCAGCTTCGGACGGTCAGCACAGAAGGGTAGCGTCCGAAAAGAAGGGACCGGCCATTGCGGCAGCGCAGGAATACCCACCGAAGGATGCGACCATGCCGCCGCTCCGTGTGAACACGCCCCAGGCGCCGACATTCCGCTTCTGCAGCGAGTTCTGAATGGCCGCCAGGAACAGACCAGCACCGCCCACTACGAGGGAGCCCTTGGCGCTCGCCTTGATGGCGTCCTCCGGATGATAGACGTCGTCTCCCGCCATGCTTGCCCCGATTGCAGATCGTGTGCTTTGGGGTGTGTGTGGTTGATGGTTGCCTCGGTTCCAAGGACGGAAAGTGGAGGGGGAAAAGAGGAAAAGGAAATCGGGTGGGAAAGTTGGGCGATTTGGCTCTCCAATTGATTCAAACAGCTGCTGATTGGCCCAATTGCTGTCGACATAAAATAAAGTCACGTGAATTCTTAGTCATCCTAACTGCTCCTGCCGCCGCCGCCACTTTGCTTGGCTGCCTAGGTATCAGGTTGAGAGAGACCTTCCAGTTTGCCCTGGTTGCGGTGGCAAGGCTGCGTCACCACGCTACAATCCAGAGTCTCGGCATACACAACGGGCCCGGGGCCGTACTGTATGGAAGAGCAAGGCCGCATGCTGGCCGGACGCTGCAACACTGTCAGACACGCCACCAAGCAAGCCGTCGCATATTTTAGCACCCTTTTGTGCGGGTGGTTTCTGTCTGCTTCAGCTACAAACACAAAATACCGGGGACCTTTTTTTTTTACGTTTTCCGGTCCTGTCTCCCTGCATCACCAGTGCCCGTTTCGTCTGAAGACCGAGCTGTAGTCAGACCATACCTTCAGCGGCACGGGATCAGAACAGATCCGTTTCGGTAGCGCTAACTCGACTGAGCTTCGTAAGTACCTAGTCGACGATTGTGGCCAGCCTTAGCATCACGGCCGTCCATCGGGCCACAGTGCTGCAGCCTCGTGTCACAGCGGTACAGGACACGCTGTTGGAATTGGTGAGTCCTGCCGTGTGAGACCGGTCAGCGTTTCGCCGTGCCATGACCCGAAAAAGACGTCTCATGTCCTGCCTTTTGTTTTCCCCGCCCCAAAAAAGAGACTGCATTCACCCCCACTTGCTTTTGCTCATGCAGACATACCGCCACCCCCCTGCCTTGTTTGCGTCTGGCTGTGTGCTCGTGCTTACCAGAGATCCAGACAGCTCCGGCGAACGATGAATCCGCCGCCTCCATACCCGGGCACCCGCTCCCAAGGCCTGCTGGCCACTATTGAGGAGTCCAGCCACCGCAGAATTGGCCGGCCTGGTGCGTATAATCGCATGTTCCTTGCTTCCATGGACTCGTGCTGATGCGGTGCAGGACGTCTTGCGCCGAAATGGCTAGAAGACTTCTTGTCTGGCAGCCTCCAGGACTCAGCGCCGCTCTATCTGGACGTTGGGTGCGCTAGCCTGGATGTCAGGCTGGCCATTGCCTCTGCTGCCGGCGGCAGCTTCTATGATACCGGCAGTCCTCCGGTAGTGCGCCACGAGCTGCTGATCAAGGGCCACCAATGCAGTGGCCACGCGTCTGGCGCCGATGGCGGCTCGGCAAGCACAGCTGGGACGTCTCCAGGCGCCGATGGCAAAGAGTACAACGAAATCTACTCGTGTGTCTGCCAGAACTGCCGCTATCACTTTACCTTTTACATTGAACGCAATGTCGAGACGTCGTGTGGCATGAACCACGGCAACAGCCGGGACCCGTACCACCATCTCGTCTTCAACCCGATCGAAGACGACAGCCGGGAGCTCATCAACACCAAGTACTACCCGTTATGGGGCCGTTCGCAGTACATCTGCTCTGCCACACGGTGTGGCTACAATGTGACGGTGGAAGTGTCGGAGCCGCGCCTAAACCAGCACTTCCTCAGCTTCTTGACCGACAACGACCGTATAAATGGCCGTCTGCGAGAGGCCAAGAAGGCCGAGCCGGAGCGATTTGCCGACGTGGCAACGGCGCCGCCCAACGCTCTATGGTACCTCAGAATCTATCTGCAGGACATTGTCAGTGGAAATGAAGACGGAGCGGCGGCGGATGGCAGGCCTGAGAAGCGAATCTCCCAGCGAAACAAAAAGTTTTTTGTCCACTTTGGCGACGGACCCGATGCCGCGGACCTATTCACCTTCCTCGAGTTTAAGGAGGTCGTCGACGGCGAAAATCGGCTGTGGAGGGTGCCCACGCCCGAAATGATGCGGCCGACGCGCCCCGGCTCGCAGCTCGCCTTTTACCAGGACATCAAGAGCGAGATCGAAACGATCCTCGGCAAGGACAGCGACAACCTGAAGCCGAACACGGCGATCAACTTTATCACGACCGCTCTGGATATTGAAAAGTACGTCACCTCGCGGCAGCTGTACAGCCAATATGCACTCATGGACTACGACATTCTGGGCATCCTGCCCGACATGCACGAGTCGTACTTCTGGTATGCCTTTACATGCCAGCACCAGGCAGATCCGTCCAAAGAGTCAGCCTTCTTCGGCGCCCTGCAGCGGCTCACGCGTGGTCGCAACAACGAGGAGCTCGAGGTGAGGGTGCAGTCGTTTGACTCGATACAGACTGCGCAACCTTTAGAGTCATTTGAAGAGGAGGACGAGATCCGACGAGCCACCGAGGCTTCACTTAAGGAGATGCTACCGGACTCGTTGCAGTCGTATTCCAACAGCGAAGACGAAGCCGTCAGCAGGGCCTACAGCTACTTCGGTCTGCAGCCGGACCAGAGGACCGATGACGAGGCTCTGGGGAAGTTTGAGTCGCTCTGTGACTCGTACCCGTCACAGCGGTCTTCGTACCGGGAGAAGTTGCTTCTCATCGCCCGCAAGACGGGCAGTAAACGACTGCAAGAGCGGGCAGTCGAGTCGATGAGCCTCGAAGAGGCCGTCGAATACCTGGGTGTTCAGATCGACACGGAGACAGAGTATATTGTCACTATCGCAGAGTTTTCAAGCAACGTACGTATCGAGAGACGACTGCAAGTCGCAAGCCAGCAGCTGACAGTCTACAGTCTGGAGAGAAGGATTACGCGCTCATTGCGACGGCGCTCAGAGTCGTCGGTATGGCCCGCGACAACAACGCGACCCTGATACAGGCGGCAGCCATCATCATGGCCGGGCATGGCCAGAGCTATGAGTTCAACAGCCCCCACGACAGCCGCATGGACATTGCCACGATTCTAGACAGCCAGCCGGTGTGCAACCTCAGTCTCCCAGTCGGGCTGCAGAACATCAGAAACACCTGCTACCTCAATAGCATTCTTCAGTACTTCTTCACGGTGAAGCCGATCCGAGAGATTGTGCTGAATTGGCAGGACTGGGGCCTGGAGATTACGGAAGAGAATCTGAGGCACCGGCGCATCGACCCCGGCTCGACCCGGCTCGACCCGGCGGACGCGTTTGCCGGGCGACAATGTGAGTGCAGATAGGGACGGATGAGATGCTGGGCTTAAAGTTTCTGACGTGGCTGGCGCAGTTGCCTTTGAGCTCTCCGCTCTGTTCACGGAGCTGCTCACAAGCAACCAAGCGGCGCTGAAACCACCGCAGAGGCTGGCACTCGCAGCACTCAAGAACTCCAGCCAGCTGGAGGCCGACGGAGCGAAGATCTTGGCGAAAGACCGAGCGGACTTGCCCTTCTCCTTTGGCACGGATGGCAGCATTGGGAAGTGGTCACCAACGACGGCACCTCCGCTTCCTCTTCGCCACGCGCCAGCACCACCAGTGCCACCACGTACGACGCAGTCGGCTTCCAAGGTCCATGTGACTGCGATTTCGGACGTTGACGCAGCAGAAACAGCCAGCTCGCGTAGTTCGCAGACGCTGGTAAATCAGCACGACGATGCAGGGCCGACGGTGAGCTACGCCAGCTACAGCCCGACAGAACACGGCATCATCGAGATGACAGATGCCGAGGACGGGGACGGGAACGAGAGGGGCACGGTGGAGGTGAAGGAGGACGACAGGATGAGCGGGGTGAAGACGGTGTTCGAGCCTCCGCCGACGCGGCCACTGGGCAGCGAGCAGGTGACGACGGAAGAGAAGATCGAGCGGGCACTCAACGACAGCAGCGTGACGGGAACGGATCAGCAGGACGTGGAGGAGGTGATGGGCAACATCATCGGACACCTGCGGGCAGCAGTGCGGGCAACAGGCGAGGACGAGGAGACGGGAGCCCAGAAAGACCCGGTGACAGACACATTCTTCTGGACGAGCGTGACATACGGACGAACGAACGGGGCGAAGGAGCTCAGCCGGCAGGTGTCGCCGAACCGATGGGTGACGGCGTATCCGGACGAGAACGGGGCGGTGATCAGCCTGCCGCAGGCGTTGGACAACAACTTCCACCGGGAGGTGATCACGGAGGGCAGTACGCGGTACGAGCGGTTCACATCGATCCTCAAGCTGCCACCCATCCTGCACGTGCATATCCAGCGGACGACGCGAGACGGCGGCAAGAACAACACGGCGATTGAGATTCCACAGGTGCTGTACCTGGACCGATTCATGGACAGCCCGGTGGACTCGGGGCTTTTCCGGCGGCGCCGACGGGCGTGGAACCTGCAAGAGAGGTTGCGGTCGCTGAAGGGTCCGAACGGCGAGGTGGCCGACCCGTACTTCAGCCCAGAAGCGCTGGCCAAGGCGACGGCGTATTCCGATGCGCTGGTGGCCGGCTATCTTGCCGAGGACACGGCGGCCAAGCCGGAGAGCGCGGAGATGGAGGGCAACAACAGCGAAAGCGACGACGGCTATTTTCTCATCCGAGGCGACCTCAAGGATCTGATGGACGAGAACGGCATCGAGCTGCCGAAGAAAAGGACGACAGCAGCAGCTACGAGCACAGACGAGACAGAGGGCCAGGCAGTGCCGCGATATGACGAGGCGCCCGGGCTTTCGGAACGGACCAGAGAACTGCTGGCAGCATCGCGCCACATGGATCGGGAGCAGATCCGAGCGGCATGGGAGGGAGCATCAGAGGCTGTGCAGGCGAGCCACGAGCTGGTGACGCGGGCGAGCGCAGAAGCAGAGACGCTGCGTTCGGAGCTGGACGGCGTGTTTGCCGGGCTGCAGGAACACGAATACCGACTGCACGCGGTGATCTGCCACGCAGGCCAGACGGGCAAGTCAGGACACTACTGGGTATGGGTATACGACTTTGCGCGGCAGCTATGGCGACGGTACAACGACAGCGTGGTGACGGAAGAGCCGGACACGGAAAAGGTGATGCGACAGCTGTCGACACAGGGCGAGCCGTATTACCTGGCCTATGTGCGGGCACAGGACGTGGACCAGATGGTGGACATTCCGAGCCGACAGGCAGCAGCCGAGGCAGCCGAGGCCGAGGAAGCAGAGGCAGCAGAAGCAACAGAGGCAACAGAGGCAGAGGAACCCAAAGCACAGGCACTGGCTGCTGTGCAGGAGCTGGACGAGGCCGAAGACGGGAAAGCAGAGATGGACTTGGATACAGCCGAGTCTGCCAGCCGGATGGACATGACGGACGAGGCCGACAGCTGGGCAATCGGGCCTACAATGTGGTGATGCTGTATCTGTATCGTAGGAGGGTTAGCTGCACAGACAGGCGTTATTGCCGGTGTTTCCAGCGAGTCGCACAGCCGACAACGGCCAGGCTGACTGTATCTTACAGTAGCTACGGAGTAGCAAGTAGGCTAGCACAAGCCATGGCCCCACTTCCAGCGGGGTTGCAGCAGGAGACAAAAAAAAACAGGCGACAAAAAGAAGACCACTCTTGCAGCATCGCTATTGTTTCCGATGCGAACTGGACATCACATCATCTTCTCCTTCCGGGGATGTTCCCAGGCTCCGGGATAACCGACTGCATGGGTATGGGGCACTGCGGATGAGAGTTGGGGACATCTGGTGGTGCTAGGATTCCCCAAACTCTTCTCGGGCCATCAGACCACTTGGGCACCAGCCTGCATCGCGATGGCCAACCGCGGCCGAGGGACAACGTTGGAGAGCGTGGACTAGTGCTAGAGCGTGCTAAGAGACACTCACATGCGTTGTGGGATCGAGCTCTGTCGACATACGATTGAAGTTGTTCTATGTACCGTCCAGGGCTGACTGATCTTATCCATTATCAGCCATTCACTCCAACACGATCAGGAAAAGCGATCCCTGCCACCAGGTCCCCACTTTCCAGTATCCACATTGGCGTGGGCGTCCCCAATTTCATGATCTTTATTTCTGCAGCTCTGTTAGGCGCCAGTCGTCACACATGTGCAACTCGCACTGTGCTGATAGCCAGCTCCAACACGACTTGCGATGACTCCTGCCATCGCGTAGTCCTGCGCCTCGGGGCCAAGCAAGATGCCGTCGTACAGTGTGTAGAGTGCCATGCCTTCCGGCCTGGGATACGCAGCCGCTCCTTCCCGACAATGGCAGTTGCCCTGGCGTATAAAGACCTACCCCTCATCCCTGGTGTCATCCTTCCCTCGATCCATTCTTCTTCGTCCTCTCAATCTTCTGTTCGCTTGCCGAGCTTGTACGTTTCCAGACTCTCGCCTCCTGCCCCATTCCTACTAATGCGCCCAGGTCACCATGTCTGTCAACGAGCTCACGGTGGACATCGAGGCGATCCGGCCGTTTGGCCCGGCTCGCTCGACCGTCACGGCCAGGCCGCTCTCAGACGCGCAGCTCAAGCAGTACGATGACTTCTTCTCGGCCAGCCTGTATCTGGCCCTGGGCATGATCTACCTGCGCAGCAACCCGCTGCTGCGCGAGCCGCTCCAGCTCGACCAGGTCAAGGCCCGGCTGCTGGGCCATTTCGGCTCGGCGCCCGGACAGATCTTCACGTACATGCATTTCAACCGGCTGATCAAGAAATACGACCTGGACGCCATCTTCGTGTCCGGGCCCGGTCACGGGGCCCCGGCCGTGCTGTCCCAGGCCTATCTCGAGGGCACCTACTCGGAGGTGTACCCGGAAAAGTCGGAGGATGACGAGGGCATGCAGAAGTTCTTCAAGTACTTCTCCTTTCCCGGCGGCATCGGCTCACACGCCACGCCCGAGACGCCCGGAAGCATCCACGAGGGCGGCGAGCTGGGCTACTCCATCTCGCACGCCTACGGTGCTGTCTACGACTATCCGAACCTGATTGCACTCACAATGGTCGGCGACGGGGAGGCCGAAACTGGTCCGCTGGCCACGTCGTGGCACAGCAACAAGTTCCTCAACCCCATCACCGACGGTGCCGTTCTACCGGTGCTGCACCTCAACGGTTACAAGATCAACAACCCGACGCTTCTAGCCCGTATCAGCCACGAAGAGCTGGAGAGCCTCTTCCTCGGCTACGGCTACAAGCCGTACTTTGTCGAGGGCGATGACATCACATCCATGCACCAGGCCATGGCCGCCACGCTTGAGCAGTGCGTGGTCGAGATCCGCGCGATCCAACAGGAAGCCCGTAGCTCCGGCATTGCCAAGCGGCCACGTTGGCCGATGATTGTCCTGCGCACGCCCAAAGGCTGGACAGGACCGCGCAAGGTCGACGACCACTTTCTCGAGGGCTTCTGGCGTGCTCACCAGGTTCCCATCACGGATGTGCGCGAGAACCCAAAGCACCTCGCGCTGCTCGAGAAGTGGATGCGCAGCTACGAACCAGAGCGGCTCTTCGGCACGGCCGGCCACATCAGCCCCGAGCTCAAGGCCGCCCTCTGTCCCACGGGCAACCGGCGGATGAGCGCGAACCCGGTGGCCAACGGTGGAATCGTCAAGAAGCCGCTCAAGCTGCCCAACTTCCGCGACTACGCCATCACGGTCGACCAGCCCGGCGTCACGTTTGCCGCCAGCATGCAGAACATGGGCGGCTATTTGCGTGACGTCATCGCCAAGAACCAGACCAACTTCCGGCTCTTTGGCCCCGACGAGACCGAGTCCAACAAGCTGGCCCGCGTCTATGAAGCTGGCAAGAAGGCCTGGATGGGCAGCTACTTTGACGAAGACAAGGACGGCGGCAACCTCGCGCCGGCTGGCCGCGTCATGGAGATCCTGTCCGAGCACACCTGCGAGGGCTGGCTGGAGGGCTATATTCTGAGTGGCCGCCACGGCCTGCTCAATAGTTACGAGCCCTTCATCCACGTGATCGACTCCATGGTCAACCAGCACTGCAAGTGGCTCGAGAAGTGCCTCGAGGTCGAGTGGCGCGTCAAGGTGGCCTCGCTCAACATCTTGCTCACTGCCGTTGTCTGGCGCCAGGACCACAACGGCTTCACCCATCAGGACCCCGGCTTCCTCGACGTCGTCGCCAACAAGAGCCCCGAGGTTGTGCGCATCTACCTGCCGCCCGACGGCAACTGTCTGCTGTCGGTCATGGACCACTGTCTCGTGTCGGCCAACTACGTCAACGTCATCGTGGCCGACAAGCAGGACCACCTGCAGTTCCTCTCCATGGAAGATGCCATCCAGCACTGCACCAAGGGCGCCGGCATCTGGCCGCAGTTCAGCACCGATGCCGGCCACGAGCCTGACGTCGTCATGGCCTCCTGTGGCGATATCAGCACCAACGAATCGCTGGCTGCCATCGACCTGCTGCTGCAGTTCTTCCCCGACCTTCGCATCCGCTGCGTCAACGTGGTCGACCTCTTCAAGCTGATCAGCCACGCCGACCACCCGCACGGCCTGACCGACCGCGAATACGTCGCTCTCTTCACCGATGACAAGCCCATCATCTTCAACTTTCACTCGTACCCCTGGCTGGTCCACCGCCTGACCTACAAGCGTCCCGGCAGCACGAACATCCACGTGCGCGGCTACAAGGAGAAGGGCAACATCGACACCCCGCTTGAGCTGGCCATCCGCAACCAGACCGATCGCTTTAGCCTGGCCATGGACGCCATCGACCGCACACCTCACCTCAAGAACTCCGGCTCGTCTGCCCGCCAGGAGCTGCTGAATGCGCAGATCTCGGCCCGCAACGAGGCCTTTGAGAACGGTGTCGACCCGGCCTTCTTGAACAAGTGGGCCTGGTCCCGTGGTGCCGGCAAGTGGAAGGAGGCGGCTTGAGCTGGCGCTGACCTGTGGAAGTGTAGCCTCCGGAACAGGCGTTCAATTGAAAGTTTGCACCAGGTAAACGTCCCTGCACGTGACATAATCACTCTTTGAATTGATGGGATTAACCAAACGCAAAACGCAATCGGGCTCAAATGTCTACGAGTAAATGTCGGGCGGCTATACATCTTGGTAAATCAGGTATCCTTCAGAACGAAACGTAGCAATACCAATCGAGCACACAGCGGTCACATGACAACCTGAAGTAAGACCTGGTTAGCAAATGCAAGCATATGGCAGTGACACGTGTCAGGACTCACGCAGTCGTCGTCTCTCTTGGCCTGTGGAATGCCCATCTCCTCAAACGTCGCTGGTCCTTGGGAGGCAGCCGTCTTTGCCGGCTTTGCCGTCTGTGGCCGAGACGCTGGAGCGCTGCTGGGCGCCTGGGCCTGTGGTCCTGCAGCAGTAGCCGGCCGGCTGGATACGCGCGGGCCATACTCTCCACGACCGGCCTGGCCAGGGCCTGGAGCAGGACCAACACCAGCACCAGCACCAGCACCGGGTCCATAGCCTTGGCCCTGTGGCTGCTGCGGCACGCGCTGGTTGTTCCCGTTTGCCCCGGGATTCGCCTTGGAAAGCCGGTTTCGGCCAGTGTCGGGCATTGGTGCCGGTCGATTGGGGGCTTGCGGTGGCTGCTGCTGGTACTGCTGCTGTTGCTGTTGCTGTTGCTGTTGCTGTTGCTGCTGCTGCTGCTGCTGCTGCTGCTGCGGTGTCAGCTGCTGCTGGCCATAGCCAGAGTCATATGTGGGACGATAGTCTCCACGACCAGCAGCAGCGCCTGGACCCGCTCCGGGACTCTGCTTCCCGTAGCCACCCGGTTGCTGCTGTGCGTCCCAGCCAGCCGACGTGTTGCGGATGCGCTGCGGGTCACCACTGCCGGGTCTCGCACCCGCAGTCATCGAGAAAGCCCGCTGCTCCGGTGCGAGGTTGCCCGCCAACTGCGGTGTCTGCACCGGCCACGTGTTGCCCCCGCCTCCACCTCCGCTCCCCGGACGGATGCCAAAGGCCTGCGGCGGCTGGTTGGCACCTTGCGGTGGCCGTGCCCGTGCTGCCGGCTCGTCGTCGGGATACGGCGCCGTGGACTTGGACCGCTGGACGTGGAGCGGCGCTGGCTTCTCGTCGACCGGATAGGGTGCCGCAGACTTGGGCCGCACAACCATGTTGTTCTGCTGGATGTTGAGAGCAAAGGCCGGGGTGTTGCCAATGGTGATCCGGCCGGGAGAAGCGCCTTCCTCGCCCGCCAAGTTCTCCGACAGTGTGCCTAGACCGGAAGTCAAGTTCTGGTGCCGGGCGGTGAACCTCTCGGGCCGCTGGCCTCGTTGTGAGCCGTGCTTGGACTTGATCCGCGTGAGCGCTGTGGTCTCGTGATCCGTCTTCGTCAGCGTCTTGGCCTGGTCGAGGCCGCTCAGCCGGTTCATGGCATCCTTGTTGCCGTGCTCAGCCGCCTTCTCGTACCACTCGCGGGCGGCGTACAGGTCTTTCGGCACGTGTATGCCGATCTCGTAGTAGTATCCCATTGCGAACTCGCCCGTCCCCAGCTTGGCGTCGGCAGCCTGCTGCGCGTAGCGGAACGCCAGCTGCTCGTTCTTGAGAAAGACGCCCTCGTAGCCAAAGAGAAACCAGCGGCTGACGCCGAGCGCAGCCTCGGGCTGGCCCTGTCGTGCTGCCAGGCCGTAGTAGTGCAGAGACAGGGCCGGATTGAAGTCACAGCCCAGCTGGCAGAGCTCGTAGGCCTGGCCCATGTTCAGCTGGGCCTTAGCAAAGCCCAGGTACGCTGCCTTCTCAATGTACTGGCGCGCCAGGTTGAGATCGAGCGGCAGCATGCCTTCGGGAATGGTAATGTCTGGGAGCTCGCGGGATATCAGCATGCCATAGACATACGCTCCCTGTGGAGCGTCCTCGTCGGCTGTGTCGGCAGCGCTCTGGATCAGCTCCAGGCCGAGCATGTAGTCCTTGTGGTAGCCATGCTGGCCCAGCAGGCTCATCATGCCCATCCGATAGGAGGCTGCCGAGTCCTTCAGGGCCAGGCCCTGGTTGTAGTGCATCAACGCCTTGTCCATGTCGTTGGAGCCCTCGAACAGCATGCCCATGCGGTATTCAGCACGACCCCAACCCTGCTCGGCCGCCTTTTTGTAGCCCAGGTAGGCCTCCTTCTTGTCGGGGCGGAAGCCGAAGCGGCCAAACTCGAGCCACTTGGACCGCATGAAGAGGGCCTCGGGGTGGCCCTGGGACGACAGGTAGTCGACGATGCTGATGGCGTCGATACGCAGCTCGTGCTCGGTCCTGGGCGTGCCAGGCCGCACAGCCTGACCCTTGTTCTCGCGCACATGGGCCTCGGCCGCGATCTCAACCCAGGACAGCGAGTCGCGAGCCCAGACCAGCTGCATGGACACGTTGTTGGAGTTGAGCACATGCTGGCGCGCGTTGTACAGAATCTCCTCCTTTTCCTCGTCGCTCGGCGGCACGTTGTCGCCCTGCACGCGCGGAAAAGGCGAGAAGGTGGGGGTGTCAAAGGTCGGCATCTCTCCGTGCTGGTCCTGGGAGAAGGGCTTGAATTCACTGGCCGACGCAGCACCAGCAGCGGCGGAAGAAGCAGAATAGCCGGGGTTGCTATCGGACGCTTGGCGTGACGTGCTTGGGTTCAAAGCTCCGGGTGCTGGTCGGGCTTCAAGTTCCATCCGCTGCAGGCCGTCCTGCATATTTTGGGGGACTTCAGGCATTACCCTATCAGCGCTACTGTCAGCTGTTTTTATTATTATCTGGCCCCTAAGCTACTCCCGGCCAAAGCCGCTGGCGCGTTTTAGATGGCGGGGGAGGGGCAGCGCCGACAGTTGGGCAAACAGGAGCAAGCGAGGGGGGCGAGAGTTCTTGGAAAAACAAACGGCCAAAAGGGGGTCGGACGAGGAGAATATATCTCACCTCTGTGGGGACGGCGCGATGACCTCGGGTAGGTAGTAGTCATCGTAGCCCCCGGGAACAAACGTGGCTGCGAACAGAGGCATTTCGAAAGGTTCGAGTTTCAGTGGCGGCAGCTTGTCTGCACAAAAAAAAGAGGATCAAGTCCAGCTGTCAGCCAACAGTACTCCGTAGGATTTTCGACTCTGTTCCTTCCCGCTCTTGGCACGAGCGGTATGAGAAATGCTGGGCGGCTGGCGGCAACGGACAGCGAGGGCAGACGGCGCAGACGAGGACGAGGATGGAGCTGGAAAGAGGCCCAGGAGCGAAGCGAACAAACGAGGGTTGACGAGTTGAGCCAGAAGCCAAACAAACGGCACGGGTTGTTGGCCCAGCCAAATAGGAGACTTGCGTCCTATGGTGGTATCGTTCCGGCTGAATATCCACTGGTCGTAGAGATCGACATGTTGATTAATGCGGCCTGGGGATGTTCCGTGCGTTGTGTCATTCCCTTTTGACCTCTTTCGCCGTCTTTTGTCCCTGTTTGTCCTCGTTTGTCCTCGTTTGTCCTCGTTGGGCATGGCTCGTCGCCACTCGGCTGCCTATACCGCAAAACTGTGCTCGGCCTCCCACCGCTCACCGTCCTCTCACCCTCCTGCTGCTTGCTGGCTTACCTGGCGGAATGGGGCCGGCACCGAACGGCCGTCTCGTGTTCTGTGGATTTGCCATGGGTTCGGCCGATGCTCTGCTAGCTGCGTGGGCACGGGCGTGAGATAGGGGAAAGGGTGCAGGGGCGGAGCCAGACTGTTTATTGTGTACTCTGTACGCATGGCCGGGCCAAAGCTCTGACGGCGCCAAGCGTGCTGGTAAGATATCTTGCTCGCGGCAGGGAGGTGAAGCTGGGAAAGATGGGAGCTAGACGACACGTAGAGACGTTTGGGGCGGGGTCGATTATTTAGTATTTAACATGGACGTGAAACGCAGCTCGGAAGGAGCGATCTAGGGCTTGAATGGCGGCTCGCAAGAGCAAGAGCGGCTGTCTGACCACAGCCCAGCTGTAAGCTAAACTTTGCCTTGGCGCGGCTTTGGGACCATGATCGCATAAAACCGTTAGTCTTAGACGCGGGCTGTCGTGTTTGAGACTACGCTGCAATCTAAGCCTGCTCAGCCACAATTTCATGCTATTTGGAGCAGCCGTGAGCTCGATGGGGGAGGCCTACAGGGGCGAAACAGAAAACTCACCAGTCCAGGGCGGATGATCGTCATGGCTTGGCAAAGGAGCTGCATCCCCAGTCTGGGCCATCAAGCAGAGCTGCCTGAACGGGAGCAGATGTCATGCCTTTGGCCCCCGCGCTTGTACTCGTACGGAGTAGAGGCAATCTGCGAGGTCGGCCGCTCGTTCCATTTGAATGCTAGCTGTACGGAGTGTCGTGGAATACGTCAAGAACAGCAACGCTATCTTACGTGTACGTTGGAGAACAGGAAATGGCTTCTTAATTGCCGCAGCTCGGCGGACCCGTCCTCATTTCCGACGGTCCAGGAAAGGAGTCCGAACATGAGGCAACTCGGAAGTGGCGATAAGATAGACACGTGACTATACTATAGTCACATGACCATGTGGCTTGCTTCGGTCGTCAGCCTCATGCAGCCTGATTGCGGCACCAAATCCATTGCCAGCTCAAAGGTCTGATCGACGACTTTACGACGTCTTCATTCCACCTCCGACGTACCAGGCTTGGCGACTTGCGAAACGGGAGCTACTCTTTGGATCCAGTCTTTGCAGCTACGCTTCGCATCATCTGTCGCCATTGTCACTGTCATCGCTACCCATTCACAACCGCAACGGCAATCTCCATTTTAACCTCAACCTCACTTTCACTCTCCACCTCCACCACCCCAGACACCATGGCCGAGCGCCAGCTGACACAGATTCTGGGGCAGCTCAAGACAGCGCACAGCTACGCGGACCAGACGCGGCTGCTGTCCAAGGCAAAGCTGGCGCTGCTGCAACTGGGGGCGCTGACGCCGGCGATCGACGGGAGCCTGCCGGCGGCCGTGCTGGCGCTGGCGCGCGAGACGTACGAGCAGGGGGCGCTGTGCAGCATCCGGGCGCACGAGGCGGACGCGTTTACGCGCTACGTGCAGCAGCTGGGGCCGTTCTACGCGCTGCCGGCCGCCGTGCTGGCGCCCAACCTGGCCGAGCGCAACAAGGTGACGGGCCTGTATCTGCTGCTGCTGCTGACACAGGGCCTCTATGGCGACTTCCACTCGGAGCTGGAGGCCATCAGCACGCGCGAGGGCGCCGGCGCCGGCGTCATCGAGGACGACCGCTACCTCGGCTACCCCATCCGTCTTGAGCGCTGGCTCATGGAAGGCAGCTATGACCGTGTCTGGAAGGCCATGAAGCAGGGCGAGGTTCCGTGCGAGGAGTACGGCGTCTTCTCAGAAGTGTGTTTCTGTCTTGTCTTTCGTTCTCCTCGCCTCTCCGCCTCAATGTCCTCTCCTAACTTTACCAGATCCTCACCTCGCAAATCCGCTCCGAAATCGCCTCCAGCAGCGAGCGTGCCTACCCGTCGCTCCCTCTCAGCTCCACCAAGTCGCTGCTCTTCCTCGACTCCGAAGGCGCCGTCATCCAGTTCGCCCAGCAGCGCGGCTGGACCGTCCGCGACGGCCACATCTACTTCCCGGCCCTCGCCTCCACCTCTGCTGCTAGCGGCGCCGCCTCCACCTCCGATGCCTCCGACGACGGCTCTGCTCCGGTGCCGGTCGAGAAGGAGGTCAGCCAGATGGTCATCGAGAACGTCCTGGGCTATGCCCGACAGCTGGAGACGATCGTCTGAGACCGCATTCTTGCTCTGCGTGTCGGACGAGACGACGACATATGTATCATTATAGCTGGCCCAACCATTAGAACGAAAGCGAAAATGAATCAATCGAGCATTCTATGTGGTGCGGCATGCAGGGCGTAACTGAATTTACTGGAGCGTCTCCAACCACCGGCCAACTCCCTTTTTCCTAACAAAGCGCTTTTCTCGTGTGCTGTTTCCACAACATCCCTCCAATCCCGACTTCCTGCTGCCTCGAGAACCAGCAAACCAAAGAACGTGACAGCCAAAAAAGGGAGACAGAACGAGACAGGAGAAAAGACAAGGCAGCTCATGCTAGCAAGGAAGAACTCGGCACAAAGGAAGTCTGGTTGGGTTCCCAGCCAAAAAGTGTTTGAGATAACAGACATAACATAAGTAGAAACTTGCCCTGTCGCCTCGTGGTGAACATGTCAGAACCCGTTCAATCGTGCTCGACTCGTCTGCTCCCCTCCGACCCTTCTATAGAATTACGCAAACAGCTTCAGTCCGCTGCCGTGCTTGCCGATCTCGCACACCTCGCAGACCCGGCACACGCTTCCCTTGTACTTGGAGTGGTACTTAGACCCGTCAAACGCACATTCTTCGTACGCTGTACCGCTGTAGATCGGCGTGTAGCTGGCCGCACACACGTCGAACTCGGCAAACTGGTCAAACTCAATCTCGACCGCATCGCTCGGGTTACGCTCGCACTGCGCCTTAGTCTTCTTGGCCTGTAGAGAGCACGGTTAGCAAGATCAGAATCATTCAAAATCATTCAAAATCATTCAAAACACGGAGGGGGCTCTTGGACACGCACAGTCTCCAAAATACGGCCGGCACCACCGTTTGCCAGTATCCGGTTGGCAAAGCTCAGCGCGCAGTTGTAATTCTTGTTGCGCGTCGCTAGGTTCATTGCGTTCAGCAAAGCCAACTGCCGATGCGGCACTTCGATCTTGGGGATGGTGAAGTACGCCGACAGCTCGAGGCTTCGCTTCAGCAGCTTTGCATCCTTAGCCACCACGTCCACCGCGCCCAGATGCCGCCGGCTGAGCTCGATCGACATCGCCACCGCGTACTCGCTCGCCGATGTCACCAGCTTCTTCGCCTCGACCGCCTCGGACTCGCTCGACGCCGCGTTGAGCAGCACTGCGTGCAGGATGCCCTTGAACAACCGGATCCCGTCCTCCAGCTTGTTGCCCTTCATCGCATCGTACCCACGCTGTAGGTCGTTTTCGACCAGGAACTCCAGGTCGCGCGGGATCACCGGCAGAACCTTTCGTGCATCTGCCTCCTCCGGATTCCGCCGCACAAAGTTGATCAGCGGCGGCAGGCCAGCCGATGCCGGCAGATACGTCTTGCTTGCCTCGTACACCTCCAGGAACCGAGGCTTGAGCGGCGCAAAGTTCACCGCCCCAATCTGCCGGTTGAGAAGCTGCATGGCCGACTCAAACGAACCGCCGGCCACGTGGTCCACCGCCAGTGGCGAATGGCGTGCCCACAGCTCCGCCTCGCTCAGCCCGGCGCCACCAGCATCTGCACTGTCCACGTTGACAAAGTCGCTATCCGCCTCGGCAACAATGTCATCGCCCATGTCCCAGCCAGACGTGTCCTCCTCCTCCTCTGCCTCGCCCAGGCCGTTCTTCTTCCCCTCGTCTGCCTCCTCGTCACCGAAAGCGTCTGTGCCATTTGCCGCCGCTACCGGGCTGTCTTCGAGGGAGAGGCCCTCCACCTGGCCCAGAAGCGCCTTCTCAAAGAACGACACCGACGTGCCCTTCGTCGGCCAGTTGGCCTTGAATGTGGACACCACTGGCTTTGGCGGATTGAGCGGCTGTCCCAGCTTCGAAGGCAGGTTTAGCTGGTCCTCCGTCAAGCCAGTGGCCTCCAGAATCGACTGGGCCTCTTCCGTTTGGTCGTTGGCCTTTGCCGTCATGAACGCGAGGGGGTCTGCAACAGGCCACGTATTAGCAATAATCCGTCAACGTGCAACGGACAGGTGACAGACGTACACAAGTCAATTTCCTTAAACATTTGTATCCGGTCCTCCACGTCGTTGAGATACAAGGCGTTCTGGAACCGGGCAGTGAAGTCGCCGCGGTGTTCGGCAATCTTGGCCATGCGGCTGAGCTTCGCGTGGTCGCCCGTCGCCAGGTAGAGGAACGACAGCTTGTCGAACTGCTTGAGCTTCTGGTAGCACATCTCCACCACCTGGTGGCTGCCGTGCGCCAGCGCCTCTGCGCCCAACCTGGTCCACAACTTCGGCTTGTCCAGCTGCTTGGCCATCTCAACAGCAACATCGAGGTTACCACACTCGATGGCGAGCTCAAACCGTGTCGTTGGGTCCTGGACGAATTGCAACGCAATCTCCGGGTAGCCCTTCTTTTGCAGGTACGAGATAATAGACTGGCCGACAAGCGACGAGGTCTGGATAATGTTCAGCATCTCCTCGTAATTCCGCTTTACCAGTGCCGTCTTGAAGCGGTACTCTGTCGGGTCGATCTGTAGGATCTTCGGCTTCGCTGACCGGTCCAGGCAATAGACATAACGGCCCTTGACACGGACAAGGTACACAGTCTGGTCGAGTGTCCGCACAATCCCGTTATCTCCGTTGAGGAGAGTGTATTTGATGTGATTAAGGGTAGAGTAGAGAAGGATGCCAGCATCGTCCCACGTGGCACTCTTGATACGGATAGTCTCGTGCAGCGTGCTGACTTGCTCCAGTGTCTTGGTCACAATGGTCACATTGTGCTTGCTGAGAAGTGCCGCATAGAGGCCGTCGTTCGACCACGCAATGTACTTGACTCCGTTGACGTTCAGGCTGGCATTGCTCTTCTTGTGCTGGATGTCGTACAGATGAACGGCAGTTGGCGTGATCACGAGAAGATTGCCCGGGCCGCCAAAGTAGATGTCGGACGTGCCGGCGGGCGGCTTGAAGGAGCGCGTAACATTGTTGGACAGGTCCTTAATGTCAATGGTCTGTGCTGCCGTGTTCAGAACGGCAAAGCGGTTGCGGGCTACGAAGATGGCCGAGTTGCCCTGGCCGCGCTTCAGGTCGGTCGGATCGACTGCGCCCGAGCCATCCTTGGGAAGGCTGATGAGGTCGTACGAGCCGCCATCGGTCGCTGTCGTCACAAGAACCGACCGCTCAGCCGGGTTGTAGGAGAGTGTGCGGGGTGGCGCCCAGGCCGGGCCGACCTTCTTCAGCGACAGGAGCGTCGGAGACTCGACGTTCTTCTGGAAATCATAGGACCGCACCTGCTTCTCCTTGTTGACGTAGAACAGAGTGTTCTGGTAAACTGCAGAAGCCGGGCGTTCCCGCTCGAGCTTGAAGACCATCACACCGTTGTCGTGTCCAGCGGCAAACAGGTTGATCTCCGGATGGGCGGCAAGCACCCAGAAGCGGTCGTTTTCTCTCTTAAATGTCTGCACGGGGGTCCGCTTGTTGAGATCCCAGACGCGAATCGTTTTGTCTTCGCCAGCCGACAGGATGAGGTCCTGGTGCGGGTGGAACAGACAGCCCAAGGCGTTCTGGAAGTGGCCTCGGCACGTATCGACCTCCCATGCCTTGGTCTCACTCATCCGCCAGAGCTTGACGAGACGGTCGTCACCGGCAGACACGATGAGCGGCATCGTGGGGTGGAAGGCAACCCAGTTGACGCCGCGGTCATGGCCCTCGAGGACAAACTTCACCACCGCGTCCGTGTTCCCAAACATGTCGGCTTGGTTCTGGTTGGATCGAGCCATCTGGTCCTCAAAAGACATTGACGTCGGCGCTGAGTGCTTCTTGCGCAAGCCTGAGATGTCCCATACGCGCACTGACTGGTCGAGAGATGCCGACACGATCAGGTCGTCCTTCGGATGGAACTGCGCGCACATGACGTAGTGGTTGTGGCCAGTCATTGTGCAGACTGGAGGGGAAGGACTGTTAGTAAAGCTTGCGCATTGGACAGGCCGAGGTATAAGACGTACTGAGGGATCGGTTTTGCCAGTTCCATATCCTGATGGTCTGGTCGTCCGAGCACGAAACGATCCATGGAAGCTCGTCATGGAAGAAGACTGTGCGCACGTAGTCGAGATGGCCATTCAGTGTGAACAGGCACCGTCTCGTCTGGTACGACCAGACCTTGATCTTGTAATCATCACCACCCGACACAAAGAGAGGCTGGGTCTTGTGGAAGGCGACAGCTCGGACAGGACCATCGTGCTCTTCGAAGCGGTCAATCAGCGTTCCCATGCGGTAGTCCCACAGCTGAATTGTCGAGGAGTGGAGAGAGACGAGGATCCATGGTCTTGGGGAGAGTCAGCCAGGCATCCTGTCTAAAGGAGGGGTTATGGAAAGGGGGCAGGTTGCTTGCTACCTTTTCGGATGGAACGCGAGTCCCTTTGCCCGAGACGACTTTGACTCGAACTGCAGATTGGTTAGCAGTCTGGTTGCAGCCGAAACGGTCCCCCCAAGCTGCGCATCACGTTTTGCCGCAGGTTGGTTGGCTTTCCCGGCTGGTGGATGGCTATGCGTACCTTTGTCAACATTTGCGATGAGGCCTGCATCTTGACAGCGCGCTCTAAAAGGGCGTGGGAAAGAGGAAGGGAGAAGTTAGAGAGGCTCGTCAATTGGGGTCTGCCAGAAGAGCCCTTGAATGTCGCCGAGGCTCCGGGGGAAAAAGGAAACGAGCCTGGAGCAGGCGGTGTGATGTGGATTGTTGTCGAAAGTCAGACGCCAAATCGGTCAGTCAAGGCCACCTTTATTGTCTCCTAATTCCAGCTTGGCCTCCAAAAGCAAGCGTGGCCCTCCCCGAAATGTGGGATGGTTATTGCCTGAGGCACAACGTGCTACAACGTTAATCCGCACCGATAAAGGCGGCTCTACCAATCAGAACGCATAATCGCAAGGTTTAGCGCGGCCAAGTGGGTGCGGTTACATAGCAGCAACAGGTATCAAACTTAAGACAGTCAGCTACTCCGTACGGAGTACATATATTCACATCCAGCCGCTGTTGTCTCACGTTCTCGGCCTTCATTTTAATCTTTTGTATTTTTAATTGTCTCTCCCCAGAGATAAGCCACGTGGTTCTCCACTTATGTAAAGGTCGGCAAGAAGACAACAGAGAGAGAACTCAGGATAAAAGATGATAACAAACGGACTTTGGGACAAACGCATCAATTCTTTTGTAACGGAGCATGCAGGTCGTCTCTGTTCTCACCACCCTAGCAGAACAGAGGAACAGGGACAAAAAAGTGAAAAAAAAAATCGTAAGACCCTCAAAAATGCACAGCTGCTTTTGTTGTTGCTCTTTGGTGGAGATAAAAAAATAGAAAGGAGAGAGCGGAACAGTGATATCAAGTCATGGGATACCAAAGAAGCTGTGTCCCCTGCACACCAGGAGCAGAACTAAGAGGAACAAACGGAGGGTGACAGATACAACAAGGAAAATGATTTTTATTGCCTCTGGCGACTCGGCCGAGCAAGGCTGCTCTCATTCTTTACCCTTTCTTCATGCCTCTGTTCCTTTTTTCTTCTATCTCCAATAACCCGAAGACGACCCAAGACTCCGAAAGGACAGCAGGAAAAAAAAGTCAGAAGAAAGAGGAAGAGACAGAACAAAGCACAGAAAACACAGGTATGAGGCAGAAGCGGTCGGCGAGGTATTGGGGAATTAGCGGAAGGTGGGTTGTAGTATTTAGATGAGGTCGGCCACGTTCATCGGCATCTCCTCGATCTGCGTGCTGTAGAACTGCTCAATCTCGCGCATCATGCGAACGTCATCGGCGGTGACGAAGTTGATGGCAACACCCTTACGACCGAAACGGCCACCACGACCGATACGGTGGATGTAGTTCTCGCGGTTGGCCGGCAGGTCGTAGTTGATGACCAGGGACACCTGCTGGACATCGATACCACGGGCCAGAAGGTCAGTGGCGATCAGGACACGCGAAGAGCCCGACCGGAACTCCTTCATGATCAGGTCACGCTGAGCCTGGTCCATGTCACCGTGCATGGCCGAGACGGTGAAGTCACGGGCCGTGAGCTTGTCAGTGAGCCAGTCGACCTTCCGGCGGGTGTTGCAGAAGATGACGGCCTGGGTGATGGTGACGGTCTCGTACAGGTCAGAGAGGGTGTCGAGCTTCCACTCCTCCTTCTCGACGGCGATGTAGAACTGCTTGATACCCTCCAGGGTAAGCTCGTCCTTCTTGACGAGAATACGGACGGGGTCGCGCATGAACTTGGTCGTGACCTCAAGGACGTCCTGGGGCATGGTGGCCGACAGAAGGACGACCTGAGTCGACTGGGGAAGGAGCTGGAAGATGTCATAGATTTGCTCGGTGAAACCGCGCTAGAGAAATTGTCAGTGTCTCTTGCAGATGCAGCCCAAAAAGGTGAAACAAACATACCGAAAGCATCTCGTCAGCCTCGTCGAGGACGAACATCTTCATGGCGTCGGTCTTCAGGAAGCGACGCTGGATCATGTCCTGGACACGGCCGGGGGTGCCGACAACGACCTGGGGGCCATCCTGGAGAGCCTTCATGTCCTCACGAACGCTGGTGCCACCAATGCAGGCGTGGCATTCAATGTTCATGAAGTCGCCGATAGCGACAACGACCTTCTGGATCTGCTGGGCCAGCTCACGCGTGGGGGCGAGAATGAGGGCCTGGCACTGCTTGACGTTGGTGTCGATCTTCTGCAGGACGGAGATGGAGAAGGTGGCCGTCTTGCCAGTACCGGACTGAGCCTGGGCAATCACGTCATGGTTCTTGATGACCGGGATAATGGCGCGCTGCTGGATAGCGGACGGGCGCTCGAAACCGTAGGCGTAGATACCTGAAACATCTTGTTAGAGCCGGGAGGCGATGAGGCGATGAGAGAGGTGGTGACAAACCGCGCAGAAGGTCGGGCTTTAGGTTCATGTCATCGAACGAATCGACGGTCTCATCGTAGTTCGACTCGATCTGTCCTGTAGCGGTGATTATGATTAGCCATTTGAACTATGTCTGTGCGTCTTGATGTGGCAGAGATGCCTCCCCATCCCCTCCCCCTCCTTAGATCATTTATTATTATCTGCTGATCTCGGCGGACAGGACAGAACAAAAAATGTGTATCTCGCGAAGCCATGAAGACCATGATAGAGCCAGATGGCACCGGCAAGCAGAAGGCAGAATATGTGACGCCGAAGAGAGCGGGGGAGGGGCGGTAAGAAGCCCCTGGAAATATAAACTCACCCTCGGGGACGTCCTCGAGTCCTTTTTCAGCCATGATTGCGGGGTGGATTCGCAAACAGATCTAGATCGCAAGCTCAGCTTGTGATCTAGAACAGAAAAGGTGAAGCGAAGGTTGCTGTTAGGCAGATGTATATAAGTTCCACGGATGAAGTCCTGCGGATCCCAGCCGACAAGCGGAAAATAAGAGGGTAGAAATGAAACGTGGAAGAAAAAAAATCTAGATTATGTCTCTCGTTATAAAAGAACGAGAAGAGATAAAATCTAGAAGGGGAGATTTCCTTCCGGTATAAGTGTTCTGTTCGTTGTTGAGGGCTTTGGTTGTGCTTTGGTTTGTTTTACAAAAAGTGAGATTTTTTTTTGTGAGAGGGAAAAAAAGTTTCTACTTATTATAAGGGGAGTGGGATGGCCGCAAAAAAATCTAAATTCTAAGCCATAGAAAACTATTGGGTTGGGAGGGCCCACCAGACCGAGCGAGGGGTATTATCTAGACGTGTAGCAGTGACTTTAGGATGGACTCTGGTTATCGCATATTATCGCAGTCCTCTTGCACGGTGCACTAGCTTGATGGGGCTATTGTGGTGGGGCGAATTTACGAGTTCGAAAAAACTCTTGTGGAGGGGCAAAAGCAATTACTCGACGGTATTTATACAAGCGCAACAGAACGACGTGGTGTGGAAATCAGCCGAACTGTGCTCGTAGATTTCGCCTAGCTGCGAGAGACGCCTCGTCAGATTCTCTGCAGGGCACACTCAGCAGACAGAGGATGCAGGAGGAGGCGAATCGTCCTGCAGGGCGAATTGTAGTCTGTGACGTTTGTGCGCGGTTGTTTCTTGGTAGCGCATTCCTTGCAACCGTGCCAATGAACCGCCAGTCACTGTTCTAAAATCTGACGCAGACTAATGCTACGAGTATCGATACAAGTTGGACAGTGGCGACAGAAATATACAGAGTACATAGCACTTCTGACGAACGGTTGCGATGTAACAGACCATCACGTGACACGCGATTGGCACCGATAGGGCTTATCGCAACCCGATAGCAAACAATTTCTGTTCCTCTTCACCAAGTATAAGACGGGTGTACTTGGTGGTGCCATTTTCTGATTTGTGCTCTGACTAACTCAGATGCGAGGGCTCACGCTTGGAGGAAGTAGGACATGCCTCTCACAGAGGCTCTGACTCCACAGCTGCTCCCGGCAATGCCTCCCAGCAACGATGACCCTCATGATGTATTCGTGACGGATGAGGTAGTGGCGCCACCTACGGCCGTCATAGCAGACGGCACGATCACGAGTACGACGGCTAGCCTCGACGCACCAATTCCTTTTCATCCTCTCGGAGTCAGACCGCTAGGCAACAAATACTTTGCCAGCGGTCCGGATGCCAAGGCTGCGTCTGGGACGTTCCAAGCGCTTCCCGACGAGATGGTGATGCAGGTGCTGGAATGGCTGGATGCGTCGTCGCTGGCGGCCCTGGGGTACACATGCAAGTTTCTCTATGCCTTCTGTGACTACGATGATCTTTGGAAGAGCCTAGCTTTGGGGTGAATTCACCCCTTTCCTCTTGGTAACTGACTGCGCTAACACGTGACCAGAGCTGATGGAGGGCAGCTGCAGCAGTGGCGCGGGACTTGGCGAGAGTCTCTGATGGGAAACAAGGCACAGGCACAGAGTTACAGGTCCGACAGGGTCCGGATAGACTGTCGGGACGTCTTCTCGGACGTGCTGCACCGGCCGTTTGTATGCAGCTACGCCTCGCCGGCGCAGTTTGCGTGCAACATCCCCAAGGCCAACCAGATCCGTCGGTTCGCCGACCTGAGCTACGACGAGTTTGCCGACAAGTGGAGCGACACGCCGTTCGTGTTGACCGAGTGCGTGCGGTCGTGGCGGGTGTTCGCGGACTGGTCACTGGACAAGCTGCGCTCGGCGCATGGCTCCACGCTGTTCCGGGCCGAGTCGGTTGACTGGCCGTACGCGCTTTACGACCAGTACATCAGCAACACGACGGACGAGAGTCCGCTGTACCTGTTTGACCGCAAGTTTGCCGAGAAGATGAAGCTTCGGGTGGGCCAGGACAGCAGCAGCCAGGACGACGAGGATGTGGCGTACTGGAAGCCGGACTGTTTTGGGCCGGACCTGTTTGAGGTACTGGGCAGCGAACGGCCGGCGCACCAATGGCTGATCGTGGGGCCGGCAGGCAGCGGGTCGACCTTCCACAAGGACCCCAACGGGACGAGCGCGTGGAACGCGGTGGTGCAGGGAGCCAAGTACTGGATCCTGTTCCCGCCGGCGGTGGCGGTGCCGGGTGTGTTCGTGTCGCGGGACCGGAGCGAGGTGACGAGTCCGCTGAGCATCGCCGAGTGGCTGCTCGCATTCCACGCCGAGGCGCGTTGCCAGGCGGGCTGCATCGAGGGCGTGTGTCGCCGCGGCGAGATCCTGCATGTGCCGAGCGGCTGGTGGCACCTGGTCGTCAACCTGGAGCCGGGCATCGCGCTGACGCAGAACTTTGTGTCCAGGACGCACCTTGCCGACGTGTTGCTGTTCCTGCGCGACCGCCCCGAGCAGGTGACGGGCTTCGCACGCGGCGTCGTGGCTGACCCGCACGGCCTCTTCGTGGAGCGGCTGCGCGAGAGCGCACACGCCGACGAGCTGCGCGCGGCCGAGGCTGAGATCGCATGGCGCGATGCGCGGCGGAAGCGGACGTGGGAGGCCCTGGTCGGCAGCGACAGGACCAAGATTGGTGCAGACGGCGGTGAAGAGAAGCGGCAGTGCACCGAAGCAGCCAGCGGGTTCACTTTTGGGTTTGGCGGCGACGACGACGACGACCTGGAAAACGAAACTCCATAGCCGGAAGGGAGCAGGCCCCCCAAAAGATGGTCTCGGCTGACGACAGCGTTATGATATGCATAATGCTCTGTATATAGATAAGAACAAGAAAAACGTCCTAGTGCCAAAGGATCTTCCTCGGCGACAGGGGAGCGGCCGTACGGGGAAGACGGCCTTGGTGGTCCTCGTCGTGCCCTCCCGCACGTCGTATACGAGAACTTGAGCCCTGATCTGCCCATTGTCGGACGAATCGTCATTCAGTCTGGCGTCTGCAACAGGCTTCGCAACGGGCTGTCCGAAACCTAACCTGTCTCAGAAGATGGCCGCAGAACGAGCCAATCAGGACGCCGTCGAGCGCTCTGCTGTCAGCGTGGCCTACGGGCTGGACAGCCTGTAAGCTGGACGACTGCTCGCCCCCACCGCCGCGTGCGCAGCTCCTGCACAGGCCACAAACGGCGCTGAACGACAGGCCAACCCCAACCAGTCCCTCTCCTTTCCCCCTAAAAGACCCCCCTAAACTCCACTTGACCCCGTCAATCTTCTAGCAGCCCGACCGCTCCTCCCTATATTTATTCAATTATCTTACGACAGAGCACCGGCACAGACAGCACAGACAGCACAGCAGGCGCTGCTCTCCCGCACGGTCGCGCTTTCTCCCACTCATCACCCGTGACGTTGCTTCCCCTTCTCCGCTTGCCTCCCCCGTCTTATCCTTTGTCGACAACAGCGGACTTGTATCGCCGACTTGCTCTCTGCACCTTTTGCCTGCTCTCTACACCACCGTTTCTGATTCGTCTCTCTAATCCAGCCTGTCTGACCAGTCTCTGTATTGTCCTGTCGTGATCCCTCCCTATCTTTCAGGTAAGGCCTGTTCGGGATCTCTATTTTCTCTCTTTATTTTCTTCCTTTTCCCCCCTGCTCTTGTTCTCCTCCTTCGTCCTCTTAGCCTTTTCTGCACCTGTTTACTGACCCATGACCGCTACCGTGCAGCTCTTCCACGGATCTTCCATCACCATGCGACAAGGCGATTCCCCAGAGCTCTTGACCTTGCTTCTTCGATGACTTCATCCCGTCTCCCCCGGCTTCTTCTCCACTACGCGCTCAGCGAACGGCCACATAGCCTTCTTTTCCACACGAGAGACGGCCTTTACGCTTGATACGGCCGTACTCGTGTACTGCTCTTTCGTTTTTCTTGCTCTTCCCGGTCGTCAAGGACTGTTTGGAAGCTGCTTGAAACTGCTCGGACCCGACCCCGCCTCGTCCAGAGGTCCATCGGATAGAGTGTCTGCCTCGTTTTTTTGCTTGCTTTTTTTCTATTTTCTCGTCTCCTGTTTTTCTGCGTGCATTTCCTTCCCCTATTTCCTCCGTTGCTATTGGCCCGCCATCATGGTCTCCGACGAGACGTACGACATCTGTCTACCTGTCCTCCAGGACGTGACCCTCGAAGATGAGGACAAGATCGACAAGCTCGAGACCCTTCTCAAGCGAGAGACAGCTTTGCAGGGCCAGTCTTTAGAAAACGCCGTCCTCGATGCTGTTTGGCGCTATCGCGAGGGCGGCGGCTCTGCAACGTCGCCACCGCCCATTCGCCAGACCATCCTACGCCGACCCTCTCCGGCGTCGTGGCGTGGGTCTGCCACACCGCTTTCCGGATCGCCGCGCCTCGGCGTGAGCCCACTGGCACCACCCGGCTACGTACCCCCTGCTTTCAACCGGACCAACAAGTCGGCTGCCCCGTCGCCGTTCAGCTCGCCGCGTCCGTCACCGCGTCTGGCCTTTGCTACTCCCGCCATTCCTCACAGCCCCAGTCTCAACGCCTACGAGTTTGCCAGCGACAACACGCCTGCGGCCGAGATCTTCGGTGACTCCCAGCAGACCGACAATGTCGACTGGCTCGTCAGTGACGACAATGTCAGCGTCACCTCCTCCGTCGGCACATCTAGCGGTCTGAACGCAGCCGCGCCCGAGTTCTCTCTGTCGTCGCAGCAGAGTGACATGACGCCCTACGACATGCTCCGCTCTATCCTCGGGCCGGCTCGCACAGACGACGAGATTGATGCTGCCCTCTCTGTTCACGGCTACGACCTTGGCGCTACCATCTCGGCCATTATGGACAGTCAGGAAGTGTCGTTTACGTTGACCACAACGGCCGCAGGAGGAACCGCTAATGGCTCCACATCCGTTGCCTCGTCTCTAGACGAGTCGGCCGGTGGCGTGTTGATCGGCAAATCTATGACGCCGATACCCGATATACGACCGGGGACACCGGCGGATCAAAAATCGGGCGTCCTCTGCAAGTTTTTCCTGTCCACCGGTCAATGTCTCCGTGCCGACTGCCGGTTCAGCCATGATCTGAGCAACCACATCTGCAAGTGAGTATTGTCATGCCTCCCCCGTCTTGAGCCTTTCTCTAACACAGACTAGGTACTGGGTAGCCGGAAACTGCCTGGCCGGAAACACATGTGTGTTCTCCCATGATCCAACGAACCTCCTCAGTCGACTCAACATCGACGGGAGAAACACACCACCGCCACAAATCGGAGTGCAGCTGCATGACTACAACGCCTTTCCCATGCTGCAACCGGCCACGCCCGAGCAGCTGCCCCTCTTCCCGGCATCTGGGAACTATCCTGCCGTGGGCCTCACACCGCCTCCGGGCTTCAAACTCACGCCTGGCGGCGGTGAGATCTCACGGCCACGCTCTCGCCCAGGCAGCCGGCACCAGGTGCACAAGGAGAGCAGCAACCAGGCTGCACCGTCGATTGACGACACCGACGCATTCCCGTCGCTTGGATCGGCATCTAGCAAAACCGCCGGCAAGAAGCATCACGGGAAGAGGGGCGGCCACGGCCATCATAAGGAGAACGCCACTGGTACCTTTACTCCAAACTCTCTGGCCGATATTGTTAAGATGTCGCCTTCGCCGGGACCTGAAACAGTCTCGCCGGCTGCGTCTCGTCAGGTATCCCGGAAGCTGGGCCGTAACGGCAGCTCGGCCAACCTTCGGAACGGGGAGAACAGTGCGACGGCCCAGGCGATCCCGACGCCCAAGCACATCCCTTGGCTGGAGACGGGAGACAAGGCCAACAAGGCATACCTGAAGGCGCGCCAGGAAGCCATCAAGCATGGCGGTCTTAGAAACAAGTTTTTGCAGAGGTAAGCCTAGGGCAGAGAGGGAGGCGCACGAGTTTTTGAGGTGAGAAGGTGCTGACGATGCTTCAACAGTGCGGCTCAGGCGTGGAACCGAAACGATGCTCGGGCCGCCAAGGCGCTTAGCCTGAGGGGCCAGAGCGAGAACGACTTGATGAGGAAGGCGCACCGGGAGGCAGCGCGGGAGCTGTACGAGGAGCGCAACAAGTACAGCACGGCGAACTCGGAGATCTACGTGGACCTGCACGGGCTGCACGCAGAGGAGGCGGTGGAGTACCTGGAGCGTGTGCTGCTGGACAATGGAAGTGAGGCCCGGCCGGTGTATGCGATCACCGGGACGGGACACCACAGCAAGAACGGCAAGGACAAGGTGGGCAAAGCGATCCGCGGGTTCCTGAACGAGTGGCGGTATGCGTACCGCGAGTTCTCGGTGCCGAGCGACCGGAACAACATGGGCGGCATCCTCGGCATCGATGCGCGCAGCTGGGACAAGTCGCAGGCGCGAGCTGGTGCGGGCAGCAGCAGCAGCAACAGCAGTAATAACAGCAACAGCAACAGCAACAACAACAGCAATAGCAGCAATGGTATTAGCAACAGCAATAGCGATAGCAACGGCAGCAGCAAGAGCGGCAGCGGTGGTGGTGCCCTGCTGACGCCTGGCCGGATCCCGTCTTCAGCGACTTCTGCGGCTTCAACGGAACGCAGAGGGCCAACGGAGAAGCTGGATATCCTAGCTCAAGGCGTGGAGATTGGAGACGGCAAGGTGAAGCTGCTAGTGCGGGACTCGTCGATCAAAGACGCACCCAAGACGCCGTCGGGACGTGGTCGTTGATCCTACTAGCCGAGCTAGGAAAGAACAATATAAAGAGTTAAGAAATAGGGTGCGAAGCGATGATGGTGAGAGTGAGTCTGTCGATGTGCAGCTGTAAGCAGCAGAGCTAGTTGGCCGACCTGGTTCATTAGCATGTCATAGTGGGTTCGCACTGTATTAGCATCTGTGCTCTGATTGGTTGATTGGTCTGCCATCAAAACAAACATAGGCTGTAAGCTTCTGAGCAACGGGTTGACGTCGGCACTTTCCCTTTGAATCTGTCGACCTCTGTTGCCAGCCTCTCTGTCGTGAACGTCTCGGACTTACGACAGGACTGCAGAGAGCTTATAACGGCAAGTATCCTTACAAGTACGGAATATTACAGCGCATTTCGGCCGTCTTTACAGCGGTCTCTTCGGCTACCCCACGCCCCACAAAACGCTTTGTTTTCTTTTCGTCCGCAAATAGGCAAAACACGATACACCGCACTGCTTCTCTCACGACACAGCCCGAACGTGTTCCCACGATTGATATCTTAGCGACGCCCTCTACTTCTTACTTTCCCTTACAGCATCATCCTTCGGACGTGTCTGTTCGCTGCAGGCCATTTCACTCGACAGTAGCATTCTGCACGTCTTGTTTTTTTGTTTACTGTATGATATCCACCGCCATCGCGTCTTGACAGGCTCGCCAGAGAGGGCAGAAACCCACAGCGACGCGGCCCGTGACACGGTGACAGGTGCACATCCGCCGCGATGGACTACCGGCGACCGACGGCGGCGCGAGGCATGTCGGCCAGCGGTGGAGGCGGTGGCCGTGGCTACGACTCGGACGCCTCGACGACGATCGACTCGCTCAAGGACCTCATGGCAGCCAGCCAGCGCGGCGCGTTTCGGCACGGCGCCACGCGCGAAGACGACCTGCTCTTTGCAGCACGACACGCACGGCCACAGGGGATGCCGGCACAGTTCCGCGAGCCGCCCTCGTCAACGGGATCCCACGGAACCGTGACGCTGAGCTCAATCCACGACGACAGCACCGCGTCAATGATGTCGGCCGGTCCCGACGCCGAGTCGACCCGCGCGTCGGTGCACTACCAGCGAGGTCGCTACCGCGTGCACAAGTCGACCGGCCGCTTTGGTGGCAGCCAGGAAGGCGACGCTGGCAACAGCAACAGCAAGAACACCAAGAACACCAAGAACACCAAAAACAAGAACAGGGCTGACGTCCTGGCCGGCGTCGTCAACACGTCCGCCCTCTTCCGCACCTTCAAGGAGTGGCAGCCCGAAGACGCGGCAAAAGACACGGCGCCATCGGCTACGTCCGAACGGAGCGACGATGGCGACTTGGACGATCGGCGCTTTGACGGCCGCGACGACTCGACGACCAACTTTGGCATCCTCGACAAATTTGCCAGCATGCAGCCGAACAAGAACAGCCCGCAGCAGCGCAACCGGGAAAACAAGGAGAATCAGATGCCGGTTCGACCATCACCCCGGCGCACTGCTTCGGCTGCAATGCCGTCGCGAAAGAACAGCCGTGGCGTGCTGCAGGCAACAGTGCAGAACGAATCAGACATGTCGGTGATCATGTCGACAGCCGTGCCCGCCCAGAGGACACCGACCAAGGCCGGCCAGACCACGTCTCCGCGCCGGTCAGTCTCGGCTGCTGCTGCGCCGTCGAAGACGGCCAGTCCCAGGAACGGTAGCGACAGCAACGACAACAACAGGGGAAAGCAGGGAGCTAGAATGACACACAGTGGCAATAATATCGCAACGGCGCCCTCGCCCATCCTGGAGGAAGGTCTGACCTCGCCAGAGACATCGGCAGCCTCGAACGATCACGCAAACTATCCGCCAGTGCGGTCCTTTGGCGCCATGGCATCGCTGTCGACACGCAACGGGAAATCGGCTGCTGCTGCTTCCGTTGCTGCTTCTGTTTCTACTGCTGGCACTGGCGCTGCAATGACCACAGACAGCCACGATGCGGCGACAAACCAGTCATTCGTCGTCCCGTCCAGGTCGTTCCCGATCCTGCAAAACCTCGTCTCCGGCACGCTGCGATTCACACCGGGCACGTTTTTCTACGGCACATCAGTAGCTGCCCAGCGCGAATACCAGCTGCCGGCTGGCCGTGTGCCTGCAGACGAGAAGAAGATCTTTGTGGACGCCGAAAAGGTCCGAGAGGAGGTGATGCGGCTGCAAGAACACGACGAGATGCTCCAAAACGAGATCATCCACGGCGAACGCAAGTACCAGGCACTGGTAGAGCGCTTTTACAACCTCGCTGCCAAAGCATCGGACAGCGGCTTCGACTCCGAGTCTGACCGACTGGCGGCCCAGGAGGAAGAACAGCGGGAGTGGAACGGAGGTAAGCAGTGCAGATCAAAGGCGACTTCATTGAACGGGGGCTAACAAGAATGGCAGCTCTGCAAGACCGGGTCCTCGAGCTGGAAGCGGCTCTGGAAGCAGCACATGTTCACGGCGAGGAGCAGGCGCAATCTGCAGCAGATGCGGCCACGCAGCGGGATACAGCAGTGGACAAGGCCAAGAAGCTGCAGGCAGACCTGGTGGCAGCCCGCGAGAGGCTGGTTCTGACGAGCCATGCAGCTGATCAGGCAGCTGACCAGGCAGCTGACCAGGCAGCTGACCAGGCAGCCGACCAGGCAGCCGTCCGCTCGTCGACGCAGGAGGCCCAACGACGCATTCGACAACTGGAGCAGATGGTGGCCGAGCGGGAACGGGTGATCAAGGCGCTGCGGGATGAGAGCGAAGCGGCGGTGAGCAGCCATCGCGAAGCTTGCCGGCTGCTGCGGGAGCGGATTGCACGATTGGGTGCCGAGAAGAATATGGCGCGTGGTGATCATGCCAAGTGCGAAGAAGAGAAGCAGACGATGAGGGCAGCACGGACACATCTGACGCAGAAAAACAAAGCGCTGCGCGAGAAGAATGCAGAGCTGCGAGAACGCGTCCAGACGGTCCGACAGCAGGCGCAAGAACGTGAGACGGTCCTGCGCGGCGTGATGGAGCGGCAGCGAACACAGATGAGCCGACAGCGGACGCAGCTGAAGAGCAGCAGGGAGAAGGGTGTGCGGCAGCTGGACGAAGCCTTTCAGCGGCTGCGAGCCTCGTGGGCAGCCACGGAGGAGGGTAGGGAGGAGACGATCACGCTCACGCAGATGGCCAAGGTGCTGGGACAGTGGGAAGAAAAGGAAGATGACCACGACGAGAAGCCGGACGAGGATGACGATGTCGAGGAGGCCGAAGAGGATGTTCTGTTGGACCGGCTAGCACCCATCGATGAGGAGGATGAACAGCACCAGCACGAGCATCAGCATGAAACAGAAGACGAGTCGGAAGACGAGCATCTATCCATGGACGAGAACATGACATCGGCCTTTATCATTCCGGATCTCGACTTTGCCACGCCAGAGGAGGAGCTGACGGGTGAGGAAGAGGCCGAGCAGCAGCAGCAGCAGCGACAGCGACAGCGGCCACACAAGCCCAGTCACGCCAAGTCAGTATCGTTTCAGATGGATGCACGGTCGACGGTGGCCCCGACGACCAATGCAAAGAGTCCAGTCTGCCAGCACAGCCAGACGAACTGCGTGGTGTGTCGGCAGAAGGCGGGGCCGCCAGCCGCGGCAGACGAGCGAGTGACGGTGGTAGTGCCGCGGCCGATGGAGCCGGAAGCTGTGGCCGAAGCCAAGACGGACGTCCGAGTCCAGGTCGATGTGGCAGCCTCCGTCTCGTTTGCGGCCATGGATCCAGGCCATGCGCTGGCGTACGTCATGAAGCTGCTGGACGACGAGCGGCGGCATTTGTGGATGCAGATCGAGACGAGTCGGCAGGGTGGCGCGCCCGAGGCGAACGGCGGACGACCGCCACGCAAGGCCCAGCGCGAGCCCGAGATCCTGTGGCAGGCGTATGTGCGCAAGGTCGAGCAGCTCAACCGGCTCGACGACGTGGCCGTGGGCCAGCGGGCGTCAGGGCAGGCCATGACGCGCGAGGAGGTCGACGTGACGATCAACCGCATTCTCGGGGGCGAGGAGAAGGAGTGGTAAAGGGGAAAAAGGAAGGGCATGGATATCGTGCGAAGAGATCAGAGCTCGACATTTTGAGGGGGGATGGGAAATGGGGAATTGTGAGAATGAGAAAAAGGACAAGTACAGCACGTGACTGCGCCGGCGAGGAAAGAGCAGCCAGGAACAGACGTGTTCTTTCTCTTTTGGGATGGGGGGCTTCCATTGGGTTCGCTTCGGTTTCGGCTTTGGTTTTGGTCTTGGTCTTGGTTTTGGTTCGGTTTTGGTTCGGTCTTTGGGCTTCATGTCTGCTCAGCCTTGGCGCTGGGCATCGGTCAGGAACTACAGCATCCTTTTGGCTCTCCGCGTTTGCGTGCTCTTGTGTTTTTGCAGAACTCACACTCGGCATGTGAGTGTGTATGTAACTCGAAAATATTCAGTCAACCACAGCAACCACAGCAAAGTCCACCACTGTATGTGTGCATGTCCGTAAAGCAGTCCAGGCAGACATTACGATAGAGGTGGATATCAATAACAGAAAATTCACAGAAAAAAAGACATGATTGTCAAGAAAGAGCCAACCATGTCCATGGCTGTCCAGCGCCAGCGACATTCTTTTCCCGTCGTTCCGTCCTTCTCGTCACTCAAACATCCTGCTCATATTTTCAGACTCCCACCGCAGAAACTCGCCCAAGTCGTGGCCCAGATTGTGTCCCATCGGCACTGCATACTGCGTTCCGTCAGCCGCGCAGCTCATCACCATGTCCGCCAGCGGGCTCTGCGGCATGCTCTCGTAGCTGTCAAAGCTGGCGCCGCTGCCACGGCGTGTTCACTGCACTGCGAGCTGGTCTGTCGATGCCGGTAGTGGTGGTGTCCGCGTGGCCGACATTTCGGCAATCCCAAGTGGTAGACCTAGTGTCTGCAACTCATGTCCAGCTGTCACTTCACTGTTGGAGAGACTGACGCTGTCACTGCTGCCGCTGCTAATTTCAGTCTCAGCCGAACGATAGCTGTCGTTGCTGTGTCTGTTGCTTGTCATCGTGACGGCCTGTGGGACCTCTGTCCTCTTCTCGGATTGCATCCACGTCCCCACTTCCATCTTCACCTCGTCTGTCTCCTCTTCTTCTCCCTGATCCAACCGCTCATGTGCAATACCTAGCGAGTAGAACCAACATGCTAGGTCGTCGACCTCATCTGCGTCTGTGGATGCTTGCCCATAGTCGATGCTGTCAGAAAAGAAGTCGCCAGCACCGCCAAGAATGGCCATGTGAAAAGCCGTCCAGTCGAGCGCGTCGTCCGCCACAATCCACGCTGAGCTCGCCTCCGCCTTCGTCTTCTTTGCCTCAGCCTCTGCCCTGGCTAGGCGGATGGGCCCATGGCGGTAGGTTGGCATCACCAGTGAGAATGGCGTCGCTGGCAGGTGGATGTAATCCGCATTGACCATGGCAGTCAGCGCCTTTGTAGCGCTTGCAACCGTACCCATACATGTCTTACTACCAGCCTTTGGCCTATACGTGTTGCTGTTCACGTCTGTTACTGTCAGCTCCGGGATCGTCGGCATCACCTTGCCCTTGTCCTTGGTAACCCGCTGCAGATTCCTTTGTGGCGCGAAGGGGGCCTTCTCCTTGTTTGTTTCTTGTGCCACCACCGGCTCGTTTGGCCCTGCTGCATCTGCTGCATCTGCATCTTCGGCTTTCTTTCTCTTCGTGAGTGCCCGCGAGTTGTCAAACGAGATGGCCTCTTCATCCATAGGCAGAAGAACGGATAAGCGCACACCGGCGGCCCCGATGCGGTGGGGCAGGTCTTGAAGATGGAATGGCTCCACCGGAGTCTCGCAGCTATCAGACTCGATCGTGCTGATGAGCTCTGTCAGACGTGGTGACGCTGCCAAGTCTGATGGAGGAGGTGGCAGAGGAATGGGTGGTGGTGGCCATCGTGTCGACCTGGGCTGCGGCCTCTCTGTCTCCAGCTCCGTGCTCTGTTTCTCCTTTGTCTGGGACTGGGGATTGTGCTCTTGCTCTTGGTTTTTTTCCGGAGACTGACTCAGCTTCACCGGCCACTCTCCTTCGACCTCTGCTTTCTTCTGCACGGGGGTTGTGGGGTCTGTAGCTGTGGTCGCTGTCACTGCTGCTGATGTCTTTGTCGTTACCTCCGTAGCTGTAATTGTCTCTGATGCTGCTGCCGCTTCCGCTGTTGCCACCGCTGCTCGGCTCTCCCTGATCTCCTTCAGTTTTTCCAAAGGCAGCATCTCATTCACCTCCATGCGGCCAAACAGTCGATTGCTAAACAGCTCGGCCACGTTGTCTGCCAGCGCCCACCGCGTTCCGCCGCTGTAACGTTTCTGGGCAGACTCCCGACTGCTTGTCTTGCTTAGGCTCGGCATGTCGGTTTGCTTGTCGGCCTGTACCGGGGATGTTGGTGTCCCAGGGGCTCTAGGCACGGCTGTCTCTGTCTCGTTGGCCACCTGCTCCCGCCGCTTGAACTTCTTCGGGCGCTTCCTCTGAGCACGTGAAGCAGCCACGGACGGCTTTCGGGCAAGCGCAACAGGGCGTATTCGGAGGGGCGAGAAATTTGTCTGCTTCTTCGGAGAAGGCAGCATCCTCGTTGGCATCGATGCTGGCTCGCCGCTCTTGCTCATGGGTATAGGTGCCGGTCGTGGCCGTGTGAATGTCGGACTGATGCTGAGGCCATCGACAGATACCGTTCTGACTGAAGAAGAGCTGAGGGGGGCAAAAAACACGGCATCGGAGCTACTTCTGTGCAAGGGAGTGGGCAACTGGTCGTCCATGCCTGCGGTGCGACGGAAGTGATGGGGCTGGTACTGCTGCTCGCACTCTTTCCTCAGCGAAACCGCCTCTTCCGGCTCTATTGTGAGAGCCTCGAACAGGTCGAGAATAGGCCCTTCAGAGAAGCCAAATAGGGAGACCCTCTTCCTCAGCTCTCTACTGCGTTTAAATTCGAGTTCAGTCTCTTCATTGTCGCCGACCTGGTCGAGATGCCCGCCCTGGTCTTTCTTCTCGTCCGACATGTACTTGTCCTGCTGCTGTTGCTGCTGCGTTGGTGGAGGGTAATTTGCCATGCTTTCGGTAGACATGCTCAGCTGGAGGCGAGCATGAGCAGTAGGGCTCGCAGTATAGGGATTAACATGGTTGAAGAACGGGGTATTTGGACACGACAAAGAAATGTCCGCGGACAGTGACTGTGTTGACGAGGAAGACTGTGCGGCAGAGACAAAAAGAGGAAGTGTACATGGCGGCGGTGAGGGCCAGGTTAAAGACGTTTCTGGCGATGACATGAAAGACGAGGAGGAGAGTGGTGGGGTCGGTCGCCATGACTGACACGAGGGACTGGGAGGACTGGACTGGCTGGGAGAGAAGTGCTTCTGCAGCTGACAATGGCTAGCCATGGAGTTGGGGGCCACATGCGTTTGAAGCAAGACGGCCTCGCCGTTGGATGAACAAAGGCTTCCATTTCTGTTTCCGGCCAGGGGCTGCGGATTTTTCTCTTGCAATTCGTATTGGAGCGGCTGCTCTCGATTTGCGCAAACACACAAAGAACCGGTCGACAGCAGCCTTGTGGCTGTTTGTGTATGGCTGTGGATCTCCTGTTTCCGGTCGGTCGCAACGGTTGTTGCTGCGTTTGCCGCCACTGGCTCGGCTTGCTGCCTCTGCCTGTCATCGTGACGGAGCACCACGATTGGCGCAAGCACCGGCCGCACCCTTTTTCGTGGCTTCTGGCCGTCCAGGCTCTCTGGTGGGATATTGTTGGCCGCCTGCTGAACGCCTCTGTCGTCGTTGTTCAGTCGGAACTTGAGGCTGCTGGCTGCTGCCGCTGTGGCCACGGCCGCTTTGATGTGGGCCACATCGGCCTGGTCGAGCCCATCAGCAGTGGTGCCAACGGCTCTTCGCTTAGTGCCAGTGCTTTGTGAGGAAGCTATGCTACCGCTACTAGCACTACTTCTGCTATCGCGCTTGAAGTAGGAGCTGTCATCGTCGGTGTCTGCTCGGCCGCCCTCGACGTCGATACCACCACTGGTCACTGCCGACCGTCGACGGGGTGTGCCGAGAAGTTTGCGAATGCCGAAGTGACTGCGGGATGGCATTTCAACAAGATATTTCTGGGCAAAAGAACTTTGGTGAGACAGGAGAGGGAAGCTGCCAGTGCGGGATGTTTTAGCAAGTGTGACAATGCCACCGGGAGGGAAAGAACAACGGACCTGGGCTGACTCGAGGAGAAATAGCAAGAGCAAGAGGACAAACGGACGGGTGAAACGGGTTATGCAGTTTGTCTGCTGACACCAGTCTTGGACGTTTGTGAGTGGATTCTACTGTCCATTCTCGAACAAACAGCGGCAATACCAACGGGCAAGTCTGAGGAAAGGGTCGAAGAGAAGCCTGAGATGAGAGAGGAGGCGGTGACACATGCCCAGGAGGCTGCCAGGGCCAAAGGAGCGGTGCAACGCGGCTGGACGTGAAGGGGCGAGGACGAAGGCTGGTGAGAGCAGAGTCAGGGTAAGGAAAAGAGAAGGGAGGAAAAGGGAAAAAAAGGAATATGGTGAGAGAAGCTCTCCTGCATGGAGAGCTACGGGGAGGAGACGTCTATTTACCGACCGTCTGTGTCGGGGGATCTCGAGAAGGAAAAAGGAAAGACGTCGATCTCATTAGGGGCTGTCGTGTTACTCGTTTGATCCAAGGACGAGAGGAGATGGACCTCTTGTCCGACGTGTACCAGTCAGAGGGCCTCTGTCCGGGGTCTACGCCCGGGAGAGCTCTGGCCGTCCCGTCGGTCGGTCTGGTGGCATATGTCTGCCATTCGGACGCAGTGCCAGCTCCCCTAGGCTACCCACCCATACCACCAGTGCTCCCGAGCGGACGATGCTCCTGCTGGCTCATATGCACGTCTTTGGCCAGACCCCACAGGCCGAGGCCCCAAATGGAAGGAAAAGGAAAAGAGGAAAAAAGAAAAAAAAGGAACGAAAGGGAAAAGGAAAAGGAAAAGGAAAAAAGGAAAAGAGGAAAAGAGGAAAAGAGGAAAAGAGGAAAAGAAGAAAAAGAGGAAAAGAGGAAAAGAAGAATAGAAAACGAAAAAAATAAAGACGAAAAAGACGGAAAGACGAAAGGCGATACTTGGAAAAAGAAAAAAAAGTGCGACGACATGGACGCAAGATATCCCGCTCCTCTTTGCTACACCCCCCTTTGACCGAATATGTGTGGGATGCAATCTACCAGGCTGGACGGCGCATGGCATGGCAGGCTGCACTGGCACTGCATCAATCCCCGTCCCGAGAAGCCGAAGGGCCCAGCAAGGAGAGCCGGACAATCTCGAGACCAGCTGCAAACCTCACCGCCAGCAGGCAAGATTACTACGTGCTGTGTACAGGTGTCCGGACTTTCGTCTCTTCCTGGAAGCCCGAGACATTTGGCAGCACTGGAAATCCATTCTACAGAGTGCAGACTCTACGCCCGTAAAAACGAACCGGCCGCAGTCATACAGGTGCTTCCACACCGGCAAACGACGGCTGTGCGTCTAGTATCGCTCGCACCATGTTTTCGTTGCTGCCCAGCAATTTGGCTGCCACCCGCGAAATCATGCTATATAAAGAGCCCGCAAACAAAAAGCTTCGCCCGACGTCCAACGACTGGACAAATGTCTTCGTCCCTCTCCTTCGGCTGCCCAACAAACATCACACACAACCACACATCGGGGCAAAGTCCCGCTTACCGGATCATGGCTCATTGGATACACTACATTCCACGACACCCCCCTGTCAGTGTTTGTGCTTTCGTCTTTGTCTGCAGCCTCTGTGTGGTGTCGTCTGCTGCCTTTCTTCTCTTCCGTTCTCGTCAAATCTCTCCTCTCCACCAGTGAGATGCCGCAGGACCACCGCTCCGACCTCCGACGATGAAAGGGCTGTGGAAAAACCGGACATCTGGGTTGGGGTTGCACGAGCATATCTTGCAGCATCCATCCTCACTGGACAGAGATAGACGGAGACCGCCTTGGGATCATTGTCGACCCACACGCGTCTCTCGTCTCTGACCACATTGTGAGGCGTGCCACATCGGCCTTTTGCGACATATTCAGAGGCACGACGATCTTCTTATTCACAACAGACAGGCTGTGGATGGCAGCTGGCGTATGTCACCACTGCTGACTGCGACATACGAACACGACACTGAGGTACACAGAGGAAACACGGGCACGGCCGATCTGGACAAACTCGGAAGAAGCAGGTATGTATGACTCCTCGTCTTTGGATGTAGCCCTGAGGCTGAACACTGACGCCGAATACGAGTGTCAATCTATTTGGACATGATGTTTAATTCTTGCTAAGTATTGACAACGCAATACATCCTGTCGCCCATCCCTGTCCTGTTGAGCAGTTCCGACCGTCTCGGCCATTATCCCGTTGCAAGCACCTCGAATATCGTGCCTTCTGGAACGTGCAATGACATTCTCAGGACCTAGCACACAGCCACGCGGCGTCCCGATGTCTCCCCCGTGTTTCTAGAAACGAAAACAAAACCAGATAAGCCGTCAGGCGATGCATATGTCAGGATAGCCAGCAGTTAGTGCTTGGCCAGGCCCCTTGCTTCCTGAAAGACGGGAAAAGGCCGCGCAATCCAACCACGAGAACGCGGCGGAGGACATGCACACACCCGCAGCTGACCGCGTTGTCTGCGTATTTCTCTTTCCTTTTTCCTTCCTTTTATTGTTCCTTTCCCACGCCAGCCAGCACCCCTGCAGAATTCCGCTTTTTTGCTTCCGGAACTGCGATGGCGGGACAAGCTGACCGCATCTTGCGTCTGACAAGACGAGGCTTCCGCAATCATGACTAAACGATTGATTCGTTTCTGGCTGGGAGGTATTGCGAAACGATGGCGTATGCAGCCCTTCTGCCGCCCCGGTCGCGATACCAATTGTGGCTGATGGCAAAACAAAGGAGAGGCCGTAAAAAGGAATGTTCTGGCGAAGAGTAGTAAACGAGGGGACGCGCCCCCGGACAAGCGCCGTCTCACATTCAGCCTTTCACTGCTGGGTCCTGCTGGGCCTTTGCCATGTGGTCGGCTGTCGAGGTGGTCAGGAAGCCAGATGCAGCGTGTGTAGGCGTGTGGGTGTATGGCTTCCGGTCAGATGGCCACGACATGGCCGCGTTCTCGTTGTACCCCGACTGGATCTGTTGTTGTTGCTGCTGCTGCTGCTGCTGGTGATGGTGTCTGTCGGAGTTGAAGCCCAAATTGGCCGGCGACGGCCAGTTACCATTGCATGTCATCGACCAGCGTAAACAGGACGAAAGAGACGCAATGGCATTGGTGGCGTACGCAAGAGGCGACGGAGCTGAGCAGTAGGGAAAGTACGAAAACGACTCGGGAAGAACAGCGAGAGCGGGAGCAGCATCGGGGGTTGTGGCAGTGGGTGCGGCACTTTCGGATACCGTCTCTCTGATGGAAGCCTTTGCATCCCGAGAGCAGGTGCTGGGCGATGCTGTGAGGTCGTGCATCGTGATGGACGGAGAGAAGTACTAGTAAATGCCGCGACTCTTTGTAGATGTCGTAGGCTGACGCAAAGCGAGGTGTGCAGAAGGAATCGTCGATTTGAAATGGACAAACAGGAGAAACTTATATGCAGAAGGACCGTCTTCAAGGACGCGCGGAAAGGGATGAAGTCTAGATTAAGACGGCGTGCTTTTTGCTACCAGCTCACACACACACACTCTCTCTCTCTCTGCCACCTCCGCGTCTCTCCATCTCCACGACCACAGACAAGAAGACATCGGTCATCTTCTCGTCTCCCTTGTTCCTTGGCTGTCGGCAGGGCCTGAGACAGGCAATTTGGGCCAGACCATTCCAACACAACTCATCGTCACCCTGCGACGAGGCAGAAACAAAAACAAGGCACATCAGCAGATTCCCCTCAATGGTCGTGATGGCATGCAGAACACATTCCAAACAAGCCACAGCTGCTGCCGCATGGCCATTGGCTGGCAAGCGAGCACCAGAACACTACATAGTAGCGAAGCGAAATGGAGCGCCGCTGCCTGAATCACCCAATCGCGCGAGACAAAGCTGAATCCTAAAACTCTACGGAGTACCATCACTGCCCTCTGGTTGTCTCTGATCGGTCTGCACCGATCGCATGGCTGTTTGGTTGCTCCATCTGGGCCCGCTTGGACCATTGCTGCCGAATCTTTTCCCGTCTGAGCCTGACTAGTCAGCCGTCTCTTTCTCTTTTGACTAAACGCCACTTTTGACGATATTTTCGTCGCCAATAGGCATGCAGACTGCCATATGCTATAATTTTCCTTTATTGCTCGGAGTCTCCAGCGTAGACTGCCACATGCTCGTATGCCCATATGCGTATAGGTGTATATAAATACAGGCGCAGGCTGCTCTACAGTTCATCGTCCTCATCGTCGCCCTCCTCGGCTTCCTCGACCCCCTCGGCCTCCGGATCGTCTTCTTCGTCCGTGATGTAGGGCACAAACGTAAAGTGCAGCCACTGCATCCCCCCCGCCACCCCAATACTGCCTGCACCCGTGCCCATTCCTCCCCCGGCGTGGTCCATCTCCACCATGAACTGCAGGCTCAGCACGCCTTGCCGGTCTCCCCGGATGCTGACCTTGCTCGCGATGCGCATCGCCTCCGTGGCCGATTTGATCATGTCGAACTTGTAGCTCTGCGCCCACCGCTCGCCCACCCAAATGGATTCAAACAGGCTGCGCCCGCGCGAGAAGTCGACGCTCGAGCTGCCCAGCGGGCCATGGCTCGACAGCCGCAGATACGGTTCGCGCTGCGTCACCGCGATCGTGAGCAGGTTCGGCGACGACGGTGCCAGCTCCACCAGCGCGTCCAGCAACCACCGTGGCTGCATGATGATCTTGAACAGCAGGTCGTCCCGGTCAAACGGGATGGCCTCGAGCGACTCCGGCACGTATGTCGCCAGGTTGCACGTCGTCTTGACCGATGCCTCCTCCAGGATGATCCCAAACGGCGCGCCCTCTTCCGGATACGACAGACAGCAAGTGCCAGGCATTCCCAATATCTGGTGGCTGAAGGCGTCGGCAGTCCGCATGTTGCTCCGGTATGTGTCTGGGTCGGACTTGCTCTGGCGGCCTGACGGTGCATCCGTCACGCCAAAGATCTGGATCGCCTCCAGCAGCGCCGGCAGAGAGATCTGAAACGTGGCCGGGAGAGGATCGCTGTCATCTTCGTCCCCGTCGTCCCCGTTGCGCCCGCCGGGCTTGGGCAGGTTCAAAGAAAATGACGCAAACAAGGACTTGCCTAGCGATGCCATGCCTGTGCTCTCCTCTGTCAGTTTCTAGGCTCGCTACTGCTTCAACTGGGACCAATCTGCCCTCAAACATAGCGCACCTTGCATGACCCGGGCATTGTCGGCTATGAATTTGATCCCGTCCCCGGATATCTCCACGTGCACCTTGTTGGAAAAGCTGATGCAGCGGAGGAGCTGATAGATGGGCCGCGTTGATGTGGCCAGGGCTCGAAATAGAGGAGCCGGTGTGTCCATGTTGCCGGCGGGAAACCAGCACACGAATCAGATTGAGCAATCGCCAGCAACTGCTGGGGAGAGAAGGTGTGAGCTGCTTCAAAAGTGTTGGTAATATAGAAACAGAGACAGCAGATGCAAGTAAGGAACAAAAACGCCCGTTAATGTCAACTATAATACAGTCAATCCCCTTCCTATCCTTTTGATGGTTTCCCTTTTAGCAAAGTCGGCGAGGGCCGTATATGTAGGTGGGAAGGCCTCTCTTGATATTTGGTCTTTCGTCTCAAACGTAGACGCCAACTGCACAGAACATGTACACCACTCCGATTCTACAGCAATGTAAGTAAAAAGGAGAAGAAAACCCCCCAACTGAAGCATGGGCAAGACGTACGCAAGCGATAATGAGGCCGGGACGCCCAACAAGGGAATGCTAGCAAAGGACCGGCCTGGCTTGTCAGTCAAACCGTATATAGCAACAACAGACACACGCAGTGGGGCACATACTGAGAACGAAGCCACCTGTCAGGCCAAGTGCGACAACAAGCAGAGTGAATCCGACGTAGAACTGGTTGTCCTTCCCGACGAGAGGAAGAAAGGGACTGCCCGACGCAGTTTGCCAAACCTCATGCAGCGAGGAATCCATGTATCTGTTTGTGTGCCGTCTAATGGACAGAGCAGAGAGAAGCAGGAGCTGAAAGGGTTGATTAAAGGTCGTCAATGGGCAAGTACGGTGGTCAATAGGCGCAGATTTGAGCGACGCGGGTTTGCTAAGCTCAATCAATGTAAAAGACACAATTGTCATTAGAATGGACAAGCTCTACGATTGCCCAAACCGGTCTAGCGTGTGAAATGGACACACAGCCACGTGAATCATGGAGGCGGGAAATCTATTTATCCGTATTATGGGGTAATGAGCCCCGTCGCCGCCTGTCATCATCGCGGCCTTGCGCCCATGACGCATTCAACGACGAGCTACGACAAGCTTTCGCCAGCATGGAGACTTTAGCAGAGGCTGCCAAGCCTGCGTTGGAGTCAGAGGAAAGTGCGTACTCACTCCCGCCCCGCCCCCAGTCCCCTCTGCCCGGGACTCAGTAACTGGCAGAAGGCTGACAATCCGCGTCTCAGATGCCAAACGCAAGGCGTCCGAGGATCCGTCCTCGCCGTCGGCGACAAAGCGCATTAAGAGGAGCGCCTCTGCCGAAGCGGAAGCGGAAGCGGAAGACGCAAACCTGGCGATGAAACCGATTCCGTTCCCAGAAAAGGTGAGCCGACGAGCTGGCCCCCTTCCCTGGTCCCTGGCGCGCTCCGGTTCTTGGTCTGCAGTCTGCGATCTACGCGCGCATGCTGACGTTCCTTGGCTGACCTCTCGTAGCCTGCCGTTCTGGAGGAGCGCAACGGCGAGATCGAGTTTCGGGTGGTCAACAACGACAACGCGCGCGAGAGCTTCATTATCCTGACGGGGCTCAAGTGCATCTTCCAGAAACAGCTGCCGAAGATGCCCAAGGACTACATTGCGCGGCTGGTATACGACCGGACGCACCTGTCGATTGCGATTGTGAAGAAGCCACTGGAGGTGGTGGGGGGCATCACGTACCGACCGTTCCGCGACCGGCGCTTTGCCGAGATCGTCTTCTGCGCCATCTCGTCAGACCAACAGGTCAAGGGCTACGGGGCGCATCTGATGTCACACCTCAAGGACTACGTCAAGGCGACGTCGCCGGTGATGCACTTTTTAACGTACGCAGACAACTATGCGATCGGCTACTTCAAAAAGCAGGGCTTCACCAAGGAGATCACGCTGGACAAGTCCGTCTGGATGGGCTACATCAAGGACTACGAGGGCGGCACCATCATGCAGTGCTCGATGCTGCCGCGCATCCGCTACCTCGAGATGGGCCGCATGCTGCTGAAGCAGCGCGAGTGCGTGCAGGCCAAGGTGCGCGCCTTCTCGCGCTCGCACGTCGTGCACCAGCCGCCCAAGGAATGGCGGCCCGGTCCTGGCGGCGTTCAGCCGATCGACCCGCTCTCCGTCGAGGCCATCCGCGCGTCCGGCTGGTCGCCCGACATGGACGAGCTCGCGCGCCAGCCGCGCCACGGGCCCAACTACAACCAGCTGCTGCACCTGCTCAACGACCTGCAAAATCATCAGAGCGCCTGGCCCTTCCTCATTCCCGTCAATAAGGACGACGTGGCCGACTACTACGACGTGATCAAGGAACCCATGGACCTCGGCACCATGGAGTCCAAACTCGAGGCCGACCAGTATGCCACGCCTGAAGACTTTACGCGCGATGCCAAGCTTATCTTTGAGAATTGCCGCAAGTACAACAGCGAAAATACTCCCTACACCAAGAGCGCCAACAAGCTCGAAAAGTACATGTGGCTGCAGATCAAGGCCATCCCGGAGTGGTCACATCTGGAGCCATAGGCAGCCCCGCAACGATTGGCCTCTTTTTTGCGATTTACTGCCTGGGTGGCTTTTTGCTTGGGTTTTCTGCTCTATTTTTGCTATTAATTGTCGGTGGTCCACATGGGAAAGCACAGTAACTCGCAGTGCACATCCGTTTTATCGTTTCTGGATGGACGGCATTGCAACATGGCGTTGGGGGGGGGGGTAGGCTTGTAATCTTATAAAGGGCTGGATGGAATTCGAGACCGACTACTTCGTAGTCTTCATTATGTTAAACAACAAGCGTGCATTGGTTATACCGGGCGCAACGTATCAATATGAAGCGCATGCACATATGGGGTACTTTCAGGTATCTCGGGGTGTCCATTAATTCATGTAAGTTCTTATCACCGCATTCCGTAATGCAACAACGCCTCTTATGCGAAGTATCAAATCCTCCGAGACACCTTCACTTGTTGGCCTTCCTCAAACATAGAACTGCTACAGATGGGGGGTGAAAGCGGCGAAAGTGCAATAACAAATAGCACATAACCGAGCAGCCAGGCAGCCGTGTGACTAGCCTAATAACGCTCATAGCCAAAGAGACGCTCGTTTCGAAAACCTTGTATACTAAGTGGGGTATGGAAGAGGAAAACAAAAAGGACAGATGGGTATGCTGCCAGACCAGCTAGCCACAATAAAATGAACAATCCCCAGCCGGAATGACATAGTCTCCTATGGTTGCAAAGCAATAATGGTTGGTAGGCGATCAGAAAGCAGCACCGTTCGAGCCCGAGCGGGAACGCTCGTTGGCAGGGAGACGCAAGTGCGAGTAGGTACGACGCGGCGCCATTGAAGGCGCTGGAGAAGCAGCCTCTTGGAGTGGTGGCGAGTCAAGAGCCGCTTCCACCTCGGCGTAGAAGGTATCGCTGACCACATCCCGAAAAAGAATGGGCACATTGTTCCAGCCGTCCGACCCTGTGGGTCGGTGCCTTCTGGGCGAACCGAAGGCGGTAGAATCTTCCGGGCTGGAATCTTCCGGGATCGAGGCTGCCGTCGGCGCAGCCGTCAGACGGTCGATGTGTTCAGCAACCAGCGAGAGGTTGCCAGTCTCGATGGCATTCTTCAGCCACTGCTCCCAGTCTTCGTCCAGGGGCTGTGAGGTATCGCCAGCGTTATGGGCGGCCACCCGCTCCAGAAGCCGTTCGTTCAGCTGCAGTCCGATGCTCTGGATCTCCATGTCGCTTTCTTCGTCGTCTTCGACGTCTTCGACTTCGGCATCTTCGACTTCTTCGTCTTCTCCCTCGTCCTCGTCGTCCTCATCCGCGCCATCCTCTTCTGCTTCTTCCCCGTCCTCGCTACTGTCTCCGTCCTCATCCTCCTCGTCCATGTGCTCGCTCGGCTCCAAGCGGCTCGAGTTCCTTGTTTGTGGCACAACTGGCTGCTGACCCACCGATATGATATCGTAGCCAGGCGATGAGCCGGTCGCCCGTCTGGACGCTGCTGCCCGCCAGCGACTGCCAGGTTCTCGCCAGTCCGGTAGACCGTCGCCCGCGGTATCACGAATGGTGATGCCCTGCTCCTTCTCGTATCGTTCCTTGGCCCACTTCGTGCCCTCCCAATGTGTCAGGCCGGCTACCTCAGCCGAGGTGAGCTGAAGGGCATCGAAGGCACGGAACAGGCGGCGGTGCCATGGCCAGCGACTGAGTCGAATGCGGTGAACGGGATGGCAATAGTCGAGACCTGGGTATCGGGCTTCCTGTGTGTTGATGTGTCCGTAGAATGCGAGGACCTCTTGCCGGACTTCGATTACAAGATACTGGTTGAGAATGCTAGGAAAGTTTGGTGGATCCGACTGTTTGGGTCGTGGGATCATGCACTCATAGACAAGCTGCTCGACCGGCCGGCGCTTCATCTTGCCAATAGCTGCAGCAGAGCCTGAGCCTGGCAGCGGCTGGTTGAGATGACGTGGGTGTGTGCGGCGTGAAAAAAAAAAAATCAAAAAGAGCTGGCTGCGTGTTGCTGCCTACTTCTGAGGAGTATACTGGGGTGGGGTGGGTGAGGATGAGGGCGGAAAGTGGAATCCAAGATGGCAACCCCAGCCGAGTTCAGAAAAGACTGGTCAGCAACATCCGGAACGACGAGTAGAAGAGCGGTCTCGGCGATGGGAATTGTTTTCCCAGTGGAGGGCGGTGAGAGAACGAAAAGGCTGGTGTGAGTGGAGGTTTGGGCTGAAGCCAGGGCTGTCGAGAGGCAGAACCGGAGATTATATGCGGTCGACGAGAGCATACGAAGCGGAAGACATAAGGCCAGAAAGCGATGACACACGCGTGGTTGCCTGGTGGGATTATGTGTCGAGAAGGAGGGAAATGTTGGAGGTGGGGGAGAGGACGCGAGGAGTGAGCATGAGAGAGTGCGATACAGACAGGAAGACAAGGAAGAAAGAGAGAAGGCGAGGTGGCAGCTGTTGGTATTATGCTAGCCGATCGGTCGGGCTGGAGGAGCACCGATGAGGGACGCGTGAGAGAGCTAGTTACGCCACTCCCCCGGCTTGGTTGTGGAGTCAGAAGGAGTGAAGCGCAACTAAGCAAGGGCTGTGTTTATTGTATTAATGGGTTTTCCCTCTCGTCCTGCTACCACAATGGCTCTCTCTTTTCTGATCGTAGCCAGGCCATTTGCCCACTAAAATCGCCCGCTAAAAGACTGCGGAAGGAAGGGGGGCCGACATGCAGGCCCAGCCGGATACAACACCCAACCTTATACAGGAGGAGGAGGTGGCGGTGGGGAGCAGGAAGCAATGCGCGAGAGGCTTACCGGCCGGTATCTGCCGTGGATGGAGGGCAAGAAGAGGAGATTATGATTGTTTCCATGGGAGTTGACCAGGAAAAAGCGGTCGATTACTGCGTACTCCGTACTAAGTCCGTGTATTATTACTATGAGTGCACAGAGTCTGAGTGCAGGCACGGACCTTGTGATGTCGCAGCGGGGAAGGGGCGAGGCATTTGTCGATGGTCGCTCCTTCCTGACTTTTTGTTGGCCGGTCCGCTTACATGGCCGCAGGAGAGGGAGGGGTGGTGGGATGTGGGATTTATTTGGCACTGGCTCTCGTCGTTTGCGTCCGCTCATACCTGTGCGGTTACATATGTATGTGCTTACGTATGTGCTCCGTAGTTATCGATTATCTCATCCGCTGTTGCTGCCTTTGTTGGCTGTGTCTTGGCTTCTATCTGCGCGATGCACGGCCCTCACTGTATTGATTATACCGTACGGAGTAGGATTCACCAAGATGAACGGGAATTTGTGGCACTTCTACCACATCTGCCTGTTTTCCTTTCTGGCTCTCCGCCCGATGGGGTTTTCGCGTGTTTTGACCCGACAAAAAAAGCAGGCAGGTCACGCAATTGTGTCCCGAGCCCTTGTCGAATGGTGCCTTGGGTCAGAGAGCCCGGATGGCTGGACCGTTTTGCGGCCAGCCCCAGCCTGTCCCATCTCTGCTCTCTGGCCACTGACTGGTCCGCCACGCCATGCAGCCAAAAGAGCCAAGGAAAGTTAGGGGATGGAGCAGCCGACCAGAACGGCGGCCTGGGTCGGTCGTGTCTATCCTGCCTCCGTCATTCGTTCCTGTGCTACTCCTCCTTTTTAGTCCCTGTGCAGACACGCGATATGCCCGCCAATAAGTCCGTCCTTCGTCCTTCCGCAACTCCATCGACTGTTCGGAGGACCGGCCTAGCATGATTGTACGAATATATCTTGGCCTGGCCCGACTTGGCCGGCCTCTGTCCACCATCATCCGCGAGCCAATCCTTCCGCTCGGCGTTGTCTCCCGCGTAATCACACGTCAGTCGGACGTCGTGTTCTTTTCGTGCCCTTGTCTAGTAAGTTACGAGTAGACAGAACGATCACATGGATTGAAAATTCTCATGGTGTGCGCGGAAAGCGAGGTGGATCGAGAGAAGAAGCCACTTTTCATTCTTAGAGCATACAAAGGAGGAACTCGACGAAAAAAAAGCCTGGAGTCACAACATAAGCCTGTAGAAAAACCACAGCCAGACAACCCGGGTCCAAACCCGTGACCTTGTTTACTCGCGAAATAAGTACCGCCCTGAAGTCAAAACAATATACCGTGTCTCATTCAGTCGTCAAGGCCCATACCGCCGATTACCAGAGCCCTTCAAGCTGCTGGACCCTAGTCCGGCACTGATAATGGGGGGGTTGACCGTCTTGTTGCTACCACTGCTGACGTGGCTATGTGAACTGAGGCTATTCAAGCTGGTCTTGCTGTTGGGGAGCTTGGTCTTGGTGCTGGGGACCTCTCTCTTTCGCCGATCTTTTTCGTGATCCCAGCCTCGCTCCCGGGAATCATCGGCGGTGCTGCACCGACTGTGCCGCTCTCTTTCCATGTCACCGTGGCTGCTTGGCCGTTTATGATCCTGACGCGATCGATACTGGTTTCGGTCTCGCTCACAGCTCCGGTCCCAGTTCTGGTCTCTGTGACGATGCTCTCGGTCTCTGTCTCGGTCGCTGCGGTCACTGTCCAGAAGCCGGTCACGGTAGCCCTTCGGTCTCCTATATCCCCTGTCATCATCCTTATCTCGGTCTTCACCGCGATCCCTGTCTCTGCTGCGACTCGATATTTCTTTCTCTTTATCCCTGTCCCGATCCCTGTCTCTGATCCTGTCCCTGTCCCTATCTCTGTCTCGACCTCGGTCACGCTCTCGTTCACGCTCACGGCTGCGGTCCGGACCACGATCATAATCGTGACGGCCTTTGTAATCTCTGTCCTCAACTCGGTCTCGGTCTCGGTCTCGGTCTCGGTCTCGGTCTCGGTCTCGGTCTCGGTCTCGGTCTCGGTCTCGGTCTCGGTCTCGACCGTGGTCACGTTCGCGCTCCACCTCCCTTCTCCGCCGTTCATGGACTCGTACACCTGTATCATCATCAGAATCTAACGATGGGCTGCGACCTAAGCGGAAGCTATGCGGATTATCTTTGGTGTATTGTGGTTCTGGAGGGCCGACCCCAAAAGCATTTGGACGCGATGTGCTCCGCGGGCGTTCCAAATTGCCCCTCCCGCCACTTCCCAGAACATTACTGGGGGGTATGGGCGCAACCTTCTCGTGGACGCCTCTATGAGCGCTCTGGCCCTTCCGCTGCGGTAGCTCATCTATGTGATGTGGAGAGCGATGCGGCGAGCGACGAGATAGTCTCGGCGCCCGATCGTCTCCTCGTTGCCGATCCGTACTACTTGACGAGCTCCCTCTCGTTCTTGGCACCGGCGTGACTGGATACACTTCAGGAACATCGGGAGGAGAATGGTGAGGACGGTGGCCGGTGGCCATCGGGGGTTCATCCAAGTGACGGCCATGAGGAGATTGCATCTTCTTGCTTCGCTCACGGGGTCTTTCTTCTTCTGTAGAATCGCTCGACGACGATTTTCGGAGATGACTATTTCGATACATAGGTGTTTTTCGATTGCCAGTCTCAAGATTGCTGGCAGCGTGGGGAGGATAGTGCATCTTGACCTTCGGCTCGTGCATGTCTGGAGGTGCATAGTCGGAGAAGCTTCTGCGGCGGACATCTGCATGGTGCTCATCGGCTGGCTGGTGTCGGAACCTGTAAGCCATTGATGCAGCACCCACAGTGGCTGCGAATCCGGCGGCTGCAGCTGGCACGTAGCGAGCAAAGGCAGGCCGAGGGCCGTCGTTCGGCTCAACTCTAGTGCGACTCAGCGGAGGGCTCGGATGCCGCGGCGTATGAGGTGGTGATGTTGACGAAGAAGCAGCACTGGCGCGGGTTGCAAAAGGGCGAGTGTAGTTGTATGCTCCTTCCTTGAAGTGCACATCGGGAGAGGTTGGTTCCTCCATTTTCGGGGACTCAGCCTCACGGCGCAGTTTGTTGGCGCACCGGTTGTGCCACGCTTCGATTTGTGCATCTGGTTCAGACGGCAGAGCTTCTGCCGGCAAGTCTGGCGGAAACTCCTCGCCAGTATCCGGGTTCTTAAGCTTCCAGTTCTTGACAGCATACTGCAACAAGGGCACATGGACGCCTGGACACAGGAGCGTCTCAACCGATTGCCAACGCTGAAATCCTTTGGTAGTCAGGGTCGGGATTGTGGGAGCGGCGAAATCGTTGTCAATGGGTTGGCTGAGATTATGCTGGCAACCGGTCACCTGCCATATGAAAGAGATTGACTCGTGGCCGCTTTCTAGAAAAAGAGCTGCATGACTTGTTAGCATAGCTGTGTGAAACTGAGCCGTGCTTCGCTTGTTCCGAACGTCTGGCAGCTCACCGTCATAGTCGACTCCTGCAGTCGAGTAAAAGGCAGCAAGCTTCTTCGGGTTCAGCGCCTTCTCTTCCCTATCGCCGATATTGTCGATCTGCGCAATTGTCAATCTCAGCCCATGTCTGGACTCATCGACGGTGGCCAGCGTTTAAGTGGGCATGGATGCTTACAACGTATTGAGCCAGCGACCGCAGAAGAGCACTGAATATGGGTGTCGGGGCTTTGTCATCTTGATAGAGGTAGCCATAATATGATTTTTCGTCAACGGCTGGCTTAGGCGGCGATGGCCTAGGCGGCGATGTTGAATTGGCCATGATGAAGCGACGATGATGGTGTTCTTTGCACGAAACGAAGATTGAATTGAACAAAGGGCGCTCGCGATGATATTATATGGAGGAGCAAGGCAAACGCGGGACAACAGCCACCAGACGACTGGTCAAAGGCGGGAAGGCACGTCACTTCATAGGCAGCAGCTAAGGCAGGAAAGAGGACCGGCTAACTTTGCGACATGAAAAAAATTGATGCATGCGGAAGGCGCAGAGAAGGCTGATGCTGAGTTTGGCTTCTGCCCCGAAGTAGTACCGGTGGTGGGTGAAACCAGATCACGAAATATGCACAAAATGCCCGCAGAATTTACGTCAAAAGAGGGGGGAGACAGCAGATAGCCAGAGACAAGCAGACTGAAAATCCGAGGGGGGAACAGGAATGCGACGGAAGGTGTGAGACGGAATGAAGCGGCCTCTGGCAGTTGGCGACAGAATCACGGGATCATGAAGGACCTTCCATTCTGGTCTTGCAGGTGGGGGTTTGGCGGGGAACTTGTGGCTCTGCTGCCATACGGGAGTACTATATGTATCTTACCAAATGGGTCACCGTCTGTAACATCGAGGACAGCCCATCGTGATCCACGCCACGAGCAGACGCCAGTGGCCGCCAGTCATACGGGCCGCTTAGCTGTTGGGCACGTGCCTTGACTGGGTCCAGCTGATAGCGGAGAAGCCCATACCTTGTGCTGTTTTATAGCGCTAACCGTCAGCTATGTTGGCCCACAGCCAAGGCTAACTATCGGGAGATGGCCTCAGTAAGCTGCCTTCAGCCCATGTCGACAGCCGAAGACATGCCCGTCCAACTCCGCAGTGCCTCAGGGCTGACGGGACTGCAGGTCGCCAGGGACTATGTTGCTTACTTCCTCGCTCAAAAGCGCAAGCGGCCTCCTTAGTGACAGTCCAAAGTTCCTTGCCTCTGCAGACTGACTTTCCAGCCGGTTGATCCCTCAACACAAAGAGTCTTATAGTTCCGCAGGGAACTTCTTACCATCTATAGCTAAAGACCGGCCGTAGAGTAGGCAGTGTATCCTACCACGATTAGAAAAGAGACCATGAAGAAGACGCCAAGTTGCGAGCTACATACTGTCGTGCCAGGGAGACGAGCAGAGTTGATGACACAAAGAAAGTGTATACGAATAATGCAGGAGAAAACTACATGACGCAGTCCTCACCTCCCAAGGTGCCTCCAACAGGGCTTCGCACAATGCAAGTAGGCTCACGCAGCACCCCAAGTGGATTCGAAATCTCAGCAATATATACAATACAAGGTTGGTGTGGCGGACGTTATTGAAACGACAAAAGCTTCGACGAGAATTTTTCAGAGACAGCGGCATCATCATCGTGGGCACATCTAAACCCAATGAAAAGATAGAAGCAGGAAGCCATCGCATTCCTTTCCTGTTACTTTACCTGGGTTATGTAGGTCTAACTCAACCATAGCTATGTATTGCTCGAAGCTGGCTTTACAGACACACGTTCACCCCTCCCATTCCTCAACGCCATGCAAATGCCATCTCTTCGATCGAACACTGCTCGTCTACTGTCCCTCCAACTCTGGTCTATGGCTATGGCCGTATGGTCCGTCATCCGTAAATGATATAGTCGGCATAAGCACCCTAGCCCAGCTCTTTGTATTGTTAACTCATGCTGCATTTTTGATGAAAGAACTAGAAAGTAAAAGGACCGAAGACAAGCATTCGGCCAGTTGGTGAGCAGTACGGAGTACAATTTGGACGAAATAAATTGGCGGGGGGGGGGGGGGGGTTCGTTTTTGAACGATAGATGCGGCCATACAGAGACCATACAGCTCATTTCAATTGGAGACAAATTTCCTATCTCGTACCTATAGCTGAACAGTCATAGTCGCACCTATCGCATGTCATTGTTACATCCTCTCTCTGGTCGTAAATAAAAGCTATTGCAATGTAGCCGGTGCTCTTACACAAACTCGGCTCCATTTGTTGTTTGGAAATTTTTTGCTTTTTTATTTCACTACCCTTCATGTCGAAGGGTCTGCTAAATCCGTTTCCCGTGGCCGTTAAGTAAACACCAGAAGAACAGCCTCCAACAAGACACCCCGCAACCCGGATTTTGTTTTCTTTCTCTTTATCATGCCGATCGCTCAGTCCACCTGCTAGTATAACCCACTTAAGCAAAAGTCGACGGGCGCTTGGCGCTGAAGATCTTCTTGGTCGAGATCTTGGGCACGCGGTGAGGCAGGGGGAAGGTAAGGCTCTTGGTCACGAGCTGCTTGATGTACGGGCGCTTGATATCCTCGTTCTTCTCGATCTCGACGACGCGGAGGATCTGCAATATATTGTTAGCAACACAGCACCAAGCAACGCGGAGCCTCAAGTGGCGGAGGAAAGCATACGTGAATCGACCGGAAGCGGGCACGGTGGCGAGCAGCCATGTCCTGGTACAGAGACTCGACGGCAGCGGTTCTCGACAGCTCACGGTACTCCTTGTACATGTTGTGGGTGCCTGACCGAGAGTCGTACCGGATCCAGATACCGAAGTTCTTGACCTTCAGGGGGTGCTTCTCAGAGATCTGCCAGAGACGCACGGTTAGAGCGTAATTCAAATGGTACACGCAGTCTGAAAGATCCGATGGAGACATACGGCGTTGACGGCAACGATCTCACCGGTGGCCTTCTTGACCTTCCGGAGACCGCGCAGGAAGTACCAGTACCGGGACTTGGCAACAACCTCGTTAGGGGCGAAGATGCGCATGCGGTACAGGCTGGGAGTCGGGTTGGACTCGGTCGGCAGATGCCGGCCGATGACCTGGTATTCCTGAAGACGGCCTGGAAAGAGAAAACTGTTAGCCATGCTTGCAGAATGATGATGCGTCACTGGGCCTCGTCCGCTCTCCATCAAGTCGCGACCAAAGCTGGAGAGTTCGATAAAAGGGCCAGAAAGAGGTGCACGTTTTAGAGAAATCCTTTCCCAGTCTCGGCAGCCATGTCGATCCAAAAATGATGGTGCCTTGCCCCGATTATAGCAGAGGAAAGAGGCACTGGGTGAATGATCCGACCGATCCTGTTCCCCGGGGAACAAATTGAAGGTGCTTTTCCGTGCGTGGCGTGGTCGTTGAAGGTGACATTGTCGACAGTCTCTCAGGGTGTGGTGATCTCTGAACGGCCTCCTGTTTCAATACGTCGGTCTCTTTCCGCGCCCCTCCTGCGAACTGGCTCTGGTCGTAATTCCTCCGCGTCGTTGAATGAATGACTGGCAAGCATGCATATAAAAAACTTACCCATCTTTCTTGAGTTAGAAAACTATTGCAATGCTGCGTTACTGGTAGAGGATGCTCACCTTGAATTTTATTTTTCGTTGATGTTGGTCGTCAAAATGATTGAGTCTAGTCGGAATTTTCAAATTTCTGTAAAGCAGACACAATATCGATTTGGTGGTTGCTTTTTTCGGGGCTTGGAAGCCCACGAAAATTGTGCGTCGGAAACGAGTTGATCCGCTCCGGCAAAGAAAGTCTGCCTCGATTTAGCGCGCAGCGTGGGTGGGTCACATATTTTATAGCCAACCAATGATAACCATCCCCTAATTTGAAGTGGGCTTTGGGCTTGAAAGGGAAGAAACAAAGTAGTTGAACGTTGTGAGAGGGAAGGAGCTACTCTGCTGAGAAGATGCGTTTAGGCGAAGCATAAAGGGCGACAAATCAAACGGTTCGCGACGAAGATCAAGAAGGGTGTATTAACGAAGACTTGTAGCAGTTACCTGGCTTGGCATCGTAGCTTTCAAGAGTTTTCTCAACGCCCTGTCTCTCAGCACCCATCGCCACTATGGATCGCCTGTTCCGGGATTTCGGAAAGGCAGTGGATGTCGGTGATGGGAGAGCTTTGGCTACATCGCTGCTTCCAGTATCTCCTTCTGGCGACCCGACTCGACTCCGTAACATATGGAATGGAGCCAATCAGCACGATGCAAAGTCAAGCATCAAGCGCAAAATTCAGAACAGTACAGACGCGCTTAACAACACTGAAGTACAAGGCTGGACTGAAGTATACTATGCTTACTGGAAGGCTGTTGGAGAGATCCTTCTCATACAAGAAAAACAAGAGGGTACCGGGGCAAAAGGACAGGTGAGCGGCCATACCTAACCATATTGGTCATACCAATTCCTCTGACGGCTCCTGTAGGCTACATGGATGAGTGTGTATGAGGCTTGGAAAGACGTGACCTTGGCTCTTCACAGAGGTTATACGAACTACGGATTCGAAGCCTGGAGCATACCCACACTCTATGTCGTGGGGAAATATCTGCGTGTATTTGCCGTCAAGGCTGACGACGAGCGAAATGTCACTGCAAGCTTTGACGGCAACGCCACCTTTCAGGACGACTTTGATGCCGAGAACGAAAAGCATCAGCAGCTGGAAGATTGTGCTCGCCAACTCAACCGACTCTTTCAACTGTGCCTGAGCGATCGGTATGAGATGCGCAATACCCCCTATGCTCTTACTTCAACTCGTTTCTTACTTACAATCAATCGCTTAGAACACAAGATATTGCAAACTCAAGAAAATGGGGCATTTACGGCGTGATAAATTTGCTGTTCAAAACGTATTTCAAGCTCAACTCAGCAGGCTTATCGAGAAACATCCTCAAGGCCCTAAGTGCCTATCAGGGAGACATGCCTAGCCTCGATAACTTTCCCAAGTCCCAGCGCGTTACTTTCAAGTATTACGAGGGGGTTTTATACTTTCTCGAAGAGAACTACGTGGAGGTTCGCTCTCATCACCAACATCCTTACGCTTCAATTATGTTGTATTGGAGGTACTGACTGCTGAATCATTAGGCAGAGAAGCATCTCACTGAGGCTTGGCTTTCATGTCATAACCAAGCACTGAAGAACAAAGAGTATGTTGTTACTCATTAGTAGAGCCAACCCAAAGGCTAATCCTTCTAGACTGATCCTCACTTACCTTATTCCATGCCACCTCATTACCACACACACCCTTCCCAGCGAAAAGCTGCTGGAGCCATACCCTCGCCTGCAGAAGCTGTTTCTTCCACTTTCGCAGTGCATAAAGAAAGGCGATCTGCATGCATTCGACGTCGCATTACAGAGGAACGAAGACGAGTTTGTCAGACAGCGCATCTATCTCACGCTGGAACGTGGACGAGATATCGCTCTCCGCAACCTCTTGAGGAAGGTCTTCCTTGCTGGCGGGTTTGAGGAGCCAACAGCACCTGGTGTAGCACCAGTCCGTCGGACGCGCGTGCCTGTAGCAAACTTCTCTGCTGCCATCAAGCTGGGTAGCCAGGAGAGTCTAGATGTGGATGAGGTGGAGTGCCTGATAGCAAACATGATTTACAAGGTGAGTTGAGCGATGCCTGTCGTTACTGTTTGGACCAGACGCTAACCGAAGGACTTACTTCGTTTTAAGAATCTCATGAAGGGATACATCCATCGTGAGAGGGGCATTGTAGTGTTGAGCAAGGCGGCGGCTTTCCCAGGTACCGGCGTGTAATGACAATGCAAAGCGAGATAACGAGCTTGTTTTAGTACGGGATTCCTTTATTTAGATATGGATTTGATGCAGAGTAGCGATTTCCCCCTTGCTTTCGAGACTAAATGAACGGTGTACTTTGTTTCACCACAACAGCACGGAGTACTCCGTATCCTAAAAACACAGGATTGAGCTACTCTGAGGCGTACATTATTATCTGCTATATGACGGCTTGTTAGCAGTCAAGGTGCATCTGCACATAGTTTCTTTTGGGGTAGTCACGCCAATTTGAACAAATGAAGTTGTGAGCCCAAGATGAAACCTACTTCTGATGCGTAAGAAGCGAGTGCGGAATAATCGTTTGCCAAACGACATACATCTTGTACGACTCATGTGCGCAAGCTACAAATTGAGCGAATACGACTGAACTTTCGGTCATCGTAGTAAACAGAAGCAACCCGTATTTGAAAACAGGTGTCAACGACCAGGACTTTGTAAATCGACATCCAACTAGGGCATTTGGTTGTTTTCTGGCCATTTTTTTATAGAAAAAGCGCAAAGCCAGCATATGCCCGTTGCATTACAACCTAGGGGCGATAACCGGTATTCCCAAAAATATTATACCCATAGCAAAACCAATGCCTTCGCGCAAAATACATATAACAATACAGAAATTCAATTAGAAGATCAGGCTGGCCAGACGTCCATCGGCACCCACCCCAGCAGAGTTGTCAGAAAGGAGAAAACCAAATGTGGGATATTGCTCATCACCCCCCTCTAACACAGGTCCTAAAGAGCCACATTGTAGGCAGTGTAGGTGCCACAGGCAAAGCTTTGTTCGTTTTACAAACTATGGGCAAGTCGAGTATAAGTCATCGACCCAGGTGAGTACTGCTTCTCGGGAATCGCGAAGAGAATAATCCAAAAATGTACTGCCGTCAAGAAGAAAGGAAAGAGAAAAGGAAATCCTAGAATGGGCAGTGGAAATTCGGTCATTCAAAGGTCTGAGATGGTGGCCAATCTCGGTGGCGATGAGTGTCTCGTCCGCAAAAAGCCCAGGGATCCCTAAACATTATCAAATCTTATTGCTTGCGTCAGTCGTAACCTGGCAAGGGCGGTATATAAAAGCAGAGCAACGCCATCATAAGTCCAATAAGCGCCAATAAAAACATCTCAGGAAGGTGTCGAAGCAAAGTGTGACCCCAAAAAGAATAAATCGAGAGACGCGATGGATAGAAATGTTCCTTGAAATTCGGAATACACTTGGGGTGTTTTTTTTGTTTGTGGTTGCTTGCTCTGTTAAATAACAGCAAGGAGAAGGTAAATCAACGCATGAAGAGCAACGACAGTGATGGCTCAAGAATTGCGATTGCTGCGGGGAGTGCTTCTAAAGGAGCTTCATCAGCACAGGTATACGATGGGATAAAGCTTGCATCCTACTTACTGGACCGACGAGATGTCGTCGACATGGTTGCAGAGGGCCACGAAAAGGTCGAAGAATAGCTGCGACCCGCCATTAAACATCTCCAACTGCATGGTGCCGCTGCGTTTGAAGGTGCTGCGGCTCCGGATGATGAGAGCCAGGTAATGAGCACGCAGCTTGGAATCAGTGTCAGGCGTGTGCGCATATGCGTATCGTGCAGATGACAGTATGGTGCTGCACTGGATTCCGGCTTCTGCAACCGAGCGAGGTTAGCACATGTTGACGTACGGAGAGTGCGGCAAAGAGCGGCAAGCTTACGAAGTCCTTGCTTTCGGAGCGCAATCCGTTTCAGCTCGTCCAGGCCATACTTGTCAGCTGTGCAGTATATCACCGTGTCCTTGAGCAGATCGCCGTCGACAACGTGGTGGTAGATGGTTGCTTCTGAAGAGACAGCACCACCATCGCCATTCTCCATATCCGTTCCGCTGGCCTCTCCGCGCTCTAGCTCCCACGAGTTGTGTCGTTTGTTGTGAATCAGTCGCGGATAGTAGTCGCCTTTGTAGAGGTACTCGAGAACGGACGAGAAGATCTCGGGCTCGTCTTCGGACAGTGCTATCCGCCTCGAGCCGGGGCTGCCAGGGTTTTTAGGGCTGCTCAGTATGCCAGCCTGGTGCTTTTCGTAGTACATCTGCCCGTGAAGGACCTGTCGGAAGTACGGAGAGGCACAGAGAATGTCTTCGTGGGCGGCAAAGATGCGCTGGTCGCGGCCGACGACGAGGGTGACAATGGCAGATGTGAGGTTTCTGAGGAATGAGCAGTGTTAGAAGATGGATGAGATTGTGATAAAAAGGTTGCAACAAAGAAATGGCAAGACTTGCGAAGCTGGAGATGGTGTGTTTTCGGCAAAGGCGGCAAGGGCAGAGGCCGAAGAGGCGTTTGGCGGATGGCGGCGAGACTCATGGCGGCGATGCTTTGAGATTCCAGCTTCTTTGTTAAATGAGCCACCAGGCTTGCTGGGCTTCTGGCCCTTGGAGAAGCTCTTGTTTTGCGACCGGGAAAACATAGCAGATGGAATAAGAAGGGTGAAAGTAAAAGTAGAATGAGAACAGAGAAGAGAGCTCTGATAAAACATGCGGCAAGGTAAAAGCAGGCGATCGTAATATGGCAGCCGTAATCCGATATTGGGCAGTAATGGGGTGCCGTTCCTTTTTCGACTTTACGTCTTATTTCATGGGTGTGTGCTGGTTTTTGTCGCTGCCGTTGTTAATTGAGCCTACCCGAGGCAAGTTTGTTGAAAAAGAGAGATATTCTCGTCCGGAATATATTAGGAATAGGAAGCGAGAAATATTTATACGGAGGATTGAGCGAGGACGACGGCCAGAAAAATGTATTACGGTGCGAACAGATTAGAACAGCGATGCAAGCCATCCATTCCCCTGAAGTGTGCCACCCAAGGCGCCATGCCGTGCCTGCCTAGTATTGGAGGAGGGGGGGTATGGCTTTGAACCGGGAAAAGAACCGGACATGGGGGAGAGTAGGAGGAAGAAGTGCTGAAATGAAGAGAGAGAGAATAAACCGGAAAGCTGGAGATGTTGGGCCGTCCAAGCGTGTCTCGACGTGTGGCACGTTCGTGTGGACTACGCCAAAAGCACACGCAGTCACATGATGCACTTGCCAGGTTGGGCAATAGTTTAATGGAATTTAGAGTGGTTTGGTTCCAAAAAAAACCTAGGTCGGTGGGGATGCAGCTGCGAAATCCAGCGGGGCTGCTGCAAGGTTGCATGGACTATGGATTCGCAGGCGAGCACACAATCGCTCTTCCACACCTGCACACAGCCTCTGCGGCATCGTTGTCACTCCACAGTGCTGCCTGGCGGTCATGAGTACGGCTGAGGCGTGAGGATGCCGTGAATGCAAGGGGAAACTGTGATGGGGTGTGTCTCCTCTAGGATCAAGTACCGGGAACGTGCATCTGTCTCCAGACCATGTTAGTTCTCTTGGCATCATCCTGTTTCTTTGCTTCCTTCCGTCCCAGACCCCTCTTCTGCTGATGTGGCCGGCCATACTACGTAGTGTGAGGAGTTTATCGTGGCCCTACTGCACAATTTCAAGTAGCTCCGGGACATGAGTAGGGAACATGACCTGGGAAAACGATACATCTAGTGCATCAGGCAGCAGATGCTCAAGATTGCCCAATTAAAAGCAGCCAAGTTCCTCCGTGACGTGAGGCAGCCCAGCAGCTACGATTACAAACGGACCCGCAAGGGATCCGTCCTATCACTCCCATTTTGTTTCGTATATTGCAAAGCATCACTTTTCTTTGGCGTCATGGATGTGAGATAAGGAACAGGCAGACGGCACCCATGCATCCTATTTAATAAAAAATGGGCCGGTTGACCAACCATGCAAGCTTCCATCCGATCCCCCTGGACCTAATGCGGCCGACTCGAACGTTCTTTTGTGACGGACAGTTCGTTTTGTCCTTCGTTCGGCATCCCACCAATCGCTGCTCGTGACATGGAACCCACACTCCTATTTGCAAAGAGCCGTGGCACTGCAAACCAGGCACCAGACCAGATCTCTCGGCCCAACCGTCATTATTACCTCACCAGAGATGTCCGTCTCACTCAGCCCCCTCCGACTTGGCTCTTACCGGATACCATGTACGATGTACTGTGACCATGTCAGTCAGGGGAAATACTCCATATCCACCGAGAATATTCCGAACTTATACATAGTAAGATACCGAGAAGCCGGAACACATGCAGACCCCCTTGTCTGCTATTTTTCCGATCCTGTCTGATGACGAAAAGCCAGAAAGAACACTTGTATGGCGGTCATATTTCCTCGTATATAGTACATGATTTCCCAATCCTATCCAAGACGCCCAAAGCCACCGTTGTATGAGAAAGACAAGTGATCTGTAATCATGATGTAAACGCCAGGTCCACCATTTGCGCCAGATCGATCGACCGTTGCAATATCGCCACCTCCTCTGTAGTCAGGTCGTGTATCGGGGCACCTCGCATGCAGCTCATGTCCATTTTCTGGGCACCCTTTTCCCAATCTCCATCCAGCATCCACTGGCGCGGAACCTCGTACTCGACATCGTTCAAATGCGCCTTGTTCTTTCTCAGGCTGCCGTTGTACCACAGCAGTCGTTTCGACTTGTCCATATGTGCAATCACAAAGCTGCACACCTTCGTGGGCTTGGGATTTTCGACCGTCTTGCTGTCGGTCCCGTTTGTTCCTCCACTTTCATCTTCCTTGATGGGATCGGTGGTCGCCCAGCCTACCATCGCCCCGTAGTGCTCCTCCATGGTGTATGACGAGCCCGCCAGCTCGAGCCCCATCCACCATGACTCCTTGTCGCCGTAAAGAATCTTGTACGTCACCTCCTGCCGCACTGCGTATGTGTTCTGCCAACATGTGTGCAGCAGCCCGACCAACACATCTACGCGGCCCTTGTCCAACACCACCACGCCTGAGTCCCCTTCCTCTGCGTATTGCTCGCTCCACACGAGAGACTTGCTCAGCTCGGCGCTCGGCCGTCGGATCTGGTCGTGCCACCACTCGTGGCGTGCCGGAAAGGCGTTCTTCCATAACAGCCGATCATGGAACAATAGCGCACCGGTTCTGTTGAAATCTTCCTGTGCAAGCAATGACTCTGGTGGTTGGACGAAGACAGCGTCGGCATCGAGAAGGATCACTTTTTCGAACCGCGTCGCCAGCGCCGCAAATGACTTGAAAGCCCAGCCGCCACCGGAAGAGCGGTCCAAGAAGCGGAAAAATGGAGCATGAAGCGACTCTCGCTTCAGCGGTTTCTCTTCGCCTTCTTTCGTCGGCTCGCCCCCCTCGGCCTTGTATATCTTGGTGATGTCGTCGTTATCTTGCTGAAATACGGTCGAGACATCGAGAAATTCGATCGGTAGACTGTCGTTCACCACGCCGGCGAGCAAGTTGCGGTTGGCCTTCGAGAGGTCAGCGTCGCCAGCGTAGGCTATCTGGATGGGCAGGGTGGACTTCAAGACAGTCCGCAACGAGCCGATCAAGTGCGCAGCAAAGAGGGCATTTTTGTCGCCAGCCGGGATGACAATCCCAGCGGAGCTGTCACTGAAAGAGGCTCTAATATCAGACACGGGCGTTCTCCGGCCAATCGTTCTGCCTTTCCAAGGCGACTTGTAGTTTGCTAGGAAAGGGAAGAGGCTCAAGGCAACCTCCTCAGAAGCCTCCTCGAGGACTGCCCGTGTCGGCGCAGTCTTGGGCATGTTGTCGGCCATGACGAGCCAATCACGCAGGACTCGGCTGCGCCGACCAAGCTCACCGAAACCATCCTTGAAAGGGGATCTGATGGGATAGTCGATGAAGTATTCTAACGTTTCCCGAAACGCCGGTAGCTCCTGGGCCGTTTGTGTGGTAATTGGGCGGGCAACGCATTGACGAAGAGTAATGTGGTCGGAGGAATAGAATGCCAAGACGGTACACAATATAACCGCTGCCGAAAACGCCAAGCCAAGGACGCGCCGGGGCGAGTCGGCCGGGGTCATGACAGAGGGTAAACTCAACAGGAAACGGGAAAGAAAATTGTATGGGAGTGAGACAGGTCGAAATAGGTAGGAAACATGTGGAGGATCTAGTCTTGAGGCAAGGTCGAAAAAGACAACACGGGGCTTAATCTAGGTAAGTAATACAGAGAATAGTTTGTCTGCGTAGAAACACGACTTAAAAATGCGCCAAACTATACAACGCGCCAGCTGGGTAGAACTGGAGAAGAAGGAGGAAAAAAGGGTGGGCAAGTCTCAGGGCAGTTTTAGTCCGCAACTAAGCTTTTCTTTTGCTTGCAACCTCTGCGCCATTGTTTTCCTGTTTCGACACGGGAGAGGCAAAGCAGTGTGACCCGGGAGGTGGCAGTACGAGAAAGTTTCAGTGGATGCGACTGGCTTGGCCGCCAATTAGACAACACCCCTGACAGACAAAGCCTGTGAAGAATGGTTGTGGTTCCACTGTCATGCCTGATTGATTTTGTACTCGTAACCCTTTCAATGCGCAATGGGGCGCTTCAAGGCCTCTGGCACTTATGGCCTTTGGTGTCTTCTACCTCTTCCAAGTAGATTGCAGTGAACCATTGTTGTCAATTCAGGGGGGTTAACGAGATCGACAGGGTTAAGCGCCGTTGATAACGGCTGCCGCGTCAGCAGTCTCGTCATGCTTGTCGTAATCGGAACAGTCCACATTTGCCGTTGATTTACGTTGAAGCATCATCCGAAGTCTGAGGACTTCACTGGCGGTGGTCGTTGCTGGCTGTGCCGTGTTTGTCTTGGCTTCTTGATCACCGACTGCGATGCGTATAATAAACGAACGATTGCCCACAGGTGTTGCCCAGTTATCACGCGCAGGCTTTTTGACCGAATAGGTAAACTGACTATCAACAAGTGATGCCAATAGCTTGTGAGATACCAAGATACAATACTTCGTACGTACACGAGAAAAGAGTTGGATGAGTGAAGACAAGCGACAGGCGTAAAAGAGCCAAGAATAGAGATTGATGGACTGAGAGAGAGGCTGGGAAAGCCATGTACGAAGGAAGCAGCAGAGGCCTTTGTCATTGATGAGCCCAGATTCACTGCCGTCCCACGAGGACAGCAAAAGGTATACAATCTGACCTATATTGGGATGAGTGATTATTTAACAGGATGCAAGCAAGTCCCATGTGTGAAATTTGCGGGCACGCGACCTTGTATCTTACGACTTGCTATCACCAACTCAATGCTCGTCCTTGTCGAAGCCTTTTTTTTTTTTTTTTTGGCGAAGCGTTTCTAATACAGAAGTCAAGTAGAAGGCAAAGGAAAGGTGCCCCGCAAACACTGCAGCCCTCTGTAGTGGGGCTGCAGTGACTGCTGCGTTCCTTCCCCGCCTAATAAGGTCCTTTGCTGGTGCCAAGATAGCCCGCTGCTTTTCTTTGCTGCCTTGTTCTACATACTTTCTGGCGAGCCAACATTGTTAATATCAGTTTGCATTCTACCCCGAATACGTTCACAAGAAAACCGGCTTTGCGCAGACGCCAAAAACTCTGATCCGCCCGACACGCTGCGGCCCCTGATTCCTTTACCATCACCGACGTCTCTCGGCGAAGTTGGAGCTTCAGTACGGACTTGTTCGGATACAGCACGCATCGGCTTTTCGAGGACATCAGCCCTGTCATGACGAGCGATAAAGAGACGCACGGCGAGTCTGGGACGGCTCCGTCGCAGGACGAGTCGGTATCGACATCTTCGGCCTCGACACCTGTCCTGGTGTCGACTGCGGCCACACACATTGCCCTCGCCGACGGCACAGAGACGGTGCCGAATACAGAGCCAGAAGATGGACAGGGACCACTCGCTAGCCCCAGCCTGCGGAACAGCAAGGGCTGGGACGGCAAGCTGAGGCTACCCAAGAAGACGGCCGTGCTTGCCAATCCGGAGGCGCTGTCGGACCCCGAGTATTCAGACGAGGACAACGTTGTACCCGGTGAGACTATATCTGCAGATGAAGGTAATGTCGATTTTCCTGGCTTTTCCTCTTTAGCTCTCTCTCTCTCCGACCCTTTTACTGACCGGCTGCGTCTTCCCCTCCTAGACATCTTAGACGGCGAGGACCCCGAGACGGACGAGATCTTCTGCACGCACTCCCGGGTGCGTTCTATCGACGCCCTCCACCTCGAGCGCTTCACCTGCTGCCAGCGACTTTGTCTGCGTCAGAATAGCATCCAGCGGCTGGACTCACCCGACGCGACTCCGGGCCAGGGACTCGCCGCGCTCGCTGGATGCCTCAAGGAGCTCGACATGTACGACAACCTGATCGCACACATGCGCGGCGTCGAGACACTCCCAGGCTTGACCAGCCTCGACCTCAGCTTCAACAAGATCAAGCATATCAAGCACCTGGCCGGGCTGCGCGAGCTCACTGACCTCTTCCTGGTGGCCAACAAGATCGGCAAAATCGAGGGCCTCGAGACGCTGACGCGCATGCGCATGCTGGAGCTGGGCTCGAACCGCATCCGTGAGATCCGCGGTCTGGACGGCCTGGTCGCTCTCGAGGAGCTCTGGCTGGCCAAGAACAAGATCACGGACCTGTCCGGCCTGGACGGCTTGCCGCGCCTGCGCCTATTGAGCCTGCAGTCGAACCGCATCAGCGACCTGTCGCCGCTGCGTGTGGTGTCCACGCTCGAGGAGCTGTATCTGTCACACAACCTGCTCGAGTCTGTGGCATCGCTCTCGGTCGACGAGACGAAGACCTCGGAGACCGACGGCAAAGCCTCCGACGACAAAACCGCTGCCACGTCGATCCTGCCGAATCTGCGCACGCTCGATATTGGAAACAACAAGATCACCTCACTTCAGGGCATCGGCGGCCTGCACAAGCTCGAGGAGCTATGGGCCAGCTACAACCTCCTGAACGACTTTACGGACGTGGAACGCAACATGGCCGACAAGAGCTCCCTCGAGACGGTCTACTTCGAGGGCAACCCACTGCAGCTGCGGGCACCAGCACTGTACCGGAACAAAGTGCGTCTGGTGCTGCCGCAGGTAAAGCAGATCGATGCTAGTACGTTTATGCCTGTCTCGCTTTCTTCTTTATGCCGTGCTAACCGTTACAGCCTACGTTCGCTAGAGCAGATAGAACAAGAGGCTGCGCTCATGCCGTCACGATTAGGCGTTGGTTGGAAAGGGTTATTTATTGGGATTTGCAGATTCAAAGCCGGCCTGCTGTCACACGAAGGCTAGAGAGGCAGATAGAATCAGTAATAGGACCACATGCGAGATGTGCACGATCGTTGACAGTGAATGGCAAGCCAGCAGTGGCCGTGACTCTTGCTCTATCCAAACGCCCTCCGTCTGTTTCTACTACTCGTCTAGCTAAATATCCACAGCTGCTCGGTCGGGAAGTACTGCGCAACAATGTCAGCAAGGAGAAGAGGGGAAGCAAGGGAGGGCTTGCACGCACGTTGGCCGGCTGGTTGAAGCGGATGTTCTTGTCGAGGGCCGTGAGGCTGTCGATGTCCTCCTGGGGCAGGTCCCAGGCGACGACGTCCAAGTTCTCGGCAAGGCGCGAGGGCGTGGAGGTTTTGGGGATGACGGCCAGGCCGCGCTGGGTGGCCCAGCGGAGGAGGATCTGGCCGGTAGTCTTGCCGTTCTTGGCGGCGATGGCCTTGACGGTAGGCTCCTGGAAGAGCGGAGTCAAGGCGGTGGCGTGAGCCATCTTGAACTCGTCAAAAGAGGCAGGGCCGAAGGAGGAGTAGGCAGTGACGGCGATGCCCTCAGCCTTGGCGAGGCGCAACAGATTCGGCTGGACGAGGTAGGGGTGGTGCTCGATCTGCAGGGTGGCAGGCGGGATCTTGGCGACGCGCAGGAGATCATAGAGCAGCTGAGACTGGAAGTTGGACACGCCGATGCTGCGGCTGAGGCCCTTGGCCACGAGCGACTCCATGGCGGTCCAGGTCTCATGGATGCTGGCCTTGCTGGTGCGGATCTCGGTCCCAGCGTCGTCAAAGTGCCAGCCAGGCGGGTAGCGCACCGCCGGGTCGACGTACTCGAGGGCGACCGGGAAGTGGATGACGTAGAGGTCAAAGTAGTCGATGCCCCAGTCCTTGAGCTGGCGACGCACAATCGGCTCGACCCGGTCGCCGTCGTGGAACGTGTTCCACAGCTTGGACACGATGAAGAGGTCCTCGCGCTTGACGAGGCCCTCCTTGATGGCCCGGGCCACGCCCTGGCCGACCTCGACCTCGTTTCCATAGTCTGGCTGGTCAGCAGCTGGTGGCCGAGAGAGGGGTCGTGAAGGCAGCCGAGAAGGACTCACCACAGGCGCCGTCCAGCAACCGGTAGCCGGCCTTGATGGCATTGTAGACGGTGTCGGCAGCAACATCGGTGCCGACCTTCCAGAGGCCGAAGCCGACCTGGGGCATCGCGTGGCCGCTGCTGAGCTTGATGGAAGCCATTGTGGACGAAGAGGACAATCGAAAAGCGGGTGCAGATGGCAGACGAGAAAGGCAAAAAGTCGCCAGGAAGGAACGGGCCTGCCTGATTTATAGAGCAGCGGAAGAAGAGGGGCAGCGGGCAAAGCTCTTTCCCCGGCTTACACGGGAGACGCAGCCCATTAGCCGCTGCTGGAGCTACGCCGCTAGCTCAAGCTCCCGGGCTGTTGCGTCTGGTGACTTCAGCGCCGGACGAGACGCCGTTCTGGGTCCTTTCGTCCTGGCCATCCGCTTGGACCTTCCTCCGTACGTATCGCCTGTGGATGCCGTAACAGCAGCGCCGAACGGCCCCACTCGCTTCCATGCCAGAGCACACAGCCATAGAACCCCGTGACAGAGGCTGTCTTCATCCCCATCTTCTGCTCTGTCCTCTGTTCTTGTTCCAGACACAGGCGCGCCGGCGATATGCTCGGGATCAGAGCACAATGACATATCCACAGCATAGAACTCGGTCCACCGCTGAGATTTAGCCGCAATCAGGCTAAATCCGCTAGCCGCTTCATCCAGATCAACACGTCGGATAAATGTCGGAAGTGCATTTGCTAATAGCCTGGTTCACGAACGGGTATATAAGATAAAGGATAATTAGATGATGTCTATGTTGCTCATATGCGTTGGACATGCGAATGCCAACTAGTGTTTGCGACAGAAAGTGCCTAGATATTTCAACGTATCAAGTGGCATCTGGCAAAATATCGTGAGCGCTAATCGCGCCCCCAAACATGCCCTATGAAGGAAGGAGTTGACGTAACGCCGTATTTAGGCAATTATGCGAATGGGGTTCGTCTCCGGAGCATTTCAGAGCCACGAGCCTTCTTATATCACCGGCGCTTCTGTCTGGCCACAGCTTGATCATACATGCTGAATGATGACCTTTGTCTACCAGTAGCCGCGTCGATTTGTAACAGTGGTGATTTAGTTTCTCGCCGTCGAAGTTACCGTTTCCAGAGCAGTTCCCTGGAGACGAGCGGTTGTTTGGTTTCGTATTGACCCGGAGCGGCTACTGCCTAAAGGGACCGATACGCCGGTGGTATCGGCTATATGTGGCGCGGCGACTGGCCATACGACAACGTGATGGACATGTCGAAGCAAGCCTGCGTCTGAGCCGCCGTAGAGATGGACGTCATCAGGGAGAGGGAGTCGTCGATGATTCGTCGAGGACCGAGAAAGACGGCTCATCTGAACGTGTTAGTGCTGGCAGGACCGGAGCAGAGATAGGCTCTCAGACATACGATTTTTTGCGAAGGCCGATGCCCAGACCAACACCGAGCCCAACAGCAGCTGATGCCAGGAGAAGCAGGCCGGCGAACAGCCGTTTCCAGAAGCCGCCTTTGGAGTACCACCTCTTCGTGTCCGGCTCGCTTTCGGGCAGAGGCTGCGCCTCCAGCTTAGTCTCAGCCTCTGGGTTCCTCTCGGCATAGAGCTCTTCCAAGAGCCCGAATCGGCGGACATATGCCGGGTGCACGCCCGTGCCTCGATGGATGCGGCCTGGTCCGGCCGGGGGGTTGCTGCTGCCGTAGGTCCTGTTCTTGCCGGTGCCGGGGCCACCGATCTGGCCATGCTTGCGCGACGACGAGGGCGGCTTTGACTTCTCAGTCCCGTCCGAGCGGCGTTTCGATCGCGGCGAGAGGGCCGCTGTGGGCGACTTGGGCGTCTCGACATCGCCGTCCACGTCGTTCTCGAGCACGATGGGCAGCGGGTGGATGCTCCGGATGGACGACCGCTGGCTCTGTGACGCCATGACGCGAGAGAGAAGATGGCGAGTGACGAAAAGCAAGTGACAAGTGGTCCGGCCTGGAAAAAGGAAGCCAGGAAGACAGGATGCTGCGGCTGATCTAATTTGGCGCAGGAGAGAGGAAGAGGAGTGCAGCCAACGCAGGCAGCGCAGACAATGCAGGCAGCTACATACTATGTAGTATAGCCGGCAGGTGAGGACGGCCAGGGACGCCGCCAAGTGGGAAGCCGTGGAGAAGGATGGATCGGCCCTGGAGAGCCGACATGTGTCTCTTGACCAGGCCTGTCGGTGGACAAGCATCGACGCGATCGTCTCTTACGAGCACCGAAGCGGATGGCCATTAGGCCTCTTCGGGCAAGCTGTGCTCTGCGTGCAGGCTGAGTGAGGCTGAAAAGACAGATGAGGGTCCGAATGAGAAAAATCGAGCAGGGCGGCTAATGAGACTAATCCGAATATTGGGCCGTCCACTGCGGACACACGATGCATTAGGCCTGATCAGCACCACTCTTTCGCCCGCAGAGCCGTGGCGTAATCCTCTTTCGAGGAAGGAGCCATCTGGGGTGGTCTGAGGAAGGGGGACAGAGCACAAGCAGGACGAGCGAGGAAGGAGCTCCGGGCTGTCCGGATTGCTTCTTTTTTTCCCCCGTCCCTTGCCTTTCCTCTTTTCTTTTCGGTCGCTGCCCCCTCTTTCTCGCCGTCGCTCATGATGCATCCCGAGGCCGATGCCTCTGAGACAGGAGGAAAAGCAGGCTTAAAAGGCGCCGCTCCTGAGAGGGTTGACTCAGTCCGATGCGGAGGCGCAGGTACGAGCAGGATGCATGGGCTCATGCAGCGCGACAAACTATGCAGAGCACAGCCCAAAGTACGGAGTAAAAGTATACGATGTACGGAGTAAGATACGTCGTGTGCGGCCTGGCCGATTCAGCTGCTCCAGACAGCTCTCTCCAACGCTCAGGAACAGGACATCCCCTGCGACCGGTGGATCCACCCGATACGGTAACATCTTTCTTTGGAGTCGGTTCTAGCGCTGTGATTTGCTTCGTTTGCAAAGCCGATGAGCCGTTGTGACTCCTATGCCCTAATCGTGCTGTGCCGAAAGGGCCGGCAGCGCTGTTTAATGAGTGTCTCCCACTTGTCCTTAGCGCTCGGCCTGTCAGGGGTTCTCGTAACCCCACCCGGACGGCTGGCAAGGGGCTTTTTGCTGGCGCTGGCGGCCAGGCAACCAACCCGCTGGCGGCTGGGGCAAAACAGGCAAAGATCGGTCTTACTGCAATATTGGCTGCACTACGACTTATGGCGTCTTTCCTCCCGCCTCTTTTTCCTCTTGCTTTCTTTTCTCCTTCGCCACCAGGCCAGCGCATACATATGGTAGTCCACGTCTTTCGGCATGGATCATCAGGCGGTGTGACATTGGTCTGATTGTCTGATTGCACACGATCTTACATTGTACTCTGTATACTCCGTAGCCCCGTACTCCATACTCCATATATCGAACCGAAAGCCGCAGATACGCAAATAGCCGGGATGGCAAATCCGTGCATCGATGGCGTCACCGGCCTATTGTCCCTCTACCTCTTTTGCTGGCGGTGGCAGCGGTTCATCGCTACCCTCCACCCAGACTTGCGCCAGCTCCTTCTCGATCTCGGCTCGCCGTGCTCGCCACGCTTCCACCTGCGACAGCCGTTCGCGTAACTCCTGCAGCTCACGCTCGACGTTCTGCTTCTCGCGCTCAGTGCCGATGCGCTCAAACAGCCACTCGTCTCCGTTCTCGCCCATTCCCATGATCAGGTTGAACGTGTGGTACTTTTTGAGCGAAGCCCGGGTTGAGATCGTGATCAGGGCTGTAGAGCAGCTAGTCAGCATGGAAAGGAGAAAAGAACCGAGTCAAACGGCAAACTTACTGATCCCTCGCTCTTTGCACTTCTCGTAGAGCAGCCCCTCCACGTCACTCGACACCGCGCTCGTGCCCTCGTCGATAAAGGCATACTGCGGCTCGTGGTACAGCAGCCGGGCAATGGCCATACGCTGCTTCTCGCCGCCGCTCAGCACATCCTTCCACTCCTTCTTCGTGTCCCAGCCGCCCTCACGTGCCGGCAGGTAGCCCAGATGCGCGTCCTCCAGCACGCGCTTCAGGTCGTGCTCGTTCTTGTGCTTGTTGCGCATGTCCGCCTCGCCGTCCGGGTAGATCACCTGGTCGCGCAGCGTGCCGATGCTCAGATACGACCGCTGCGGCAAAAACATGATACCGTCCTCGCCCACCGCCTTTGGCCGACTCACCAACCCGCGGTACACCGGCCAGAGCCCAGCCACAATCCGCCCGATCGACGACTTGCCCGCGCCGTTGGGCCCCGAGATCAACAGGTGCTCGCCTCGCCGCACAATCAGCGATAGCGACTCCAGCAGCTCCTCGCCTTCGTGTGGCCACAGTCCCGGCGCTACAACCGGCACGTTCTCCAGCCGCACCCCGTCGAAGCCCTTCTGCATCGTGCCCTGCACGTCCGACAGCGAGTACAGCTCGCTCTGCCGCCCCGCTTGCGGGTAATATGCATTGGCATGCACCCGGTGCAGCGTCGAGATCAACGTGTACACCCGACTCGTGTGGCCCGCCAGCTCTGCCAGGTCCTTGATCGAGTACATCATCCGTCCGCCCGCGTCGGCGAGCGACAACATCAGCCGTCGGTTCGTGATAAAGTCTTTGGTGCGCGAGCGCTCCCGATCGCCTGTCGATGTCGCCGTCAGACCGTTACCGGCCAGCTCTGTCAGTCCGCCGAGGCCACCCCAGGCCGGGAGAAACACTGGCAGCGCCGAGAGCAGATAGCCGTACGCGCTCCAGCTGTACTTGACGATGAAGTCCTCCAACATGTTGTAGCGGATTTTGAGGAAGTAGATGCCCTCCATCCACGTCTTGAGCTCCTTGAACTCCCGGTTTAGCGCCTGTTTTTCCATGTCTGCACCGCCGTAAAATGCCACCTCCTCGGCGTTGGCGATCAGGCGGGCATGCAGGCTGCGGAACTCGCCCTCCTTACGGCCCTCAACCGCCTTGAGCTTGCCAAAGGGCGGTGATAACCGCCGCAGAATGCTGGCAGTCACAAAGTAGTTGCTCATGATGCCCGAGAGCGCCAGAGGGCCGAGTGCCCGGTAGAGCTGGTAATTGAAGACGCACAGGTCGATCAGCGGCTTGCCGAGCGACGAGTAGATACCGGCAGCAGCGGCGCAAAACAGGGTCAGGTCTTGCGTGATGTACTGATCTGCGCTCTGGCCGAGGCCACCGTCGAGGTTGGAGAGCTTGTAGTAGTTGAGATTGTCGTTTAGATACAGGTCGTGAATATACCGCGTGAGCCGCGTACGGAAAGCGATCGACACCTTGGACTCAAGAAACTTGATCATGGCGTTTGTGTACGATGCCACACCACCGAAGCCGCACCACTGGGCTACTATTAGCACCACGAAATAGAAACTAGGAGCAGCTGAAGCCAAAGTCTATACCTTTAGTAAGCCCCAGATAAACAGCTTGCCGTTGCCGACCACTAGGTCGCGGACAATCTCGCCGTCCAACCGGGCCACGACGAGCGATAGGTACGTCCGGAGCACGAGGAAACCGGCATGACTGACGAGCAGGCCGGACTCCTTGCTGGTCCAGCGCGGGACCATGATGCTCATAAGGCTGAGGAACTGGTGTAAAAATGCCAAGTTGAGACCTGGCTTGGTTTGGGTCCCCGGCACGTAGCCGTCGCTATTGCCGCTGTGGAGGCCGGAGACACGAGGCGGATTCAGAAACAGCCGACGGTGGGCCTCAAAAGTCAGAGGCTTGGTCGTCGGGATGACCACCTTGGACGTGCCGCCACGATAGGGCACGTAGATGGTGCGCGAGCCGTCCTTGTTGTGCAGCCACGAGTTGGTGCGGACCAGCTTCAGGCCCTGTTCCTGCTCCAGCCGGCTGCGATGCCACCAGCGACGTCCGCCCTCAGCTCCCAGCAAAATGGATACCAGCAGTGACACTGTCGCGAGCAGGCGGGTTGTTCGCGTCGTGCGGCGCAGTCGGCGGCTGACCATAGCGCCGTACTTGCTGATGAAGCCGGCGATGGCGGCCTCGGCGGCCGACTGGCGCAGTGTGGACTGAGCAGCCATGGTCGTTGTGCGATGGACTCTTGCTTTTTGTTATTTCTATTCCGTATGGCTCGCTGGTAGGAGACGTCAATATGCCGAAGGGCCGCCGTGTCCAGCCATAGGGAAGGCTTGCGGATCGATAAACCGGCGGCGTGGGCGTCGCGTGCGTTCTCGGAAGCCGATAAGGAGCGTCTATGAGCTGTATCTTGCAGTGTTGAGGCGCTGTTGTAGATGGCGATACAAACAGACCGACGGTCGACGAGTTGGAATGGACAGGAAAGAGCGCTGGGGAAGGCATGTGACGCAACTCCGAGGCAAACTGGGGAAGCTCTTGCCTTGCGCTTGCGTGTGGAATGCGGAGTTAGTGGGTCTCTCCAGCGAGACGTCATTTCACCACGTGACTAGTTGTTCGGGACGAGCGCCATTGTGGCGTTGCGAGCCACAAAAAGCAGATTGCGCAAGACGATACGCATGTTTTTTTGAGTTGTGTCAGCAGCGCTCTGCGATTGGCAAGCGTCTGGAAAAGCCGAAAGGTGATGGGGCTGCCTCTCGCATGCCGCGGCGCGTAGCGCCCGGGGAAAGGGCCAGCGGCTGTGACTGGTGCCAGTTCTTGCGTGGCCGTTGTCTGGCAGAGACAGGGACCGGAGACAGAGCTTCTTTTTACCTGTTTCCGCTCCCATCTCCTGGTTCCCCTCACCTCGTCCAACCCTTTCTGGTCCAGTGTGACTGCCGGCTATCACGTCTGCCTGGGCGGCAAGCTCTGCCCAATCAGAGCCCAACAGGCAGTTTGGGTGGTGTTACTATGTACTCATATTTAGACCATTCGTAATGGTTTTACGGAGTAGTGTTGGTGCAGTGTACTCGTACTCGTAGCCAGCATCTACGACGTGCTACAAAGTATGTAGCCTCTCGCACCAGAAGAGCTACCCGTCACGGGCCTTTGGGCCTCGATCGCCCCATCCCCCGTCTTGCTCTGCTTGGTTGCAGACAGAGGGCGGCAAACAGCTCATGCACCGGTGTGGCGCGCTAACTGGGACCCGTTGTTCTGCTCCAATTGACCGCTGTTTCTCGTGCCCATAGCATCTGCGCTGGCGGCTACTAGTTAGGCTCACACGGGGTATCTTGCCTGCTCGAACGCATTTACCAAGGTGCCCCTCCCCCCCAGCACCTCTCCGACTCGCAAAGGAACCGGAGAGCTTGCACTGTTGTGAAAAGCCGCCTTTCTACATCTAGGCTGGATGGGGAGGGGCTAGGACGAGAGGCCGGTGCATCGGTCAGAGATGAACGGACAGGGGTGTGGGAGATATCCCGTGAAGAGGAGTTAGCATCATCTTTGGCGTCGCAGCAATGTGGGCGCAATTGGTTGCTTCTTACGGCCTCTTGCCGTTGTGAAGGGCCCCCTTTCGTGCTGCGAGCACTGCCATTGGCCCGCCCGCCATCGGCCAACTGTCGGTGACCCGCTGGCGGAAATCTGCGCTAGTAGGGTACCGCATAGAACAGGGCCTGTCTCACGCCAATTTGCTGGGAAAACGCCCTAGCCCGTAAAGTTGCTCCCTAACAGCTCTGTGGGGAGTAGCACTGGAGCGGCCGCTCAGAGCCTGTAGTGCCAGTTGCTGGCCGCCTACGGAGCACTGACTTACGACGTGAGATACTCCGTACATACGGAGTACTATGTATGTACTTTGTACCCATGCTTTTGCTGGCTAATCTCTCTGCGGAATGATCCTGCCACCGCCCGTCCACTCGCTCCCCCCTTTCACTAGTACTTCGTACTATGTGCTGAAAAGTAATACAGAAAATGGAGGACCATCATCACAACCATCAATCTCGCTTCAGCCTCTGAGATACGCCTGTCTTTCTCCTCCGCTTCTACTCTTTCTCCCCCATCTTGCCCTGTCCTCTGGTCTCGCCGTGCGGCTCGCTGGATCAGGCCGTGCTGCTGTCACGCCTCTGCTGCATCGCTGTCCATGCCCTGAGGCTGAACAGCGTCCCCTACTCGACGTCGTATTTCTGCCGCTATTCATTTCTGGCTACCCTGGAACACGCTCGAGAAAAAGAGGTCCTCCACCCCAGTCAACCTTGCTATCGCATCCACGTCGTCACGCTCAAATTTCCCTCAATTTCATTCGACTCCATTATTTTTCACTTATTACTTTTTTTCGTCTCTCTCTCTCTCTTCACCCTCCCCCTTTGCCAGCATCCCCGAGCATCAGATTTGCCTGCAACTGCACTCCAGCACAAACCGGTGGCATCCGTCCGGTCTGGCCTTGTTTCGGCCCGCCAAAACCGCCGCATTAGGGGCAAACACAAAGGGAACAGGCCCAAGGCAAAAGACCAAAAAGGCCTATCCTAGGTCTTAGCCAGCTTGAGCGGGTGAGTGAACGCGCGCGTCTGTTGATCCCCATTGTCCCCTTGCATCTCCTTTCTTCTTCATCACCTTTCTTCATCCTGCCTCTACGGAGTATTGGACTCCGCTTCGCGTCTTCTTCCCACGCCCCGTACCGTTTCGCTTCCGCCTGCTCACTCATTTCATTCTCGCTTGTCAGCACGTTTTGTTTTCCCTTAGTCATCCACAAGGAGAGACACTGTCGCATGCGATCATTCTTTCGCCCCCCCCCCCTTTTGCACACCCAACTTCCAGCCTGAACAAAACTGCCGGCCCGACGCTTTCTCTTCAGCGAACAAGGTTCAACGAGCGAGGCTGCCGTCCATCTCCCCCGTTTCCACGCCGTGCATGTCTCCCGATTACGACCACTCTCACTCGCCCCTTTTCTCCTGGCTGCGTTCGTAGGCTCCAAGCCGAGAACAAAAACAACCGAGCCCCATTTGCTGACGCCCAAGCCACCCATCAGAGCACCCTTCCGAACAGTCCGCACTGTCAGGCTTGTTGGGCTCGTCAGAAGACATGTCTCCAGTCGTTGAGTCGCAGCCGGCGCAGCAAAACCTGGCCGAAAGCTCAAAAGACAACGAAGTCGTCTCCTCGGAAGAAGGCAGCGCCAGTGCCAACACTCCACAGAAAAAGGGCCGCTCCCTTCTCCACGTCCCTTCGCGTTCGTCCTCACAGAAGATCCAGGCATCGCCAACGTCGACCGGTCTGAGTGGTGCCACTGCCAGTGAATCGCGCGAAAGCATTGACGGCAAGTCTCGTGAATCCAAGAGCAGCTTCGTCGGTCGGCAGCCACCCAACGGCAGCGCGTCGAGCAGGCATTCAGGCAACGGCAACGGCACCGACCCGACCAACACTCCCATCGACTCGCAGCCCAGCTCTCCCGCCGTGGCACCCTCTCCGAAGCGGAAGAAGGGCGGCGGCTTCTTGGCCATTTTCGGCTGCTGCTCCGCGCCCGACGATGCGAACGCCCTCGACGGCGACGACCCTCCTCTCCCTGCCAGCAAGCTGAAGGACATCCCCCCACGCCCGGCCGTCGCCGCCCGGAGGACGGCCGTTCCCATTGAACACCCCCCGACCAGTGCCGTTCCCGAGCTATCTGAAAAGGACGAACCTGCCGAGGAAACCCGTCAGCTAGAGGAGAAGTACCAGCCCCAGCCACAACCTCACTATCCGTCACAGCCGCAACCACAGCAATCACAACCCCTAGCGAGCACATCAGCCGCTATCGCATCATCAGCCGGGCCGCAGCGAGAATCGGAAACTGCCTCGCTTGAAAACAACACCCCGACGACTGCCTCGACTGTCGTTGCAGGCACACTGAACCGCGATTCGGACTCGAAGCGAGCATCCCTTACCGGTTCGGGCAGCGTGGCACCAACCGTCACAGTTGAACCGCTACTCCATCCCGAGGTCAAGGAATCACCTGTTGTTGACGAGGCGGTCGAGGAGGTCGTGCCGCGTTCCTCCGAAGACGACAATGCTGAGATGTCTGAAGTAGATGATGTCGCTCCATCTACACAGCATGTGGATGAAGACGTGATCACTCAGGTTCCCGAGGTGCTTCCTAGCGTGCCACCCCCACCGCCAGGCCCGGCACCTGTCGCGTCAGTACAGGCTGGCAACACCGATCTGTCAACCATGGAGCCGGCTATCGAGTACACGCAGCCAACGGCCCTGTTACCCCCTATTGAGCCGCATCTGAAGGGCAGGAAGTGCTTAGTGCTAGATCTGGATGAGACCCTGGTGCACAGTTCTTTTAAGGTACGCACGCTTCTCCAACCGATGCGATGTGCATACTTCCAAAAACATACTCTTAACATCGCACAGATACTCCACCAGGCCGACTTCACCATCCCGGTCGAGATCGAAGGCAGCTACCACAACATCTACGTGATCAAGCGGCCAGGTGTCGACCAGTTCATGAAGAGAGTTGGTGAACTGTACGAAGTCGTCGTCTTCACGGCATCGGTATCAAAAGTATGTAACTCTGCATCCCGGCCATCTCTTTGTTGGAATACGTCCGCTGACAATCTTCTTCACAACAGTACGGCAACCCACTGCTGGACCAGCTGGACATTCACAAGGTTGTCCACCACAGACTCTTCCGGGAGAGCTGCTTCAACCACCAGGGCAACTATGTTAAGGATCTGTCCATGGTTGGCCGGGACTTGAAGGATACGATTATCATCGATAACTCGCCTACTTCCTACATATTCCACCCACAGCACGCCGTGCCCATTAGCAGCTGGTTCTCCGATGCACACGACAACGAACTGCTTGACCTGATTCCTGTTCTGGAAGACCTCGCTGGTCCTACTGTTCAGGATGTCAGCCTGGTCCTAGATGTTACTCTTTAATGGCGGTAAACACGGAGACAACCCCGCCACCACTTGGACTTTCGAACATAATGTCCAGTGCTTTTCTTTTGTCAGCGTACGATACTTACGGAAATACACACCCTCACACATGCAAGAAGCGCAACAATCATCTACAACATCCAGACCCACCTACACATAAGACATACCGGGCATTTTTGTCTTTATGCAACAGCGGATTTGTCGGTTTCGAAGAAGAGAACGCGTTCTTTGCACTCTTTTCTGCCATCATATTATAGCGGAAGGCGTTTTTGTTTGGGGCATTATTTATGCTGCATTTTGCCGGCATGGACGCAGATGCTTCGTTTTCAAACCCTTTTAATCTCTCACCCTCAATAAATAGCGCAGCCACACCAGCGCAGCTTCTTTTGCTTTCCAGCTTGCCTCACATGGCCTGCGTCATATGATCTGCTAGCATGGTGCTTGGTCTTCAAGCTCGCCCCTTTTCACGCCGAACAAATTTGCGACCAGCGAGACGGCCTGGTCTTATCAGCAAGCATATCGCATATCCCTATTGTATTTTTGGAGTCCAAAATGCATCAAGGTCCTGTTGTGGACATATGGTTTTGTGCCGTGCATATCCGTGGTCACATTTTTGCGAGAGTGACTTTTTGGAGGCCATGGCATCGTGGCATACTCGCTGTCTTGCCGGGTTGTCTTGCTTTGTATGGTGGGCGTGAAGTTCACGTTGCTCGGGGGCTGGGGGAGAAGCTATCTATGCGGTGATTTTTTTTTTAATGCGGTTCTTTTGGTGAGGGTCGACACGGAGATGTCGACGTATACTTCTTATGGAGAGCTTTTTGATGAGTTTGTGGAGAGTTTGTGGAGAGTCTTATTGGGACAGAAGAGATGAAAAAAAAATCACGGGGAAGATAAATGGATACCCTATGCACACGGGGGAAGATATCAGATCTCAGATCTCATTTCTTTGTTACCTGTGCAGTTCAGCATGATTCTGTATCAGGCTTGGAAGAAGAGGAACAGGCCGTTGTTTGTATTTTATTTTTATGTTTTTGTTGTCATTGTTTCGTCTGTATTTTGCATTTACATCGTCTCGTCTCTCTTACTTCATTTTGACCACACCAGATATATGTGCCTCCATTGATCCCCCTCTGTACCCTTTAACCCCTCTTCGTTTCGTTCACCTTCGCTTCCTGGAACCTTTCTACAGATTCTTTGTTTTGTCTAGCTCGACACAGTGTCAGAGAGGGCTATGATTCAAGCGACAAAGTGATAGCAGCGGTGCACCACACAAAGTTTTGTCTTGTCTCTGCAGGTTGACTTTCTTGGAGATGCCAAGCTGTGTGTTTTAATCTTTATTTTGCTTTTCTTATTCATATGAGTTCTGGTAATTCTTGATAGGAGGCCTTTCGTGTGTTGACACAAACGATTGCAATATACGGATGATATGAAAACCTGAGAATCTCGCGAAAAAGACCAAAGGAAAAAAACGAAACAAACTAGAGCGTATGAGTAAAGCATGCGTGAGGCTCTTGACTTTAGTAAGTGACATCTTGAAGCTTAAATTCCAAACTAGCAGGGGTTCGCGTCCCTTGTCCGGGCTCTCGGGCCCGGAACAATAATTATGCACCAGAGTCATTGCATAGTAAAAGAATTGTGGGGCGCCGTACTGAGTGAATCAGGAGCTGGTGTCGTGGCCTCAATTTGCACGCGAGTCGACTCCTTTTTGGCCAATTCATTATACGACCGACTCTCTTTCTGCACTTCACTCCGAACTAACAACAACACATTCACGCCCGACCGTCTCTTCCCATCCGGCTCGTTTCTTTCGTTCTTCCGTCTATTCGCTCACTTGGCGTCCGTTTTGTGCTTGCCTTCTTGCCCAATTGCCGTCCCGTTTCATCATGGTAGGAAGATCTTTCCCCGATCGTCGCATTACTTTCGGCCTGTCGCTAACCAGCCCAGTCTTCACCACGCGCTTCTTCCCCGACGCCTGTCGGCGCCTCTACTGGTGCCGCCGCCAACCGTGGCGCCTCGCCCTCGCCGCCGCCCCCACCAGGAGGTGCCCGCACGCAGATCCGCCGTCGCGCAGCTGCCGATCAGAAGGAGAAGGCTGCCAATGCGCGGCCGAGCAGCACCCGGGCTGCGGGTGCGGGTGGTAGCAGCAGCACGATGTTGAGTACGTGCGGCCGATGGTAGCGCCTTTTGGAAGATCTTCGAGAGCGCGCCTGGCATGGCGTTGCAGAAGCCGTCGTTCACAAAGTGCTGACTGTAATCTAGGACTGTACACCGATGAGTCGCCTGGCTTGAAGGTGGACCCCGTGGTGGTACTCGTCTTGTCGCTGGTGTTTATCTTCAGCGTCGTTGCTCTGCACAGTATGCTTCCACCCTTTCCCAGTCTGCATTCGTGTGCTTTCATCCTGGTCGGTGCCTTATTAACCTTCCTACTTTATAGTCATCGCCAAGATCACTCGGCGATTCTCGAGCTAAACAGACGAAGAACGATCTGGAGGGTGGCGAAGGGATGTTTTGGCAGACCGAATAGAATAACGGCAACTGCCAAGAATAGACGCAGTGGCTTGGCCTGCTTCAATGCATGAAGCGCATAGCCTGGCTAGCCATCGCCGTCTGGTGTCGGGGATGGTGAGGGGGAGGCCCAAAGGGCCAGCTGTCAGGTTGGGCCGCTGGGACTTGGGCTTTATGTGTATACTGATAATTGGGGTTTTTTCATTTTCTCCTCGTGCTTGTTTCTTAGGACAAAAAAACTACAATGTTATATTATGCCAGGCAGGCTTCTGGGACAAGCAATACCAGGTGCATTTTTTGGGAATGTTTCGAGGATAGAGAGGGCGGTAACCGAACAAAAGCAGGACAATTCGAATAACCTCGGCCATGTCCGAGCACTAGACGAGCCATTTTCACTTGCAGCTTGCTTGGTACCATCGGAACTGCAGAAGCGCTTATGCCGTGTTTGTCGTGGATCTACGAGTGGTCAATATAGAATGGTCACCGAGAAGGTGGTCGGACGTTAGTTTCGCACAAGTGCGTGGTACCTCATAAGATTGTGAGGCTTAGGCTTTACACTATAAAGATGCCATAATCAGAAGAGAACCGCCGTAGCGAAGTCTCCCAGGCGCAACGCTCGTTGTATTTCGCATCTGGACCGTACCTTGATGTCATGGGCCTTGTCGTGAACATGCACAGGGCGAGAAAGTTGGTACCAGAGGTATACTGTTGTAGGTGCCTTGTAGAAATATGCATGTCTCTTATCCTGGCAACACGTGGATAGAGGATGGTTTCACAGCTGAAACGTAGGGCTGGCGAGCAAGCGAGGCTGCTAGCGGTCTCTGGGACTTAAAGCAAGTATCCGCAGCCAGTCACGTCAAGATGATAGACAACGAGAGCCCCAAAGGCCCAAGACTTGGCCTCGAAGGAATGACTTCCTGGTACGGTGTAATACCAGCGATTTGTCTTGCACTGACAGATAAGACGGAAAGGCAAGTCACCTTTCTACCACTAGAGCATTTTCTGAACACTCTCTAGTGGGACACGATATTTTATCTAGTGTATTTTGCCTGGTGTCAGCATGCTTGCGTCACGATCATAGCCATTCACTGGATTTGTACACTTTTTGATAGATTGTCGATATGGGTGTTGGCGTTTGCAATATTGCTAACGAAGAAGAAGACGCTGTGCACCAAAAAAAAAAAGGGTGTATACCGTCCCACCTATATGGCTAGACAATTGGTCAGGGAGCTTGTGTGATGGTGTGTGTGGCCCTTGGCTATGGTTTGCCAGCAGCATCGTGTTCAGCGGCATCACATTGTGGCTCAATTTGATGATCTGATATTCGGTCGTAGCAGAAGTCGACTTGCGAGAAAATTTTACTGCGTCTTATGGAGAAAATAAAACAATCGTCTAGCCAGTCATCATAAGGCCCCGTCATCGGCCACAAGACGACAACTCTGGCTTACATTGACATCAGCTTCGTAAAAAGTGAAGCTTGATGTCAGAGGACATGATAAGATAAGATGTGTGGAAAACTGGGGCCGGCGGAGGTAGGAACGGAAACGGAGTAGCAGGCATAGGAACGGATAGATTTTGGGCCGACTCCTCTGTATTCAAATATTCGTTCCCAAACAGGCACAGCGAAAAAGCATATCTTACTTCGCACCTTCTCTGCGCGTAAGCAGAGGCCAACTCATTCACTGCTTATTAAGATAAGCCGCCGGAAATTCAGCCAAATCAGCGCATTGCATAGCTATAGCGCGATCTGTGATCTTCACCGGACTGCAAACGGTAGGCTGTCTGCTATTCGACGGCCCCACAAACTCATGATAAAGTTTGTCCAAAGGAGAGTACTGGGGACCTGGGGGGACAAGTGCGAGGAAATTACATGGCCGCTACTCGGGTAAACCTTTTGACACCGTTCTGGGCCGAGAACGAGAGAGATGTCCTACTCGTACTTTCGGCGCAAGGATCCACCGCAGATTCCGGGATGTTGTTGTTTGGGCCTTTGGACATGACACATCATGTGCGTGTTCAGATGCTGTCTCGCTCGAAGCTTTGTATGATTGCGTAGTTTAAAAAGGTGTCTGTCCTCTTGTCACGGCTTGTGTTGCTGGGATTTGTCACCAGTCTTGAACAAGTGCTTCAAGCGCCTTCTACTTTGCAATAGCTTTTACTCACTTCAAAGTCTGTGTTCCTCCTCTGCTTCCAAACTATAGAGTTCTGTGGCTATTTCTGTTGCTCTTCAAAGAAGTGCCCGCTTTGATTGTTGCTCCGCGTCGAGATTCTGGCTGAGCCTCTTTCCATACCTCATTGACATCGTCAAGAAAATTTCAACAACTGCCTGCTTCTCTTTCAGCAACACATACACGTCTATTACAACAAGAGTAATTGGCTCTCTGCCAAAATGGCCACAGGTCGCTACAAGCTCGATCCGCTGGCCGACTCGGACACGGGCACGTCAATGCAAGAAGAGCTGCGCCCCGAAGGTGTTCCCATGGAGTCGGGGCTTGGCCATACGGCAGCCACATCTAGCAGTGATGGCACCGTTCTGGAATCGGACATGGCTGGCGGCAAGATCGAGAGAGTCGACAACAAGGCCGTTTTCAGGCCGACGCGCAGCTTCTTCCTCGCCTTCTCCGCTCTGATGGTGGTAACCATTGCTATCGCTCTGGATGCCACCAGCATGTCTGTCTCGCTGTCGAGCATCAGTGCCGCACTTGGCGGCAGTGCTCTGGAGGCTTTCTGGTCAGGCACCAGCTTTCTTCTGGCCAGCACGGTGCTGCAGCCCACAGCTGCGTCTCTGAGCAACATATTTGGGCGCAAATACGTGCGTCTTTTCCTCCCCCTGTCCGCTTCCCTTCTCTGCTTCTCTGTCTTGTCGTCCGGTCTGACAAGTTAGCTCATATATGTCAATGGCATCTTCTTTTTTGTCGGCTCTCTCGTGGCCGCCTTGGCCAACAACTTCACCGTCTTGATCGTCGGTCGGACCATCCAAGGCATCGGTGGCGGTAGCCTCATCGCCCTGACCGAAGTTGTCGTGACCGACCTCGTGTCGCTCGCCTTCCGGCCGACCTGGTTCTCTGTTCTTAGTGCCATGTGGAGTCTGGGAACTGTTAGCGGTCCGCTTGTCGGCGCCGCCTTTACCCAGAACGTCAGCTGGCGCTGGATCTTCTACATCAACCTGCCCATGATCGGTGTCGGCATGGCTTTTATCGTGCTCTTCTTGCATCAGGCCAAGATTCCCGGCGGCATCATTGCCAAGACGTTGCGCTTCGACTGGGTCGGCTCCGTCCTGTTCACCGCCAGCTCTACCTCTTTTCTCTACGGTCTATCGACAGGCGGCGTATCAAATCCTTGGAGCTCCTACCGCGTCTTGCTGCCGCTCATTCTGGGGTTCCTTGGCACTGTTGCCTTTGGCTTCTACGAGTTCCGTGTTGCCCGCGAACCCATCATCAACCGGCGTATCTTTAGCAACCTTGACATAATCCTCACGTACATCATGACTGTACTGCATGGCGCCATCCTCTGGTCGGTGTTGTACTTCTTGCGTAAGGCTTCTCTTTCCTTTTTTGGCGGCCCCTGTTAGACTTGTGCTTTTGCTGACGCTACCAGCTCTCTACTACGAGGCTGTCAAGGGATATTCAACCGTCATCACAGGCGTGGCCGTGCTCCCAATAACATTGACGGTAGCACCGGCAGCTTCGGCTGTGGGAGTCATCACGGGAATCACCGGTCGTTACCGGTGGTCTATCTGGATCGGCTGGGCCCTGACCACCATGGGCTCCGGTCTGCTTCTCTTGCTGAAACCAGACACCTCGGTGGCGGCCTGGATCTGGCTCAACGTTCCCTTGGGCGTAGGCACCGGCATGCTGTTCCCAGCCATGGGCCTGTCGATCCAAGCGGCCTGTGAGCCTGTCTTGAACGGTCAGGCTTCTGCTTTCTTCTCCTTCCTGCGCACCTTTGGCCAGTCCATCGGTGTGGCCGTCAGCGGTGTCATCTTTCAGAACTCGTTTAAAAGGAAGCTCGCAGCTCTGCCTGCATTTGCAAGCCTGGCCAACCAATACTCACACGATGCCACATCTGTCGTCGCCATAATCCGGCATATGCCCGCTAGTGTCGAGAAAACTCAGTTGGTCAAGGCTTACAATGAAGGTCTGCATGTCATCTACGTTTCCATGATAGCCTTTTCCGCCTTCTGCTTGATTCTTAGTGTTTTCCTCCGTGGTTACAGCCTAAATCAGGAACATGTCACCAGCCAGGCACTGATAAACAACGGCGAGGAGGTGAAAACTGAGAAAGAATAGACCCAGCCATGAGGTAAGCGGTAGAGGCTCTCACGGTAGAGGCTCTCACGCGTATAAAAGACCAATGCGTCGGGTTAATGCTTTTCTTTGTTTCCATGCACTACCAAGTGCTTACAATCCGATTTCATAATTTCTTCACAAATCGAGATTTGGCGGCGGGGGGGTTCTGGTTTATCTTTGTTACACACCAAGCGAATTTTCTGTATTTGATTTTCAAGTTTTAATCCATAGGAGCAACCGTTCTCCCCTCTTTTTGTGTAAATATAAAATTACTACGCTTTGACGACGCTGCTTTTCGCTCTCAACTTTTAAAACACAATGACAACCGGCGTGATTAGTAACAAATAGAACCATTATTTTTACTGATTGCTAGCAAGAGCCTGATTTCTGCGCCTGTCTATAGGTACATTTTGTCAATGAAGCCTCAGCAACTGTTTCCGCAAACAAATTGTGACAATTTAGTACAAACAGACGTTTCAGATAATAAGTAGCAGAGTTTGGCTTCATTCATAACATACTGTAGCTAATTTCGGATAGGACGGCTCGCCAAACAAAGGGTTCGGCGAATGAAGGCTTTCGGACGGAGTTGATTGTAATATTGGTCTTCGTATCCGTCGTGGCACGGTAAGAGAGCAGCAAGCCAAGTCAGTATCACGATATTATTTTCAATATCGCAGTAGCATCGAGAAATATGTTTTTGTTCATGAGATATGAACCCCTCGCCGAAGTTCCCGATCTCCTTCGTATATCGTACACGAACGTTTACACAGCATGTAACTTGACTAATTCTATTCGAAGAAAGTAAGCAGATCCTGAGGGTGATTTGTTGAATGTCGTGTTAATACGCGTTGTATACTAGGCAGAATCCCAGCCTCTGCCATGAGCTTCCAAGGGCTAGTGGCTGAGTCATGATGCAGCGTTGCACAGCAGGATGTCGAGACAGCCGTTCTAAACTTGAGCCACGGTATGTTTGACGGTGGCAGAGACACCATATCCAGCTTCTATGATGTCATAGAGCCGTTGTCAATCGTGCTATTATTTTTATCCACCTCGATAACGAGCGTTTCCGCTGCCTTAGATTGCGACCAGTATAGTATATATGTGTTGGGTCGTGCTTGGCCAAGGCCAGAACAGACTCACGACCGAGACCGGAATTGCCTAGGAAGTGGGAAGATACAAGATTTAAGTTTGGCGCAGTTTGCAAAGCTCGACATAAGATATATTTAGTCACAAGGACGACTTTCCCTTTCAGTGAGGAAATCTCTTTGTCTGGGTTTATTTATTTGTAATCTGTAAGTATATTAATATTGGCAAGATATTGTAGCTGAAATATCCGGACCTGCATCCTTGGATGAGACTGAATCAGAAGACGAGCATATTTCGACGACGTCGCCATCTTATATATATCTCTCTTAAGCTAAACAGGTGGGGGAAGCTACTCCGTACAATAATATGCCATTGGCTCACTCAAATAGGCTGTTAACGAGACTATAAGAGCTAATCCAAATGCATTCTTAGCGTGTGAACAAGCTTCCTTGAGGAAGGCACCGGTCCCCTCGTTCCTCTGTTTCCTTGTAAAATATCTGGGCCCGACTTCTGGGCCAAAAACCCACCGTTTTCAGTCTTTCTCCTTTCCCTCAAACTACAGCCGATGCTTTGTGATATCGCAGTAGATTGGAGTGCCTAGAGTATAGCTATAAGTAGGACACCGCAGAGTTCAGCATTTCGGAGGTAAATCCAAACTTTTGACCAACTAAAATGACTCCGAGCTCGGCTGATTAGCATAGCTTCGAAATATGAATCGAGTCCAGGCTGACAAGATTTTGAGAGATATAAGGTCACATGCACAGACATGAAGATTGGATGTTCTGGTGGAAGCCACAGAGAGGAGATCTCTGGTATGGACGGCTGGAAGGTCACCAACGGCTTCACTCGCAAATAGAATTTTCTGCTGAAAATTGTGACGAGCTCTGGAGGCGACGAAAGGGCACCGGGCGTTACGGGGAAAAGAGCTGCCGGTGGTCGATAATGTGGAAGGCTTAACTCTCTTGAGGAATTTTGAACACTGCGGCTAGTTTCCATATGCGCATGCCCCGGATTACTCATGCAGTATTATCGGACTCGGTTTTGCTGGCCTCCAAGGCGAAGAGTAGACATACGGGACAGGGAGGTCTGTAGACGTGAACTGTTACGTTCTAATAGTGACACGTCTTCGCCACGATGATCATGAGACGGAGATCGGCCAATTCTGATTGATTAGCGCGAGACAGCAGTGGAGCGGAGGACATATTTTTCTTGCTTCTGGGCTTAGTACTGAGCTTGATTGGACTACTTCTACAAGCACATCTTGGAGACGTTGGCAACTGCCTTCCGACAGTCGTGTTCCGGTCTCTTCTTCTTGTTCTCGCCAATGTGGTGATACCTTCATTGCCTCGTATAAAGCTTACACGACAGAGACAACGTGGCAAACAAGTGGGTCTGGATCGGTAAAACGGCGAAAACAGGCACGCGAAACGAGCTGTTGTGCTGCGGTGGTATGTCAGGACGACTAGATTGAGCTTGATTAGGATATGTTCACATCAGCTGAGAAAACACAATAAGCATGCAGCCATGGCGCACGAATTCTATAGTTTGTGGTGAAATGAGATACTTCATATTGTAGACGTTGACCTTCTCTGCATACAGACGCAAGAAAGCTATACCAGTTACACTGAGCTCTCCCACAGAATTAAAAGGGGTTTCTAAAGTTCTATATCAAGGCTTTGGGTTTTTAATTTCATATTGAATCCTACAGTTAAGGCCTCAAATGGTTTGTCTGTAAATCTATTTGACATATGACAATCTATTAGGCTTCAATTGTTACGAAGCAAAATTGATCTTGGTTTTCACCAAGTAGTTACATCAAAGGTAGTGAACCAAAGTGCCTATTACATCTTGCCGTTCAACTTTTCGCGGGATAGGAGCCCTTGTACAACACGATGCTGCGGCTCGCCATTACCGGAATCGTAGTCCGTCTTGTCACAGCCCCAAAACATCCGTGCCTTAGCTCGGCTTCAAGCCGAAAATATATCGATTACGTGTTTGCAGGTGGATTCCGGCGTGCTGTCATACTCGCTCTTTCCATTTCTGGCGGCGTGCCGCTGTCCGCTCCTTCCTCCTGCCGTTCGTACGAGGTTCGAGTTGCCTGGTCAGCAAATAACTTTCTGGCGGTCATCGTAGTTTTTCTCCCACCATATTACCCTCAGTTTTCGCTTGTGCCGAAAAAATATCAGCAGCAGCGATATTGCTGTCCCGTTGCGAGAACGCGTTTGCCAACTTGCGAATTAAAGCCACCACGTTACGCCGCATGCAGTGCGCACACACGGTCCTCTTCCCTCCTGTAAGGGACATTCAGGTACGCATGCCGAGATCTTAGTTCCGTGTTCATATCTATTTTTATCCCGTCTTCTCTTTACACTATTTTTCTCTCGTACAGCCTTAGTCTTGAGCTTGAATTTTCTGCCCCATTTTGGCCTCCCCTCTGCATCGTTGGAGACGATGCACCACTGTTTGACCCGAGTTTTGTCACCGCCTGTTCTACAACATATTGTTGCCGTTGTTCCTCTCCGGTGTGAATCACTTTCCTCTTTCTTGTCATGGTGTTTTTCTCATGAACCGGAGGCCTTTAATACCTATTTCTGACTGTCTTGAGTATTTAATAACTGAGGACCTAGTGCTATATTAATTTTCCATTGCCATTCTGTCGAGTTTTCTACTTTGGCAAACGAGCTCCCTCAAAGCGAAAAGCGTGGGATAGAAAAAAAGCCCGGCGTGTCTCTGAAATCAGTCCATTTATTGTAATTTATTGGTTCATTATTACATTCCGATTTTCTACACTTATCTACTGCTGCAACAAAATATTTATTCGACGTTGGCTTTCAGAACGGCTTTCAACACACCTTGAAGCTGCAATTTTTCTAAAGTCTCTACCTTGCTCCTCACAACTCAGACCTACTCGAACTTTTCCAGCGACGCGTATTTTGATTCCAGGCACCGTTGGCTCTTATTATCGCCCGAGCTGGGCCTCTAAAGTTTTCATTGTTTTGCCATCCGCTTTTGCCAAGAGTATTGGGACAAGTCAGCCCTCAGGCAAGTTTCCGGGATCTATCCGTCACCGCCCATTCGGCTGTGTATTACAATTTCTTTCGGACTTGCCCAGAAGTGTGTGCGCACAAACGCGCATACACACTCTTTCTCCTGCCGCCACCCGCTAACCAGCATATCTGGCACTGCCCTCGTTCGGAGCCTTCGTTATCACCACAATATCCTTTTGATTGAAATGCGATATGGCGGCCATCAGCCTTGAGAATCAAAAGAGTCGCCCAAGAGTGGACAGTTTCCAAAGGATGCTGGACTTGGAAAAGAGATATAAGGTAAGTTTCCCGTCTCGTTCTGATATGCACAGTTGGGACTTGTGTTGATCCATCACGTCTCTCACTACATGATCTGCAGACGTACCAAGCCATCTCACATATACTCACCTATTTAGCTTGCGAGACTTCATAGGGCACAGACACCACCGACATCGGATTCGACAACTTCAGTCCAGTTACAAATCCAAACACCCTCAATTCAAGCGAGACGTCGAAATTTGAGAGATTATCCACTGCCGAACATTGAGAGCACTTCGGACTCTAGGCTAGCTCCAGGGGGGGGTTCAAGCCTCCCTCTATCTATCACCGTCTCCCCGCCCCAGGAGAAAGACCCAGAAAGACGGCAAAAGCAACAGAGGGTGAGGAGCGAGTCCGGTCCTGTGGCTGCCAAAAAAAAGGGACCACTCTCAAAAAGCAAAGAAGAAGACGAAGCCAGACCACGAGGTAGATCTGTGGAGTTTGCATCCCAGTGTATAAGTGACACCGCCGAAGGAGAGGGAAACATGGAAGGCTCACAGTCTGACCAGTCATCTATATGCCAATCTCCCAGCTGGGAGGGATATGGTAAAAAGAAGAGAAACAAGAGAATGGAGGCTGAGCTACGCAAAAGGGACAAAGATACAGCTGATAGAACCCCGAAGCTTGGTGTTAAAAGGAAGACCACAAATCGTTTGTATAAGCTCCCGCCTCACGATTTTCAGGACCCTACTAGCAGCCGAGACCAAAGCTCTACCTCACCCACTTGCCTCCAAGAAAAAGCTTCCGAGCTGGACACTACCGAGCTCACGAACGAATTAACTGTACCCCGGATTACGATCCCAGACAGACGGGAGATGGCTAAGGGTTCAGTGACTGTTGGAGAGCAAATCACTATAGCAGAACTAAAAACAGACATGGGTTCACGACCGCTGGGAAGCTCAGCACAGCGAAACCAGATGCATCCTGTTGGTGCAAATACCAAATCTGCCTCGGCCGAAGGTCTCTTTGCAGAGAAAGCGAGAAACGGAGTTCAGTCAACAGTTCGTCCTGATGGCACACTACCAAGCTTCATCACACTTGCCCCAGCAGCAACGGCGAACGATAAAACATCATATCCACCTACATCTTCCAAGTCTCACAATCTGAGCGGCTTCCTGACAAGGGGTCACAGCAGACGCAACTCGGTCTCTACTAGCTTTTCTTCTCAAATAGAAGAGGCGTCTAAGATATTCAGAGCAAGGGACTCAGAAAGTCCGTGCGAGTCTGGTGTAGATTCTGCTGAGAAAAGGCCAGATCAGGCGCTCCACAGCTTGTTTGACAGAGGCCGCCTACCAGGCGGAACTACTAACAGCGGTAGTTACGTTCGACAGGTGAGAACACAGAGCATCGAGCGCTCCATCGGCGGAGTTTTGGAGCAGACGGCACTGTCAGCTGCGACCGGCCGATCCAGTCTAGACAGCCATTTTCCAGAACACCACGAGGCAGAAACATGGCGAGCAAGACAGCGGATCACCTTGAGTCAGACTAAATGGCCAATTATAAAGAAGCCCATGAACACCGAAAACTACAGCAAAGAACTGGCAGCGAATCCTGAGCTTGCTGCTCCACAGAAACTCCAAGGCTGTCTACAGCGACACGAGCAACAAGGTCCACAAACGAACAATACACAGCCAGTGCAACAGCCAGAGCCTTCAGGGAAAAAGGAACACTCGAAAGTGGAAAGAGAAACTGGCAAGCGTTTCACTTTGGCTTCCAAGCCATACACTTCACCAAGTTTGGACTCGGCAACTCCCACGAGCGGCATATTCTCATCCATCAGATCTCGAATGAGCAGACGAGGCAGTAGTTCAAGTGGTGCAAATTCTGTGGCCGCTCGAAGCTTTAGAGAAATGGCCATAAATGCGATACACTTTCCAGTCTCCTCGGTGACGACATTATCACAATCGGGTAGCGATGAACCAGGGAAATCACAAAGCACAAGTCCGTCACAGACAATGGCAGGGGGGGATACGGCACTTGCATCTACGAAAGAAGTACAGATCCTTCACCCTGTAAGCCATGACTCGAACGGGCCGAACGCGAAATCTGCTTCTTCACAGACAGCACATGCTATCAACCGGCCGTTTGAGGTTTCATCCACTTCTTCGTTCCACGACGACACTTCTACGTCGCCCTCCCCTCCAAGTACTCCAGATACTTCGAGACCACAATCAGCCAGAGGGTTGCCTGCGACAATTGAAGATGCTCAAATACTGGAGATGGGAGAAAAAACACTATTCGGAAAACGAGACCCGGAGATCCTCGAAAGCAAAAGAAAAGACCTCTTGCCAGACTCTTTAAAGACATTATTCAGCAGGCCTTTGGACGGTGCGGACGAACCGGATGCGCGCAAGTCAATCAGCAGACCGAATGAGACAGATGGCAAGATAGTTGCAAGGCCTGAGGAGTGCGATGCAAACAGAAGCCGCCCTAACTGCAACCAACCACAGAAAATGAAGGGCTTTGAGCAACCGGCCAGTGGGAAGATTCTGGGAGACCATAAGCACATCTTTCAAGATGTGATCGAACCCACGAGAAGGGTTGAAGACAGACCAGAGGACACTAGGTGTCGCACAACATCCAGTGGCGATCGCAGCCTGAGTTTTGCGGATGGCCTTGGACTCTTGGACAAGTCGTGGAGTCACAAGCCCATTACACCCGACACCGACACCCTGTCTTTTGTTACCACTTTGACGAACCAAGAAGGCCAGTACGGCGGGATGAGTGAAGACAGAAATGCGGGTACAGACGTTGCTGCATCACTAGAGGCAATAAGCGCTGCCGAAGACAGTAGAAGGATGAGCAGCCAAGCCAGGGGCACGATTCAGGGGGCTTTCAAAGCGGTTGCCCATGAGGCGAAGGAAAATACGGCACCGACAACAATCTATGCCGATTCGGGGTTTCAGTATCAGAAAAAAAGCCAGTTGCAGCCAAGAAATGCCTACGACAAACAGGAGATGCGAGGAAATCAGCACACAAAGCACACGTTGACAGCAAGGGAAGATGGTTTTAGAAGAGAGCAAGTGAAAGGCCAGGCGAAGAAAGAAAAGAACTTAGAGCAATCTCATATTCAGGCCAACAAAACTCTACCTAAGACAACTTCGACTGCTGGTTTCGTTTCGCCTGTCATGTCTTCCTCTGGGCGCAATTCACCAAGTGCGGTCTACTTACAAGGAGCGGGACGATCAGCCCCTGTAATTTCCTCGCCACTATCCAATGTGATCCGTTCCGCCACGGCCAACATGTCAAGTTCATCTCTACCGACGCGGACGAAGGCAAATCTGAAGACATTGACATCACTTCTACCGCCATCACCCTCCGATACGATTTCGCCCAAAGCGCTGCAGTCTTCACCATTGCACAACCCAGCACGTGACGGTAAATTGGCTAGACCTATCGCGAAAATGCTTGTGGAGTGCTGTCATTGCAAGTTCTTGCACGATATGCCTTCGCGTGTTTACGAATGTATGGCGCAACCGGACGCTGTGGTCACAGACCAAAGTCTTGGAGTATCGGGGGCCATCACCACCATGGTCAAGTGTCCATGGTGCCATCACAATATGAGCAAGAAATGCTGTGCCGGCTATGCGGCTATGGTTTACCTCAAGGAGAGGCTTCACTAGAGTTTGAGTTAACCCTGCCACCTTATTTTCACTCGCAGGCGCTGTTTGTTTTATTTTGGTAATTTATTATGTTTCTGGCTTTAACCTGTATCATATTAAGTACATCTGAGCAAAAGATCCAGCGAATGGATCGATTGTGACTGTTATTTCTGGACCTTCAGGAATACGTGAAAGGATTACTGGGAATCCAACTGCAACTGACGCTAATTTGAGAAAAGAAAAAGGCTGGAGAAGTTTGACGAAGACGAACGTGTGATACACACTCAGCGAGGCATCCAACCTTCACGAGTATACATTATTAAGCCGCATGGGACAATGGCTTTTTCGTCGTAGAGAACAATTTCGGGGTAGTCGACAGCACCGCCCTTGTCTCTGGTGACGGCCCTGACCTGGATAAGGGAAGCTGTTAGTGCTCTGGTGCTGACTAAGACATTCGTGATTGGGTGCACATACAGCATCGTATCCAAGATCCGGTCCGGTGCGGTTTTGATCTGGCCGGTAGAGTGGCTGTGGCCGGCTGCACATGACTCGGCAGAGAAGCATGGCGTGCTCCAAGGAGCGAAGATGGTGATTTTTGGCATAGAGATCGGCTTCTGCAGCTTGAGGTCAGTTCCGGTCCAGTTCTGGTTGCGGTATAGGCAGTCCTGCGGTTCATCTTGCTTACTTGAGGATATTGGCGTGGTGTAGATCCCCGGGCCAAACATACCGGCAGAGTCTGTCGCGAGAGTCAGAGAAGATTCGGTGATTTGCGTTGGGAGAGTATATATAGTACCTGCTCGGCTGAGTTTGAAAGAGTCGCGAAGGATGCTGCACAGGTTGCAGTCGCTGTTGTGGCAGGGCTGCACGCCGTAGTCACCGATGCTGCAAGACCGACGGGTGCCGTGGAAGTAGTAGTCTGACCGCAGACTCAAGCTGTGAAGCGTGGATTCGGTTAGGGCTGTTACTCTGCTGGCGTCGTGACAGATGAGCAAGGAAAAGATGGGCACGTACGGGTCTGAAGTGGAGGATGCCAGCGACAGTTCCTTCTGGCCCCAGAAGTATACGGCCGTTACCGCGGCCCTTTTGCCAGGGTGTTGCCAGCCAATATCGAAGAGACTTTTGACTGTAAGGGGTTAGAAAAGTCGACAACCGAGAGGGGAAAAGAGATATGGCGGACTTGCATTTGATGAACAGTCTATCGTTTGGTGACACAGAAAGTAGTTCCTGCATCAGGAGGAAGACGTTAGGTCAGGGTTAAGAACATGCGTTTGGGTCCGAAAGACAGCGAGCTATGACGGACAAACATACCCGGCGAGCTTGGACAATACTGTAGACAGACCGGGGAACGTCGACGATGTTATACTGCACATCCTTTCGGTCGTGTCGAAGAGGCAGATGATCCTGTTGTAGAGGCCAGTGGGAGTGGAAGCTGGGATAGGTAGCCATCATTGCGGCAGGCGAGACGAGCATGAGAATGAGTGAGCGCTTGGACCGGGGAAGAGCGTGGATGCAGGGTGTTTATATCGAGAGGTGAAGATCGAATGTGGCTGGACAGCCGGCCCATCACCTTCGGCCGCTCGGGTCAGGCACGAGTCGAAAGAGCGACAGGGGTGCAGGGCCAGATAGAGACACGAGAGCACCAGCAGGCCTGTGATTCGATTGCCTCATGGTCGGGCAGCCAGTGGGGTCGGGCCACCTGGATTGTGCGTTGGCTGCCGATGCAAGGCAACCAGCAGCATGGGTGCGCGATTGGCTTTGAAGAGGGCCAGAAACGGAGCGATGGATGCTTGCCGGACGGCCAATGGACAGCTCCCGGGGAGAATGAGGCAGAGTGTGTGTGGGGGTTGTGGATATTTCAGGAAGATGCAGACGGCGGAAAGGAAGCCGGGGTCAAAGGCAAGCAAGGCTTTCTGCACTTTACTCACAGAAGAGTTGCAGAAGAGGGGTTCATTGGCTGTGGATTTCTTCCAGGAGTGCACCACCGCCCTACACCTGTTGTCCGTCTAGGACTTGCCGAAATATGCTGTAGTTGCTGCTATCGCGGCTGCTGCTGCTGTTGTTGCTGCCGCTGCCGGCATAGACGGCAAAGACGACGTCGCGCCACCAGTGACCAGCGCCGGCAAACTCGTCTTCGTGCAGGACCTCGAGCCAGCAGTGGGCCACATCTTCGGCCGGGTTGCCGAACACGCCACAGCCCAGGGCGCCCAGCACGAGCTGGTCGTGGCCATGACGGGCGGCTGCTCGCAGCGTCAGACGCATCTTGGCCTTTGTGGCATCGCGGTCGCGATCCTTTGCAAAGACCAGCTTCGTGTGTCCCGGTGGTGACGACGGTCTAGACGATCTTGGCGACGAGGCCATTGCTCTGGCTGCCGCCAGCTCTGGATCCAGCAGACAGTCGTAGGCATTATCGATCTCGCCATCCCCGTAATCGTCTGAGCTGTGCATCCGGCTATCAGGCCTGACTGCGCGTCCGTCTGCCGTCTGACTGCTGGCTCTGCTGGCTCTGCTCTCTCTGCCCTCTCTGCTGTCGTTCCGCTCACGCTTGCAGCGATCATCCTCGTGGCCGTGCTGCTGGCGTCTCTTGCGTGACCGGTGCTGCTCTCTCTGCTCGTCGTGGCCGGCGCCCCGAACGGTCAGCGATTGCACCGGGGGTCGATACAAGGCAGCCACGGTGACGGCGCTGACGACAGGCAGAAGCCGGGGCGGCACGGCTGGCGCCAGCAGGTGGTGGCCCGAGGACATGTCGCTGCGCATGACCAGCACGTAGCGGCTGTAGAAGACCTCGTCGCGGCCGAGCGGGTAGAGGCTCTGGTGCAGGCTCAGCGAGAGCGAGCTGCGGTAGCAGAGAGCCTCCTCCTGGGCCATGGCGCCATTTCGCCAGCCGCCACCAGGATGGCGGCGATTGGCAAAGTTGACCACGATCGGCGGCCGCTGCGAGTGGCCGTGAAGCTGGCAGCTGCCCAAAGCGACGGCCACGTTGAGCGTGTCATCGTCCACGACACGAATTGTGGCCGGCCGCGAAAACGCCGGACAGCGATCGGGGTGCAGCCGTGGAGCGGCGTCGACCGTCAGCTTCTCCGTGTCGCTGGCATCCTGCATTGTGCCCAGCTCGTGCAGCAGACCCGGCAGCACGTTCAGGGTCTCCTGCGCCGTCGCCTGCAGCCGCGCGCGCTGACCCAGAGGATAGTCGGCCGGCGGCACGGCGCTGCGAAAACCAGCCGGCTCTGCTTGCGAAGAAGCGACCGAGGAGACAGACGAGCCACGCACAGGGCCGCGCAGAGGCAGGAAAGTCAGCTTGCCATCGCGCCATTTGCGCGTTGGCTCGGCCTTGGGCTCGGCCTTGGACTGCTGGGGCAATCTGTGATGCGTCGGCCACATGGTGGAAAGGTGCGGAAAGAGAAAGGACGCAGAGTCGCTGTCTCTTCGTTTCGCAGTCAGCCCGAAAGATGCTGACCAAGGACGGCGGGAAAGCGGCCGAAACAAGACTGGCGTCTCGCAGGCCGACAGTCTGTTTGCTCCGCCTCGTCTGCTGTCAGCCCCGTTCGGGCGGCCTCTGAGGCGATTCGCTTCTGGCTTGGCTGCCTGATACCCACAATCCGTTGCTCTTGTGGCTGCCTCTGGGCTAGTCATACATGTCACATTGGCCGTTTGTTCTGCACTGTCTGCGACACTGTGACGTTCATGCGTTGGCAAGGAAAGTGGAAGCACGTGCAGAGGTGCGTGACTGTAATGCGGGTACAAAGCTGGATGGAAGAAGCTGAAGCTTGACTGTCTCTGAAAGTCTCGATGGCATGTCAAAAAAATGGCGATTCCATATAGCAAGTGCAAAGTGCCGAGGGAAGGTGCATGGCGCATACACGTCCTTGCAACTGCCCGTTCGAGACGAGGTCCTTCTGTTGGTCAGCACGCAATTGTGTCACTGCAGCCACTCTTACAAGCCACTTTCTGTACTTCGTGACGTATCAGCCACACCAAGAAGTGAAAGCCATGATTAGTCCATTCCTCCGATCTATAGTATTACAAGCTCTTTTTGTCTCTCTCTCTCCTTCTCTCTCCCTCCCGTCTATCCCCTGTGGTTTAGCCATGCCCAGAAGACGACGACCATCCAGGTTAAGCGCCAGGTCGTCGTCCAGAACTCGCGTCCGGCCACCTGCAGCGTTCCTGCACGGGGTTGTCCATCCTGGGCGTGCAGTCCGCCATGTCGCCGTCGCTGGCTGCTGTCATCGTCGCCATTGCCGCCGTTCAGCCCGCGATACATGAACCCGAAGCCGGCCTGACGCCAGCGACCACGTCCGCTGCCACGAAGTCCCAGCGTGCTCCAGACGAGCCGCTTCAGGCTCGCGAGAGCCGTCCGCCCGGCAATGAGCAGTCGTCGTCGTCGTGCGGCCGGCTTCCACCGGTTGCTGCCACCACCACCACCACCAACCAAGTACGCCGTTCTCCCGTCGCCGCCCTCGTTGGCAAAGCTGTCGTACGAGGAATCGTCGCCGTATGAGTCGTCCTCATCACGGACGATCTCGATCTTGGGTGCGTAGGCCGGTGATGCCGACGCCCTGGACGACCGGCGCGGACGGCCGCTGCGGTTCTTGTGTCGGTGTGGATGCTGGTATGGCGGCGCCAATCCGCCCAGACTGCTGTCGCCACCACCGCCATAACCATAGCCAGAACGGCCGTTCACCTGGGCCCGGCCTCGCGAGTACGTCGCTGCGGCTGCCTGTGGCGCAAAGAAGCCGGACGAGCCGCTCGCACCTCCCTTTTCGTTTCCAGACACGTTGCCAGGCTCGTCCACACTGCCATTGCTCGCTGCTGCTGCTGCTGCTACTGACGAGCTCTTCTTGCCGCCGTACTCGTCGTCCTCCACCTTGGCCTTGCTGTACAGCGGCAGCACAGACGACGAGCGCGACTTTGAGATCGAGTCACCACCACCACCATCGGACAGCCGCCCGTCACGTGGACCCAGCGCAAACGGCTGCCAGCCCAGCACGGGCACGAGCACGGCGCGCGCGGCCAGCAGCACCAGCGACACGACCACCATGCCGGCATAGCGCGCAAACGTGCCCAGCTGGTTGGGCAGCAGACACAGGTGCGTCTGCATGGTGCTGCCGGTGGCGGCTGCCGGAGTCAGTGGTCGGCCGGCCGCGTCCACCGGGTTGTGCAGGCTGAGCATCAGGAAGCCGGGCGTCGGCACGCCCATGGCCATGTTGAAGGCCTTGACCGTGATCTCGGGCACGTGGTCCTGGCGCTCGTCGTGCACCACCGTGCAGTAGTCGTGGTCGTCGCCCGAGAAGGCCTGCACCACGTTGCCCACGCTCCGGACCAGCCGGATCGAGTCGGCCTCGCTCAGCACGTTCTGGTACTGGTATCCACGCGTGACCGAGATCGCGTTGCGATCGTCGGGAAACACCGGCTGCGGCTTGCCCTCGGCATCGACGTCCGCAGACGACGGCTTTGTCGGCGGCCAGTGCTCCCGCAGAGGCCCACACGGCGTTCCTGGTGGTCGGTATAGCGGCACGTGTGTGAGCAGGATCGTCGGCAGGTCTGCTACTGCATCCCCATCCACACTGCTGCTGCTGCTCAGCGCTTGTCGGAGCCCATCCACGTCAAACTGCGCCTCGTCCAGGTCCTCGACCCGGTGCGCAAACACCACCTCCTCGCCGAGACCGTGCTGGTGCCGCAGCTCACGCGCCACCGCTTTCTTCTTCGTCCAGGCCACGTCGTCCAAAAAGTGCTGTGTCGGGCCGTAGATCGGCTGCATGTCCGGCTGGCTCGCCCGCTCCGACGTGTCGGCACTGAGCGACACCGTGTCCACCGACACAAACGTGTGGTTGCCCACCACGTCCACCCGGTTGCCCTCGCCAAAGAAGCTCTCGAACCGGTTGCGCACCGACTGCTGCACCTCCGACCCGAATCCCAGATCGTGGTTGCCCGGCAGACTGGCAATCAGCCGTCGGCCACGCTGGCCCGCCCTCGTTCTGAAGCCGCCGACGTTCCAGTCGTCTAGGAAGATGTCGCCAAACCGCGCGTATTCGCCTAGCCAGTAGTCCTCCGCGTACTTTTTCTGCCACACCCGTGCCCACGCCTTCTCGCTCTCCGGCCGGCTGCTCCACGCCAGCTCCCCAAACTCGCCGCGCGAAGGCCTCCACTCGCGTCCCCCGTCAAACAGGTCGCCCAGAAAAAAAAGCGTGTCCGGCCGCAGCTGCTCCTGCAGCTCGCGGTATGACCGCCGCATGTAGTTGTCCGTGAGCATCACCGTCAGCGCGCTCAGCGGCCACGGCCGTCCGGGATACGAGTGCGCATCCGTGATCTGCGGATCCGCCACAAAGATGACTCGGTGGGGTGTCGCTCCTGAAGGCTACATTCGTCCGCATCGTCAGCAGTCGGCTTCGACGTCGCCTTCCCTCCTCCACCACTCACCCATTTCTCCCAATGACCCCAGTCGCAATGGGCCACTCTGGCATGGAAGATCCACCGCTCGCCCCAGAGCAACACCAGCATCCAGAAGCCCACGAGCAGGTGCGGCACGCTGAACAGCCGCCGTCGCGTCAGGTTGCGTCGCATGTGCCACCACGCCGTCTGCAATAGTCGGACAAGCAGAGGCGGTCGCTGTCGTCGGCCGTGGCCACCGTTCGATCTGATCATGCTGCCTGCCATCCGAGACGTCTCGGCAGCCTTGCGCAGCACGTATCTGTAAAGGAGCCGGGCGATGTTGGCAGACAGACCGCCAAAGTCGTCGCCGTCCGAGAGAAGCCCGGACCTGTGTCTGGCTGTTGTCGTTCGCGTGGACTGCATTCGAGGTGTGAAGCCGTTGTTATGAGGCGCCGTCATGCCGGCGCGAGGACCGTCGGTTGGCCGTGTGTGAGCAAAGACACTATTTCCATTTATTGATGATAATAGGGGAAAGCTTGACCGCGACAGTGGACCTAACCGCGGCACAGCTAAGCGTGTCGGACTTAGCCTGAAGCCACCCCCCCAACGCCCCTGTGGCTGAGACGTTCTAGGCCTAGTTAGCGTATTAAGCATGAATCCGGATGCTCACGTGTTTGCATGAAGGCGGCTTAGAATCGGCTTCAATACGGAGTGCTCCGTACATATGTAAGTAGGATATTGCCCCCAGGCAGGAGTCTACAGGTCGCAGGGGGGTCGGAAAAGCGAACAGCTCTTTTCGGTCGTTCGGATTAACCCAAAGTGACAGTGACAAGGTTTATGATGCCTAGCTACAACACCTTTGCAGCACCTTTTTCCCAGCAAAATGTCTGGCCATTCTCCCGTCTTTCGTAGACGCAATTCTTTCAGGAAAATTATTGGAGCCTTCAGCAAGCGCCTTTGCAGCAAAAAATGCCTCGGGATTCTCATCAGCCCGCGCGATGTAGAAGAGGGCTAACTTCCGAGCTGGTTACCTTTCAAGGGAGTTTCTCGGGTCCCCGATGAATATTCCCCCCACAATATCGTGAGTTGCATCGCGTTGTCGGCACATTGAAAATAAGCTGTTTCAGCGACAGACTTGACAGAAGTGTTTTCGAGGATTCATCCCCTTCAAGTGCAGCAATTCTAGCAATGTGCAGACTCTCACTGTATACCCTTCTGGTCGAGTGGTGGGTTACTGCAGACCTTCAGATTTCATACAAGAATGAAAAGGGAGAAAGCTTTTTGATTCTTGCTGTCAGGGCAGGTCGTAAACCAGTCTGCGAAGTGCTCCTGAAGCGCGAGGCAGACATCAATGAGAAGAGTGGTATATATCGCGGCAGCGCCCTAGTGGAGGCGGTGTCTAAGCGGGATGGAGAAACTCGTTGACTTCCTTGTCAGACACGACGCAGATGTCAACCTTCGGGCGGGACGTAACGGCAGTGCTTTAGCTACAGCAGCAAGTGTCGCAGACAATACCAGGATTGTCGAGTTCCTTGTCGAATGCGGTGCAGATGTTAATCTTCCGCACCGAATTGGACATACGGCAGCGCCTTGGCTGCAGCAGTATACAGTGGAAGCATTGAGATTATCGAATTTCTCATTGAGAACGGCGCGGATGTCAATCTTGTACATCAAACTGGAAATTACGGCAGCGCCTTGGTTGCAGCATACCGTGGAAGCATTGTGATTGTTGGGCTCCTTATTGGATTGGCGCAGATGCCAGAATCCTGCTTCTTACCGAGGATTATGGAAGCGCCTTGGCTGCAGCAGCATACCACGGAACCATTGAGACTATCAAGCGCCTTATCAATAACGGTGCAGACGTTGACTTTCTTCTTGAAACTGGAAAATATGGCAGGGCCCTGGCTGCAGCTGCACGTCAAACGGATCGGAATTGTCAAGGACCTCATTAGGCGCGGCGCAGAAGTTGACCTTCCGCTTGAAACTGGGGACTACAGCAGCGCCTTGGCAGCGGCAGCAGTAGGAGATGGCGTTCTTATGGTTGAGATACTTCTCGGAAATGGCGCCGATGTGAATCGACAACTTCGGGCAAAGTACTGCGGTTCTGCTTTGGCCATGGCTGCTTACTGGGGCCGGAAAGATCGGGTGCAGCAACTGATAGATTCTGGAGCAAGGGTGGATCTTGTACTGCAGAATGGATGTTTCCGTACCACTTTAGATGCGGCTATAAGCGATGTGGATGGATCGGAAGATTCAGACAAGGGGTGTTTGAGTATCAAGCAAGGCAAAGCTGAAGTCGCAGACATACTTCGGGTAAGCAGACAGCCCACAAGATGGTGGAGGAGCTTATCAAAAGTTCTGACCCAATTCCTAGAAGAATTGTAGGGTACTGTATATCGATGGTCGTAGTACTGTGTCGACTGGCTGCAGCATTAGCGCATGCCTACCTATAAGTTTTCATGAATCAGCAAAACGTAGTGGTGTGATCCGCTAAATGCTAGCGGCTGTCGCTAAAGTCCTTCTCCATTCCGGACGTATTATACTTCATACGGTGTATTGCATTAGGCAGTGGGACCGAACGTTCTATGGGCACCTCCTCGAGTAACCAATTTTTAAACTCCTTGGTGATTTTCGTTTGGCTGTACGGAGCACGGAGTAGTATCACAATACTTCAATCAGCTGAATATAACTGGGAAAGCCGTCTCAAGATGATCATGGAGGCGGTGACAATGGTAGCCGGTGTTCCGATGTCGCTGGCGAACATCCTTCTGGCGGGCTTCTTCTTCTGTTCTAGCTTGGGACTATAATTTTCCTGATTAATTCGGGAGGGCGGAGTACATAGTGCATATTATGTAGCTATGTAACTCCGCGTGCGATAAGATCATCTCGGCTCGGGTTATCCACGACGCGTGATTTTAGATGCATCTACTCCGTCTACATGCCCATCTCTCAAACAGCAGCCATTCCGTCCGCACCTCGCTCTTTCTTCACAAACACGTTTCCCGTTGAAAAGATCCTCTCGAACGAAGACACTCTGTTTTGCGTCAGCCGCCCGATATTACCGCCGCATCCTCCCGAGCCCGTCAAGGCCAGGGGCATTGGGCCCTTCAATCCCCCATCCGTTCAGGCCGCCAGTTCCAGTTTCATCACGATGAAGGGCTGGACCAAGACGACGCGAATATGCGTCATGATGGCGCTCGACACAGTGTTCCTGGCAATTGAGCTGGGCGTCGGCTACTACGTGTCGAGTCTGGCCTTGATTGCTGATGGCTTCCATATGGTATGCATTGGATGGCGTCATACATATGTATTATGCCAGCGGCTGACATCTTCTTTCACCACTGTCTTTAGCTCAACGACATCATTTCTCTTGCAGTAGGGCTCTGGGCCGTGAACCTTGCTCGCAAGGAGTCCAACGACCGGTTCTCCTACGGTGTTTGTCTCTCCCTGTCCCATCTTCTTCTCAGTCTGGTCTCCTGTCTGACCGGTGTGTCTTGCTCTTCTTCAGTGGCTGCGTGCCGAAATCCTCGGTGCCTTTTTCAACGCCACCTTTCTGATCGGTCTCTGCGTCACGATCGTTCTGGAGGCGATCCAGCGCTTCTTCGAGCCGCCCAACATCAGCAACCCGGAGATTGTGCTGGTCGTCGGCTTCTGCGGCCTGGTCTCGAACCTGGTCGGCTTCTGGGTTCTCGGTGGCCACGGCCACTCGCACGGTGCTGCTGATGAGGAGGCCGGTCACGATCATGACCACGACCGCGCCCACGTACACGACCACGTTCACGATCACAGCCATGACCACGGCCATGTCCACGCCGATGCTTTCGTGGAGAATGGCGTGGACAACCCGGACGACTGCCCGGACGAGGACCGCGACGAGGAGCTGGCCATCGAGGCTGCCCAGACGGACGGTACCACGGCCTCTGTCGACGGACTGCGCCACGTCTCCTTCACGCCACTCGACGGTCGGGGTTCTGCACAGTCCCGAGCCACTTCTACTGCACGTCGGCGTGCCAACAGCGGCCGTCGTGTGCCGACGTCGATTGAGGATCTCAGCATCCACCCGGCCAGCTTCCGGCAGGACCTCCGCGAGATGATCACGGCATGGCCGACGCGCGACGACGACGTCGAGGAAGAAACGGACTCGGACTCGACCGGCGAGAACGCGCAGACCAGAGGCACGACCGCCAGCAGCGCCACCGAGCGGACGCCGCTGATCAGCAGGTCGCAGCTTGACGGGGCTGCCGACAGCGTGTGCCAGCACGACGCCAGCGGACACCACGAACACGATCACGGACACGATCACAATCACACTCACGGCCACAGCCACAACCCTCACGCGCACCAGCGGCCACGACGCGATTCGCACGGCAACCACCACCACAGCCTGCCCAAGGACCCCAGCAAAGCCGGCGGTCACGGTCACGGCCACAGCCATGGCGATATGGGGATGAATGCCATGGTGTTGCACGTGATCGGTGACGCTCTCGGCAATATTGGCGTCATTGTGACGGCGCTCATCATCTGGAAGACGACGTGGGCGTACCGGATGTATGCCGACCCTGTCGTCTCGCTGCTGATCACGGCCATCATCCTGCGCTCGGCCATCCCGCTGACCAAGGCCACGTCCAAGATCCTGCTGCAGGCCACGCCCGACCACATCGACATCAACGACATCCGCGAGGACATCCAGGACCTCGCCGGCGTGCTCAGCTGCCACCACGTCCACGTGTGGCAGTTGTCGGACTCGCAGATCGTCGCCTCCATGCACGTCGAGGTATCCTTTCCCATTTCCGAGTACGGCGGCGAGAAGTACATGAAGCTGGCCCGCCGCATTCGCAAGTGTCTCCACGGTTACGGCATCCACAGCGCCACCATCCAGCCCGAGTTTCGCCTCGGCCAGGAGACTGCAAAGGGCACCGGTACTGGCAGCGGAAACGGAAACGGAAACGGAAACGGAAACGGAAACGGCTTCAACACCGGCCCTGCTGACCCCCGGCAAGTCCAAGAGCAGCGCGGCCGCTCATCCCTCAGCCATGGCCACGCCGACAACGGCGAGACCGTTCCCGCCGCTGGTGCTGGCACCGGCGACCTCGCTGCCGACGGCGCCGCCGATGTCTCCTCAGCGCCCGTTCTGGCCGCCTCTCAGCCCAGCTGCCTGCTCGACTGCGTCGACGACTGCGTCGGCCTCGGCTGCTGCTCCCAGACGTCGAGGGCTGGATCCCCCAACGCCACTACCCACTCAAGAGACCATGACGGCCACTCCCACTGAACCCGCTGTCCTCCCTGGCTTTCTTTTTGTTTTGCTTCTCTTCATGCCTTGAGCTGTATTTTCCCCGTATTATTGTCTTTTTTCAACACGCACTTGCACACACTTTCCTGTCTCTTTTCCTTAACCGTTGTCGTTTGTCATCGGTGCATCTGCACGTCCGGTCGTTCGTCACACATACACAACATAAAGAACATACACCACATATACGTAGCTTGACGTTAATGTTTACCCTTGTCCTCCGAGTCGCGAGCACTAACCCCCGCTTTTTCCTTTTATTGGTACGCGGAGAGATACCTCTTAGTTGGAGGAACACGTATGTACTACAGCACCAAACCAGCCTGACACACAGGCGTTGATAGGCTTGTAAGATACGATTGCATCTACGTTACTTGATTGAAGACTTCCCCTCTATCTTTTAGCCCGTCAAATTCTTTCTGCTCGGGTAATATCGGTTGGAGATCATCTTCGCGGCTGTCCAAAATAAACTTCAATATAATATGACTAGCACTAAACTCGCTCTCGTTCGGAAACTCTGGACCGTTCGGCAGAAACAGGGCTTCAGGGCAAAAAGAAGAAAGCTGATCTTCTTTCTCAGGTGGTATCGTGTTGTAGCCCCGCATGTCCTTCGGTTAGAAAAATTAAATCTGGGCGCATTTGTAGGAGAAAAGCAGCAAGAAGAAAGGCTAGAACCATCAGTAGCCACAAAGGCGTGGCCATATAAAAGCAAATATGGGAGAATATCGGGTAACAAATATAAAGAGACCACCTCGATCTCCGTAGGCACGGCTTATAACAAGCAAACTATCACACAGCGCTTTCTTCTCAAGCCCGACATGAGCTGCCACTAACGGCGGATGGGCAGAGGCGCAGGCCGACTGCCAGGGCCATTAACTCCCTCCATGTTGCCGGTCAATTCAGCCACGCGTGCCTTGATCCGAGCAACGCGAGACTCAATCGCTGCAGGACTATTAGCAGGGTTGGTCAGAGAACAGGACAGAAACATGAGTTACGTACTCTCTTCACCACTCGCAGCTTCACCCGCCCCCTTGGGCTTGGTGTACGTCGTGCTCGGCGGTACTTCCGTCTGGCGTTGTGCTGCACGATCAGCTGCGTTTTTCCGAATCTGAGCCCACCGATCCAGCGCCGGCGGTAAGCTCGGCTCGGCTGGTTCCGGCACTGGTGCAGGGGATACGAGCTTCGGCGATACGGGCGATCGCTGGCGGGCAATCGGCGGGGGGACTGCCTCTTCTTCGGTGTCAGAGTCTTCTGGGACGAACGCTGGCTGGTCAAGAGGACACTGGTCGAAACGGTTGAAATCCGTCTTGACCTCCATCTCCTCGGCAGTATCAACGCCGGGGACCGAGTTGCCAGACGTGACATCAGCTGGCTCGGCAACCGGTGCCGGCTCGGACAGCCCGACAACAGGCTCCTTGTAGACGGGGATGGCTGACGGAGTAGCCCGTACCGGAACTGGCTTCCTAGCTGGAGAAGCAGGCGGTGCGGCAGCAGCTGGAGCTAGATTCACGGCTGCTGCAATCGGAGCCGCAATTGGACGTGTCGGAGCTACTTCTTCGGCTGGTGCAGTCGGCTTGGGTGAAGGGTTGGAGCTACTGCTTTCCGCAGCGGCCGCTGCCAGCATCGCACTCACATCAGCGCCTGCGTTCTCGGGAAGCTTAGATTGTCGGTTCTTGCGGTTGAATAGTTTGCGGAATCCCCCATTTGCGGTTGCGGACGTAGGCAGATCTTTGTTCTTCTCGTCAGCCTCCTTTTCCTTGCCGTCTTTGTGAAGTTTGTTGACAGCCTTCTTTCCCTCGGGGTTGGACGCAGGGACTGGAACAGGTTCCAATTTTGTCGGCGTGTCTTCCGGCGTGTCTTTCGGTGGCACCCGAGGTGAGGCCGGTCCCAACATGCTAGACGGCTCCGAAACTGCAATGCGAGGGCTTATCGGCGCCGGAGCCGGAGCCGCCTTCGACTTCTCTGTCAGGTTCGCGATTCGGTCCTTCACGGAAGCCGGCGAAAGAAGAGTTGGCGACTGCACGGTACTGACAGCAGGCTTTGGAGACAGGGCGGGAGTTGTTGACGATGTTGCCAGCGGCGACAGCCGAGGTATCTGGGTCGCTGGTTTCTCTATCGCATCCTCTGTGGCTGTGCTATTATAGCTACCCGTCGGGGATGGTAGGCCGCTTAAATGGACATTGGGCGATGACACGGATAACTGGCCACGGCCAGCATTGATGTTGCCGAGATACTTTTCTCGTATAGCCTCCTTGTCATATTTGCTGGCCCACTTCAGTGCGGGAGACGCCTCAGAAGCAATCACAGGCTGAAGAGTGAAGACGCTGGTTGTCTTTTCAGCAGCATGGCTTTCTGTGCGTCCACGTCTGCTCAATGCCACATCAGAGCCGTTTCGCTCTCTTTCCTCCTGTTGGTGTCTGGCCTGTAGCTTCTGTGCTGCTGCCTGGATCTTCGCCTGCTGGTTGGCTGCGATACTCGTCCTACTAGCACTGGCCGCGTCGCCTCCTGGCATGAGCTGTCCTTGTCCATTGCGCTTATCATGAGATTGCTTGCCCACAGACTTGCTGCGAGAAATACCCTTGTTTCGACGAGTCCAGCTGAAGAAGCCCTTCTTTTCTGCAATATAGGCACCTTCGTCAGGCTCTGCAGCAGCGCCCTTAACGACCTCTTCCATGACCAGCCATCGGCCTGCTTTAATGCTCGTCTCGATGACAGCACAACGCCCAAAAGCCGACTTTCGCTCAGGTGTCTCCTCGGGTGCCAGACTGCTCATCCACACCCACCAGAAGGCGTCGTCCAAGTCGAAGCGGCTGATGCTCGCGAGCTCGCCAGGTTCTAGTGCACGTTCCGTTTCCAGGCGAGGCCGGTGGGATTGCGAGCTCCGTTGACGGGTGTTTGTGTCAATCGGCGGCAAAATCTTGTCTGGGGGAAGAAGTATGTTTGAAGGGCTGTTCGGGCCGTCGTCCACAAAGCCAGAGGAAAGAAAGTCCGCCCACGAAGGGGTCGTTGGTCTGCCAAGCCCATTGCCACCGGAAGCTGGCGTCGTCCTCAGGGCATGGTTCCTCTTGGCTGCTAGGTTGTTTTTCTCCTCGTCGTCTTCATCCTCTTCGATAAGGCTGCCGAAACCTACGTCTTCAAATCGTGACCAGGACGCGTCGCGAAGACTGGTGGAGTGTTTGGAGCTGGACACCGCTTGGGTCTGGTTGGCCGCGGAGATCGCCTTAAGAACTCTGCGACATTCATCCGTCAAAGCCTGGACCGGGTCTTCGTAATCGGAAAATTCACGAAGCGCACGATCTTCGTCTCGGTACTCGAAATGACTGCCCCGACGAAGCAGAGAGAATGGGGTAGGAGACACGTTATCGACAATCATAATCACCCTGAACGTGGACGTTTGTAGCAACACCGGTCTCTGGGGAGGGTATTCCGTCTCTTGCAGCAGCTTCTGTAGCGACATTGGAAGTGTGGCAAAGCTTCCAGGTCCCCGGGCAGGCGAGAGTGACCGGAGGTAGGCAAAGAACAGATGGCTGGTAGCATCCGCCGCCTTTAGCCAATCCTTGTAACCGCCCTCAAACCCATTTCCAGTGCCCTTACTGTCAAAGGCCCACCACGATGCCATACGAGACAACTTCCGGCCACCGAATCCATTTGCCTTGCCATGCGCAGCAATGGCAGAAAGAAGGTCGAAGAGGTCGAATATGATGCCCGCTCGGGCCGCATTGTCGACGCTAAGCGGGATGAAAGTGTTGAATGAGTCGGGAGCTTCGTTTGAATCTGCAGCAATATGGGGTTAGCGCCCGGTTCACAAGTTGAGCGCTCGAGAACCACCACTCGTACCTTGCTCTCCAATTTTAAAAAGTTCGTAAGCATCCCAGCCGACAACTCCTCCCTGTAAGCGGCTCCAACACCACTTGATGACACCTGAAATCACCTGTGTAGATAGTACGCAATCCGTTGTTAGCCGTGAGCACAAGAACACTAGTTTGGACCGTTGCTCAGAAGCGTACCATTGGCTCCGTCATGCGAAGCTCCTGCAAGAGCACATCGCCAGACACGCCGGCACTGGTGTCAAAGAAGTGGCGCACGAATGTCCGGACCGCACTAGGGTCCGATGTGGGCCGAAAAGGGAGGAGGAGAAACGGGATGTCGAGACCTGTGAGGTTTGGGAGTCAGTTTTGGGTTGGCCATTTGGAGAGCTGAAAAAGAGGGGAAGCGGTGGTGTACCTCTCGCCTTGAGCTCTGCAGTGCAAACCTTCACCAGCTCCCGAATCTCTTCTGGTTCGACCGTCTTCCGGGTGTAGGCATCGTCCCACAGCGGCTTGGTTGGCAGTTTGTTGGCAAGGTCGTTTGCGCCGTTTTTTTTGGACCTGGTCTTTGTGGAGCCATCCTTGCCCTTCAAGCGGGAAAATATGCTGGGCATGGTGACTTTTGCGCCCGCGTAGTACCCGGTTGGAGGATGCAAAACCGAATCTGAGATGCGAAGGGGTTGTATGCGTATGGCTATTGGTAGCAAAGTAGGGGAGAGGGCTGAAGCGAAAGTGGAAAAGGGGGGATGAAGGAGATCGGGCAAATTATGTGCTATACGTTCGGCGGCGCAAAAAGCCCAATGTTGACTGCGTCGTGAGCAGCGACGAGATGGGTCGTCTTTAATGGGGGGTAACGGAGGGCGAAAGTTGAGCAAATAATAGACTGGAGGCGGAGTAACTGCTGTGCTGTTCCCTTCTCTTTGGTATCTGCTGTAATAACAAGTTGGGAAACGCAAGCAATATCAGATTAAATGCCCGTACACAAGCGGGAGGTCTGGCGAGACAGGCCGAGAGGGTAAAACAAATAATATAAGGGTATCGAAACGCGCAAACACGGCGCAAGAGCACAAACGAAAAAAAATTGGGAACAAGTGAACGCTGTATGGGCGCTTGTAGGTAAGACGTGAGAACGAGGAGGGAAAAATAGCAGAGATCGTAAAATAGGAGGAATCAGGGGGGACGAAACAAGAAGCTAAAGGGAAAAAGCTTCCTTCCTTGTCAATATCTCTTGTCACTCGCTCCTTCCTACTTCTACCCTATTTCGTTCAGGGGCGAGATTGACCAGCGAGAAAATGGTATCGTCTGGCTGGGAGATGGGCAAGGGTAGACTAGGGAAGGTGGACAGGGCGTGGTTGGCAGAAAGTGGGGGTGTGCGCAGCGAAAGTGTGTAGGTTGAACAGGTAAGGTACGGTGAGTGTGCCCATGCTACGTGTCCTACGTCAGAGGGCGATTTACTGCGATTTGCAGGACCTCAGATATCTTACATGGTCGTTTTCTTGTCCGACGATCAGTGTCCGAGTGCATGGGCCTCATTTGGGCCCCTGCTTCACGTGTTTGGGCACCAATTGCGTACGGAGTATGGTGCACTTGAGGTGCTCATTAAACTTAGGCGCGGGCTATCTTCGAATCTCCAAAGATGTCCAGCCCCATGTAGCATAGCGTGCTGGTCGTATATTTCACGCTTTGGCATTGGCAGTGGGCTACATCGTATGTCTGTGAGATTTGCTAGTATGGGAGAGGACTCCGTAATAGTAAGTATCTTACTTCGTACGACTGTGCCCGAATACTACGAGTACTCCGTACCCCATACTAGTACAAAGTATCCTAAAACTATTGCAGGCAAATGCAAGAGCTGTTACAGGGCACAAGTGGGACCAGCAGACTAGCTAGAGGGGCACGTACGAGCGCTAATTAGAGCAGCTGAATGAAGAAAACTGCCGTGGCGTGTGCCTGGACCCTGCTCTGGGTACGGAGTACTCCGTACAGAGCAGCTTGTGTCTACAAGCTCTCATCGATATGGTAGGAGCATTCAGCTGATTAATAAAAAATAAGAGGGCATTATTAGCATCCGCACTCCGTACACTACCGTCAATTGCGGTAGCCCGTACGAGGAAGATGCATCCACACGATACGGGGCCACGCTATGGCTGCATGCATGCCCTATATGTACGGCGATATGATCGAGCGTGTCCGACACATGTCGGCAGCCACAGACCTATGGAGGTGAGCCGATCTGCCCTGTCTGCCTGTGTGTTTTACTTCTTCGCAGCATCGCCGGCAGTCGAAAAGTCTTGTGCTCAGGGATTACTGGCCGGAACGGCTAGCAGCCGTGGGTGATGCTTGCCAGAGCAGAGGCTGATACTCCGTAGATTGCTACTAAAACTCTATGTCGTATTCTACGCACGTCACAACAGGCGAAGCGCGGCGCCTAGCCACAGTTGGCCGGCGCTATGCCCTGCCAGAAAACACAGAACGGTTTGCCTTCTTTTCCCTCACACCAACCAGCTCAGGCATGGCCTACCGGATCGGTTGCCTTCATGGCATGAAACTCGCGTATATCTTGCTCGCCTCGAAAAAAAGGAGACTTGCCCTTCGGCTGAAAGAATCAGCAGAGCCAGCCAGAGCCATGCAAGCAATTAGTAATATAACTCAAAACATAGACACCAATCCGAAGAAAGCCCCACGTTTCTGTAGTCATAGTTGACTAGCTTACTTCTTGAACTGGCCGAAAATAGCAGCGGAACCCCCCCCCCCCCCCGAACTTTCCACATAAGCGGCAGAGTTGCAAGCTGGCAGCCTCTGAATGGCCAAATACGGATTAAGAGACTGCAAGAGTCCGGGGCGCAGACCCTTCCTGCCCATGCTTTAGCGAGCAGCTCGTCGAAGACCATGGGGGCTTGCCTTTCCGCTTGCTTCAAGAAGTATGGCGGCCTCTTTGTTTACGTGCAAAACTATCTTGCACAGCCATCGTTGCTTTTTCCATGGCTAGAAGGCCAGGAGTAAGAGATACATGCAGATATCTCCGGACACCAGCAGAACAGGAGGGTAATCCGCGGGGTCCGAAAACTAGAGAGGCCTACTCAATAATAAGCGGACCCCCGATGCACGCTTATCGTTATGCAACGCCCAAGGCGACCCGGGCCATAGGAACTGTTGGCGTGGAGCATGTAAGTATATAGCGGCTGGCGACGTCACAATGTCTCTTTTTGTGGCTTATGAAATTCTACTGCAAAAAAAATATATATATATAATAGTTACTCTGCAGAAAACGAGAGATCATTATTTCGACTAAACAAAGTTGTGGTTCCTCCTTTCCGTCATATGCCCAATAATATGGCTATTGTATCCCTAAAATCCCCTTCGTAACGATGGCCTATGTAGATGTGCCCACCTGCTGTATACTCGTGTGTAGTCATCCCGACAACACCGGTTGAGCTGGGCCGGAGATATTCACCTCCTGTGAGCCCTCACTCTCCTCGATGTCGGTTTCTTCTTCATCCAGCGTCCGTGCTCCGGCTCTGGCATTCTCCTTGTCTTCCTCTGTAAACAAGGCGTCTTTCTTGGTCTCCAGCTTTGTCGCTTTCCCCTCTTTCTCTTGCTTCTTCTCTGCCTTTGCCTCTTTCGTCTTCTCCTTCTCCAGCTCCTTCTCTTCTTCCTCCTGTTCTTCTTCCGTCTCTTCCTCGTTTTCTTCCTCTGTCTCTTCTTCTGTTTCTTCCTCCGTTTCTTCTTCCTGATCTTCCTCTGCAGAGTTCTGCACAGTGTTTTCCGTAGGGGTTCCCGCAGGTGTTTCTGCAGACTGCACCGCAGGCTTCTCTGTAGGCTTCTCTGTAGGCTTCTCTATAGGCTTTTCCGCAGGCTTCTCCGCAAGCTTCTCCGCAAGCTTCTCCGCAGGTTTCTCCGCAGGCTTGACCACGGGCTTCTCGACAGGCTTCACTGCAGACTTTTCCGCAGGTTTTACCGCGGGCTTCTTTTCGGACTGCTCAACAGGCTCCTCGTCGTGCTTCTTTGTCGTCACCACGGTGCTCGTTGACGTTCCTGGCATCAGGCTCCAGTTGATCTCGCCTTCCGACCCGTATCGCTTCAGCAGCCACTCGTTTGCTAACCGGAAGTGTTTGCACTCAAAGAACCCCCTGTGTGCGCTCAGCGGACTCGGATGCACGCTGTGCAGCACCAGGTGTCGCTTCTGGTCGATCTTGGCCACGCGCTTGGCTGCTAGCGAGCCCCATGCCAAGAACACAACGCCACGCGAGCGCCGCTGCGCCACCACTTCCAGCACGCGTTGTGTGAAGCGTTCCCAGCCATGGTTGGCATGGGAGCCAGCATCGTGTGCACGTACCGTCAACACTGTATTGAGCATGAGCACTCCGCGCTCCGCCCAAGGTGTCAACAGACCGGCCTTCTCCGGTGGCGGGGGCACAAAGGTGCCCGGATAGTCGTTCTTGAGGGCGACATACATGTTGCGAAGCGACGGTGGCGGTGCAACGGGAGGCTTGACTGAAAAGGCAAGGCCATGGGCCTGGCCATCGTTGTGATATGGATCCTGGCCGACGATGACGACCTTGACCGACTGGAGAGTGCTGTAGCGAGACCTGGAAGGCGAGGAAATGAGGTACTATGTCAGCAACAGCTAGTAGGGCAAGCCGGCTCCGAAATCGTGCTCACCAGGAGTAAAGGTCTCCGGGAGGCGGAAAGATCTTCTTGCCAGCATTGTGCTCGCGCTGCAAAAAGCGTTTGAGTTCGAGGAAGGACGGTGTGGTTAGGTCATCTTTCAGAGCCGCCAGCCAGCTTTCGCCAAGCGTGGCGATCTCGAGCTTGAGCAAGTCTTTCTGTTCTGGCGTCAACTTGGCCACCCATCTGGCCTTGTCGAACTTGGACTCAGAAAACACGGCTGAGGGTGTCGATGATGCCATAGGAGCTGCACTCTTGGCACCACTGGTGCTCTTCGGGGCTGCTATCGAGCCACCGAAAAAGGACGTGAGCGAGCTCTGCTGCTTCGGCTTCTTTGCATCAGTTTCGGCGGATGGCTCGGCGGCCGCCTTGCGTTTAAGGTTGGACATGGGGAGAGGATGCTCGAGGTGGTGAAGTGCAATGCTACAGGTCGTGATAGGCGGCCAATTGGACCTGAGCGTGTGATGAGTCCGATAGAACGGCAATTAAGGTGATCGTGATGCGGACGATTGAATGCCAGCTCGGGCAAAATATCGGGTTACAAGAAATGAGAAATTTTGTAACAATGATTGCGTGAGATTTCGGTATTTCTGTAAACAGAGTGGATTTGTCGACCACGGTGTAAAAAGGAGTACGGAGTAGATTTGTTTACGAAATGCAGCTGGCTGTCCATGCAGTGCTCCAATTGTCAGACAGTCGTCCAGGGTCAATGGCGGCTCCGACAGGGAGTGCGGCAGCTACTACTTTTTAGTCGGTTTCGCGCGTCTCTTGCAGGTCGTGAATTTTCGCGTTTAACTAGGTCGCGTCTGGATTACGTCGTCGGTGGCGGATTAATTAGCTCTTAGTAGCGTCCAGTTAGCGCGTGGAGAAGACGTTCAGCTATCGCCGTCCACTGCCATTGCTACATATTCTAAGGGATTCCTATTCTTTAACAGTCGGATCAGCAGTCAACGGCCAGGCTATTGTTTTTGCGAACATCTATTTCTTTCTTCTTTCTATTTACTAGTTTTAGATACCGTACGCACTCTAGGGGAACTTCGCTTTTGAAAAAAAAAAGATATATTATAAAAAGTACCGCCATGTAGAGTTTTGCCCTATTGTACGTCGTAGATCGCCTGTCCGTACGTCATAAACCGCCCAACTCCATAAATGTGATATCCTACATCAAAGGCTGCACAGGGCAAGGACCCTACTTAGGACCCATCCTTGTGAATGTTGCCCCCGAATTCCCGCTCTAGCGATCGTTCATTTATGCCCCGGAACATTTTCTTTCCAACTTCGTAGCTGCTGATCATGATGGCGCATGCGGGTGCCACCTTTAGGGTTCGGGGGATCCAGCCCTTGAAGAGTCCGGGTATACCCTCTGTCCGGTAGATGTGCCACAGCAGGCGACCCATGTTCTGCCCCTCCGGCACGGGCACCGTCGCTGCCGACACTGCCTTCGGGTCAATGCCGGCCATCTGAACATCCCGAAACACTTGTGTGCGTGTCTTGCCGACGTCGAATGGCATCGTCGCGATCGACGCAACCGCTCCGGACAGTGCACCTGCGGTAAAGCTGTCAAGGAAGGTGTCGCTGTGGTTCTCGCGGCTCTGCGACGGCCGACGTTGCCTTTGCACCCCCCGCCGCTGCCCGTCCAGGTCCAGGACTCGTTCCCGGCCGCGACGTCGCTCTCTCGCCTCCGTTATCTGTCCACGTACTGTCTCGTACCCCCACCAGTACATGCCAGAGAAGGGCACGTCACGCCACAGCGTCAGCGTTAGTCCCCGCCAGAGCGACCAGTATCCGTGTGTCTGCACCATAGACCGAAAATCCCGGAAGGTGTCCTGCAGAATTCCAGTAGTAGATGCGCCTTCCGATGCTTGTAATCTCGTCCGAAATAGTTCGATAGGGCCAACAGCCGTCGCAGCCATGATACGTGCCGAAGAGCCAGCGACCAGCGGAGCATACTGCTCTGACGAGATGTGCGAGACAGGGCTGTTTGGGTTGAAACGTAGCCACTCGTAACCTGTAAAGTAAATGATGTTGGCCGGGACCGACATGACCAGCGTCGGGGAGAGCCCGCGCCAAAGCGTAGATAATCCTTCGTTCCGGGCAATCTTTCGAAGTCCATCCATGGTGGAGTTGAATGTCTTCTGCTGGTGCTGTTCAACTGCGCAGTCCTTCGACATTGCGGCAGCAGCGGCGGCGGCAGCAGCAGCGGCGGCGGATTCGGCTTTTCCGGCACCAGCAAGACACATCTCAGTATTGGCATTCATGTAGAAAACTTCACGGCAGCAGGCCGTGACGCCAATATCGGAAGCTCGGAACGCATTAGACGAACTCATTATCTTTCGGAAATTGGCGGGTAGCTTCTCAAAGTCGATAACCGGCTGGGATACTCTCTGAGATTGCCATCGTATCCGGACAACATCGAGGGGCGTCACTGAGAGAAAGTAGTGACGTTAGAAAATGAGCGCCATAGAAAAGTGCCTCTCCATAGATGGTGCGCCTGAATTGGAGGGAACATACCCAGTAGACCAGTAGCGAGACTCCCGGCTGTCGCAGACAACATCCTCTGAAAGACTGTAATTTCAGGAGAAATCCTGTTGTCTGGGCCATCGTCTTCTATGCTTGGAGGTGTGTATGGCAGTGTCTCTGCGCCCTCATGATGTAATCTATAATGATCGTGTCTGTCGTTCGTCGAAGCAAACGACGTTGCCATCGCACCCAGATATCAAAAGCAGAACTGCTTTTGAGGGACCTTGAGATAGTCTCAGTGTTGATCGTCCTTCAGACAAGCAGCCAGTGTTTGTCTGTTCCTCACAACAAGAGAATTGGCATTGGTTCGTTTAAGGGACCGTCGATGAGGTGGATGACTGCGGAGTTTAATTCATGTCTGCGGCTATCTGGGGCGAAATGATGGATTTTTTTTTCGGCAGGCAGCCTTCTGTCTAGGCCGAATGACGTTGGTCCCGCAGCTATGTAGCCACTTACATCAGATAAGATAGACCGGTTTTCGGAGTTCTATGCAGCTACTTCTTGCTTCGGGTGTCACGTGTGCCTGGAAGCTACGAAGCTTTTTTGCTGCACGTTTAAAACCCAAGACGGCAGAAAGCACGACAACCACGGCTTATCGGTGGACGGCAGCGACCATTTCTCCAGCAGAAAAGCGCTACTGGACATGCAGTGCATAGCTTTACGCATCTAGTTGTTTTTTACTTGAGGAACAGCGATCGCGATAGAGATAACGGCGCGACGATTTTCCTCCCGAACGACGAATTTGACGCGACTTATTGTACCTACATCCCGACTTGCGATACGGGCAGAATGTCTTCGGCGGCAGAAAGGCTCGCCGCCTTAAAGGCGCGGGTTGCAGCAGCTGTTGCAGGAAATGGAGCCAGCAACAGCGGCGGCAGTGGTGGTAGCAGCAGCAGCTTTGGCAACAACAGCGGCATCGAAAGAACCAGCGGAATGCCACCAAGTGGAGGCTTAAATGTACCATTGCATCCCGCGCTCGAAGACCTGGGATCGAGAACGTTTACGAGCAAGACGACCGGCAAGGGGAAGGCATCCTTCCAGCGGGGCGGGCGGCGAGGAGCAGCAGTCACCGTCAACCCATATCTCGACAACACCCCTCCTGCTCCAGGCCTAGCAGCAGGGCCTGTGGCGAAGCCGAGGGAGCCACGACAGCTCCAGTTCAACCAAAAGGGTAAATACATTCAGCAGGGCAATGCACTCCGGCGGCAGGCGGCCCTCGAGGCCATGAAGAAGCGAATTGCCGAGCAGGCACGCAAAGCCGGAATGGACGAGATACCGAGCGACAAGAACTTTGTCGTCGAGGAGCCGCCAGACATGGAGTGGGTCGACCAGGCATATTTTGCAGAAGGCAAGACGTACGATGACATAGGCACGGAAAGCTGTCTGGTGGTGGAGGGAGAGGACACTGTCGTCACCGACCTGATCCAACATCCGATCCCGATCGAGCCACCGCAGGAAAAGCTGGTGCCGGCACCAAAACCGATGTTTCTCACGAAGCGGGAGCAGAAGAAGGAGCGGCGACAGCGGCGCATGGCCGAGCTGAAGGAGAAGCAGGCCAAGATCCGGCTGGGTCTGATGCCAGCACCGCCGCCCAAGGTGAAGCGGTCGAACCTGATGCGCGTGCTAGGCGAGGAGGCCGTGCAGGACCCCACGGCCGTGGAGGCACGAGTCAACCGGGAGATTGCCGAGCGGTTCCAGACGCACATGAGCACCAACGAGGAGCGCAAGCTCACGAAGGAGCAGCGACATGAGAAGCTGGCGACGAACCAGGATAAGGACGCGGCCAAGGGCATCCACATGCTCATCTTCAAGATCCCATCACTGGTGAACGGACAGCACCGGTTCAAGATCTGGAAGAATGCCGAACAGCTGGCGCTCACAGGAGTGTGCATCATGCACCCCAAGACGAGCCTGGTGGTGGTCGAGGGCGGCGAGCACAGCATCAATAAGTACCGCAAGCTGATGATGAACCGCATCGACTGGACGCAGAACGTGCCGTCACACATGCCGGCCAAGGCAACTGCAGAGGGTGGCGTGCCTGCTGAGAAGGGACCAGCTCGCGAGTGGCTGGCAAGCGAAAGCGAAAGCTTGCCGAACAACCAGATCCAGCTGCTCTTTGATGGCGAGGTCAAGATCCGGGCGTTCCGCAAGTGGCTCAGCAGGGTGTGCGACACAGATCGGGAAGCCTTTGACTTCCTGGCTCGGTCGAAGCTGGAGAGCTTTTGGGCACAGGCAAGAAGCGGCGCATGAAGCAGATCCCGTAAGAGGGCATATAAGTTCACGAGAGTGTTTGCAGGAGGTGGCTTCTCTAGCATGGCGTCACGGAAGGCTGTAATAATGCAAATAAAAGGGCAATGGTTTAAAGGAAAGAGAATCGAGGCTGAAGCACAAAGATGCGTTAAATTGCAAAGTATCACCCGAGATTTGGCCTGCATTCTTCTCAGCCGTAGCATTGCGACAGCTTATTTTGGCTATTACCCGCTAGTAGGAGATAAGCAACTAAAGGGTCCCCTTCCGGTCTACATGTCGCTTTTTCCGCCTATTTGAACAACCATTTCATATCTATGCAGTGACTGAAGTAGCAAACAGGTTGACACGTTTGGTCAAAACATAAGGGAACACTATTGTGCATCTACAGTTACAAGGGAATACCTCTTATTGCATCTCATTCCATCCAATTTGTTCTGCAAATTTTCGCTGGCAACTTGGCTGCATTTGTCATCCGCTTCGCCGTCATGTCCCAACAGCCAGGAGAAGGTGCCGATACTCAAATCAGCTCGGAGCTCGAATCCTTCCGACAGCAATGGCGTGCCGAGGTGAAGGCCAAAACGACAGCTCCGGCGAGGGCCGGCAAAAGCGGTCTCGGCAATGCCGGCTCCAGCTCCAGACCGCAAACCTATGCTGAGTCATCCGTGCAACACCGCTCACCACCGCTGCCGGCCGCAGGTACAGGCGTGCCGTCTGCGCCTCTGACATTGCTTTCTTCCGGAAAGAAGCCAGTGACACGTGATGAAGATGAGAGCTACATCCAACCGTTGTCTTTTGATGAGCCATCAGTCTCGGCCAAGGGAGGAGACAGCGAAGATGCCCATCATGGTTCTCAGGGAGAGCCACAAGAGCCGGTCTCGGCCCTTGAGCATTACGAGAAGGCGGTTGAGAAGGAAGAGCTAGGCAGTCTGGGAGACAGCTTGCGGCTGTACCGCAAAGCATTCCGGGTAAAGAAACGGAGATTCCCGGTATGTACGGTGTGCAGTCTGTGTTCTGACCCGCTCCTTCTAGATGGACAGCGCCGTGGACAAGAAGTACAAGAACAAGCACTTTCCGGCACCTGCCCCGACAGCAAGTACCGGCAAGACAGCAGCAACGTCCGAGGGTGCAGAAAAGCATGAACACGCTGCTAGCGGCAGCGGCACGGCAGCGGCCAAGCCAGACGCGAAGCCGCTTACAATGAACGAGTTGATAGCCTCATTTGCGGGCCTGGCCATAGAGGCGGCGCCGCCCCCGATCGAGGGCATGCCGGAGCTGCCGTGTCCCCTGGCGAGTCTGCCGGGCGAGATCCTGGTACAAATTCTGGGCGACGTGGCGGCGCTGGACGTGGACGACTTTGTGCGGCTGGCGCGCGTGTGCAAGAAGCTGGCGTACGTAGTGGCCAAAGAGGACCAGATCTGGCGGCGCGTGTGCGTCGAGTCTGCGTGCGGCTTTGGCGGCATGCGGCGCACATGGCAGACGACGATCGAGTGGAAGCCGCTGCGAGTCGACCTGCTGGGCGAGGGGGGCGACCTGGGCGGGCTTGAGGACGGTGTCGAGGCAGTAGAGACAAAGGGGTGGGTGGAGGACGAAGAGGAGGTGCGGCGGCGGCGTGAGGCCGAGCAGGCGGCAGCTGAGGCGACGACGTTGGCGCTGCGCACACGCTCCATCTACACGTCGTGGCAACACATGTTCCGGGCGCGGCCACGGGTGCGGTTCAACGGTTGCTACATCTGCACGGTCAACTACATCCGGCCAGGTCAGGCGTCGGCCAATCTGGTGACATGGAACAGCCCGGTGCACATTGTGACGTACTTCCGGTACCTGCGGTTTTTCCGCGACGGCACGGTGATCGGGCTGCTGACGACGTCGGAGCCGGCTGACGTGGTGCACCATCTGACGCGTGACCAGACGCTGCAGCACCGGGACGGGGCGATGAAGTACGCGATGCGCGGGCGATGGCGCATGTCCGGCATCGGGGCAGCCCAGGACAGCCAGGACAGCCCAGACAGCCCGGAGGCGTTCTCGTCTCTGGCTGCGGCTACGGCGGCCGAGAACAAGATCGTGGTCGAGACCGAGGGCGTGGGCAAGTACTACAACCGGATGGAATTCACGATGCAGACGGCCGGCAAGGGCACGCGCAACAACAAACTCAACTGGCGGGGCTTCTACAGCTACAACCGCCTGACGGACGACTGGGGCGAGTTCGGGCTGAAGAACGACAAGCCCTTCTTCTTCAGCCGTGTGCGGAGCTATGGGCTGGGGGAGTGATGGAAATGGAGAAGAGCTGGCTGAGCATGGCTGCATTTAGACTGGAACGGATAGTTACAGAATAGAAAGCCAACAGATGAGACCAGAACAAGTAACGCGGTTGAGATTTGAAGTTTGAGTACGGAGTACGGAGAACGACGTGCTCTGAAGGCCTCTTGCTTACTAATGTAGGCTGACTTGATGGGAATGGGGCATCTAGGACGAGTAAGTACAAAAACCTGTTGCAAGTAGTGTGTGGTCAGTGAGGCTGAGCGCTGCTTGGCAATTTGTTCTCGTAACAGCAGCTTCGCAGCCGATTCTCCACTAAATTCAGGGGAAACTTACAGGTATCTCGGAGCGCCGATAGCGTTAGTGGCTGGCGGCTGCCGAGTGGAGAAAGGGAGGGGTGGCTTTCTACTCCGTATACTCTGTAGCATCGTGTCTTTCGTATCCAATTGCTGGCTAAAAAATATCACCGTGTCGTCCTGACTCCACGTGACGTCCATTACCTCCTCGACGTCTGCCAACATGTCCTGAAGCCGCGTGGCCTACCCTCCTTACATCTATACTTTGTCCTTTTTGTTGCAATCTGTCCGTTCTTTCGCCGTCGTTGATCCACCGCATTCGATTCGACGCCATGGGTTTTCTTCGTGTTCTGCGCAGCGTCTACGACGTCGACACGCTCGACACCCGCTTCACGACCCCGTCCACGGTCCCCTACCGGGCTGCCGTCGCAGACCGCTACGACAATGGCAACGACTCGTCCGTGGCGGCTGACGACAGCAAGATCTCGTCGGTCAGGGCCGAGATCAGCAAGCGGGCAGAACCGTCCAAGTGGCGGTCACCCGAGTACTTGCTCTACATCATCCTCATCTCCATCGCGATGCCATTCATGTTCTGGATTCCATACAGCGTATCAAGGCGTACGTCCAGTGGCACCGGCCCTTCCACCGCTCTCATCCTTCGCTGGTAGCCCCGCTGACCGCAGAAGCATCCGATCCTCGCTACTCCAAGTACGAGTCGAAGCTCGCACCCGGATGGATTCCTGGCCGAAAAATTGTATGCTTGCCGTGCCTTGTTTCCGGACTCTGCTTCTTCTTCTCATCTCGCTCGCTGCTCGCTGACCATTGCTTCTCCAGGACATCTCCGACTCGCAGTACCACACTTTCCGCACGAACCTTCCCTTCATGGCCATCCTCCTCGTCTTCCATCCCCTCCTGCGAAGAGGCTGGAATGCAGTCAATCCGAATCGGCAAAAGGCGACGTCACCGTCGGCACGTTCCCCCATGCCGGCCACCGAGCAGGCGGATGCGCGCCTGCAGCAGCGCCTGTCCTTTGACCACGCCTTTGCTTATGTCTTCCTTGTCGCCCTGCACGGCATCTCCGCCGCCAAGGTGCTGCTGATCCTCTACATCAACTACAACATTGCCACGGCACTGCCGCGGCGCTACGTGCCGGCGGTCACCTGGCTCTTCAACATCAGCACGCTCTTTGCCAACGAGCTCGCCAGCGGCTACAGGCTGGCCAACGTGGCCTCCCTGCTGACGACCGGTTCGTGGCAGACGGCGATGTGGCAGGGCGATGGTGCCGTCGACGGCTCGCTGGTCCAATGGGGACACTGGCTGGACAGCTTCGGCGGTGTCATGTCGCGCTGGGAGGTGCTGTTCAACCTGACGGTGCTGCGGCTGATCAGCTTCAACATGGACCACTACTGGAGCCGGGCCAGCCGTGGTTCCAGCACGCTAGAGGTGAGAAACACTCCGGCAAGCTCACGCTCTCTATTCGACACTGACGCTCCAAAGAAGAAGCAGCTCGATCCCGCGAACCTGTCGGAGCGCGACCGCGTGTCCATCTCGGCACAGCCCCAGGACTTCTCGTTCCGCAACTACCTCGCGTACATCGTGTATGCGCCACTATACCTGACCGGACCCATCATCACGTTCAACGACTTCATCAGCCAGGCACGCTACCGGTCCGCCACCATCGAGACCCGGCGCACGCTGCAGTACGCGGTGCGGTTCCTGTTCTGCCTGCTGGCCATGGAGCTGGTGCTGCACTACGACTATGTCGGGGCCATCTCGCAGGCCGCGCCGCTCTGGTCGTCCTACACGCCGGCTCAGCTGTCGCTGCTGTCGTACTTTAACCTGCACGTGATCTGGCTGAAGTTGTTGCTGCCCTGGCGGCTCTTCCGCCTGTGGGCGCTGCTGGACGGCGTCGACGCGCCCGAGAACATGCTGCGCTGCGTCAGCAACAACTACAGCACGCTCTCCTTCTGGCGCGCCTGGCACCGGTCCTTCAACCGCTGGCTGGTCCGCTACATCTGGATCCCGCTGGGCGGCTCCAACTTCCGGTCCTGGCGCGGCGTCGTCCGCTCGCTGCTGACGTACGTGCTCGTCTTCACCTTTGTCGCGCTCTGGCACGATATCCAGCTGCGCCTCCTCATCTGGGGCTGGCTGGTCGTCCTCTTCTTCGTGCCCGAGGTCGCCGCCACCTACCTCTTCCCCCGCCGCCGCTGGGAAGCCCATCTGACCGCCTACCGCATGCTCTGCTGTGCCGGCGCCGTCATCAACGTCCTCATGATGATGAGTGCCAACCTCGTCGGCTTTGCCGTCGGCTGGGACGGCCTCCAGAACATCATCTACGGCATCCTGCACGACTGGCCCGGCGTGCTCTTCTTCGTCGTCGCTTGCAGCGTCCTCTTCTTTGGCGTGCAGGTCATGTTTGAGATCCGCCAGACTGAGCTTCGGAGGGGAATCTTGCTGAAGTGCTGAGCCCGAGCAGGGAGCAGCGGCTTGGCTGTGGAGACGTTGGCCGTGTAGGATAAAACTCCGTATATTGGGACTCGTACTTGCAAGAGTATAGCTGGTACGAAAAGTGGGGCGCTTGGCTTATAAGCGACGACACATTACGAGCATTGGCCGAACTTTATATAATTCAACTTGGCCTTTTCAATAGCCTCGCCTTTTCCAGTCCCCTTCCACGATGGATATTCCAGAAACAAATTTGACTAATTCTATTAGTGGATCTCTCCCTGTACCAAGACGGAAGTAAGCGCCCTCAAGCTTGGTCAGTTATACGATATAAAATAGAGACAGCGAACTCGAAGCCATCAATACCGGCATTCTGAAGCCGCCCCCCAAAGAAGTCAAGAGAAATTGCCCCGCTCCGATCAGCGAGCTGCAATCTTGGCAGATGGCGCAGAGTTCACCAGCTCGATGTCAACGCTGCGAACGCGGTCACTGGCGTCAGCGTGAGCAAACTTGCCGTCAAAGCCGAGCTTGCATTCGATCAACCATATGCGCATAATGATCAAGCCTTGAACGAGGATGAAGATGAGAACGCAGGCAATAGCGATGTGTGACATGAATACGATAACGATACCACGGTTTCCGACCTGCGCCGGGTCGAGGAAGCTGTAGACGTAGATGCCCGTGGTGATGCGAGCTATGTATGCAAGTCCTAGATACAGGACCAGGACTGCGAGCAGCCAGAGAACGTGTGCCCAGGCGTGCGGTGCTGTGCGCGTCATGACGATCTCGAAGAGGGCAAAGGCCGAGTTGAGGCCATGCCGAGACAAGCTGTTCCAAGCCACAAATTTCAGAGGGAACCATTGTGCCGGGGAGGCCCAGACCCAATAGAGAGCTGTGATAAGGAGGGGATAGACGGTTATTGTAGCGCAAAGGAAGGCCCAATGCAGGATTTGGAGAGATCGCGGCAAGCGGTCGGGCAGAGCAGTGCCGGTGCGAGCGTAAATAAAAGTGTCGACGGACGAAACCAGAAAGTAATAGGCGATGCCCCAGTAAGAGAGAAAGCTAAAATGGGAAAGCTCGAGGAGAGCGGCTGAGCAGCCACCGAGCTCGTCGTGGCCACAAAGCCAGCCAATAACGGAATACAGGACGAAGAAGGCGTAGATTGAAAACAAGGCTCGTATAGCGCAGAGAGCATACGGTGGGAGGCACCACGAGGTCTCAAAGCGGTACGTGTTGTCGAATCCGTCCATTGCTGTGTCGGATGGAGATTATGGCTGGAGGACAGCTTGTATGAACAGTCGTTAGAGTCGAAGAAATAAGCAGATGGACCAGCCTGGACGGACTGAATGGGAGCCATAAAGTGTGTGTCAAAAACAGCAAGAGCAATTCAATTGTGAGACAAGAAGTGGTATGAATTACTAGCATGAGGGGCAGCATGAAAATCAATATGACCAGAAGGGAGGACAGACTCTTAGGGGGCGACGTACACGTTGCGTAATGCTTCCTAACACTGAATCAGTAATATGTGTTCGTCTGTTGGCAGATTATGAGTAAGCCACGGTCTGGCCCATGAGAGCTGTTGTGATGTGCAAGGGAAAACAGAAACCGGGAAATGGTTCACAATATCCGCGAAGCACATTGTCTCTGTATTGTGAAGATGTAAGTGCAGTGAATTCCTTCCTATTTGGGCGAAACAGGCCCGCCCCATACGAGCATTGTTCAGCACTAGAAGCCGCATCATACTTGCTTTTTTCGTAGGATAGTTGAAATAGCTCCATTGCATGCATACTCCTTTCTCCTTACTCACACACATATCCTTTTGCACCTGGCATGCTGTCAACCTGGTTTCTGTCACCTAAGGCATGCACGCCAACTATGTATGTAAGAACGAGCCCACAACTCAAGCCGCACCGAATGAGATCTTACAGTCGGAAACTAAAAACTAGCGGCCAAACCTTGTTTTGCTCCTATGGCTTCATCTAGCCTCGGCTTCTTGTGCGGCTCGACCATACCTGACGTGCCCAAAGTAGCCTGGCATTGTTCAACCAGCCGATCTCCTCAGCTCTCTATATCCGAAGCAATTCAGGCGACGGACTTAGGGCACTTCGTTTTTTAATCTATATAATTCTTGTAGCGACTGCTCAGCTGCCATTGGCTAGATTCCACGTGTCCGACCAGGCTCTGATCGACGAAACAACGGCGCTGAACTTGTGTTAGAAGGGCCGGATGGTGGAGATCAGTCTCCCTTTCGGTATGTCCTCCACACTGGACCCCTGCAGGTCAGGAACAGAATGCGGCTTTCGTATACGTGAGAAGCTCTGGCAGGCGTTGGAGGCGAAACACGGGGCCGTTTTCGTGCAGACCTCTCTCCACGAATCGTCTACATCGTGTTTGGGGTGTGCCGCGATGATCACCGGGTGGCCAGTTCCCGCCTGGGCCATGGCTTCTTGGGGCAGGTGAGAGTCTGCTCAGCTGTTCTTGCACGCAGGGCGTCAAATGCGATACGAGGATAGCGCACGGGGCGCGAGGGACAATCCAAAACGCATCCATATCTTATCTGCGCTCGTAGATCGCCGACCTGGCCCCCGAAACACGTCGGCGCGAGAGGCTAAGATACAACAAAACAGACGCGAGGACGGGCAAAAGTTTGGTGCCGAGAATAAGAGCGGCACCAACAACTGTCTGCCGTCAACGATATTGGGCGAGGTTGCGTGTCATTGTCGCACAGTTCCTGCAGAAAGTGACCGGCCAACGACACGGAGCGGCTTACTTTCACCCTGGAGGCTGCATGCCGCCTCTGCTTCAAGGGTTGCATCCGGACGTAAGACACTCGTACGGAGTACATAGTACCGCGCCATGCTGGCACTGCGATGGTCGATATAAACACGTGCAGACTAGGCGCTGCAAGAGAAATGCGATTTTGAGAGTGCAGAAGCCTTTGCATTGGACAACATATTGCTCTTGTTTGCTGGGACGGCCATTGGGTGTAAAAATAGCCACCAATATTCTGTACTCCGTAGTGTATGGATTATTGGCAGTAAAGAGCATTAGCGATTAGGGCGGAAAAGGGCCAACAGAGCTCGCGTAGTCGCATGGCCTAATCTAGCATTGGCAGACCACAATGTAATTAGGCCGTAGACCACAAGTAAGATGGAATCCGCGCACACATGCGCAGTCCTCTGTCAACCGCATTTCCGTCCCGTGCGGGATGAGACCGTACCAATGGAATAGATAAGAGATGCATCTCTCCTTTTCGAGACTCGTCTTCGTACGGAGTACAGGTATCTTACGAGTACGAGGGTTTATCTCCTACTTCTTACCAGTGTAACCTCCTTGTGGGTCCGCTGTCCCTGCTCATCTTTTCCCTACCACCCCACCTAACCCGAAATGCACGGCGCCAAAGATGTGCGCAGAAGGGGGGGGGGGGGGGTTGGATTACGAACACATACTACGAGTACAGAGTGTTTCGTACTCGTAAAGCTCGTAGTGCGGCCTTCTTGCACGGGATGCCGGGGAATGAAGGGAGGGCGGACGCGCATCTTCTGTTGCGATATCAGGGGCAGGCTGTGCCGTTCCGAGCAGCTCTCTGTTTTGGTTTCTATCTCTTCTGGCTTCTGTCTGCTTGGTTTTTGTCTGTTTTGGCTTTGGCCTGCTTTGATTCGAACAGGGAGACTCGATGGATCGGTATTGCGATTTGCGGTTTGCGGATTCCGCATTAATCATCTGGAAAAGCCTCGGGCAATCTGGGGCTCGGTTGCCTTTGCAGTCCAGACCATTTACGCGGTGCGATCGTTTCTGTCTCAGTGCTATGGGGCTGTTATTCTGCAGAAGGACCTTTCCGCAGCCCCCTCCCCCTCTCCCCCCGGCCAGCCCCCCCCGGCTCCAATAGAATCTGTGTGCCCTGTGGGAGAGCTCCATAATACCCATGTATCCAAGCGTGCCAGCATACTCCGTACTATGTAATATTCACTCAGCTGTACGCCTCGCCTGCAGCTCGCTGATGTCTGTCGGTCCGGCGCTGTGTCGTGCCTGCCGCGCCCAGCTGTCTTACGCATGCCATAGTACTTACTCCCTATGGAGCACGTCGTAAGACGCACTTCTTCGCCGGGCTGTTCTGCTAATTAGGACAGGCTGCCAATTGGATACCGGTCTTTCCTGCCCGTTGCACTCGTTGCATTCGTTGCACTCTTGCACTCCCCTTTTAAACAAGGCGCCCCATCCGTACTCTACGCTAACGATTTTATCTTCTTCCCTCCTTTCCACACCTCTTTTCCCTCTCCTTTTCTTTTATTTCCTCGCCCCTCCTCGTCAAATAATATCAACCTCTCGCCAGCGCGCAGACGTGCCCCCGTCCCCAAGTCCTGGTCCTGTCGTCGCCACCCGCTATCTGCCGCTACTCGCCAGCGTCTCTTTCTTTTTGGTCCGCCCTCAGATCGTGCATCCTTCCAGCATCGAGCGCCTTGTGAAACTGTCGCCTACGAAAAATCATATAACAGTCGCGGACGGTATCACCATCGTTCTACCCCGGCCCCGTGTCACGCCCTTGCCTCCCAGAGTCGTCTGATACCGCTGCTTCACCCTCCGAGAGTTACACCGCTGCTGTGACCCTTGGCATATACGTCAACCTGACGGCTCTCGCTTTCCGTCATGTCGGGTGTATCTCGTCTCTGAGAGGAGGACACTCGAATTCTGGCCTCAGCCATCAGAGCGCTGGTTCCTACCTGAATCTGTCTGCTGCGTGAGGCGCCTCCACGGCTGCTTCTTGGGCCTTTCGCAGAGTCCGGCAGCCAAAGCCCCCAACGACGCGACAGTGGCAATACCGGGTCTCTGGACGAGGACCGGCCTGATCAACGATCTTGCCTGCATGTCTAATACGCAACCAGCAGCCATGAGGTCCACGGCAACCGAGGCGGCTGCGTCTCTGCAGCGGAATAGCGAACTGGCCATCCGTCTGTCATCAGCCCAGTCGCACGCAGCCACCCGACAAGGCGGAACGCCTCAGAACCAAATGTCGGCCGATATCACCGCACGCGCAGTACCAAGAAAGACTTCGATCCCGCGACATCCTATCCCTTCTATGCAGGAGGCATTCGCCGAGTCGCTGGCGGAGGTGACGTCGGGAACGCTCTCGCTCAAACCCAAGCTCGCTGTCGACAGCGCTCAAGCTCGCCGCGCCCGGCTAATTGACCAGGACAAGTCAGAGGGGCCACCCGCCGCGCTGTGGCGGTATCGCCCCGGCCAGAACTGCCACGAGCTGCGCAAGCTGATTGCCCAGATTGCCTTTGGTGTCTATCTTCTTCTCAAGGGCATGGCCAACAACAATGCGCAGGTGGTTGCCATCTTGCAGGGCCATATCGATGAGGTCGATGAGTACCTGAGAACGGCCATGGACGATCTTACGCTCGCCAATCAGGACCTCGCTACCCGGCTAGAGCATCTCAGGCTTCCACTGAGTGATCTGCCTGCCTTTGAGGATATGCTCGAGGACCGGGCCTTCCGCCTCCGCATCGTCGAAGGCAATGTCCGGATTGAGCATATTTTGTCGCGAACCGGCACCGCCCTGCTGCAGGCGACAGAGGACATCAATGAGGGCCTTCGTTCGACAAAGGATTTCAATGCCTATCTTTCTTCTGAATCTCAAGGCCCCTGGCACGCTGATGCCGATGTTGCCGACATCTATGAAGCGATGCGCGGCAATGCCGAAGGCTGGCTGAATGCCTTTACCGATATGGAAGAAAAGAGCCACACGCTCGGAATCCTCATCGCCAAGCTGGCTGAAATGGTCACTAAAATGGACAATTGTGCCGGTGAAGTGAGCCGTCGAACAAGAGTAAGAACATGCGCTTATCTTTCAGTGTGAATTTATTGTGTGTCAGGCTGACCCTGTCGCCCTAGTTCACCATACAGCCGTACACACTGCCGGAAGACGACGTTGGGCAAACATATCACATTTCACAGATATCAGAAGGCTCGCAGGAGTCCTCAAATGACTCGTCTCACGAAACGACTCCTCCAGACTCTCCAGGTGCCCAGGCCCATGTCCCACAGGAGCCTCCCCGTCTCTCGCTGCGGCTTAGTGTCCTGGACAGTAGTAGCCTGACAGCAGATTTTCTCGATCTCGGTTCAAGAAACAGCCTCTTTGGCGGCGATGCTATGTTCTCGACCTGGACCCCAACCTCAGGCACGGAAGAGAGGAATAACGCTGCCATCCAAGCCGAAAAAGCGGACGACCAGCGACCCCATGAGCTCGCGATCATGTTAGACGCAGGCCCAGGCACGGAGTTTCATGATCGCCGGTCTAGCCCGGGTGGACGCGAAGAGAACGGTGGCGAGAGGATCGATACCGACGCCGCGGATGCATACGATTTGGACATAGATGATGACAACCTTTCATCTATTCCGCTTCGCATTGACATTGATTCCCCAAAGCCGGTCGTAAATAGAGCATTGAATCACCATATGAAACCTGAGAACAGTTTCTTTAACGACGAGGATGATGAGGACGATGAGGATGAAGAGGATGAAGAAGCTGCAGAAGAAGCAGCAGAAGAAGCGGAAGCTGAGGCGGAAGCAGACGAAAAAGCAGACGAAGCGCCACTGTACCTTCTTCAGCCACGGACCTATACTCCGCAACCGCCTGCCCCGTTGCCATCGCCGATGGTGCACGAACGCAATTCATACCTGGCGTCCTCAACTTCACCTTCGCCTTCGCCATCGCCTTCTCCTTCATCATCGCCATCGCCATCGCCAACGCCATCGCTACGACAGCAGCAGCAGCAGTACCACTACTACAGCCACCATCCGAGAGCCGACAAAGGCGCACCGCAACTCTCGGTTCGTCCTCCTCCAGAACAGCCAAAGTACCGAGCCCCTTCTCCGGCTGCACTGGGCCAGGCTACAGCAGTCCACCTGCGCCCAGGGACTGGCCGCAGCCACGATGGAGGAGACAGGCAGATCCCGCATAGACAGCTTTCGATGCGCTCACCGGTGCCCTCGGAATCTTCGTCTAGACGGACCGAGACGAGTGGTACTCCATCCAGAAAAAGAACGTCTCTTCGTGAGCGAATTTCGCTTCGCACAGCACCACCGGAGGCGATCCTTGTACCGGCACCAAATGCGCCGCTACTCCAACGACCGGTGTTTGCGTCGCCACGGACCTACCAGAACTACAGGACGTTCACTGGCCCAGACTCGGCCAACAGCACGGATCCTGAGCGAACCCTTGCTCCATATTACGCGGACGAAGTGGTGCACCCGAAAAGCAGTGCGGGTGCCGAATTCAATCCGCCCGTCTTTCCCGGCATTCTCCCGTCTCCACACTCGGATCAGCAATTCTTCCGCCCTGTTCAGGCAAGCCCACATTCGCCTCTGCAGCAACGGCCTCACACAGCCGGCCAAGTCCCGATGCGATCCCACCACCTCCGTAATGCACCGTCGTCGATGGGCATGAGCACGCTGAGCAGTGTCACGACGATGACGCAGGACTCAGAGGCCACCAGGCGAACGGTCAAGAAAAAGCGGAGTGCGTTTGGGTGGCTCAAAAAGGCCTTTACTCTGGACGACGATGAGCGTGCGGAATTTGACCAGCGCAAGAAGCAAGCTCAGCAGAACGCGTATTTCGAGTCACACTCCAAGGGCCCGAAATTCCTCGACGGCCGACGGGTCCGATAATTGTACCACCACACACAACATAATCTAATAACTTGGCTGTTTTGGTTTCTCATTTTGATAGGATACCCCACGGCTTCTAGCGTCCCGCATAAACTAGCCAGCAGCAGTTTCCTGAATGCATTTACGAAAGCATAGCGTTCCTTTGTCGTTCTCCATTATGTCCTAGCTGCTGAGAGTAATATTGGAAAGAACTGCGGGTGAAAAGAGGATCTCAACAAATACAATTGTTCTAATAGCGGTATTGATAACGGCGGCATATCAATGGCAACCTTGGGGAATACAACTGATACATTCCGACATGCGTGCAGAGTAACCTTGCGGTTCTTTTCTCTGTTATAATTTGTCGCGAAGCGCTATGAAGACAGCCTCGGCCTTTGCTCTCAGCTGGGCGTCTTCGTCCCAGATGGCGCCTTGTACGTAGAACTTGCGCGGTCCCTCCAAGCGCGTGAAGCGAGCGGTCACTAGGATGGTGGCCGACGTACGCACCGGGCGAACATAGGTAGTGTTGAGGAAGCCGGTGACGAAGCCATGGCGTACAGTTGCAGACGCAACCGCGGCCGCTTCTGCTGGTGAGTATTTCTCGTCGGTCTGCGAGGGGGTCTGGCTCTGCGAGTTTTCTTGCTGTTGCTGTTGCTGCAGTTTCTGCAGCCGTCTGAGGCGGCGCTGGTTGAGCGGCATGAGCAGGCCAAGCACCTCGTCGAGGATGGTGCCGACGAGGCCACCGTGCATCACGCCCACATGGCCGTTCATGCCGGGGCCGACGGTCATGAGGGCCTTGAGCTCGACGATGGGTGCATGCGACAGCGCGTCGGCCGGCTCCTCGTAGAACACGACGTACGCCGAGATTGTGTCGGGCGAGTTGAGCGTGTTGGTGAACGCGTTGTCGGCCGTCTCGGGGCTGCTGATGCGGAAGCCTTCGGGTGTGGAAGTTGCTGGCGACCACAGCGACGACGACGACGACGATGACGATGGCCGTTTACGCGTTGCCGGCACCACGATGCGTATCCGGGTCGAGCTGCCCGTCGCCCCGGCCGGTCCATTCTCGGCCGGCCGCAGATGGGCGCGACACCAAGGGATGGCCAGAAAATGGGCTACCGCACCGGTCGGATCATCGGACACGGTGACAGAAGTAGAAGACAAGGGACCGTCTCGTTCAGGAACGGTCTGGCCCTCAGGTCCGGCAGCGGACACGTCTGGCTCGCTCGAGAAGCTGCCCCAGCTGGCGGCCCCTGGTGGACGTGTCATGGCGATGTGTGACAGGAGAGGATGGGCCGCAGAGGTGCTGTAGGAACGGGAGACCAGAGGGGTGGCAGAGAGCTGTGAGGCGGCTGCTTTTAGACGGCGCGAGATTCGCAGAAACGACATGGCACGCAAAAGAAGAAGAAAACGGCGGGGGAAACGGTACTCCAAAAAGCTATATATGGCAGCCGATTGGGCGGGGAAACAACGGATTCGCAAGATCGACAACGAAGCTGGCAACCAGGCCGAGGTCCGTTTCGATTCACAGCTAGCGGCCCACTTTCCGTTGTAGCTGGGCCTGGGGAAGTCGAGTTCACGTGATATTGATACGTTTAGGCCATTTGATGCAACTTGTAATACCACATACAGAGTAGTGGAACGTACTCCGTACTCGTAACATATCTCTCCGAGTCCAAGAACCTCAACCAGAAAAGCCATCTCGGATTCGACACAAAAAATCCAAAAAAAACCCGGGACCCCGGGACCCGGGTATCTAGAGGCGGTTGTGTGTGCATCGTTGGCAAGCCAGAACACGGCAACGTCCGCACTCATATATGTATTCGGGGAGATAGTGGGAGCATGTTTCGCACCGGTGGGCACCTTCACGACGCATCCATGCCCCGTGAGCACACCCGTGGTTCCGCACCAGATTTTGTCGTTCCCTTTGAATCAGGCGGGCTCTGTCCTGTGGATATGGCATCCCAGCACCGGTACCTCTGTTGACGATAACCTCGGCTCTGGTGATCAATCTGTGCTCATCCCACTGTGGGCATTTACATGTTTTCCAGCGTTTGCCACACGTATAGCAAAACTGTGCACCACAAATACAGGCTGCACACCAATCTCAGAAACGATCAAATAGCCATGATGGGGAGACACTCACTCATGTGGAAACATCCTAGTTCCAGCTCGACAAGTCTGCGGCAAGAATAGCATCGCTGCCATCCCTTTTTAGCGGCAAGTTGGAGGACTTTCTGTACCGATGGGTCGTCCGGGCAGTCACCTTGGTGCGAGGCCCCTTTGCAGATGACGCACGTGCGAGTATGGCAGCGGGGGCAGCTCCCTATGCCATTCTTGATGAACTGGGCCGGTATGTAGGTAGAGCAGGTCTGCATGTGGCAGTACGTCCTCTTAGTGTCGTCTAACTCGACCTTTTTGGCAAGAAACTGCCCGACGAGGCTGGTCGGTAGAAACGGTCGGTTCGGTTCAAGTGGGATCGCCTGGCGGCAACAACGAGGTGGGTACAGCGACTCGTCCTTCATAGAGGCAGTAAAAAGGGTTGCCAAACAGGAACGACAATATTCGTGGGAGCATGGACAGCGCGCAATGTCATACAACCTAAATTCCTCCCGGCAACTGACACACGTGGCCATGCTCTTCGCTCCGGGGGCATGAGGTCGTCGACTGGAGGCCCATGAAGACGATTCCGGCTGATCGGCCACGCTGTCGTCGGGATCAAAGACATACAAGGCCCCCAACTTGCTGAGCAGTTCAACGTCAGCATTGGAATTGCCAGCCGAGCTGTGTGATGGGGTCTGTCTGTTCAGATTAAGATTCAAAGCCATTTGATGATCTCGAGCTGCCTGCTCTTCTTCTTGCTGTTGGCGGGAGATGAGCTCGCCATCGGCAACAACGGCTTGGGCAATGCTCATACACATGCGCCGATCCGTGAAAAAAGCTCCGAACCCTTCCAGCTCTGCTTTGTAGGCAGCCAGAGCGAGTTCGGAATCAAGCTGCTCTCCTTCACGCTGTTTTCCTTTGGAAGAGCTGATCAGGTTTTGAAGCCCTTGGAGCTGGAGCTCAATCATCAAAGATACCGATGCATCTTCGCCGCTAAGAGCTTCCATTATAAACTTCCATTCAGGTTGAACAGGTCGGAAAGCAGTGTAACTGATATATGGTGATAATGGGGTGAAAGGCAATGATGGGCTTTGTACTATGCGGTGTCGTGATTTCGCCGACTTTGGTGTGGCGAAGGTGATAATTACCCCTCACACACTAACAGCTTCATATATATATTCAAGAGCGATTCCGCTCAATATCAGCTATGTTGGTTCTAAGACACAGGTTGCAAATATAATCTCTTCTCAGTAAGATACCAACCCATCTAACCAATGATGTTATAGAAGAAGCCTAGTCCCGGTGTGGAAGTACCTGAGCTAACCGTATAAGCCTTAGTCATTTAGGTATCGATCTTACATCCTAGATCTTAGCCAACTGTACGGAGTACGTACAGAGGTAGGCATCTGCCGTATGCCCGCGAGATCAAGTAGCAGGGAAAACTCTGAACATGATCGATCACTGAGGATTGATCACAACCTGTCGAAACACTACGTGAACTAAACGGAGGCGAGAACGGGCATTACTGGAAGGTGTCCGTTCCTAAAATCAAGAGCGAAGTAAACCAATCGGGAACTTTGTTCTCAGGCTTGGTCATACTTTAGGACTTCAGAGTTGGCTCCATCGAGGCTTTAAGGCACTCAATTTACTGGCAAATATGAAGTTCGATACGCCTAATTGGAATTGTACCATCTCAGATTATAATGCGAAATATTCTCGCATTCTACATTACTGCTGTCCGGGCTTCTCGCCCATTATCAAACATATTTGGAAGGCCGGTGGCAAGACAACGATAATTAAATTGAAACAGCTTCAAAAGCAGGTCTCTAATTTTTTTTCTGTGAAATTCATTCACCGACTGTTTATTGCTTCTTCCAAATCTTTAGCAACGGGCTCCGTGGCAACAAGTTCATAATCAGCCTGGGTTTCTATTGCCTCCTCGAAATCCCTTTGCAGCACGTTGAGAACAACTTGGCTGTATGATGGCAACAGAGGCATTTTGCACCGACTGGCCAGCAGTTGAGCTAACTTTGCGCTCCATACCCGCAGACTCCAAAGTGTCATCGTCGGAGTTGGAGTCGTCTTCGGAGTCAAGATCAAGCTCTGTGGCTTCTTCTGCCATATTGGAAGAAAAATTGTCGAAAACTCGAAGACTGTCGATAGGTAGGACTGTCGTGTCTGAAGCAAGCGTATCCAATAAATCCGACAATCGCAGCATTTATGCTGGTGAGCCACTCGGAGCTGATTCTGTGGCCATCAGACTGTTGCGGTTGCTTCCTAGTGTCAAACGAATGGAGATATCTACTGCGATTTCAGACTACTGGGTCTTAAAGTGCCAAAATCAGAAAAAAATAAAGAAATCAGAAATATGGCAATCAGACCATCAACCGTCTGTATTTTACCTCGGTGATTGACTGAGCACCGACTATAGATGAAATTGGTACGGGACACCTCATGTACGATGCACTCAACGCCGATAAAAACACAAACGGCTCGTTAGAATCAAGTATCGAACATCAGGTCGTATCCAGTATCGCCTTAATCATGCCTCTCTCTCTGATCTACCAAAATATGACACAGTAAGATTGCCATCGGTAGCATTGGGGGCATCTTGACCACCTGCGTGTCGGATTCCGTTTCCGGTGGCAACGACCGCAGATTGAGAAACAGGCCGTATACGGGCAGAACATCGCCCAGCGTCTCGATCTGTTTTCAGCCGGAGATCAACGCCGCGCGAGCCTCTACCTGTGTGCGTTTCGTCGCCGTGCTCGGTTCTTCCTTGCACTTGACCTGCACGAGCAACGCAGTCATCGATCGACCAGGGCCTTGCCACACGGCCACCAGCAGGTCTGCGCCTGGGAAGTTCGCCGAGAGATACCAGGCCTGGCCGGTCAGAAAGGTCATTTGCAGATGGCTCTGCGTGATGTACGGCGAATTGGTGCATAGCCGGCCCAAGTGCGTGGCGAGTATGCATGACCTCTCCAGCAGTGTGCTCTTCGGCTGCGCCCAGACAAACGTGTGCAAAAACGGCCAGACCTTTGTGCAGGGTTGTGACGCCTTTGGCATCTTGGTCCGTTGACGTATTGTCAGCAGCCAGGAGATGTAGTATGCCGGCAATGATCTCGCCGGCATCGCTCACATTCAATGCGTCGTGGTGCAGCATCTTGACGAGACTAGTCATCATAATCCTGCGCAATCCAGCTCCTCCTTCATTCTCCACATGACGTGCAGTGCCAGATCACTTTGATCGTTGATGCTGGTATAACGAGCTTGACTGGGAACAAGACGTCCCCCCATAACGGTCACCCTAATGAGAAAAAGAAGCGTAACCATTTGTTGCTTTTATTCGGGGCAACCTAGACGAAGCTATGACCATCAATGTGCTGTACAATGATGGTCCGGAGCCATTCTTGCACCTTTGTAGACCGCTTCGCCATACCATCCCGGGTGGTATGAATCCCGTACAAAGGAGGAAACAGCTTTATGCTTAAGCCGATCTTCAGGCTTGGATCATGCTCGAAAGACGGCACAAAATCCTGCACGTGTGACAATGTTTCTAGCAAGAGGTCAAAGATCTGAAACGCCTGCGTTTGTCTTCCTTTGGCTTCCAGAGCTCGTCGTAGCTGGTGAAAAGCCACGGGCTGGCGACCATTTGCGACGACATTTTTTCTGTCGTCAGCTCTCACATGCAGTAAGCCACGGGCTTCATCGAAGCATATAATGAGGAGTTCGGGCTGTCCGCGTTGATATGTGAGCGTCTGTCTCGTTGTGGCCTGCAGCGCATCCCACTTCCTGAGAGTAGCGAGGTTTATGTTGTCTAAGATTATCCTAATCGCCGCTTTGTTGCATGGCTTTTTGAAAGAGTGCCCGACTAGACTAGCCATTTCATCGCTGAAAGAAGCATGATTCTCATGGCATTGGAGCCGGAAGAGTATGGCAGGGGACATGTCCAATTCTTCAGTCAGCTTAACAAGCTCGACGTTCGCTTGGATAACGGCCCCAAAATATCCGGATAGCTTTTCTGTCCGAAAGGTTCCGTAGACAGTCGCCCAGAGACCCAGATCGAATGATCGAAAGGGCTAGGACAAGCTCGTATGAAATACCCAGACCTGCTCGCCTTCAGCCAGGTGCTTAAGTGACAATCACTTGCCGGACCCGGAGAGCCCGACGATGGCTGCGTATGGCGAGTGGTATTCGCAGCCGTACTGTATCTCGTAGTGCATGCCGGCGTACTGTATCAACTTTTCGTGTAACCGCCAACTGGGAGAGACCCCAGCACTATCGGTAATCTCGTCACATTCAAAGGCTGCTTGCGTAAAAGTGCCATTAGTTCTGGCAGATAGAGACTTTGCTTCTCCTGAGAATGCCCTGACGGCCCTCTTGGCATAAACCCGCCGGTTTGTATCCTTGAAAACTCCATCTCTGATCCCGGTAGCAAAGCTCTGCTGATGCCGCTTGGCAAACCGGTCACCTCGTCGGGAACAGCTGGTATGGTTTTTAGCTGTGGTCATTGTTAGCGCAAGGGAAGGCTGTGGAGGCTAAGCACTTACAAGTATCCATCGCATGTGTGGTATCGTAATGCGTAGATTGACGAAAATTTGACGGTTGTTAAAATGATTGGAGGGAAGCAGGAGTAAGAGTTTACCACTAACCAGGATATTCATAGCTATATGAAATCGGATCGCACTGTCAGACTTAGTCGCGTCGTGATATACGCATGATATTTTCAATGATGCCGGATAACAGTGCTTCTATCAATATAACTAATGCAGAGTCTTCGATAATATATTCGGTCTGAACGGCGGCTATCGCCGTGTAGTGTCTGAAAGGCTTCCGTAGCTATAGACCGTAATTGCAGGGAGGGCGAAGCTGTCCGGGGTCTCGTGCTAGAGTAGACCATCCCTGTCAGGCTTTAGCAGGGTGGTGATTAGAGTGAGCAACGTTGAGTATTGAGAAGAAGAACAAGTGAGTCTTAGTCCTATGCAGGACGTCAATTTAGGGAAAATCATGTCTTGTATAAGAGATTGGTTGACTGCATCGTCGTTGGTGTATAAATGATATTGACTAATAGGGACATAATATATCTGTTTTTTTTTTTTCTTTTTTTTTTTTTTTTTGTTTTAGTTTTGTTACGGCTGAATAACTTGGCATTTTGACTTGATTACTACAATTCAGGAAGGAGGGTTGGTGAGGTTGTTGCTGGCAAAGCAGATAGAATTAGTTAATACGCTGATGCTGATGTAAGGTGTTACTTGGCAACTAGGTCCGAGCGTCTTGGTGATTGCAATTGTGAGACCAAAGTAAGTATCAATTCATGCCTCGGCTTGCAAATCTGGTAGTGCATCAGTGTTATTCATCTTCACGAAAAAGCTACGTAGGACGCGCTGCAGCCTGCGCTTGAATCGATTTATTGTGTGGTGGCTAATGAAGCAGGTGTAAGATACCCATCAAATGACACGGACCTGGGCTGGCACAGAGACAAGCGACCGACTGGGGTAAAGATTGACACAGAGGGACTTGGGATATATTTATTTCTAACTCTATCAACCCCTTATCATTATACATCCTAGTTCCCATCTTGCAATATATCGCATCCAGTTGTATATGCCAAAGTCGCTTGTTTCAACTGCTAACACTCCGCTATACAAATAGGAAAAACTACTCCCACGGACGTGGTTCTTTAGCTCATAGAACCGTTGATAGTATAACTTGTAAAATGTAAAACCGAGCTCGTCTGTGATCGGGTGGGAATCGAATCGCCCCCGTATGGTATGAGTCTAAATGGTGGGAGACCAAATTCCGAAGGAACCCCGATAGGAGTGGTTGGTGTGCCTAGAGTACGAACAGATTGGCGCTGGGGACGCAGATTGTCAAGTTCCACCACTAAACACCAAAAAAAGTACAGAGTACGGAGTAATTAGCTAGTGTTTTGTAAGAGAGCAACTCAACTCAAGCGCCACAAGAAGCAAACAAGGTACTAATATTACCGTTCGCCTCTAGGTCTGGCCTAAATCCACGTCGCATGGATCTCTGTTCAAGGCAGGTCCAAATAGCCATAATCGTCGGTGGCAGGGCTATCAAAATCCCAATAATAGCAATATAAGATTCAGCGGAGAGAGGCATCGTTAAATGTGTTTGTCGCGGTACACAGTAAGATTAAAGTAGTTAAAGTTGGTAAGTATAGTGTCTAATGCGACTTACACAAATAAGAGCGGCGTTGGTGACGAACAATATTTATATTATACTCCGTACTAGGTAATAGGCGCGACGCATTTTGGACCCGTATTGATACTAGTGCCAGAAAAATCACAGGCCAGTACGGCCAAATGGGGCGGAAGGGCCACAGTGTGGAGGATTCCAATGCTTGACAAAATACTATTAAAAGTGTACGGAGGTCCCTACCAAAAGTCATGCCCACCCTATCTCACCGCCTTTCCTAATAAAGACATAAAGTCACAGTATATAAAGGGTCACGTGCACTGTATATTCTCGCTAAGCTATCAGCATGTATTATGCTGTAATTTCCTTATATGCAGTAATTCTTAGTGGGACTATAAGCTAACTGTTATCAGTCTATCGCTAAGTTTGTTCTCCGTGCACACAGCAAATCAGACTGTATACTGCCGATGTCACATCGAAGGGGTCACGACTTTAGGTAGCTACACGAGCACCGCTAAGGCTGCACTTGCTTCTCCTAAGATACATTTTTTTTCTCCTACTCCGTACACTAGCAGAAAAATAAATGGGCGAAATGACGACGGGCTAGTAAGATAATTTGTATGGCTGACAACATCCAACGTGTTTACTTTACAAGAGAATTCATTGGACGGGCAAACACCGCCACATTAAGTACCCACAAGTCTTTTCTGCAAGCAGGGACCCATTTGGCTGCATAACTAACCAAGAGTATTCCGTTCTCCGTACTCCTCCGTACGGAGTATTTACAAGGTGGATGGGGTAAGATTCGCGCCCCCTGTCAGGTCTTTTCAACCGCGTCTTCAGATTTTTGCCACTTGCAAACAATCGAGCAGTACATTCCTTTTGCAAAAGCGAACGTTTAACATGCCCCACTTAAAAAGTGGGAACGTGGGTCGTAATACTGAGCAGGCAATATACGACGTAATACGGGGTACGGAGTAGAGATCATACACATTGCGTCAAGTCACGTGACTACTTCAGTCGCAGAGCCCTTTAGGCGAGGCTGGCTGGCAGCTTGCAGCTGCCCCATTGGCCGACTTGGGTGGGGGTGACAAAACGGGGTGAAGGCGGGCAGAAAAGCATTTCGTCAGCCTTTCGACAGGCTTCTCTCAACAGTCTGCGCTTGTTCCCGTTTTTGCCGTTTTCGCGGTTTCTTCGCTCTGATCAACACAACGAAAAGAAAGATGGCTGATAAAGGTGAGTGCGAAGCAAGCATAGATCTGTGTGCGCTTCTTGGAGCCAGACCTTTGACCTCTCTGCAACGCATCTTCTTCCACCGCATCGGCTAACCCGCCAGAACTCACCCCCGCCGAGGAGGCAGCTGTCCGCGCCAAGGAGGCAGCCGAGCAGGCGGCGCTGCCGTACAAGTGGACGCAGACGATTGCCGACCTGGACGTGGCGGTGTCGTCGATCCCGGGCAACCTCAAGGCGCGCGACCTCGTGGTCGAGATCAAGCGCGACGCCATCACCGTTGGCATCAAAGGCCAGCCGCCCGTGGTCACCGGCGCGCTCTTCCGGCCCATCCTGACGGCCGACTCGACCTGGACGCTCAGCGGCAACGCCGACGGCACCAAGACGATCGAGGTCCACCTCGACAAGACCAACAAGGCCGAGTGGTGGCCGCACGTCGTCACGTCCGCACCCCAGATCGACGTCACCCGCATCCAACCCGAGACGTCCAAGCTGTCGGATCTCGACGGCGCCACCCGTGGCATGGTCGAGAAGATGATGTACGACCAGCGCCAGAAGGAGCAGGGCAAGCCCACGTCTGACGAGCAGAAGAAGCTCGACATCCTCAAGAAGTTCCAGGAGCAGCACCCCGAGATGGACTTTACCAACGCCAAGATCAGCTAGGCGTGTCGGACAAGGAGGAGGGGAAAGCATTGGTCATGTACAGAAGCAAGAATTCAATTTTTTACAAACATTCTCATGTCAGCGACTAAACGAAAACCAGGGGCTATGCAGTCAGCCAAGGTCTCAGAGAACCACTGTTTGCTTTTGGAACGCCAGTAATGCAGTAGCAGATAGACACGGCTGCAACGCATATGAGAGCGGTCCGACACAAAGAGACTACGGTACAGATGGTCGCAGAGCGCTGTCAACCTACCGTGATGTGACCGGGAGTGGTTTTACGTGGATGACACATGGTTTTGTTACATTTGTTACAACAGATACGGCACGTGATGTTGTTGGCCATAAACAGCCGTTTCTGTGATATTTCATTGCCCGTCCGGTTTACTGCTTTGCCAGCCGCGCTGCCTTGAACCGGCTGACCCGCTTGTGGCCGCCCTCGTCTTCGTCCAGCGGCACGACCGCCGACTGGTTGGCGTGTGTAAACCCGCCCTGCCGCTGGATCAGCCTATTGCGCGACCGGTGGTATTCCGTCGCCGCTTCTTGCATAAGAAGCGCTGGATCTAGCTCGTCCGGCTCGCGCGCCTCGGCCGTTGGCTGCCGCTCGACCACAGCCTCGGCCAGCGTCTTGCCTTCTGGGCCTTCCGGCGTCACCCGGCGGTCCAGATCCAGAAACCGCGCCGGCGCCTGGTGAGGCCCTTGCGGCAGCTGTGGCACTTGCGGTGAGGCCACGGTTGTTCCCCGGGCCATCTTGAACCGGGACGGCTTCTTGGCCACGGCCGGCTCAAGAGCTCCCACGGTCGGCTTGCTGTTGCTGCTCTGTCGCTCAATCACGTCTCCCAGCGGCTCGACAACAGGCACGACATCCTTGGCGTTGACAGCCTCCAACTTCTCGGCTGCTGGTGCCACATCGGCCGGAGATATGTCGAGCGCGTTGGCAAACGAAACTTTCTTCTTCTCGCCCGACTCCTTAGACTTGTCCTTGAGCGATGAGCCCGTCGAGGGAACGCTTCCCGACAATGGTGCCGCCGTCAGGCCAGACACACGGATGCGCCCAATGCCTTCGTCAAAGTCGTTTTCCTCGCTGTTGGTGTCTACAGCCATTGAAGAGGCTTCCTTTTCTTGTCGTGCGACCCCAAGCTTCCTCTCGAGCTCTCGCATCCGCTCCCGGTATGCCTCGTCAATGGCGCTATATTTGGATCGCCCATGGCCGTCTTCCTCGTCGTCATCGTCATCGTCGTATTCGTCGTCGTAGCCTTCATCGTCTTCCTCGCCAGAAGATACCTCTTCGATATCGAGCTGGGCTACAATCGGCCCAATCTCCGACATGCTGTATTCCAGCATCTCACGGCGAAGTGCAGCGTCAGCCTCCAACTCGTCGATGGGGGCAACTGACGTCGCAGTGGAAATCATAGACTCCTGCTCTTTTGCTGCGCGTATGATCTCGTCAAGGCGCTGGGCTGTGCGGGACATTTGCGGTTGTGATGTTTCAGAGGAAGGCTCGTCGTGCCCGGGTTTCGTATCGTCTGCGAAAGAAACGCCTTTCTTTCCGTCCTTTGGCGCACTTGCAGGTGCAGCGACAATTTTCATTGCCGAAGCCGATGAAGGCTCTTTTTCTACGCTTTTTTGGTTCTTTTTCTGGTCCTCCTCTTCAGGCCCACCCTCGGGCAGCTCGTTGATACCGGCCTTCTTGAGCGTCTCCAACACACGCGACTCCGTGTTAGACGGTGTCTGCAGCCGCACATTCAGCACGTTTCCTTCCTCGTCTAGTTCCTCGACAATGTCTGTGATAGGCTCGCCCGACTCTTCGTCGCCGATCATATCCGGTCTGCTAATCACCTGGGCTGCCGCCAGCCGGTTGGCCTCCCTCTCCACCTGCTTCTGCAATGCTGACGCATTCTGCCGCACGTAGTCGAGCCGCCGCCCGATCAAACCCCGAATCTGGCCCGGCTTCTTCGTGATACTCTGGCCCGGCTGCGCCCCAACGATCTCGCTGACTGTCTTCTGGTCCACCAGCTGGCCGTCAAAGTCGCGGCAGACGTGGGCCAGCCGGGTCTGCTGCTCGTGCGAGAGCGTCGCGTCGGCATCGCCATCGTCCTCGCTGTCGCCGTCGTCGTCGCTGGTCCTTGTGGCCTCGGCCACCTCCTCGCTTAGAGCCTCGTACTCTGCCTCCAGCAGTTGCCAATGCCCGAGCGCCTGGGTCAACTTGGCCACGCTGGCCTCGAGAAGCTGGGTATGCCGCTCCAGGTCGGAGACGCTGTCTCGTATCGTGGTCATCGCATTGGAGAAAGAAACTGCTGAAATATTTCCGTCAAAAGAGCGAGAAGAAACTAAAAAAGGGCAGAAAAGATGACGGTCCATAAATTCTCGTGATTGTATTTTGCTAGCCCAATTGGGTATTACATCATGGCGTAAGGAGTACTCCGTAGCCTCGTTCATTCGACCTACTTTGAAGTCTTTACGAGTATTCAAAGGTCTCAGGTTCTCTACTGGTAGATAATCTAGTCCCAAACATCAAGAAAACCAAATAAATTACAAGACTAAATCAACTATGTCTTCCTAGGCGGAACGTATGACTTCCTTATACCTAGAAGGCGGTGTCTGTAGACACGTGACACTCTGTGATTACATGGTAATATCGATTAGGCAGCAGCTTGGTCATGTGGGCGAGCAATCTACAGCCTGGCGCGATCACGTGCCTGACGTAAGCCTAGTACTTGGTCTTCTATGCCTGAGACCAGGGTGAATACTTTCCCAGCCAGCATTGCTCATCACAGAAACACAATCGACCGGCCTACTGTGCGCATGACCGAAGCAACCACGATACAGCAGGATTGACTGCTCAGCGTCTGTGGTCATTCGGGTGTCTGTTGCATCGGCAGGACTGTCTGTCGCCGTTCGCCATGTCGCGAAAACCTTCGAGCCGACCGCATGGCAACACAGCGGTGGTGCCGGCGCCCTTTACGGCGGCCAACTCGGGCACGGCCGGCGTGACGATGGACAGCACGGGCACGACTAACGGGTCGGCCGACGACATCTGTCCGGTGTGCAAGACGATTCGCTACCTGAACAAGGACATGGTCTTTTTGATCAACCCGGAGTGCTACCACCCGATGTGTTCCAACTGCGTCGGCCGTCTGTTTACGGGGCCCAACCAGTGTCCGTATGCGGGCTGCCACAAGACGCTGCGCCGCAAGGACTTCCGGCGGGCCTTCTTTGAGGATCTCGGCGTCGAGCGCGAGGTCGACATCCGTCGCCGCGTCGCCGCCGTCTTCAACCAGACCGAAGACGATTTTGAGTCGCTGGACGCGTACAACGAATATCTGGAAAAGGTCGAGGCCCTGACTATGGATCTGGTGAGTGGTACGCCGGCTGGTCGGCGCACGGCCGAGGCCGAGCTGTCACGCTGGGAGGCCGAACATCGCGCCGAAATCGAGCGGAATCGCCGTCGCGGCGAACGAGCCGACGAGCTGAGCCGGTCTCGGCTGGCTGCCGAGAAGGAAGCTGCTCGGGCCCGTCGTGTCGACGCCCTGCGCCAGGACGAAGAGGACCGCCGCGCCCGCTTGCGTGCTCACGAGGAGGATCTCGACAGCCTCGTGCGTGCGCCCGACGGCGACGGCGGTGCGGCAGCTGGCCGCATCCTTCTCCGACGTCGCGGCCAGAACCAGCGCGACGCCTTGATGGCCTCGGAGGAGCAGACGCTGCGGAATGACGCAAACGAAACGACTAGAAACTCGGGTGCCCTCGTCGGCTCGGCCAGCACGAACACGGCCGCTGCTGCAGCCCCCCCCTCGGGCCTCACCATCCGTGGTCTCAAGGACCGGCGCAAGGCCGCAGCTGCTGCGGCGGCCGCGGCTGAGGGCCCCTACGACCCGTTCGAAGGACTCGATCCGCCGCCGTCGCGCTTCCACGTCCAGGAGACCGAGTACCGCAACCCTTGGCTGCAGGGCGCGCGCGAACACACCAGTCACGTGGTCGGCGGCTACGACGTGCACGAGTACTGCACCCGTGCTCTCTTCGACGCTTTCTCCGGCCTCGCCGTCTTTGTCGCCGATGAGAAGGAGACCCGGCTGCCCGGCGTCGCGGCCGCCGACGTCGCATCCATGGGCGCGTCACTCGCCGCTGCCGACGGCCCATCCGCCTCGTCGCTCGCCATCAAGATGGAGGTTGATGCGGTGTCGTGAGACCGGGTGCGGTTTTACTTTTGCATTGCTATCGGCGTTGGGCTCAACTACAAGGAAATACCGAGTATATTATTTACCTTGGCACACTGCAAAGGTGGCAGAATAAAAATATAAAAAAGGTCAACGGAAAGGACGCGGCCAAAAGGCTCGAGAAGACGGCAGGATATGGGCCGTCCATCAGGGATGCTATGAATTATGTATGTACAGGGTAACCAGGAAGGAGAAGAACGTCATAGATGGCCGAGCTCGGGAAAAATGGAATGGACGGTACTGTAATGAAATGCGAATGAAAATGACAACGCCTCGCTGAGTCCGTCGACGTGCAACGGGATAGATCGGTGGCCCTGTTGCATCTGCTTTTGGCCTTGTGCCTCTCTTCTCGTCTTGCTTGTTGTGTTCTTGTCGTTGTGTCTCCTCTTCTGCTCCTTCTCTTGTCCTGTCTTTCCTCTGACATCTTTCCTCTCCTTGTCCTCTCTTCTCTTTTCTTCTCTCTTTCCTTCTCCCTTCCCTCCCATTCTCTGCCCCGTTCTCTCCCCTCTTCCTCTCCATCTCCCCCCTTACTCACTGCCACTGTCCGCCTGTTGCCGGCCGTGGAAATACCGACACCGTGTCCAGCTGATCCAACAAGTTGCCCGTCGGCTGGTTGTGCTGCCATCCCATCCCCGTCTGCTGGTTCACAAACGCTGCCTGTCGGAACGGGTTCGTCGTGCCCGTCGGCTGTGGTGCCAGCGCGCTGATGCCTCCTGCCGTCGCTGGCCGCTGCTGCTGTCCGTCGCTGCCGGCACCGCCGCCTCCGTTGTTTCGCGCAAATGGGTTTGTGCCCGTCCGCATCGCCACGAGCGGTGCTGCCGCCGGTGCTGCCGCCGCCTGCGGTGAGGCGCGCGCAAACGGATTCGTAGATCCGGTCGTCGCCGCCACCAGCGGACTCGCTGCCACTGCGGACGTGTTGCTGCCCGTCGCCGTCTGGGTCATCATCGACTGCCGGAACGGGTTCGTGTTCGGCTGCTGGCCCGTCGGCATGGCCATCTGCGGCAGCGCCAGCAGGTTCGCCTGCTGCGGCTGGAAGGCCGTCTGCTGCGGCTGCAACAGCTGTGGTTGTGGCTGTGCCGTGAACCCGCCAAAGCCCATGCCCGTAAACGCTGGCTGTTGCGGCTGTGGCTGCTGCTGCTGCTGCTGCTGCATTTGTTGCTGTTGCACTTGTTGCTGTTGCATCTGTTGCTGCTGCGTCTGTTGCTGTTGCATCTGCTGCTGCTGCTGCATTTGCTGCATCTGTTGCATCTGCTGCATCTGCTGCTGCGGCTGGGCGAACCCGACAGCTGCTCCCGTGGCCTGCATCTGGAACGGGTTCGTCGACGCATAGCCCGTCGGCTGGGCCACGAAGCCCGTCGGCTGCTGGAACATGCCCGCTGCCGGCTGTGCCCCCCAAGGCGACGCTCCGGCCATCGGCTGCGGCTGCTGGCTGGCCTGGACCGCCATGGGCGTCTGGTTCTGCTCGATGGAGCCGAAGAAGTCGATCAGGTTCTGGTCGGGCCCCCTCGGCTGCGGCGGCTTCGATCCTGGTGGCGGTGCCAGCTTCGGTACCGACGTTGCCGCATTGTCGGCCTGGCTGGACGCGGCAGCCTTGGAGCCGGATGCCTTGGCGCCGTCACCCGAGCTGCCCTTGGACTTTTTGGTGGCAATCTCGGCGAGGTACTGCCTCCGGTGGACCTCAAAGTCCGGGTCTTTGAGATACTCCTCCAGCTGACGGCCCAGATTCACGGGCGCGTGCTTGAGCTTCGGCACCTCCACGCGCGTCTGGTGCTCGTACTGGCGCGCCACGGTGAGGTATTGCACCACAAAGTCGGTCTGTCGCGTAAAGGTAAGATAGATCTGCATGGCCCGCTCGGCGTCGACCTTGGACATCTCAAAGAAGTGGCCTGCCGCCCCAGTCTTAGCAGTCGCGCATGCCGAGCGAAGGGTTCAGAGGGCGCCCAACAGTGGTGCACACACGTACCTAGGATGTTGATCATCGCCTGGTTGAGCACCTGGAAGAGCGAGAGCAGGTCCAGAACCAGCAGCCGGAAGACAAAGATGGTGATCTCATTGCCCGTGTCGTCGTCCACCATGTCGCACTTGAGGAGCGCCGTCAGCTGGTTCTGCACCGCCTCGGTTTCCCGCAACAGGCCCTTGTCGACCGTCAGCTTCTCCAGGATCGACTCCTTTGCGCGCACCCAGTCGACCTTGGTGTCGCGGTATGCCTTTGCCCGCTCGTTCAGGTACGTCGAGTAGTGCCGTATATTCCGGCCTTGGACCTGACCTGCGGCCGGATGTCAGCTTCTTTCTACCGTCTGTTCGCCCTACCCATGCTTACCGTCCGTTATGGCAGAGGGCACCAACAGGCCTCTGTTCGTGGAAAGATAGGCTAGTGTGATGTCGGGAGAGCCTTCGCGGATCATCAGGTGGATGGTGATCAGACTCTTGAAGACGGTCGTCCACGAAGTTTCCCGCATGCGAAACTGGAGAGCACGGAACACCTCGCCGACGCCAGCCTCGCCCGCATGTGTGGCGATCAGAATGTGCTCAATGTACTTTGTTTTCGGCGGCGCAAGCTGCAGGGAGAGTGCACGGTCAGACAGCTGGCAACGCGGCCATTGAGAAGGGAGCTAAAGGACATACCTTGACCTTGGTAGCGCCCTTGACGGACTTTTCAAACGAGCTCGCCATGGTCGGAAGAGAATGATGAGTGACGTGGGGTATTTGGTGTTGCGACGGCACAGAGCCGGTCTAGATGGACGAGGCCGGATGAGAGACAGCAGGCTGTGGCGAGATGGAAGTGGTGAGGCAAGCTGCAAAGTTCGTGGTCGAAAGACGGTCGTAGGTCGTTCGTTGGTCGTGAAACGAAGCGATGCAGGATCAGTGTTTCAACAGAGGACGGCCGCGGTCGCGGACGGCGCCATCGCAGACGGAGAGATGAAGGAAGTGATGACAGGGGCAGCGGATAGCCTCGGCGCCAGGGATTGTTGGCCGGAGAAGCAGAAGCGGGCGAGTCGAGGAAGGAGGACGGTGCGGTAGCAGTGCAAGGCCGGAGGGGAGAGGCAGACGTCAGACAGGATTGCGTGAGGACGGAGCGCACTCGGGATCGTTGGATGCGGCGGCGCAGACGGGGAAAACACGCAGGAGGACGTTGCAGTTTGGCGTTTTGGCAAAGGGGAGAGAGATTGCGCTGCATTACGATTTACGATCACGGGAGGCTAGCATCCGGACTGGCGTTAGCGGGTTCGCATAGTGCTAATCAGAGCGCTGAGCCGGACATCCACGCCTGTGCATTGACGCATACCGGGACATCTCCAGTGGACAGTCCGCTGTGCGGGGCAGATTGCGCCTGATTGGTTGGCCGAGTTACAGAGCTCAAATTGATAAATTTTCTACTATCTAGCAAAGACAAACAACGACAACAAGCTGAAGGGTATAAGGCTGTGAAACACGGAGAAGAGTGCAAGAGGCAAAAAGCGCAAAAAAATGATTGCAGTGGCAGTGCAGGCAGTGCAAACTAGGGGAACAAGAGGTGGTGAAACGGGGTAATACGAGGCCTGAGAGACCTTGCTCCAGACACTCTTTCTCTTCCTTCAAGATTGGGTCAGATTGCCGTTATCGCGTTCGTAATAAACAAGGTCGGTTGTGCCGAACGCTTATTTCACGCATCCCGGGTCCCTGCCTCCACAGCCGACCGCTTAAGCACCCGAAGGCGAGAGTTGGCTGTGGCGCAGGGGGGATGCATCAAAGGATACACGCTAGCTTTCATCATCTGATCGCGGCAGTTAGCAAGACAGTTGGACATTGGCTGGGCTGTGACAAAGCTTGCTACTCACATTGTTTTGAATTGGAAGGATAATGAGAAAAGAGGGAAAAGAGGAAGAGAGCCGTCTGTGAGAAGATGTTCATATGCTTTTTTTTTTCTGCCACTGCTAGCGCGGTGGGACTCCGGAGCGGAATGTCATTGGCCCGAGTACAATCACAGTGCGAGACCACACTGTATGGCTTTTTCGTGACACCACTTGCTTGAGCTTGTTGAGTCTGGTATACAGTGAGGAATCGACCAGAGGACTCGGTACCGGATGCCATGTTAATAAAGGCTCTTCCATTCAGAGGCGTGCAGGCCGTTGCAGGGCGACATGTTCCACCAGCAGCCCTTCGTGGAGCCTGTCTGTCTTGCCGACTTCGCGATGCAGCAGGGCCGAGAAAGCTGTCGACGACGACGCAACGAAAGCAAAAGGCGACTGGCAGAGCGGCACTGTCGGAGAGCCAATGGGACGAGTATAAGCAGAGCTGTAGGTGACAACGGAGGCAGCTGCGGCCCTGATCCTGCGAGCGAAGACAGGTTTCTGACGCAGCGACAGTTGACTTCCCGCGTGCTTCCAGCGCAGACGAGTTCGAGGTGGGCCGGACGGTGACGGTGCACGGCTTCCTAGGGCGGCGGCGGGACATTTCGGCGCGGGCGAGCTTTGTGGACGTGGTGCGTCCGGGCGAGCCACAGCCGATCCAGCTGCACTCGACGTGGGAGGCGGAGGGCAACAGCGGCGCCGAGACGACGCACGCGCAGCTGCGTGCAGTGCCGCCGTACAGCGCGGTCTGGGCGACGGGCACGGTGGTGTCTGTGCCCGACAGCCAGGGCAAGGCTGGCGAGAAGGTGCTGGTGCGGCTCGCGGCCATACAAGTGCTCAGCCGCTTTCCGCGCGACATTGTGGTGTCCAAGGGCGCCGTCTTTCCAGCAACGGCACGCCACCTGCAGATGCGCTTCTCGGCGGCGCTACAGCGGCGACTGGCCTTCCGCAGCGACGTGGCCGACCGGCTGCGACAGCTGCTGACGGGTGCGGGCTTCCGCGAGTTCGAGACGCCGCTGCTGTTCAAGTCGACGCCTGAGGGCGCGCGCGAGTTCGTGGTGCCGACACGGCGTCGCGGCTGGGCCTATGCCCTGCCCCAGAGCCCGCAGCAGTTCAAGCAGATGCTCATGGCCTCGGGCGTGGCCGCGTCCTACTTTCAGTTCGCCCGCTGCTTCCGCGACGAGGATCTCCGTGCCGATCGTCAGCCCGAGTTCACCCAGCTCGATCTCGAGATGGCCTTTGCCACGGGCGAACACGTCATGCAGACCGTCGAGCAGCTCGTCCGCGACCTCTACTGCCACATCCAGCAGACGTACGTGTTGGCGCCCGCTGGCATCGGCAGCGCGGACGAGAGTGGCCTCGTGCCCACGCCGCATTCCGAGGCCCCTACATCCGGTGACGCCGTTCCCTACGCGACCCTGCCGGACGAACCGTTTCGGCGCATCTCGTACTACGAGGCCATGGCCAAGTACGGGTCGGACAAGCCGGACCTGCGGATACCAGGAGAGGTGGGTGCGGCGAGATGAGAGAAAAGAGAAAAAAAAAAAAAAGAAAGAAAACAAGAGACAACTGCTAACACCAACAGATCCACCAAATCGACCACTTTCTGCCAAAGACCTTTACCAGCATGATTTCTGACCTGGCCGACCCTGTCGTCGAGGCCGTGCGGCTGCGTCTGGACGGCAGCCCGCGCGCGAACCGCGACTTTGTGCGCCGACTATTTGACAGCCTGCCGCCGACCCTGGGCCAGAACCCGGACGGCCAGCCGGCCGTGCTGCTGTTTGATGCGAGCCAGCCACTGAGCGGGCTAGCCGCGCTAGGTCATGAGGCCGCGGCGACGCTAGGGGTCGAACTGGGCGGTCTGGAGGACGGGGACGTGGTCCTGCTGCAGGCACGCCGACGCGAGCCTTTTAGCGGTGGCTCGACCGCGCTGGGCCAGCTGCGCCTCGAGGCGTGGCGGGCGGCCGTGGCGGGCGGTCTGCTTGAGCCGGATCACCGCTTCTGCTTCGCCTGGGTCGTCGGCTTCCCCATGTTTACGCGCGACGTCGACACGGCCTCGGAGCCGGGCCAAGGCGGCCATGCCGGCTTCTCGGCCACGCATCATCCGTTCACGGCGCCGCTCACGACGGCCGACCTCGATCTGCTCGCTACCGATCCGCTTCGAGCCCGCGCTGACCACTACGACCTCGTCGTCAACGGCGTCGAACTCGGCGGTGGCAGCCGTCGCATCCACGTCGCTGCCGTCCAGGAACTCGTTTTGCGCCACGTCCTCCAGATGGACGACGCCGGCGTCGCCCAGTTCGCTCACCTGCTCGCCGCCCTGCGCGCTGGTTGCCCCCCCCATGCTGGAATGGCCCTCGGCTTCGATCGCCTCGTCGCCCTGCTCGCCGGCACGCCGTCCGTCCGCGACGTCATCGCCTTCCCAAAGAGTATGAAGGGCGAGGACCTCGCCGTGCGCAGCCCCACCCGACTGACTGCTGCCCAGCTCGAGACGTACCATCTGGCGGTGCGGCCGGCCGCAGACAAGGGAAAGGACGCAGAAAAGGGTGCAGAATAGACTCACTTTGTACTTTGTACATCCAGAAATACACCGCTACTAAAAAGGATGACTAAGCACAAGGCTGGCAAGGCTGTATACAGTTCAGAGACACAGTGTGCGACATACACCACACGGTCGCTAACCTCAATTTTCCGGTGGAGTATTAACGCAAGATCCCCAAACGGCGTCGACGCCAACCGAAGGACGAGCTGCCCGCGTTGCTGTCGTTTCTTTTGGACCTCTGCACCAGTGTCTGCCCCGGATCTCGCTTTTCTCTCTCCTGCCTCTCCCCACCATACGCTTGCTGCAGAGCTCGGCCTGTCATCATCCGCCACCCGGCCTCCCGTCCGTTCTTCCACGTGGTCCTCCTCCTTTCCTTTTGTTCGGGCAGACGTCCCCATCGAACGATCAGCTCGCACGCTCCCAGCCTGGTTTTGCGCAAACCCTGCCCGGCTGCATCTCGACGATCGCGCGGTCTAGCGCTGCCCTCCCTCTCCCATCACATCAGGCTCATCGCTCGCCACTTCCGCCATGGCCGACCGAAGCGTTGAGCGCGAGCTCACGTCGCGCGTCAAGGCGCTGAACAAGGCGATTGCGTCCAACGAGCCGGCGCACAGCATCCTGGCCATCATGGAGACGCTGAAGAAGGCGGTGGCCCCGACGGAGGATGTGCTGCGGGTGGGTGTTTTCTTGGGGGCATATGTTCTTTTTGTTCTTTTCTCGTTCTTTTTTCTTTTCTTTTCTTTGTTTTCTTTTCTTTGTTTTCTTTTTCGTTTCTCTTTTCTTCGTCCTCCTACTAACTTCCCCAGTCAACTCGTGCCGGCCATACGGTCGGCAAGCTGCGGGCACACGCCAACCACGAGGTCAAGTCGATGGCCACGGAGATCGTGACCAAGTGGAAGAAGGCGGTGGAGCTGGAGAAGAAGCGATCGGGCGGCGCTGCGGCGAGCAAGCGGGCCTCGCCGGCCAACCACAGCAGCAGCACGGGGACGCCGCAGCGCAGGGGCACGACGTCGCCAGGACCGGCCGGACCAGACGCGCGAGCCGAAGCCAAGTCGACGGCAGCAGCTCCGGCTGTGGCGGCGTCATCCGGCACAGCGACAGCCTCGTTCCAGGGCGATCCCGACAAGCGCAAGTTTGAGACGGACGGCGTGGACGTCAACCGGACGGGCGTGCAGAGCCGCGACAACTGCATCGGGCTGCTGTACAACGGGCTCGCGTTCCGGTCGACAGAGCTGCCGGAGCGGGTGCTGGCCAAGGCGATCGAGGTCGAGAAGGCGGCCTTTGTGGTGTACAAGGGCGAGACGGCCGAGTATCGGGCCAAGCTGCGGTCGCTCTTCCAGAACCTCAAGAACCGGTCGAACCCGGCGCTGGGACGACGCGTGGTCGCGGGCGAGATCGCGGCTGACGCCTTTGTCGTCATGTCGTCGGACGAGCTCAAGTCGGCCCACCTGAAGCAGCTCGAGAGCGACCTCCAGAAGGAAAACATGAAGAAGGCCCAGGTGCCGATGACGGAAAAGTCCATCAGCGACGCCCTGACCTGCGGCAAGTGCAAGCAGCGCAAGGTCAGCTACACGCAGGCGCAGACGCGCAGCGCCGACGAGCCCATGACGACCTTTTGCGAGTGCACCGTGTGCGGCCACCGATGGAAGGTGAGTTGGACTTGGCTTGGTGGTGTGGATAGCTGGTGTCCCGTGACCGGAAGACTGACAAGCGTGCCTAGTTCTCGTGAGCAGCCGTGCAGGACGGAAACGGGTGGACCTTACAGCGGGATATGGACCTGCTTTGCTTTTGTTTCTTGTCTCGTCCCTTGCCTTCTTTGCTCTTCCTCTTCCTTCCTTCCTCTTCTCGGTCTTCATTCCCGGTTCCCCCCTTTTTGTCCCCGCCCAGGGACGTGTAAAGAGTTACGGTGCAGGTTGTTTAGTGTACAGACGCAACACGTTAATTGCAGGTGTGCATGTTTACTTCTGGCTTCGCGGCGCGAGTCCGAGGATGGTCAAGAGGTCCTTGCCTGCAGCCTTTTCTGTCCCTTCCCCCTCCGCCTCCCTCATCTCGTCAATGACGTTGTAGAACTTGCTGAGATGGCGTTGTCCCGAGTCGCACAGCAGCGTGACGACGCGGCTTCCGGGCGGCAGGGTCAGGGCGACAGCCACGGCGGCCACGCAGTTGACGGCCGTCGAGCTGCCGGCAAAGATGCCGTCGTGCTCGACGAGCCAGCGGGCCATGTGGCAAGCCTGTGTGTCGGACACGGCGACGGCGTCGTCGATGAGGTGGAGGCCGGCCTCGAGCGTAGCCGTCATGCGGTTCATGCCGATGCCCTCAACGATGCTGTCGACCTGCGACCGGCGCCGGGTGCCTTCTTTTTCCGTAGCCGCGTACAGGACGCCGTTGCGGACGAGATTGACGAGCCCGGAGCCCTGCGGGTCGGCCGCGACGATGCGCCAGTCTCCAAGTCCGGCATCCTCCTTGAGGAACCGGGCCACGCCCGTGAGCGTGCCGGCCGTTCCGGCGCCACAGACAAAGGCAGACTGTCTGGAGCTGCCGTTCCGACTGGCGACTTGCTGCACAATCTCCGGTCCGGTCGTCCGTCGGTGGGCCTCCGCGTTTGCCGGCGTCTCAAACTGGTCCGAGAAGAAGCCGTGGCTGCCGTCGGTGTGTGTCTGGCTGTGTTCGGCGGCCGCCCGGCGCGCCCGGTTGACAAAGTGCCCCGGGTCGACGATGGGGGCCACGGGCACGCGCTCGACCACGGCACCCATCTCGCGCAGCAGCCGCGACTTTTCAACGCCCTGGTCGTCCGGCATGAAGATGTGGGCGCCGTAGCCGAGAGCGCGGGCCAGCGTCGCGATCGAGATGCCCGTGCTGCCGCTCGTGCCCTCGTAGATCGTGTCGCCGCGCCCCGGCACCAGCAGCCCGTCCGCCTCGGCCGTGCGGATCATGCTGAGTGCCACCCGGTCCTTGGGACTGCCGCCTGGATTCAGCAGCTCCGCCTTGGCCAGCACCTCGCAGCCCGTCGCCGCACAGAGGCTGCCGATCCGTACCAGCGGCGTGTCACCAATGCAATCGGCCAGCCCCGCTGCAATGCCGTGGCTGCGGCTGTGGCCTGCTGCTGGCCTCGTCCTGCTTAGCAGCCGGCTGTCCAGCAGCCGGCTTTCGTCCAGCAGAGACCAGCCATCCTCACCCTCGCCCTCGCCCTCTGGCTCCACCTCCGACTCGTGGTCCTCCAGACGCACGCCCACGCTGTCGCCTCTTCGCCGTGCCTCCTCTCGCGATGCAATCGTGTCCGCTCGCCGGATCGCTCGTCGCAGCTGGTTCTGCTTCCGCCTGTCTTCGTACAGCCGCTCCAGGTCCGGATACACGTCCTTGAGGCCCAGCGTCACCAGCACGCCCGTCGCAAACGCCACCGTCAAGGCGGCCGCACCATAGGCCTTGGGGTGGTCTTGCAGTGACATTGTGTGCCTCTCTCACGAGAAAACAGAAAATTCTCGCTTTAGCTGATGACGTTAGCAGTCTCGTTGGCGACTGCCGTTCTTTGTCGCCGGCTCCTGCCGCTTTGGTCGGTGCCCGCTAAAGCTGGCCAACCAGCGAGCTCCAAATAGGATGGCCCACGCTGGGATAAAAATGATACGCATCTTATATTCAGAATAGAAACCCCTCCGAAAAACCTCAACCTCACGCTCTCTCACGCCAATGGACTCGCCTGTCGTCTCGCGCCTCTTCCGCCAGCTGTTCCGGCACCTGGACTGCCGGCCACGACGCAACTTTGCCTTTCTTGCGTCGTCGCTGCAGCTGGCCCGCCGCCACCAGCTGCACCACCAACAGCACCGGCCATATGCATCAGCGCCCCGGCGGGACCGCTCCAACGAGAGCGACTGGCAGCAGCGCACCGACCTCTTTCCCGCCGACATGTCGGTCGAGTATGCCGAGTATCCGATGGTGACGGCCCAGGACCTGCGGCTGCGTCGCGAACGGCCGCGTCGGGTCAAGATGCTGATGCGAGACTTTATTGAGGGTGGGTTCTTCGCAATAGCATGACTACCTTTATACTTATTGCTGCCAGCCACGCCCGCTGACTCCCCCAGACAGCCTCTACAACCCTCACTACGGCTACTTCTCCAAGCAGGTCGTCATCTTCACGCCCGGTGAGCCCTTCCGCTTCACCGAGATGCGCGACGAGCCCGAGTTCAGCGCCATTCTCAGCCAGCGCTACAGCGATTTTGAGGACGGCCTCGATGCCGCTGCTGTCGCCCAGGGCGGCGAGCCGTCCGAGACCCGCCAGCTGTGGTACACGCCCACCGAGCTGTTCCGCCCGCACTACGGCGAGGCTGTGGCCCGCTACCTGGTGGCCAACTACATGCTGACCAGCTTTCCTTACGACGATCTGATCATCTACGAGATGGGCGCTGGCCGCGGCACTATGATGCTCAACATCCTCGACTATCTGCGCGTCCACGAGCCGGCCGTCTATGCCCGCACCCGCTACCGCATCATCGAGATCTCCTCGTCGTTGGCGTCGTTGCAGCGCCGTGAACTGCACGGCTCGCCAGCCACCTCGCCAGCCGCCACGGCTGCTGCAGATCGAGGCCACGGCGATCGCGTCGAGATCATCAACCAGTCTGTCTTCGACTGGACCACGCCTGAGCCGTCGCCCTGCTTTTTCCTCGCCTTCGAGGTCTTTGACAACTTCGCCCACGACTGCGTCCGCTACGACCTCGCGTCACAGCAACCTCTGCAGGCCGTCGTCCTCGTCGCCGCCGACGGTGATCTCTACGAGTTCTACCAGCCTCAGCTCGATCCTGTCGCCGCCCGTTTTCTCCGCGTTCGCAACGCCGCCACTGCCGGCCACTATCCCCTGCCCTTCTCGCGCAATCCCCTCGTTCGCGCCCTCCGTCGTGGCCTCTTCAGCACTGGCCCTGCTCATACCCCCTCCCTCAGCCGCCCAGAATACCTCCCAACTCGTCTGCTCGACTTCTTTGCCGTCCTCGCCCGCTTCTTTCCCGCCCATCGCCTCCTCACCAGCGACTTCCACGCTCTCCCTGACGCCATCACCGGCCTCAACGCTCCCGTCGTCCAGACTCGCTTCCAGCGCCGCCCTGTCCCCGTCTCTACCCCCCTCGTCCACCAGGGCTACTTCGACATCATGTTCCCTACTGACTTCACCGTCGTCGAGGCCCTCTACCGTGCCGTCACCGGAAAACACTCCCGCGTCGCCACCCACGAGCACTTTATGCGCAACTGGGCCTCCCTGGACCAGACTCGCACCCGCAGCGGCGAGAGTCCCTTGCTGTCCTGGTACAAGAACGCTAGCATGCTGGCTACTATATAGGTCTGAGAGCATGTTGGCTGTCTCGTGTATATTGTGTAACACGCCTTACGTAATCACCGTATCCGCATAAGACAACTACATATCTACATCAGCTAGTAGTATCTCCGAAAGATACCAGCTCAAATAACCAAGCGTGCAACCCGGTGAAATAGCAGCAAGACACTGAGACGAACATACTCTTTCGAAATCACCGCCCGTCCCTCCGTTCACTCCGTACCCGGCCTTCTATTGTTTTGTTCCCGTTCCCTTTACAGTTCCAACCCCTTCAGCTTCTCGGCCAGCCACTCCTCTGCCCGCTTCACGCCGTCCTCGAGCTTCTCTGGCTTTGTTCCCGAGCCTTGCCGAGTCGGCTCCTTGCCGCCCGCCTTGCCACCCACCACGTCGCTGACAGCAGTCGACCACTGCTCCGCCGTGACGCCCTTGGATGCGAGATGCTGATTTGTTAGAAGGGAAATCAAAAAGAGGCGGAGAGAAAACCAAAAGAAAAGAAAAGGAAAAGAAAAAAACTCACAGTTCCCACATATACGCCGTGCACGACGCCCTCCGACGGGCTGCCGCCAAACACATACACGGACCGCTCCTTGTCCTTCGTCTTGAAGTGGTTCATCACCTCGGAAATGGCCTTGGCGTTGGCTGAGATCGGCAGGTGGCCCACAAACACCTTGGATTCCTTGTTGTCTGGCTTCGCAAAGTGGTCCGTCACCGCGCCGACAGCCGCCTTCAGCTCGGCTTTTTGCCGCTTCTTCAGCTCGTCCAGTACGTCCTTCTGCACCTTGGCGAACCGCGTCCGCAGCTCCTCCTTGGCCAGCGCCGAAATGGCCAGCTGGTTGAGGTCGTGCTGTGCCGCTTTGATCTCCGTCTCCTTCTCCGGCCCAAACGGCAGCTTCTCAATCGCCTCGATCCGCTCCTGGAATTGTGTCGCCTCGCGCTGTACCCGGTGTGCCGCATCGCCCGTGTATGCCACAATCCGCCGGATGCCCTTGGCGATTCCGCTCTCCTCCACCACCACCACGTCCTTGATCAGACCCGTCTGCTCCACGTGCGTCCCGCCACAGAACTCCACGCTGTAGCCGCGCCACTCCGCCTTTTTTGGCGTCCGCAGCAGCTCGTCCACGTCCACACCTACTGACACCACCCGCACCGGGTCCGGATACGTCTCGCCAAACACCGCCCGCACGCCCTCGATCTCGCGCGCGCTGGCCAGGTCCACGTCCTTGTAGAACACCTTGAGGTTGCGCTGGATGTTCGCGTTCGCTAGCTCCTCGATCTTCTTGATCTCCGCCAGGCTCACCGCCGACTTATGCGAGAAGTCGAACCGCAGCTTGTCCTGGTCCACCAGCGAGCCCTTCTGGTTCACGTCGTCGCCGAGCACCTCGCGCAGCGCATGGTTCAGAACGTGCGTGCCCGTGTGGTTGTTGCGAATCGGCGCCCGCCGCAGCTCCTCGTACTCGCAGATCACGTTGTCGCCCGAGCTCAGCTCACCGTACTCGAGGTATCCGTTGTGCACAACATAGCCGCCGTACTCCTGCACGTCCAGCACCTTGAACTCTGCCACGTCGTCAATCACGATTCTGCCCGTGTCCGCCACCTGGCCACCCGATTCGGCGTAGAAGTTGGTCTTGTCCACGAGAATGCCCAGCGGCGTGTTGGCCGGGATGTCCTTGGTCGTCTTGACAAAGCCCGTGCCCGTGTAGATCAGCTCCACCCGGCTGTGCAGGTCGCCGCGGAGGTACTTGGCCTCCGAGCTCGGCCGCACGATCTTGTGCTCGTTCTCCAACTCCGCGATCTGGTGCACGTTGAGCTTGGCAAACGTCTGCACCGCCTCCTTGACCGACTTGCTGGCCTCTCTCGCCCTCTCCCGTGCCACGGCCACCTCTTCGGCATCAATTGACAGACCCCGCTCCTCAGCCATCAGCTGCGTCAGATCCTCGGGGAAGCCAAACGTGTCGTAGAGCCGCCACACATCGGCTCCCGACAGCGTCTTGGCGCCGCTCTTGGCCGTTGCCGCAGCGTACTTTTCAAACTGCCTCTCGCCGCGGTCCAGAGTCCGCGAAAACGCCTCTTCCTCCTCGTCCAGGATCTCCTTGATGTCCTTCTGCTTCTTGGCAATCTCGGGGAACTGGTGGCCCATCTGGTCGACGAGCGCGGGCAGGATCTGGGAGAAGAAGGAGCCGATCTCAGCGCCAAAGTACTTGCGCGCATAGCGGACACCTCTCCGCAGCACGCGGCGAACGACGTAGCCACGGCCGTCGTTGTTGGGCACGGCGCCGTCCGCCATCGAAAAGGTCAACAGACGGATGTGGTCGGCCACAACACGGTACGCCGTGTCAATGCCGTCCACGTCGTCCTTGCCGTACTTGTCCGTGTACGGGCGGGCACCGGTGACCTCCTGGATGCGATCGAAGAGGGGGGTGAAGATGTCGGTGGCGTAGTTGGAGATCTTGTCCTGCAGGGCGGACACGAGCCGCTCAAAGCCCATGCCGGTGTCGACATGCTTGGCAGGCAGTGACTTGAGCGACTTGTCCTGCTGGCGGTCAAACTGAATGAACACATTGTTCCAGACCTCGACAACGAGCGGGTCGTCCTGGTTGACCAGGCTGGAGGCATTGCGGCCGCCGCCAACCTTGTCGTAGTGCACCTCGCTGCACGGGCCACAGGGGCCCTGGTCGCCCATCTCCCAGAAGTTGTCCTTCATGTTACCAGGCAGGATGTGGTCCTCAGGCACGCCGACAGACAACCACAGGTTCTTGGCCTCCAGGTCGGGCTCGAGTCCCATGGCCGGGTTGCCCTCAAAGTATGTGACGTAGAGCCGGGCGGGGTCGAGGCCGTAGACGTTTGTGAGCAGGTCCCATGACATCTCGATGGCCTCCTTCTTGAAGTAGTCGCCAAAAGACCAGTTGCCCAGCATCTCAAAGAAGGTGTGGTGGTAGCTGTCCTTGCCGACATCGTCGAGATCGTTGTGCTTGCCGCCAGCACGGATGCACTGCAAGGGGGATCAGCTTTGGCTCAGGAGCAGGAGGGCAGGGCAGAGCAGCAGGAGACGGTCACACCTTCTGGGTGTCGACAGCACGCTTCAAGCTGGACAGAGGGTCGGCCTTGGCCACGGTGCCGAGGAAAATTGGCTTGAACTGGTTCATGCCAGCGTTGGTGAAGAGGAGAGTCGGGTCATTGTGCGGCACGACAGACGAAGACGGCACTGGAACGGGTCAGGCCAGAGAGGTGATGAGGGGGATTGAGCTCGCCAGAGCAAGCGAGCCTTACCGATGGTGTGGCCCTTCTTCTCAAAGTATTCGAGAAAGGTCTGGCGGACCTTGAGGCCGGTCCATTTTGGCGACTCGGCCATGGTAGAAGACGGGCGAGCAAAGAGGGCGGGGTAGCGTCGAAATGTCAGAGCAGCGCAGAGGGCGGGCGAGACGGCAATCCGAGAGTTGTGCTGCTGCTTGGTGGCGTGGCCGTTTATGAAGCCGCGAGTTGTGGTGGTGAATTTTTTCCAAGCGGTCGTGGTGGGTTTGCTCAGAGCTCCTGGACCGGTGCAGCAGACAGAGCCGGAAGGAACGTTCTCGAGGGGTCGTGGGGCTACGGCGCCAGAGGGGTAGAACGTTCCACGAGGATGAGTCAACTGGCGCAAGGGCCTGATAAAAGCCGGTACAGAGCCGCCACCACCTGCGCCCCTGCTTAAGTTGGCCTGGCACGCCAGATCTCCCGCCCTTCCAGCACCGGCCGCCACCAATCCAGCCAAGTCAGCCAACTCGGCCAGCTCAGCCCATTCCGACTGCGTAGTCGCTCCGACCAGCCGCCGGCCTTGCAACATCTCAATTCAACGTCTGAGTCACAGCGGTACAGCGTCGCGGCTCTAAACGCCTCCTTGCATGAGATAAGGGAAAATACCGGTAAACAGGACGAGACCAGAGCGATCTCCCTCGGCGAGCCACTAGATTTGCGGTCTGGGCCAACCAATCTGTCCCCATCCGCACTCGGATAGAGAGAGGGTCCTGTGCCTGAGCACGCGCCGCTTTCCCGTGTTCGCCTGTTGTCCGGTCGTCTTCCGAGGTCGCAGGAAGGGAACAGAGGTCGAGGCAGCTTGTCGATCGGAGAGCCTGACGATTCGTGGGACTGAAGACCGAAGACGACAGGCCTCAGACCACTACTGCCGAGAAGAGGTGCAGTTAGGGCAGAAAATTAGTCGCCAGCGCCCGCAGCATACACACCGCCTACAAATTAGCGACCATGCTGCTGCAGTCACAGCCGGCGAACAGCACTATGCCCGCCGGACTGACCCGCCACAGCAAGCGGAAGGCCGTCGATTCGCTCGACAACAACGAGCGTCTGTCTAAGCGGCTGAGTTTGCTGAACATTGGTATGCTTGTCTTTCTCTTCCTTTTTTCCAATTCTTGCTCCTGTTTCGCTGCTGTCCTCGACATACGAGGCAGTCTTATCAGGCGGCCGTGATCGGTTCAGTCGACCTCTTTCAGCTGATGTCCTCCGCTCTGCTGCATCACCACCGTTCTGGTGCCTTTCTACGTGTGCTAATCTCAACCAGAACAAAGTGGTACCAGGATCTACGCTCCTGTCGCGAGCACTAGATCACCAGTCGAGCACCAGCCCGTCCCCTCGTCATCCTTCCATGAAACTCTGCACGGACAGAACCAGTCGGCATTGCCGGACGCCGCACAGTATCCCCCGGCACGAGCCTTTTTCGAGACAGTAGCAGCACCGGCTGTGCCAGTTCCTCCATCACGCACCGCTGATGAGTCTTCCGACATGCAGGTGGACGACACCAAGTTCAAGGTGTACATCCACAACATCGACGACGAGCTGGCCAGCGGCTCTGACTCGGACGGCGACGGCGATGGAAAGCTCGTCTTCCTGCCCCACGTCAACAAGCACCTGCGCGATGCTGCGCGGTCCAACGCCGGCTTCGTGCCCGCCATCCCCCGGCCTATCCGGGTCAACGAGGACGGTGAGCTGGCCGGCATGCAGCTCGTGCTCTACAACGACCCCAGCTCGCTCTCCGTGGCACCCGAGCACGACAGCGTCCGCCAGGCTATTTTGGATGCCCGCGCCCGCATTAGAGAGCGGCAGCGTGGGCAGTGCCTGGACAGCCCGCAGGGTCCAAGTAGCCCTGGCGTCTCGGACATGACCGACGAAGAGTCCTCGTCTATGCTGCAGTCTCCTGCTCGGTTCGACGATGACGATGATGCCATGGAAATGGACTGAGCCGGTCCTGACCTCGGCTGTACTAATACCTGGCTTGGGTTTGCACTTCTTTGCGAGGAGTTTCTTTATGTCGGGAAGAGTTTAGATGCCCGCGGTCAGCTGGCTTTGGTTTCTGGGCAACGTGACAAGGTATCGTTTTGTTCATGTTCATGGCTCATGAGTAACGTAGTTCATATATTGAAGCGTTTTAGCGTGACAAAAAAAAGATTGCAATATGATATGTTCCCCTGCATCCAGTTGTATGCATATCACCGCGAACAAATCCATCCCTCCTGTCTATATCTCACAAGCCTATCCCCCATTTCAATGTACAGCATGTTCAGTCTTTCCACCGCTCCTCTGCTTCGTCATACCCAAGCACGTCCGCATCCACTTGCATGCTTGCCAACATCATCGCCATGGTGAATCCCTGAAATAGTCAGTGAGAAATCGAGTTGCTTGTAGCTTCTAAGGGCCCATACCTCTTGTTCCTCTTCCTCTTCTGCTGATTCCTCTCTCTCATAATCTTTCTCTTCGGCCTCCGTAATTCTGTCTCCTTCTTCATAATCGTCGTGCCTCGGCCGTCTTGTCCTCGATTCGTCATAATAGTTCTCACTGCCGGCCTGCCGCATCATGGACCGCCATGCCCGTGCGCCTCCTGCCCGTGCCACGCGCTCAGACACCAGCACAAAGACCTCGTCAGCCGCCGTCCGTCCGGCCTCGCGCCACCGGGCAATGAGCGCGGGCAGCTCACTCTCGGCGCCACCTTCGGCGCCACCCTCGGTAGAAGCACTGGCGTGCTGGATGACGCGGTCCCCTGCATCGAGGTCTCGCTCAAACTGCGCGACCAGATCAGCTAGCGAGACGGTTGCTTCTGGTACCACCGGTACGGTTCTCTGTTTGTGTCTCCGCTCGGGCGAGGCTATGGATGGGGCTGCACTGCTGCCTAGGGGTGCTGCGAGCAGTGATGCTGCTGCTGTGGCTGCGGCCGGCTCTTCTCGACCTGACGCCTGCTCGTTGTCCTGCTGCCTCTTCACGGCCGGAGACCGAAAGGGCCGCTTCAGAACAGCAGTAGCCTCCTCTGCTCGGCGGCGCCGCTTGGCGGCCGGAGTCAACATCGAACGCTGTCGCCAGAGATAGTGTCAACGGATTGAGAGTGCGCAGCAGTGGGCGAGCCTCTCCTGTGCCTCCATCTGCTTTCTGAATGTCCTGCAGGCAGTCTTATCGTAACGAAAAAGCACAAAGGGAGAAACTCGCCCGTGCAAAGAAGGTTGCTGAGAGGCAGCGTCAAGTGGGACGTACCTGCTACTTTGGGATATGGCAAAAGCCTCGTGCTCAAACGTAGGCTACATAATACCATTTTTTAGTATGTTTTAGGACGTACGGCCATAGATACTGGAAAGCACGGGATCCCGTCCGCTCTCCCCTAGTTAAACCAGTAATCGGCGGATTAGTAGTTGGGTCGGTGACGACCAGCGAATACCCGCTGCTGTACGTTTTTGCCTACCTTTGTTTTTTTTGTTTTTTTTTACATATGCATATTTTTAGCTTATCACACATTTGCCATTTTTCAAGCCCATTTACCGCAGATAGACAACCTTACCAAGCAGGATTAACATTTAAAAATCTCTATTGCATGCCTAGCAAAAGATGCACTTTTATTTTTCCTCGATTTCTCTCCAATTCATAAGATAGACACATAGGACGTATTGGCAAACAGAAGCCCGCATGACGCCGGAGGAATGACAGCTCTACGGATACGCTTCCGCCCAAATCCGCACTTAAGCGCATAGACGACTTCTCACTATGGCTTCTTGGGTCCAGAAGTTAAACTTGCAGACTATTACAAGCGGTAGAAAGACTGCTTGCCTTGTGAGATGAAACCTGTCATCTAACGTTGTGTTTATTTTGGTAGTGTAGAGGAAATCTGGATATTGCCTGCTGTATGTTTGGCTCGGAATCTGTTTTCTTCAACAAGAGGAAGGAAATGCCCTTATGAGCAAGCGGAGGTAATCATCAACCGGGAGTTTTCACGCAACGAGCTCTCAAACACAGATTAGACCGAAAGGATAAACGTAAAGATTTGACAGGTGGCATTTGTTAAAGCCACTGAGCGAGACTGGGATGGAGATCATCCACCACGAAGTCCTAGCAGTTCCCAGCTTAGACGCAATGTGCGCTTTTCGGCAAGATGCAGCGCCCAACCGAATGTACACGGACTTTCTTAGTTTCTTAGAGTAAAACCGGGGGCTTGCCCTCGTCAAGGCTGAAACCAACAAAACGTCAGAAGGGGCAGGTAAGACACAACAGACCGTCTCCCGTGTGTCTGAACACTGGAAAGTTGAAAAATTACTCACGGCCTGGCTCTACAACAAGAATGATCTGCAATGGATAAACAAAGTCCCGCTCAGACACGTAATATTCAGTTGATCTTAGTAGAAAGAAGATTGCGTTTTATGATCAATTGACTGTCTTGTGTTCTGCGCAAAAAGTGTTGCAGCAAAATTCAAAATGATTTGAGTCTACCAAAACCGTCGCTCTTATTTTTTGTCGTTTCCATTGTACAGAAGCATGCAGCATCAATGCCCTACGCCGCCTGCTAACCAGGCGGCTTGGTCGGGGCCCGGTGGCGGGAAGAAGCCCCTGTCTGCAGCTGGTTGGAAGCCTTGCAGATGTTGCGCCAGGCCCTGCTGCTGTCGTTGCCGTGCCTCCTCTTCCTGTCTGATGGCAATCCGTCTCTGTTGCCTATAGTACAGTAGAAACACAATGGCCATGACCACGCCGATGATTATGACAGGCTCAACCAAACCTAACTCGGGGAGATCTTCAAATCTGCCTTCGTCGTCCAAATACGTGTCGTCGTACTCGTCGTAGTATTCTACATCATGGTATCCGGCGCTGCTAGTAAAGGTCTCGATCCACTCACTGAACGACCATTTTCGTGCTGGGACTCGAACATGTTAGTGCCAGAAGCATAGCCTCGCGAAAACCCGTGGGGAAGGGACAGAATACTAACCAGGCTCATCCTGGATAGAATTGATCTGGCCATGCGTCAATGTATTCCAGGCACTTCGGAGGCGCAGTCTCAACAAGGTCAGCGACACCGGCAGGTATGCCTCTTCGTTGGTCTCCAACGCATAGTCGTAAAAGCGCTTCGCCAAATGATAGTCCTGGTCGAGGCCGACACCATTCTCGTGCATCCACCCCAAGTTGTACAGCGCCTGTGCGCTCTGGTGGTACTCGGCTGCACCCAGATAGCATTGCACCGCTTTATCAACGTCTTTCTTCGTGCCGATGCCATACAGGTAAAAGTCGCCCATCTTGACAAGCGAATCCACATTGTGCTGTCGGGAGGATCTTGTGTAGTGGATCAGGCCCAGTGCCGGTTCATCCAGCAGGCCCTTCTTGACCATCTGGCGAGAGAGAATCGACGGAAGCTTTAGATTGGACTGCTGCGGGTCTAGCAGATAACCGATGTTGTTCTGGGCCATCTCATAGCCCTGCTCGGCTGCTCCAAGATACTCGAGCAGAGCCAGTTCGTAGTTTCCATCTTCGTACGCCTGGTTTGCCTCTGTCCAGGACGACACCAACGGATCCGCCTTCTCGGCGACACTTTTGTAATAGCTCAGAGCCGGTCCACATGCCTTATCACGGCCTACCCCATGGTGGATCATCTCGGCCAGGTAGTAATATGCCTGCATGTTTCCGTACCGAGCCGCCAGCTCAAAGTAGTCGTTTGCTATTCGAAGATCTTCGGCCTGTCCCTGGTCTAGATAGAGCACGCCCAGCTCCACCTGGGCTGGCGTATAGTTCTGCTCAGCTGCTGACCGGAAAAGCTTTGAAGCCCTATCGACATTGGTAGTGCCGCCGTAACCGTGCAGCAACATCAGGCCCATCAGGTATTGGGACTGGGGGTCAGCAAAGGCGATTCCGCGGTCGAGCCAAAACTTGGCCCGTTCAAAGTTCTGCTCGACGCCATCTCCGCGCAGGTAGATGCGGCCGAGAAACCCCGCTGCACTGGCAGCCGTTTTATCCAGAGACGGCTTCGGACTATCCACGATGCTGCCGTCTTTCTTCCAGTACTTGCTCACCACCATATAAAAGTACTTCCGTGCCATCTGCATATCGCGCTCAAGCATCCGCTGGCCCTCGTAGTAAATCCGTCCTACGTTCAGGGCGGCTTTGAAGTCTCCCTTCTGTGCCATGAGATCTAGGTACTCGATGATATCGTCGATCGAGGCGTAGGCGTCAGAGTGCGGCTGGGCACGGGGGGCATGGATTCCTGAGCTGACGACGCTGGCCCCTACGCCGTAGACGCCTCCAAATTCGTCTGCTATACGATACGGCTGCTGGACCCAGCCCATACCGCCTGGGGGCCCCGAGCGGTACCATGCAATGGCCTTATCCGCCACGCGTTTGTAATACTGCAGTGCTTGCTCACAGCTCCGAGGGGTCCCGATGCCGGCATGATGCCGCGCAGCCACGGTCATTTCAGCCCGGGTGTGGCCGTGCAGCGCAGCGAATGTGTAGTATAGCAGGGCCCGGGCCTGATCTCGCTCAACTGCGTTGCCAATGCCAGTCGAGTACATCAGTCCGACCATGTACAGTGCCGAGCTGTTTCCATGCGTGTCTGCGAGCCGGCGGTAGTAGTCGAAGGCAGCCGGAAAGTTTCTCGGATGCGAATAGTTTCCGTAGTAGTTCATTTCGGCCAGGAGGTACAGTGCATCCGGATTGTCCTCGCGAGCCGACTCTTCGAGCAACTGCACGGCCTCGATTAGGGCTATCGGGGCTGCTTGCGACGAGGTATCTTGCTGCTGTAGTGGTGGCGGACCTCGCATGGAAAAGCTGGGCATTGCCTTTAGGATAAAGCGAAAGGCTAGTGAGAGGTACCCATTTTGTTTTCGTTTTCGGTAGTGTGGTTGGGATGGTATCGTCGTCAGTTTCACGAGGGCAGCGTCGACGAGGTCACGTCCTAGCATTATCGCCATATGTCAGCATCGGGTGTACGTCGCACTCATAGACCCCCTACACGGCCCCGATGAGCCTGAGCGTGTTCTCATACCACTTTCCCGGCCGTTGTCGGTCGGCGCTCTGAGAAGGATATCTTCCGGCGTCACGTGGTCCCGGACCCCGGCATCCTTCGCGGCTCCTTTTTCTCGTACATCGCTGTGCTGTGGATCGGCACAGGTCACGGATATGACCTGCAGAAGCACTGTCGGGGTATGGAGGTCAGTCACGGCGTTCGTCATTGAGCCTAATGGGCGGGGAGGGGACGCCGAGCTTACGAGTGCCCCAAAGAAAGGGCCGTCGCATCTTCGAAAGGGTGAGGGTAGTCTGGGTTGCGAGGGAAAAGAAAAGAGAGAGGTATCAAAGCAAGGAACAGTGCCAGACCATCGCTTCTAAAATGAAACACAATGCATGTAAACCGGCGTGCTGTTGTCGCCCGTTCTAGTGGTGTGGCATGGTGCGGTAATACTTAAAAGTGTCTATGTCGTGACGTTGACCCCATCCAAGATATCTGGTCTTTCTAGGGGATTACTTACCATGCTGCAAGCTGGCAAGATTGGTAAAGCTCCAGTGGTTCCTGCAAGATACCTGCCAGAACAGTAATACGGGACTAGCAGCCAGTTACGTCAGAAAGAATGCGCGTGGACCCACAAATTTGGAATATTAGTCAGCGCGATAAAGCCTGGCTGTTCACGATAATAATCACTTACAACTTTTTTCAGCCCACAAGAAGCCAATGAAAAAGTCGCTCGGATCGAAAGCTGATTTTATTGGCCAAGCAAAAAGTAGGATGTGCTTGCAGACATATCTCGATAAAAGAGCCCAAACTCAAGGAAAAGCCTTTGTTTCCCGGAAAGCGACTTAGTGCACACGAGGCCATCATGTATGAGCTCGTTGGTGCAGACGAATACCAGTATTCTGGACCTGAAGTGCCATATGTTCTCGACCTGATCCCACTAGCCTCAGGTCTGGCTGCGATATCATCGGACGGAAGACTGTCTCTGTTCGACCCGCTTCGTGTGGGCAGTGGCCCAAATCGCACCTTTCAGACGTCCCATGGCAATCTCACAACGGCAAAGGCCCTGGATGCAGCCGGCTGTGTCCTAGCTACGGCTGGTGAGAACGGCACGGTATCCCTGTGGGATCTGCGCGACTCGGCACAAGGACCAGGGGTCACCGTCCAGGTTGGTGAGTGATCTTCAACTTCTCCCGAGGCGGCTGCATCAAACAGCATATATAGTGTACTAAACAGCACTTCTTCCAGGCTCTTGTGATGCCAACATATTGTCGCTTGCCTGTGAGCCACAGAGCCAGTCTATCGCCGCAGGGACAGAACTTGCTGGCTATCAAGCCTCAATCGTGATCTGGTATGGCCTTTCTTTCTCTCGTTCCCTCCTCCACTAACAATGGCTCTCAGGGATGTCAGGGCCGGCACCTCCCCGAAAGTCAGTTACAATGACGTTCACAGTGACGATGTGACAGAAGTATGTCTATCTCTCATGAAAAAAGCCCAGTGGTGGGGATGTTTAGCTAACAGCTAGAAAGCTGGCCTTCCACCCACGACACAATCATGTACTCTTGTCCGGCTCTACAGACGGCTTGGTGAACATATGTGATACCCGGATAACAGATGAAGACGAGGCCGTCATTCAGGCTTTCAACCACGGAGCCTCAATCCACCACGCAGGCTTCCTCAGCGACAGCGAAGTATACGCGCTGTCACACGACGAGAAGCTGGCCATGTACGATATGGCCGAAGAGCGGGAAGCAGGCTCTGCCACTAAAGACTTTGGGGATACGCGACAGACACTGGGCTGCCAATACGTTGCCAATATGCTACCAAAGGCAGGATTCACTGGGGCCGTGCTTGGAGCCGGAGCACAAGAGTATGTATCTGTAAAAGAGCCCGAAGACATAATGACACATGTTGTTTATATTCTTCGACTAACACTCTTTAGTGCGGGGATGTTTAAGCTAGTCCATTTGTCCAAACACCAAGGATGGGGGGTTGATTTAGAATCTGTTGTCGGCCTTCCCGGTGCTCATGGCTCAGATATCGTTCGCGGTTTCTGTGTCTTCGACGAGCAGCAGGTTGTCTACACATGCGGAGAAGACGGCAAGATCAGGGCATGGAGGCCGCCATTGTCGTAGTAGAACAAACAGGAATGCAGCCTTGTTCGGGCGGTCATGTGCCTCTCTCAGCCATACTTGTCGTGCTTGTGCTTGACTTTTACATCCAGCAGCTTCTCGTGATAGTCACCCTCTCTCCGGGCTTTTTTGAGCAGCTTCACCTCGTCGTCTTCCAGCCGCCGCCCCACGGCATCTTCCAGCTCGCGCCTGCTAATCTTCTCCCGGGCCTTCTCTTCCTTGGACGCCTTGATCTTGGGCTTGAACCGAGCTTGCATGCGGATGCGCACTGTTGTATTGGTGTTGCTCTCGGTCGCGTCGCCGCGGATTTCTGGCGCCGAGCCGGCCTTGGACGATGTCGACAGTTGCACAGACAAGTAGGTGTCGCGCAGGGTCTTGATTTGAAACGTGCCGGGCGTGTCCTCGGTCTCGACGAGCACAAACGACTCTACCGGGGACACAGCGATGGCCGTGGCCGAAAAGAGGCCGTACTTGTCGCATCCTAGGTATCTAAAGTAACCGGTCAGCCCAGAAGACGAGGAAAAACAGCGAGCTCAGAGGCCAAGGCAGGGAACCCACCTTCCATGATGTCCCTTAAAGCGAAAGTGTTCCGTTCCGACAATGCGGCTTGCAACCCAGACCTGTCGGACGTCATGGGGCTCGGCACTGGACGGGTTGCCATCCACAATGTTCTCGATCGGCATGGAAAAGACGGTGCCATTCGCATCCGAGGCCAGGGCCGTGGGAGTTGCGCTTGGCAGCACCAGCAAGATAGGACCAGCTACGTCGGTCAGGACTTCGGCTGAAACCCAGGTGTCGTCTTCGGCAATCGATTCGTCGTTGGCGGCAATCAGCTCCTGCTTCTTGCGCGATTCCTCGGCCGCATCCTTGTCTCTGTGCTTTCTCTTCTTCGGCTTCTTGTCGCCTTTGAAAACGAGCGGCTTTACCATCGTGTCGTCGGGTCGCCGTCAAGATGATGACCGGTTGTTTGTTGCGTTGAACCACATGCTAGTGAAGAAGAAAAGAGTATCCGCTACAGGTACACATGCAGCCAATCACAGCGCATTTCACCAGCCACTAAGCCACAAGTAGCCTTGCAGCACACTGCACGCAATGACAGCCTTGCGCCATAGAGAATTTTTGGGGAGCTTTTCCAGCGTCGCGCGTCTGGACTGAAATACACTGCAGTCGCCAATTTCGACACCCTGTGCGCGCAGTCCACCACAAACAACACAGACTACCCGTCACCATGGATGACCTTTACGACGAGTACGGCCAGTCCCTACGTGTGATTTTATATACCCTTGCTCTAACATTGTGATCAGATTTGGCAACTTCATCGGCGAAGAGCCCGAGGGGTCTGAAGAAGGATCTGAGCAGGCCGAGGCCGAGGCCGACAACTATGGCTACGATGACGAGGATGCGGGAGGCGCAGAGGGCGTTGGTCAGGAGTTAATGGAAATGGATGGTAAGGATCCCAGGTGGCGCACTGGATGCACAATGCTTGGGCTGCTAATGACTGATTTGTCGTCGGTTCTGTAGATGACGGACCATCGAATGCTGTGATCCTTCACGAGGACAAACAGTACTATCCGACAGCAGCACAAGTATACGGGTCAGAGGTGGAGGCCCTGGTGCAGGAGGAGGATGCGCAGCCACTGTCGGAGCCGATTGTGGCGCCGGTCGAGCAGAAGAAATTCAGCGTGGAGGAGGCCGATCTGCCACGCGTTTTCTTCGACCGGGGGTTCATGACGGACCTGACGAACTACCCGGAGCAGATACGAAACGTTGCGTTTGCCGGGCAGCTGCACCACGGCAAGACGGCCTTCATGGACATGCTCGTGCTGGAGACACATGATATTGCCGAGCGGCTAGAGCAGCGATCGGGTCGGCGACGAGACGAGCAGTTGCGGTACACGGATGTGCACATTCTGGAGCGAGAGCGGGGGGTGTCGATCAAGAGCGCGCCGATGAGCCTGGTGCTGCCAACGACGAGAGGCAAGTCGCATCTGATCAACATGATCGACACGCCTGGCCACGTCAACTTTGCGGACGAGGTGGCAGCAGCTCTGCGGCTGGTGGACGGCCTCTGCCTGGTGGTGGATGTGGTGGAGGGCGTGCAGCTGCACACGGAGATGATCATACGACACGCGGTGCTGGAGGACCTGCCGCTGACGCTGGTAATCAACAAGGTGGACCGGTTGATTCTGGAGCTCAAGCTGCCGCCGGCGGACGCCTACTACAAGCTCAAGCACACGATCGAGGACGTCAACCGGGTGATTGCAGAGACGATGCCAGGGCCGATCGATGCGAAGCGGGTAAGCCCGGAGAAGGGCAACGTGCTGTTTGCGTGCACGAGTCTGGGCTGGTGCTTCACGCTGCCGTCATTTGCCAAGATGTACGCGGACAGCTTCGGGGCGATGGACGTGGACGAGTTTGCGCGGCGGCTGTGGGGCGACGTGTTCTTCAACCCGAAGAAGCGGTCGTTTACGCGCAAGGCGGTGGAGGCAGAGGCGAAGCGGTCGTTTGTGCACTTTGTGCTAGAGCCGATCTACAAGCTGTTCACGCACACGATCAGCGAGAGCCCGCGCGAGCTCAAGGTGTTTCTGGAGCAGCTAGGCATCGTGCTGAAGCCGTCGCAGCTGCGGGCCGATGCCAAGGTACTGCTGAAGCTGGTGTGTGAGCAGTTCTTCGGGCCACCGGCAGCGTTCGCAGACATGGTGGTCAAGCACGTGCCGTCGCCGGTGGAGGCAGCAGCACGACACCTGCAGCGGTACTACACCGGGCCGCTGGACAGCAGGGTGGCACGGGCGATGGAGACGTGTGACCAAGACGGGCCGCTGGTGGTGGAGGTGACGAAGCTGTTCAGCTCGAGCGACGCCAAGAGCTTCAACGCGCTGGGACGGGTGCTGAGCGGCATTGCGCGGCCAGGCATGGAAGTGCGGGTGCTGGGCGAGGGCTACTCGCTGGACGACGAGGAGGACATGGCGCCAGCGCGGATTGCCGACGTGTGGATCGCGGAGACGCGCTACAACATCGCGACAGACGGCGTGCCGGCGGGCAACCTGGTGCTGCTGGGCGGAGTGGACAACTCGATCGTCAAGTCGGCGACGGTGGTGGCACGGCGGTTCGACGAGGACGAGGACGCGTACATCTTCCGGCCGGTGACGCACTACACAGAATCGGTCTTCAAGGTGGCCGTGGAGCCGGTCAACCCATCGGAGCTGCCGAAGATGCTGGACGGCATCCGCAAGATCAACAAGAGCTACCCGCTGGTAACGACCAAGGTCGAGGAGTCGGGCGAGCACATCCTGATCGGCACGGGCGAGCTATACATGGACTGCGTCATGCACGACCTGCGGCTGCTGTACGCCGACATGGAAATCAAGGTGTCAGACCCGCTGACGCGCTTCTGCGAGACGGTCGTGGACGAGTCGTCGACCAAGTGCTGGACCACCACGCCCAACAAGAAGAACCGCATCACCATGGTGGCCGAGCCGCTGGAGGACGGGCTGGCCCGCGACATCGAGACGGGCGCGGTGCGCATCCGGGATCCGGTGCGGAAGACGGCCAAGTTCTTCCAGGACAAGTACGACTGGGATCTGCTGGCCGCCCGCAGCATCTGGGCCTTTGGGCCGGAGGAGAACGGGCCCAACATCCTGCAGGACGACACGCTGCCAGGCGAAGTCGACAAGAAGCTGCTCAGCACGGTCAAGGAGTCCATCCGGCAGGGCTTCAGCTGGGCTGCCCGGGAGGGACCTCTCTGCGAAGAACGCAAGTTTGTCCCCACACTGTTCCGAGTAAAGTCCGAGCTAACAAGGCAGCGATCCGCAACACCAAGTTCAAGCTAATGGACGTGTCGCTAGCCCAGGAGGCCATCTACCGCGGCGGCGGCCAGATCATCCCGACGGCGCGTCGAGCCTGCTACGGATCTTTCTTGCTGTCATCGCCGCGGCTGATGGAGCCGGTCTACCAGGTCTCGATGACGGGTTCGGGCAGCGCGTCCAACGAGCTCTACAATTTGCTGTCGCGGCGGCGTGGTCACGTGCTGACCGATGTCTCGGTAGCCGGCACGAACCTGTCACGCGTCACCGGGCTGCTGCCGGTCATCGACTCGTTTGGCTTCGAGACCGACCTGCGCATCACGTCCAAGGGCGCTGCCTTGGTCAGCATGGTCTTTGACCGCTGGCAGGTCATCCCGGGCGACCCGCTCGACAAGGACGTGGTGCTGCGGCCGATGCAGATGGCTAGCGTGCAGGCCACCGCCCGCGATTTTGTGCTCAAGACGCGGCGCCGGAAGGGCCTCAGCGAGGACATCGCCACCGGCAAGTTTCTCGAGCCGGAACTGTACCGGGAGCTGGTCGAGAGCGGCATCCTCACTGAAGGATCCTGAGCAGAGGAGGGGACACGGGGCAAGCTCGGCGAGCTCGGCGAGCTCGGGGACCACGGAGACGTTGAGGCCCAAATATACTCGTCTCTTTCTGTTTCTCTTTTTCTCTCTTCTCGTATCTTCTCATCTGCAAGGACATGCCCGCCATCCAATCGTCCTCTTCATCGTGATTTTCGGCTTATTCGTCAGACCTTTGGCAGACCATGTCGCAACAGGGATATGCCCGCAGACGTGCTTCAGTGGGAGTGGCTTTATCGTCCGTTTAGCTCAATGCGGCCGTTACAAGGTAAGATATATTTGGCCTTCTCAATAGTCTCTGCTTAGTACCCGCTGCATCCGTTTTAGGCAAGAACAAGAGTAAAAATGGACAGGTCAGTATTAATAATAACAATACGGAGCAGCATCTGGCAGCCACTCTAAGCACAAGTTCAACCTTGCGGAGTACTTTGTACCCCGGCCAGGCTTTTTCGCTCCAACCGCACTCGAAACCTGGCCCAGGGGAGGGGCTTGCGCCAAAGGACCCAAAAATAGAAGGGAAACAAGCTCTTCCGGACCGCTCCTCCAGGCCTTTGTGTTGCAAACGAAACAGAGACCTCAGACCCTGGCTTCTTCATGCTGTTGAACAGCCAGTACGACGTAGCTTACAAGTGCACCACTTCCCGCGACTTGGGAACCCCTTTTCGCCCCCGAGCAGGACACACTGTACGAGTCCCCTCCACGCTGCAGCCTAGTCCCATTTTTGCAAGTATTGGTTTTCGTGCAATGCAACTCTACTCTCACACTTTCTCGAGGCCGGAATATAGTCGGACTTTTTATAGGGTTACGTGGAGGTAGGGAGAAGGGTTGTAATGCAATACGGAGTAGCAAGACGGGCAATGACAATCCTCATACTCTGCAGGCTCCGAGCATACGGGATGTCCTCGGAGTTACGCCTGGAGACAGGTCCAAAGGCCAGAAGCTGTTCCATCCCCTCTCTCTCGGCCTTTCGGGCTGCACAAAAGGAAGGACAACCAGAACCCAGCTGCAGCTTGCTCGCATAAGTGGCCTTTCCCCGTCTCCTTTAGACAACTCAAACGCACCCCACGCGGTTTAAACGAGTTTGTGTCCCTGTTATCTCGGTTCTCTTCTTTTGTTGAAGTCTTACTACCTACTATGTATTCTAATTTTGCTGTGTCCTTGGTGTTTCCTTCCCCCCCAGACCTACAGCCAATATGAACAAGCCTCCGTCTTCCCATGGGCCACGACCTTGCCGCCAGAGGCCTGGTCGCCGATCTTAACAATGAATTGTGACTTCGACGTATGTAGGGCAGAGTTGCCAGATACTCCGCACGTACTCCGTAGGCGAAGTTGCTCTGGGTCTGGATAGCGGACCAGTCGCCTGAGTGACAAGCTTGTACGGAGTAAACGCAACCCGTGGCGTTCCTGGAGATGCCACTGTCCAAACGCAGTGGGGGCCGCACCCATGTTTGCTGAAGTGACTGTCTACTCGTACCTGACGGAATACGGAGTATTCCAGCCAAGTTGGCCAGCGATGATCCGGACTCCATAGCGGGAGTTCCATTGACAAGGGGGTAGCCGAGGGATTTTCCACTGCGTCCCCCTTTCCACCCCTCTTCGAATTCCCTTGTACGTCACCGAGAGGGGGCCTTTCATTTGCAGGTTTCGAGCATTTTATCGAGCACGCCGCGGAGCGTATCGTTTTCCAGGGCAGCCGCTACCCGCTCCTTGTCCGACAGCTGCTTGCTGACCTGGTCATCCTGGCTGTGGGAGCCTTCTTTGACCTCGATATCGACCCGGTAGTTGGGCGGCAGTGTCTGCTCCAGACGAACGCGGATGGCAAGGCCGATGACCGTCACCAGAGAGCAGTGGTTGATAGTCGGCGTGACATAGACCACCACCCGGGTAAGCGTGTCGCGGTCGAGAGACTTTGCCAGCAGCGGGGACGGTGAGATTTGAATGTCCGGCAGATTGACTACGGAGAGCTGGCCCAGCGTGTGGGGGTGCTCTGGATCGGATATCGTGGAAATCAGGTCTTTTGCCCGCGAGGCGGTGCGAGCGTCAGCAGGGTGCATTCCAGTATAATAGGGATGGGGGCAGGGTAGCACTGCCTGCCGGGCGTACCGTAAATCTCCTGCTCGTCGATCGGCTCTTCCGTGTAGACGCCGTCGTCGCCATCGTCGCCTTCGTCATAGACATCTCCGCCAGATGAGATGGAGGACGCCGGTGAGGGAGGGGATGCGAGAGCGGCGATGTGGGAGGCTCCCCAGAAGAGGCTGTCGGGCCGTTTGGGGGCCAGGATGCTGTCGAACCTGAACTCCTCGCCGTGCCGGGAGGTCGTCTCCCTCCGCAGCCGGCGGCTCGGCAGCTCAGCCGCGCTGAGGATCGTGGGATTGGCGTTTTGCAGCTCAGCCATTGAAACAAATATGGACAAGGGAATGCGTGGAAATCGCTTTGTCCGTCAGGCAAAATGCTTCCGGATTCGTTATTATCGTGAATGTTTGTCTAGATTTGTCATGATGGCGCGGTGGGCCGAAATCGCATCAGACCCTGCGTTTAGGTTTTTCCGCTTCCGCCTGGTTACTGAACTAGTACGGAGTACAGTATGGCCCGTGGCGGGCGATGCAATTCGGTTGGTCAGCTGGGCTACGGCAGTCACGGCAAGTAAACGCTGTCTCGGGCTACCGGCAGTGTTGCAAATCGGTGCGTTTTAGTGTACGGAGTAAGATAAGATACCAATAACAGAGGTAAGATACATACGGAGTACACGCTGGCTTTCCACAGACTCGCATTTCCTTTCTCAGTAATACGATAGGGGTAGCCCAGCCAATGCATAGTAAGGAGTTTATGTACGGAGTCGTAGTCCGTACTCCGTACATAGTAGTTCTAATACATGCCTGCACGAGCCACACCGAACATTATTGCAGAATGATCCACCTTCTTTTTCAATCTTCTAGAATCCCAGCCGTTGCCTGTGCTAAAAATTGCTAGCAGGGAAAGTCTTTCACCGCTCTGGCAAGAATTCAGGAGATTATTGGCTTTGATAGATTCAAGTGGGACCAGCATTCCACAAAACGGCCACAATTGTATCTACTCCGTACGACGTATGCCTTACAAATATCAATAATATCTTAGTATTCAACCCAATCTAACCCTTTGGAATCAGTGCATCATTCCCCTGACCAGAGCTTCGCTGCTACAGACGGCATCCCGGCCAAACCAATATTCATGCAGACCGTCGTGATGAATAATTCCTACAGAGCAGTGCACTTGCAATTTTTCAGTCGACCTGCCACGCGTCACATACGACAACTCGTATCGCCCTCACATAGGGCTACTTTTCACCACTAAAGTTGCTGGCAACTCGCAGCGTGCAGCGTGGCATTGTGCTGACAGGTCCAACCGAAGCAGCTGCGGAAGCCAAGTACCCGTAGTTCTAGGCCTAAGAAAGCCTCTGCCCTCCACGGCCCCATCCTGGCGCGGTGGCGTAGCGAACAGGTGACGGGACAGGTGCATTGCACGACTCTGCGAGTGCGGAGTAGATTCATGTTTCTTCCTCTGTGTTTGCATGTGAAAGGACGCCACGCCTGGGCGGCCATGTCTGTGCTCGGCCGCCTCGCCAGTGACGTTGCATTTGCATCTTACGTGTCCTGCCGCACTCGTAGTGCTCGTGGCAATCGCAAGGCTATACGGAGTACGGAGTACGAGTACGCGATACAACTACGTCGTATGGGCTATGAGTACATAGTATGGCGGTTGGAGCGCCTTCCTGAAAGGGCACGCTTGTTGGGGAAACCCCCAATGGCCGGTTTCTGCGTGTCTCGTACGAAGAACGGTACGGAGTGCGGAGAATAGCCCGGGTTATGGCACTATCCCAGATTTTGTTGCTGACTCTTGCTTACCTTCACCGTCTCTGGTTTCATTCGGTCTCCTGCCCTCCCTCATCCCGTTCGTGCTCGTAAATGCACAATACTCGTACACGAATCTCATTACGAGTACTCCGTTCGAGTATTTCCGTGGGTACAGGGATGCTCCTAAATATTGGCTCCAGGGATCGTGCCTGCGAACAGCACAACTTACCCAGCGATATAACACCATGCAGTTCTGTCCCCTGTACGGAGTACGGGTACATACATACAGCCTACCTAATGTTTATCGCTGTTTCCCACCACGATCTTTCGACGATCGTTTCCCGCCCCAGAACACGCCAGAACCCAAACGGGGCTTCTTCTCCACAGCTACAGCGCAACCATGGGCGCAGCGAAAATGGATTCGAGCCGAGTGTGTTCACTAATTCCAGTGCTACATGGTGAATACCCCTGGGTCCTGTCGGATCCTGTGCCAGCAAGCCTAGGCTTGCTGGCGAGGAGTCGAGCGACGCAGGATAACGAACCAGCTCTACGGATTGGCCCGTGGGGCACCGTCAAAAGGTATGCCCCGAGGAAAGGCCACCAATAAGACGGGGCCTTCAGGCTGAGGCGGCCAGCGTGTGGAGCCATCAGCCAGATACGCGGTCTTGCCACTTTGCACTTCCTGCGTCGCCTATGACTAATATCAGGGGGCATGCTTAGTCGACGGTATGACAGCGGTATCGTACTTCGTACTCCGTAAGATACTTAGCAATACTCCCCGTACGTTGTCCGTATTTCGAGCGAGGTTCTTGTCGGAAAGATCTCTCACGCCTAGCCTGGAAGAACGGCCAACTGGCTTGTGGCGCTAATTATTAAGCCACCCCTTTCCAAGACGTGCGAGATGGGAAGGACTGCCAAGGACTGATCACACTCTCTGTCCCCCGAGTCTGTCTGTTAGAAACGGCGGCTGTCGCAGCCAGGATCGAGCCAGGACTGCCAGGACTGACACTTTTTGAGTGCTTTGGCTGCAACGGGGCCGGTTGCGTTTCAGTCAGGACAAAACGGCTCCCTTGAATCATTGCGATATATGTTGGACGAGTGTACTCCGTACTTTACGGCAAAACGTGGCAGCTCGCCCGACGCTTTGCAAGCGCCGAAACAAGGAGGCTCATCTCGTATCTTACGAACACCTTTTCGAACGTGCAGTACTTTTGTGTTGAAAGCGGCGAAAAGACCGCGACTGGTAAATACATACGAGTATCGTAAACAGAGAGAGCTGCCATGTTCCCATCAGAAACGTCAGAAACGTCTTGGAGGTCTCTGGTCCGTAGCGACACTGGATAGCGGAGGCAATTTCGGGGTATGTAGCAGAAGGTTCGTACGGAGTACGGACTCGTAAGTTACCGTACACGCAAGTTTACAGAAGATCGCTATCCACTCCAGGAGTGAGTCGCCCCTTACATACTCCGTAAATCTCAACCCTCTGTTCCGCTTCGCCCTAGCCAGCTGAGCATTTCTTATTCCCAGTGGCTTCTGGGGCGCATATTTCCTCGGGTGCCATAAGACACTTGTGTGCTTCGGAAACAAGACGTGGAGTGGAGATGGGATGGAACACTTTCTGCCAGCGCAGGATACCCCAGTATAACTCGTTCGCATCCGGCCGGCAGACAATCAGTATCAATGCAATTATCAACAATAGCTGAATGCACCGCCACTCTTACGACGTAAAGCACAAGCCATAAGTGATGCATACAGATGTGTTAAGATATCTTACCTTCTTCGCACGCCACTGCGTGCATGCACAGACGTATCTGTAACGAGAGAGATGGAACGAAAGAAGAAGAGCGTAGGCGACGCCGCCAAGACCAGACCTGCATTTGGACAAAGTGAGACAAAATGAGAGACCGGCTTTGTATTACTCAGTCTACTCAACACGTCCAGATGATTTTATCGCGCTAGCTGCAAGCTAGAGGTTAGCGATATGCGCGAGCCCATCCCCTATGAAAGAGCGGCCACCACGGGTCTCCCAATCAGTTTCGCAATTCTGTCTTTTTTGCTGCCGTAAGATACATAGTAACGCTACGTCGCACACGCCATTGCTGAGCCTGCGTCCTGCAGACACCCTCCCTAGCGGACAGATCGTCACAGCACCATCCCTAACCGATCTGTCCCTACTGCAGCCTCGCCACGGGCTTTTGAACTCTGGAATCTGGAATGGCCAGAACGGACGGGTCCTCGTACTATGTACAAACACTCGATACTCGTATTCGTACTCGCTGTGAGGTGCTTCCTATTACGGACTACATAATACTGTGCAGTCTACAATCCAAGTATCGCGGTAGCTCCTTCCTGTTCAGATTCGGAAAGAAGGGGTACCAGTACAAAAGCTCGCTCGTGCAAGAAGCGAGGAGCAGAAAAAGAATCACGAACTTTGCAAACATCTCGTCCCCCAAAACTGGTATAAGATACCAGCTCGCTCGGCCTGCCGTCCCCACCGTCCTGCAGTAAGCAACTCATCAAATCGCAGCTCCTGCAAGCTGGAGCAATGCACACTAGACGCAGACATGCAGCCCTGCACGAAACAGCCGAGACGATGATTGATGCCGCTGGCATTGTTTGGTTCAGCCCCTAGCTTCACTGCGCTGCGGGAGGTTCCTGGCCCACCCTCTCAGCATCGCCGTCTGTTCCTCCCATCCACCCGACCGCCCTCCCGGTTACGCATCATCTCCGTTTGGGCTATGGCCAAGCAACCCTGCCACTTGCCGCCACTTCATCCCTGGTATTGGCACCGTTTTTGTCCAGCTCATCCTGAGGCGCGCCCTACAACACTCGAACTCGCCTTTATTCGCGCAAATAAAGCCTGGAGCAGTAATATTGCTACTATTTACACCCGCTAGAAATACAACCGACTAAAGTCTAAAAAATCTTAGGACTACGGAGTAGCTAGTCTACACTCCTCCCGCAGCCTCTCCACCTGTCTTGCCTGCGTCCGCTATTTAACTCAAGTCCAGTACTACTTCGCATTACTCCGTACAGAGTAGATCTTTGACGCCTCTCATAAGCTCACCCCCCTCCCTCTCCCCCCCTAGTCTGCACTACCCTTCCACCCCCTCATTTTCTCTCAACCTCTCACTGCCGCCGCCGCCGCTCCACCGCCTACCAACCAAAACTCACAATTCTGCTGTCCCTCGTTCCCATTCGGCGCACTTACAAGCAGCGCCGTACCTAGGACAAGCAAAAAAAGAAAAGAAAAGAAGACTCAACAGCGAAGAAAAACCGGCGCCTAGGACTCCCGCCGGATGCGATAGACCTTCGAATAGCCCCTCTCCTTTGTCGAATCTGCTGTGGTCACAAATCAACACGTGCGCGTCAACCTTTCTCAATCTCCCCCCCAACTCGTCATTGGTGCTGCTCGCTCTCTACTTCGTCAAGTTCCAACCCTCCACGGTCTCGCGCGCATCGTCTCTCACCGGCGCTGCATCACGGCATCTGGCTCCTCGGGTGGATGTAGTCTTCAACAAGCAGACGTATCTGCGCAAGACCGCACGGCGCAATCTGTGCCGCTCGGCTCTTCACCACGCTCTTCGCCAACATCTCGACCGGCACCTCTGCCCTGACCTCACTTATTTGCGTTGGCATTATTTATCGCAGCCATGACGAGTGACGACGCCACTGCGAGGCGGCTTCTGCCCCAGAGCTCGCAGATGAGCTCCTTCTCTTTCACCCCTCCGGCCACGTTCCAGCAACCAAGAGAGACACAACAGCGAAGTGAGTGCCTCGTTCTTCACATCCGCGGAGCATGGCAGTAGGATAGCAGAGAATGCCGGACACCAAGGACACTTGGACTTTCGATTATCTCTGTCCTGGCTACTAGCTACCGAAACGACGTCTGGGGACGCCTTCCGTATCTAACCCGTCTTGCAGATTATGTCTTCGTTGACGAGCACAATCGCCACAAGAGGTTAAAAGGTAAGGTCGCAACATGGCCGTTGCGCCGTGAGCGTAAGTGGGCGAGAAAATGCTGACATATTTTATGGTCTGCAGTCATGAGAGCTTGTGAAGGTTGCCGAAGGAGGAAGATCAAATGCGACGCAGCTACGACAAATACATGGCCTTGCTCGGCTTGTGTGCGACTGAAGCTTCAGTGTATTCGCCCGACTGGATATGATGATGCTTCTGATACGCAAAGCTATGACGACCAGCCTCAAGTACAGCAGCAGCAGCAGCAGCAGCAGCAACCTCCACAGCAGCCGCCCCCACAACAGCCATCACAACAGCATCAGCTGCAGCAACAGCCGCAACAGCCGCAGCAGCAGATGTACGGCCGCACCATCGACTTTCAGCATCACCAAATGGATCCTACAACGGTCATTGACACCAAGCCTGCGCTCTACGCTACACGAACGGCACCTGCAGATTACTCAACAGTACCAGTAAATTCTGGTGCCTCTAATGCTGCCCTCTATGCTCGAGTGCCGTACGGGGAATCTGCTTCTACTCTTCAATACACGACTGTGCCGCCGTCAATGCCCAGTGTGGAAACAGTGTACACAGGCCAGCAAAACGTATTTCCCACTCCACCAATGCAGCATAGCTCTCACACCGAGTCACCTCCCGATTCTGCATATATCACCGATGAGCAGGCTGCGTATGGCAATGCAGATCTAGCCGATCTTCTAGGCAGCTTGCGTATGAACGAGGCCGGGACAGCACCATACTTGAACAACCGCATACTAGCAAGCAAACGAGACAACGAGACGCCTTTGGCTGACGATGACGATGATTACAAAAGCTCACTGCCTCCGCTAGTGGCTGGCCCCGGCCTCAAGATCCGGATTCCTCCCGAACTTATGCCTGACGATGAAACTGCACAGCATTACTTTGATCTCTACTTTGAAAATGTTCATCCCTTCGTTCCTGTCTTGGATAAGGCCGCATTCTACCAACAATGGCACACGGACAGGGAATCTATATCCCCGCTCCTCATTGAGGCTCTCCTGTCCATTGGAGGTCGGCTTGGGCAGACGAGCCGTCCCAAGGACAGCAGTGGCTTGCTTTGGCGACAAGTACGTGTCCCGCCCCTGTTGCCCGCATTGTTCCCGAGACATGTCCCACAATGTTCTGACTGGTCGGCATTTAGGACATGCTGATTCGTTTATGGATGTTCCACGATTGAGCACGCTGCAAGCTCTCCTCGTCATGCTGAAAGCACGCGAAGCTGCCCCCAAACGCGGCTACTACTACCGGTCGTGGATGGCCATTGTCCAGTGTGTGCAGATGGCTAAAGATCTTGGACTTGACGAGCATTATGCCGACCATGAAGCCGGCCATCCATGCGGTTCAAGCCCCTCTGAGTGTCTTATGAAAACTCGCATCTGGCAGACAACCTTTATCTGCGAGGTTATGATCGGGTCACCCCAAGGTAAGGGACTGTCTTATGAACGGTCCTACTTTGCCGGCGCTCGTTGCTAACTGAAAAGGCCGGACGGACCTTACTGTGACAGTAGACTCGGTAGATTTGCGAGAACCGCCACATTTACAAGGCGTGGACGAGGCGGAGATACTGATATCTCGAAACTTCGTCTACTTTGTCCGTGTCGTCTCGTACATTTCCCGGATGAACAGAGTATACGCACGAATCAAGAGGAGCAAAGACTGGGGTGCCAATCCAGAGTTCACGAAGCTCAACCCCCTACTTCATGCCTGGCCCAGCGAGCTGCCAGGCGACATGGCGCTGTCGTTCCCGTCAGACGGCTCACCACCTTGGCTGCCTTCGTGCTTTGTTGGCAACGTGCACTCATACTACTACCTCAGCAGTTTACTACTTCACAGGCCGCAGCTGCAAGTGCTCGACCCGTCGTCTCCCGATGGGCGCTGGAAGCACCACATGATGGTCTGTTACTCGTCAGCGAAGCTTCTGTGTCGGTTGGAAGAAGCTATTCTGCAGACATTCGGCCTGGACGGTCTTCGGAACATGCAACGCGGGGTCAACTTCACTATATATGCAATTTTGACGTGCATTGTGATTCATCTGGTATATATCCGTCTCTTTGAGCCATTCCCCCCCCCCTTCTTGTGGAATTGATGATACTGACAGGGCAGGTCGCACTGACGTCGCCGGACCCGGATTTCAACTCAGATGCACGCGAGTATTTTACACGACACATGCGGGTTCTAGAGCAATGTATGAGTGCTTGGCCCATGCCGGAAATGCAGAAACAGGTCGACTCGATGCGCATGGCTTTCTCGGCCGATACTCGGAAGCCTTTTGTGCTGAAGCAAACGTTCCCATATGGAAGTCCGTCACCAGCGTCAAAACATGCCACACCACCGCATCAACAAGCTACCATAAGTGCCGTGGCGACCCCCGCTACCATGAACTACAGGCCAGAGCACCCACAAAGCCAATGTGTGGACCAAATCATCCAGCAGCAGCAGCAGCAACAACAACAACAACATCTTCAGCAGCAGCATCAGCATCAGCAACATCAGCAACATCAGCAACATCATCAACAGCATCATCTGCAGCGAATTGATACATCTCTTTCACAGTGCCTCCCGCCGACAGGCTACATGGGAAATGCCATATCGCCCCCAATATCGGCATCCGCAACCGACGTCAAGGGTCTAGTGACGCCTCTGTCTGGTCAATCACTGGCTATGATGGCGTCGGCAGCAGAAGGATCTGGATTACCGGATACGCTCTCCAGTCTGGCGCCTGGATGGAATCCGTCTAGAATTTTTGAGTGAGTTTTGCCTGGCTCGTGGCGGCTGCGAAAGCTGCTGAGAAGATCGCTGACAGTGTTTGTTACAGTCAGTGGAATTCGACATTTGGTACGCAACAATCTACTCAGCTCAGTTCCGCTACCTCGCAGGCCAGTACTCTAAGTGTCCCTTCGTCTTCAGGTTCCGTCGAGATCCCGACTCTCCAGGACATCCAAACCGTGCATGCTAGCCTTCCCCATGAGCTGCACCCCGTACAGGGTTCTGCAACATACGCTGCACCCATCCAAGCACAACATACATTTGTCACCCCGGCCATGTGGCAAGAATCCGTGGCCAGTGTGTACGAAGGGGGCATCAAGCGTTCCTGGGATTATGCCAGTGACTCGATGCCGATGTTGAAACGCTGAGCTAGGAAACCTCGAAATCAGACTAATCGGGGATGTGTATAGCTGGCGTTTTTTTACCTGCTTTTCTTAGCAAACATATCTCATTGCATCTTCGGCGCCCATCATCTTTTTGCTGGAGCGGGACATGTCTGTGGAAACCCAACAGAGAGGCAACGAAGCAAAGGACTGCAGTATGTCACGAGCGTCAAATGCCGAACGAAATGTTTGTGTTATTTTCCATGGTTAACGACAGGACAAGTTGAGGCGTTTTTCTCCTCGTGGCATTTGGACGTCACGACGGCTCATCTATATAAATTGGGACGGGACTTTCTTGTGTGGGAGTTATTGTGGCTTGGAATGATTGGGATGATTTGGGTTGAGCAGGTTGCCAGATCTGCCGGCAAACGCATTTTGGGAATATTTCAAGACATGTGTACTGTATATGACTATGTTTCCATGGCGAGCGCGTTTTGTTACAGATTCTTGGGTATGCAGCCGGGACAAAGCCCGAGGAATACAAGGTTTGCACGATTGGCAAGATGATGGGTGTTTTTATTGCATTATATGTCTAGGGGCGGATTACTAGAGAGAACACTGCATGTGGCTGGAAGTCAAGAAGTCAGCGTCTTGTAGCCGGCGAGCGAGGCGACGTTGGTGTGGCAGCAGCCTCTGCCTGCTGTCGCTTAAGGGTATCCAGCACGGCGTCCCAGGCCCAAGCCTCGGGGGTGCCACGGCTATTCCCGGCGGACGGAGCGCCAAAACGGGTGGTAGGCGGCAGGCGGATCCATGGATACGAGCGCAAGAAGAGGCCGGGTGCGGATGTCAATCCGGGAGATAGTTGGACTGTGCGCTTTACGTTGACGATGCCCAGACGCTCGTGGGCGGGCGCCAGGTCGCCAAGGGCCACGGTGGTGATGCGCGGGCGACCGACCAGGTTCATGGTGGTAAAGTCGAGCAGAGTGGCCGGTGGCAGCTTGTGAACGAAGCGGCGCAGCAGCTCGCGGTCCGGATGGCGGGCAAAAGGCGGCAGCCGCAGATGGACAAAGGCGACAAAGGGAGCAGTGGTGTAGGCGACGAGGCAGAAGGGAACGACGCCACAGACAGCGACTGTGGTGTTAGTGGAGGGAGATGAGGAGAAAGAGGAGAGTGGGAGGGAGAAGAGAAGGAGAGAGAAGGAAAGACAGGTCAAAAATCAGGAGAAGAGACAGGAGGTGAAGATGAGATGGAGATGAAGAACCGAAAAGGGCTTACTTCCTGCAACCTGCCACCACGGCTTCTCGGCCGCGATATAGGCAGGACCGACGAGAAAGGTGAAGAAGGCCAGGCCAAAGAGGGTGGTGACCTTGAGACAGGCGAGAAAGGTGGTCCGAGGCGTGCCGGCATGGTAGATGAGCAGGCGTTCGGGGACTTGCAGCACAAGCGTCAGCCAAGCTTGCCTACAAGAGGAATGTTACGGCTGAACGTACGTCTTCTCTGGGCCGAGGCAAAGAACCGGGCGCCAATGGCCGGACTACGCAGAACTGCACCAGCAGCAGCTTCAAAGCCGGAAAGCGTCATTACCATCTTCATTTTCACGACGACAGACGATCTCGGCGGCAGAGGACTGGTCACGGCTCGGAAAGACCGCAGGCCACACGTGCGACCAGACCGCAGGAGAGCATTCCTGATGACCATGGCTGACGACTCTGGGGTCATATGGGATGAAGATGGATGATGAACAGCCTCGAAAATTGCACACCTAGAGACACATTATGTGGGTCTCTCTACGTTCACGTGACGTGGGTCTTTGATGCCAGCATTTGTTGCACCAGCGCATCAATTGCAAAGGAAGCAATACATTCGATCCGAGGAAGCGGACAGTGACGCGAAGAGAGGACGAACGCAACAGATCACCGACAAGCAAGCTTGGACGGAAAAGATCGGTGCGCCTGCCAATTGACTTCTGGTTTCAGCCGTTTGATCGTCGCTTAGGCGAAGAAGTCATGGCGCCTAGTGAAGCAGAAGGAGAGAGGAACGAACGAGGGAAAGAGAAAAATATTTGCAAGATACGAATGACAAGCGACAGGCAGCAAAAAGAGGCGGGACAACGGCGAGCAGTGGCACGACTGATCAATTATGCATGAGTCCTTTACATAGGGACTTGGTATGCATATCAGGCAGTAAGCATATTTGGCGGAGGCTATACTCCGTACGGAGTCGCAGGCGGAAGAAGCATAATCCAGTTAGCGTTATTGACCCTCTTTCTCCTTTTTTGACGCCAACACCCCGGCAACGAGGCCATGGCTGGCCGACGTCTGAAACCTGCCTGGCATCATGGCCGCCACCTGCCGGTGGAAACGGTCTCACGAGTCGCTGTCGACCCGCCGCTTGTCAGAAAGAAGAGGAAGAAGGCGCAGAGTTGAGACGGAAACAGAGGCAGCAGGGGTAGTGCGGTCGAGAATGAGTATGCTTATGAGCTTGGGTGTTGCAGGTGGAGTTTTGCGATTTGGAGCCACAGACCCCCTGGTTTCATGACGGCTTCGTCGGTTCGCTTGCAGCTCGGGCGACCCACTGCCTGGACCAAAAGTGAGAGAGAGAGAGAGAGAGAGACGCTGCTGGCGTCTTGCTGATGTGAGAGAGCGGTCGCTCTGGTCGTGTTGTCGCATCCTAGAACCAGTCTCGGGCAGGATTCCAAGCGATCATGGTGCAGATCCGGGAGAATCAGTGTGTCAATGTGCCGGAAGCCGAGCGAGAAGACGAGCCTGGCGGCTGCCGAGAAATGGGGAGATGAGACGGCCAAGGCGCGCCGAGAGCCGCAGAAGAGCCTCAAGGAGGTCTTTCACCCTTCTTTTTTTCTTCCCCCCCCCCTGTCCAGACTATACGATGTATGATATGTCAATCCCTTCTGGATGGCCTGGATCCAGACGTCGCTTGCAAGCCGAGATTTGACCTGCCCTATACGAGCGGCCAGGAGCGATCATGACGGGCCAGCAATGGATCCTTTCTCCTTACCCCCTTGACCGGACGAATTGTTGCAGGCAGTCCGCACGGAGTAGCGTATGGTGCTCCAGTCGTCATACGATGGCACTTTTACGGTTAAGTGTCTCTGGCGATGGGATCTCGTCTATTTAATGCGGCGGCTCGCTGCGTCTGGTCGTGGCTTCCCTTTCTCTCTCCTCACCAACCAACCATCCGTTCACTGTCTTTCTTGGCTTCGCCTCCTTCGTTCTTTCTTCTTTCGCTTCTTCAGCTCTTTCCCTTCGTTGCAGTTCTGTGAACTTGCTCTTCCGCATCTTTGATTCGATTCTGTGAACCGTCTCAATCGCCTTTTTTCCGACTTACACTCTCTTGAATCTATTTTTGTTCATTCCCTCCACATCCACATCGACAACATGCCTTCCATCGCATCCGTCTCTACCTTTGCGCTCCTTGCCGCGGTGGCATCTGCCCGCTTCGGTCAGGAGCAGGGCAACGGCGCCATTTCCGCCATCTCTGCGCTGTCGGATCTGGGCTCCTCTGGTCAGGCGGCCACGCTTGCCGGCGGCTCCATCCAGTTCCTGCTGGCGGCGGCCAACCCCTGCGGCAAGCTCAAGCAGGCCGACCAGATCATCACTGAGCTGGGCACCAGCGACCGCGCCGTCGCCGCCGCCCGCGGCCTCGTCGCTGCCGAGCAGAACTTCAACCCCTTTGTCGTCAGCATCCCCAACATCTGCAGCGACCCCTCGCTGCCGGCCTCGTCGCAGCTGCGCGGTGTCGTGCCGCTGATCGACCCGGCCGTTGTCGGCTCCGACCACGAGAACGCCAACAGCAACTCGTCCAAGGTGACGCCCTTCAGCGCCGACGGCCTGAGCGTTGCTCAGATCATGGTTGCCCAGGGCTTTTCCAACTTCACGGCCGTTGCTCTGGACGGCACCAAGCAGGCCGCCTCTGCCCTCGGCAGCGCCCCGGCTGCTGGTGCTGCGGCTGCCGGTACTGCCGGTACTGCGGCTGCTGCCACTTCGGCTGCTGCTACCGCCGCCGCAACCTCGGCTGCTACCTCGGCTGCTGTGGTCGCTAATGCTGGCAGCAGCTGTGCTCCCCCTGTCACCATCACCACCTTTGTGACTGCCGATGCTGCTGCTGCTACCACTGCGGCTGCTGCCACCTCGGTCGCTGCTGCTGCTGCTGCTGCCTCGAGCTCGTCTTCGTCCGCTGCTGCCGGCACCTGCACGGGTGGTGGTAGCACCCTCGTGTGCTCCAGCCCTGCTGTTGGCGCCGGTGCCGTGAAGAACGCTGTGACGGGCAACTTTGATGGCTTCGTCAAGTCCACCATTGCCGGCCTCGACTTTGGTCTCTGCGTGCCTACGATGAAGTTCGAGGCTGGTCTTGACGGCCGTGCTTCCACTGCCAACACCTTCCAGGCCATCGACCCGCAAGTCAACAAGGGCCAGGAGGAGGCTCTGAACCCGTCCATCATCACCAACCGCATCCACGACCAGATGACCAACGTCTGCGGTGCCAACCAGGCCGCCAAGGATGCCGTTGCTGCTGCTGCCACCAAGGTTGCCGCCCTCGGCACTCGGGACGCCACCACTGCCAACACCTGGAACACCCTTCTGGGCTTCGACGGTACCAACATCAACCCCGACAACGCCCCCCAGACCGGCCTTGTTGGCCACACGTAAATGTGACTGGAACAGGGTCTACTAGCATTGGATAGTTTGGGGTTGCCTGTTATGTCTGGATATGCAGGAAGTGTACGGTTTGGGAGCATGTTCAATTCTAGAGTGTAGTTTTTCTTTTCATATATGCATTGCCGAAATAAGAGACATGTTACGGTCGAATAAGTGTGCTTGTGACCTGTATAATTGCAAACGGTGGTTGTATTTGTGATGTGAATTTGAATTTTGAGCGATTGTGTTCCGTTGATCGTGACTGAACCAAGCCATTGACAAGCGACATAGGCAATAGTAAAGATGATTTTGCTCGCCAACAAGTACGAAATAGAAGTAGAAGTACTTTCATTTTCTTCAGCATGACACTCGTACGTAAACGATGGTGGTTCCTTCCTGTTGCACAATCCGTGTCTTTGATATTTCTGACTAATCGCTACACTAAATTCTTGCTGACTCAACCGATATATCCCACAAACTTCTCATACACATCCAGTTGACGAGATAAAGCAGTCTCTCCCGGCAGCCCTTAGACTGCGTTCTTGTCGAGGTAGGTGAGCCACTGGTCGACGGTCCAGGACGAGGAGATGTCGTTGGCTACGACGCCGTCAAAGATGGCGGTCGGGCTGACGTGGACGCCGAGCAGACGGGCATACTTGATCGTCCACTTGAGGTCGTTGGTGATGGCGTTGCCGACATTGACGGTCCCATCGGCCGCCGGCTTGTCGGGGATGGCGAGCAGCTCGTAGATGGTGTCGGCATCGACGGCGCCGCCGGTGCTGGAGGCCGCCAGCGCTGCCAGCCGCCGGTACGTCGCGTTGCGGCCCTCGGCGACGACGTTGACGTCCATGTAGGCCTTCTGGTCGGCAAACAGTGCCGTGCTAAAGTCCCAGAACAGCTGCGGTTTGCCAGCCGCTGCGGCCACGCGCTGCACGGCCAGGCCGGCCTCGTGCACCAGCGTGCTGCTCGGATGCCACGGCTGCACCTGGTGGCGGAAGACCACCTGCAGCCGGCTGCCCGGGCCTGTCGGGTTGGCTGCCAGCTGTGGCGCCACGCCCTGCACCAGCGTGTTGAAGAACTTGGCCGAGTACGGGCACACGTAGTCGAGGAAGACCTCGAGCGTGTGCAGCGGCTCAGCGGACGCGGCCACGGCCTTGTTCAGGTCGGTGAACACGAGCCGGTGGGCCTTGAACTGCGGAGGGACGGCCATGGCAAAGACGATGTGATGTTGGGGGTGGAGGTTGCGGTGGAAGTTGGGAGGTGCAGGATGCTTGCTTTTTGGAGTGAGTCTGCGTGATTGACAGGTTCGGGAGCAAGCTTGAGTCTGCCAGGCAAATCAATGACAGATGCAGAATGCGTGCAGAGCCGGTGTATATAAACGCACGGAAAAGAGGATCAGTATCTTTATCGCGGTGATGTCGCCATCGGTTGATTACAAAACCCCCCGCATAGAAATACGAGCTTGGAATCACTTACACCACAGGCGAGCTCGCTGGGATGCCCCACTTAAAGGAGGTGGGGTAGCACTTGGAATCATCGCGGGAAACAAAATGATTCCAACGAAGGACGGAGTAAGCCGCGGCTAAATCCTCGTCTTACTTGATACGCTAACATAATCAAAGGAAGAGGTGCTGAAAACGGTACCCTGTGTAGTATCTCTCTTGTCTTTACCTCTCTGTGTCACGAGTCATTCTTTACAACAGGACAGTAAGCCAATAAAAAGCTGGCATCGCGAAACTGGAGATTGGGGTTCTTTCCTCTTTTCCATAGTAATACAACCTCATGTAGTCTCCGAACGTTTCCTTTGTCGCTACTATCAGCCTTACTTCGGTTCGGTTTCGTACCTTGCATCTCTAGCTAAAATGGCTCGCTATCGCCGCGGATCCAGCAAAAACCCAGGATCCAGGGGACAGTCGATCGCAATTCAGAGCCAGATGGTGCGATAACGTAGTCGGCATTCCCCCCAGAAATTCGTCTCATAATATTAGACTTCCTTGCGCATGAACGCCATGGCTTGGGCGCTTTTGCTGCAGCTTGCAAAGACTGGCAACGTGTCATAGAAAAGCAGAAGTTTCGCCAGATCAAGTTAAGCGTGCCTCGCTTGGATGACTTCGAGCACATGACCATCTATAGAAGTACACTCGTAAGACATGTTTGGTTAAATATAGAACTGCTACGATATAACTGCCGGAGCTACCAGAGTGGTGAAAACGGACGGATATGCCGGCGCAATAGCGTGGTATTGAGTGAGGCAATCGTGAAGTTGTTCTCTATTCTGAGTACCTGGAAGCCAACAGGTGAAGGTCTGGTATTGGAGCTTAGCGCTCAATCCCCGAGTGAGGCAAAGCACTGGTTCAAAAAATCTCATCTTTCAGGCGAGCAATGGAGGCGGAGGTGCATTCCCTGCAGCTGAGAACCATACACAAGATCTCACTACCACGGAAGATTGCGAGGCACTCTCCCATCTGTTGCGTGTCGCCGGAGTAGCAGCACGGAGAATGCCGGAACTACATACCCTGATCTTTTGGAACGGTGGAAAAGGCGAGGCGTGTGCGTTCAAGTATCGCAGGGAAGCGTACCAGGCGTCAATTACATGGTGCTCTACCTGGGACCTCGACCTGCCGCACAGTGTGGTGCAGGCTAGGGAACGGGTTGCCGTGGACGTGGTCTCATCTAATCTCGTCGTCGACGAGCAGCATCTCAGGAGTGATGTGATCTGCTCTCACGGCGGTGCAATTCATAATTTGGGCCTGCCCCCTGAAATGATCGATCCGGAGTGGCAGATACGGAAAGAAGAGAGTCGGATTCAGGCAAATGCTTGACTCTGATCACAAAACGGTCTAGACTGCTTCGCGGCGGAGTTCCCATTCAAGACGTTAGCCAAGATACTCCGTATAAAGCAGGGGTTTATTCTCAAACTATCCCCTCTGCCAGTCATTGGCAGGAAGACCAGGAATGGGTAGTCCACCTCGATTCACCACAGCGACAAAAACCAACATATCAAAGCCTTTTTGATCGGAACGTAATTTTCTATCATTGAAAAATGCATTGTCTTTTTGATGTTTTTTCAATTACATACAATGTAAGCTTAGTAACACGTGATATGATAACCCCCCAGAGGGTATTAACTGTCTTCCTAGTGTTGTCAAGGGTAGCCTTGTTGCGCATGAAATACATGTGTTGTTGGTTACTCTGACCGAAGTTACCACAGCGACCTCTAAATTGCAGTCGCATGCAACGTCTTCGACACAGACGCCCGCAGTAGCCATTGAGTGTTGCTGTCTGCAGTCGGCTATTCATTCTATCGGCATAACGGCGACGGGATTCTTTTAAAAATAGGAAAGAGGCCGCATGCCCTACTGATTGATTTTATCACATCTTGTGCTTACATTGCAGACTTCTCAAAATGTAAGGAATGCCCAACTAGCTTTACGATGGTGATACAATATGCACTGGAATAAGTTCATAAATGGAAGGAGCAATGGTATGTTCGTTGGCCACACTAGCCCGCCGCTTCTTGCTTTCGTAGTTTCATGTAATTGGTGATACTTTCTTTGGGCGCCGTTTGGTGCCACACCTGTGACATGAATGCATACGTCCCAGGACGCACACTCATATACCAGGCACACATTTTCGATTTCCGTCACGACCAAGCGCTTCGGCCGCAGCCCCTACACTGTGTTCTTAGTGATGATGCCGCGAGCAAACTCGCCAAACGTGATGTGCTGCTCGCGGTCGACCTCGTCGGCCAGGTTTGGCTGCGTGAAGACGGCGAGGGTGTTGCGAGCGATTCTGCTGCTGCTGGGCGCGGAGCCGCGCACAAAGTGCGGCACGGCCTTGAACTGGCCGGCGGTGATGCGCTCGAGTGCCTCGCCGGTCTGGAAGGCGATGCAGTCGCGAGGGATCTTGACCTGGACAGTCTCGCCGGTGCGCGACTTGATGTAGAGGCCGGCAGCCGGATCAGGCGATGCGGCGAGCTCATCGAGCGGGGAAAGGCCCGTGGCTACAGCTGTCGGTGCGGTCCAGTCGGTCTCGTCGACAAACATGGCCGAAGTGAGGCCGGTCAGACAGCCGTGGTCGAGATGGGTGGCACACCAGTCGTCACCGTCACCAGATGCTGCGGTCTCGCTCGCGGTCGTCTTCTCGGCCGGGAAGTAGTGCAGCAGCCGGGCCTTGGTGGTGGTCGACGTGGCCACGACGCCCTCGAGGTAGCCGACCGGGTAGCCCTGGATGGCCTGGGCGGCAAAGCGATCGCAGGCGCGGGCAACCAGCACGGCCACGTCGATGATCAGGCGGCACAGCGCCTCAAAGGTGGTGCGGAAGCCGGGAAGGGCGTCGCTGTCGGGCCACACGTTGGGCGAGAGGTACTCGGGAAAGGTGGCGGGCGAGAACTCGGCCGTCGGCTTGGCGCAGCCCAGCGCCGGGTCGACGTAAAAGGCACAGTTGGCATAGTAGGAGCCCTTGAGCGTGTCGACCTGGCCGTTCTTGAGCGTCTCCTTGCCGCGCGACCAGCCGGTCAGGTACTTGGCCGCTTCGTTCTCGAGCCGGGCCAGCACCTCTTCCGGCTGGTTGCCCAGGTACGACGCGTACGACAGCAGCCGCTTCCGCAGCTCGGCAAACTCGGCCGGCACGTCCTTGACGACGAGAATCCCCAGCGATCCCGGTCCAAAGGCCTCTTGCAGCTTTTCCAGCGCGATTGATCCTGTGCTTGGTCAGCCGGGTGCAGGGTTCTGATGTGGGGAGGCCTTGTCACCATTCTTGAGGTCCTCGAGGGACACGACGACAGCTTGGGCAATTGGTGCCATGGTGAGCTTTACTGTGCTTTGCAGATACTAGAGAGATAGAGACAGGCTTGGACACATCGCAGCGTCTGAACAGCTTTAATAGTCATGCGATCACAGGTCGTAAGATATTTTTGTGAGTTATCGACCATCATATCGGCACGCAGAGATAGCGTCCTATCGATATAGACGCACTTCTATTAATAGTGAGGGTTGCCAATAGAACTATGGTACGCTAAAAAAGAAGATACATTAGGTGCACTTGGTACTCCGTACTGAAAGCCGTGATGCTACTCCGGGTAGAGTTATGCACGTGACCTGCTCGCCATCGCTTTGTGTCACGTGACAGAGACCTCATATCCACCTTTGACCGCCCGCCCGGCAGAAAAGCTTTACCGCCAAAATTTTTGTCTTAGCTATGGGCCATTTTTTTTTCTTTGGCTGGTCCTCGTAGCGAACGACTTCACCCCCAGGAAGGACAGCAAAGAGCAGGCAAGATGTCGCGCAAAGCGGTAGATTCGCGGATTCCGGCGCTGATTCGAAATGGCGTGCAGGAGAAGAAGCGCAGCTTCTTTGTGGTGATTGGAGACCGGTCCAAGGATGTGATTGTGCACCTGCACTACATCATGTCGAGCATGGACGTGGCGCAGAACAAGTCGGTGTTGTGGGCATACAAGCACAAGCTGCTTGGGTTTACGAGGTAGGCTGTGGTAGAGGACGGACATGCGGGCGAGAGAAGGTCACTGACAACAATAGCCACCGGAAGAAGCGGGAGAACAAAATAAAAAAGGAGATCAAGCGGGGGATCAGGGAGGCCAACACGAACGACCCGTTCGAGCTGTTTGTGTCGCTGCACAACATCCGGTACGTGTACTACAAGGAGACAGACAAGATCCTGGGCAACACGTACGGGATGTGTATCCTGCAGGACTTTGAGGCATTGACGCCGAACATCCTGGCGCGGACGATCGAGACGGTAGAAGGTGGCGGGCTGGTGGTGCTGCTGCTGAAGGGGATGAGCAGCCTGCGGCAGCTGTACACGATGAGCATGGACGTGCACGCGCGGTACCGGACGGAGGCACATGCAGACGTGGTGCCACGGTTCAACGAGCGGTTCATCCTGTCGCTGGGAGGCTGCGAGGCGTGTCTGGTGATTGACGACGAGCTGAACGTGTTGCCGATTTCCGGCGGAAAGGGCGTGAAGGCACTGCCGCCACCAGATGAGGATGAAGAAGGCGTCAGTGGCGGCAAGGTGCGGACGGCGAGCCAGCGACAGCTGGAGGAGCTGCGGGACAGCCTGACGGACACGCCGCCAATCGGCAGTCTGATGCCGCTGGCAAAGACGCTGGACCAAGGACGGGCGCTGCTGACGTTTGCGGACGCGATCGCGGAGAAGTCGCTGCGCGGCACAGTAGCACTGACGGCAGCACGTGGTCGCGGCAAGTCAGCGGCGATGGGTCTCGCAGTTGCAGCAGCGGTGGCCCATGGGTACGCCAACATCTTCATCACGTCGCCATCGCCGGAGAACTTGAAGACGCTATTTGAGTTTGTGTTCCGCGGATTCGACGCGCTCGGCTACCTCGACCACGTCGACTACACGATCATCCAGTCGACCAACCCGGACCTGCCGAGCAAGCCGGTGGTGCGGGTCAACATCCACCGGGAGCACCGGCAGACGATCCAGTACATCCGGCCGCAGGACGCACACGTTCTGGGCCAGGCGGAGCTGGTGGTGATCGACGAGGCGGCGGCGATTCCGCTGCCTCTGGTGCGCCAGCTGATCGGGCCGTACCTGGTGTTCATGGCATCGACGATCAACGGGTACGAGGGCACGGGGCGGTCGCTGTCGCTGAAGCTGATCAAGCAGCTGCGCGAGCAGTCACGGGGAGGCGGGGTGAAGGCGGCCACGGCAGCCAGGACGGATGATGACGACGCAGTGGCGGTGACGGATCGGTCAACCGGACGGGCGGCCAAGTCACAACAGGATTACGAGCTGCTGGCGAGCGGATCGCGGTCGCTGCGCGAGATCACGCTGTCAGAGCCGATCCGATACGCACAGGGCGACGCGGTGGAGAAGTGGCTGAACGCAGTGCTCTGTCTGGACGCGACGCTGCCACGGGTATCCCGGCAGAGCAGCACGAGCTACCCGGACCCGTCTTCGTGCGAGCTGCTGCTGGTCAACCGCGACACACTCTTCTCCTTCCACCCGGTCTCGGAGCGGTTCCTGCAGCAGATGGTGGCGCTCTACGTGGCCAGCCACTACAAGAACACACCGGACGACCTGCAGCTGATGAGCGACGCGCCGGCCCACGAGCTGTTTGTGTTGGTGGCGCCGTCTTCGGCCGGCGATGAGGAAGGTGGTGGAGGAGGCAGCCGGCTGCCGGAGCCGCTCTGCGTAGTGCAGGTGGCGCTGGAGGGCCGGATCAGCCGTGAGAGCGTGATGCAGTCGCTGAGCCGCGGGATGCGGCCGTCGGGTGACCTGATCCCGTGGCTGGTCAGCCAGCAGTTCCAGGACGACGAGTTTGCGTCGCTGTCAGGTGCTCGGGTCGTTCGCATCGCCACGAACCCAGACTACGTGTCCAAGGGCTACGGTGCTCGCGCGCTGCAGCTGCTGTGCGACTACTACGAGGGCCGGTTCTTGAGCCTGTCCGAGGCCGACGAGAACGAGCCGGCAACGGCGCGCATCGTGACAGACGTGACGGATGTGGCCACCGGGGCCGCTGGCAGTCTCCTGGAAGACGACATCCGCGTGCGCGACATTGGCGCGATGCCGCCGCTGTTTGCCCGTCTGGCCGAGCGGCGACCGCCGGGACTGGACTATGTGGGCGTCAGCTACGGGCTGACGAGCCAGCTGCTCAAGTTCTGGAAGCGGGCCGCGTTTGCGCCCGTGTACCTGCGACAGACGGCCAACGAGCTGACAGGCGAGCACACGTGTGTGATGTTGCGGCCGCTCGGACATGGAGCTGGTGGCGCAGGCGGTGGCGCAGGCGGCGATGGGGCGTGGCTGGGGGCGTTCTCACGTGACTTCCACCGACGGTTCCTGTCGCTGTTGTCGTACCAGTTCCGGGCGTTTCCGCCGGCGCTGGCGCTCAGCATCGGCGAGGCGGCGCAGGCGGCGTCGGCACGGTTTGACGTCGACGGCGAGGCCCGGCCGCTGACCCACGCGGAGCTGAACGCGCTGCTGACGCCGTTCGACCTCAAGCGGCTCGAGTCGTACGCGAACAACATGCTGGACTACCACCTGATCCTGGACCTGGTGCCGGCAGTGGCACAACTATACTTTACCGGCCGGATTCTGGCACAGAACGACGCTCTGAAAAAGGGGTCCTCCCTGACCGGCGTCCAGCAGTGCATCCTGCTGGCCGTCGGGCTGCAGCGCAAGGACATGGAGGCTGTCGTGACCGACCTGACGCTGCCCATGTCGCAGCTGCTGGCCATGTTCATCAAGGTGCTGCGCAAGATCACGGCGCACTTTGGCACGCTGGTGGCAGCCGCCGTCGATGCCGAGCTGCCACGGCCGCGTCGGAGCGCTTTGGCGGGCGTCTCGGCTGCCAACGCGACCGGCGTGCACGACGACGAGACGGTCGACCAGCGGTTTGAGCCGCTGGCCCTGACGGTGGCGGAAGATCTGGCTGTAGTCGACGAGGACGACGAGGACGACGAGGCCCGCGAGAAGAAGCGCCGCCAGCGCGAGCTCATCGACTCGCTGCCCCTCGACCAGTACGAGGTCCAGGAGACCGACACGCCCGGCTGGGTCGAGGCTGAGCGCCAGGTCGCTGCTGCCGCCGGCCGCAGCGGTACCGTCGTCAGCATCAAGACGGCCAAGACTGGCGGCACGAAGCGCAAGCCAGGCCAGGCCACCGTGGCCGAGGTGTACGACGAGGTATATGGCGAGAAGAAGAAGAAGAAGCGGCGGTGAGCCGGCGGCCCCGCTGTATGGCTGCGTGTGTCGTCTGTCGTTCTTCCGTCTCCTCTCTTTTCATCTCTTTTCTCCCTTTTAGCTCAAAGATCGCCTAGCTCCATCTGAGGGATCCCCAATCTGATCACCGCTTACAGCTTACATAACCAGTGGACCTTGCAGAGGGCCCACCTCGAGATAGAGCTTGTTTTGTGTTACCCAATGCCAATTAAACGTATAGGGGCGGCCGAAGACATCTGGGGTCTTTTGTATGTCGTCCCGGTCTCTCCTTCTCTGCCGGCTGTCTGCTCGTTCCTTCCTTCACCCGAGTACCTTATGCTCGTCCTGTCGTTCCTTCCTGACCCAGAGACCGACGCGCACGTACACCCTTGTCCTTTGCCTTTTTGGGGATTTTTGGGACATCGCCCTCTCCTCGCCATCGTCCACTGAAACTCGCTCTTTTTCTGCCCTCACGCACGATGCATCGCCACCTCCCCCTGGCCCTCCTGGCTGCCGTCGCCGCCGTCGTGGCAGCCCCGACGCTGACGTCCGCACCCACGGCCACGGCCACCAACGCCTGGATCTCCGTCGGCAGCGACGGCTCTGCCCATACCATCACGGCCGAGCCGACGTCGACAGACTCGCACGCAGAAGGGACCGGCAGCACCACCAACACCCTGCCCGAGGCCACGGCCACCAACGGCGCCGGCGCCTTTCCCGTCTGCCAGAACACCGCCGGCGCACAGGCGCCGTTCTGTGCTCCTTCGGACGGCAGCACGCTCAACCCGGGCGGGACATACTACAGTAAGTGGTACGGCAAGACGGAGAGAGATTAGCAAGATCTTTGCTTTCTCCCTTTTGTCCATTTTCTCCCTTCCTATCTTCCTCCCTTTCCTCTTTCTCCCCCCCATATCTCTCCCTCGCTCACAACCAGTCACTTGGGATCCGACCTACTTCGCCTCCACGCCAAACACATCCGTCGTCATCACCGGAAACCTCTTCAACGCCTCGACCGGCGCAATTGTCCAGCAGGCCTTTTCCTCCGGAACGCTCGCCGCCGGCTGGTCCTTTTATGCCTGGTCCGTCGACGCATCCCTGCTCAAGGGTGCCGGCTCTGCTGGTGTCAACGTCAGCCTGTCCATGGTCTACCTGACCGGCAGCAGCAGCCAGGCTAACACGTCCGCGTCTGTGTCCTCGTCCCAATCCGCCGTTGTCCAGGGCCCCGTCGTCACCGTGGCCAAGCCATCTGCCGCCCTCCCTGAGCTCACCAAGGCGCCCACCGGCCCAGCCCTGTACATTGGCCTTCCCGCCGTGTTCGGCTTCATCATCGTCGTGCTGGCCGGTACCTTTCTCTGGAACCGCCATCATCGCCACATCGGTCTCGGCAACGTCATGAGCCGCTCGCGCTTTGGACCACTGGGCAGCCGCAGCGGTTACGGCATCCGCAAGTCGCGGCGCCAACGTGCTGCCGTCGGCGCCATCAACCTCGACAGCAAAGATACTGTCGACCTCGGGAATCGCTTCCACGGCCGCGTCGATAGTGGCAGCGGCAGCACGTCCCACCGGCCGGCCGACCGACTGCGCCGTGACAGCGACCTCCTCGGCAGCCTGGCCGGCACGCCGACCGAAGATCGCTTCAACGACGACGTCTACCACCCAAACACTACTCACACCGGCAGCTCCACCACCGGAAACGCCTTCCGCGATGAGCTGGCTAGACAGCAGCGGTCCGGCTGAAGGATAGCGCCTCTTGGTCCAGTCCTTGTCTTGCTAGTATAGCATATATCCAAGTTGGCTGAATGATACTGATCACATTTACCTTACTTTGCTGGCTACAATCGACAAGGAGCCAATGCCTCGACTGTGTCGATGAAAACGAATTGACCAGCTCCCTGTATTGTCCTGCTTTAATTGGAACCAATATCTGCAAGATGGGCTAAAACTGCAGCCATCCATACCAGTAGCCCTTATTAGCAGTGACGAGTCAGACGTTTTTTCGCCAAGACTGCAGCTTACTCTTACGTCATTTATCCCTTGTTGTAATTTGCTTCTGTGGTACAGCCAATAGTCGATATAATTTATGGAAATACATGCTACAGAGATGTAAACGCTTAATCTCTCTTCCCTTCGTTGTATCAAATTGACACGATTCGGCAGTCGACCATGCTAAAGTAATCAATCCCTATATACAATACCGGCTTAGTCGGGAAGGGGCCCCTTATTCTTACTACTACGGGTAAAGAAAAGAGTGTGTAAAATATGCAGCCCTCTACATTGGCAGTCCGTCTAATAACACTGTCATTCGGCTGGCGAGCGCCAAGCGCGTCTGCTCCGACACGCCGTGCACTAGCGGCATTAGATTTTTGCCGCTGCTCCATTTCTTTCCTCAAAACTTGTTGCAGCAGGTCTGCCGAGTTATCGCCGGTTGTATTAGCCTGCAAGGTAACTAGGTTGACGGCTGAAGTAAGCCTACATTTTCCTCACCATAATGCGGGGTACGAGGATAAGGATGGGGATCACACCAACCTGCCAACATCCTACACCCTGCAACAGAAGACGAAGCTGGTTGTCCGCTAAACGGGCCGATCAGAGCCCACGCCTTCTACCTGTTGAACAGAGGCTTGAACTTTCAAGGTCAGACTCTTTGGGCTTGAGTCAATTACCCCTCCGTCTATGACCCTACTAAACACGTGATCTCCTATCACAATGCATACAACTACCCCAGGTTTTTCGCATTGCCCTTTTACATGCCTGATCAGCACCTTCCAACAGTTCTCCCCACACATGTTTAACAGCTTGGGAGTGGTGGTGTGGAGTCTGCTAACGCCTGTAAGCCTCGCCTGTTGGCTGTACACATCATTTTCAGTCGTGATACCCTCCACGTAAGCTGCTCAGAGAGGCCAAGGCCCACCTTTCACCACACGAGTCCTAAATGAGTACAATACCGTTGACGATACGGTTGCAGAGACGAGCTCTGCGCCAGAAGTAATGCCCGCTTTGCCGTCGAGCATTCAGGCGGCCATGCAGAACCAATAGAGCCCGGTGGTATTTATAGAGAAGTGTAGGAAACCGCCTTGTTGGAATGCAGACAGCATATGCACACCCACACAGGCTAACAGACGCAAGAAATGTTCGGCTCAAAGGTTGTATTGACCGACTGTTGTAGAAATGATCTGGCTGGAAAGCAGCTGCCAACAACAGAATCACAGCACCTCAAGATAACATCACCAAAGCTTGTTGTCGAGCTCTCCGCCCGACTCGGGATATAATAAATAAGATAGCGACCTTCCGTTTCATGGAGAGAGAAAGACAGAAAATAATTCACAACGCGTCAGACCGTAGGCATTTTCGAGCATAATATCTCACCCAGCTTCCGGCACAAAATCTCAAAAGAACTCCAAGAGAGTACGATGGTACCACCGTACCACATGCAAGACTCTCCTCCAGGTCGGGATGAAATGATAACCCCAAATGAAGCTTTTTCATACCGACAAAACGAAAGAAAAAAACGCCAGGCAAGGTAACAAGGCGTACCTTTTCCACCCGATCCCTTTCCTGAACCCTTATCAAACACACCGCTAGATTAATCCAAAATCCATGACAACCAATACTGCTGTATGCTGGGTCCTTGTCCTCGACTCTTCCTTCTCCGCCCTGGAAGGGTCTTGAGAGCGTCGCAAAGCGGCTGGAGACGTAAAATATTCAGACTGCCCAAACGCCTTCACATAAGAAAACTCCGCCGCTTTGACCAGTTAAAATATACAAGATAGATGTGAAAAAACGAAACGAAAGTGAATGCCAGCAATAAAAAACAGAGAGTGGGTATGTTATGCAAGAAACAATAAAGACATCAGGGCGTTAAAAACAAAGCCTAGTATGCAAGATCGACATCTGCCATGGCCGGGATCTCCTTGCTCTCTGAGCCTGAAGATGATGCGGTCACGTCAGTATTCGTTTCTGAATGCGATGTCGTTGGGGCGAGCTCGTGGTGCTGGACCTGCGCCGTCTCGTGCGCGACTTCGGGGGGGATTCCGCTTTCGGAGTAGCCGAGGTCGCGCATCTGCTGGAAGCTCCAGCTCGGCTCAAACGCCGGGCTAAGCCATGCTTTGGTCACACGCTCATACATCTCGTCGATCTGCTCCAGGCTGAGCCTACTGGTCTCAAACACCATAAAGTAGACGACAAAGACAGACAGGATGCAGAACGTGCCCCAGATGAAGAACACGCGCGACCCGAGAGCCGCCGAGCCCTGGGTCTCGTCCACCAGAAAGGGCGTGCTGTAGCTAACGGCAAAGTTGAAACACCAGTTCGCCGACGTCGTGAGCGCGATCGACCGGGCCCGCACCTTGAGCGGGTACATCTCCGACGTGACGACCCACACCACAGGGCCCCACGAGGCGGCAAAGAAGAAGATAAAGATGGCGACGAAAATCAGCAGGATCGTGACAGAGGCGTGGGCCAGTCCCGAAGGCGCGGCGGCGGTGAACGACGCGATGAGAAGCTGAGACACGGCCATGCCAACGGCACCGGCCATCAACAGCTTGCGGCGGCCCCAAGCCTCGACGATAAACAGGCCCGGCACGGTGGAGACGACGTTGACGACGTTGATGATCAGGTACACGGAAAAGGCGTTGCCTATGCCTGCCTGGCTGAAGAAGCTGGTGCCGTAATACATGATAAAGTTGATGCCAGTGAGCTGCTGCAGGCTCTGCAAAATGCTGCCGGTCAGAGTGCGCCGGCCGAGATGGGGGGCGCCGCGGAACATTTCCATGTACGTGTCGGGGCCCAGGGCCATCTCGTACTCGTGGTTGGCCTGGATCTCGGCCAGCTCTTCGATCAGGGCCGGGTGGGTGATGTCCAGGCGGCGCAACCGGCTTAGAGACAGCGCGGCCGCATCTCTCATGCCGCACTTGATCAGGTAACGCGGCGTTTCGGGTAGGACAAGAATGCCCAGGGTCAGGAAGCATACCCATGCCAGCTGCAGGCCCATGGGTATGCGATATGCAGCGGCGTTCTGCATGCGGTAGGTCAGGATGTTGACGATCGAGGCAGTCAGCAGGCCGACGGTGATGAAGAGCTGGTAGGCGCACACCAGCGTTCCACGAATCCACTTGGGGGCCATTTCGGACTGGTAGAGGGGGACGAGCACCGAAACGGCGCCAATTCCGATGCCAGAGAAGAATCTGACAGCTCGGGTTAGCAGGGGGGAGAGGGCCAGACAGCGCAGACGCGAGCCTACCTTCCAGCCAGCAGCATTGGGATCCTGGTCGAGCAGATCTGGAATATGACGCCAAAAACAAAGACGCCGATGGAATAGAGCATGGATATCCGGCGGCCGATGATGTCGGCAGCCGGGGCAGAGGCAAGGGCGCCGACAATGGTGCCGGCACTGAGGATGGCAATGATGGCAGCCAATCTGTCAGAGGAGAGAGGCATGGGGGGATCTGCATGTCGGTCGGTACCAAACTGTTTCCGGAAGGCACTCATGGCGATAATGCCGTTGATGGACCCGGTATCGTAGCCGAAGAGCAGTCCACCGGTGGCGACAAAGAAGCCGACCATGATGGCCGGTGCGGAAGAGCCGGCCACGTTGTCGGGCTTGCGCCAGCCCATGGCGAGGCGAGCCATGGCGACGTCAGCGGGAATAAAAAGAAAGAGCCTTGGGGGTCAAGGCTGGCAGAAATGATGCAGAATCGGTAGACAAGGACTGCAGATAGGACGAGATGGCGGAAGATGCGAGGGAGCTGGGTCGCGGCGGCTTCGATTACGATTCCGGCCGCAGGTGTGGCTGCGCATCGAGGACGAGTTGGCGTGCGGCGAGCTGTCGTCGTCGTCGTCGTCGGAACGGACAAGCCAAGAGGAGCCTGCAGTCCCCAAAGGCGTCGGATTTGCTCTTTCTCTTTCGGCGGTGGTGCGAGGCAGCAATTGAAGCAGCCGGTCAGCGTTTGGAGCAGGCGATGTCGTCGAGGCGTCGTCGTCGATCGGGGCGGTCGTCCGTAACCCTAGCCGATTATTTTCCGATTATACCGAGCGTTTTCGTCTGCAGGGGCAAATCATATTATGTGCCAACACGCATTCTCGGGATCTCGCGATTATGTATTGCCAGTGGTCGTCTTTCCACCCCTGTCGGTTGGCGGCGGCGTGATCGGGCCCTGGCTGCGCCCGTCTGAAGCAAGAGGCACTTGAAAGACGGGGAGAGGAAGATGGAGAAAAAAAGGGACGGGCAGGTGGCAGCGACAATATGCTGCTCCGTACGGAGGAGAGGAGGGCGAAGAGAGGGAAAAGAGGAGGATGTGATGGTGGCTTGAGTGGGTAATAACAGTGGGGAAAAGAGGAGAGGCCAGAAGGAAAATGAAAGTGGGCGACCGCCTACGCCGCATCGAGTATGGGCATGCTTTTTTTTAAATTCGCTAAACTCCCTTCTCCTGAAAGACGGCCGGGGCGAGGAGGGGGGCCCGCCTTCTGCTTTCTGTGAGCATGCACTTTACGCCAACTTTTGTGGAGGAGGGAGGCCTGTAACGCGCTGTCATAGGCTGTTCTAGCCCCACAGCTCTTCGTCGCTCCTGCCCGCAACCTCGTCTGCTGGCTAAAAGGCCTTGGTCAATGAGGAGAAGAGGGACTCCGTACGGGGTGCTGGGCCTAGCTGGCGTGAGTACCGAAAGGCTGCCGGCCGGCGTACAAGCCCGTCTGCCTCGCAAGCTGCACAGGGCCGCTGAGAGGGAGGGGTTTTGCATAGTAAGGGCTTGCATTTGTGGGCTGTTGTTACGAGTACGTACTCGTGCTCCGTCTTTTGGCGGGTTTTTTTTTGGTGTTCTTCCCTCTTTTGCCCTGTCACCCCATCCGTTATTAATCGCTTTCCCCTCTCGGATTCCATTCTTGGCTGAGACATTTATTATGCTCGCCGCTGACACACCGCGTCTCTTCCAAACAGCAGCTGCCAAGCAGCCAAGCATGTGGCGTGCTGGTGCATTTGTATCTGCGAGCACGAGCGGCGAGAATCAAGTGTCCTGTTGCCTGGAGGCGCTAGGGCTGGAATGGAGTAGTTCTTTTGATGTTGGCACAAAATGCTCGTACTCGTGCTCACGGGTAGCGATACAATGCACAACTGTACGGAGTAGCCTCGTACCTCGCACGCTTACCGTGGCCCGGGGCCGCCGTGGCAAGGCTCAACCTTGCTTCTGCCCAGCTGGGTGGCATCTTGCATTCTGTCATTCTGTCTCGTGTGCATGAGGATCATTTCCCCTTCTGCTTGCTGCCATCACGGCCAACCGCTTTGCCGGACGAATATGATGTGCCGCGACTCCACAATTTACACAGAACTCCGTTGAGACAACCTCGATTTTCCGGGGAGGAACGCACCCGTACTCAGACCACGCTTACACAGGCAGGAGGGAAGCCAGAGGTGCATCGGAAGTGGGACAACACGAGCAGGGGGTCTGTGCAGGCAAAACTCCGGCAAAAAGGCTTACGGCAAGTGCGACAGGCCGCCCCAGTCCCCGTGCCTGCTGCTGTTTCTGTCGAATAGACCAAGACAGGCACAGATGCGCAAACTGCTCCTCCTTTGTATCTAAGCAAGGTACCGCACATACGAGTCGTATTGTGAGATATCTGCTAATTCTACGACAGGGTCGGGCGAGCAGCCGTAGATTGTGCTGCATAAACGACTGTAACGGTGGAGGGCTGATTCCGTACTTATCCGAAAGCTAAACGCCGGCTACTAAGATCGCTGTCCCTAGGGCTCATTTGCATTGCACGCTACTATGTAGGGTTAGAAAAGAGCCATCTGGCTGCAATGCGAAAACACGGGTTCATTTCTTATAAACTAAGATACGTCGTACTCGTAATATCCCTGGCATCGTGTCTTTTGGACATGAAGAGCACTAACCTTATCACAAGGTATGGAGCATCGTCTAGACCCTTGGAGCGCCATTACTCTGTAACCATTCGTCCAGTGACCGCTTCCACGAATTGCGTGACATATTTGCCTGTCTCATTGCCACGTCTGTGCAAGTCAGATACGTGGCAGCGAATAATCGACGTCTTGATCTTGTCGTAATGATGTCTCTTCCGAATTTACAAAAAATTACCGCAACAAGGACCGTTAAAGAAGTATCTTATCTTTTCAAGATGCTGTACTATGTAGGAACGGGGAACACGGATGCTGAGCATCCGTTTATTCGTATATGCACTGTCTCATGACTTGGTTTCGCAGAAGAGGCTGTCTCAATCTCTGTGGGGTGCGCACCCAGCTTCTGACCTCTGCTCCTCGCACGTTCAAGCTTCATTGGGACACAACAGACATCGCTTCCGTGTCGGCTGACTACTGCCTTTATTGGAAAATGGGCTGGCTGCATTGCCCCACCTTATGCTCGCTGCTGCATACGACGCACGGAGTACGACGTCCTACTCCGTATGCATGGTAAATCGAGAAATTCTCAAAGTGCATCATATTTCATAACTTCCAACCCTTGTGCAGGTACTCCGTGCAAGTACTCGCACGGAATCGGACCCGGGCTAGCGCGAGAGCGTGCGTACGAGTGTACCATACTCGTATGTGTGTGTGTTGATTATCAGGAGATTTCCATGTGCGCCTGGGAGTCAGCTCCATCTTGGTTCTTGCGGTGTCGTCTGGGTCCGCCTCTTGGTTCCAGGCCACTGACCAGGCCTTCTGTCAAAGGTGGTCCCAGGCCAGCGGAAACCTTTTTAGCTCCCAGTGCTGCTTATGGAAAGCTGCCGTGCTGCCTCCACCATCTCGTGCACCGTCCACAGATCGTCCACCGGTCGCATGTTCCGCCCTGTTGCTTCCAGCCACAGCGGCAGTACCGCAACTGCTGACATGAGTGACGTTGCCCGCACCACCGACAGAGCTGTATGACATTAATGCTACGTACCCACACCTTACTCTGCCAGTGTGCGGCGCCTCATCCGACAATACTGTTAATGTTGTTTTCCGACAACCCAAGACCGCCATGCACCTATTCCTGCTACTCCAGTATTCAAAGCTGTCCCTAACTATCACTGGAATTTCAGCGGTTCGGTAACATGCTGGTATATCATCACAATTGACAAGGCGATTGATTGTGTTGCCATTTTGTCGTCTCAGAGCAAATCTGCGGAGACAGGTCTATCTCCGGTGCATCCATCTGGAGGAAATCCCGGCGTGATCCGGCTCTTGTCAGCCGTGAGCCTGACCGCATTTTGGTTCAGCCGGCGCCATAATGGTGCATTTCTGTTATGCTCGTGACTTGGCCGCGCACTCGAGCGAGGTTTGATTAATGCGGCGGCATCGGCGCGCTGACGAACAAAGATTGACAGACATAGGATCATTGGTGCTATTGTGTATTTTCTCTAAGATAATTCGAAGCGTGTGGAGTCAACCAGAATGAACACTCTTCGAACTGCAACTTTAACAGAGCTTGATTTGACATCGCCGACAGGATGCCTTTGTGCAAGCCTATGGAGGAATGAAGTCATTGTTGGAAGGCAACATTTCAGGATTGAGTTATCGCTACGCCTATGCTCCTGAAGTCCGTAGTTAGGGAGTGCCTTTCTGTATCGACAAGCATTATGCACCCATATTGTTCATGCTGCTTCTGGTGGTAATTTGCAAATGCTCGGTGTAGGAGTATTGATTCCGACACGGTCCATTTATATCTGAAAGCAGGTAGTTATCCGTAGGCAAATCAATTGATAGCCGAGGACATGAGGAAGAAGACCGAGAGAGGCGGCTTTCCCCCGAGACTAATTGAAAATCTGCTAAACTTCTCTGGCTTTTTGATAAACTAATTAAACCTAGACTCTATCAAGGTAGGTGTATGTAGGTGATGGTATCTCAAATGGCAGGGACTTATATGGTAAGTGTATTTTTGCAACAGGGTGGCCTACATAGTAGTACTTTGCTTTATCCACACTAGAAATTATGACTGATTCTCGTGATATAGGGAGCGGTGTGGAAGTTTACTGGAATAGAGACTGGCATAGAGAGACTGTTTCAAAGACTGGCGTAAAAACTGGCATAAGACTGGTGTACGAAGTAGGGGGACTTCGTAAATCACAAGTTTTACCTAATAAGATATTCTAGTAATCACCACAAAAACCAAGGCAAGATTGATAAGGAACGTTACGGAGGTTGCTTGAGCTAAGGGATTGGTTGGATTGGTTGAACATTCTGCCAGATGGAAGCGTCCATGACAGCATTGCTCGTTTTTCACTCTGATTAATCTGCAATAGAATGGAGGACTATGATTGAAACAGAAGGTGCTGGGAAGGCTTTAGAGTAGGGTTGTAAGAAATTTTCAAGGCTACAGAATTGATTTTTCAAGACTTGAGGCTCTTGATCAGATCATCAAGACCGCCATCAATGCCGCATCTGGAAAACCATCAGGACAGAGTATCGTGTTCCTTGGCCTCTTCGGCCTGTTGATTAATTCCCCTGATCATGTTCACCGCGCGTACGATAAGTAATAAGATGGTATGGAGGAAGTACGCGAATAGTTTGACCTTTACACTTCTAACACTCTGGCTATAATGCCAAATAACCTGCACATGCCTTTCTCTAATGTTATGCATCAATTCCTTGCGGAACATTCTTACTATTACTCCTAAGAGGCTAGAAGCCGACCTCCGTTTCCATATCCAAACCGCTATAGCGTCTAAGATGCCGACAGACTATATTGCCTGGACTGAAAATTGGCAGCTAGCCATAATCCACTGCCAAGTAGGACACATTCTTCAAGCATCCGTTGCCCGAGTTTGGTTTGGCATTTTTTCAGAAAAGAATGTGCTCGTAGACGCGTGGTTTCTGCGACACCATTTCTAAATCACACTCGATGGTTTTAACTTGACGGCCAAACTGCACTTTGACATAAAGTTGTGTCGTCAATTGCAGCTTTTACCGTATCGAAATGCCGATCAGGCAAATAGTAGTCCCACACAAATGGTAACTCGGTCAACGGAAAACATTGCACTTGAGAGTATTGAGGTAACAAAAACACCAAATAAAACAGAAAAGACTAGTAACAACCACACAGAACTAGTTACCCCTCTGTATACTCCTCTATAGCCTTAAGAAGCTCCTGTCTATAAAGCGTTACTAGCACTGGCCTGCTAGTACGGAGCGCCGCTGCCCGTGCCGCGACTACCGCATCTACCCAGGCCTTCGCTGCCTCCCAGTCTAAATAGGCTATCGTCTCCTTCTTTGTCCACGCCGTCTATGTTACGGACACGAAGCTGTGCTTTATGTGGCCTAGGTGCGCCGTGTCGAAGATACTTTTGTCAGATTCTCCCCAACAACAGCTTCCTGCGGGATGGAGTCATAAAGCGAATATCTGGCAATATGCCAAGTCATACTTCAGTCCTAAAAGACTAGAAGGTCATCCGCAATAGCGGGTGTGCCGTCTGCAAGGTAGTATTTTAAACAAAGGTCTTGTTAATAGTGAATAGATTTAGCAGTTGAATGAGCGTGAGTTGTTGACTATCTCGAGATCACAGAAATGGGCACGATGCCGCTGCTTTTATGCCTCGAAACTAGCCACGTGGTCTCACACGAGAAATACGGCGTAGCAGTCTAGCCTGCCAGCGGCAAGCTTATAATATTCCAGTTTTGACAGTAATCGTACTCTGTCTTGCTGTGCCGGAGCGGCAGGACGGTGGCTTTCGGTAGGCCTGAATCGTCGGGAGGCCACTCCGCGTCAGTCCGTCGTACAAAGGTTGCCGTGCCGTGATATATCTTTGGTATACGTAATCATGATGTTTGCATAGTTGCGCGCGGCCACGTGCACTTACACGATTGTAGTGGTTTCTGCCGTGCGCGACCGCCTAAATAAGTCAGGTGGAACAGTCGCTCTACTATGTAATACTCATTTATGTCAGTCCCTGTGCCAGTCTTTCTGTGCTGGTATGTATCTTAAGTCGGTTTTTACGGAGTACGCCAGTCTCTGCGCCAGTCTCCGTGTCAGCCCCTAAGTAATGCAGGCTGTACTAGTAAAGCAAGAGTAAAAATGACTTACTTGAATCCATTTCATTAAACCAATTGGTAGACGAAAGCGCTGTGTAAAGTAAGTGGAGAAAAAAGAAGGGCGCGCACGCGCGGGGTATGTAAAACAATTAAAGGCTATTAGTAGAACATGGTCATGTGATCACGAAAAAAATACTGAGCAAGATCAGCGGGAAATCACATAGTATGGCAGGATTTAACCCCTCCTTTGTCGTGTAACATCGCCCCTCCTTTACACCTTCCCCTTTCTGAACGGCCAACAGTCTCCTCATATCTTACTATGTAGTGTCTTCAGTGTTGACAACCTTGCCAAAAACATTAACTAGGTTAAAATATTAGCGTATTTATATTGGTTGAAAAAAGCAGGCTACAGGCAGTAGAGACGTTATATCAATCCAATGGACCTTGGGGTTTTTTTGCTAAAGCCAGCCTGATCAGCAAACAAATTTAGTCCTAAAATATGCAGCGACATTGGTCTATGTTTCCGTCTCGTTCTGGCAGCTGTATAAAGCCAGAGCAGGAAGCCAAAGCAGGAAGTTAGGCCATAAGACAGAGCAATGGTTGCCTGTCGTGCCTGCCAACATCGCAGCTCCAACCATACTACGCGCGGTTTTCGTGGGAACGGCCCCACTGACTGTTGGAGATAAACGGAAAGCACGCACTCGCCCCGATGGGCGCCGTTTAGGGCGGTGAGAAAATGTAGACTAAGTGTCGTCCGTTCAACAAGTTGGCTATTTTTCATTGGGGGTGGGGTTCCTTCCTCGAGCTCTCTTTTCTGCCATAATAAGAACGCATCGTTTCCCAACGCCAACCCCTCAATCTTCCAAGTTGTCAATCCCTTTGTTGCATTGAAATCCCACTCCCTCACAACCTGTCCACACATCACAATGGCCAACCTACCACCCGTCTATATCGTCTCTGTCGCCAGAACGCCTGTCGGATCATTTCTAGGGTGAGTTGCACATGGTTCCTGGAAAAGGGGAGAGCTTCGTCTGTACAGGAGCTGACTGAACGTGTGTTCGTTTCCCATTGTGCAGCTCTCTCTCAAGCCTCAGCGCCATTGACCTCGGCGCCCACGCCATCAAGTGTACGCTTCAGCAAGAGCTCTGCCCCTTCTGACCCTTACCTTATACTGACTGCTTCAGCCGCCGTTGAGCGTGTGCCACAGATCAAGCCAGAAGATGTCGAGGAGGTCTTTTTCGGCAACGTGCTGTCAGCCAAGTAAGCAATCCTGCGATCTCGGTCTTGTGTTGCACCGGACACGTGAGCTGACATGATATTCTTTTCCAGTCTTGGCCAGGCGCCTGCGCGTCAGTGCGCCCTGAATGGCGGGCTCTCCAAGAGCGTGATTGCAACCACGGTCAACAAGGTGTGCGCTTCCGGCCTCAAGGCGATCATTCTGGGAGCTCAGACGATCATGACGGGCAATGCGTCGATTGTGGTGGCTGGTGGCACCGAGTCCATGTCCAACACGCCGCACTACCTGCCGACGCTGCGCAAGGGCTCCAAATACGGCAACGCAACGTTGGTGGACGGCGTGCTGAACGACGGCCTGACGGATGCCTACGGTGCCAAGGAGCACATGGGGCTGCAGGGCGAGCTGTGCAGCGACGACCACAGCATCTCGCGTGCCGAGCAGGACGAGTACGCCATCGGGACGTACCAGCGTGCGCAGGCGGCAACGGAGGCCGGCGTGTTTGCGTCGGAGATTGCGCCCATTGACGTTCCGGGTCCGCGGGGGAAGCCGGCGACGCGTGTGGACCGTGACGAGGAGGCCAAGAACCTCAACATTGACAAGCTGCGGTCGGTGCGGCCGGCTTTCAAGCCGAACGGTGGCACAGTGACGGCGGCTAATGCGGCGCCTATCAACGACGGCGCGGCTGCCGTGGTGCTGGTGTCGGAGGCGAAGCTCAAGGAGCTCGGGCTGAAGCCGCTGGCCAAGATCCTTGGTTGGGGTGATGCGGCCCAAGAGCCCGAGCGATTTACCACGGCGCCGGCCCTTGCCATTCCCAAGGCCATTGCCCATGCCGGATTGACGGCCGCCGATGTGGATTACTACGAGATCAACGAGGCATTTTCAGTTGTGGCCCTGGCCAACGCCAAGATTCTGGGCCTGGACGTCGACAAGGTGAACGTGTTTGGCGGTGCCGTGGCCATTGGCCATCCGCTCGGCTGCTCGGGTGCACGCATCGTCGCCACCTTGACGACGGTCCTGCGTGAGAAGAAGGGCAAGATCGGCGTGGCGGCCATCTGCAACGGCGGCGGTGGCGCGTCGTCGCTGGTGATTGAGAACCTGCAGTAAGTGGTTGGTCTGAGAGAGACAGACAGGGATTTCCGGCCAAAACGGCCGATATTGCAGGGCCCTTTGAGCCAGCAAATATACAAAAAGCGCAGCCTTTTCTAATGATAGTGGTGTCTGTGTCGGGGGGTCTTTTCTCCCGGCATGACGCTTTGCAATTAATAGATGGCCCACGGGACAGACGGCATCGAAAGCGAACCTATGATATTGGCACGTGTGACTAATTCTGCTCGAGCGTCTTGCAACTAATATAAACAAAAATGAAGAGAGCGGAAGGGCAGGGCAAAGGAAGAACTGCAGTGAAGTTGGTAGCCGTAAAAGTAAGATACATGCCCATGAAGGCCCAACAATAAGATAAGAGACAGAACAAGCACAAAACGCATAAACGCAAAGAACAGCCCCCCTGTTGAAAGCCCGATCAGAGAACCGCTGCTCCTTTCCCATCCTCCGTGTCCTTTCCCAGCCTCAGTCCCGGCTATTCGGCAGCCTGCTGCGAGGTTGCCCTGGTCTGCGCGTCCTCGCCAGGGCCGCCGTCTAGGCCGTCTGGGCCGTCTGGGCCGATAGTAGCCGAGGCGGCAGCCGAAACCAGGGCTTCAGCCGAAGCGGAAATCGCAGCCGCAGCTGCTTGTGCTTGGGCTTTTGCCTCAGCCTCGGCTGATGCTGTCTCTGCTGCGGCGGCTGCAGCGGCTGCGGCGACCAAGGAAGCCCCATCGTTTTCGGTGTTGCTGCCGACGACGACACCGGCAGCGGCAGCCGAAGTCCGGACAGCGTCGGGCGACGTGCCGTCGGCGACCCAGCGCGCAAACGCGTCCTTGCGCTGCTGGACCTCGTCTTGGGTCCGGTCCTTCATCCAGGCGTTGTTGATGACAAATTTCTCGCGGAATTGCTGCTCGCGCCAGTCGCGTCGTCGGCGCGCCAAGTCTCGACGGGCTTGCTCTGCCCGCCGACGTCGACTCGGCTGGCCGGACGGCTTGTCCTTTTCGCTTTCGTTTTCCTTTTCAGTCAAATCTTCGTTGTCGAGCTCGTTGTCCATGTCTTCGCGTCCGTCTTTGTCCTCGTCCTCCACGGCCTCCTCGACTGCCGCCTGGTGGTTGTAGATAAAGTACTCGGACGTGCCCTTCTCGTACACAATCGTGTATGAGTTCAAACAGATGCGCAGCACCAGACCCTCGTGAAAGGCCAGCGCCTTCCGGCCGTCACCGCTGTCCGAGTCCGCATCGCTCGCCACCGGCAGATTGCGGGCCAGCACCGACTTCTGCAGCCGCGCCCTATGCACGCCTTCGGTCGGCTCGATCCGCATGTACGACGAGATGTAGTACTGCCAGCGCTCCCGCAGCGCCATCTCGTCCACGTTAAAGGTCGGCTCGTCACGCTGCAGCCAACGCACCGTCGTCTCGTTCTTGGCCGGATACTATGTTGTTAGACATGGGCAAACGACCAGGCCAGCTGGCCCAGGAGGAAGAGACACAAACAAAACTCACCCAGGTAATCTGGAACATCTCGCCGTCCTTGATGCACTTCTCGGCAAACTTGCGCGCACTGATCTCGGTCTGGTACGACGTCTCGTCCAGTTGCCGGCTGACCAGAAACTGCTGCACCAGCTCCAGCGTCTTCTCGCGCGAGTCTGACCCGCTGCACACCAGCGCTTGCCGACACAACGTCTTGAGTAGATCCTGGATCGTGTATAGCTTCCAGCCCTTGCGCAGGTAATAATGCCGCAGCACGTCAAAGTAGCGGTTCTCCTCGATCTCGCCCGTCAGAAAGTCTTCGATCAGCTCCACCGTCCGCGGCCAGAACGCCTCGCCAACGGCCCCGTCAAAGTATCGCATCGGCTCCGACATCATCCCCAGCGCCCGGCCCGGCTTCTCGGCCGTCTCCCGCTGCTGCTCCTCCAGCACGCTCTCTCGGCTCTCCTTCACCGCCTTGAGCCGCTCGTACAGCTGGTGGAAGACGCTGAAGAAGACAAACACCGTCTGGTTGCAGAAGAAGTTGTACCACTGTCGCCGGAAGAGTCCGTCCGCCTTGAGCTCCCGTTCACTTTCCGCCAACGGATTCGCCCCCGAAACTACTGTCGGCCCTGGCGCCGCCGGTAGCCACCGCTCGTTCGACAGCTCTAGCGATGACCCTTCTTCGGCCACCGTCGGTGCGTCCGGCATCTCCTCCTCGTTTGCCGAGTGCACGTCCGGTGTCGATTCCTTGGATCCCGACGCCGCACTGCCCTCCTTGTGGTTGCGCGACTGTCGCGACCCGTTCCGTCCTGGGTCCAGCACGCCGCGCAGCAAGTCCGACTTCTTCGTCGTCCGTCGGCTGCGTCCGTTGGTCAGCTCTGCTGGCAGTCCGCTGTCGCCATCCTCGTCGCCCGAGTCCCGGTCGATGTCGCTGAGTCGTTGCTGCACCACCTCCTCTGGCAGGTCGAAGAACTGCGGCACAAACGTCTCGAAGAACTCCGTGATTCGCTCCTTCTCGGCTGCCCCGTGCTGTCCGCTTTGCAGCACGTACAGCACCATGAACCGCAGCAGGTCCAGCACCACCTCGCGGTCCGAGAAGTCCCAGAGAAATTGGTATACCGGCATCTTGGAGCCCAGTGCCGCCGCCCGCCGCTGCTCTTCGCGCTTCGTCTTGATCAGGTCCACCAGGTGCTTCGCCGACAGGTTGCGCTTGTCGTTCGACTTGACCTGGATCCCCATGTGGTCCAGACTCTTGAGGTACATCGCCTCCGTCTGCGCCATCCACACCTTCTCCCACTCCCGCTGCGAGAACCGCCACTCTTCGTCTTTTTGCTTGAGCCGCGCCATGATCACCGGCACTGCCGCAAACGGGTGGCTGAACATGTCGTTGGCCACCTCGATGCCGCGGTCGGGACCATACACCTTCTTCAGCACCCGCTTGTAGATCGATGTGCTCTGCCCACCAAGTCCGGGAGGCATCCGGAAGTTCTCCCGCTCCGACGGCGAGAGCGTGAGCATCTGCTGTGCCAGCGGCTCCAGAAGCTGTATGAACTTCTGGTTTGCCTCAATGTAAAAGTCGTAGTCGTGACGCTCCTCGTCGATGCGGTGCAATCCTTCCTCGTATCCGTTCTTGCGATGGGCAACGAACCCGGAATCTTCCGACGCCCACGTAGGGTGGGATGCCCACTCGTCGTTGAGGACTGAGTTGCAGAGCTCATCGCGACCGCTGCAGCGCTTTAACCGCTCCCGTCTCGGGAGAAGGCGGTAGCTGGGACCGTAGCCGCGACAGTTGCTGAGCGACACCCGCCCGCTCGGAGGCGCCGGACGGTTCTCAATGATCTCGTCCTCGCCCGTGTATCCGAGGTGGTTCTTGAACCAGCCGAAGAGCTCCGGGTTGCCACCAATAAACACGTGGCTCTTGGCCACCAGCACGTTCAACTCAATCAGGCCCTGCCGGTACAGGTTGATGAGCTTGAGGAACTCGTTCATCGTCGTGCGGTTCGGCAGGTACTTCTTGACACGCTCAAAGAAGCTCAGGCCCTCTTGCATGTCTTGAATCGTCCCAGTCGGCGCCAGTGGCTCTGGGACCACCGGCGTCAGCGTCGGCTCTGTGCTGGACACGGCTGCATCAACAGACGGCTTGTGCGAGAGCTTGGCCCGCTTGTTGGCCGCAGCTGGCGGCAACCCACGAACCGAAGATGTCGCCGTCGTCAGGTCCACGGGAGCAGGCGCCGGCATCGGTGCCTGCGGCTTCTCCTGCCGCGGCCGTTTCTTGCTCTCCTTGGCTGTGCTCGAAGGCGGCGCAAAGTTCCCCACCGGCGGCATCTTTGGCCCGTCTGCGTTCTGGCTGGGCGGCGTGGTTTGCACAGCGTTGCCGGCCCCGTTCGCCTCCTCGCCCGGACGGTTGCCGACCGGACGTGCGTGAGCTGCCGACTCGGGAAGAAACTGCTTGAAGTCTTCAAGCAGGTCCGGCGCACCGCTGAAGAGTGTCGTGACTTGGGCGTAAACCTCCTGGATCGGCTTCTGTTCGCGCTGGTAGGTTTGCAGGATCTCCAGAAATTGCTTATAGATTTCCGGCTTGTCCTGGAACCGGTTCTTGATCTTATTCACGTAGCTGATGGCGTGGTTGAACTCCACCGGCCCGCGCTTCTCGCCACCAGGCTGCTGAGCCGCAGCGCCGTTTGCGCCAGCCCCAGGAGCCGGCGTGTGTGCGTTTCGTGGCGCCGCAGAGTTATGGACTGCCATTCCCATGGCCATCCCCGGCCCGCCAGGAACACCAGCATGGCTGCCTCGCGGCATGTTGTCGTACATTCCAGCAGTGCCAGCATGGCCGTAAGGAGGAACACCGGGCGGTGGGATGTTCTGTGGCTGGCCGCCAAATTGGCCCTCGGGACCCTCGACGCTGTGTTGCACCTGCTGCTGCTGCTGCTGCGGCGGCCAGGGCCGGCCACCCATGCCCATAAACATGTTGCCCAGCCCAGGTTGAGGCGCGTGGGCTTCGGGAGGCAGGTTTCTGCTTCCCCCGATGGAGTGGATGGTCGAGCCAGATGGCGTTGTCACCCGGATGCTGTTTGGATTGTTCTCGAGGCCGCACTCGATACGATACCCCGGCGGCAGAAAGGTGTTGAACCCTTGGATCAAGTTGGGATGGCCTGCGAAAAGATCGGACACACGACTAATGACGCCCGGAGTGTCGATTCTGAGGAGCAATTGATTAGCTCCAAGGCCACACAGGGCCAGGAACACCCGAGACCGTTCACTTACGTCTGGCTTTTGAAGTCCTTCATGATGTCGAGGAAGCGGTTGTAAACATCCGGTTGTTCATGGAACTGAACCTTGACTTGGTCGAGATAGCTGAGCGCGTCCTATAGAACGGACGAAAACGACATGTCAGATAAGGGTGCTCTCAGCCAGTGTCACCAGACAGAGGACGAAGGTAACGACGACAGTACTTACATTCAGAATAGGCTGCTGTCCTTGTGTCACACCACCTGGTCCGCCGGGACCGGATGGACCAGGAGGACCGCCAGCACCATTCGGTCCCGGAGGACCGCCATGGCCTGGACCCATGGCAGTACCATAAGGTGGAGGCGGTTGGACAGCACGGTTATCAGGCTGAAGAGGCCCGCCAAATATTGAGCCCGGACCACCAGACCCCCCAAGAGCACCGTTCATCGGCACAGAGGAGCCGCCGTGTGTCATCATCGGGTACATTTGCTGCTGTTGCTGTTGTTGCTGCTGCTGCTGCTGCTGCTGCTGCTGCTGCGAGGGGTGTGGACGGCCCTGATCACCCACCGAGTGCATTGAGGGCGGCGGGCCACCGTATCCCGAAACACCTCCGGACTGCGGCGGCGGACCGCCCAGCTGGCCTGGCGGAGGCGGAGGCGGCGCATTGCCTGCACCACCACCGTGGTTAGCCAGGAGGCCATTTGGGCTGTGGATGGCACCGGCAATACGAGACGCGACCGGCTGGTGGATCGGGATGGAGCCGGCAGAGTTGTGGTGAGGCGGGCCGGGCTGCTGCTGCTGCTGTGGAGGCAGAGGGCCGGAGTATGCCTCCCGCTGGTGACGCTCAGCCTGTTCCCGCTGCTCGCGTTCGCGGAGGGCTGTCTCCTCCTGCTGGTGGTGGATAACCCGATTTCGCTGCTCGTCGAGTTCGCGTTCGCGCTCACGGTCGCGATCGAAGCCGACGCCGTGGAGCGGGGGATGAGCGTTGTTCATGGCTCGCCGATGGAGGTCCCTAGCTCGGGGAAACGGAAGGCATCTATTGATCGACGGGTGCTGACGGTGAAAATCCTGGGCGGAAAAACAATTGTTAGCAGGCCGAAACGACTTTAGAAAAAAAGCGAGTAGAGCTTGAGAACTAGGTAACACGCAATGAAAAAATACAGAGAAGTTGTAAGAGCAAAGCAATAATCTGTCCCGTGTGATCGCATGAGTAAGCTGCATACCTGGGAACAAACAACCCTCTCTTGCTGGCCTCTCAGAGTCGTTCTGCAGGGCTGCCGCAGCCGTGTGAGATGACCGTGTTTTGGGGTGTCAGAGTTGTGTTTCGGTCGAAATGCCCCAAATGCAGAGGGCCCAAAAATCGGGTATATCAATACCAGACGAGATCGGCTCCAGAAAACGCACGTTGAGCAGGCAACTGGTGCGAAAAACGAGACAACGCGCGGGTGAAGGGGAGGAGAGAAAGAGAGTTTTTGCGCGAAAGCCGAAGCGATTCCCAGCTGTTCACACTGGCGTCACGGCACAAAAGAAAGGGGAGGGCTGGATTTTCTGTCGGCCCGGCCTGATAAGAGCACGATAAGCGTCGCGTCTGCAGTAACTGTGATGCAGATAGTCACGTGGTGTCTGCGGTATCGCTTCAAGGTCATACGAAACCGGTCGCCGGCATTGTCATTGTGAGGTTTCAGCACCGTAAGTTGTTCCTATACGCACTGTAATGCATCTGGCCGGACTTGATTGGTCGGATAATGCACTAGACTTACGTGGGAGACCGTTTGCATTCTGCCGGCCATATTTCGGCCACCTACGGAGTAGACCTATTCACGGTACTTCATAGGACTCCGGGCACTATGCTTCCTTACTGACAAGCTAGATAGACGTACGCGGAGTCTTCAACAACTTACGTTTGGCAGTAGGACAATAAACAATGTGTCAAGAGAAGCGAACTGTGGAAACTGTGAACATTCGCAGATGAAATTTTATGTCAAGGCGGTGAAGCAGCTATCATATTAGCGTGAGCGGTAAGATACAAGTCTTCCTCGTAAAAGCTCACGGTGCCGATACATACTCCGTACGAGTACTTTGCAAGTTCTGTGCTCTACTGTGCCGCGATAATGATGATACATATCTAGATGAATGGCCAAGCTAATAAGATAGAACCCATAATACAATATGTTATTGATCAGTCTAATTACAAAAAAGAAGCACACTCGCTTTGCTACTTACGATTCTTCTCTACTACATATGACATTGCTAATTCCCTATTGTCGATCTCAAATTCGTTTCCAATTAGATACGGCTCCATGCCTGTATAGATGTTGTCCTTAGACATGAATCGTACCTCCCAATCACCGCCGTCATCGAATAAGTTCAAGAGGAATAATTACGGACGCCCTTGATGATCCACTTGTACATGTCAGTAATCTGCAAGGAAACAATACAAGGAAGTGCGGGCACCCACAACTTGACCATTTGCCACCGTGCTGGCAACGCTAGCCACTTCAATATTGCCAGGTTGAATCTGCTTCGTTAGAAAATCGACGAAAGAGAGGCAAAGATAGGAGAAGGAATTCTCACCACCATCACGCCGTCCTTGCCCTTTTCCCACCAGATCTCTTCCCCACCGGCAACTGCCAGTGTCTTGTAGTTCTCAGGCCACGGGCTGACGGGCACAATGTGTGCCTCGACAAAGCGTTGTAGGTTCCGCTTGGCCCGCTCCTGGCCGTCGCCCCCTTCATAGACAGCGGCGCCGTGTGTGCGATAGTCTTCCGGATCTTCCCACGGCTTGCGCGGTAGCTTCTCGATGGCCGAGTTCAGCGGTGCCAGTATGGTCGTGTTCTGGGTCACATCGTCAAACCGGTTCGTGATCACAGAAAAGTCGCGTGTGAATCCGGCAAACACGTTGATGCTGCGGTCGCGGCCGAGCACGTCGGACAACATGACCGTCCCAACGGCCGCGTGTCTGCCAGGCTCATGTCCCGACCCGGCTCCTGTCCCTGGCGGCATTACTGGCATCACTATTGGCTGCTGCTGTTTCTTCTCTGGTCTGGATCCCTCTTTAGGCAGAGGTCGGTCCTCTCCTTGCGGTGGCTGCTGGAGGACCACAAGCTGGGAGACGGCGGCGAGAATAAGCGACGCGAAAACGGGTAGGTGCGCTAGCCTCATGGCCGTTGACAAAAATCGAATCTGACGAGGGTTTGGTGAAAATGCGAAAATAGAAAAGGGGTCAACAGAAATAGAGATGATAGAACATGTGATGTCGTTGGGCGATGATGGCAAGAGACGCTCGAGTTAGGCAATAGCGAATCCGATGACGCATCTAGGTTTATGTCACGTGACTTATAGCGGTCTAATCTCGACACAGCAATCTCTTGACAACGGGATGCAGTACACATGTACATCTCCGTACTGTATGTATATTTTGCAACCGCAGACATAAAAAGAAATTAGTACGATATCTAGTGAAAAAAATTGCGATTTGGCATGTGTTGCTAAATAAATGCAGAGGAGTCATATTTGTTGCGAGTACCCGAACTAGTACGGAGTACGCATCAATCATTAATGTCACGTGTAATTTGCCCACGCCACAAGGCACGTATTAGTTGCTATGCCGTGGCGCATTCCTCAGCCTGTACATAGCTCGATCAGAGTCAGATTGCGTGCGGTTGCTTGGTCAGAAGACCATCATTGTTCCGGTGATACATACAGGGTAGCCGCATGGCGCTGGGTTTGGGCCAGCCGATAATAGTAGCTTACGGAGTATCCGTACTCCGTACTGAGTTTGCGGAGACCCCGGCTTTTTAACACTCCCCCAGAATCAAATGGCATGTGATAGCGAAATAGTAGAGCTAGCCGGGGCAACAAAACCGGCCCCAAAAAGAAAGTGAAAAAGAGGGTCGGCGGGCCAGAGATAATTTGGTCGCATCCAGACGCTCGTGACAGACAGACATGTGAGGAAGACAGAGCAAGGCGTTGCTTGTGACTTTCACGTTTACTGCATCTGCTGTCTCCCCGTTTGGTGCATATTATCAGAGAGTGGAGCAAGCCTCGGCACATTTACTAGGCGACGGGCGCCCGCAGCCAGAACTTCGGCTAGAGCTACAGCGAAGCCAACGCGAGCATGCACAGACAGAAAGGGAAAGAACGACAGGCCTTTCTTATCGCGACCGTCTGCTCCGTAGAGCGACATTGCAAAAACACGCAGACGAAATGGCATGGAAAGAAAGGGGGATCGCAAACAGCGCAAGACAACGCGGCGATGCAAGCGACGGAGCGACAATCAGTGACGTTGGGAGGACGGGTGGCGTGGTAATAGGTCGCTGCTTGCCGTTCCCCCTCCCCTCCTCAGGAACCTCGGCATTGTGTCCGATCGCCCTTTGGGGCGCTGGCGCCTCTCACGAATCAGCGCATCAGCAGTTCGGCTTAGCTGCTCCACAGCGGTCTTCGGTCTGGGGCTGCGAGTACTCACCCAAAGGTAGCACTGGAACTTTTGGTATGCATCCGTGTGCAAAGCAACAGAAAACACAGGCCAAAAAGTACATTGTGTTGTAAGCCAAGGTCCCTCGTGCTGCTGCTGCCCGTCAATTTTCTTATTTCTGGGCCTCCCTTTTATCTCATCCTTCTCTCCTTTCATCCTTAAATTCTCCTCCCTTTTTCTCTTCTCTCTTGCTTCTCTTCTCCGTGCCCCATCTTCGCTTCATCTCATCCTCTCTCATCCCCATTCTATCTCCCCCATCGCCCTTCTCCCTCGTTTTAGACAGCAGATCTCCAAAGCACAATGGCTCCCAGAGTTATTGTCGTCGGCGGTGGCCGTAAGTCAGACCCTGTTGTCACATGTTATTTCACATCGCGAGTCTCTCTCCCAGAGTAAACAATCACTGACCTCATCCACAGTGTCTGGCCTCAGTGCCGCCCACACCGTCTACCTTGCCGGTGGCAATGTTGTCGTGGTCGACAAGCAGAGTAAGAATCCCGGCGAGCTTCTGTCTCTTCGTTTTGCTAACCTGCCGGCCGTTCACAGGCTTCTTTGGCGGCAACTCCACAAAGGCCACCTCTGGCATCAACGGCGCCCTGACTCGTACTCAGGTCGAGTTGAACATCAACGACAGCGTCAAGCAGTTCTACGATGACACCCTGAAGTCGGCGCGCGACAAGGCCCGGCCCGATCTCATCCGAGTTCTGACCTACAACTCCGCCGCTGCTGTCGAGTGGCTTCAGGATGTGTTCAACCTAGACTTGACCCTGGTCTCTCGGTTGGGGTGCGTATTCCCGTTTTTCCTTTTCCTCTACTCCCAAAGGCCCCGCTAACAATGCCTGAAGCGGCCACTCTCAGCCTCGCACACACCGTGGCCACGACGCAAAATTCCCCGGCATGGCCATCACATATGCGCTGATGCAGCGTCTAGAGGAGCTGGCCGAGGCCGAGCCAGAGCGCGTGCAGATCATCAAGAAGGCTCGCGTCACCAGCCTCAACAAGGAGGGCAACTTGGTCACGGGTGTCACATACGAGGCGAATGGCGAGTCCGCCACGCTCGACGGCCCCGTTGTCCTGGCTACGGGCGGCTATGCGGCCGATTTCACCGAGACGTCGCTGATCAAGAAGTATCGCCCGGACACATACGACCTGGCCACGACAAACGGCGCACACGCCACGGGTGACGGTCAGAAGATGGTTATGGCCATTGGCGGCAACGGCATCGACCTGGAAAAGGTTCAGGTACACCCGACCGGCCTGGTCGACCCCAAGGACCCAGGTGCCAAGACCAAGTTCCTGGCGGCTGAGGCGCTGCGTGGAGAGGGTGGCCTGCTGCTAAACGGCGATGGCGACCGGTTCTGTGACGAGCTCGGCCACCGCGACTACGTGTCGGGCATGATGTGGAAGGAGAAGGACAATGGCAAGTTTCCTATCCGGCTCATCCTCAACTCCAAGGCCTCGAATGTGCTCGACTTCCACACCCGCCACTACTCCGGCCGCGGCCTCATGCGCAAGATGACCGGTAAGGAGCTGGCCAAGGACATTGGCTGCACGCCCGAGCATCTGCAGAAGACCTTTACCACCTACAACGCCATCGCCGACGGGAAGCAGAAGGACCCCTGGGGCAAGAAGTTCTTCCACAATGGCCCGCTCGATGTCAACGACGACTTCCACGTCGCTCTGATGGAGCCCGTGTTGCACTTCACGATGGGCGGTGTCGAGATTGACCAGCACTCCCAGGTTCTCAACCAGGAGCACAAGCCGTTCGAGGGCCTCTTCGCATGCGGTGAGCTGGCCGGTGGTGTCCACGGCGCCAATCGTCTGGGCGGCTCCTCGCTGCTCGGTTGTGTCGTCTACGGCCGCGTTGCCGGCGACTCTGCCAGCAACTTCCTTTTCCAAAACGTGCTGAAGAGCGCCGGCAGCGGTGTTGGTGGCACTGCTTCCCAGCGTCTCGGCCAGATCTCCCTGCATATCGACCCGTCGCAGCCCGGCAAGATCTCGGTGGAATGGGGCTCTGCCAAGAAGGGCTCAAACGATGATGACGAGGGCTCTGGCTCCGGCGGTGCCGGTGGCTCTGGAAGTGTAGGCGGCCCTAGCAGCAGCAGCAGCAGCAGCAGCAGCAGCAGCAGCTCTGGTGCAGGCAGCAGTACGGCCGCGGCAGCCAAGGCAGGCCCCAAGGTCTTCTCGATACCGGAGAAGGAGTTCAGCTTGGAGGAGATTGCGAAGCACAACAAGAAGGAGGACCTGTGGGTGGTGGTTAAGGGTGTTGTGCTAGACCTGACCAACTGGCTGGACGAGCACCCGGGCGGCCCGCAGGCCATTATGAACTTTATGGGTCGTGATGCGTCCGAGGAGTTTGAGATGCTGCACGACGACGAGGTCATTCCAAAATACGCACCAGACCAGGTGATCGGCCGGGTACAGGGCGTGGAGCCGACCCTGGAGATCTAAGACAAGGCTGCGGGCGAGTGGCGAAAAGCGGCCAGTGACGACAGGAGCTTTGGCAGATAACAGTCGAAAGTACATAGGCTTTGGGGTGGAGACTTTAATTTGGCTCATTGACTTTATTTGTATCATGTCCTCGTGTGTCTGCCTCGTGAGTACCACAGTAATACCCACAAATGGGAGGGCAATGTAGAAGGAGTGTATCCATATAGTATCATACCAACCTATCCCTAGATCTGGATCAAACCTAAACCTAAACCTAACCCTATCCCTTTTCTTGGTCTATCCTCGTCTTTCTCTGGCCCTCACAGTACCTCATCGCACCCACACCTCATCGCACAACCACCGGCTTGGGCTCGCCGGCCATCAGCGGCAGCGGCGTCTCGTCGTCGTCCACGCGCATGCCACCAAACAGCATAGAGGGCGGGGCAGCCGCCTGGATTTCGGGCGCGGCCTTGAAGACGTAAAACTTCTCGTCGTGCCACTGGCCGGCCGTGATGTAGCGGCCCTCGCTGTCGACAAACATGCTGTCGTTCTCGGCGCGCAGAAAGTACGCGATCGAGTAGCGGTGCTCGGTCGGGTCAAAGGGCACGACCCGGTGGATGCACGACATCATGGTGTGGCCGCTGGCAAAGCGCAGCGAGTCGCCGACATTGACGACAGCCGTGCCGGGCCGCGGGGCCACGAAGCCGAACTCGCGGGCGCCCGGCGGCCGGATCTGCAGTCCCCACTGCTCGCTGAAGAGCAGGGTCAGCGAGCTGATGTCGGTGTGCTTCTGGTGACCGACCGTCTCGTTGGCCGGGTCGGTCGGGTCTGACGGCACGTAGTGCATCATCGCCAGCGTGCTGGTCGACGGCCGGTCGTTGCGGTGGCGGCTCTCAAACCGCTCGGCACCCGTCAGGCCCATCGCTGTCGACAGGGCCGCCAGCATCGTCTTGGTCACAATGTTGGCGCCCGCGATCGCGTCCTCGAGCACCTGCACGTCGCTCTCGCTGCTGATCACTGCCGGCAGCTTGCGCCGGTTGCTCGCCCGCTGCATCTCGTCGCGCGATACCTTGATCATCTCGTAGCCGTCGCGCCGGTCGGGGAAGACACCGTTGCGGCAGCCCACCGGCTCGTAGCCCAGGTGCGGCGACACCAGCCCGAACTCGTTCTTGGCCTCTAGCGGCGCCGAGAAGAACCGGCCCATCAACCCCAGCGTCGCCTGCTGGTCGCGCAGAAACCGCCGCCCGTCAATCGTGTTGAGGTCCAGGTAGAAGAACCCCGACGTCTGGCAGCACTTGAGCAGCCGCGCAATTTCGTCTGGCTCCTGCGACAGGATCCGGCTGAAGTCCACCGTCTCCATCGGGTAGACGGGCACATTTTGGCCGTGCCATTGCACCGTCTGGGGGACTTCGGTAATGGCCATTGTGGGTATGAGAGAGAATATATGCGTGTGTATGTGTATGCGAGTGTGTGTATGTGTCTGTGGGAAAACGGGTGACATCCGGCTAACGATCCACGGGCTTCTTATAGAGTTCGGGATCCAACACCCTCACCCCGTATATTGTCCCTCTCGTACTAGTCCACCTCGCACACGAATGCAGACAAGACGCACCCGTCCTGCATAGCATGGCTCACCACTTGCAGGACCAATCGGTGTCTCGTGTTCGGTCCACCTGCAAAAAAATGGGTTCTCCCAGAGAAGCGACAGAGTACTTGCTCGTGCTCCCAGCCTGCGGCGGTCGTGCGTCCGTTTAAAGTTGATAAACGACCGGAGACGCAGTGGCGGCAAGCTGCTCACGCTGCTACTGGCTGCTGCAGCCAAGAGCTCACGTCAAGTGGAAAAACTACACACCTCTGGTCGCAAGTAGCAGGAGTATCAACCCGCGTGTAAGTTGGGTGCGGATCGAAGGCCGAACAGGGAAATGGAAAAAGGATAAAAAAACAATAATTCGGAGTAGACAGAAGCAATTACAGGGTCCGACTAGACACCGGTTCTCCCAGATACGAGAAAGTCCGGCTGTTGGTGCATGTATTGAGATGCATGGTATTACGAGTAAAAGAGGACAGCAGCCAAGCCGGGAATAGGGCGGATGGCTGTTGTGGATTCCCGGCGACCAGAAGCACCGGCACGTGGTCAAAGCGAACTTCGTTCCTGCTGAAACCGGGCCTTTCCTTCCTACCCTGCTTTGCGCTGGTCATTTTTATCGAAAGCGGTTTTCGCCGACAGGTTTAAGCAGTCGCACCCCGTTGCAAATACTCGACAAAGGACAGGCAATCGCTCAAGTCTGGCCTCAGCTCCATACCCGAACAGGAAGTGGAAAAAGGGCATAAGACACCGGCGGCTGCAGCGACCTGCAGGACGACACTACGGAATATTTCATGCTCGTAAATCACACCAACGACACGCTGTTGTCCTCATGCACGTCTCGCACGCTTTCACCCTTTCGGCGTGTCCCAACAGACAGATCCAGTCCGGCGAATCGATAGTAGCGCGTGTTTCCGGAGACGAAACTCGGTCTGCGGTCCCCTTGGGAAGCCGAAGTGGGACGGGACGCGAAGCAAGAGAACAAGACAGAACAGGATGATCACAGACAAGGCCAAAAGACCGACGCATTTGCAACCGATCGGTTCTCGACGAAAGGAAGAATCTAAGATGCAGACTAACAATACAAAAAGGACGGGAAGGCGGAGAGTGAGTGTGTGGAAACATTGTCAAGAAAACAGCAGCAAATAGAGTGGCAGGAAGTCGCAGAAAGTTAGCGAGCCAAACCCTTTCTCTCTCCTCTCCTCTCTCCTTCTAGTTGCGGTCCAGCTTCCGTCGCAGGTTTCGGGTCCGCTTCATCAGCTTCTTGTACTTCTTCTTCTTCATCTTGAGCTTCTTCTGCCGCTTGACGCTGATGGCCAGCATGCGCGGCCGCTGTTTCTCGCCCGCGTCATCGTAGCGGTCCTTCTGCTCCCGGTGCTGCTGCTCCTGGCGCGCCTCCCGCTGCCGCTGCAGCGCGTCCTCGAACCGGAGCTGTCGCAGGGCCATGCGCTCAAAGAAAGACCGCGGCACGGTCGACATGTTGTTGTTGTTGTTGTTGTGCTCGGCCGCGCCATCCTCTTCCTGCACAATCTGCAGCGACTGGGCCACCATGTGCATCTGGCCGTCTTCACCCAGCTGCTCGCCAAAGCTGAGCACCGCCTTGAAGATGCGCCCGTCAGCCACGACAGCAGCACCGGCCTCCTCGGCTGCTGCATCGGCTGCTGCTGCAGCGTCTAAATCGGCCTCCATCGCCTCGGTTGCCGCAGCCTCTTCGGCGCTCGTCAGTATCGACATCGGCACCGGCGCCGGCGGCGGCTGGAACGGCAAGAACCGTCCCGACAGCGTGCTGAGCTGCACGTGGATGCCCGAGCTAGACCCGTCTGCGTTCTTGAGCTCGATCGTTGAGTCTGTCCCGTCAGCTGCCTCGGCCGCCGCATCGGCCGCTGCCTGCTGCTGCTGCTGCTGCATAATCTGCCGCTGCCGCTGCCGGATCTGCTCTTCCACAGTCCTGTCCCGCTGCCGGCTGCTCGTGCCACCGCGTCCGTCGTCGTCTAGCGACACGTTGACCATGGGCGACTCGAGGTCGTTGACCGCACGGGTCAGCGTGCGAATCACATTCGACGTCTGGCTGCCGCTGCTGCTGCCGGTCGACCCTGCCGCCGCCATCCGGCCGGCCAGGCCTCCCTTGGTGCGCGGCGCGAAGATGGCGGCAAAGGCGTCGTCGGTCACGATCTTGGGCAGGCTATGCGTGATCGAGATCGGGCGATGTTGGGAGAAGAAGCTGGAGAGAGCAAGGGCTAGAAAGAGAGAAAGGACAGTTAGACAAGCAGAAACCGAACGCAGAGATGCTAAGAATACGTACTCTCCAGGGGCAAATGTTGGGTCGACGGGACGCTTGGCAGCTTCTGAACAGAGGCGGTGGGCTCCTTGGCCTTCCGCTTACGCTTCGGGGTAGAGGACGACGAGGCCGACGAGGAGGAAGAGGAGGATGAGGCGGTGGCGGACGAGGAGGACGAGGAGGACGAGGAGGAGGATGACGAGGAGCTCGATTTGGTCGACGACGACGGCACGCTGCCGGCCAGCGCCTTGGACCCGTTATCGGGGCTCGACGGTTTGGACGACGAGTACCGCCGCTGTGGCAGCGTCTGCTGTGGCCGACGGCTGCCCGTCGACCGCCCAAGCGACACGCCAACCACCACCGCCGCTGCCGTTGCTGCTGCCGAGGCCGTGCTGGCCGGCGACGCCCGGGGCGGCGCCGTGGACGAGGCCACCACCACGCGCCGTACAGACGGAAACATGGTTTGGTGGACTCGGAGAGAAACGGAAACCGAGAGGACAGATAGATAAGGGGTATACCAGGGTGGGGGATCAAAGTGACAATAGAAATAGGATGCGGCTCCGTATGGCCGTTCACGTCTCAATGTTCCCTCCTCTTCAGCCGTTCGGGGGGTGACGGGCGCCTGGTGGGAAGAGATAGCCACGAGGATGCCGGTATGAGTTTTTTGCGGGTTTTCTTTTTTTGCCCTGCCGCCCGTGGCTGACCTGCTAAACAACGGCGGCCTCAGGCATGAACGAACTCATAGGTGGCGCGTGGCCCCACTCGTCATACCCGTATTATTACAAGGCAACTCCAGACATACGCAAGAGGCACATCTTACGACAATAAAGCTCGCAAGATGCTAGTATGCCAATTCCGGACCGCAGGATAATACCGGCTTCGCCGATTTGACAAATACGAGCACAACTGCTGTTAACTACGTATTCGGCGCAAGAGGCTGAGCACATGTCCTTGTTGGCACCGTTTAGGCATTGAACCGCAATCTTTGATACGTCTCGTATTTAGCGACAATATATAGCAAAACGCCTCCATGTGCGTATAAACGCCTCTAGTATGATATCCCAAGCCGCCAAAGCTAATCACCCGTTTGACAGGTTTCCCGGGATCTTAAAAGTATAAGAATTACCGATGAAAGGCCACAGAACCTCAATCATCCCCTTTCAGAACCTTCGAAGCTTATATAAGACAAAACCACACATGTCAAACATATGTATCATCCGTGCTATGCGCCAATTGCCCCTGTAAAATAAAACAAAAGAAATAGATGGTACCAGAGACCGTTCAGTGTAAGACCAAAATTGGGTAAACAAAAGAAAAAAAAGAGGAATAAAACAAGAGGTGCAGATGGATATCGTGACACCTAGAAAGGCTGGACGTTCGCCCGCAAAAGAGCATTTGTGCCCGGGCGCCAACGAGGTTCAGGACCGACTTCGTCGAGGAGCGATCACCGGAATCCGCGGAATGTTGGGTCTTGAGGGCCGTGTGGCGGCTGTGGGGATGGATGCTGCGGCTGTTGCCGCCGGCCATTCTCACCGCGCGCAGACACCCACTCGGCATTGCCGCTCTGGCGAACCGGCAGCTCGGCAGGCAGCTTGGCGTCGTCCATGTTGTCTGGCCGTCGGTGGCTGCTTTCTAACCCGGCAACGGCACCGGGCACCAGCCGTGTCACCGCCTGGGCGATGGAGTTGACCACGTACTGCCGCAGCTCGCGGTCCTCCAGCGAGTCCTCCTTCTCCAGCCGGAATCGCTCGTCCTTGCTCACGTTGGCACGGCGTAGATTCTTGATTTCCTGCATGATGTACAGCAGGACGGCCTCCGGGCTCTTGTTGCGCTCTAGCGAGTGCTCGCTTTTCCGAACATAGCGGCGGGTCACGTCGGTGGCGCCATCAATCGAGAAGGCGATGCAGTAGGACATCTTCTTGCCCCAGCCGTCGGTGTATAGCCGCGGGTTGTCCCAGGCTTCCTCGCATGCGTCTACATGCACCCATCGCTTCTGGTGGCTTGAGTAGACTTCCGTCCACACGTGGTCCTCCGCATTCCACACCCACCGCACGCGGCCGCCGACGGCACGACACAGCATGCTGAAGCAGTTGGCCCACTCGCCACACCGTCCGCGTCGGGTCTTCAGCAGTCTCCATACATCGCTGTACCGGGGGAAGCGCTCGTAGGCGCCGCAGGCGGGGTTTGCGCACTGGTACGCCTCGACCAGCAGAGCGCCGTATGCGCTTTCCTCGGGCGTCGGGTGCGTGCTGCCCCGGCCGATGGTAGGCGAATAGCACACGGAGCATGGCGGACTGTTGACCCATGTGAAGAAGGACCGCTTGAACCATCTACAAGACACGCCGTGTCAGTAAGAGCAACAAGCACCACCTCTAGTGGGGAGGATACAAACCTTAGTAGGGCGCGGATGACGCAGTCCTGGTAGCCCCATTCCGGTTTCCGGCCGTCGCCCATGCTTTCGGCTGCGGCACAAAACACCTGGCTCTCCTCGTCGGCTTCGCTGTATATGCGATCCAGGGGAATCACCTGCAGCGCCTCGTCCAGCAAGCCCGGGTTCTCGTACTTGAGCGGCGTTGTGGACAGGGTGACGAGCAGGCTCCGAAACTGCTGTTCAGCCCGGTCGTTCGGACTTGGTGCCCGGGGGATCATCGGAAGGTTGCGCAGCGAAGAGTAGGCCGGTGGTGTCGGAGGCAGATGCGCACTAGAGGAAGAAGACGACGGGCCGCTGCCACCAGGAAAACCAAAAACGTGGTGACTTTGGTCGCCGCCATAGGAGGTGGACGGGCGTGCCGTATCTACTGGGCTGGCCGAAAGGGTACGGAGGTCGCTGGTCGAAGTGGCCTCTCGTGGTGATAGTGAGCCGTGCCGTGAGCGTGCCTGGCTGATGTGATTCAACCGACGGGTCGACAGCATCTGCTCGAAGCGCAGCCGCAGGTCGTGGGCCCATTCCTCACCGAAGTCGTCGTCCTCTCCATGTGCTGGTGACCGTGGTGTCGCCATCGTTACGGCTAGGTATAACACGAGCGCTGTGGGTTCGTCGGTTGCGAAAGAGAAGCGAAGCTGGACGTTCGTGGACGGGTTGGGCTCCCCCCTTTCGTCTAAAAAATTCGTGTCGTATACCGATGTGATGGGGATGCGTCGAATCGAGTCGGGGACCCTGTCTGTCGTCCCGATGCTGCCGTCAGTTTCGTCTGGAAGGTGGTGCTGCGCAAGAACAATCGTGGCTGAGCGGGTGGATTGAAAGCGGGCACCGTCGACAGGGCGGTTGGGCGCGCGATTATGCAGGCGCCCTCTTGTGCTATCCAATGTGTTCCTGCTAGACACTCGATATGGCAGGCCGCTGAAGCTGTCCGTCCGGTCAAGCAGTCGTGAATGGCCGGCAGTCAACGATTTCTTGGCGCCTCGTTGTTAGTGTCGTCGCAGCTACTGTCGCAGTCGCCAGTGCCTCGCAGTCGTGACAATGAGTCTGTTTCTCGCTCTCGAGCGGCAAAAAGGGCGGGCAGAAGAGTCGTGGGACCAGGATTGGAATTAAGGCAGGGAAGATATTAAAAGAAAGAAGAGAGAAAGCGAGGAAAAGGTGCACTGCCTCACGGGAGATGAACCAGGATGATGCGGTCGGAACGGGAGTATGGCAGCCGTCCAGGCAAAGGGGAGGGGATGCGTGGATTGGGGTTTGGGAAAAGGAAACTAACAAGAGGGGAGCGAGAGAAAGTAGTGGGAGAAGGGGTCCTTTTTTTCGGGTGCCTGTCTGGGGATGAGATGGAGGTGGATGGCGATGTGGATGGCGAACAAGCGTACGTATGCGCCTGTCTACGAGTAGGGAAGGAGCGACAGACAGGCTTGCGTGTCGCTCTCCGTCTGCTGGCTTCTCAGGTTTTGTCAGTCCGACCCTGTCAAAGCGGGTCGCAAAAGTACCTTTTAGCGTTTATAGGGCGAAACAATACATGCCCACCCGGGACGGGCTTCTAGGAAGAATCGCTCTGGCGCACGTAATCCCACCGCAACGGCCTGTGATTGGGCTGCGAGGGGCAGCGGCAACATGGGGAAAGCCCAAGAGAAAAGAATTGGACGGAGTAAGAGGGGGTGGGCTGCATCGGAGGGCGTGGCTGCAGGGAGCAAGAAGGGGGAAGGGGCAGAGAACGCGCGTCCGTGGCGGTCATCTCTGGGGCCAGGCGAGCCAATGGCAGCCGGGCTTGGCGGCAAGGCAGCCTGAGAGGCCCAGAGAAACCATTCGTCTGGCAGGGTCCTCTGCAATGCCAAGACTTGCAGCAGTTTTGGCGCACCCTGCAGTCCGGATACGAGCAGAGTATGAGGACGGATGTGTATTAACTTGGCGCAGCTAATCTGCATTTGTCTATTTGGCCAAATGGCCCCAGGCCTACCCTTGTTCCAGCGCGGCAAGAGCGATCGTACGGACGGCATTGCACATCTCTATCGAATCGCCGATTAGATAATAGGTATGTACTCTGTATCTTACCTATGTACGTATGTACTCCGTACATACATAGGCGACGAGGCAGAGGACGCAAGTTGGGCGACGGTGTCCCTGTACGAACACCGGTCAGGGATGATCGGTACCGCCGCACTAGCAAGGGCTGGAGGGCGATGACGAGGCTTTGTAGGGGCGCTGGCCGGCGCGAACCTCGGCCGAATCGTGGCTGTGCGCGCAGGCAGAAACGATGGATTAGTCATCGACGCGATACTTAATATGTCGGGCTGCCCCCGCTCTGCATAGTAGTCGACCTGGCGCGCTGTCTGCGTCGTCACCAGGCTGCCACGGCCACGGACAGCCTCGCTCTTCAGGGCATTGTCCCAGCACGATACGGAGTACTCTGTACGCGACAAGGCGGCACTGCCGTGTCCTGTGTATAGCGCCCTTTTCCTTTGAATTTCTTTCCTTCTGGCGTTTATACGTGGGACTGCGGAGAAATTTGATGAAGGACCAGGCAGCGAGGCCCACTATTGCTTTTTTAGGCATTTGCGGTGCCTGCTTGTTATAGCGTCTACCAACGGCAGTCATGCCTTGCAGGTACGCCGTACACTGTCGTCGTCCTGCGCGAGAGGGGGAGCAGAACGGAGAGGGAGCGAGAAAATGGCCGCTGCGATTCAATCCGGTTCGGCTTACGGCAAGAGTCTCGGACTGTATTCGTAACGCGTATGTGAGATACGAATAGGGGGGTGTCGACGTATGATTTGCTGTTCTCTGGTTTGGTTTGGATTGCGTGGCCTCCTTTCCCGGGCCGTGTTAGTGCCATTCCCGTTGACGCGCAATTTTTTCACCGCACTACGGAGTACCGTGCTACAGGGGAAGGAACAGACTGCGTCTGTCGGCCCAATTAACCGACAAGAAGAGCTCCACCCGATGCACAGTGCGACGGTGAGTACCGGGAAAGGCGCACGCAGCTGTCCGCAATACATAGTACAGAGCCTATCGGAAAACTGATCACTGAAATCGACAATGTCTAAATCCATATCCACAGCCTGTCTGCTCGCACTCTGTCAGATATGTTACAGTTCCAATTGTTTTCGGTCACAACCTTAATTCTTGTTCTTGAGGTGTGCTACGTAAGCAGACTACGAAGGGGAGAGGGGCAAAGGGTACGCGCAAGCTCTATCTCGCGGACTCAAGGGCAGATCTTGCTGAAGATATCGACGTGCAGGTTGGGACATCTGTCATGGCCCGCATCGCTTATGCGGTCGTACGTATCTTGCTACGAGTACGAGGACTCGTATCTTACATCATATGGAGCTCACTCTTCTTTGATACGATCTACGACGTACTGCTTCTGCCAAGGCATTCCGTCGCGTGTTATAGAATCAGGCGAACAGGCGTGCCAAGCATTAGCAGCAAGCTGCAATATAAGATACCATAGTCTTCTCTCCCCGTCGGCTCTATGATTATTTTTCCCCAATAAAAGTAGGGCTGCAGAACGCGCGTCGTGGTTAATGAGTCTCACCCTACTCCGATTTGTAACAATTTCCCAGTCCACAGTGCAAGTGGGCTCTTTTTCTTTCTTCTCTTCTTTCTTGTTCTTGTCTAGTCGTAGTGGCCTCCCGATACAGTTTGTTTTCATGACACAATAGGTGCTCCGTGCTCGTGCTCGTGCTCTTACTCGCTTTGCCTGAACCCACGCTCCAATGCCAAGATGCTATCGAGAGCTGTCGTCCCGTCCAGACGGCCCCGCCCACAAGTCCAATCGCCAAGGCCGTGACGAATCCCAGTGACGAAGAACTCCATTCGTCTGCCTGTGCCCACATGTCCACCAGGGGTGGTGGTGGTGTGCACGGTCGGCGACAGCCGCAAGGATAACACGGAGTTCTTGGCTTGTGACAAGCCGCCTATTCCTTGTTGATGCGGCTTATCTAAACTGCTGGCAGGCGGGAATGGTTTCCTGGAACTACTCCGTACGCAATGAGGATGAACAGTTTTGTGTGCGTATGATCTACTAGGCAATGTATCGTGGCCCAACTCCATTTTCTCTCTCCTTTTCGCGCTACCCGTCGCAGCAGACCCTTCTCTCAGCGTCCTTCTCAGCGTCCTTCTCGTCCACGTCGTCGTCGCCGTCGCCTCGCCTCCCCCACTCCCCTCTAGCGCTCCGAGCCGTAGCGTTCGGGCAGCTCGATATCCCAGCCTGGCCGCTCCACGAGGGCCACCTCGAGTGGCGGATAGGCTCCTGCCGTGACCGTCGTGTCGTGCGCGGCCAGCGGCACCACGCCGAGGATGGGCCGGTACTTGAACGTATGCCACCACCTCGTCGGCGTTGGCGTCGTCGTCGTCGCCGTCGTCGTCGTCTGTTGCAGCTGCAGATCTTGCTGCTGCTGCTGCTGGGCTTGCTGGTCCACCTTTCTGTGACGTCGTCGCCGGTTTTTTTTCTGCACCGTCTGCTGCTGGTCACGTGTTGTCTCCTCCTCCTCCGAGCTGTCCTCATCGTCGTCGTCATCGCCCTTGGGCCCGACATCTTCCATATCCACGTCTACCCAACTGGCGCCTTCGCCCGACACCGTCATCTGCACCCGCTTGGGCTCTAGGCTGCCTAGGCTCATCTTGTTGCCCGCGCCCGTGTCCTCGCCACGCTTGCGCTTCTTCTTCACCAGATGCTGCTGCGCCTCGGACGGGGACAAGTTGGTCGTGCTGACCGACGGCGTCGCCGCTGCCGGGTCCACGGACGTGTCGATCATAAAGACAAACGAGGTCCCGTAAATCCAGACCCGCGGGCCCTGCCACATGACGCCCTTGGCCAGGTCGCGGATGTTGCGATACTCGACCGGCAGGCTGCCGGCGTGCAGACGGCGAAACCAGGGCGCCAGGCGCGCCCGCAGGGGGTTGAAGACGAAGAAGCGGGACGCGGCCGTGATGGCAAGCAGCACATAATCGCGTGCCGGTGCCGGTGCCTCCGTAGAAGCAGTCGTAGTCGTGTCGATGGCGGTAGAGGCGGTGGAGGAGGAGGAAGTAGCAGCATTACAGCCGGCCACGGGAGCACTGCCTGGAACGTCTGGGGCAAACGAGAGGACGACGGGCGACGACGACAGTTTGGGAAACTGCCGTGCTCGCGGGGCCCGGATCCATCTGCGGGCATCGTGGTGGTCGTTGCTGGCCTCATCTTCAACCTTGTCCTCGTCCTCGTCTTCGCTGTCCTCCTCCGATGACAGCTCATCCGCATCCACATCCGCGTTTTCGGCCTCGGCCTCCTCTTCATCGTCGTCCAGGACGCCCTCTGCCGCAGCGCTGGGGTCGCGCAGGACCCAGGTGTCGACGTAGCCGGCGAGGTCGGCCGTAGCCAGCATATTGCTGTCGGGCGAGAAGGCGATCTGCGTGATGTGCCTGTCGTAGCGGCCGAGGCCACTGAAGAGCTCGTGTCTCGGGATGGCGCGCTTCAGCCGGGCCAGACGGACGGGCTTGGGGCTGAGCGAGAGACTGTCGTCGGGGTTGGTAGCCTGAAGTAGAGTCACGTGAGAATCGACACCGCGCGAGAGGCAGACCCAGCGGCCGTCGGGAGAGATGGCGACGCTGGAAGCGCCCTTGGCAGCGACAGAGGCAGGGACGGGGATCTTGGAGATGGCGAGAGCGTCACGGCCGGTCGTGCTGGCGGTGGTCCTGCGTAGCTGAAAAGCCTTGACCTCGGTGCTGGTGATGACGACGACAAAAGAGCCGTCAGGGCTGATGGCGGCACCGGCGATGTTGGCGTCGCCGCTGACGAGGATGCGGCCGACGAGACGACGGTTGCGCTCAATGTCGACGTCCTCAGCAGCGTCTGCCGGTGCGGAAGCGGTCTGGTCGAGCAGCTGACCGAGCGGCGCGGCAAAGGACCAGATATGGGCCTGTTTCTGCCACCAGCAGACGACGAGACGGGCGGCCGGAGCGCTGGCCATGGGAACTGTTTGGGGCAGATGGGACAGAGTCCGGTGGTGCTCGGAGCCGGACTTTTGCAGCGGCAAGACGACCGGAGCAGCATCGGGACCGCCAGCCACGACGACACTGATGCCGCGAGCCTCAAATGAAGCCATGGCCTTGACATCGTGGTGGTGGTAGCGACGATGCCAGACCTTGGCCCAGCGCTGGGCGGTATGGTCAGCCGGGCCATTCTGACCATTCTGGCCGGTCTGGCTGCCGGCCATCTCGCGGTAGAGCACAACACGACGGTCCATACCGCCGCTGATGATGGCCGAGCCGTCGGCACTGGTGGCGAGGCTGAGCACGTCCTGGGTGTGAGCCTGAATGCGCTGAGCCTGGCTGTAGGTCCGGCCGTCCCAGATGCAAATCTGGCCGGTCGAGTCGCCCGAGACGATGTCGCCATTGGGCAGACAGCGGACGCTCCAGACGATGACATCGCGAGCCCCCCCCACGAGATCGCGGCCGAGCGTCATGGCATGCAGGACGGCGCCGTTGCGCACGTCAAAGACGCGCACGGTGCTGTCGGAGCAGCCGACAACGGCAATCTGGCGCGACTGGAACGCAATGCTGGTCATCTTGACGTTTTTCTTGTGCGTGCGGCAGAGCCGCTGAAAGCGCAGCTCGTCGTCCTCGGTCGCGTACAGCACCAGACAGCCGTCCATGGTTCCGCCCACAAGACGCTGGTGGCGGGCTGCCTTGTCGGCTCCCGCCTGCTGCAGCCGCGGCTGCACGGCCAGACACCAGATGTCGCCGTGCTGGCCGCTCGCGTGTCGCCGCGCACAGCCTTGCTCCAAGTCCCATTCGGTGATCGTGTTGGTATAGCCGATGCTGAAGAGGCGCATGCGACCGTGGCTGATGGCCCGTCCGCCGTCTAGCTCTTCGTCGTCCTCCACCACCCAGGCCAGACCCTCCACGCTGCGGTCCTCGCCACCCCGGATGGTCATCTCCTGCAGCCAGCTGCCCTGCATCGGGTTCCAGATCTCAATGTCGCCATTGGCTCGTCCGATTGCCAGCCGTGCCGGCGTCGTCCTGCTGTGCTTGTTGCTCGTCGGGAGGTGTGGGTGCGAGACCGCCACTGCATTGATGGCTGACGCCTCGTACGGCACGAAACGACACCGGTGGATGTCCATGGCGGCGCAGCCCAGTTGTCGTGGTGCCTGGTGTCTGATGCTTGCTTCTTGCTGCTGTGTGGTGGGAGAGTGTGGCGATGTGTCTATGATTATGTTGGGGCGTGTGTGAATGTCCATGTGCTTGTATGTGTGATCCAATTCTCGCTTCTTTCTATCCCGTTATTTTTCTGTGCATTTTCGCTCCTGTCGCTGCCGTGGCCGTTGTAGAGCAGAGTCCTCTCTGTCTGAAGCTTTTTTTCCTTCCTCTGCGTGCTAGCGTAGCTCTGAACTTTTTTTCTGCCCCATGAATTTTCTGCCACCGTCCACCACCCAATCGCCCCGCCCACCGCCTACGCTTGGCTGCATGGGGCAGTAGCGACTGCCTGTGCCGTTTCCAGCAGTGCTCCTGCCAGTATTTTTCGATAGCTCCGACTGCCGCGGCCGCGTCACTTACTCCGACCTCCTATTTCGGAGTTTAGATGGATGCGTCACATGAAGACATAATCGCTCTTCATCTTTGTCTTCGTGCACATATATTCACCTTCAGCTGTTGTTGTTGTTTCCCCGTCCCGGAGACAGCTGTCTGCAGCCTCGGTGCTTGCTCCCTCTTTTTCCTCTTATTTTCTGCCCCGCCTCTCGTGTGGTTGGTCATATGCGCCCTGCAGGTCCGGACCACTAAAGACGTGCCGCATCATCTCATCTCGCCTGTGCTGCCAACAGGCCGGGGCTACCCCTCTCGCACAAGGCTCTGGACCGGAAGCGGGCCATGGATTTCAACAGCTCGTCGCCGTACCCGGAAGGGGTCATCTCCTTCCTGGACACGGACCTGTACAAGCTGACGATGCAATGCGCCGTGCTCAAGTACTACAAGGACGTGCCGGTGACGTACTCGTTTACCAATCGGACGCCGGAGAAGAAGCTTTCGCGGACGGCCTTCCGCTGGCTGAGCGAGCAGATCAACAAGCTCGGCAACATCTCGCTGCAGGACGAGGAACAGGCCTTTCTGCGCACGCACTGCCCTTACCTCAACGACGCGTACCTGGACTTTCTCAAGGAATTCCGGCTGAATCCGCGCGAGCAGGTCACCGTCACCTTTCAGCCGGTGGCCGCTCCAGGCACCGACTCAGGCTTCCCGGCCGAAGAGCTGGGCGACGTGCACATTGCCATCCACGGTTCCTGGGTCGACACGATCCTGTACGAGATCCCCATTCTAGCCCTGACATCCGAGGCCTACTTCAAGTTCATGGACACGGACTGGACGTACGACGGCCAAGAGGACCTGGCGCGCGACAAGGGCATGCGCTTCCTCGAAGCCGGCTGCATCCTGTCCGAGTTTGGCACTCGGCGCCGCCGCGACTACCACACACAGGCCCTCGTCTTCCGCGGCCTCGTGCAAGCGAGCAAGGCCGCTGTCGCTGCCGGTCTGCCCGGCCAGCTGTCCGGCACGAGCAACGTGCACCTGGCCATGCGCTTCAACATCCCGCCCATCGGCACGGTAGCCCATGAGTGGTTCATGGGCATCGCCGCCCTCCTGGGCGACTACACTCGCGCGACCGAAGAGGCACTCGCCCGCTGGGTCGGCTGCTTCGGCGAGGGCGTGCTGGGCATCGCCCTGACCGACACCTTTGGCACGCCCGACTTTTTGCGCGTCTTTGGCCGGCCGGTGCGTGCACCGACGACGACGACTTCAGCTCAGTCCACACCCCGCACATATGCGGAGGTCTTCACCGGCGTCCGGCAGGACTCGGGCGACCCGGCCGTGTACGTCAAGACGATGCGGGCATTCTACGACCAGCAGGGCATCACGGCCAAGAAGGTCATCGTCTTCTCCGACTCACTCAACATCGAGACCTCGCTGGCATACAAGAAGGTGGCCGAGGCATCCGGCTTCCAGCCTACCTTTGGCGTGGGCACGTTCCTGACAAACGACTTTGTCAACGTCAAGACGGGCCAAAAGTCCACGCCCATGAACATTGTCATCAAGCTGAGCTCGGCCAACGGCCGGCCAGCCGTCAAGATTAGGTGTGTCTGTGCTCGTGGCCTTGTCTCTTTTCGCTGCCTTCCCTCCGCTAACAAGACAGCGACAATGCCGGCAAAAACACGGGCGACAAGGCGACGGTCGAGCGAGTTAAGCGCGAGCTCGGCTACGTCGAGAAGGACTGGGTCGGCGGCGACGAGACCCATCGATGGGGAAGAGAAAGCGACAAGGTCCAGACGGTGTGAGCCGTTGAAGGAAGTGGGCGAGATGGCCTGTTTTTCTGGTGGCTTTGGCTTATCAAATTTGCATATTTCCTCCTATTTGTCTCACATCATCGCTTCTCAGCCCCTCGCACGATAAAATATACAGCTAGAGTATAAATCATATCTTTACGTCAGCCAAATCTACGACAGGATAAAACGACTAATAGGATCAGAGCAAGCCCAAGAAGTGCTGGAGAGGAGGCCGACAGGTCCGGTGCTAGCACAGTAGTCCCTTTGCTGCTGGGAGCCGGAAATATAAAAATAAGGTTGGGTTGGGTGTAAGATATGGCAAGTGGTAAATCGCGCTCATAGATGGCGGCAAGTGGCTGTATACGAGTGCCGTCAGAAGTATGCAGGGAGCTAAGAAGGGGGAGACAGAAAACGAAGAACACGGAAAACGCCGAAGAACCAAAGAAGACAGAGGAAGACGGAGAGCACAGAACGAAGAAAAAAATCTTTCTTTGAAGAAGCAACTTATCGGGGCTTATGTCTCCAATCAATGACAACATGCTGTGAATAAGCGGAACAGAGAGGACACTAATAGATAAACGAGCCTCTGCCTCTAAGCTGGGCTGACTGACTGTTATCTTTGCCCGCTTGCCGCAGACTGGTCGTACCCCCCCACATGGGAGATAAGAAGACGCTAGGGACAGGTACAGTCAGAGCTGCTACGGAGTGCTGTGCAGGCTATATACATGGGATTCCAGCAGGCCAAAACGCAAAACGCACATCTGGCAGGCAGAAAGGAGCAGCTATCGTCGCGCAGCAACAGCAGACGTGCGGCGTCAGCCTGCAAAGCCCGGCGTAATGCTTTCATGTCATGCCTTGCGTCAGACGGCTGCTTCTCTTCAAGGTTCTCCGTATGGTCCTCGTCTTTGGCCCGTCTTGTCGTCAGAGACTGCGCTATCGCTCTCCCTCTCGCTCTCGCAGCCTTGTTCCGCTTCTGTCCGGAGCCCGTGGACGGTTCTTTATCAGTGCTGTCTCTGGCCTCGCCTGCAATCCGTTACGTACGACGTACCGGGACCGATCTGTCAAGGCTCTGCCCTGTCCCATGCGCCCATACTCTGTTAATATCTCGTGGTCCCGGTCGCTCTTTTTTCTTTCCCTTCCTTACCCCCAGCACATATGTTGACCGAACCGGATATCGCTCGCGCTCGCCATGGAAAACGCAGATGTCCTGGAGAAGAAGCCGGTGCCTGAGCGGCCAGGCGACTCGGAAGAGGAGGTGGCCGTGGTGCAGGACGGCACCGTGGTCAATGCTGCCGGGTACAAGGACCAGCTGCAGCGGCAGTACGGCCTCATAGGGCTGGCGGGTATTGCGCTGACAGTGGACAACGCCTGGGTGGCGCTTGGGTCGTCCATCTCGGTGTCGATATGTGAGTGCTGTGATGTTGGTGATGTTGATGTTGTTGGTGATATTTTTTCTGATCTGACTTGTTAGTGAACGGTGGTCCTGCCGGTCTTCTCTACGGCCTCATCGTGGCCATCTTTTATTATTCATTTATCGGGTTGGGCCTGGCCGAGGTGTGTTTCGTGTTCTCTCTCCTCTCGCCTCACTCTCTTCTCCTCACTCTCCTCTCTCCTCTCTCCTCTATCTCCTCTCCTCTGTCCTCCTTCTCTCCCGTTCTCCCTCTCCCTCTCTAACCATCACCAGCTCGCTTCCTCTGTCCCTACCTCTGGCGGCGTCTACCACTGGGCCACACTCGCCGGTGGTCCCCGCTGGGGCCGCGTTCTCGGCTTCTACACCGGCTGGATCAACTTTTACGGCTGGATGTTCGACCTTGCCTCGCTGCTGCAGATCACAGCCAACATCTCCGTCAGCATGTACGCCGTCTACCACGAGGACAGCTTCACCTCCCAGCCGTGGCAGATCTACGTGGCCTACCTGCTGATCCTGCTGCTGGCCGCCGCCCTGGTCATCCTGGCCAACCGGCTGGTGCCCTATACCCAGCATCTCGGCATGTTCTTTGTCATTGTGGGCGGCCTGGTGACCATCATCGTCGTGGCCGCGATGCCGCACCAGCGCCCGACCAACGCGGCCGTGTGGAAGCACTTTCACGAGAACAACCTAACCGGCTGGCAGGATGGCGTCGCCTTTCTGCTGGGCGTGCTCAACGGCGCCTTCACCATCGGCACGCCCGACGCCATCACGCACATGGCCGAAGAGCTACCGCGGCCAAAACGCGATTTGCCGCGTGCCATCGGCCTGCAGCTCGGCCTCGGCTTCCTCTACGCCTTCTGCTTCGCCATCTGCATATTTTACTCCTTCGCTGACCTGTCCGTCCTCCAGGACGGCTCCGTCAACTCCTACCCCCTCGCCTCCATCTACCAACTGGCTACTAGTCATGCGGACGGCAGCCCCAATCTCGGTGCTACTTTTGGCCTCCTCTTCATCGTCTGGGCCTCCTCTATGCTCTGCTGCGTCGGCACCGTCCTCACTACTTCGCGCATCTACTGGGCCCTTGCCCGTGATAATGCCGTCCCCCTCTCTGGCCTCTTCGGCCGTGTCAACGAATCCCTCAGCTGTCCCGTTTACGCTACCCTCTTCGTATCCGTCGTTGCTGCTGGCCTGGGCGCCATTCCCCTCGGCAGCAACACCGCCTTCCTCGATCTCACCGGCTCCTTCATCATCCTCACCACCGTCAGCTATGCCATCGCTTTTGGCGCCAATGTCTGCTCTGGCCGCAAGTACTTTCCTCGTGGCCCTTTCCATCTTGGCAGATACGGCACTGCCATCAATATTCTCTCCATCATCTTCATCGTCTTCTTCGACATCATGTACTGCTTCCGTACGTTGCCGTCTCTCTTCTCATCCCCCTTGTTAACTCCTGCTGACCTCTCCAGCTTATGCAATGCCCACTACTGTCAGCGGTATGACCTACAACAGCGTCATCCTTGTTGGTGTCGTCTGTCTGACCACCATCTGGTGGTTCGCCCATGCCATCCGCCACTATCCTGGTCCCAAGGTCATGGGTCTGTACATTGGTGATACCGACCATACTGGCCAGCAGGAAAACTTCGTCGCCGACCCTGCAGGAGAAAAGTGAGGCGGATTGTTGTGGTAGACCCGATGTGGTTCGGAACGGACTTTGTTTTCGTTGCAGATGGGATATGATAGGCCGGGGGCCAGAATTATAGACGGCGGCATGTAAAATGTAATGGCATGGCGGCATAAACTAGATTTAGTCTTTCTTTTTCAGTGTTTTTGGACACATCTCTTCACTTACACGATTTCAGTATTTTTGCCGGCCAACAAGTCACGTGGACCGCCGTTTTACATCGATGACCGTCGGCCTGTCTGTCAATTCTCGTTGCTTAAGATACTCGAAATTCATTGTTTGAAATGCAGTCATTTTCGCTAGTTTCTATCGCTAGGTTTCGCTGTATCTGGCAAATCGCCAATTATCAAACGCAGTAATGTACTCCGTGCAATGCTTTTTCCCGGAAATGAAAACACAAACACAGCCCGATTTATCAGTCTCTCGGGAGCTATCACCCACGCATGTGATCCATCTTTCTGTAGCCGTACCACAGGTGAAACCAAACGAATCATACTCTGACAAGATCCATGTTTTGGCGACACCACTCTTCCCAGACCCGTCGATGAGGTTTTGCCGTATCATTCGAGTCTCTCAACAAAGACAAATGGGTACCAGGAAAACGTCACAGCAGAAACACTCATCGGCGTGATGACTCGGTTCAGGCGACGAAACAGAGGGCGGAGAATGCTTCGCGGGGCACGCCGAGGCTAGTTTATCCGCCGTTCTCGCAGAACGCGTCGATTTAGATTTAACCGCCGGAAGAGTCGAGTTGCCTGACATGGACGCCGGGCCTGCCATCGGGCCTATTTTGTAGACCGTGTCTGTCAGGGGCCTCAGACCCGTCTTGAGAATGGGACGTGCCAGCGTGTGTGTTGTGCTTGACACACGTGTCGAGCTTTGATCAAGGACTGGCCACATAACGAAGATGAAGGCGAGACAGAGGGCGATGCACACGCCGAGACTCATGAAACGTTGGGAGGCCATGTTTATGGATTTGCCTCGTTGTGATGCTTTACAGTCTGGTGATGCAACGAGTGGCCAAAAAGGTATGTTGGAAATCGATGATTGAAGTTTGAAAGAAAGCTTAGGTTTGGAGGATGTAACGGATGAAGAGAAAGAGGGAGAAAAGAGGCCAAGGAGGGCGGAAACATCACTTTATACACGACATGGATGGGCTCAGCGAGGAGAGAGCTTCTTGCCGGAGGCGCCTGCCCGAGACGGGGACAGCAGCCGTGGGTCACGTCGGCAAGATCAGCAGGCACGGTCGGTCGGTTGCGATCGCTCTTCTCTGTTCACGCCGGCCGCTCCTGCCTTGAGACAGGCTGGCCTGCGAGAGACTACCGAACCGAAGGCCTATTAGTACAGACTTGCAGATGGCATGAAACAAGTCGTCCGCATTTCTCTATCTCATCGTCTCCGTCCTAGGATGTCGCTTCTCTCGCTGCTGCTGCTTAAAAGTTCCGGCTCATGTCTCCCCGGATTCTCGCATAGTCAAACAGGCCCTCGATGCTGCCGACGGCGCTGATGGCAATGTCCTGGTCCCACAGTTTCCGGTTGGCAAAGTCCATGACGTCCTTCTCTGTTATCGCGTCGATGACGCGCTCGATCTCGGCAGGGCTCTGGCGGGTGCCGGTGGTGATGATCTGGCGGCCAATGTCCTCGGCCACGGCGGTGGTGCCGTCCAGCGACAGCAGGATGGACGCCTTGAGCTGGGCCTTGGCGCGCTCGACCTCGGCCTGGGATACGTTCAGCGACAGCCGCGACCACTCGCGCAGGGCAAAGTGTACAAGGTCGTCAATGCGCGTCAGCTTGTCGGTAACGAGGTAGATGCCCCAGAGACTGGAGGGGGTCAGCAGACGAAGACGGCAAAGGCAAAAGGCAAAAGGCGTCAAACTCACCCAGTGTCGCTGTAGCTCGTGGAGAAGCTCATGAAGCTGTTGGCCAGGTCGTTCTTGTGGACGAAGCCGCTCAGCTTGCTGCCCTGGTGCGGGGCGTTGCCGAGAGCCTTGTCGTAGTTGCCGACAATAGCCTGGGCAACGAGGGCGGTAAAGTAGTCGTCGTCGTTCCAGCTGACACCCTCGACGGCGATGGCGATGTTGGCGGTGGGGATGGTGTCGTCGCGCACGCGGACGTCGGAGCCGATAAAGTCGGACTTCTTCTTGAACTCCAACAGAGCGCCGGATGGCGGCGACGTGGCGGGCAGGCTGGTGAAGTGCTTCTCGGCCAGCTCGACGAGCTGCTCGTGGGCGAAGCCGCCGGCGCCGACGAGGACCATGCGGTCGGCCGAGTAGTTGTTCTTGATGTAATTGGACAGCTCGGTGCGGGTGATGTCCTGGATGTTCTGACGAGGACCCAGGATGGTGCGGCCGAGCGGCTGCTGCTGGAAGGCGGTGGCGTGCAGGTGGTCGAAGACGACCTCCTCGATCTGCTTCTCGACCTCCTCGGACTCGCGCAGGATGACGTCGCGCTCGCGCTCAATGGCGGACTCCTCGAGCTTGGAGTTCTGCAGGATGTCGGCGAGGATGTCGACGCACTGGGGGACGTCCTCGTTGAGGGCCTTTGCGAAGTAGACGGTGTTTTCGCGCTGGAGGGTTAGTGGGAAAGAAGGGAAGAGGAGAGGGAGAGAAGGGAAAGAAAGGAAAGAACCAACCGAAGTGTATGCGTTTAGGTGAGCTCCGAGGTTCTCGATCTCCAGCTCGAGCTGGTGCTGGGTGCGCTTGCTGGTGCCCTAGATCCGACAGTCAGCTTTTGAGGATATTCGAAGCGGGGGAGAAAGACAGGCATACCTTGAAGGCAAGGTGCTCGAGGAAGTGGGCGGTGCCGTTGGTCTCCTCGGTCTCGGCGCGGGAACCGGCGTCGATCCAAACGCCGACAGTCGAGGTCTGGGCATATGGCGAGTAGTGGGACGCAACCTGGCAGAAAGGATGATCAGCAAGACAGAAGCAAGCAGGGCAGAGCAGAAGCTGACGGGGGGTGCGGAAGGAGTCAATTGGGCGGCTGTGATGTCGGAGCGTACCGTAAGACCGTTCTTGAGCGTGGTGGACTGGACCTTGATGCCCGGCGAGGTGACGGGGGTGGCGAGGCCTCGGCGCAGCGGAGGTAGCGAAAGACCAGCGCGAGGGGCCTTGAGGCCGCGTCCGAGGTTCAGAGCCAGTCTTCGGGAGGCCATGGCGGACGCAGAGAGATGTATGGGGGGGGAGGGGGGTATCGGAATGCGGGAGGATAGAAAACGGATTGAGCGAATTTGCGTCTTCTGGATGGAGGCGGCGGATGGAGGCGAGAATCTTTCGATGCACTTTTTTGTTTTTCTCGGCTTTGCTGGAGCTAGTGGACAGGTTGATGCCTTGTCTGTCAGGCAGGATCGGAAGGGTGCCGGAATCGACCGAGCGCAATTACGTCGACGCCTATTGGGTGAGATTGTGGGGCAAAACACTAAGAGAAAGCACTTACGGAGGGCGAGACACGGGGAAGTCATGTGCAGAGGACAGGTGGGCTTTTGCCAGCGCATATATAAGCAATTGAAGTGTTTTCTGATGAGACAGAGATTGGTATACTTGCAAGTGTATTGATAGCCAGGGAATTCATGATTTGACTATGGGTGACGGCGAGTACAGCTTTGCGGCAGAGTTCACGGCCAGCTTGCCAAAGAAGGCGATCCGGGTGGGGAAGAAGCGAGGCAGCACAGCAGGCGGGGGGGCACAAGCAGCAGTGATGGGGGTGACAGTGTCGACATACCCGCCTCTGGGCCAGGTGACGCAACTGGCGAGCGGAGACAGCGTTGGGTTCTACGCGATGTTGGAGACGAAGCGAGTATCGGGGGACGACAGGGCGTCCGCGTGGGAGGTGGCAGTGTGGCATTCGACGAGCTCTGGAGCAGACGAGGGCGAAGCAGACCGAGAGGGCGAGTGGGCGGCGACGGAGCTGTCGGCAGTGGACGCAGACGACGAGACGAAGCCGCGGTCATGGCTCTGGCTGCAGGACGAGGACGAGACGACGGTGCGGCACTGCTATGGCGGCACGTTGAACGTGGGTCTGGGTCCAGCCTGGTTCACGGTCCGGTTCCGGCGGCGAGCCACGGCGGGCTCAGAGGCGTCGGTGTGGCGATGGGTGAACGAGGAGCAGGAGACGGAAGACGGCACATTGGTGATAAGACGAAAGAGCGGACGACCAGCCGAAGCAGATCTGTCGAACCTGATCCACGGCCTCAACCCAGCCTTTTCCGTGACCTCACCGCGGAGCCAGGTGGCCGGCACGACGCTCTGGAGTCTCGAGACGACCGTGGCCGGGGCCACAGACACGGACGAATCCGGCTACACGGACACGACGATCGGCACACCGTGGGGCGACGACCTGCTGCGCTGGCTGGCCCTCGTGCGCGTCTGGACGCCGTGGCTGGCGCCGAGCCATGGCCGCACCCGGCTGCAGCTGGACCGCGACGCCGTCCTGTGCGCGTGTCTCAGCCAGACCGGCCAGCACCTCGTGCTGCTGGCCGTCAGCGGGCGACGTGGACTGCTGAGCGTGCTGCGCACAGACGAAGCTGGCCATCTCGTGCTGCACGTGCGCAGCGACAGCCTGGTGGCCGAGCAGGCGACCCTGCTGGTGGCCGTGGCCGACGACGTGGAGCGGGCCAACGCAGCCGTCATGTACCATGCACGAGGGCTGATCGGGTGGGAGGCGAAGGAGGAGATGACAAGCCAGGGAGACGACCAGACGGAAATCCCCGACATCCTCCCCCAATACCTCGAAACATGGCACGACGGCCTCGGCTTCTGTACGTGGAACGCCCTCGGCCAGGCGCTGTCCGAGGCCAAGATCCTGGCTGCCATGGACGCGCTCGCGGCCGCCGGCATCCGCGTCGGCAGCCTCATCATCGACGACGGCTGGCAGACGCTCGGCCACGCCACCGCCGTCCCGCCCAACCACTTTCAGCGCGGCTGGGCCGCCTTTGAGGCGGAGCCGACACAGTTCCCACACGGTCTTGCTCACACTGTGCACCAGATCCGCGCCCGCCATCCACACGTCCGCCACGTCGCCGTCTGGCACGCGCTGCTGGGCTACTGGGGCGGCGTGGCGCCGGACAGCGAGCTGGCCCGACGCTATGCGACCGAGGAGCTGCAGCGTGCCCATCCGCCGCGCCGCCACCTGCCGATCGCTGGTCCGATGACCGTCGTGGTCGAGGCCGACGTCCGCCGGCTGTACGACGACTTTTATCGCTTTCTGGCCGCTGCCGGCATCGACGGTGTCAAGACCGACGCCCAGTTCATGACCGATACCTGGCTGTCGGCCCGCGCACGTCGCCGCCTCGCGCCCGCCTACGAGGCCGCCTGGACCGTCGCTGGCCTGCGCCATCTGCAGGCACGCGCCGTCTCCTGCATGTCGCAGACGCCACCGCTGCTGTTTCGCACTCAGCTGCCCGTCGGACGACCGGCTCTCGCTGTCCGCAACTCGGACGACTTCTTTCCCGACGTGCCCGACTCTCATCCTTGGCACGTCTGGACCAACGCCCATAATAGTTTACTTAGTCAGCATCTCAACGTCCTCCCCGACTGGGACATGTTTCAGACCGTTCACGACTACTCGGCCTTCCACGCGGCCGCCCGCTGCATCAGCGGTGGCCCCGTCTACATTACCGACGCTCCCGGCCGCTATGACACCGCCCTGATCGACCAGATCGCCGCGCCCAGCCTCGCCGGCCACCACGTCGTCTTCCGCCCCGACCGCATCGGCCGCGCTCTTCGGCCCTATGCCGCCTTCCACGACCGCGCCCTCCTCCTCGTCGCTGCCTATCACGGCGATTCTGCCGGCTCTGGCATCCTCGCCCTCTTTAACGTTGCTGATCGTCCGCTCGCTGAGCTCATTCCCCTTGCCTGTGTCCCCGGTGTCTACTCGACGGCTTCCCCGTCTTCTCTGTCATCCCCGTTCTTTTCCCCTCTGTCTTCTCCTTCGTCCTCAAATTCGCCCTCCTCTCCACCACTCCACATCGCCCGCCTCCACAGCTCCGGCCGTCTGTCTCGTCCGGTCGGCTCAGATGCCCTTCTTCCCGTCTCTCTCGGCGTTCGCGGCTACGACATCCTCACCGTCTACAAGCCGCTGGCCTTTTCCTTTGCCGACCACGAACCACCGCTCTACGTCGCCAACCTCGGCCTCGTCCGCAAGATGGCTGCCGCCGCCTCCGTTGTCAGCACCTCTGCTGCCTGTCGTCAGTCTGGCCGCCGCGCCGTCGAGCTGACCGCCGCCTTCAAGGCTCTCGGCATCGTCGGCATCTACGTCTCTGCCCTGCCCACATTGACCGTGGCCGACAACTTCCTCGTCACCATCCGCGGCTTGCCCATCCCGCCCACCTGCGTCACCAAGTCTGCCAGCGACCCGTGTCTGCTCGAAATTGACGTCGAACGCGCCTGGAAGGACTTGCAGCAGACACCCGATTGGAACAACGAACTGCGGCTGACGGTGCATATTATGCTTGACTAAGCGTGTGGGGCTTTGCTAGAATTGGCTTATAAGCGAATCAAGCTACGGAGTTCACTACCCCTTGATTCCCAGTCGCGCTGCCTCAAAAGCTACTATGGCTGCCACCTCGTCGTGCAGGCTCGGTCCCGTCGGCTTCCAGCCCAGAAACTGGCGCGCTCGCACCGCATTGCCGCGCGAGTTGGTGCCCCAGGTCACGTGACCGGACGCACCAGCACCAAGCACATCGGCCATGGGGACCTGTTTGACGACGCCTCTCTTGGTGCCGGTCCCTCCCAGCCCCTGCTCTGCCGCACTGTCGGCCAGCCACTGCGCCAGGTCGCTCCATCGGTGCACCGTCTCGTTGGCCGCAAAGTAGTACGCCCGCGGCCCAAAGAGGTCGTCGTCGTCGCGCTCGGCCGGACGCAGACCAGCCTCGACCATCCGGACCAGCAGTGCCGACAGGTCGCGCACATACAGGTTGTCCCAGACCGTCTCTCCCGAGCCCTCGACCACGGGCCCGTAGCCGCGCTGCAGCACGTACGCCGCCATCGCCGGCGCCTGGATGCTGCGCCGGTTGCCCGCGCCGCGGCCGATGCCGTAGATCAGCGGCGGCGTCACCACGGCCGTGCGCATCGCTGCCGTCGTCGCTGCGGCTGCCAGAACAACCTTGTCCACTTCTTGGTGCGGCGCCGCGTCAGGCAGCGTTAGAATCTGCTCGATTCCCGCTACGTCGTCATACGTCTGCTCCGCCACCGGCGGCTGACCCCATCGGCCGTGGAGCATGTCGTACTGTCCGGTCAGCGAACCCAGAAACAAAGGCTGACTGGTCAAAAGGAGAGGAAACACACCCATGTAAGTATACCCGTTCCTGAAATGTGAATGTACACCCCCGGATGCTCCACCGTGTGGCCCGCCTCAATGCCCTTAACAATCGCCTGGGCAGCCGGTATGCTGTCAGACGACGCTCCGGTATCTGCAGCGGTCAGCCCTCCGTCTCCCTCAAAGACTCGCTACCACCCAAAGTCTTACGCAGCACCACGTCCGCAGCTGCCGCCTCGCGGCTCAGCACTTCTGCGTCATCCAGAGTCCCATATGCGAACCGTATGTTCTTCGCTTTTGGATAGGCCGCCTTGATCTTTTCTGCTCGCTCCTCGCTGCGCACAAACAAGGTGTAGTCGTGCTCTGGGTGTGTTGCGTACAGCTCCGCGAAAGCATCACCGCCAACGTAGCCTGTGCAAAGCCTTGTCAGCACCCCCAATTGTCACCTCCTGAGCATGCACTCTGCCGACATACCAGTCACCCCCGTGCTATTTCTTGGGTTAGCTTTGTTCTGACCGTAGTTTCGCCCGACGGCGCCACTTACATGAAGATCTTGGAAGCCATTGCTGTCGTGTTGAACTATTGCTCGTTGGTGTACCAAATGAATACGTCCTTAACGAGTCCTGATTCTCTTTACGATCGCGACACAGCCCGGCCTTATATAACGGCCTGCATATATGATATCATTGTCTGCTAGGATTAAAAATCTTGACTCCCCGTTCTATTGCCTTCGCTCATCGTTTGACGGCCATTACTGTGTACAGTGCGTTTGTAAGCATGTTCGATTACACATACGGACTACTCCATAATACGAACAGTCACACTTGGGAAAATCGTTTTCCCCGGGATCAAGCCCCATCATATGTGGGCCACCCCGCATTCACAGCCTTGCCTAGTCTCCCCCAATTCCAGCATCTGCATTAGTAATAACACGCTCTTTTCTGTTTAAACATGATACATCGTAAGTCTATTCTTTCACAGCTTCGTAAAAAAACGCGGTAACTATTCCACCCATCACGCTAACGCCATCCGACAACGCCAATGCCGCTCATACGTGCAGCACGCATCAGAATGTACAGGGCATAACAATACAATCAGCTGCGCAACGACTGCCGAAACCACAACGCAACAATACCAAGGCTGAACGATCAAGCATTCACAAACACGCGGAACGAAACACAATGTGGTCCAATTGTTTTTTTTCTTTTTCTTTGGATATTCACACTATCCTCCCTGGGGCAGGATAGATCTAAACTCACTTCCACCTCCGAAGCTGTCGCATGGCGTACACTCTTATCAGGTCAGAGGGGAACGAACGGGTGGTGAGGGTGCCCAATCTTGGTGGCATTCGTCGACAGAAGGGTGTTGTTTTTTTGGTAGACATGAAAAGCCTATTTTGAACAGTCGCGCCAGAGCACGACCGCTATCTTTTCGCAGGGACATACTGCTTGTGGTAACAACAAAAAAATGAAGCAAGGAAAGAGAAACAGTTTGGGAGCATGGCCGATCAAAAAGTTTGTAGGGCAAACAAATGGCTGCCCCATGAGAGGTCTCGGCAACAAAAGAAAAGCAAAGATCAACCGCTAATGCCATGACGCTGATGAGGAAAGAAATAAAAAAGGGCGGCGAGAAACGCAAATCGAAATCCTGGATGCCAGATGCAGAGCAGATCACATTCTTTTTCTCTCTTCCCAAGAAATAAACGCGCAACCTTTTCTAACAAAATAAGAACAAGCCGGCAAGACAGGGAAACTTGACAGGTCACAGGATTCCATTGTTGTCACTCCAATATTTTGGTACAACAGACGTTTATCTCACACACACACCCTCTGGCACGTGGAGACTCCGAGGGTATCAAGGTCTAACGGATCCCCAGCTCAGGGAGAAGCCTCGTAGGAAAGGAGGCGAAGACGTAGGGAAAATGGTGGGTATCGAGGACGGAAGCTGTCTATTGTGCCGCGTCAAAGTAGGCCGCATACTGTGCAACACTGGCATCTTGTTGTTGCGCATGTGCCGCATAGACAGACGGTGCGTTCGCGTTCGTGTTTGACGGAGGCGTCGGCGTCACCGGACACCGCGGCACGACTGCGTAGCCGTCCTTGGCCACGGCCCCGTTGGCCGCAAAGTAGGCGCCGTCTGGTGTAATGGGTGGCGTCATGTATCCGTCGGCCACGCCCGCAACGGCCCCCATGCCCTTGTGTGGCGTGCTGTACACGTCGGCCTGGTGGGCCACACTGTCCGACTCACATGGCGACGTCGACCGGCAGCTGTCTGCCAGTCTCCTGTTGTTGTTGTTGATTGCTGCCGCGTGGCGGGCGAGGAACTCGGTGAGCTTAGCCGACACGCCAGAGAAGTGCGATGATGCATACTTGCGCGACAGCGTCGGCGACGGCTGGTGCAGGTTCTGCGACAGGGTAAGAAGAGTGATGTTGTCCGCGTGGTCCCACTCGCCGTCGTTGACCTCCGGCCGGCCAAGAATGGCACGGGCGAGCGCGAGCGACGCACGAGCCATGGTCGACGGCTTGGTGGACACAAAGTCACGGTGGTAAAGGGCGATCTCGCTGATGTACGCAGCCATGCTCTCGACCTCGCAGTCGTCCCGCTCCTCAGCCACAATCAGCTGCGAGAAGAAGTCCACGGTAGGGTGGCCAATGTTCCATTCGAGCGTGTTGAGCACGTGCATCTCCATTTGCGTAAACATGCCGGCGTCGTAGAGGCCACAGCACATGTTGTTCAGCTCATTAATCTGCGGCACCCGGTCCTTCTTGTCCCCGTATTTGGAGGCAATAAGCAGGGCAGCGCAGCCAACGAGCTGGTAGTGCTGCTTGTACACCACACGCTTGGAGCAGTACCGGTCCAGAAGGTTGATCGTCAGGAAGAGCGTCTCGGGCAGGAGTGTGAAGGCAGCATGGGCCTCGACGATGAAGTCGATCAGGTATGGTCGCATAAACCACTGAATCTCGCGCTGCATGTCGATCAGGTTGACGTCGGGGAGTGTCTCGTCCTGTTCCCCACGCATTAGCTATCCAGATCCAACCAGCAGAGCAAAGCCACACGCAAAAGGGCTCAAACATACCTCCATGTGCCGCGCGTGCCGCATGATGTCCTCCAGATACTCCTCCGATGTCAACCTTGAAAGTTCATTGGCGATCATGTCTTGGCGATTTCTTGCCAGCAGCTTCGCTGCCTCTCTAGCACTCATTCTCGGAGCAGTTGGCTCGTTGGACTCGACAAAGAAAGTGCCGTCGTGCATTTGCGTAGAGTAAGCCATGTTGGAAGATGTTGCGGTCTGAAATGGTAGATATGACTGAAAATGAATGTCGAAAGTCTGGCTGTCCAGAAGCTGTAGATGTGAGCCCGAAGTTTCTGAGCGAGTTGGTCGCAGAAATCGGAAAGATCGATGTAAATGAGTGTGGTGTATTAACAAATGCCAGCGGGAGACTGAGTCTTGAAATGCTGGCGAGCAAATTATTCGACCAGGCGATGTGGTCTATTAGGGTATTAAAGAGAGCGTCGAGAATCAAGTAAGGAAAGGTAAAAGAGTGACTGTGGCTGAGAAGCCGGAGATGCAAAACGAGAGAGAAAGAGAGAAAGAGGAGATGCCGGTGAAGGGGAGAAGTATCTTGTCCTCTGAGAGTTCTGCGGATGCAAGTATTATATATTAGCTTTGGACGTGATGGAATGCTTCAGACACCGAAGACAAGGGAAGAGATGGGGACGGCCCAATAAAGCGGCACAAAAAGCAAATGAAAGAGGCGCTGCGCGTGGAGGGGGTCCGAGAGGCGCGTCGGCCCATCTGACAATTTCAACGGAGGAATGCCTTCGAGAACGAAGGGCAAACGGCCTTCAACGGTGCCAATGTGCTCAGGCCTCGATCTCCACAAAATGAGAGAAGGAGGTGCGAGAGGGGGCAGAAGAGGAAAGAGGACGAGATGTGGAAGGCAGTGAAGGGAGCGTTGCAGAATGGCGGCCCTTGTTGGCACCCAGACAGGGAGCTTTCCGTGGATACTGCAGCACAGTGACTTCGCGGCTAGGGACTGAGAAATGCGTGCAAATGATTCGAACGCGTTTTTAGCAGCCCTAGCAGCAAGCTTCGGCGCGCTGATGTGCGTTTTTTGCTAGCTCACAGCAGTGGTGCCACTGTGCAAATACAGGGAATTTGATGGCGACCTTGGGCCGGCTAGCCGCATAATCGTTGTTCACGGACCGAAATGTACGGCGCTCACGGAATAACTCAGTGTGAATACCGCACACGCCGGCAACGTGAAGGAAGGGAGGGCTAGAAATTGGGGCGGGGAACTAAGGAGAGAGGCAGAAAAACATAGGAAAGAGATGTCCCTTACCGCCACGGTGGTTGTGCTAAGAGCTGTAGCCACAAAAGGTGATTGGATTCCAAAAGCCCAAAGAGTAGGAGCAACGAGTTAACGTGTCCTACGAGCGAGGCTTTGGGTGTTCAACTGGAGACGCGGATGTGGAGAATGCCAACTGGCACGCAACTGTACGTTGATCTGGTTTAGCTTCCAACTCAGGGAGACGATAGGCTGTGGCTGACTGGGGGAGGGGGGAGGTGACAGAGCTGCTGCTTGTCACTGTCACCGCCAGAGAGCCGATTGGCAGGCTCACGGGACGGGGCTGGCTGCGGGTGGCGACTAACCTCACTTAGCACCTTCAAAGGGATGAAAGGTTCACGACAACTGCCTCGGTCATGTAGAGCTATTCAACAGGAACGTCTAAATGATCTTGGATACTATTCTCTCTTCCCTGCTGTTGTAGTCGACCAGTGCCGTGTGCAGGACCGGATCGAAGGGCTGAGACTACCGGTGAAGGCGGGGAGGAACTGGCGAATCGACTGCAAAAAAGCTGACTAGTACAAGCTCGAGGGAGGAACTGCTCGGGGTTGTGGTGTCGAGTTTGCAATTGGAATGCTGGCAGATGGCGAGGGAGACAAAAGAGTGAGGAATTCCAGCTGGCGGGTCTGGAAAAGGGATAAAATGGAAAATGATATATAAAAGGGGGTCTCCAGGAAGACAGAGATTAGAAATAAAAAAAGCAGATTGCCGTCGACATCAACTGGAAAGTAGATGACGAGCAAGCAGAAGGTGGGTTAAGTGAACAACAGCGAAAGAAGATCTTCTTGACAAAGACTCCTTCTCCGATGTTCTCCCGAGGTGTTTTTAGATGGTTTCCCACTGCGGTATGGATGCGGTGGCGTTCGTTCCCGAGGTCCAGAGTGCCAGTCTCCTTAATCTCAGACTCGAATGAAGCGGGGAGGAAAGCCAACCAGGTCAGGTTTCAGTATTCTCGCTCCGTGGGGGGGCGGGTTGAGGATGCTTCGGTCAAGGCTTGATCTGGGCCTTGGACTCGCTCTGCCTTCCCTCCAGAATTTTCTCTTTTCTTCACCTCTCGGTAGTCAGGAAGGTTTAGAAGAAGATCGTGGTGGTCGGACTGTTCAGGAGGGAGGGATGCAGACAGGGAGAGTTTGAAGAGAGAGAGGAATGTAAAAGTAAAATGGGAAGAGCCGAGGAGAGGAAGAAAAGGAAGAGAAAAGGAATCAAGGGAAAGGAGGAGGGGGATACGGACGAATAAAAAAGGACGGGGGAGGTGGTGCACAGGAGTAGTGAGAAACAGGCACAAAGTGACCAGCACAGGCGCCTTGCCAAGTTACAATGGGCGAAGCAGCAGTGGCAGCAGCACAAAATCGCAGGCGCACAACCACTAAAGTCGCTATGGCCAGCGGATGAGACCGCGTGCACCTCACCATGGGGCCCGCATAGAGAGAGGGAGCGGGCTGGGACAGACATGGGGGGTGTGTGAGATGGAGGAGCCAAGAGCAAAAGGGAGTGTGGTTCAATAGGTGGTTCCCTCTGGCTTAGCTGGGCCCTCTTTAAGACAAGGGGACAAGGGGTGGGAAGGAACCACACCGGCTAACAGCCAACCAGCCAGTCCAAATCGACCAGGCGATGAGGCAAGCTAGCCAACCAGCGCGCCGGACTGCCATCGAGCCAAACCAGGACCAGGAGAGAAAAAAGAGGGCCAGCTCCGTGCAGGATGAGCCAAAAAGGAGCAGGAGAAGGGAGGGAAAAAAAAATATTCGTTGGCTTGCATCGGATTACGGAGCAACGGGACACGGAGCACAGGCTCTTTCTTGCTTACTATGCACAAGGCCAAAGGCCAGCGGCCAGGCGATCCGGCCGGGAAGCAGACAATGTAAAAAAGGCAAGGAACGCTGCAAACAATGATATTGCCGTCGTCGGCGACCACGAGGGAACGAGGCCTCAGGACGGCTTAGTCGCTATCAGCCACAGCCGGCCCATGGGCTGCGCGACCGACCAGACAAGACGTCACGTCTCGCCAGGGTCGACAGGGTCGACATCTGACGTTGGATGCCGTCCTTCGGGGGAGGACATGGGGAGGGGGCTCTTTAGTGTCAAGCGAAACGACGCCCGACTATTGGCAGTAATTACGGAGCTGTTGAACTCTACGCGTTTTGCAAGGCGCGGCCTCGTTGGTGAGAGCGTGGTGGTGCATGCATGAGCGTGTTCTAATGTGATATTTGCAAAGTGGTGTGGGTGTTGCTCAAGGCAAGCGTGCGTCTTACCCCTGGCGCCGCTGAAAAGAAAGCAAAAAAAGCAGGATAGTGAGATACTCCGTGCTCCTAGGATGGTGTGGTGAGCGGGTGGTGTGTGAGCGAGATACAGGGGCTGCGTGCAGCCAGGACCGGCGCGGAGAGAGAGCTCATTCGGCCACAGTGCTGTTAGATATGACAAAGCAAACAGCACATACTATGTAATACTCCGTACATACTTTGTACGGAGTAGCAGCAGCACATTCTACAAGCACGAAGTACGGAGCACAAGTGAGATACGGTATCTTACGAAAGCAGATGTGGAGGGGTGGAGAGTGGTGTCACCGGCGTTTGGTTGGCTGTGCTGCTTGCGAGCGGCCGGGTGGAGATCAAGGAAGCTGTCGGGTCGTACTTTCCTGGTCTTGGCTGGCCGGTGGCCACACAGTACGACCAGGCTGGTGCTTCGATTGTCCCCCTCACTTCTGCTGCCATGTAAGATACATAGCAAGATCTCTCTCGTCGTTCGCGTGCCTTCCGTTCGCTTGTCCTCCGCAGAGGGCTGTCAGGCGATTGCTGTCCTGCGTGTCAGGAGGGCATCAAGACCTGGTACCTGTCCGTTGCTTGGACCTACGGAGTACGTGTACTATGTAGGATGAGCACGAAAAATTTCGGATCTCCTCCACCGAAGCAAGGGGCGGGGGACGAGAGAAAAGAGACACCTTCCTGAGCCCGTTCTCCGCTGTGGAGAGGACAGCCAGAAAAAAGGTGAAAAGAGGCTACGGCTACGGAGTACTCCGTACATGACATAGTACTACATGGTCATACGGAGTAGTCGTTCGTATACGGCAGAGCGATCAAGACACGGGAAGAATGTGGCATCGCGAAGAAAGCCCGACACTGCCAAAGCGCACTGCGGGCAATAGGAACCGACCAACCAGAAGCATGCTCCCGCGTCATTCTGCTCGTATGCAGAAGCGCGCCGACCGACGTCGCCGGCGGCCCCCATCGAGACACGGTAGTCGATCGAAGGACCCCTCCTGCTACTGCTGGCGGTTTGCATGATGCGGAGTACGTGTTCATGAGTGCCGGTCAATGAGGCGTCCGGACACGGCCGGGGCAGCGAAAATTCTGTAGATGGAGCTGCGCTTGGAAAAGGGCGAGGAAAAAGCATCGCGTCGATGAGGTAAACGGCCGCTTGGTGGAGTAGCTAACAAGGCTTGCCTCTTACGTATTTTGTCGGATGCAGACCCGCGAGCTAAAGGCGTCGAGAAGAGATTTCCCATACTATGTGCGAGCAGACTGCAGGCGACACCTATTTTTTCTATTGGCACCAACTCCACGGCTACGGAGGTTTTTGAACGGATTAGGCGCACTGGCATTCAGCACTACGAGAAGCTACTCGGTACTATCCAGTTTTCTGTAACGGGCAGCTTCTGCCTCTCTCGGGACATGTCTCACCGGACCGGAAGGCTGGACGGGGGGTGGGCAAAGGGACAGTTGGGCTTCCGGGTACAAGATCGAAGTACATGGCAAGCAAGACATGCCCTGGTTGTGAGATGGCCGCTTCCAACAAACCTGCCAGATAGCCGCGTGCTCTCTCTCTCTCGCAGGCTGACCGCATCCAAAGGCATTGCCTGCCTGCTATGAATGCTCGGCTCGCAATATTGCCTGTGTGGTTCCGGTGGATGCCACCTTCAGGACCAACTCCACTCGGGACATACGGAGTAAGAACCCTGCACCCAAGGAGAGGTGTCTCCAAATCGAAGGAACAAGCGACTACTCCGTACAGCCAATTGCACCCCAAAATGAGGCGTAAAACAAGAAAAATGGGAATAACTGAAGCAAGAGGATACCGTCTCAATCCGGACTCGTCACCCCGTATTGCGGTAGGGTCCTGCTTTCCTGTGTACTAATTCCCTTGCTTTGGTGTTTGCATCACATTGCTGATCCACCGAGGAAACTATTGGCACTGACGTTGTCCCTTCTTTTCACCACATAAGTACGGAGTACCCCGTATTTGCGACTCGTGGCCGACCGATCGGCCACGAGTCCGACTCTTCCATTTTTTTTTCTGTTTGTATCTTACGGAGTATGTCAAATCTTGAACACAGTTGCATCCCGAGGCCTGACGGAACCATACTTGTACCGTGTTAATACTTGCCCGCTAGACGTTGCGGGATGTCGCCTACATACTCGTAAACGCCGGTGTGTCTTGCAGGTGCAAGGCTCCGTAATTTCGACGGGCCAGCCAGCCACTGCCTTTTTAGGCAGTAACAGGCTCGCTGACGTCTGGTAAGGCCGTCCTACCAGCTGCAAAGAAGCCTTTCAGGCTCTTAAAATCCGTTTTCCGTACACCGTACTCCGTACACCGTCTTGTACCCGTTCTGCTGACATGACACCCTTTGTCGTCCCCGACCGCTGACGATCAGGAGACTCGGCACGAACCCATTGATCTGCAGCCACCATGACTGCCAATGCGACCACAGAAAACAAGCAAGCGGTCTGGCAACACGTCGGCGTGGCTGCAGATTCTCAAGTCGTGCAAGACCTGGCTCAGATCTCAGCGCGGCCGGGTAACTAGGAAAGAAGAAAAGAAAGGCATAGATAGTGAAATTGAGGGTGGGAACGGGCGTCGCCCCTACATAATGAGATGAGAGAGGCCAAAAGCTGACATGTCACGCAGAGACAGGGTCACGTCCCGTCTCAATTGCAAGATAGGCCGAGTGTTCAGAGACCAAGTTGAAGCTGAAGATCCAACAACGCCACTAAAGACATTGTCTACTTTGCGGCTGTCACGCGTAAACTTTGTAAAGATATGACACGGGGAAGATCTACAATTACTTTTGAGGCCCTGCTCTAGACCAATGCTCAGCATTGCAAGACTTGGATAGGCTGCATCTCGGTTAGCCGTGGCTAGCAGCAAGTCAGCTCTTGATAGTCATAGCAGCCTGCTCTTTTGAGGAGTAGTGCTATGCATCTCTTTCGATGCACACCGCACATATGATAGGTACGGGAAATAGGTTGCAGTGGAGCGGGGGCCTTGGGTCGTGTGCATCGAAACATTAAAGCACAAAGTTCGCGTCATGGAGTGTGATTGGCTCCCGATTGGTGTCCGGCTGCGGCCCCACCCATCCCAAGATTAGGTGGCAGGGGTTGGCAGGCAGGAAAGAGCTGTTGGGCCTTTTCTCAACCCCAGGAAAATCAAATAGTACATACTCCGTACGGAGTAGTATGGCAGCCTCTGTGCGAGCGAGGGCTTTCAAAAAGGAGGCCAGAAATGGAAGGCCTGAGAACGGACCAGTGCGCCTTCCCTTGCAGCTTCGATACGGAACAGATGAGCCAGACACGGACGGGGCGCCGGGGGAACCGGGGTGGCTCCTTCTCCTTTCTCCTTTTCTGCCCTTTTTTGCACCTTGCTCCTGCCGGTCGAATCAGGTTTCGAGCAGAGAGAGAGAACCGAACGGATCACGCGAACGGCGGCCGTCGGCGCAAATAGCCAGCTCCGCCTCTTCTGTGGGATACGCCAGTACGTCGTCCTCGCACCCTTTCTTTCGACCGGTTCGCTCGGCCTGTATGTGCGTGCGTGCTGCCACTTTACGTGCATGCAACAGTGAGCTCAGATTGGATTTCGCAATGCTGCCGCTTTCGCTCCTGCGGCGGCGTGCCCCCACTGACCAATGAAAGGCCGGACCGCCACGCGAAACGCGCTCGCTCGCGGTAGGCTCCTTCCCTAGGCAATTTTCAATTTGCAACCAGGAAGCGGCGTCGCTGCTGCGCTGCTGCAGGAGCAGGTTATATACGACGTAGGCACGTATTTTCACGCACGCCACTGCCGACCTGCGCGCTAGGAGGCAGCAACTGACGTCGTTGGAGCCCCTCTTCGGTTGAGTACAAGTAGTATACGATACTACGAGTATGTACAGAGTATCTTACGGAGTACGGAGTACGCGTGCCAGACTATACTGTTGTACGCACCTACCACGAGTCCACCTGCAAACCCAGTCGCAGGCCGCCACGCCCCGGGTACGAGGAAATGGAGAGGTTGGGAGATTAGTCATGCGTCGTCGCCAGAGAGACCCGAAACAGGCCGTCCTGTCCTGCTTGTCCGGGCATAGCCTGGTTCCAGAGCTATTTTTTCATATTGCTACTTTTTCCGCGTCCGTGTCCTGTGTCGTATGCCACTGGTTCCGTTGTCTGCCCTACGGGTGCGCACACCTAATTCGTGGACAGCTCATGGCACCCGTCTCAGACAGCCAGGTTTGAGGTGGGATGGGATGATGGATGAGGAGTGGGGAGTGTCCAAAAATGCTCCTTGGACAGGCAAGCGAGCGAGTCGCCCTCACCTTTCTTCTCCCCTATCGTCTGCCGAAACATGCAGCGTTACCAAGCCACATGTGCTTTGCAATGCAGGACGGTGGCAGAGGCGCCTCAGCCCTCTGTGGAGTCGGTCTCACCATTCACGCCATCCATCGGATCTGCTCTGCTGTTCCGACGAGTCTCCCTTTCTCCAGGCCCCGGAATAGGGCCAGGCTTCCGGAATGAGCTTAGGATCAGTCAATCTGTAGCAAGGCATCGTGGCAGCCATTGCCATCTCCCTCTGGCAGTTCAAGCATGTCCTGCGACCACGAGTTCCACGGCAATTACAGTTGTCATTCGCTGTCTCTCATCCGCTATCACTGACCGACCGCCTTGCATGACCGCTCGGCCTGCCTGCATATGCCCCGTCCCACTTGCTTGGACATGTCGCGACACGGCTGCATTCGTTCTCAAGTCGTGTTTAATGAGCAACGCGAAACAGACTGCTCTCATTTGCCAGCATGGCAGATGTACGGAGAACACCGACCAAAATCCCCGCGCAAGCCCCCATTCCAAGGCTATTAATATGTCGTGTCAAAGCGGAATCACATGCAGGCGTCTGGGAAGTTCTCTCGCTCGCTTATGCATTGGTTTACGACGGAGAGCCGTGGCTGGCTACATCGTTGAGAGTCGGCTCCCATCTTACGTCGTACATATATAGATTTAACGTGCTGCCGTTGCCTGCGCATGTCTGGCCAGCATTCGGCGTAGGCGCCTAGTATCTTAGCTTCCAGCTATTCACGCGTACAGAGACAGACGTCAGAGCCGACCGTCCAGCCCAATCGTTTCTTCCCGTCTCGTCTTGATGCAGGGCGCATCTGCATGCAACCTTACAGAGATGCAAGTACGGGCGCAGCTGAAGCGAGCAGATAGGGGAGCTCCTGTGTCAGCTGCATATTTGCCACTTCCGCGACACAGCCTCTTCACCATTGGTGCGTGCCAGAAGGGTAAAAAACCAACGAGCGCGATCGTGACAATTTCCCCGTGAAGCCTGGTTCTTCTTCCGGAAGCCCCACAAGCTGGAGATCCCCATAAGAACTAGCCCAGCTGTCCTTGTTTGTGGCCACACGGTCGCCGGAGGTGGCCCGGAAAGAGGAATGGTGTCTGCCGGTCATCCCAGGGTGGTGTTATTCTCACGATGCTGCTGCAACCGAGAGGCGAAGAACCAGCGAGGCAGCGAGGCAGAGATAGCAATGGCCACATCCCCGGCCTCCCGCTCGAAGGCGACGCACAATCCATTGGCTCCCAGCACTGCCAGCGCACAGGCGAATGCTGCGCTATCAAACAGCATCAAACACCACAGGCGGCCGATGGTCAGCCAGCCCGATGCCGATCGTGCCGCTATGCCCAATGGGGCACGCTGGCACACGCAGCGTGTTTGGAGAGAACGCGTGAGCACGAAAGCCAAAAGACGTCATTCACATGTCGCCACCTCTCTTATTGCAGATAAGATTGAATAGGACAGAAGTATCGAGACCTAGGCCGTTCCACGGCCCGCTGCAGCCTCAGCGTCTTGGAATGATTTTAGGTGCGATCAGGCTGGTACATCGTAGCGTGTCTTCGTATCATGAGATGAGTATGTGGTTCTTTTCAAACCGGGAGTTTCTCATGCAGTTGCCCTGATGCTGGACTCCGTGGAAACTGGCTGGAAGAGCCGGCAGAGGTGAGGAAGCAGAAGACCTCCATTCACTCCATAATGGAAGGTTGGAAGACGAGACGGTGACCAACACAACCACACCGACACGTTCTTGGGTACCTAAGCTGTTTCTTGTCCGACACTAAATTACAAAAGACCCTGGAAGAAACGAGTTGGTGGGTACAGACGGCCCTGGTCTGCCTTCAGTCCCGTGGCTTTTTTTCGGCGATCGGCAAGTACTACTCGTATCTTACATGGTGTATCGTATCTCACATACTACGTCCATATGTAGGGAATGCAAGAGCATATGAAGACTCGATGCAAGGAACGTCTACATGCAGGAATGGCGGCCGCGACAGGGTGGTTCTTCCAGTTGCGATATGCAGAGCTGCGCATTAGCAGAGATGAAAGTCCTCTCCCCCTGCGTGTTAACGCCGTTGATAAGGATGGCAGGATGACAGCGCGGGACCCATCTTGCTGTCGCTTGGGCCTCTTTTCCATTTGCGTCGAAAAGACGCCGGGTAATGAACGCGTTAATTTGCCTGATCTTCTGCGCATAGAAGGGGTGCTAAGATGCGATGGCAGGCAATCTTGAGAGCAGAAGATTGGAAGGCACTGTATGCAGTAAGTACTCCGTACTCCGTACTCCGTGCCCGTGTACTCGTACTCGCACACTGAAGGTGACCGTACGTGCGCGCAGAGTGGTCCGATGGTGGAGAGTCAGCCTTGGCTTTCGGCGAGGACAGCGAAGGAAATGACTGCGTGCAGGCCCAAAAGGGAAAGCCAGACAGCGGTCCCCCGTCAGAAGCGGCAATTCGGCCCCATGCCTTTGCGACGGTGGAGACGCTCCTGAAATGCCCGTACCTGATGGTGCTGGCAGGATTCGATCGGAAGCAGCGACGGCGTGTATTAATAGCCCGGGACCATGCAGCGCGCTGCGCACTGGTCGACGGGACAAGAGGACAAAAGGGCCTCCTTATTTCGCCTACGACGGTGAGAGGCGCGCAGGAACCCGGTGCTCGTATCGGCAGGCGAATGGGAGAGATCCAAATGGAGGACCGAAAGGCGACTGGTGGGACTCTTCCCCTGACCTACGCCGATTGGCGACTAGTCCACCAGATCAGTAAGATACGAGCAGACCTCTTACGACCTTGCTTCCCATCTGCCATAGCTGTGAGCGTTCCAGATTATACATAGTAGCCCACACACCGCCCAAGGCCGGTTGGCAACAGATGCAGCGCAGGTCACAGGAGCGGCCTCGCAGCGACATCCGCACGGCGTGGGTTGACAAAGAAGATTGCGGTGGCCAGACGCAGCAGATGAAGTTGCATCGAGGCGAGGCGATGGATCGTCCCCGTGACTGCAGCCCGGCCGTTGGGGGCATTCCCCTTGCCTCTGCATGAGCCGGAAATAGCTGGCCGACGTCCAGCACACGAGAAGTCGTGCAGTGTCCGGGAGACTGCCGGTGTCTCTAGTGAGGCGCCGTTGGGGCGTGCATATGCCGCAGATGCCGTCTACTGCAAGGGGCACAGAGAGAACGAAAGAACGGTGGCTAGGCTGTACGTGTCTCTCACCCTGCTCTCGACCCCCTTTCTCATCGCCTGTTTCACTCCAGGTTGCCACAGACGAGGCAAGGACGGTCATGATGTTTGTTCTGGTGCGTCGGGCCCCAATCTCCGTCGTCTCAGCCCAGCCAGCTCCAGGAAGGGCGGAGATGCGATCGACGTTGCTCCACTGCTGCTATCGGGCCTCGCTGGCCTCGCTATCTGCGTGCGTCGTCGTTTGCCGGCTGGACTGTCTAGTCGTGTGCCAGGCCTGCCGCGAGTCAGCAAAGAGGGTGGGCACGACCGACGAAGCGTTGTGAGAGACAAAGAAGCCGAGCATAGGCCGAAGGTGGCTAACGGCCGGCCTGACAGCAGCGCGGAGAACGGGTGGAAAGAGTCGGACAAGGTGGTCGGTGAGGCCTTTGGGACCTGCTGCCCAGCGTGTTTGTGGGTTCCCATCCGGCATCCCGGGCCTGGACAGCTCGAGATGAACACACCGCCGCAGCACAGGCCCTTTGGCTGTTCTGTTGGCTCTCTTGCTTTCCTTTTTCTATTTGGCCTTTGTAAGATTCGCCAGGTGAAGGTCCAGAAAACGAGGCGATCTGGACGGCCGCTATTACCCCGCAATATTCTGATTGGCCGACACCGGCCAGACGAACCGTCTCTCCTGCTGCAACCCCCCTCCTAAAAGCCTGGCCGGCTTCCTATTGGCCGACACCGGCCCCAAGCTGGCAAGCTCTCAGAAACTGCCCCCCCCGCTACTGCATGTTGGCTGCGTCTTGCATTATCTAGGCGGCAGGCCATGTGAACAGCCTGTGCTAGTGCTTTGTCATCAGTTTCTGTACTCCGTAGTCGTGCTCTGTATGCTCTGTATATTCAATCCCACATCCCTGCCGAGGCTTCACTCTTCTATCGTCTGCTCTCATGGCAAGCAAGGATAAGACGAACTAGAGGCCTGTCGGCAACACAACCACGAAGAAAACTACGGATGCTCCTTGTCCATCTGACAGCATTGCCGCTGCCCGCCCTTTCGCCCTCCCTTGTCTTAGATTGGCCGTTTCTTCCGCCGTTTTTGCCACTGTCCTTCTTCTTCCCCTTTCAAACGACCGTACGTCACAGGACAAAGTCGACACACTTGGGATAGAGAAATCGCCTCCGCCGTGCAACGCTCTCTCAACATCAAACTCGATACCACAATTGCGTCTGTGTGTGACGCAACAGACCCTGGCAACGAACAAGGGTCTGTTCTCGTTGTTCCGCAGACAAGACCAAATCGACTCATCCATCGACCCATCCGCCCGTCTCCATATATTCGCCATCTGCCGGTGGCCGAGGCCAGCTTCTCGTCTCCCAGACCCCTGACTGGCTGCTCGATCCACGTCTTCCCGCCCGATAACCTGCTCTCCCCCCCGGCCTCGAACGACGCGTTTCCGCAAACAGGCCATCTAACCCGAACAGGCGTGCTTTCTTGTTGTCTGACAAGGCTCTTCTGCCGCAGGTCACAGTAGCCTTGTGTCGGCTTTCTAGCGAAACCGGCCTGGTGTTCGTTCGCCTGGGCTGATCGAGATAAGATCGAGATCAGCCGTCGACGAAGTTCGAGTACAAAAACCCGCGAGCAAGCCCTCCTCCGGAGAGCACCCGTCCACCATCATGGCCAACACAGAGAATCAGCCAAGCACCAACGAGATGTCTCGCAACCGCCGCAGCTCCTTCACGTCCGCTACGCTGTCCAACCTCTTTCCGCGCAGCAACTCCGTCTCGGGCGGGACGCCCGTCTTCCCGGGCCCCATCGCCTCGGCAGCGCTAAACGACCAGAACCGACGGAGACGGCTGTCGATGTCGACCGCGTCAGCCCTCGGCCTCTCGGGCACCTCGCCCATCAGCACGGGCGGAGGTGCAGGTGGAGGTCCGTCGGGCCTAGGACTGCGTCGGGCCAGCATGTCGACCAGCTCGTCTGCGTCGGACGCGGCCGTCGACGAGAGCGCCATCGAGGAGGATGACGCTGCTCCTCGCGGCTCGCCCAACGCGCCCTCTGCCCGCCGGACGAGCTTTGGGGCCCAGGCTATGCTCAACCTCCGGGGCTCTGGAGGCAGTGTCGGCGCCAACGCCAACGGTAGGCAGCTCTCCAGTCCTGGCGGTAGGAGGCAGCCGCAGAACCGTCCCCGTGCTCTCTCGCCCACCACGTCCCCGTCTCCCTCGTCCTTGTCGTCTCCCTTTGCACCGCCTGCTGCTGTCTCTCCACGCTCTTCATCGTCCTTCTCCTTCTCTGTCCGGCCCAAGGGCGGCTTCGTGGCCGGGCTGCACAGTCCGAGAACTGCTTCTGACAAGTTTCCTCTTTTCGCTGCTCGTGCAGACCAAGGATACAACTGGCCTGAGCAGTTTAGGTCCCGTGCTGAGAGCAGCGTGGTCTCGGGCTCGCGAGCTTCGTTCTCGTTTGCCTCGGGCCTGGGCAGCTCTCCGCCACGATCGGGCGGCTTTGCCGTCATTCCCAGCTTCGGCGCCGGCGCTGGTGGTGGAGTAAGCGGCGGAGGAATTCGTCAAGATCGGTCCAAGTCCGTTTCGGACGCCGAGACGACCGCGGTGCCAGCAGCCCGGCCGACGCCTTCACGACCGCGTCAGCAGCAGCCGCGACCCAAGCCTGACCACTTTCAGGAGAGGATTCTCAAGGGCGACTTCTACATGGACTGAACGGTGTCGATGATCATAACTGCATCACTGGCAGTGCCGGTATCGACGAGACCGACGACTTTCGTTTACACTATTGCGTCTGCTTTTTCCCGTCTGGTTTATTACTGCAATGGGGCGTTACAACATGACATGACAAGGGCCTTTGGATTACGATGAGAGCTGTCTGTCCAAGGCTAGGCTCGGCGTTTCTACTTGCCGGCAAAGGTGCCCGGCAACACGATGGAAAGGGCAAGAGGAGGAATTGAGGGTCGGATACGAAGGAAACGTGATCAGGACATGCAAAATGGATTTCAGGCTGTCGCTTCGGTCTAGGATGAATATGCTGAGTCAGCAGGATCTTGCTGACAGTGTGAAAGGGAGCATCTATTTGCAGGCGCAACTATTAATAATATGCTTTTTGCTTTTTTGCTCCTTTGCTCCTTTGCTGGCTCATATCCCAACGCGACCAAACACACGCAAACGCCAAGGGGGTATTCCCAACCGCATCCAAAGACCGCCCACTTCCGTAAATCCCAACGCATCATGTGCTCGTGTGTCGCTCTCCATATCTGGACTATTTCTTATTATTGCGCTTCTGGGTTCGGTTTCCGAAATTCCCCTAAAATTGAAAGTTGGTCGGCATTCCCCGTACCCAATAGGGGTCCTCCATGAGGAACTGCATGCCCTCGTCCAGGTTCATGTCACCGCCAGCCTCTGCCAGGCCGGCAAACGTCAGGTCCATGGCGTATTCAAAGTTCTCGCCCACGTTGGGAAAGTCCATAAAGTTGGACGTGATGAGCGACTCTGTCGGGCCGACACTTCCCCTGGCTGCATTGTCGCTCGTTCCTATCGTTGGCTGACTGGGGGCCAGCCATGGCATCATGTTGATTGGTTGCTGTTGCTGTTGCTGTTGCTGTTGCTGTTGCTGTTGCTGTTGCTGTTGCTGTTGCTGTTGCTGCTGCTGCTGCTGTTGCTGCTGCTGTTGTTGTCTCTGCTCCTGGACTGCCGAGTCACTGGCGGCAATCTCGGACAGCAGCTCCAGCGGGGTGTTGCCCGACGGATAGGCCGTCATCGGCGACGGCTGCGGGACCGACATGGGACAGGAGGCGTCAGACGGCGGCAGTCCGGCAGCCTGGCGGATGCTGTTGCTGGCCAGCAAGAAGGAAGAGGAGGGCAGATAGGGCAGTTGTTGTGGCTGTGCGTGTGGCTGTGGCTGTGCGTGTGGCTGTGCGTGTGGCTGTGGCTGTGACTGTGACTGTGACTGTGGTGGCTGAGACTGCTGTTGTCCTTCCACGGCCTCACCCTCCTTGATGACGCCGATGTGGTGGCGCTGCTTGAGGAACCAGGCACGGATCATGACGAGAACGATGAGGAACTTGGCGGCGGGCCGCGAGCGGTTGTCGGCGGCGGTGGCGCGGAACTTATCGAGCAGGGCGCTGAGATGCTGCTCGACCTTCATGTGGTCCTTGTCAATGACGCGGCCGAGCTCCGAGTTGGGTGAGGCGGCGGCAAAGTAGAGCTTGATCAGCACGACGGTGGCGTAGGCGACGCGCACAAAATTGAAGATGGGGATGCAGCGCAGGGCGGCAATGTCCATGCCCAGAAAGGCGTCAAAGATGCCGTCAATGGCCTGCAGACAGGCTGAGAGAGCGCTGATGTGGGCTGCCGTCAGCTGAGCGTCGCCGATCAGGGCCGTCTTGGTCGACTCGGCCGTGTACGGCTGCCGGAACTCGTCGTTGCCATCCTCCATCTGCAGGGCCATCTCGTGCATGTACAGGTTCAGCACCTCGAAGCTCAGCCGCAACGACGGCTGCAGCAACATGCGCGGCACGCTCGCCCGGTATCGCTCCAGCTCACGCTCGAAAGCCCGCAGCGCGTACTGTGTCCGCGTGTCGGCCACGTTGATCTTCGCTGTCGGGTCGTCCATGTTGAACTGCTGGCCCACCTCCTCGGCCATGCGGTGCGTCCAGACGAGGTGGCAGAGGTACTGGTCCGTCGGCGCTGCTTCGGCCGACGTCTCCAGCACCTGCACGCACTGCGTCATAAACGGCGTCCAGCGCACCAGATTCGGTCGGTGCAGCGCCATCGACGTGTTGGACGTCATGAAGTAGCATGCCAGCCATGCTCGCCGCGCCTCGATCGCACACGGGTCTGGCAGCGGGTTCTTCTTAAACGGATGGTCGCGCCAGTTGATCCCTGACCCCTGTGGTGGCATCAGCCCCGGCCCTGAGCTCGTCCATCGCCCGTTGCTCACTCCTGGCCGTCGCTTGCCCAGCCCAATGTCGATCGCCATCACTGCTGCCATGTGCACGAGCTGGTAGAACTTGAGCTCTTCAAAGTGCTCGGGCGGCCAGTACCAGATCACCGAGATCTGCAGCGCCTGCACCATCTCCAGGCTCTTCTCGCCCACTACCAAGATCCTCTCCGCAAAGATCAGCATCAGCTCCTTCACGATCGCCCGCTGCACGTTGGGCATCTCCGTCGTCGCTGCTCCCATGATCGCCGCGAACAGGATCGGCTTTGACTTGCGGATCTCAGCCGCCGTCGTCCCCGGCACGAACACCACCGCCGGCATGTGGCGTGCCATCTGGTCCGTATATCGGTTGAACAGCTCCACCGCCTTCTCCATTGTCAGCAGCCCCCGGTCGATGATGTCGCCCAGTCCGGCCGTTGACGTTTCCGCTGCCGGCGACATGTTGCTGTATGACGATGGCCGTGCGTTCGCCTCGCTCTCCTTCCGCGGTCCTTGTTGTTGTTGATGCTGCTGTTGTTGTTGTTGCTGCTGCTGCTGCTGCTGCTGCTGCTTCTGCTGCTGGCGCTCTCGCATCGACGCCGACGCCGCCTCCTTGGGCGATCCTGTCTTGGACCCGGGACTCGGTCGTCCCGAAAGGCTGCCCGCTCCTGGCGTGTCCCACATGTCCGTGAACTTGCGCTTTTGCCCTGCCACCACCATTGGTGGTACAGGTGTCGCTGCCGGAAACGGGCTGCGTCCATTCGTGCTGGTCGAATGCGGGCTGGCCGTCGCCGCTCCCGAGACCGACGTTGACGATGTCAGGCCCAGAACCGTCTGCTTCTCGCCGCTGCTGGTGGTCGCAGTCGGCAGTGCCACCGGCGGCTGCCATTCACGTGTGACGTTGCTTACTTCATCAGCCCATCTAGTCCGATGTTCCCCGTCGTCTCCCTCCTTGTCCGCACCAGACCCTGCCAGACCGGTCAGACCGGTCAGACCTGCCAGTCCCGGCAGCCCCGGCAGGCTTGGCAGGCCCGCCGGCCCTCCGCGCGTCATCTGCAGGCTGGCTGTCAGCGCGTCGATCTTCTTCTCCAGCTCGGCCACGCGGCTGTCCGTCTTCTTCTGCCGCCGTCGCGTCGGCTGCGTCACCACACAGCGCCGTCCGGCCTTGGCACACCGTCGACAGGGCGTTTCCGCCGGCGCTGCCGGGTCCATGTCGCAGCGCACCTTGAGGCTGCGGCACGCCTCACAGGCACGGGGCTTCTTTGCCTCCATCGCGGCAGATCTAGCCAAACTGACTGGGCTGGTCGGCCCAGTCGGGCGGTGTGTCTCTCCATGCATCTCCCCATGCGTCTCGCCGCCGCCGCCGCCGCCGCCGCCGCCCTCGGTCGAAGGTGATCGACCCAGAGATTCGGTACCGCCTGACGAAGGCGAAGAATAGTGTGCTGCTCCAGCTGCTGCTCCGGCTGCTCCAGCTGCCGTCGGGGGTGGATGGTGCGGATGGTGCGGGTGGTGTGCTGACGGCAGCTGTGTCGGCGAAAAGGTCAGGGATCGAGGAGGGAGCTTCGTGCTGGCCGGTGGGAACGGCTCGAGCGAGACTGAAGCAGCCCTCGCAGACGATGCTGTCGTCGACGCGCTCATCGCTCGGCCGTCTGGCTGCAGCCCGTCTGGAGCGACATGGTCCATGATGCCGATATGGCGAGGAGAGAGGAGCCGGGCAAGCGACACCGCAGGATCACCATCCACGGAAGCGGGATCCGAGAGGGGCACTTCAGACGGATAAAAAGAAAAAATCAGGACAGATGCACCGAATGAACTCCGTTTTACTAGCCAACACCGTGCGCATCGCTTTCTCCCCTTTGCCCCGTATGTGCTGATGTGCTGATTTCGATGGAATGCGGCGAGCGAATCGTCCCAGCCTATCCCGCAGGCCAAATCGATGGCGGATGCGTTGTTTTGGCGCGTCGTTGTGTCGGGTTTCAATCTGAAGCTATTCTCAGAACATTGCCTACTCCGTGCCTTTCTCGTTTAGCGGAGTTGGGAGGCACCGATGTGCCGACATTTTAAGGAAGGAGCCATCTAAAATACTGCACGCCCTTGTCCCAATGTGTAAATACTATCGGCCCACTGATTCGCCCTACAAAATGGTATGGACTCGTATACGTCAGGCCGCAGCGGGGATAATACGCAGCACCTTCGCTCTTTTAACACCGACTGCTACGACGATACGCTGACTCATCAACAGGCCTGTCTTGATCTCCAATCTGATGGAATTTGCTTACCAGACTCGAAACAGCTACTATGTACAGGCCTAAATAGATGGCCAACTATGACTTTCATGTCGTTCCCTCAAACGCCGTGCTGTGCACAAAACAGGACAAACACCGGGCTACCCAGAAATCGCTGGGAGCATATGAACTGACACATTATCGCCTCTTCTCCTTCGTTCCGCTCGACAGACATGCTCCTAGCCTAGTCTTCAACTTCCTCGTCACCAATCGTAAAGGCCACCGGCTGCTGCCTCTCCAAACCACAGGTGGCTCCTCGACACCCTTTAAAGTATTACACGATACAATATACATACCGGAGAACAAGCAAGAAGAAACAAGGGTGGAGGATGGGGAAACGCTAAAAAGAAGAAAGAAAGAGAACAAAAATCACCGGCCAATCGCTTGTGTTTTAACTCTCATCAGTCCGGCCGCCCCAGTGCGTGCCGAGCATCCCAAATGGACACGCTGAGCTATCTTGTGGGTATCGAATCGAATAAAATGTACAGAACAAGAAGTCCGGCTTGTTATAAGGGGACCGAGGGGGGAGAACTGATGGGGAAGAGCAGACAAATATCAGAAGCGGGCCGTGTAGCTGGCCCGTAGTCGAGAGGGCAAGTACCGCTAGTACCGGTTTTCCTCCCGCAGCCGGCTTCGAGCGCCCTGCGAATTCAAGCCCATGCCAATGCCGCCCGGGAAGATGGAGCTTTCGCGCCGGCTGCTGGCCTTCGCCCCAAACGCACTGCTGTCATAGGGTACCGGCCCAGAGCCGTTCGTCTCATAGATCGGACGGTCATAGCCTGGGTTGTTCGCCGTAGCTGCAGGCATCTGAGTCGCGTCGTATCCCTGAGGCACCACAAAGCCACTCTCATATGCCGGACGGAACGGGACCTGGCCGCTTCCCTGCTGCTGTAGAAGGTACTGTGGTTCGTAAGCCGTCACACGATGTTGCTGCTGCTGGCTTGCCATGGTTGGCGGTGGTGTCGGTGCCAATCGCGGCTGTGAGAACTGCGGCATGGACGCACTCGTCACAATCGGAGGTGGCGTGGGCGTGTTTCGATTGCTATTGAGGTTGCCGTTCATCATGGCCTCCAGCAGCCGCTGGCGATGAGGCGATTCTGACGCCTGCGCCGTCGACTGGCGCTGGGGTATCTCCAACGACGTCACCGACGGGTGCTGCTGGTGCAGGCCGTCCGCTGCCGGCGAAGACAGCTCATACTCCTCCGGCTCGATCCCAAAGATCGCTGCGTAGTTCTGCAGTAGCATGGCAAAGACAGGCGCAGGGATGTTGAGCGTCGGCGAAAACACAATCCCGACATTGCGCACCGTCATCTTGTTCTTGTCCGCGCGGTTGATGATCTTGATCAGAAACGCAATCAGGTATTTGAGCAGCGTGGCATTGGCTTCGGGCAGTCGCAGGGCCAGCTCGCCGAGCGCGGCCAGCTTCTCGTCTTGATCGGACATCTCGGTCACGGTCAGAAACTGATTGTGCAGTTCGCGCGTCAAAATCGTCGTCGGCAGCTCCCGCAGGTACATTTTTAGCAGCGAGGCCACCGCGTGGATGTCGTAGTAGTTTGTGTCCACCAGCAGGTTGACGTCGCTCTCGTTGTTGAACCGCTCTCGGAGCTGCTTGATAACAATGTTCGACCCGCTCAGGCGGAATATGCCCTCTTCCGTCGTGGCGCCGCGAGCGTCGAGATATTGAATGCAGCGGTACACCACTGCGGGCAGCGGCACCCTCACGTCGGTAGGCGAGTTGTAGTGCACCGCCTCTGCCAACGGTGCTCCGAATACCTGCCGAATCGGTCCGCCGTAGCCTCCATTGCTAACGTTGCCATGACCGGTGCCGCCATTCGACTCGCCAAACAGCGTGTCCTGGGATCCTTCGCCAGGTGTGCGCGTCTTCGGGCCAAATCCAAAGAAGCTGCGCTTCCTAGCCTTCTTCTCTTCCACCGATGGCGGCGCAAGTCCTCCTCCGAGAAGAGCTCGGTTGGTCCAAGGCGTCGACTCTGTGAGGACCTGGGGATCCCGCGGTGCTGAAATTGCGTATGGCGATTGCGACATTGTGCTCTGTGGTGCCTCCGACTCGGGATGCCGCGATCCCGGGGCCCCCTGTGGTGTCTCCCCTGCCTGCACATTGTCGTAGCTCATGCCGATGAGTCCGTCCTTGCTGTCGGCAGAGCTGTTCTGATGCTGCCGCGGCTTCTTGACCGGGTTGAACTTCTTCTTGGACGCAGAGGAGGTGCTGGGCCGCGAACCATCATGCGCCCCATGTGTCCCTTGCTGCCTCTCTGGCTCCCTCCTGGAATTGACCGGCACATCGTCGTCGTCGTCCGGATCGCGGTAGTCAATCCACCGAAGCAGGGTGTCTACCCACTGGTCACGCTCCCGATCACTCTCAGCACACAACACGTGCTTAGTGAGTGCACTAGGGTCCTTCTTCTTAGGCTCCAAAATCAGGAAAGCATGCCGGTACTGATTGTCCAGATCGTCATTTGTACCACCGCCTGGCCGCCCGGGCGACGAGTTGTCGCTATTTTGCGACTGCTTGCCAATCTGAGCGTTTCGTAGTTTGATGCTTCCCAGATGGGCACCGCCAGGTGTCTCATAGTACTTGAGAACCGGGCCATCCAGAACAAAAAAGCGAGCCTTCCAGCCACCAAAGTTCTTGCCGCGCTTCGTGAGGTAGCCGGCCATCAGGGGACGCCCGCCAGCACCGGTCTTGTGAGTTATGACCTTGCCCTCCTTTGCTACCACGGGCGACGCGGAGCCGTTCTCGTCGGCATTGGGTGGTAGCGTGCTTGTCGAGAGGTACCGGCACAGCTCAATGGCCGTGTTCGTGTCCAGCGGTGTGTTCACCAACTCGTCAAGGTAACTGTCGAGAGCCTGGCGTCGAGCGTCGAGCTTGGCAGGCGCGTGTCCGCTAAAAAGCGATCGGTCTGGCGTCCTCGCCGTGAAGCTTGCACACTGCTTCATGCGTTGGTCCAGCTTGATCAGAGACAGAGAGTCCTTTTCCACGCGCCAGAGTTCGCCGCCATCAGCTCGTGAAAAAACAGCAAGCGTGAAAACCGGATCTTCCTCCAACTGCGTCAGGGAAAGCAAACTGGCGCGTGACGGCTTCATACGCGACGAAGCCACCTTGATGTCGACAGACGGCAGCGCATTGGGAGGAAGCAGAAGATCGGGATATTCCTCGGTGACGAAGCCTTTGAAGATCCGCATCCGAACAGATTGTCCGGCTGGGCTATCCAGGCTGTTCTCGGACTTCGTCGACGGACTTGAGGGCACCAACATAGACAAATCCCCAGCCTTCAAATCGTTCAAAGTCTTTGAGGTCACCAGGCGCAGCGGTTCACCGGTAGCAGGGGCAGGAGATGGCGTCTGCAAAGGCGTATTTGGAGGCAACGGAATCGCTTGGCGTGGTGGCCGCGGCGAAAGTGGCACAGGTCCGACAGAAGGAAAGCCAGGAGCCAACCGCGGAGACATTGGGGGCGAATGCATGGGCGATTTCGGGTGTCCGACAGGACGAGGACTCGACGGCAATCCCGGACTCAGCATGGGGGCGGAGAAATTGCGTCTCAAGAGAGACTGCCCGCCACGCTCGGTGGTCAAAACACCATCCAATGACGTCGGATCCAGCAGAGGCTGTAAGACTACAGTTTGTGTGATAATCGGGACTTCGATCTGTGATACGGAGCCTGAAATGGTATTAGTAGCAGCGTCGTGCGCGCTGCTGCTCTGCTTGCTCTTTTTCGACAAGCTGCGTATCTCGGCTTCTTTTCTTGCCAGGATCTCTCGCTCACGGTCGTCTTCCTCTCTCGTCCGGCGCCGTCCCCGCTTGTCGGTCTCCCTGATCTCCGTCACTTCAAGAAGCGAGTCATAGTCGGAATCCGACTCGAGCACTTCGTCGTCGATTGGGGCGCTGAGACTAGCCCGCAAATCGCGAAGCAACAGCGGTGCTGGTGGCGCTTTCCGTGGTGGTGGTGGTGGTGGTGGTGGTGACGGAAACTGCTCGATGCTCTCGTCAATGGCCTTGGTACTGGCAGAAGACACGGGCGGTGGTGGGGGTGGTATCCGTGGTGGCGGCACCTGTGGTGGAATGCTGGGCAGACTGCGCGAGGGTGGCAGAGAGAAGTTGATAAGAAGGTCAGAAGTGCTGTTTGCTATTTTCCTAACCGAGTCGGCTGCTCGGTCCTCAGCTTCAAGGTCGAAGTTGTCCAAGGCGTGGTCCTGAGGACGAGGCATTGAGGAGACCGGGTCTAATAGATCACCAGCAACTGTTGACGGCGCATGGCTAGGCTGATCCGCAGGCGGCGTGATGGGATAAGGGGCCATGCTGACATCGACAGGTGAGCGGATCGGCGTCGGTTCGATAGGAGACTCAGCATATTCGGAAACAGTGGTCTTCGCTGCAACGGCAGTAGGAGCCGCCATCTCTTCCGCCATCTCATCGTTGTCCACGGCCCGGCTGCGGTGCTCTTGTATCAACGTGGACGATGACGCTGGAGTAGTAGATAGGTTCCGGGTCTGGCCCGCCAGTGTCTCTTTTAGCTTCTTCCGATATCTCTCCTTGTCCTTGAGCGCGCGCTCTAGGTCCTTGTTGAGGCCAAGAATCATTGCCCTCTGCTTGTCGACGAGCCGCCATAGCTGGGCATTCTGCTGATATTGGGCGTGCTTCTCCTTCAGCAGGTGCTCGATAACAGCCTCTGGGCTGCCGGCAGCCTTGATTATGGAAGGAATATCATGGCTGGTCGCGTCACCGTCCGTGGAGCCTTTACGCTGGCCAGAGCCATTAGAGAGAGCAGACACGCCAGAATCGATGGACGAGTTTCGCGGCACGCCGTTTGTGGCTTCAGCATGCCTTGTGGCAGAAGAGCCGGCCATGGCTGCCCGAGATGAGACGGTCGCCCCTGAGAGAGGCTTCGAGGATACAACCGATTCAGAGACGCTTCGATGGTCATTCGGAGTGCGGGGTGAAATGGGCGATATTCTGGAAGTTGGCATCATTAGAAAGAGGAACCGGCACGACGCGCGAGGAAGACGAAGGCGGCAGCCCGAACAAAGCCCAAGAAGGAGGGGGTCCAACCGGAGGCCGGGAGACGGGGGGTGGCACAAGCAGCCAAATAGAAAGCAAAACAACACAACAGCGCAACGGGACGGGACGGAACGCACGTTGGACTCTGGCTTGTCTCGCCAGTGGGTGATGCGTCTCCGGAGGAGGCGCTGTCGAAATATGTCTTCTCGGTCTCTGCAAACTGGTCGGCAGAGTCCGCTACTGGCCTAGGCAAGGAGGTGACGATCAGGGGGACAACGTTGGGGGTTCGCGAATCTTCAGCGCCTTGCAGGTGGCCCAGTGACGGAGAGGCGGCGAAGGGGAAGTTGAATGCTGAAGGATTTATGGTCGTCGAAGGAGCAACAGTGCTCATGTGCAGCGGACTAGGGGCAGCCTTTCGAGATCTGAACGGTTGGCGCAAAAGGGTTGATTAGTAGCTGGATCTGGCAAGAGATGACGGGGCAGACGGTCTTGACCAGTCCCACAACAGGATGTCTGGAGCCAGAGAGGAGTGACCAGGGGTATTGGCCGGTGGGTCGTACACTCTGCTGTCGCGCCCACATAGACACACGTCCTTTTGTGCCTGTGCAAACGAACGACAGAGGGCCAATTGGGCGACGATGGTGCAGATTGATGAAGGCAAGAGTCGTACAACAGAAGGGATTACAGGGCGGATGGGGAAGTGGCAGAAAGCAGACAGATAAGCAAGTCTGCTGTGCAGTCACGACCAGGGGCTGATGCATACGGAGTACAGAAGGAGTGTTGTGTTGTAAGCAGACGAGAGGGGATACCGAGCTTACCTTGAAGAGAGCGGCGCAGAGCTGCTGAGGCTGGTTTGCAAGAGGGCCGAAGAGCTGGGTCCATAAGACTGGCGGTAAGTATGCTGCGGACTTCCTCTGCCGTCGCGGGAACGTTGCGTGGGGGAAGGAGACGAAAAGGAGGAGGTCGAAGAAAAGGAGGCTGAAGAAGGCAGAGTGGGAGAGGAAGGAGACGCGGGTAGATTAGTTTGCTGGTTGTGCATGCGCTGCTGCTGCTGCCACGAGTGGTAATCGTGCTGTCGGTGTTGCAGATCGATATGTGCGGAGTCTGCAGAGCCTTGGCTGCTCTGGGGCGTGAGCTGCGACATGGTCCACAATGCGTGGAAGGAGGAGGAATGAAGCAGCAGAGGAGACGCGGGTGTGAGGGCGACGGCGAGACGGCAACGGGGTAGCTGCAACAGGAGCTGGGTCCGCAGCTTTCGGCGGCAGAAAGCAGAGAGAGAGAGAGAGAGAGAAAGAGACGCGAGAACGGAAAGTCGAACGGCTAGATGACAGGGGGGGAGAGGGGGAAAGCCAAGAGTGTCAGAGCAAGTGGGACTGCAAGACAAGCTCGGAGGAGGTTTCGAGACGCCAAAATGATACTGATTGACGTCGCATATGGCGGTGGTACGGCGGCTGTCGCTCGGGTGGTGAGGAAGCCTGTATCTTACAGAAAAGAGAAGATGGGAAGAGCATGGAAAAGCCGGGTTGCAGCGCTCCCGAAATCGGCTCTGTCCAATGGCTGCACGGCAGCAGGAGAAAGAGGCCAGACGGGGAGACGGAGGCAACGGATCTCGGGTGGCGGAGAGGTGCAGGAGCACAAAAAGAAGATGAAATGCAAGGTCGGGTGGGAGAGAGAGGCGTGGTGGCTTCACAGGCGCCCCAAGAGGGTATGCATGAGGATCAGGAAAAAAAGAAAGCGAAACGGATGGAAATCGACAGTGGCAAGCGGCTAACGGAGACCCGTTGCAGAGCGTGGGATTACTGGTCAAACGGTAACCGTTTTGCGACCTAGAACCATTTCTCCCTGGTCTGTGCTCTGCCTGTAATTATTCTACGGAGGAAAGAACGCGGAGGGCAGGAGCGCTTCTCGGGCATTGTGTAGCGCGCAGATAGGAGCAGGCGAAGGTGCTGTGTATCCGTAATTCAGAGGCGAGTCCGGCCAAGGTCAGGACACAATGGACAACGGCGCGCTGTCAGCATGCCACAGTGCCTGCGGCCCCTATCGTATACCAGTAAGATACGAGTAGGACAACGCTACAACGGTCTCTGGCTGCCCACTGTTTCCGAGGCTTGGACGAGCCTCTTGCAAAATGCTCGGGCGCTGTGGGGCGAACGAGATGAGCACTTGCGACAACAGATCCTAGCTGGCGAGCCTCGGCATCCACTAGGCCTCACGTCATCCCCACCCGCAGTGCGACTGATAGGCAGATGGTGTGAGATATGGCCCTGGTGTCCATTATTACCCATACTACGAACCCTGCTAATTAAAGGCTTCTCGACCGGGTGGAGGGGGCCAAGCGACCATTGGAATGGCAGCCCGCCCCGGGTTTCAGAGACGGAGCGAGAAGACGTCGGGCGACACGGATTCGAGTCCAGCTCATTCTCAAAACGCCTCACCATCTGACGCGTACTCGTACTCAAGCTCTGGCGTGCCTTTTCGATGCTCGCATCTGACTTTCGACAGCCGGTACTTCCAGACCAGGGATGTCAGTTCTCTGGCCACCCGGCACAAAGAGCTGCAGGTACCAGCACAGGCCGATGCTGGACAAAGGCGGCTCGAGGGTGGTACCGCTACTGCAAGAGGCGAAAGCAACCTTACCTGAGGCGGACAAGACGGCAGAAGCGATATGCAGGGACAAAGCACACAAGTGCCATGGTCCTGCCGGCGCTTTTTCTGCAGGGCGCCATGCAAGATACGAACCTTCCGGGACGAATATCTTTGCTCGTATCGGATGTGCATTTCAAACACTTATCATGCTGGCCAGCATAGCTTAACGCGGCTATGCATACATAGTATGCAATTGCCAATATGCACGTCTGAACAGAACAGACGTTTACTATGTGGGCTGCATGAGATAAGACTGAGAGGCATTGGAATGTCACCAAGCCTATATCATTGCCCTACGCATTCTTCGTCCTTTCCGGTACGGCGCGATGTCTCTCCTCACCAGCGCGTCGTGGTGAGACAGCAGAACGATCTGCGTCTAGCGCCATAGCTGGGTTGTGACGGGAATGTTTCTTACTCATGTGCAAGATCGGATCCTGAGACCAGCGCGATGTTCTGGAGTGGAGCGCATACCACTCCTATCTTAAGAAAACGGGTCTGTAGACCTGCACGACTTCACAACGATTCAACGGCCGAAAGGCCAGACGACGCAAGATGCTGCAGCCATTCCAAGGCAAAATTGGCTGGGGTCGTGGTGGTGTGGGGCTCTCCCCCTTTTCCTTCTTATTCGGGAAGCCAGGGAGCTATTATTACATACTATCTTACTTTGTAGGGATCCCCTTTGTAGTAACATATCTTACATAGTAGCTTACGTACTACGTAGTACTCTGTATGTACCGGTCCAATCAAAGCTGTTCTGCCGTCCTTTTCGTCGACGACTGCCTGTACATCGAAACGGGAGATGAAAGGGGTGCCAGAGGCGCCCTCTGCTAATGAACGTTTTCTTACCTTTTTCTATTTACTCTCTGCCGTTTTTCCCCACGCAGCGCTGCCTGATGAGGCTCTCTGGTCTGCAGCAAGCCTTGAATGCATCCCGAGTATATTTAGTTTTGTGGGGGGCGAGGGGGAACAACTGGGAGCGGCGTGACAGAAGCGTCCATGGATGCACGTTTTGTCTGCCGTGAGGTGGCATCGACGCAGGCACCTTTACAGGCGTGTGATTCGATGGAGCTTATAAACAGGAAAGCCGGCATGCCGTTATATTACCTGGACCTATTGTGTGGTGGAAATGGCAAATTGGCGGGCGGATATGGATTAGCTGTTTCAGCCGAGCAAGCTGACTCTGAGCCTGGTCAGCTTCGGCCGACCGTCGTGACAGAGCTCTCTGGAGGAAAACGGGCCGGGAAAGCTTATATTGCGCTATGGGCAGCGAGACGGATGTGAACGACCGTCTGGGAGCGTCCTGGATGCCAAGGCCAAAGGCAGCCCCTATTTTCCTCGTTTGCGAGTTCTGGTGTACATAGTAGTTTTTGGTCGTAAGATGTCTGTTCTGGGACGAGGCTTTGGCCACTTGGTCCCGCATTCACCTCAGTGAAACGCGGAGAGGACGGACTCCGAGCAATGGGTAGCAACAAGCGCCAAGAGGAGGAAGTACGAAGTGAGCCGGGCCTAGACGTGCATGCGACGGTCTCCGGCCATTGCGCTTCCGAAGCAGCTGTGTACACCGGATCGAATCTCGCATGCCAGCCAAGGGGCGCGGCCATGCGGCTGCTCGTATATTGTCTGGTGGCGATCCTCATGCGGACATCCCAGCGACAGACACGCCGTCAATCTTTGTGTTTTGGTGGCTATCTTGCAGCTGCCTCACTAGGGAACCCTTGTGCAGGTGCATCGTATACACACTGCTACTCTGTACGACGTGCTGCTGAAACCATTTGTGAGTTGCCAGCGGGGCGCTTTTGCGGTTCTGCAAGTGTGTTGTTCTCCTTTGCAAGCTGTTCCGCAGTCTCGCATCCGTTTCAAGCTATTTTTGTTCGCACAGGAGGCGGATCCAACCGTTAAACAAAAAAGCCAAGAGGTGGTGCTGGAGAAGAAAAGTGGTACAAACTCTTGCCGAACCTGGCAGGTGTTCTGATGACGAAACATGCACGCCATAGCCCACAGTCACGGCGAGTGCTCCGGTGCCGATCATTGCTCTGTACGCGGCATGTTTCACTGTCAGAACCGGCTTCTTCCATCGGAACGCGTCTTGTCAGTATTACCATATCAGAAACACGGTTATCCAATATCAGATCGCAGCATACTGATCTGATACAAAAGCACCATCCCAGCAGAATGCAATGTTCGGCAGTTCCATTCCGTCAAAGCACAGGCAATTACAGAGCTGCCCGAACCAGAAGCGATCTGCCTCTCCTTATTAGTAGTACCGACGAAGCCTTGGCCGGTAGTCGTCCTCGATGGTGAACCGCTCGTGCCTCTCCCAGTCGCCATCGCGCGATGGAGGTGGCGACGGCGCAGCCAGTGCTCGCCGCGGCCGGGGTGCCATCACGTGGCGGTACTGAGGCATCACGGGAGACGGTGACGGTGACCGGTAGTCGTCATACTCTTCACGGGTTCGCATGCGCACGGAGACTGGCATGGGCACTTCCACCGGCACCTCGACGGGCACCTCGACGGGAACCTCGACGGGAACCTTGACAGGCACTTCAACAGGCACCTCGACAGGCACCTCGACAGGCACCTCGACAGGCACCTCGACAGGCACCTCAAACGGCACCAGGCGCTCGCGCTCAATGTAGATCACCTCGCGATCGCGACCGTGGCCGGACGAGTGATGCCTATCGTGGCGGTGGCTGCGCTTCTTCTTCTTCACGTCCACCTCCACGTCGACAGCGATGACATCGATGCTGTCGTCATCCTCCGACTCCTCTTTCTCTCTTTCCTCCTCTTTCTCTTTTTCCTTCTCTTTCTCTTTAGGGGGGGCGGGCAGCGAGGGTGGCGAGGGTAGCCGCGGCAGCGGTAGCGGCGGTGGCGGCAGCACCTGCACAAGAGGCGGAGGAGAAGGCGGATGCGGCGCCGGTATAATGGTAGTGATCGTCCTTCTGATCGTTTTGTATCCCGGAGTAGGGCGCTCAAGATAGAGGTACTTTTTTTCGCCGTGATGTCTGCGTGGCACTATAGAAGGAGTCAGGGACAATAGGTAACTGGGAGAAGGAGAAAGGGATGCCTTACTGATGATGGATTAACTGCTGCTGGTTTCTTTTGGTGGAGGAATCGGCTCTCGAAGACTGAGGCGAGGCTGGCTGCTTTGACAAGAGATGACGTACAGATGCAATGGGTAAAGGATAAACTTGTGAGGATAGAGACGATGAGCAAGTGGATGTGATGGGTAAATAATATAAAGGTCAAGGGAGGCTCCAGAAAGTACGAGTGAGAGGGCTGTTCAGCCGGTCGGGGCTTTTGTTAGCCTTGGCCATGGCCAAGTAGCCTAATGCACAGTCCGAAGCAGTTTCGGCACCAGTCACAGAATCTGGCAGCAGTTAATGGTAGGTGCACCTGAAATTTTTCACGTTCAGGCAGTTGTCATATAGTTTGAAGCATGCCTCGTGTAGATGCTTCTCGACACTCTCGACATGCAGCGTGACGTCATTTATTCGTGTCTCTGGCTGGAGACTTCCACTTCCAGAAAGCCTGGTTCCAGAGTGTTCTACACGACTTCCTGAATCTACCTCGGCCAAGGAAAAACTCCACTCCTCACTCTTCCTCCTCGCGCTGCTTCTTGAGCGCGTCGTAGTCGGGCAGGTACCGAGCAGCGACGACATAGCCGAGCCCGAGGGCGACCATGAGCAGCCAGATGGCGTAGCCGTCGAGCAGCTGGGAGCGGACGCCGACGGCAAAGAGACTGGTGAAGGCAGCCGGGGCAAAGGCGCGCATGGCGCTGGAGCCTGTCAGGGCGAGGGCGTTGAGAGTGCCGAGCAGGCGAGGCGATGGGGCGACGTCATTGAGGGCAAGCTGGACGGCCGTAAAGCACATGCTGACGCCGCTGCCGACGGCAAGAAGCGGTGGGGTGACGATCCAGAAGGCAGTAGTGGCAGGGCCGAGCAGACGATCGGGGGCATAGCGCAGCAGGGTGGCGACGAGGGGACTGACGGCCAGGAAGACGGGGTAGGCGGCGGCGCAGAGACGCATGACGCCGTTGGTGCCGAGACGACGTTGCAGCGGCGGGAAGACGAGCAGGAGCCAGGCGGCCTGACTGGCACCGTTGATGCACATCATGGCGGAGATCTGCAGGGGCGAGAAGCCGAGGCCGCCGAGACGGACGGGCGTAAACCAGAAGACGGGCACGAGGGCAGTGTAGGCAAAGGCCAGCAGCATGACGTGGGCGTAGACGTAGAGCACGATAGCGACGCCAGGAGCCGAGACGAGGTATCGAAGGGAGGGAGTTGTGGAGGTGGAGATTGTAGAGGTTGTGGGTGAGACTGTGGGATCGGCCTCGTTTCCGTCGTTTCCAGGCCCCCGAACCAGGGTCTCGTCGACAAAGAGGGCGCACATGGTGGCGGCCACGAACCCGAGAGCGGCCACGACGAAGCCAGGCAGGGCATAGGGGTAGGCTGCGAGAAAGGGGGTCTTGGTGATGGTGGTGGTGCCGGGACCATGCTGTCGCAGCGGATCGGCCAGGACGCCGCCCAGCAGCGGCCCCAGGAAGATGCCGAGGTTGCCGCTGAAGGCGAACCAGCTGAAGATGCGGGCCTGGGTGGCCGGGGTGCTGTGTTCGGCCAGCATGGTGCGGATGGTGACGATGGTGCCGGCAAAGAGGCCGGCAAGACAGCGAAAGGCGATCATCTGGGGCAGCGAGCGGGCGAGCCCGAAGAGGGCAGTGGCCGCGGCCATGCCGACGAGCGAGAGCACGAGCACCGGCTTGCGGCCGACACGATCGGCGGCGCGGCCCCAGGCCAGCATGACGATGGCCTGCGTGAGCGAGAAGAGCGACTCGATCAGGCCGCTGTAGAAGCCGACATCGGCGTCAGCCACCCCGCCATTGTCCTGCACCATCTGGTTGATGTAGGGGAAGACGGCGAAGAAGGCCACCGGCTCGACCACGCGCGCGAGGCAGAGCAGTGCGACCTGCCGCCCAGGCAGCGGCTTTTCGTCGATGGTGACGATCGTGGTGACGACCTCGTCCACAGGATTCAACAGCGGCGTCAATTCGCCGGCCGACTCGCCGGTTGCCGCCGACCTGGCGGACTCCTGGCTGTCTGGCATGGTTCGTGGCGGGTGTGTGAGCGTGCACGGCAAATGAGGTCAGGTGTGCGCGTGCTCGTAGACATGTAAGATACAGGCGTCTCGTCGAGATGACCCCGAAGATGACAGTTTTGGCTAGATTCCAGGCCTGGCTGCTGATTGGTCCACGATGCAGTGACCGGAGCAAAAGTCGACAAACATGGCAGCCACGACCGCATACATTGCATGCAGACGCCTTCCAGCCGAAGAGAGCTGACGTGCGCACATCTGCCTGAACGGCATGCACGGATGGACAAAAGGAAGGCGCGTGAAGCCCGTGACTTGGTCCTAATTAGTGTGTATTTTTGTACGCGATCCCCTTTGTACTGTGCAAAGTCAGCCAACAGCCTTTTCCACACGCCATGGCCGACGACGATGTGGACGACTACATGACGATGACGTTTGACGACGAGGCCAGCGGCGGCGGCGGTGGTGGCAGGAGCAGCAGCAGCGGGCGCAAGAAGCCGGAGACGTCGCTGCAGCGCCGCGCGCGGCTACAGCGTGAGGGTCGCGAGCGCGGTCGCGTGCTGTCCAAAGCAGAACAGGCGCGAGCGGCGGAGCAGGAGCGCGAGGCGGCGCTGAGCCGATCGCTGCTGGAGACGGCGGCGACGCGACCGTCGGCGGCGGCGAGCAAGGGGCTGGCCATGATGGCGCGAATGGGCTTCAAGCCGGGCGAGGCGCTGGGCAGGAGAAGGGAAGAGGGAGCGATTCAGACAGATGCCCAGCCGTCGGCGCAGACAGAACCGATCCGGATCCAGGTCAAGCGAGACCGTGCGGGCATCGGAGCGCGGGAGGCGGAGGAGGAGGACTCTCCAAGCACCAAGAGGCCCAAGACGGAGCCGCTCGCCGACATCGACCCCTTGGCGTATCGTGACCGCATCCGGCTAGAGCGTGAGACCCAGCGACTCGACCGGCTCGTGCACGCGGCCCAGGTGGTGGCCGAGGCCATGGACGAGCAGCTGGCCGAGGCCACCGGCCGCGTGCCGCCCAAGGACCGGCCGCTGGCCGACGTCGACGTGCTCTGGCGCGGTCTCGTGCGCGATCGCCGCCGGGCTGACAGCGATCGGATCGAGCGACAGCGACAGCGACAGCGACTGGACCAGAGCCTGCGGGGGAGCGGCGGCGGCGGCGGCGACGACGACGACGACGACCAAGACGAGGACGAGGACGACCGGCTGGCTGAGGGCAGGACGGCCAGTTTGACGTCGCTTCTCGGCAGTGGCCGGCTCCGACGGACAGTACACGACGAGGCAGACGGGAGCGAGAGCGAGAGCGAGGACGGAAATCAAAAGGCAGAAGAAGACACGGAGCTAGCCACGTTCGAGGCGCTGTCGCCAGGCGAGCGGCTGCAGAGGATCGTCGACTGGCTGCGGACGCGTCGGCGGTACTGCTTCTGGTGCAAGCACACGTATCCGGACGACAGCATGGAAGGCTGTCCAGGCGAGACGGAAGAGCAGCACGAGTGAGGAGAGGACTATGAGGGAAAAGACTACTAGGGATACCAAACTACGTGTAAGAGAAATATAGTCACGTGATCAGAAAGGAGAGTATATTCAGTCTCAGTGCTGTGTCTGCAGTAGACGAGCGACGGCGAGGTCATCGACGGCAGCAGCGTGCATGGCGGCAAACAAGTCGTTGTCGACGGCGCACTTGTGGCGGTAGTAGTGGGCGACGATGGCGGCGAGGTCGTCGGCGAGGTCGTCGGGCGAAGGCTGATGGTGGCGGTGGTGCTGCTGTCGAAGCTGGGCGCGCTCGCGGAGGAGGGCGTCGACGAGCTCGCTGGCGCGCAGGATACGACGACGCACAGCCGGGCTTTCGGGACGGAAGGGAACGCCGTCGACCATGGGAGCCTCGGCGACGAGCTCGACAGCGAGGCGATGGGAGACGGTGAAGTGGTGATCGAGAAGGGGACGAAGAGCACGAACGGCGACGACGAGGCCGACGTAGTCGCCAGTCTTGCGAAAGGAGTGGAGGACGAGGCGACCGAGGGCGAGGGTAGAGGGGGTGGAGGAGGTGGTGGTGGAAGTTGAAAAAGTCGACGAGGTCCCCAACATTTCCACCATCTCGGCAAACAATTCCCGACAGAGCTGCCGATCGGCTGCACGCGGCTCTTCGCCCAGGCTGCCCCACGGAAGCCGATGCACGGTCAGGCTGCGGAAGAGGACGAGAAAGGTGTGGACGTTGGGCCGGACGGCAACGGCAGACGTCCGCATGCGGTGGTACATGTCGCGAGCCTCGTCAGGCCGGCCGTCGTGCACGTACGAGGCCAGCAGCTGGTTCATCATAAAGGCAGACGACGAAGACGACGTGGCCGAACCGGTCGACGGCCGTTCCATCTCGCACTCCTGAAAGGCCACCCAGAGCGCCTCGAGCTGGCCCACCCGTCCACGGTCCTTGTAGTTGTCGGCCAGGAGGGCAAACGTCTCGATGCTGGCGCGCGGAACCGCCGTGAAGGTGTCGAGAAGGTCGTCCTTCTCGGCCTTGTCGCTCGTCTCCTTGGTTTTCTTCCCTCCCGCTGCCGCCTGCAGTTCCACCAACCCCTGCGATCGTCGCCGCAGGTCGACAAACAGGCGACGTGCCGCAATCATGCGCCAGGCCAGCACGTCGGCCCGTCTCTGGTCGGCTGCTGCGGCCGTTCGCAACCAGGCACCCAGCAGCCCGTTGACCTGGACGACCGCCGGCATCACGCCGTGTGCCTGCATGAAGACCAGCACGCGCAGAGCGCCGTCCAGGTCGCCTGCGCCGATCAGCCGCTTGAGCCACTTGCCAAAGAAGAAGGCGTTGGCGGTACAAGGAGGAAGCCTGCGTCTCGACGTGGACGGCCTGTCCGTCCGTCCCAACCCCATCATCTCGACAAACACCCCAAACGCCTGCTCTGTCTGGTTGTTGGCCAGGAAGCAGCCCACCACCTCGTCGTAGTCCTCCAGGCCCATGTGGTCGCCCAGGAGCGTCTGCAGTCGTCGAAATGCTGCCGTTGCCCGCGTCAAGTCGTCCTGTGCTGCCGCTGCCCGGATCAGCTGCAGGAGCACCCGCGGGTTGGCTGTCTTGCCGTCCTGCTGGCCCTCGTGGGCATCTCCTCCTCGCCCAAACAGCCGCTCGGCCGCCCTCGATGCCCGGTCCAGGTCTCCGTGCAGCGCGCACATCCGCACGCCCAGCTCCCAGTAGTCGGTCGCCGTGGCCGGCCGCGTCCCCAGCGATGCCGCCCCGCGCTTCCAGTTGTCCAGCGCCGCGGCCGGCCAGCCCTCGACGAACATGGCCTCCAAGGCCAGCAGCTGCTGTGCGTCTGTCAGCGGCACCCGGGCCGCCTGCATGTCCTTGGCCAGGTAGTAGATCTGGGCCATGCGACGGGGGTTTTTGACCATGACCGAGCTGCCCGCACTGCTACCCTCCCACGCCAGCACCGTCCACAGAACGGTCCAGGCTGCTGCCGGCACGTTGTGCCACGCCTCCGACAGCCCCGTGCGTGCAGATCCGTATCGGGCGTACAGCGCCGTGATCATCCGGTCGTCCAGGGCTGCTGGCGACTGCTGCAGCCGATGTGCCGCTAGCCGCAGCACATTGTTCAGGTTTCGCACGTGACGCCGCGCCGTCAGCGACAGCCCGTCGTAGCCGATTCGCACTGCCGCGTCCTCGTCTCGCTCTCCCTCTGCTTCCACCTCTCGGATCAAGTCGTACTTTCGCCGCAGCCGGTCTGCCCGCTTCTTGGCTGGCCCGTTCTTCTCTAGCCGCCGCACCAGCTGCGCCGTGTCGCGCAGTTTGCCCTCCAACTCTGCTAGCTGCCGCTCAATCTCTCGGTCCAGCGCATCGCCCCGGTAGTTGCCGTTGCTGTCTGCCTCCTCGTCTGCTACCTGTCGCAGCTGCCCGTCATCTTCCTGCTCAAATAGCCGCACCGTCACGCCCTCGTTGGCCGCTGACGGCCGCCGAGCCGCTGCACTGCCCGTCCGTCTTGCTCGGACGCCCGGCTGTGTCATCACCGTCCGCATGGCCAACGTCATCGTCCATGGCGGCCTCTGTCCAGCCGCCGCCCGCAGACTGCTCAGACATGACCGGCACACAAACGGACCCCGCATCCCTAGGTCTGAGAGCAGTGCCGTGGTGGGAGGCATCGCGGGTGGCTGCCTTGCTGCTATCAATTCGCTCTGTCTCTCTGTCTGTGTCTAATCCTTTTTTACCAAACTTTTCCCCTCGAAAGTCACTATTCTTATCGCCTGCGATAAGCTTCCACAGTCCCCACCAAATGCCTCTTTCGGCTCACCGCCCGGGCAGAATATTATTTTTTTCGTACTCGTACAGCATCCAACCCAAATCGCCATGTCCCATCATCACCACAACAGCACCTCTCCGCCAACCGTCTCTGCCAACCACCGCCACCCCTCGCCATAACCCCCACAATGGCCGAGAACACAGGCACGCCGTTTGTGCGGTGCACGGGCCACCGTTTCTTTGCACAGCGGTTGGTGCTGGCCACGCTGACCGGCAAGCCGGTGCACATCTCGGGCATTCGCAGCTCATCGCCGACGAGTCCGGGATTGGCGCCGCACGAGGTCTCGCTGCTGCGGCTGCTCGAGGCAGTCACCAACGGCAGCTCCTTCCAGATCTCCTACACCGGCACCACGATGACGTATCACCCGGGCCTGATCACCGGCACCGTGGCTGGCGCCGGTGCCACAGAAGAAGACCTGATCGAGCACCATATTCCGGCCGGCTGCACGCGTGGCATCACCTACTTTTTGGCCCCGCTGGCCCTCCTGGCACCCTTCAGCAAGGCCCACATGAATGTGCGCTTTTCAGGCCCGGGCGTCATCACCGCCGCCACTGAGGCCGGCGACCTCTCGGCTGACGCCTTCCGTTTGGCTATCCTGCCGCTCTATGGCCTCTTTGGCATCCCACCTGCTCGCATCGAGCTCGCCGTCCGCCAGCGCGCCTGCACCGGCTACGGAGATCGTCGCGGCAACGGCGTCGTCGAACTGCGCTTCGCCAGCCAGGTCCGCCTCCCTCGCACCCTCCACCTCAACCGTGGCGCCGGCCGGATCCGTCGCATCGCTGGCGTTGCCTACACTGTCGGCGTCACGGCCTCCAACAACAAGCGCATGATCCATGCGGCCCGTGCTGTCCTCAACACACTCACCGGCGAAATCCGCATCGCCGAGGCTCCGCCCGCTCAGGACGACGCCCGCAACAAACCCGGCATCGGCTTCGGTCTCTGTCTGGTCGCCGAGTCCAACGTCCCAGGTGTTGTCTACTCGGCCGATGTCGTCGCTCCTGCTCGCGGCGGTGTCCTCGCCGAGGATATCGGTACCCAGTGCGCACACCAGCTGCTCGCCAACATTGCCGCCGGCGGCTGCGTCTGCCGCTCGGCTGCCACTACCGTCCTCACTCTCATGGCCATGGGCGCCGAGGATGTCGGTCGCCTCCGTCTGGGCAGAGACGTTGTTGGCACCCAGGAGGTTGTCGCCCTTGCCCGCGACCTCAAGGCCTTTGGTGCCAGTAGCTGGGGCCTTCGTCAGGCCGACGACAGCGCCGTCGATTCGGCCGACGACTTGGAAAACGGCACCAGCTCCGACGATGTCCTTATCTCAATAAAAGGTGCAGGTCTCGGCAATGTTGGACGAAAAATGGCATAAGAAAGAAAGGAAGAACGGACGGAAGGACGGAAAAAAGAAAGAGCATTTTTATATCCCAAATCAAAGTATCATCAGGAGGTCATGATCCTCCACCGCATCCAAGACTCCTCTGGAACTCCAATATCGGTGCATATCCTGTTGTCGTTACTCGTAACCTGTTCTATGGCAGGTCCTTTTCGGTCCTACTCTACAGCCCCTACTGCACTCCTGTCGTCTGCGTCCGCACACCGGCGCCTCCTCTCCGCGCTGCCAGCCTCGCCAGCGATGCCGCATAACTCATTGTCTGCAGCGACTGCGCTGCTACGCCCTGGTAGTCCTGGCTGGCCTCGCGGATGGCGTGGACCACGTAAAAGTCGGAGAGGTTGCAGCCCGATGCCAGCGCGTTGAGCACGTATTCTGCTGCCTGCTCGGGCGGGAGTCTTCGGGGCCGATCATCGAGAAGAGCATTTTCGTTTTCGTTTTCGTTTTCGATTCCGTTGTTTTCGGTTGTTGCATCGCCACCACCCAACCGCTGCATCTCGATCCCATCGCCCCCCTCGGCTGGACGTCCCGTCGTCCTCTGCACGCCGCGCTCCTCGGCATCGTGGTCCTGCGCCGCCGCCACCATCGCGTTCGTCGTGGCCGCCAGAGCCGGACTCGCCAGGTCGCGGCCCATTGGCAGCGCCAGCGCGCCCTTCATCGGCAGCACCAGCTTGCGCAGTTTTTCCCGCTCCGTGTGCACGGCCAGCATCAGGCACTGCACGGCCAACACGACGAGGTCCAGTAGAAACAGCACCCAGCGCGACGACGGCGCCCGCTGGCCCACAAAGTCGATCAACACGCCGCCATGCAGGTAGCCGCGCGACGTTTCCGTGCCCTGCAGCGGCTGCCACAGCACGTGTGCCAGCATGCAGAGCGCGTTCGGCACCACCACCGCGAGCACGTGGGGCCGGTGGGCCGGCGTAATCAGCATGAACTCGTCCGGTTTGGGGCTGAGGAAGAGCGACTGTGGGATGGCTCGGAGGAGAAGCCGAAAAAAGGAGCACCTGCACGTCAGCTGTGAGCCAGAACAAGAAACAAAAACAAACTCACTCCATGTAGTAGAGCGTGCACAGCTCCGCATAGACGATCATATCCAGCTGTCCCATCAGCTCGGTGAAGAACTTGAGCTTCTTGGAGAGCCCGGCTCGCACCTTGCGCATCACCGATGCCGACCGTTGCGGCAGGATTGCTGTCCGCTCGCGTGGTCGTCGAGGCTGCTGAGACCGCCTGGATCGTGGCGGCCGCTGTGGACGCGGGGGACGTGTCTGCGGGACATGGTGGGACGGCCGAGCACTTCTGCTACTGCTGCCGTTGTCGTCCATCGCCAGTCATAGCCTCCCGGTCGTGGAGAAAGGGGTCACGCGTTGGACCTCTTGCTGGTGAAGACGCGGATGTCGTCCGGCTGCTAGCACATCGTTTCCCGGACGCCAGCTGGAGAGACGGAAAAGGGGCAGAGGGCGGTGAAGGTGAACAGGCGAGGCGCAGCGAAATGCACAAGGAGGCCGTCGAGTAGCGAAAGGCTGGCGAGAAGGCGAGAGCTGCAGGTGGAGACAGCCTGCACGTAGTCTTACGTTATCCGTCTAGCGTCGGCCGGAAAAACAGCAGTCTCCGAGAGACGCAGCAGACGGCGGGGTCGGGCTTTTTGGGGGGGCATGAAAGACTATGTAGAATCTCCAACCGGCTGAGTCACAACTGGGCGACACAATTGACGACGCAAACGAAAACTACTGCTTCCGTTCGCCATGGCTAGCGCAGGGGATCTGACGAGCGATGTGCTCCACGCGCTCGCCAACACAGACACGATCCTGACGGCCGAGGTGTTCCCCGCGGTCAAGTCGACCGACATGCGGAGCGCGCTCGACCGGCTCTCGTCGCGGTCCATGGTGACGTACGACACGCTGGAGCGGGACGAGATCCTGCTGGAGGCTGAGGGCAAGCAGATTGCGGCCAACGGCAGCCACGAGGCGCGGGTGTTTGAGGCTCTGCGGGCGGCTGTCGAGGGCCTCTCGGTGGCTGAGCTCGAGGCAGCCGTGGGCGACAAGAACGTGGCCAAGCTGGGTCAGGGAAAGGCGTTCAAGGAGAAGTGGATCAGCCGGACGGCCGAGGGCAAGTTCAAGGCGGTGGCAGCGGCGATCCAGGACCGGACGCGCGAGCAGCTACAGACGATCGACCAGACCGGCACGCTGGCCGACGCCAAGGTGGTGGCAGAGCTGCGGAAGCGCAAGCTGGTGCGGCTGCAGAAGGTGACGAGCTTCCGGGTGCACAAGGGCGAGCGGTTTGCGCTGGAGCTGGTCCGGGAGGAGACCGACCTGACGGCCGAGATGTTGGCCTCGGGCGCCTGGAAGACGGCCGCGTTCAAGCCGTACAACTTTGCGGCACTGGGCGCAGACCAGAATGCCGGGGCGTTGCATCCGCTCAACAAGGTCCGGCACGAGTTCCGGCAGATCTTTTTTGAGATGGGCTTCGAGGAGATGGCCACCGACAAGTTTGTCGAGAGCGGGTTCTGGAACTTTGATGCACTCTTTGTGCCGCAGCAGCATCCAGCCCGCGACCTGCAGGACACGTTCTACATCTCAGATCCGGCCAAGGCTGACCGGCCGCAGGCCACCGGCCCAGATGACCAGCAGGACTATGCGGCGTACTGGGACAATGTCCGGCAGGTGCACGAGACTGGAAAGTACGATTCGATCGGGTACCGCTACCCGTGGGCGGCCGATGAGAGCTTGCGGCTGGTTCTGCGCACGCACACGACGGCCGTGTCGGCGGCCATGCTGCACAAGCTGGCAGCACAAAAGGGCCCTGACGGACGGCCGCCGCCGGCGCGCTACTTCTCGATCGACCGGGTGTTCCGCAACGAGTCCGTAGACGCGACCCATCTGGCCGAGTTCCACCAGGTCGAGGGCGTCATTGCCGACTACGGGCTCACGCTCGGCGGGCTGATGGAGTTTATGGACATTTTCTTTGGCAAGATGGGCCTCGAGGGCATCAAGTACAAGCCGGCATACAACCCGTACACGGAGCCGAGCATGGAGGTCTTTAGCTACCACAAGGGTCTCAACAAGCTGGTGGAGATTGGCAACAGCGGCATGTTCCGGCCGGAGATGCTGGAGGCCATGGGGTTGCCCAAGGACATGCGGGTGTACGGCTGGGGGTTGAGTCTGGAGCGGCCGACGATGATCAAGTACAAGCTCAACAACATCCGGGAGCTGTTGGGGCACAAGACGGATCTGAACTTTATCAAGCGAAACGCGGCCGTGCGTCTGGACAAGGATTAAGGGGGGTAAAGAAAGAAAGAAAAATGTGTAGATGCATCTATGAGAATTGCAATTGCCATGACTTAATATGGCATTTGGCTATGGCATTTACGCGTCGTAGTATCTGAGTACGTTGATTGACGTAAAACTCTGCTGTCTGCTCCGTACGTCGGAGCTGAAGCGGATTGCTACAAAATTTACAAAATTTTCAGTCACACGGCCAATGGAAAGAGCGAATTGCAGTGGGGATGAGTAAAAAGAAGAAATTGTGCAGCTTGAAAACTCGGAAGCCGCGAGGCGTTATCTTATCGCAGTGTCCCCGCGAAAAAAATAGAGATTGGTGGTCCTCAACAGGGATGAGTATGACTCTTTTTTCTAGCTTTCGCTCTCGTGGTGCTCGATTTCTCCAGCAGGAGGATTTACCAAGTGCGAGATTCATTGGTATCGACTGGTAGGAGCACTGGTGGCGACGACATACACCGTGACTATCCGCAGCTATAAGCAGTCCATACCTTCAGCTGAGCTCTTGCAATCACTCTACCTCACACCCACCATGATGTCGGCCGTGTCCCTGGCGGGCCGGGCTCCGTCTTGCCTGCTCCGGCATGGGCCAACCATGCGAATGGCAGGGCAGGTTCCGCGGTCGGTCCGGGCGTTTTCGACGGGCGTGCTCCAGAGCAGGCGGACACCGTCTATGGCGCCGCAGCTGCAAAGCCTGTGCTCGCAGCGGACGCTGACGCAGTCGACGCGGCGGGCAGCTGCATCAGCAGCCGGCGTGGGCGGCCAGTCGGTGCACAACCCGCGGGCGTACCTAGAGAGCGGCGTGATCAAGCCGCGGGAGCACGTGGACGTGAAGAAGGTGCTGGTGATTGGCAGCGGCGGACTGGCGATCGGACAGGCTGGCGAGTTTGATTACTCGGGATCACAGGCACTCAAGGCACTCAAGGAGGCTGGCGTGGCGTCGGTGCTGATCAACCCGAACATTGCGACGATCCAGACAAGCCACACGCTGGCAGACGAGGTGTACTACCTGCCGGTGACGCCCGAGTACGTGACCTACGTGATCGAGCGAGAGCGGCCAGACGGCATCTTCCTCTCCTTTGGCGGGCAGACGGCACTGAATCTGGGCGTGGAGATGCAGCGCCAAGGCCTGTTTGAAAAGTACGGGGTGCGGGTGCTGGGAACGAGCGTGCGCACGCTGGAGCTGAGCGAAGACCGCGACCTGTTTGCGCGAGCGCTGGACGAGATCAACATCCCGATCGCGCAATCGACGGCCGTCGGGACGGTGGACGAGGCACTGGCCGCGGCCAAGACGGTCGGCTACCCGATCATCGTGCGGGCAGCATACGCGCTCGGTGGGCTGGGATCGGGCTTTGCCAACGACGAGGCCGAGCTGCGCGACCTGGCAGCGCGATCGTTGACGCTGTCGCCGCAGATCCTGGTGGAAAAATCGCTCAAGGGCTGGAAGGAGGTCGAGTACGAGGTGGTGCGCGATGCGAGCAACAACTGCATCACGGTGTGCAACATGGAGAACTTTGATCCGCTGGGCATCCACACGGGCGACTCGATCGTCGTGGCGCCGAGCCAGACGCTCAGCGATGAGGAGTACCACATGTTGCGCACGGCTGCTATCAAGATCGTCCGTCATCTCGGTGTTGTCGGCGAGTGCAACGTGCAGTATGCCCTGCAGCCTGACGGCCTGGACTACCGCGTCATCGAGGTCAACGCCCGGCTCTCGCGCTCGTCTGCCCTGGCCAGCAAGGCTACTGGTTATCCGCTCGCCTATACGGCCGCCAAGATCGGACTGGGCCACAGCCTGCCGGAGCTGCCCAACGCCGTGACCAAGACGACGACGGCCAACTTTGAGCCCTCGCTCGACTACATCGTCACCAAGATTCCGCGCTGGGATCTGGCCAAGTTCCAGCATGTGCGCCGCGACATTGGCAGCGCCATGAAGAGCGTCGGCGAGGTCATGGCCATCGGTCGTACCTTTGAGGAGTCTTTCCAAAAGGCCGTCCGCATGGTCGATCCGCAGTTTGTCGGCTTTCAGGGCGACGCTGACTTTGCCGGCAGCGAGGCCGTGCTCGACGCCGAGCTGCAGAAGCCGACCGACCGTCGCTGGCTCGCCGTCGGCCAGGCCATGCTTCACGAAGGCTACACCGTCGATCGCCTACACGACCTCACCAAGATCGACAAGTGGTTCCTCTACAAGCTGCGCAACATTGTCGACTGCACCCGCGAGCTGCAGGCCGTCGGCAGCCTGCACGGCCTGAAGCGCGATCTCGTCCTCAAGGCTAAGAAGATGGGCTTCTCCGATCGCCAGATCGCCGCCGCCGTCGGCAGCAACGAGGACGCCGTCCGTGCTCAGCGCCTGCAGTTCGGCATCCGCCCTTGGGTCAAGAAGATTGATACCCTTGCTGCCGAGTTTCCTGCCGACACCAACTACCTCTACACTACCTACAACGGCAGCACCCACGACGTCGACTTTACCGACAACGGCAAGATCGTCCTCGGCAGCGGCGTATACCGTATTGGCAGTTCCGTCGAGTTCGATTGGTGTGCTGTCAGCGCAGCCCAGGCACTGCGTGACCTAGGCGAGAAGACGGTGATGATCAATTTCAACCCGGAGACGATGAGCACGGATAGTGACGTTGTCGACCGGCTTTACTTTGAGGAGCTCAGCTACGAGCGCGTAATGGACATCTACGACCTAGAAACGGCCTCGGGCGTGGTGGTGTCAGTTGGCGGCCAATTGCCACAGAACATTGCGCTACGGCTACAGGAGACCGGTGGCGCCAAGGTACTAGGGACGGACCCACGTGACATTGACCGTGCGGAAGACCGGCAAAAGTTCTCGGAGATCCTCGACAGCATCGGGGTGGACCAGCCGGCCTGGAAGGAGCTGACATCGGTGGCAGAAGCGGCAGCATTTGCCGAGGCAGTCGGCTACCCAGTGCTGGTGCGGCCCAGCTACGTGCTCTCGGGCGCGGCGATGACGGTGATCCGCAGCGCGGCCGACCTGCAGCACAAGCTGGAGGCAGCAGCGAGCGTCTCGCCCGACCACCCGGTCGTCATCAGCAAGTTTATCGAGGGGGCACGCGAGATCGACGTGGATGCCGTGGCCAACGGTGGCCAGGTGCTGGTGCATGCTGTCAGCGAACACGTCGAGCAGGCGGGCGTGCACTCGGGCGACGCCACGCTGGTGCTGCCGCCAGCTGCCCTGGACGACACCACGCTGGCACGCGTGCGCGAGATCGCCGACAAGGTCGCACATGCTCTGCGCATCACCGGCCCTTTCAACATGCAGATCATCCAGGCGGCTGATCCGGAGGGCGGCCTCCCGGCGCTCAAGGTGATTGAGTGCAATCTGCGGGCATCGCGCTCGTTTCCCTTTGTCAGCAAGGTCCTCGGCACCAACTTTATCGACCTGGCCACGCGCACGCTCGTCGGCCGTGACGTCCCGCCACCGACTGACCTCATGCGCGGTCCCGTCGCTGATGCCCGCGACTATCTCGCCATCAAGGTCCCCCAGTTCTCGTGGACTCGGCTCGCCGGTGCCGATCCCTTCCTCGGCGTTGAGATGGCCAGCACGGGCGAGATGGCCTGCTTCGGTCGCGACCTCGTCGAAGCGTACTGGACTGCCATCCAGTCCGCCATGAACTTCCGCGTTCCCGAACCAGGCGAGGGCCTCCTCTTTGGCGGCGAGACCGATCCCGACCGCGACTGGCTCGCGCAGGTCGTCCGCTATGTCGCCCCCCTCGGCTACAAGCTCTTTGCTGCTGAGCCCGCCGTCAAGACCTTTATCGAATCTACCGCCGCACAGCCCGTCGACGTCCGCCTGATCGAGTTTCCCAAGGACGACAAGCGCGCCCTTCGCGAGGTCTTTGCCAAGTACGACATCCGCGGCGTCTTCAACCTCGCCCGTGCCCGCGCCGAGACCACCGGCGACGTCGACTACGTCATGCGCCGCAATGCCGTCGATTTTGGCGTTCCCCTCTTCATGGAGCCGCAGGTGAGTACTACAGTGGCGTCGGAATTACGGGGAAAATCATTATATGCTGACTACGCAGACCGCCATCCTCTTCGCCCGCTGTCTTAGCGAGAAGCTGCCTCGTCCAGCCGGCATCCCGTCCGAGGTCCGCAGCTGGTCTGATTTCCTTGGTGGAAAGCCCTTGTAAGCTGGTTTTCGTCCAGACGGGTGGCCGGCTGGAACCCGTCGAGGACAAGACAAAAGTTGGCGTTTGGTTCGGGACGACAAGCCGAGAACAAGGAGAGATAAACCATATATGGCGGACATATATGCGGATGTGGAGGCTAACACTGGGATGAAAGACTTGGAAAATAGTTCGATTACTCTTGCTTCCTCTTTCCTTAATCTGTATCTCGATAGGCGCGGCTTGCCACAACATTGGTGTATTTGTTATTATCATCTATTTTCCCTAGGCCCTAGGCCCATTGTTTTGAAGTCTGCATGTAATTTTGTCATGCGTACAAAACCAGCCAGCCAATTCCTCATCTATCCGTCTCCTCTCTATCCTTGCTGCCTCCCTCTCGTGTCGTGCCCCTGGCCAGAGTATAAGCCGGAGCTGGATATGTGAGGTCGTCGAGTCGGCCCTCCACCGAAGCAGCTGCATAAGTATATACACTCCTATCCCGGTCCCTCCATGGGGACAGGGTGTTCCGCCCTCGGTTCAGTCGCCGTCCGTCGGTCGTTGGGAGGGCGAGTCTGGCCGCAGACTTCGCGCATTCAGCCTAACGGCAGCAAATCTTTTAGCAAGTGGTTCGCCTGACCCGGAATCACGGCCTGATAAGGGGGTGGAAACAGATGTGGCTGAGGAAGACGAGGAAGAGGAAGAGGAGATCAGAGGGACAGGGGCTGTGGCATCATCGACCACAGAAGCACCACCACCACCACCACCACCACCTCCACTGCAACCACTGCTGCCACTACCATCAACATCGCCACCGTCGCGTCTGCGGCCACTGCCACTGCTCTGTCGACGGCCACTGCCACTGCCACTGCCACTGCCCTCCATTTCTCCCCTCGTGCGTTTGGGAATGCGCTCACCGGCAGATTGCAGAATCATCATCAAGGTCTGCCAGCCGGGTGTGGCCTGCAGCTGAAACTTGTCGGCCAGGTCGTGTTGCGTTGCCACGCGGCAGAGTAGTGATTCTTCGTCCTGGGACAGTTAGCGCCCAAGTTAGACAAGCCCAGCACCACACACACACACACACACACTCACCTTGGACAGAACTTCCATCTGGTGCAGCGCGCACAGCAGGTGAAAGTTGGACACGCTCAGGTCGCCGTCGGTCGTCTGGCCACCGGACGTAGCCTTGAGCGTGCGAGCCACGGCCGTGTGCTCCTGGCTCTCGCCAATGTGCTCTCGGTTCTCGATCGGGAAGCCGGCGAGGTTGTCGGTGAACAGCGGCCGCGCCTGGTCCGGGAAGCCGTGCGTCAGCGTGACAAAGAGGTACTCAACCGGGAAGGCTGGCTTCGCGTTCTCCTGCACGTTGGCACCGTACTCGTTGATATGGCGGTAAAAGACCTCGGGAATGTAGCGCGTCCGGCTGCTTGCCCCGTCGTCCTCCTCCTCGGCGCGCACCAGCATCGTCTCCGGCTCGGCCGATGGCTCCACAATGTCGGCACGCACCATCTCCACCGCCTCGTTGGACATCTGGTAGGCTGCGATCCCAATCTCGCCCGCCTCGTTGCCCGAGATCAAGCAGGTGACAAAGTCCGACCCAAACCGACCCGTGTCGCTCCACCGGCTCGCCTTGGGGTGCTGGGCCTGCAGCCGCGCCGCAAAGACGACCTCGAGCGAGGAGAGGTAGTAGGAATCGGCGTGCCGCTTGCACACCACCGTCCCGTCGCCGGCCCCCGCGTCTGTCAGGTCTGTCCACACCACCCCCAGCTTCTCGAGTCCGCACAGCCGCGCCACCCCGTCGACCGCCTGCTCCTGGCTCCACGCGTCTAGCGTCAGTCCGTCCAGCTCGTCCGTCTGCGGCGGCTCGTAAATGGCCTCCACCACCGCCTTGACACCCAGCGGCACCTCGTCGTACTCGTCCAGGCGCCCATACAGGTAGCCGAAGCGCTGCGATCCGCTCTTGCGCCACGCATTGATAAACGTGTCCACGATTGTCGGCGACGCAAACTCCACGTGGTCCACCATCCGGAACGTCTGTGGCTGCAGCGAGATCGCGCTGGGCTGGCACTTGCTGCAGATGCCCTCGGGCCACAGCGGGTGCCCCGACGGACAGTCCGGCCGCACCCGGTGGAACGGCTCCACCAGCGGCGGGATGAACGATGCCCCCAGCTCCGGCCGGTTCTTGTCCGAGTTGACCTTGCGCAGATACGAGTGAAACGAGAGGTACTTGATCTTGTGCTCGGCCAGATACGTCGCGTCGTAGGGGTCGAGCGGCTGGCAGTAGTCGCACATGCCCTTGGGCCCGTGCCGGCACATCTTTGCGTCCCGCTTCCGCGTGATCTTGCCGTCCTTCTTGTCCAGCTTGTCGTCCAGATTCGATTGTTTCACTGCCTCCCACGCGTTCCGTATGTGCGCAGCCGTCAGGGCTGTCGATGCTGAGCTGGAGCCGGACGGGTCGATCGGCCGGTCTTCGACCGCGAGCACGGGCTTACCGTTCAGTCGATTGGTGGAGGATGTGATCGTCTGGGACGTGTTCGAGTCGTCGTTGGAGTCGCCATTTGCGCCGTCCTCTTTGTGCTTGTATTCGAGAAAGACCATGTCACCGTGACTATAGCCGGTCAGTACAAGACGACGGTCAGTACGACTATCGCGACGGCGGATGTACATACCTAAGTCCTATCTGGCTGATGAGGACATTCGCCACCTCAGCTACCTTCTTCCTGTCACCACGGCTTCCGGGGCTGTTGGAGACCGTGATAGTTCGAGGATCGACAGTAGATGGAAGCTGTGGCAGCAGCTGCGTTTTGGAGACATCGTCAGCAGAGCTGCAGCAGGGAGAAGCTTGTCGAGCGCGCTCACCTTGAGCATAATGTCGCCAAAGGTGTCGTCTTTACTGGCCTCCTGACGGATCATGCCGTCGGGGCCACGAAAGCGCAACAACATAGCGACGACTTGAGCCAAGGTAGCAGTAGTAGACGCAGAGACGAAAGGAGGGGCAACTGGAAGGGAACAGCAGGATCAGGAAGGATTAAATAGCAGTCGGCGGTGACGAGGTGTGCTCACAGCAGCTGCGGGAATGGTGGAAAGAGAAGAGGCCGCCGTACATCGCTGCTCAAATGGGTGAATGGAGAGGCAAAGCATCGAGCGTGCGGAAGGCAAACGGTAGAAAGGAATTCACCCCCACAATGGACATCTCCAGCAATCGTCATGCTGTCATTGCCTGGCCGAGCTCGAGGCGGCCTTGTGGCGCTGTGGCGCGTGCGGTGGCGTTGGTTGTGCGTCTGGCGAGCTGTCCTCTTCATTAGTCATCGATCCATTATTAGTGATTTCTTGTCAGTCCAAGACTTTCGAGAACAGATATCACCAACTTCGGCACAGCCAGCACCAACTTGTTCGCTCTCTCAGCTGGAGCCTATGTCGCCATTTCTTGCTTCCTATTGCGTCTGAAAGGAACTTTACAAATTGTCTATTCTTCTTCAGCGTGCTGTCGAATTCGCCATCATGATTGACGTGGACTGGAGGGGGCTCATCCTCCCGGTCTCCTACCTGCTGGTGCTCGGCGGCACCTTTGTCACCTTCTCTACGGTGTACCGGAAACGGAAAGCAGGTGCGTACTGCGCCGTCTCTCGTTTTCATTGCCAGTGGACCTGCTGACCATGTGTCCTACAGCCCAAAGCGCGAACCTGAGCCCTTGGTTCCCGCCGCACCTTCAGCGCAACATCTACCTCTCGCTCCTGCACATGGAGCCGGCGGCCGGCGGGGCGGAGAAGAAGACGCCCAGGGTGCCGGACTCGGTGGTGCGGGCCGCGCTGCTCCGGCGAGCGGTCGAGGACATCCGGCGCATCATCCAAATCCGCACGGGCAAGCAGGCGTGCGGGATGCTGCTGCAGCGCGGCAGCGTGGGTGACGACCTCTGGCAGCGGTTCCAGCGTGCGGAGCGTGAGATGGAGGAGGAGCTGCGCGACGTCGTCATGGAGGCCAACGCGCTGGTGCCCAACTGGGGCCAGATCATCTTCCAGACCGCCAACGCCATTGCCGGCAACGCCCAGCTGCGCGACAAGCTCGACGCCATCCAGAGCCAGGTGGGCGCCGAGAAGGCCTGGTGGGCTCGACGCAAGGCCAGCATCACGGAGGAGCTGCTGAGCGAGGAGGACAAGGGAAAGGCAGCTACGACGGCAGCGGCGGCGCCGGCGATACCCAAGACGACCGTCCCAGCTTCCATAGCGTCCAGACCAACTACCTCCTCTTCGAGACCATCCACGCCGGCCACAGGCAAGACCGACGACGACGGCGTGCTCGTGGATGTCGGCACGCCCGGCAGCACGGCTTCGACGGGTGGCGGCAAGAAGAAGAAGGGCAAGAAATAGCGAAACCGACGCTCTCGCTTCTAGGCCACCCCCTTATCGGGGAACGGGAAGCCAGAAAGAGCGCCGACACATCTGTACAGTATACGCGCACGATAGGCGGCCTGCTTCTGTCCAGAGACCAGAAGCAGACGGAGCCACAGGAGTTTGCTTGGGTTCACGACAGGCGTTCAATGGCTACAGCGAGTCGTATCTTGCAAGGCATCTGTGCTAAATGCAGTTTCACAAAATACCAACGTAATGGATGCAGCTGGACACTAAATAGATTGCAGTGAAAGCAGTGAAGAGAGTGATCATGTAGATTATGGAATGCGTGTCTACGCCCAATTCGCCACTTCAATCGACGCACAAAGACAGGACAGGCTGTGGTTAACAGCCCGTCTTGAGGCGCATGGCCTCCTCGCTGGCATCGCCGGCCAGCCGAGCCCGACGGGCAGCCTCGATGATCTCGTCGACGGTGGTAGGGTGCAGCCGGGGGAGAAGAGTCGGAGGAGGAGACCGGCGAGAGATGCGCGCACTCGGAGTGAGGCAGCGGGAGTTGGAGGTGAGGCTGTCCCGCCTGTGTTTGGGGGCCGCCTTTGGGGGCAGCCGCTTGGACGCCGCTCCTTGGGAAGCGGCACAGGCGAGGCAGAAGAAGCTGGGCCCGCGCGTCATCCTGTCGACGTCCCAGTGGCAGGTGCCGCGGCAGTTGGGGGCGCGGTCGACAAGGGTGGGCGCGACGGGGTGGCACAGCGAGTCAGAGGAAGACGCCGGACCGGTGCTGGGTGATGATGGCGGCGGGGTCTCGCAGCCGCGGAGGCCGATGAACTTGCCCAGCTTGCGGCGCTTCTCCTCGATCGAGAGTCCGCGCGGCCAGCGCACCGGACAGGGGTAGCGGTGCGAGTAGAGGCTGGGGGTGCGCTGGTGGTAAAAGTGGGCGAGCTCGTCGAGCTCCTCGTCGGTGAGCAGCCAAAAGTGCAGCAGCGTGAGGGGAAAGGCCGGGTGGATGCGGCCGCTGTTGGTCTGCACCAGGGGGGCCAGCGTGAGGGCCATCTCGCCGAGCTTGGCCCAGAGGTCAGGCCGCTGGGCAGCACGGCGGACGGAGAGCGAGGCGATCATTGTGATGACGGGATCGTGTCGTGGTGTGGGACTCCTCTTGGGGGATGTCGAAGACGCCTTGTCGAGATTTTAATATCGCGAGTGAAGGTGACCAAGACTGTCGAATACAAAGGCAACGATGAATGGCCGGCACTCAACACAACTGCCAGAGAAGCAATGAACAGAAGACTTGGAGATGAGCAGCTGAAGACGAGACTCAGAGCAGATGACAATGTCTTATGTAGCCGGCCAGACCCTTTGCTTGCTGTCGGGCACTCCATCCTCAGGCAGCCCGTGAACGTCGAGAATGTTCAAAGGCATCAAAGGAGGTTGTTCAGCGGCTGAAAGAATCATTGTTCAACCTCTACAATGCATGTTCCGTGACCTTGTTGTCCCCCTTTCTTGTCCTTGTTCCTTTCTCCCATCTCTGTCCTGCCTTTGTCAAACTTTGATCCTTTTTTACTGCTTTTGCTTTGCCGCCATCCGTAGTTCTCCCCTTGTTCACTGCTTCTTTATTTGGGCTCTGAACGACTATCTGGCAATGCACACATTCTCGTTTTGGTCGCTATCAATACTGTACGCCCCTTTGTGCGAATTGGACCAAGTGACAATTATAACTCTAACTCTAAAATAGGAAATCTACATGTGCTCCGTACTGCTGACCAGCTGTGATGACTCATCATTACAACCACTTCACCTTGGCCACGTGATCCACCTTTTTCCTTGTTGCTTTGACAAAGCCCAGAGCCTTGAGCTCGGCCAGGCCGTGGTAGAACTGCACCAGAAGCCGGCGTTCCCTCTCATCCGCCCCGCCTTCTGTCTCCTCGGCCTCGCCGCCGCCGCCGCCGCTGCTGCTCACGGCCATCTGGAAGGCCGCCCAGAGATCGGCCACGTTGATCAGCGTGCCAGCCTCACGGTAGAGCTGGTACAGGATGGCCGTCGGCGGCAGCGTTGGCCGGATGCTTCCGGCGCCGGACCGCTCTGCCCGCTTCCGGGACTCGTCTCCGCCGCAGCACTGGCAGGCGAGATAGTCGTGCGGCCGCGACAGTGCCCGCTCCAGCACCAGCACCGGCCGTGGAATGAACACGTCCCGATACGGCGTCCGGGCATCGTACAGCCAGACCTCCTGCAGCCAGAGGGCAGAGGCCGGTGGCGTTGCTGGTTTGGCCTCTCTCGCGCCTCTCGCCTCCCGCGGCTCTGCTGCCTCGGCGTCCATCTCGGCCACCACCAGGTCGGCTGTCCGGTCCACCAGCTCTGTAAAGGCCTGGTCCTCTGCCGTGAGCGCGGCCGAGTCGCGGCTCAGCTGCACCTTTTGGGCCACCACCGTCGTCCGCAGCACCTTGCTCTGCGCCGTGTATCGGCTGCGCAGCTGCGTGGTCTTGCTGCCACCGCCCCGCATTCGGCTCTGGCCGCCGCTGGCCTCGACCTTGCGCTGCAGGGCCTCGACCTCGTCTGCAATCTTGATTAGCTTTGGTGCCAGCGTGCTCCAGCTGTCGGTGTCCTCCTCCTCGGCTGCCGGTACCAGTGCTAGCTCCTCATCACCGCTCCGGACAGCCTCGGCCAGTCGTCGCGCCAGGGCCACCAGCTCGGCGGACGACATGCGCCGAATGGCAGCCGTGAGTGTGGCCGCGATGGAATCCTCGGTCGTCGTGCCGCTGCCGCTTCCACCCCCACCTCCGCCCTCGAGCGCGGCAATGTACAGCTCCGTAAAGGACATGTCGGCAAAGGCGCCGCTGGCTGATGCCAAGTGGACGGCCCGCAGCAGCCGCGTGGTCCAATGCCGAAGAAGGTCTGCCTGCCGGGCGACGTTCTGCCGGAAGACGGCGTCGTCGGTGAGGAGCGCCACCAGCTCGGTCGACGGGCAGCTCCCCAGTGAGCTCTCGATATGGTGCCGGAAGGAGGGCAGCTCGCGGAGAGCGTCGACGTAGTCTTGCTGCTCAAGGAAGGTGGAGGCTTCGTTGCTCAGAAACACGCTCAGCGGGTTGGCATAAAAGTAGCACATGTACGCATACTGCTAGTGTCAGACACGGATTGACTGCCTTGACAATGTCACGTACCTTGAGCGAGTTGACAAAGACAGACACGCCGGCGACCTGCTCGTCCTGCCGTTCGGCCAGGCTGCGCAGCAGATTGGGTCCGATGCGTAGCGGCACGTTGGCGGCCGCGACGGCGCGCCGCACCAGCTGGTCCAGCACCGACGACGACGGCGCCACATCAAATTGGGCTGCGGCGAGCCGGTGGGCCGCCGTCTTGGGCAGACGTGCCTGGAAGAGGTCGATCGAGGTGGCCACGCCAAAGAGAAGGACAAACGGGATGCGGTCCAGCCAGGAGCTTGTGGTGGTGATGTATGTCAGCGAGGGACACAAGGGACACGAGATCGAACGAGAGACCTACTGCAGATAGCCCAGGAGATCGGCCAGAATGTTGCTGTCAAACGCCTCGCTGTCTTCGAACGTGACGATGATCCGGGCATCACGGCCGCGGACGAAGGCGTAGACTGCCTCGAGGTCGTACGCGAGATACGTTTCTCGGCCGTCGGTCTCGGCCGCCGTGGCCGTCACCTCTTGCACGATCGCCTTGAGCGCTGCCCGCAGGTTGGGCGCCTCGGCTGCGCGTAGCCGCACCATGCGGCGGATGCGGGCCTCGCTGTCGTCTGCTGCCCGTGAGGACGCCGCCAGCTGGCGGAAGAGCAGCATGTCGCTCGTCGCCGCCGGCCCCAGGATGACAAACGCGGCCGGCAGCTTGGTTCCACTCGGCTGCTCGATAAAGTCCGTGATGGCGTCCAGCGTCACCCGGTTCGACCGCTGCAGCACCTCATGGATGCGTCCGTCCAGATCGGCCCACGTGGCCGCAAAGAGCCGCTGCCGCAGCACCACCGCCTCGGCCGTCTCGCGGCCCTGCAGCAGCGTCGGAAAGGTCTCGAGCGTGTTCGTCGTGTTCGCCATGTTCGCCGTGTCTGCAGTCCGCTGCTTCTTCTTCATCGCTCGGCCGGTCGCCTGCTCACCACTATCTCGGCGACGATGCTTGCGGCCGCCACGACGGGATGGCGTGGCCGGCTGCTGGCCGCCGCTGCTCTCCCCCTCCGCCTCCTCGTCCTCATCGTCAGACGGATTGAAGATGTACGCAACCTGGTCGCATGCGTCAGCATGTCGGATGTGCCGCCGGGCGGTGATGCAAAGTGCAAATAGCCGTTTATAGCTCTTTTCATGATGAGACACTCACCTTGCGGACAACATTGGTGCTGCCGTTGCCGGTGGATGCTGCCGTTGCCATGCTGAATAATTGCGTCTGGGTAGGCTTTCTCCCGGTTCACAAGGGGTCGTTGCTGAATCGTACGGTGTCGCTTCGTCGGATTTGCCTCTCACTGCTCTCTCAATCGTGACGGCACTCTGAGCTCTCAAGTCCCTTTACGGCAAGAGCGCCACTTTACGCCCGTTTGTCGCGTCGCGTCGCGAAACGCGCAAAAGCCACAAGAAGGCTCAGCCACAGACGTCAATACGCTCTTTCATTTATAGCACTCATTGCTTCTGTAAAGGACGGAAACAGGCAACACAGGCACAAAAAGCCCTATACCACAAGTGCCTCTGTAGCCTTTCCCCTCCGTTGTCCCTCCTGCTTCTCACTTCGCCTAGCTTTGGTCACATAAACCAGATAGATTCCCTAAAATAAATCACACACATACACACCAAAAAAAAAAAAGGAATAAGAATCCGAACACAGTCTAGCCAGCCTCCCGTTGTCATAGACTTTCAAGTTTTGGGAACTTTCTTTATCTTTTGTTAGAGTGGCTTGACAAAACCCACTCGTGAAAATTGATTACTTGCAACCGGCCCATCCATCCGTACAAGTCCATAGAGTGAAAGGAGAAACATAGACAGAAAACAACACAATAGACATGAGACAAGAGACACAACGAGGCCGTGTCAGAATAACCAAAAACGAAGTGAACCAAAACGCAGCCCGGCGCCGCCGTGACCTTGGCCGCCTCGAGACATGGAAGCAAGGACGGAACAGCCTGCATTCGGACATCAATGCAAATGTAGACGACGGCCGTGGTGCAAATGGAGGATCTAAGCAGTTGCCTCGACGGCCTCGGGCTGTGGCTTGTCAGCTTCTCAACAGAGCACTGCACGCTCAAGGCACACAGAAACGTACCTCTTCCTTTGCCTTCTCGATCTCCTTTGGCGGCTCCGACTCCATATCGACTTCGCTCGTCTTGGCCTTGTCCTCCTTCGCCTCGGCAACGTCCTCCGGAGATGGGGCCTTGCTGTCTTTGCTGTCTTTGCCGTCTTTGCCGTCCTTGGCCTCCTTCTCGTCCTTGGCACCGTTGGCCTTGGCCTCCTTCGTCTTGGCGTGCCCATTTGTGCTGGCACCGTTGGTGTTCCCTCGTGCCGCCGCTGCTTCTGGATCCGGCTGTGCTGCCAACAGCTTGCTCCACTTGTCCAACAGGGCATGCGAGCGCGGCTTGAACTTGAACTCCTCCTCGCGTGGAATGGTCTCGATCTTCAGAATGGCCTTGAGCAGCTTGTTGATCTTGGTCTGGCGGATAATAACCACCTCGAGGGAGGAAAAGCTCTCGAGCTTGGTGAGGTAGTCGGAGGTCAGCTTCATCTCGTCGGGCTTGATAGGCGCCTGGTCGCGTGGCAGGAGACTGTTCTGAATCTTGTGCCGTAAAAAGTAGATCTCTTTCTGTCAAGGGGTTAGAACTGCCGCATTAAACAGAACAAGCACACGGCACGTAGAACTGACAGTCTTGCGCCGAAGCTTCTCCTCAGGCGCCACCTCGTCCTCCACTGGCACCGTGATCGGGGCAGCCGGGACCTCGCTATTCTTGGGCTTAGACTTGGCGCTCTTAGCTGCCGTCGGCGTGCCGTTGGTGCTCTTGGGTGTGCCCGAGGATGTGATCTTGATCTTCGGCTTCTTGGCCGAGTCCGACCGTTGGGGAGTTCGGGTATCGTCGTCGGCCTTTCGCTTCTTCGCCTTCTTCGACGCTGCCGCCGCCTCCTCGTCATCGTCCATCGGCACATCGAGCATGTCGACATCCCCCTCTTTGTATGCTACCTTCTTGGTCTTCTTCGGTGTGGCCTGGGCCTGGCGCTTAGCCTCCTCAGCCCGCTCGAGGTCTTCCTGGTACTGCCGCAGCATATCCTTGTAGTAGCCCAGGGGGTTGCTCTCGGCCGCGAGCTTGTGAGCATGCTGCAGGTCCTTGCGCATCTTGTCATTGACGGCTTCGAGGACTTTGGAAGGGTCAAGATCGTGCATGTCCTGGTTGGGAACCCAGCCGCTGGGAGAGTCAGTACAGCAGGCAAAGAAGGACAAAATAAGAACAGAAAAAAAAAACATCAACAAGGCAAGACAGAAGCATACAATTCGTTTGTGAACAAGTACATGACGGGAAACGTGCGGTCGGCAGCACGCTTGCCACCGTCGGCGTAGTCTTCGCGATACGTGCCGTCCTGGCGCGCGGCCGAGACGGGGCGCGACTTGACGAGGGTCTGGGGCAGCATGTCCTCGTCGCAGATGATGACGGGCCATGCCGGATAGCCCTTGAGCTTGACAAAGTAGTGGTCGCCGGGCTTGGCTTCGAGGTGGGTGGTCCGGATCTTGGAGGCCTTGCGGTTGAGCTTCTGACCGACGGACTTGCGGCGCGACGCGGATGTTGACGCCTTGGCGGCTTTCGCGGGCGTAGACGCCGTCTCGTCTGCGGCGTCCTTTTTCTCGGCGGCCGGCGCGTCGGATTCTGTCGCAGCAAATGCTTCACCGGTAGCTTCGGCTGCGCCATCGGCACGCGTCTCGTCCGTGGGCTTGGCATCGGCATCAGCATCGGCAGCCGCAGCTTCGCCATCGGTCTTGGCAGTGGTCTCGGCATCGGCAGCCGGAGCAGAAGCTTCGACTAGCGCGTCGGCGAGCTTGGGCTCCTCAGCGGCAGCAGCAGGCGCTGTTGCCTTTGCGTCGGCCGCGACGTCCGTCATCGTGGCGGCGTTGGCTTCTTTCTGCAGCGTCGAGTTGGTTTCAGCCAGGAGGTCAAGGCCAGAGAGAGAATGGATCAGTCTTGGGGATGGACGTGGCGGCGGGCGAATGCGGATGCGTGGTGCGGTGGAAAGGGTTGGGAGGCGTCTTTCTTCGCGTGACGTGGGGGATTGGAGGAAGAGCAGGTGCGCGCGTGCAGAGGGCGAGAAAGGAGCGTTAGGGAAAAAAAAAAAGGCACGTAAGAGAGGAGCCAGGGACAGCCACACAGCGAGCAGAGCGAGAGACACACGGGAAAAAGGACCAGGATTGCGATTCGGAGTGGAGCCGGGGATCCAGTAAAAATAGCCACGACGGGCCAATCAACCAATACCTTTGGTTTGGAGCAGGGGTCCTGCTGTTCTCCACTCGACCTAGGTCTTGCGCGCTGGTCTTGCGCCGAAGCTGTAGGGCCTGGCTGGCAGGAGGCAGCAGTTGTGTCAGAGGCGGTGTTGGGCTGTGTTCCGAAGCTGCGGGTGTTCTGGAGTGGTGTAACCGATGGCAGGACTCTGTGTTGGATGGTGGCGGCCAAAGCGAGCAGCGAAATGAAGGAGGCTGATTCAGACAGCAATAATGTAACAGAAGACAGGAGAGCCAGATCAATGAGATTAGTCCATAATCGGGCATGAACGCCAGAGGCGGGAAACGGACTGACACCAGGCTGGAATAAATGGGTGTGGCCGATCGCGAAGAAGCTGGTTAGATATCCTTTGTTGTGGGCATGGATGGGAGAAAGAGGAGAGACGGAGGACAGAGCACGGAGCAGAACACAGACGACAGTCACATACCCAGAGTGGCGATTGACTCTGCAAGATGTGTTTCTGGGAAAAGCTGTCTTCTCAGACAAGTCTTTGATGGGAGATTGGAGATGGGGGCCATGGATTCGAGGCGACAGAGTCACGTTATCGTGCTGTTTGCCAGGCAGGAGCGATCGCCATCTATGGGGAGGCACACGAATGGCGGGATGAGCGGCACGTGACTGAACAGAGCAATGACTCCGTTGATCATACATGTTGATTTGGTCTTTTTCCCTTTTCCATTTCCTTTCCGTCTCCTTTCTCTCATCCTCTCCTTCCCTTCTCCCTCATCCCCTACTCGCTCTCGCTGCTGTCCTCCTCCATGCCCTCGGCCACCTGCACGGTAAAGGACGGGTCCTGGTCCACGCCCACGTAGCTGTCGCTCATCAGGTACAGCTTGAACGTGTGTTCGCCCGGTTCGGGCAGCTCGACCGGCAGCCGCAGCTCGACCGGCTTGCGGCGGCCGACAAACGTGCGCTTGATGGCGAGCAGCGACTTGGTGCGCTCCTCGCCGACGACGAGCCACCAGCGCTCGAGGCGGCGGCCGGGAAAGAAGGGCGCGTGGACGGAGAGGTCGTCGTCTGTCTCGGCTTCGGCCTCGTCCTCCTCGTCCGATTCGTCGCCGCCCTCGCGCTCCAGCTTGATCTTGAGCGTCATCGGCTCGCCCGCCCGCAGCTCATCGGCATCCTCGACCTCAAAGTCGAGCGTGATGTCTGGGTACTTGTCGTTGGTGAAGTGAGCGGCCTCGACCAGCTGAGCCTGGGTCAGGCCGAGGTCGCGGACCAGGTCGGCGTACTGCTTATTTTCCTCGGGGTTCATCTTGTCGATAAAGTCAAAGACGTCCTTGATGCTGTGGGAGTTAGAGAAGTGGAGGGAAGGGAAAAAAAAGAAAAAAAAAAAAGAAAAAAGAAAACAACAACAAAAAACCAACAAAAAAACTCACCCATATCGCGTTGCCACCTTGATCACCTCTGGCGTAAAGTGTGGGATCTGCTTCAGCGGGCTGTCCCGGTCCCACATGGCCTGCACCACCATCTGTGTCATCTCCATGGCCTGCAGCGCGTTGAGGTGGCCCTGTGATGCGAGCAGGTCGGCTGTCGCGCTCAGAAGCGCCGGCACGCGGGCCACCACGACTTCCTGGTCGCGTGCCAGGTCGACCGGCAGCTGCATGCGCGCAAAGTGTGCCTGCAGCAGGACGAACGCCTTGAAGGCTGGCGCGGCCCATTCGTCGGCCGTCGTCGGTGCGGCCGCCAGCTTGACCGGCACCCGGTCGTAGATGCGCTGCAGCAGCCGCTCTTCGTGGCGACGGGTCTGCAGCAGCGTCTCGAACTCGGCCGCCGCCGTCACGATCTCGAGCATGCCCTTGAGCCGCGTCCGCGCCGTCAGCGAGAGCAGCAGCGTCTGCATCGTCACGTACGAGAGCCCGTAGTACGTCGCCACGGAGGCGCCGTTTTGCGGCCGGATCGCCCCCTCGGTTTCTGCGTCCTCGTCGTCGTCGTCGTCGTCAATCTCCACCAGCTTCGTCTCCCGCAGCTCCAGCAGCGTGTCCTCCACCAGCGCCGTCAGAAACTGTCCGACCGCGTCCTCTGATCGGCTCCCGAGACTGTAGTAGCTCGGGTTCGCCAGCAGTCGCCGGTAGAAAAAGGTCCGGGTCAGCCATTCCAGCGCGTCGTCGCCCGACCGGATCGCCCGCACGCTCACCTCCGCCATGAATGCGTCCGCCAGGTTGTCGTGCAGCAGTGACTCCACCGGCAGCGCCTCGTTCAGAAACTTCTTGTAGTAGTCCCGCTTGACCGCCGGCAGCATCAGCACGCCGCGGCTCCGTCCCGCTCCGGCGCCCTCTTTGGCCGGCCGCAGTGCCCGCCCGAACATCTGCAGCAGCTCGGCCAGCGCGTAGTCTACGTACCGGTGCTCGCGCCCGTCATACTGCTGCGTCCCCATCACCACCACCAGGTGTGCCGTGCAGTCGTCGCGTGCTAGCTCCCAGCACACGTCACGTGACGCCACCATCACCTGAACGGCTCCGTTGGCGAAGAGGTGTCGTGCGATCCGCTTGTCCGTCGCGCTCAGCGCCTCGTGGTAGTAGGCCACCCCGTGCGACAGCGCCTCGCGCAGTGCCGGCTCCTGCACCCGCTCCAGCAGTGGCCCCAGCTGCGCCGGGTCCACGTGCAGAAACCGGTCCTCGTCACCGTCGGCTCCGCCCTCTGAGGCTGCGGCCACACACGCTAGCAGTAGGTCACGTGCCGTTGCCCGCGTCTGTTTTCGTGATGGCACGAACACGAGCGCTGGCTGCGCTGCCGACAGCTGCGTGATGGCCAAGAAGGCCGGCTTCGCCATCGCCAGCATCAGCGACGGGAAGTGTGGCACCGTGTATGACTGCAGGTGCAGCTCCAGCGGCACCGGCCGCACCTGCGGGCTGAAGTTGTATGTGTCGTGCTTGGCCGCTCCGATCCAGTCGCCCATTTCGCGCGCATTTGCCATCGACACGCAGAGCGCCACGATCCGCAACCGTGCTGCCGCTGTCGTTGCCTGCTTGGCCGCCAGCTGTTGCCGCATATGTGCCATCCGCGACACCAGCACCTCGTACACGTGGCCGCTGGCCGCACTGCTGCCAATCATGTGCAGGTCGTCTGCGATGAACAGCTGCACCGTCTGCACTGTCTTGCGTCGAGGCCAGTCCCGTGCCAGCGCATCCCATTGGGCCGGTGTGGCCAGTACCAGGTCCGTCTGCGCCAGCAGCTTGAGGTCCATCGTCACGTCGCCCGTCAGCTTGGCCACCGTCTTGCCGCCACCAATGTCGCCGAACCGCCGCTCCCAGTGCTCGAAACGGACGTCGACCAGCTCCTGCAGGGGGGCCACGTACACTGCTCGACCACTACCGTTGCCGCCCGACCACAGCCGCAGCAGGGCAAACTCGGCACACACCGTCTTGCCGCTGCCCGTGGCCGCGCCCACCAGCACGTTCTGGTCCGTCGAGAAGAGCGAGCTGAACGTCTGCGTTTGGATCCGGTTGAAGTGTGTCCACGGCTGGTACAGCGCCACGTGCTCGGCCGATTTAAGCGCTGACAGCGATACCGGCAGCGGCTGCAGGTCCAGCAGCTCCGTGTGTGGTGGAAATCGGTCGGGCAGGATCAGCTTGTGGAACGGCAGCGCCAGTCGTGTCTCTGCGTGCATCCATCGGTCCGACACCACCGACACAAAGTAGTTTGGTGGCAGCGGGTCGGCAATCGGCACCGTCAGCTCCACCACGTGCTCGTTCTCGCCTTCTCCGGCGCCCTCGCCCCCTTCGGCCGTCCCGACATACTCTCGCCGCAGCAGGAACTGGTCGTGGAACAGGATCTCCTCGCCGTCGCCGTCCTCCACCACGATCCAGAACGCCTCGGCCAGCCCGTGCACCTCTTCGTCCCAGACGAACCGCGGCGTGATTGTCAGGCTGATCCGCATCAGCGACCGTGTCACCGGCAGCACCTGTGCCTGTAGCTGCAGCCGCGGGAACTTGCTCACCAGCCGGCATACTGCCGCACCGGCGCCTGCTCGCGGCAGTCCCAACAGCTCGCCCATCCGTGGAGGGTCTAGGTCGAAGTAGTTCGGCCACGGCACGTCGATGCGCTCGGCCTTGGACACCACATCGCGTGGACAGCTCGCAAACTGCCGTAGCGGCGTCATCGTCGGCCACATCCGCTTCTCTGCCATCTTGCACAGCTCCAGCGCCGTTCGTGCCACGCCTGCCCATCCCTTCTTCAGCGCAATCTCGAAGATGGCCCGCAGGATCCGTCCGGCCGACTGCGTCACGTACACCATGTCCGCCATCAGCGCCAGTCCGTCCAGCCGCAGCCGCGAGATGTACGCCTGCAGCAGCACATTCACCTTGGCGTGCGCCTCTTCCACACTCTCCTTGACCGGGATCGGCACTTGGCCCAGCAGTCGTGCCAGCTCCAGCTTTTCTTCCTGTCGCACCGGGATGTATCGGAACTCCGCGCTCAGCGCAAAGATGCGCATCAGCTCGATCGCCGTCACGCCCGGCTGCACCAGACTGTTGTATGTCTCCATCGACCCGTGCGTGACGTAGTAGTGCGACGCAATTCGCCCCAGCTCCGTCGCCTGCAGCCGGCCCGTCTTCTCGTCGTACCGCACCAGCCCGGCGCGTCGCAGCACCACCGCCGCCGCGTGTGCCAGGTCCACCCGCTTCTGCTCCAGCGCCTCGTCTGCTTCGTACTCGGCCCCGACCTGGTACAGTCCCGGCGCCCGTAGCATGCGCACAAACAGGTACGTGTACCCCAGCCACTCTACTGCCTCGTCACGTGACCGCACGTTGCCCAGCACCACCTCTGCGTTGAGGCTGTCGGCCAGCCGGCTGACCAGCTGGCTTTCGATCGGCAGCTGCTGGTTGAGCAGCGAGAGGTAGTATGGCAGCTCCGTGTGCGCTGTGATGATGATGCCCTCGCCGTACGTGTCGAACTGCGGCCGCCCAGCCCGGCCCAGCATCTGCAGCACGTCCTGTGGGCTCAGCTCCACCCAGCTGCCCTTTTCGGGCGAGTACACTTGCGTCCCCTTGATGATGACCGTGTGCGCTGGCAGGTTAACGCCCCACGCCAGCGTCGCTGTGCAGCACAGCACCTGAATCGCGCCTTGTGCGAAGAGGTCCTCCACGTCTGTCCGGTCAGCCCGGCTCATGCCGGCGTGGTGGATGCCGAAGCCGTATGGCAGCAGGTCCTTGAGCTCCCGGTCGGTGGCTTGCTCGGCCGCCTCACGCAACACCTCTGTGCTGCCTGCGTCGTGCTTGAGGATTTGGCTGATCGTCTCCAGCTCCACGGCCCGGTCGCGGATGTGTCGTGCCGTCTTGGCCGTGTCCTTGCGCGAGTGCACAAAGATTAGCATCTGGTTGCGGTGTTGGCCCACGTGTTCCAGAACCTTGGCGTATGTAATGTCGTTCATCGCCTTGAGCTGCTTGATCGGCTTCCGCTCCGTCACGCCGATAAACTCCTGCCGCAGCGGACACGGCCGGTACGACCCGTCAAAGTGGAAGAGGTCCTTGGTTGCGTCCACCCGCAGGAAGCTGCCCACGTCGCGGTAGTTGGGCAGCGTCGCCGACAGCCCGACCAGCCGTACCGCCTCACCTGTCTGCTCGGTTCGCCGCAAAGTCCGGCTGACGATGCTCTCCAACACCGGGCCACGGTCGTCGTGCAGCAGATGGATCTCGTCGATGATGATTAGTCGCACCAATCGCGTGTACGACAGGTCCGTCGCCTTGCGCGTGATCACGTCCCACTTCTCCGGCGTCGTCACAATCACCTGTGTCTCTGCGATCTGCTGCTTCGTCAACTGCCGGTCGCCCGTCAGCTCGCGCACTGAAACCCCAAACGGCTCCAGTCGCTTGCTAAAGTTGCCGACCTGCTCCTGCACCAGCGCCTTGAGCGGGGCAATGTACACAATCTTGAACGCGTCCAGGTCGATCTCGCCCGTCTCCGGGTCTCGGTTCTTGCCAATCTCCCGCAGGATCGTCAGCATCGACACGTTCGTCTTGCCACTGCCCGTTGGTGCGCACACCAGCAGGTTGCCGTCGCCCTCAAACGCCGATGGGTAACACCGCGACTGGATTCGGTTGAGCGTCTTGGTCGTGCTGAACGGGCCTCGTGCCCATTCCGGCATCTCCGTCACCGGAATGTTGCTCTCCTTGCTGTCGCTGCGCTTCTTCGGTGGCGGCACGTGGATCTCCTCGTAGCCCTTGAATACCCGCTTTGTCGACCCTTCCGGCAGCGAGACTCGCGGGTTCGTCATCAGGTGGTTGCCCTGCTCAAACACGAGGTTCTCCAGGTTGATCGTCTTGCGCGGCTGCAGCCCGCCGACCAGGCCGCCGCCCTCCTTGACCTCTTTGCCCTCTTCGGCCTTGGCTGTATCGCCGGCCAGCACGGCCGCTGCGCCCGAGTCCACGTCCATCTTGATCTCCATCTTGCCCCTCTTGGACGCGTCCGCTCCTCCTGTCTTGCCCTGCAGCTCGTTGAGGATCCACTGCAGGCCCTCTGATGCCATCTCGCGCTCGATCACCCCGCGCTCCTCGTCGCTCTCCGCGCGGGCCAGCTTGGTCAGCCACACAATCTTCTCGCGGTTGTCGATCAGCTTCTGTGCCACTTCTGGGTGTTCGTAATCGAATAGCTCCATCATCTCGTTCTCGATCTCGTGCAGCTCCTTTTCTGCGCCGCCCGCCTCGTCCGGCTCGCCCGCCAGGATCCGTAGCGCCTCCTGCGTCTTGTCGTGCTGCGTATGTGCGTCCGGGTAGAGCCGGCCGATCTGTCGCTGCAGCCAGTAGGCGTCAATGTCGCGCGCTGCCACTGCGTTGTCGACCTTGCCGCTGCCGCCTCCTCCTTGTCGCTTGCTCTTGCTGTCGGCACCTGCGCCTGCTGATGCTGACGCAGACGGGTCGATCAGGATGGCGTCGCCGTCGTCGGCAAACCCGAGCTCCTCCTCGTCGCGGTCTGCGCCAGCTTCGCCCGCGGCTGCCTCCTCTGCGATCTCTGGCCGGTCCTCCTCGTCCTCCTCGTCTTCCGACGACTCGTCGCGCACCTCGTTTACGATCGCGTCCTCGTCGTCGTCCTCCTCAAAGTCGACGGCCACGCCCTGCCGGTCGTCAATCTCCTCGTCGTCGTTGGCGCCGGCGCCGTCGGCCATCTCCTGGTCCTCGTCCTCCTGGTTGTCGTAGTCGGTGATCTTTTTGCCCAGGTTCATCAGTTCGTTGAACTCCTTCGCGTTCAGGCTCACGCCCAGGATGTCGTCCACCTCCCGCTTCTTATCAAACCTTGGGTCCTTGAGGTACTCGAGCACCGCGTCCGCTGCACTGCGCACTACTTCATGCGGCACGTCGCCCAGGTTCTTGGCTACGAGCGAGAGGATCAGCTCAAACGTCGACCGCGTTGCCGATGTTCGTGGCCGATACCGCAGTCCGTCCACCAGCAGATCCGCTCCGCCCAGGATGGATGTGCCGTGCAGAGCTGTCTGGCCCTGTCGTTTCCGCTGCTCGCGCAGAAGCACGTCCTCGCCCTCCCGGAAGTCTCCTCGCTTGACGTCTGGCATCGCCGACGTCTTTTTTGTTTTTGGCGCGCTGTCCCGGGCAATACGCGAGCCCATGTCCTGGATCTTCAGCCGCCCGGCCATGGACTCGGGGTCGCCCGAGGGCTCGTCCTTCCGGCGCGAGACGAAACGGCGGTCCGCCTGGAGAACCAGGTTGGACATGGCCGAGTACTTGTACTGCGACACATCGCGGTTATAGTTGGAAGACATTATGGCGGTGGCGCCTGTAGATGGAGCCGCGATGGGCAGGACCAAGGCAGGGAAAGTATACGGTTGACACCGTCGGGAAAAACGCGAAACAGACGCCGGACGTCAGCCGGTCGCAAGAGAAACGCGGGCCTCTTCGGCCGCCGAGGGGTCGTCTAGATGATCCCCCGTTCTCTTCGTTTAGCTTCGTGCCGCAATTGTCGTCGGATTGGGGGCTGTGTGGTCTTGGGGCAGGCAGGCTGGTATTGCTCTTCAGCAACGTTGCAAGTCGGTGATGTTTTTTTTGACCCTGGTTTGCTTTGTTATGGGAAGCTAGTAAAAATTTAACAAACCGATCCGATATGCCGCAAAACGAGTTAGGCTGCGCTAGCCGCAGCTCTATTAGGCTGAACCCCGCTGCCGTCACAGCTCGCAGCTTCTAGAGGCCATCCCATTGGCTAGTGCCTGCTGTCCTGTTGCACCAGTAACAAGGACCCGCAAGCAGGCCGCCGTACTCTCGTAGAGCGGTGGTGTGCACGGAGTACTCCGTACTTTGCTCTCGCCTCTCTCATACCGGCCGTGCAGGAGGCCAGCCACGATGACATCGCCTGCAGAGACAGCCCAGAGCGTCCGGGAGGCCCTGGAGCCGTTCATCCGCCCGCGAGGAGAGGCCGCCCAAATACGACGGATCCTGGCAGCCCATCTGGCTTCATGTCTGAAGAGCGACAGTGCCCTGGAGGGGAGTCTGGCGCTGGTGAACGTGTCGTGCGACGTCGAGCCGTCTGCTGAGGCCAGGGGCCTGCAGCGGGCCTATCTGCGCGCGTTGCAGGCGAATCTCGAAGCCCGGAGGGCGTTTGAGACGACGAGCCAAGCGGCCACGAGGCAGCAACAGCAGTACCAGAAGCAGAAGCAGCAGCAGCCGACCGACGGCGGCGCTGTTCTTCGTTTGGGAGGAGCGGAAGGAGTGGGAACTTCGGTGCTGGAGAACCACCTGGAAGAGGTGCGGCTGACTAGGAAAAAGGAGCGGCTAGAGGCAGTGCAGCGCAGCCTGGACGCGCTGGTGCAGCAGCCGGCAGCCGCAGCCGAGGATTTTTTGCAGCAGGAAGCCATCTACGCAGAGGCAACGCGGACGTTGCCGCCGGTGCCCAAGGCCGTCGTCGATGGGCTCGCCGAAGACGCGACCGCGGCGGCCGAAGCGGCTGTCCAGACAGCAGGACCAGCAGGAGCAGCAGCAGGACCAGCAGCCACGGTGACAGATCTCAAGGGCCTTGTGGCACAGCTGGAACGGGCCGTGCTGCGGGCGCAGCTGCTGCTGCGACAAGAGGAGAAGCAGCTGGCAGCAGCGCGGGCACGAGCAGCCGCCCGCGGTCCCGAGAGTGCGGCCGTGAAGCTGCAGGCCCTAGGCGCGGCACGCGATGCGCTGATCGGCTGGATGGAGGAGGAACTGGGCAATGCGGCGACCGCCGGTGAAGGCGGCCACAACGACCAGGACGACGAGGATCACGAAGGCGACGAGTCTCTGCGGCAGCTCCGCCAGAGCTTGCTCGGGAACGGCGGCGACAGCTACCAGAACAGCCCGCGACAGCAGATCGAGGCCGAGGTCGCCGTCGTCCGCGAAAAGTACGCCCGCTACGTCGAGGCCCGCCGCCAGCTCGTCCAGATGGTCGGCAGCAAGGCGTCCCCCGTGGCACCGCTGTTCGCCAACATGCCCAAGCTGCAGCCGTGGGCGGCCGAGCTGATCCGGCCGGTCACCACCAGACAGACGGCCGCAGCTGCAGACGCTCCACAAACTACAAGTGGCCCGACGGCGACGACGACACCAACAGTCGACCCTGCAGCTACGGCATCGCGCGTGGCTCTCGGTCACGTGCTCTTGACACCCTATCTCGAACGCCTGCTCGCCGTCGCCCGGCAGCAAAAGGCCCTCATCGCCCACAAGGCGCACCATCATAACCTGCTGGCGCGGCGGATCCGAGATACGTGTCAGACGCTCAACCACGTCGCCGACGAGAGCCAGCTGCTGCCGCGCCATCCGCAGCCGGGCGGCCCAGGCCCAAGCAAGGCCGGCGGCCAGCTCACTCGTCACGTGACAGCCTGGACGTACGCCGCCGACGCCGCCAAGCTCGCCACCTTCGAGTCCGTGGCCGAGCAGCTCGAGAGCGGCGAGGATGCGCTTGAGCAGGCTGCCCGGACCCTGGACGAGGTTGAACTGCTGCTAGGCCACAAACGAACAGAGGACGGGGGCGACGGGGCCGTCGGTGACGAAGATGAAAAAGGCGCGACCAAGGCAAAGCGTCAGGCGACAACAAACGACGTCTGGGAGACGCTGGACGGAGAGCTGGGCCTCATCCGGACAGAGAAGTCGTCGCGGTAATTCGTGCAGGTACAGACAGGCCATACTTATGACTGTTGCGTCTCGTAGCTTCGTTTTATATACTGGTGTGATATGATATCCTACATAAACGCCGCCTCATTGTCGTTCTGCCTTTTCTTCTGGCTTTGCCTCTCTTTATTTGGCCATGATGGCTGAAATCCGCAGCGCCAGGTCCAGGATCGACAAGTGCTCGTCGGCACCGTCGACCAGCCGCTTGTCCACCTCGGAGAACACCAGCACGATCTTGTTTTTCTGGGCGTCTGGCACCGTCTCGTCGTACACAACGGTCTGGTACAGCTGTGTGACCACCTGACCGGCGCTCCAGCCGTCGGCCACCATGTCCTCGACCACGCTCGCAATTGCCGCGTAGGTCGATCCGCCTTTGGCTGCTGGCCGGATCGCCTGCACAAGCTGGCTGATGACATCGTCGGGGATGACGCCGGCGATTTCCTCGACGATCTGGACTGTGATGGCCGGCCGGCTGTCATCGACATCCATGCTGTCTTCTTCCTTGTCTTGATCCTTCTGTTCCTTCTGTTCCTTCTGCTCCTTCTTGTCCTCCTCCTCCTGGCCAACTAGCCGGGCGGCGCTCTGCAAAAACGTAATGGCTTTGCGCAGATCGCCCTCACTGCAGCGGATCAGCGCGTCCACAGCACCTGGAGCCAGCGACACGTGCTCGCGCGTGGCAATGTCTTCGACGCGGGCACGGGCATTGCCCTGGTCGAGGCTTTTGAAGCGGAACTTGCTGCAGCGACTGGCCAGCGGGTCGATGATGCGCGTGACGTAGTTGCAGATGAGGCAGAAGCGCGTGATCTTGCTATAGGTCTCCATCGTCCGGCGCAGCGCGCTCTGCGCGTCCTGCGTCATCGAATCGGCCTCGTCCAGCACGATCAGCTTGAAGGGCGGGCACGGATATCGGTCGCGGTAGCCCGGCGGCGGGTTCGTCAGCTGCATCCGCGCAAAGTCCTTGACCTTTTCCCGCACGATCGAGATACCACGCTCGTCCGACGCGTTCAGCTCCAGTACTCTCGACTTGACAAATTCGGGACCGTACAGCTCCTTGGCCAGCGCTAGAATTGTCGACGTCTTGCCCGTGCCCGGCGGCCCGTAAAAGAGCATGTGCGGGAGCTGATATATTTCGTCAGATCGTGTGTGCAAAGAACGACAGCAGGGCGAAAACGCACATTGGAAGCCTGCAGTGTTCGCTGTAGCACTGTCACAGTGTGGTCCTGAGCAGTGACGTCGCTGAGCGTCTTTGGCCGGCTGCATCCCGTCAGTGCATGTTTCTGTCGTGTCTCTCTCGTCCCCAGTTTTGTGCTGTCCAAACTCTCTGTCCTCATCCTCTTCCTCTTCCTCCTACTCACTATTTTTCAACCCAAGGCTGTGCTCGAGACGTCTCGTTCGTCTGCTTGTCGTTCTTGCTGGCGGTGCCATTAGCTGCCGCGAGTTTGCGCGCCTTGAGATCGAAGAAGCTGGCCATGGTGACAGGAGGTGCAGTAGGCACCGATTGGGCTCTTTGCCGGATGGTTCGTTGCGCGGGCGTGAATTATGGCCGTTGTCGGTCGGCCAGTGTTCGTCAGCAGAAGGCGGTAGTTGCAGCCTTAGTGCAGAAAAGCTGCTAGGCTCACTTTACGCGTCGACGCGTTTGGGGCAGGTGCGGATCAGTTTAGTGGGGCGTATCGGGCGAGCCAGACGTTGCCTGCTGAGAGCTGCCGTGGTAGCTCATCTTCTCGCACTTTCTGCAAGGGCAAGACCTAGAGTCAGGCTGCCAGCCAGCCCGGCATGACATAAGGTCTCTCTAATATTACGCAGTGGCCCAGGCAGACGACCTCGGTCTATGTCTATTGAAAGCTGCCCTTTTTGGCGGCCGTGTAATTACCCACTTTTATTCTGCGCCCGTAAGGTAGACATAACGGGAGAAGATAGGTTCGCCCCATGCATTCACATCCCATTCATTAGGCAGTGCTCGTTGTACAAGAGGGAAATGAGTGTAAGACTGTGTTTGCTTATGCTGTACTTCGTAATACCGACTTGATTTGATTGCTCTAATTAAAACGTAGTTGCAGTCACGTGCGAAGATTAATAAGCATCGTGGATAGGTGGGGTGCACATATATTGGCGTGGTGCGAACCTATCCAATTCCAGCAGCTACCACCCCTCACAGTCAAAGTGCTTCTTCTTCAGCCTCTTCCGTTGTTGCTTTCCTCATCTCGCATCATATCCCGAATAAGCAGCCACTCTGTTCCCACTTTTCCACCCTTTTTCTTTCCTCCTTTTACAGGCGACACTTTCGAAGCACTCGGTTCATCCCTATCCCAGCACACTTAGCTGTGTCTTCCCTTTGTATCTGTCGTTGACCACCCCGCTATACTGGCCTGCCGTCCAGGCAGTGTTTGCTTCCCCTCTGTCAGCGTGCTGCCAGTCTGCTGCCAGGTTTTAAGCTGCTCTCTAGGTGCTGTCGAAATCGGGAGCCATGGCTGACCAATCTATCATACGGATCACCAAGGTGCGCTCTGGCTCCAGCAATTTGCCTCGGGCAGTAATCCAGAGTCTCGCCACGTGCCAGATACTAACCGCCCCTGTGCAGGAACTGAGCGACATCCAGAAGAACTCCGATTTCTGTTCGTGAACGGCTCCTGCTCCTGCTTATCTTTTTACTCTTGGCTGACATCAACCAGCGCTTGCCGTCGCATGTCGCGATACCGATGTCCGAAACGTCACGGCCCTGATTATTGGTCCCCCGGAAAGCCCATACGAGTTTGGTTTTTTTGAGGTGAGAGGATCTCCGGCCGACTTGTGGTGTGTAATTTCAGATACTGACGATCTCAGTTTTGTCTCAAGTTCAGCAAAGGTTTGCTCCTCCGCACGCTTGTCCGATAACAGCGTCTTCTGACCTCCACCAGAATACCCGCGCAAGGCGCCTTCCGTCACGGCGATCACGACCAACGGTGGTCGGTGTCGGTTTAACCCAAATATATATTCTAACGGAAAAGTTTGCTTGTGAGCGTCTCTTGTCCCTCTGCTTTTGCCTTTTGTGGCTAACGATCTATGACCATCAGGTCTATTCTTGGGTATGTCTAGCACGAGCACGCGGATACTATTAATACGTTTCGACGACGGGTAAGCTGACAAAGTAGAACATGGCGCGGCGAGCGAGGCGAAGAGTGGTCGGCTGCCCAGGGCCTTGAATCGATCCTGCTATCGATCCAAAGCTTGATGTCCCCCAACCCGTACGAAAACGAGCCGGGCTTTGAGGAGGCAAACGAGGAATCGGACAAGAAGAACCAAAAAGAATACGTCCAAAAGATCCGACACGAATCGCTTCGGATTTCTGTCATTCAGCGTATGGAGGAGTTTCTGGGCATCGGCACCATCGGCTACGGCAGCCGAACGTCAGACGCTTTTTCTCGGCCAGCGTATCCAGCTATCGACATGGAAGGGCTTGACGATGCTGCGGTGCCGTTCGAGCCATTCAAGGACCTCTGCAAGCGGCGGTTTCTGTGGTACTTTGACTCGTACATGAATGCGGTACAGAAGGGCAAGGATGAGGTTCCCGACAACCAGCCGTTTGTACGCATGCCATTTGAAGGAATTAGCAACATCATGGAAGGCAAGTTTAACTACACAGATCTAGAGTGGCGGCTCAACGCAGTGAAGACGGCGCTGGACGACGAGACGACGCAATGGGCGGCGACAGGCAAAACTGCGCAAGACCAGGATGCCACAGTGGCAGTGAATTTGCAGCGGCAGTTTGAACAGGTGGTGGAGGCGTTCAAGCGCCACGGAATACCGCACAATATTGAGCTGGAGGACGGCAACCCATTTGTCTGGATGGTGACGTATTTTGGCAAGCCGATGACGAACCTGGACGGCGGCCTGTTCCGGTTCCGACTGCACATGAGCCCACGGTTCCCGGAGGAGCAGCCACGGGCGCGGTTCGAAACCCGCATTTTTCACCATCGCATAGCGGCAGACGGTACGCCGTGCTATGTGGTGACACCGAACCGGCGGGAAGACATCAAGTCCCATATTGAGGCGATCATTGACACGCTGGAGGAGGAGAACCCGCGGTACGACCCGAGGGCACTTGTGAATCCCGAGGCACACAAGCTTTACTGGGGATCGGCAGAGGACCGCAAACTTTACAACCGGCGGCTGCGGCGGACAGTGCAGCAATCAGTGGAGTAAGTGCAGGCCGGGGATGCAGAATTAGGACAACAGTGCTAACGGGGAGCAGGGATTTCTGAGCCGGTGTTGTGAATTTGCCAGCAGTACAATTTTCATCCGTGCATGTTTTACCTAGTTTTTTAATTGTCAAATTTTGGATCCATCGCAGCGGCATATGGAGAAAGGACAGCGCGGGCAAAACGGAGGAATCGGGCGTTTTCTCTTTGACAGAGTGTTTTCAGTGCTTTCGATGAGCTGGCTTTGATCAGCTTCAAGCCTTCTACTTTCTTGTTTGAGCCGGTTTCTATTAAGCTACATTTGATGTAGCTGCCCCTCTGCCAGTGTAATCTGCAAAGGAGAGATTGAAAAACGCCGGGTTTCAAACTCTGCCTCGCGGCTTCAGAGAGTTCTTAAGACGTCTATGTCCTGGGGCTGTGAATGCAAATGTTGGGCGGTATGTAAGCAAGATATGTAGAAGTACCTTTACAATACACAGAACAGCCAGTGCCTATCCACGCTTGCCGGCTCGTCCCCGTCTAGCTGGTTCCGCAACGAGCCGGTCCTTGAGCGGATCGTAAGGCGCGGCCACGCCGACGTATTCGGGCCCAGCAGTGCTATCACCAGCGCCTTGGAACGAATAGACGGCCTGCAGGGAGCTTGCGGGAGGTGCCGCTGACGGAGCAGCAGTGCCTTCGACGGTAGGCGGGAGGATGCTGGCGACGGCGGGGTTGCCAACAGCAGGGCGGCGAATCTGCTCGGCGTGCAGGCGCTCAAGGCCCTCGCCGACGATGGCATACTTGTTCCAGTTGATGGGGGGCATGCGGACCACGTTCTGGGGCTTGGGGAGGCGGCGAGGGTCCGGAACGGAAGCAGAGGCAGAGCCGGTGTTGGAGGAGGGATTCTTGCTGTTAAGGCTGTCCGCATCGTCATCGCCATCATCGCTGCTGTCGTTTTCGTCGGCGCTGCCGTTGTTGCCGGCTGCTTCGTCTCGTGTCCCGACGGCCTGTAGCTTTTCCACAAAGGCCATGGGATTGGCGAGAGCGGCTTCTTTGGCGGCCTGCAGCGCCTGGATGTCGGCAGTAGCACGCTTCTTCTGCAGCTGAAGGATAGCGATGGTGTTCTGTAGCGCGATCACGTCCGGGTTGGTGCTGAAGTCGAGGGTCGTGGGTGCTGGTGGGAGGGGTGCGGCATCGAACAGGGGGTCGGTGGTGGAAGAGGGAGCCAGCCCTGATGGCGGCAATGATCCTCCTGCAACAGAAGCAGCAGAGGCAGCAGCAGCGGTAGCGGCGGCGTTGGCTGCTGCGGCTTCGCGGGCAGCCTCAGTATGGGTGAGCACCGGTCGGCCGGTAGCAAAGTTGGGCACGTAGTAGGTGCCCGATCCGGTGGCTGTTGGGGCCAGATGAGGAGGAAGCTGGGCAGCCGGCAGGATGGGCGATATGGGCGGCCGTGGGGGAGACCATGCGCGTGGTGCTGGCAGCATGGATGATTGGGGTTGGTGCTGATGGGCGACCGCTCCTTGTGAAATGGCAAATGAGCCTGACGACTGGACGACCGGATGTGTTGGATGTGCCATCCTGGCGGCTGCCTTGGGAGACGCTCTGGCAGGCGGTGGCGCCTTGGCCGGCGCGGATGACGAGGCTAGCTTGGCAGCCGCCTTTGTCTGTGCCGGCGTTGCCTTGGCCGTGGTGGCCATCATTCTGGGAGCAGCTCGCGAGGACGAAGTTCCGGCAGCGGCTGTTTTGGCTATGGCCGAGGATGATGGCGACAACGATGTTGCGGCTGCTGGGGATGGTGACGGTGGTGGCGGCGCTGCTGCCGCCGAAGCTGACGTTGTTGCTGGCCCGGCCGTGAAGCTGGCTGTGGAGCTCCGGCTCGGAATCGATGGTGCCGGAACGGGTGTCTGAACCGGAGGCACTGGCGGTGGGACGGGCGTTTGCATGGGCGGCGACGCCGACAGGCCGCTGCCACTGCCACTGCCTCCGGCAGCAGAGCCCGACGGCCGCAGCGCCTGCGGCGGGATGGTGGGTGGCAGAATCTGCGTCTCCGTCACGGGCGGACGCGCTGCAGCGGCGTTTCCTCCTCCTGCTGCTGCTGCTGCTGCCTGAGAGCTACTGCCGGCTGCAGGCATGGCAGGCGGTGGGAGCGGCTGCGGTGAGGGGGCCGACGCGGATGACGAGCACGACGACGCTTCCGCTGATGGCTGGGCCAGGGGAGACGACTGTGCGGAGCGCGCTGTTTTTGGTGGCGCGGGCTGGCGTTGTGGTGGAGGTGGAGGCTCTAGAGGCTGTAGGGGCTGAGGTGGGGTCGATGCTGGATTGAGCCAGCCAACTCGATGTGGATCGACGGTCTGGACATGGCTGTGGCTGCTGGCTTGGGGAAGGCGCGACAGCGAGTGCGGACGGGAGAGCAGGAAAATGGCGCGTCTGAAACGAGTACGGATACGAGCACTTGCTTCTTCCCATCACCCAATTCGTTCTTTCCCTCGTCCGTCGTGGGTTACTAATGTAAGATAAACCTGCCCATCCGTTTAGGTAGGATGGTGGGGTAGCCTGTGGCCAACCGGCTAGAAGCGGCCACCAGCCGTTTACCACTGGACCGACTTGGCTAATTGGACGACTGCGTGTCCTCTGACGCCAGCAAGGACTCGGGTAGGCAAAAAAACGCTGTGAAAAGAAAAAGTGACAGCTCGATATACCTCTTCACAGCGTTTTTTTGCCTACCCGAGTCCTTGCTGTTTGGCTGCTAGGATCGTAATTGACCGAAAACCGTCCAGCCGAATGGTATGAGCATATATAGTAAACCATTCAATCGAAGAGCCGATTACTAAGCCGACATACGTATTGCCATCAATCGTCTTCCTCTTGCATATAGATGAATATTCAAGATCACAATGTGATGCGGACAGGTTGAGGTTCATGTACGAAGTATATGTTTGTTATCTACTCTGTACACAATGACAATCAACAAAGATGTCTCGCCTGACTGTACAGAGTGCGGGTGCAAGAGACGGCCCCTACTATTAGTTTTCAGGATATCGGTATGTTCCTCCTATAAGCGCATATGGATCTTCTCTATGCACTCCGCCTGTGACTGGTTGTCAAAAAGTCGGCGCGTCCGGTCTCTATCTTGTCAAGTAGGATCCACTGTCCATGTGTCTTTCTCGTCTGCTTGATTTCCTAAAACGATTGGCGACCATCAACATTCCTGCCGGCTTGACGGGCGTGGCGAGCACCGTGACAACGAAATATATGTCAACGTGACAGGAAACTTCTTCAGATGGCCCCAGAGATGGACACGACTTAGGTCGCTTCTGATATCCTTAGTACGGTTCGCCTTGTTTGAAAGCATTGTTTGCCGTTTTTGTGAGAGTAGACGTTGAGAAAGTTAACCACAAATGGAAGTCATAAAAAGGCCGTTTCACTTCTCGAGATTGGGCTTTCAGCGCCACGATGCCAGAGAAATGATTGTTAATTAGGATTTTATTGCACGGAGCTCAAGGCTGTACATTCTCCTTACCGAGACGGTCCCATGTTAGAGCTGTCCTGTTCGCCTGGTATGTTGTGGTATGGTGGAGCACCGCTCCCCATTGGAAACAGCGAGTTGCATACACCGTAATTGTTCAGTGGTTTTAGTACTCCGTGTCAGTTCTCCCTTCTGTCTGGTCACTGTCGATCATAATGCGGACTGGGAAGTAGGCTGCAAGTGGGTGGGAAACAATGCAGAGCCGCAAGGGTCGAGAGGAGCGAAGAGCAGTTCACGTGACACCTAAATTGAGGCGAAAGCCGCTCGCCAGTTTTATAGCTCCCCCATATTCTTTCCATCCTAATCACTCACTCCACCTCTCCTAGTCTCGCCAAACCCCCCGGTATTAATTGCGATCCTGCCTCCTCACCGTAAGCCATGCTCTACTTTGCCTTTGGCAGCAATCTCTCGCTGCAACAAATGTCCAAACGCTGTCCGCAGAGCCGCTTCATCGGACGTGCTATCCTGCCTGACTACCGCTGGCAAATCAACCAGCGTGGATATGCCAATGTCGTACAGTGCTGCGGTAGCTCTGTGCACGGCCTGGTATACTTGCTCGAAGCTGCCGACGAGGTTTCTCTTGACCGCAGCGAGGGCGTCGGCATTGGCGCCTACAGCAAAGACTACTGCGACGTTCTCCTCTATCCAGCCGCTGTCGAACTGCAGAAACAGCCTGACCAGGTCAGAAGTGCTATTGATGGCGATCAGCAAGGCGCCCACCCACCCGAGCAGCGACCACATCTGCAGGAGAACACGCTCGTGTATCTCAGCACCCACTACATCAAACCTGGTGCTCCCCACGAAGAGTACATCCACCGCATCAACACTGGCATACGAGACGCTGTCTCACTTGGCGTACCGCCTGCCTTCTTCGAAAATGCCGTCCGCCCACTGGTGCCTTCTGAGCTTGAAGGTTGACGAGGACGACGGTTGACCAAGCTAGGCGACAAAACCAACTAACAGAACACGTCGACTCATTTACCAGTCGTCGCCATCGACAGTCCCGAGCACTGACACGTGTGTCGCAAGGGGGGTGTAGATGGGCCCTGAGCATGCATGCTTTCCTCCGATCAGAGAGTGCTTGAACTTGTGCATGATCACCGTCTCCTTGTTCACCGCATTACCCTGTATGGCTGTTGCTTTTGTGTGCCATTGAAGCTCCTTTTAAGCTGGGACTTATTGTGCATTCTTGCATATCCGGACAACGGCAAATAAAGCACCATGAAGACTGACCGACGACTCAAGCCTCACGAGAAATGGCAATTGCTGTTCTCGTCTCACGTCAGACATGCTACGTTAGTTTGTTGAACCTGGAAGCTGCATATTCTGGTGATGATGCTGTCATATTTCAACATTGACGGAATGCAAGTAAAGATTGAACAATCAGAGAGCGGAAAAAGATACATCCCACAGCTTTGAAATGACTCTCGGCAGCATTTTCTTTCCATCGGATTTTTAGCCTAAGCGGCATATTGAACAAGGACAAACGTATTAAAAGGCCAAATACACTGTCGTTAGAAGATCTACTAGCAGTACTCACTGATAATTTCGTCGTTCTCACATGCCGACCGGTGATCGAAAAGTCAAATCATGTCGATGCTGGGCGTTTGAAAAGCATAACATGCCGGCACGCAACTCCCACTCGTTGTTTCAAAACGGTTTATGCCAAACGGCTTTGCAAAGGTCCCAGACGAAGAGTACATTTATCCTAAATTCCTTATGTAGGATTTCAACCCTCGATTGGCCGTTTATCTACATTAAAATATACGCACACGGGCTTGGCGTTTTTAACAATCCGGCCTCCTGCCTAATCAGCTACGATGCCGAGATCAGAATTAGTAATATGACCCTGTCCTCTACAACCAATGGTATGGGGACCCTACTTGTACACTAAGTGCAATGGGTATATCTTTTCAACAGTTGTATTGGTTACGATTGATTCGCAAAAGCAGGTTGCCACGCACCCTATCGTAATGCTGCAGAGTTCAAAGCCACGCTATCTCAATATTCCACACCCGGTTCTGACAAAGTACCCTGCAGAGGGCAGGTCAACCTTTGATGCGTCCTGGAACCTCTTACTGTCCTAGTTATTGATTAGCGAAGTAGCCAGTAAAGCTGGTGACCTTTACTATTGTTGGCAGCTCCGGTTAAAGGCAAACCCTGATGACATGTGGATGGTATCTTTGCTGAAGAGAGATGCGAAGGCTTGTGGCTAAAGCACAACTACGAGTTTGATCCAGAACCTACCGCTGTGGCCAAGACACAAGGCGGCCCACTAGACTCTGCGTTGTTCTCCCAAGTTATCGTAGCCATACTTAAGCTAGGAAGACTAGCTGGTACCACCGTGGCCTTTTCGCCCTAAGAGACTGTTCGATCAAAGACGATGGCGATCACGCCGAATGGGCAGTCGATCTCACCCTTAACGCGATCAAACTTAACCCAGAAGTACGGTCGGAGTCCTCACCGATGGTATGCATCAACTAGCGGTCGGACACCAACCGCATAGATATATAATCACTCGTTGATGATGACCAGCATGTCGTGGCACTTTGAGCAGTAGTTGTCCTGCCAGAACCCAAGCAGCGTGATCTCTCCGCGGCGCAGCAATCGCATGTATGGCGGGCTTTACTCCTGGCCATAGTGCCCTTGTACGATCCTCTCTCTTCTCATAGCATTAGAGAACCAATGCCACCAACGCAATGTATTTGTCAATAACCCAAAGTTACATTTCATTGTAGTCTTTACTCAAGGAGGTACGAGCAGGCTTGTACCACCGTGCACATCTGGTTAAGCATGGGGCTTCTGAGCCCATACTACGTTAGACTTGTAGTAAGCATGTACCTTCAAGCCGCGCATCTCCCGGCGAAGCTGGGCGCAGTATACAGTAAGCTCTTCCGAGGACCAGCCAAGTAAGTTCGCATTGTAGCCCATCAAGCCGCGGGTGTCGGATTCCCACACAGCCCGGGAAAATTGGCCGACTTCTTTCAATTTGGGAGTTTCTGACCACTCGGAAATAGGAGTCTTTCTGCTGTTAGCTAACTGAGAGCAGAAAGAGCTAAGGGAAGCTAACACACCTTAAGCGGGAACTCGTTAATGCTGGTGAAGCCCGCCTCAACCAAGCTGGCCTTTTGCACATGATCAGCGACCACGCTGAATGAGGCCTTGGAGCCCATCTTCTTGGCGCCCTCGCGAAAGATGTGACCCCACTGGCCGGTGGCGGACTTCTCTGTTACGGTGCCATCGTCGGACTCCAAGATGCCGTCGGACTCATATGTTTCAATCCACCCACCCGGCTTAAGGACTCGGTAGGCCTCTTTGAACAGAACGGTCCAATCCGACACACATCCAATCAGCCAGCGCATGTGGACGTAGTCTATAGAATTCTCTTCGAATGTCCACGACTGTGTCAAGTCCTCGATTTCGCTGTTCCATGTTAGTTGTAAGTCATATAACATCCGAGTACATATATCTTACAAGCGCACATTGGGAGGCACCCATTTCGGCTGAATAGGAGATAGGTCGGTCCCAATCACTACAGCCTCAGGGTGCTCGTCCGCAAAGTCACTAAGTCTATGTTAGTTCCTGTTAACAGTCAACCGATAGAAACGTTGCCTACATAGCCCAAATCCCCGTCCCAGTTCCAATATCTAGCACTTTCTATAGTGTGTTAGCTCCAAGGTACACATACTGACACAATATCCATACAGCTTACGTTAAGCTTTTTTGGTAAGGGTGCGAGGTAAAGCTTGTCGTCCAACATCAGGCTAAATACATGGTGCCTAAAAAGCTGTTAGTACAACTACATAACACACAAGACCTCCATATTTTCAAGCGTACTGAATGTCCAGCGCATTGCTCTGTTGTTCATCATTTGCACCCCTTGCTAGAGTTAGCCTAGAACAGACTTGGAGGCATATTGAAAGGAACATACCAGTATTGGTTTGTTGCTATGTCGCTGTGGTAAGTCCTTCCATTTACGGTCCGATATTTGAGAATAGTGGATGAGATGGACGCAGTAGAACTTTCCGCGTCGTGGCCATGTGCAGAATCGGCGTCGTCCTAAGACAATCAGTATTAGAAACAAATTGTCAGTGGCGCATATTATGTGCACGGCTTTTCATAAGATTTGGCTGACTTCGACAAAATTTTGGCTATTCCAGTGGTTCCCTGGTTGAAGCTCGTTGCGGCCGGAGGTGAGTTCTGTGGTATCTGTTGCGGCAGCAGTGACGGCAAGTACGTCGACAGGATTGATCGCGGGTGTTGATTGCTCTGATGCCTCAGAGGTGTTTATATCAACCATTTTGGAGGGGTGTAAGAAAATGGAGTATGTAAACGTCTTTTCAGTGAAGAAAAAACGAAGAAGTGGGAGATACAACAAACATGGAATTTGCGTGGAGAGGGGAGAATTGAAAATCGCGAAATGGCGGAGAGAAAATTCCCCACCTCATTATTACGAGTGCCTACTCCGTACAGAGTACAGAGTACAGACAAATGATACTCTGACTGCTTTGGGGCGGGACTGGATGCGACGTACGGAGGAGCACGAGAGTTTATGCAAGTTCAATACTTGCTCCATCACGCGTCAGGAGCAAACGGGAAGATGTTGCGCAAAACCACATACCTCCCCTTCGAAAATTGAAAATCTGAGAGCAATGAACTCTTTTCAAGAGCCAGTCTGACGCACCTATCTCTTAACGTAAGATGCATTGCTCTCAGATTGCGAGAGCCACTTGAAGGATGCGTGATATCACAAACACCACCACTACGGAGTACTAGCTATAACAGGAAATGATGGCCGCTCCCGTGAAGCTTCCCCACGCCGTTGCAGGGATTAATCTTCAGGCTAGTATAAAGCAAGCTAAGCGTGTAATACTTAGTCAAATGGATGCCAAAGACAAAATCAGCCTGCTTTTCATCACCGGCAAGCAACAACGCGACATGAAGTTCCCCGAGTAGCTTAGGCTGCACTTCAATACTGTAAGAAGGAGTCTCAGAAGTGGGACAGAGATAATTCACATGACTGGGCTTCTCTCCACCTGAATTTGTCAAGATTCATGCTCATGGCCAAAGAAACAAACAGCGCCTAAGAACGCGAAGCGGGGATCTTCAGGCCTTCCAAGAAGCCCCGGCTCATATTCCTGACTAGACTCTGGGCACGTTTTGATCTGTGTAGCCTGTGCACTCAGCACCATGACCACGATCGTGGTTAATGTCGCCGCAACCGTCGCTGCCGTTGTTGTTGCCTAATGTCGCAGGACTTTTTCTTTTGTCGTGTACAAGTATGTCAGAAGATTCCTAGTCTTCCACCTCCAGCCGGGCGACAGAAGGCGTCGGCGATGCAACAGGTCCACCGTCGTCGTCGTCGTCGTCGTCGTCAGAGTCGATGAGGAAGTCGGGCGATCCCGCTGCGCCAGACATGCACGCTATCTGGATACACGCCCACTGGATATCCAGCATCGCTCTCATTTTCCCGGCCTCATCTTCCGACATGGCGCCAGTGCTAAATACCCGCCCAGTCTGGAGAGGGCGGTTAGTGCAAGGGTCAGCAGCTGCAACAATACCGTGAGCGTGCAAGCCGCCCGGAGCAAAAACTCTAGGTCCTCCAAACCGGGGCCTGTTTCCCCATTCGACCAGCCAGGTCTCGCCTTGTCCCTGATCCAGCATAATTTCTTCCTCCCAGATGCTTCGCTGAGCGGCGGCCTTCGTGCTGTCCCGCGGCTTTCGGGCGACCCGCAGTTGCTCGGGCATCCAATGAGATTGAATGGAAACAGTGGACCTGCCTGGCGTCACAGGTGTGATGTCCAAACACTTGAGCGCGAAATATCCCTCGGCCCACCACTTGTGCATTTGATGATTGAGGGCCAACATATTCCAGCATTTATCGGAACATGCTATTCCTCCCAGAACCAAACCACGGCTGTCGCCGGTTACAGTTGTTGTCAACGTCGTGTAGCAGTCGGTAAGCCTGTTAAGGTTTTGCTGGCTAGCATTAGCCGCAAATGGGAAGATGTGGCACACGGCGGGATTTTCCGTTCCTAGCAGTAAACACCGATTGTGGTCCCTGTCTAGGCATTTGGCCACTTCTGTAGCATTGCGTCGTGTCGAGCTTGAATTGCTAACGTTGGTCTTTGTCGTTATGGCTACCCTGCATAACTATAGTTGCATAACTATAGTTCAAGAAGCGTGTTGTCAGAAATTATACAATTGTTTTGGATTTTCAGTAATTTTAAATGTCCCTTTGCTCACAGATTCGCACAAAACTTTTCGTCATATGAGAGAGAGTCCGAAAGGCTAAATTTGAGGCCTCGCGAATGGTTTGCAGCGGTAGGTTGCAGATCACGCTCATATCGAAAGAAGAGAGGTGATAATACGGGCGCGCCGAGCCCACCTGCAGCTCATGCTCTACGTGTCTAGAGAATCGCAGACGCTCTGCCGCCTCGTCCTCAGGCAAGATATTGTTGACTGCAACTGTTCTAGGCAGCATGGCTAGAAAATGCCAGAGTTGGTTTTAATCTGCGAGGCTTGTTGAAGATGCCCCTAAAAAGGGTTCATAACAGTCGGCTGGGATTTGTTCTATGTTTCAGAGAGGTAAAAAAAGGGATTGAGCTTTAGATGAAATGTGAAAGTGATGAGTATGGGCTTCTTTTCAGTTTCCGAGGTGTAAAAAAGGTATTGAGCTTAAGATGAAAGATGATATTGATGATTATGGGGCTTCTTCCATGTTTCCGAAGTTTAGAACGACTGATAGAAGTACTCCGTAAAGGCAGACGAAAGACGGCAGGGATTATTTGCTTGAAGACTACGTCGTAGTAAGAGTGCATATTATTGTAGAAAAATATGCTAAAAGGGAAATTAACATGAGAACGGCGATTGCTATTTATACAGGCCTGGACACCGACAAAAACACGGGATTAACACCACCACGTCTTAATAAGCGTAATATTATACCAACAGAAAACAAGAAGCACAGCAAATCGCTATACAAAAGCAGTTCCTCTTTGGTAACATATGCCACTGCTTTTCTGGCCTCCTAGTCAAACAGATTCTTTGCAGTCTCTCCTGCCTCTCCTGTCGCCTATCCCCTAGTCGCCCTTAAATCGACGGGTTGACTTATTGGTGCGCTTATTGGCGCTACGCATACATCTGATTGAACATGGGCGGCTGTTATGATACTTCTAGTGCATGCCTCTTAGATGCCAAGCGCGGAAGCATGACGCAAATTGAGAGTACTTTAGATGAGGGTTGGGACTTTCGAGAGGGAGAGAGGTCGAGCTATATCACTACTCAAAGTGTGTATTTTGCCTGCGCTGCGACTATACAATACTCTACACTACGACAAGATAAGGAAAAGAAGAACAAAGGCAGACGCCTGAACACCCCTAACACTCCTAATACCCCAGCTCTCAAAATGCTGCCAGTCCAATTACCCGCGAGTCGGCGGCTCTGGATCTATAGTCCTCTCTGATGATTGTTATAGCTGGTGTTCTCTCCATAAAGCTCATAAATTACGTGCACGGGCTCGTGGCCGAGCTCTGCTAGGGGCTGTTGGTCATAGGAAGCCATGTTTGGTGTGTGTGCTGCCATTTTCGCTTCAGCGATATTTTGGAGCGGCTGAGACTGAGAAATGTCACTGGCCTGTTCGTCACGGCGGCGAGAGCGCAGCACAGCAAAGACAGCGAGGCCAACGGCGATGGCGGCGACAGGGAGGCCTGCTCCAAGACCAACCCCGAGGCTGAGTCCGATGTTTTTGGAGTCGCCCGAGTTCGAGGTTGCAGCTGAGGAGGAAGAGGCGGCAGCGGAGGCGGAGCCCGTAAGGGTGCTTGAAGGGGTGCTTGTGGTAGTGGGAGCAGTGGATGTTGTGCTAGTAGTAGTGGCCGCACTCGAGGAAGGAGTGGCAGTGTAGCGAGCCGTACCGGCGCTGCTGACCGGAGGGTAACTGGTGGTGGCGACGGTGGTTTCTGCAGAACTGATTATGCTGCCGTTGGCATCAAGAAAGGTGCCGCCGCCATCTTGACAGCACTGAGAGTTGTTGTTGCAGCAGAAGCTGCCATCGGAGCAGATGGTGACGCGCGGCAGGACATTTCTGTATTCGGTCTCGTTGTAGAGGCATAGCTGCGCACACTCCGAGTCCCAACCCTGGATGGCACAGGGTCCGCGCACAAAGGTGCCGGCGCTGTCGCTGGGGTTGTGGCATAGACGGTTGGACAAGCATGTGGCTTCGACGCCACAGCAGGTGTTGGAGTTGGGACATAGGCTGTTGTTGGTGTAAGCGAGGCCATTGTAGCCATAGCACTCGATGCCGACGGTGGTGTACCGGGCCGCGAGGTCCGGCAGTCTCTCCAGGCCGGCGACAGCACCTCTGACGGTAGTGACGAAATAATGGATCGCCAGAAGTCCGAAGCCAATAAAAAGAGCCATCATAGTGATTCCAAAAAGGGATCGGATGGTTACGAAAAGAGGGCGAGGAGACGAGGGGACGGAGAGCGAACACGGGCAGACACAGCGGCAACTGTCTTATAAGAGCCCGGAACGACAGAATGTGCACCATGTGGGCCTCAGCCATAGATATGCATGTCCTAATATTAGAAGGAGCTGTACAGGGTGCAAAGTCACAGTATTCTGAGCTTACGGAAACGGTGGGCCTGCGAGGGAAAGCGCTTGAATGCAGGAGGGTCGATTAGAGAATCCCTTATTCACACTACTGAATCCTTACGCCCCACCTATTTGAAGATGTATCTTACATCTGCGCAAAGGAATATGCTCTCATTGATTGGCTACTTAGTACGGAGTAGAGAGATCTCGAGGGTCACCATTGGCGAGAGGTACTGACAAGTCAATAGTGTACAAATGTATTCTGCACGTAGTAAACAAAGGGTTCTCAGTGCTATGGTCAGCCCAAGGATGAAGGATGGGGAAGCGCTAGGCGGTCTGAAAGCATGAAACGCTGCCTGCATCACCTTAAGCGCCCGTCATGTCAGAAAGTGGATATAAGCGGTTGGGTTTAGCCGATGCTGACAATAGGGACGGCTGGTGGTGGACGTGATGGGCGTGCTGATGACCTTTCTCTGCCTCTTGTTTTCTTTTGTATCAACTCCATACTATGTCAGTGTCTTGATATTGGCATGACCGATGATGCGATCAGATCACACCCGTCGCTTTCTCGACGGCACCAGCGCCATGCTTTTGCACATCTACGACCGCCATCGCTGGCGGATGGTGATGCCGGCTGGCGTCAGCCTCATTCTGCTCTGGGTGCTGTACGCCTCCTTGGCGACCCAGCCGTTCGCAGCGCTCCTGTGGCTTCCACAACACGCAGCCGCGAGCAGCAGCGCAAAAGGCCTGCCTGCAGAGACGACCAATGCTCTCGCTGTCGACACTGCCCTCCTGCGCGACATTGTCGAGTACTTTGCCGACTATCCCATCAACCACGAGACAGCCTCCTCCTTTGGCGAGATGGGACGCCGTACGCGCGTGCTAGGAGACTGGCTGACACGGGCCGACGAGCTGGAAGCCGCCAGCGCTGATCGCATGGCGCTGGACGCCGCTATCGAGGCCTTGGCCACACAGCAGTTTTCCTTTCTGGCCAGGCCACCCCGACATCCCGACACGCCCACGCCGCTGGCCGACCTGCGAGCGACATTTGCCGAGGGCACGACGGGCATCGTGGTGGCTGCGGGCGACGGCACTGCGCGCTTTGCCGGCCACCTGGTGGCGATGCTGCGCGACGTCCTGAACTCGACGCTGCCGATCCAGATCGCGTATGCCGGCGACGACGACCTGTCACTGTACCATCGGGCACGGCTGGCCAAGGTGTTTGGGGAGACGAGCAAAGAGGCGTCGTCGCCACCGCCGGCCTTTCTCGACGTGACGAGCGTCTTTGACGAGGCCACGCTGCGATTCGACGTGGCCTCAGGCGGTTGGGCCGTCAAGGCATTCGCCGCCCTGGCAGCGCCGTTTGAAACGGTCATCGTGATCGACGCCGATGCCGTGTTCCTGCAGCCGCCCGAGGCACTGCTCGACGCGCCCGGCTTCCGCGCCACCGGGACGCTGCTCTTCCGCGACCGCCTGCTGTGGCAGCACGCCTTTGCCGACCGCCACACATGGTGGCACGACCAGATCCGGCGTCCGAGCTCGGCCATGAGTGCCTCTCGCACCTGGACGGAAGAATATGCCGAGGAGGGCGACTCGGGCGTCGTCGTGCTTGACAAGGGCCGACCTGCCGTCCTGGCCGGCCTTCTGCACACAGCCTGGCAGAATACGCACGCCGTGCGCGAGCACACCACATACCGCATCACCTACGGCGACAAGGAGAGCTGGTGGCTCGGCCTCGAACTCGCCGGCGCTCCCTATGCCGTCGAGGCCCACTACGGCGCTATCGTCGGCTGGGACGAGAGCACCGATGGCACCGTCAACACCCGTGTCTGCAGCTTCGTCATCGCCCACGTTGACGCCACCGACTGCTTGCTATGGTACAACGGCAGCCTGCTCAAGAACAAGGCCGTCAATTCCACCGAATATGCTCTGCCCGACTCCTGGATGATCGATGGCACCTGGCAGAAGGGCGCCACTAAGCAGGACAGCAGCTGCATGGTTGGTGCTCCGGTGAAGACGCTCACGATCGAGGAGACCGCACGGCTGCGGTCTGCATGCCATGCAGCTGCGATAGTGGATGATTCCTTCCGGCCCTTTTGATAGTAGCGGTTGCAGGTTTAAATGTGCCGTTAAAGTGATTAGAGTACTGTCCAATCAGGTAGAAGCTGTGCCTAGGCCTAGATCCTTGTGCTAGGAGAGTTAAAAAGTAACCCGTCCGCCAAAAAAGCTTTAGAAGCATAGCTTAGTTTAGGGAGATATGCTAGAGAGGTGCTTGCTGCTTCGATACTTGTCGCTTTGTCTTCGGCCTTACAATTTGTAGATCTCTTACAAGTATATAGTTGTGATTACGTTTAGGAAACCATACATACTTGGTCAATTTGACATTAATAAAGCCGGTTTGCGATTTGTGATTACAATGATCGGGTTCTTGAGATGAACAACGGGCAGCTAGGGCTTGATCCTACCGTTATCACATTTGGAGACAAGCGCTACATAAACATTGAACGTAACGGAAAACCGTTGTAATAGCGAGTAACCTAAAGTGGACAAACACGAAATTAGGCGAGGGTATTCGCTATTATACGAGGCAACCAGATTTTGGTCTACGGGTACCGGAGAGACGAGGACTCTCCATCCCCCACCCTTGGCAAGATAAATATACTTGCAGACTGAAGCCTTGGCACGGATCTTGGCTGATTTTTAGCAATTCCAGTTCGCTGTTGTTTAACACTACGTTTACTAAACTAGGACACGGATTTTGCAATTGGTCCGGGACACGCACCTTATCATGGACTGCCCATAAAAAGTAGAAACAGACAGGGGCTCTGAAGCCAAGATACATATACACTCTTGGCAACTTTTCTTATCTAACCACTGTGTTCTGAAAAGGTATGGTGCTCGCACTTTTATTCAAGCTTCATCAACAGTGGGAATACTGCTCGCCTGTCTATCTAAACGCTATTTCTTCGCGGATAGATACCTTGATAGATGCGCAGGGTGTGAATAAATACAATCCTTATAAATGGTAGACCTTTCTCCTATACGTCCCCTGCAGTCTCTCGGCCTTGAAATGAATCTGAAGGCCATATTCTATTGTGGAATAACAGTATATGCAGTTTTTACATCACACTCCGCGATGTCGATAAGGTCTAACTCCAACCAGGCTACAGCAGTGGTCTCCGACAAGGAGGCCAGCAATTTTGTGTCCCACGATGGCGAGAATCTGGCGGACTGCCCGCGGACGATGGCGGACCTTGGGGTCAACGAGAAGCAGCTCGTTCGCAAGATGGACTGGGCCCTAATTCCTTTGGTGATGCTCCTTTATTTGTTTAGCTTTTTGGACCGGTAGGTCTCCAGAAGGATAGACCTGATAGAGCGTTGAAGACAAAGATCCAAGGTGCTAAAACTCTGTTGCATTTAGTGTCAATATCGGCAATGCCCGCCTGTACAAAATGGAAGCTGATCTTGACATGCATGGCACTCAATACCAGACGGCCGTGTCTATCTTATTCGTCACGTACCTCACCTTTGAGGTTCCAAGCAACCTTCTGCTTAAAAAGCTCACGCCGAGCCGCTGGATCGCTTTTATCACAATGACCTGGGGAATTATCGCTACCTTGACCGGAATTGTTCAATCTTACGGGGGTTTGATTGCCTGCCGCCTGTTACTAGGCGTCGTTGAAGCCGGATTGTTTCCCGGTCTTAATGTCTACCTAACTATGTTCTACACACGTCGCGAGATCGCGCTCCGTGTTGGCTTCCTATTCGTATCTGCCGCTATAGCGGGTGCTGTCGCAGGCCTTCTTGCCTACGGTATTGGGCACCTGGATGGTGTGTCAGGAATGAGCGGATGGCGAGTATGTGAGGGCCTGTATATTCAAAGTGCTCTAGACGACATGTGGAAAGGTGCATGTATTCTCATGCACTAGAAGCTAGTGCAGGCTGTACTGCGGGAGTGAAAACTCTGCACACTGACCCACAGGGTCACGTGCAACACGACATCACTGACCGACTAAAAAGTGGATCTTAATCATAGAAGGCCTGCCTAGTCCTGTCCTGGGCTTTGCCACATATTTCTTGTTGCCAAACGAGCCAGAGACAGCCTACTTCCTCAATGAGGCCGAGAAGCGTGCAGTCGCGTTACGCTGGGCCAGCGAGTACGGCAATACGAAGAGTGCCCAAGAGTTCAGCAAGGTCGACATGATGAAGGCTTTTACGGACTGGAAGGTGTGGGTTTTTTGCGCGGGTCAATTTGGTGCCGACACCATGCTTTATGGTACGTGAGAGATAATGCCTGCTTTGTTCATTGGGGCAAATTCTCACAGCCGTATAGGCTTTTCTACATTTCTGCCAACCATCATCAAGAGCCTAGGTCACTGGACGACGGCCCAGGTCCAGCTACTAACCATTCCCGTCTATTTTCTTGGCGCCGCCGCTTATATGACTTCAGCTTTTCTCTCAGACCGTATACAGCGCCGTGGTGTTTTCTGTATCGTCTTTGGACTTATCAGCGTGGTTGGATACGGTGTGTTAATCTCAGACACGTCGGCAGGCGTGCACTACTTTGGGTATGTATTATCTGGTTTCGGCTCTTTCGTTATATTCATTTTATCTCTAATCGTTACCAGGTGCTTCCTTGTAGCTATGGGACTGTATGTTGTTGTTGGCATTCCTCTGGCATGGGTAAGATCTTAACATCGTACAATCCCATCATCTGTCTCAAGCCTTGATGCAGTTAGCTGATGTTAATAGATGCCAAGCCTTTGCCCCCGGTATGGGAAGAGGACGACTGCAAACGGAATGCAGCTGACCATGGGAAATGCATCTGGAATTATGGCGCCATTTATTTAGTAAGTAAATCCTATGCCACCGTCTTTCATTTGTGCATAATATCATCACACTGCTTTGTCTTTTAACCAGCCAACAGCTCATCAGTCGATGCGCCCCGCTTTATACGCGGTCATGCCGTTACCCTAGCCATGGTTGCCTTCGCCGCTGTCACTTATGGGTTTATGTGGTGGTATCTTGATTTCGTAAATAGGTCAAGAGATGTCAAGGAGAGAGAGGCAGCAGAACAGGGCTGTCCTTTGCCCCCCCGTGAAGAATCGGAAGACTTAGGCGACGACAGCCCATATTTTCGCTACATGACATAGTTAACAAGTGCTACCGACTGCCACTAAACCAAAATTATACAATTACCCTCGTGTCGTGTATGCCAGAATGCCTGCTTGTGCCGTCTTGGCTCCCAATAAGATATACGATTTCGTTCTTTTCATGTCGTCCCCTCTAGGAAGGCATCTAGAAATGTCATATCGATGTTCTGCGACATCCAATCCTCATCACGCAGATCCAACAGCAAAGGGTCGACCAGGTCTACGGCGTCATGGGTTTGAGAACACCCGGCTTCCGCTCCAGCCCCAGCATCATATACCGTTGTTGCACTTATCTCGTGTGCAGCTTTATTGTTATTCGGCCGCATGATCCGCATGTCGCCAAAGTAAGGTATGAAGATGCGATCGCCCTTTCCGGGAGCAGAAATTGAGGTGGAAGTAGCAGTTTGGTCGTCGGGTTGGGCTTCAACACTGACATACGCGCTGTCTTCGGCGATGTGAAAGTTACCACTCGCTTCAATGTCCAGTAAGCGATGAAGAACATCGGCACTTTGTGCACAGAGTGCATCTTCGCTCGAATGGCTCACGCGTCGCATGGTTTCGAGAGCTTGTTCTATCATGGCCCGATCGCTAAGCGCTTGGTGGGAGAGCAGACTATCTACCTGGAAGGAGATCTCGTCTTGGTTCGGTGGATGAAGACGACGACTGCCACCGAGGTGGGCCAACACGAGTGTGATGGCCGCCATGAGACCCAGAAAGTTTGCGATACGGCAGCTGGACGCTGTCCAATTGAAGTGTCGTAAGAGGATAAAACGGGAGAGAACTTCGCGGGACGAATTAACACATGCAATTCGTGCCATTTCACACCGCTGTCTGTCAGCCTCGTCCTTGGCTAGCATGTAAGGGACGTAGAGCTGATTTCGTAGATCGTGGTGGAGCATCTGGACGAGAAGTCGTCGCATATCCCAAAACAGGTCGAGCGCACTCTTGGAGCTTTCGGCTAGGTTTGGTGGCAGCCACCATTGACAAGGAACGCTGTTCGCGGCTCTCTGCAGCTCCTGATCCAGCGCCTGTGTCGCCTGAACGTCTGGCGGGGTGGCACCGGAAGACCTTTGTGCCAGCGCAAGGACCATGACGTGGCGATATGCTTTCTCGAGGTATCCCTCAGGCGTTTCGACTGCCATGTCGTACGGGGATAGGATGTTACTGGTAACATCGGCCGCACCCGGTGGGAGGCCTAGCATGCGGGAGAGTTGAAGATCATAATGGACGATACGGAACCAGATATTGGGCAACTCGATGCGTGTACTACTGGAATCGAGGGAACGGAGCGTCTCTCGCCGGGGGTTGCTGTTTTTTGTTAAATGAAGTCCCATCGTCCGCGCCAGAAGCATGGCTCTCTGCACGGCCATCCAGCTAAGTCGCAGACGGCCACTGTTGCACTGGTATACACTCTCTAGAACGACGCATTCTAGACTCTCTATGCAGCCGAGCAGCTCGTCTTGCCTTGTTACGAGACTCATGGCCGTGTTGGCACAACGTTCCGTCAACGCAACAGCAGGCTCCACCAGGAAGCGCAGTTCTGGATACATGGCAGGTTGCATTTCCTGCAGAAAGACGGCAACCTGGAGCATATATTTTGCAATCAGAACAGGTTCGGAGGTCACCAGAGGCGGCTCACGTAGGACGCCATCTGTCGGCTGAATTCCGTCACGGCGGAGAGTAGCATATGACATGGTGATATGAAGTGTCGACAGTACAGGGTGGCGTGCAGTTGCCTTGCGTAGCAGCTGAATATCTTGATGGCAGGGCAGCAAACCATGCAAGGTTTGAGAGAGCATCTGTAATTTGGGGATCCTGGCTAAGCCGACGGTAGAAGCAATCAGCTCGTTTGCCGCTACTGGCGAGGAAGAATGTGCCGTCGACACTGGTGGTGTCGTCTGAGACAGCGTCGCTCGTGGGGCTGGACTCGGACTCCAGCTTGTGGCAGGCGTCTGTAGCGGGTTGCTCTGTGTTTGGCTGAGGTTTTGAATCTGGTATGTGAGCTGCACGACCATGTCCTCGATGCGCTGCAAGCGGCTGGCCGTGGCTGTGGCCATGGCTGTGGCTGTGGCAGAGGGGGTGGAGACAGAAGTAGCTTGTTCGTCATCGTCGGCAAACTGCTGGCTCACGCATCTGGTACCACGGCGTAGACAACCGGTACAGACGTCGCTGTTGTCGAAAGAACATTTCTCCTTGCGTCGCTTGCATGCCCAGCAGCTGTGCGTGCCTTTGCGTAGGCTTCGTTTTCGTTTCCTGACACGATCGAAGTACCCGTCATGTTGAGTTTCGTCCGCTAGTTCATCGGCGCCGTCGACACGCGAAGTTGGTGAAGCGTTGATCGTGTCTGACATGTTGCAAGTTTGAGCGCGATGCAACGCACGCACATCGTACACTACCCGATCACAAGTTGAGTGGTTACACTGCCGGTATCCCCAATAATCTTACATACCTAGGCAAGCTTGTTCGCCGATTGAAATCCTCGAACCGCAACTTGAGTTGCAGTGTGGAAAAGAGGCTCGTGAGCGAGGCAGCTGCCCGGAAGGTTACCTAATTTGGCACCCGGATTATCTAGAGCTCCGGAGTACTTCAGATCAGCCTTGGGTCACATGGAAATAAAGGTACCTGAAACTGACTAATCAAGACTGGAGATGGACCACGTCTGTTAAGAAGAAGTCAGCCCACTTAGTCCGGCGGGCCGGCGGACGAGAACTGGGCTAGCCTGTCTCGCAAGCTGTGACTTACACACTAATCCACCGGCCGGCCTCCGGTCCAGCTGCTCTTGCTGATTTCCGATCGATCGACCACAACAGACAAAATCAGTATATATGATTTGTATTTGACGCTCTCCATGTATCAACAGACACAAAATTACATACGAAGCAATGTCTTCTGCCAGCGACTACGCCGAAAACGGCCAACATCTCACTGAAGAGAATGATCGTTCTGCCATGGCTCAGAACGGAAAGCACAAGGACAGCGACAGATCGCAGAGTGACTCGGATGATGACCCTCAATATGCCACATCCTACAGGCTTATTGCCATCATGTTGACGATCAACCTGAGCACCATGGTTTCCGCTCTGGATCTGGTAGGTGGCCAGATAGAAGCATCCCATCGAGACACTGATTTGACAGCGCTGACTTTGGACCCTTACAGGGAATCGTGGCCACAGCTATTCCTGCCATCACCGAAGACTTCCATTCCCTAAACACGATCGCCTGGTATAGTGCTGGCTGCTTCATTCTCGTTGGAGCTTCCAGTGCTACGTGGGGGAAACTGTTCACCTATTTTCCGGCTACGATTGTCTATATGAGCGCCCTTGTGATATACATGATTGGAAGCGTCGTTGCCGCCCCAGCTCCAAACTCCGTTGCCCTGATTATCGGACGAGCCATTCAGGGTTTTGGCTGCTCGGGAACTTTAGGCGGCTCGGTCTTGCTCATCAACTTCACTGCGGCGCCCAAGGCTCAGCCCATGCTGATCGGAATTTGGATGGGCGTCTTTATGGGCGCCACCATCCTTGGCCCTCTCCTGGGTGGGGTATTTACTACAGAGGTGACCTGGAGATGGTGAGTTTTCCTGGTCTGGTCTTCGTCCTGATAACACACCTAACGTGCACACAGGTGTTTCTGGATTAATCTTCCCATCGGCGGCCTGGCCCTCGTTCTGCAAGTTTTTTTCCTTCGTATACCAAAGCACATCAAGCCGAAGCCTGCAACGTGGAGGGAAATCTTTCTGCAGCTCGATTTCTCGGGTTTCATCATCCTTGCTGCATCCTTGGTCTGCTACACCCTTGCGCTGCAATGGGGAGGACTGTCCAAGAAATGGTCAGACGGCTCTGTCATAGCTACTCTCATCGTGTGGGTTGTCTTGACCATCTGTTTCTTTCTGAATGAACGGATTCTCGGCGTGAGAGCAATGATGCCGCTGCATCTTTTCAAACGGCGAATGACATGGACGAGTTGTGTATACGTTTGGATGTAAGCATCTGTACCTCTGCCGTTCTCTCCGTCTAAAAACGATATGCTGATGTCTACAGTGCAAACTGCGCCAACTTCCAGGTGCTCTTCTATCTGCCTATTTACTTTCAGTCTGTGAAAGGCAACTCGGCCATCATGAGCGGTGTTTACACCCTTCCCTTCGTGTCCTTCTATGCAGTGGGCTCGCTCCTAAGCGGGTTCTGGATCAGCAAGACAAGGCTCCCAATCGCCACTGAGATCGCTAGTCCTTTACTAGCCCTCATCGGCACCATTCTCTTTTACCGGATGGATATCAATACCTCCAAAGCCTGGTATGTTGGAGCACAGATTCCGTTCGGATTTGGCATTGGCCTAGGCAATCAAGCCCCTGTGACTGCTCTGCAGGCGTTCTCCAAGCCAGAAGAAGTTGCAGCCATTACAGGCACCCTCTTCAGTAAGTAAAAAATTTCAAGAGTCGTCTACCAGAGAAATTACTGACAAGGCGGGATAGCGTGGCAAACTATAAGTGGCGCCTACTTTAACACTGCAGCACAATCTATCTTCGAGAACACCATATACAAAAGATTGGCATCCACAGCTCCAAATATCAGCGACAGTGAAATCAGTGCGGCTGGCGCCGCGGGCATATGGAAAACCTTTAGCGGACAGGATCTCACTCTGGTGCTCGAGGCATACATGGCGGGAATCAAAAATGTCTTCATTTTCTCCATCGCAGGAGCAACCGCAACTGCACTGTTTGCGCTCTTAATCCCTCCAACGAGACTCCCGGACCCGGAAAAGACGAATGAGAAAGAGCATGCAAGTGCAACCACTTGACAAGTTGCATCGCGCTGAGGTTTATGTATCGAAAATAAGTTTTGACAGCCGAGTCGATTCGAGTTTGCACAAAAGATGGGGTGCGAGTGCCAAAGATACATGGTTTTTAGACCGAAAACTTGCTCTGGGAAGTTTTCGCACTGGTTACTGCGTCTGATCTGAGACTCTTTAGGGAACACTTTCTAGATAGGAGATCGACTTGATCTTCTGTACATCGTTTTTTATTATCACAAATATTAATACTTTTTCTAAAATTGAACCGCAGAGTTGTCGGGCCCATTCTAACTCGCCTCTCGAGGGTCAGGTGGTGGTAATGCAGGAGCATCCAAGCCAGTCATACCCAGATGAGGCTACGGAAGATCGATTCCAACAGAGTAGTGGTCATGGAGGCCGCTTATTTATTTGTCAGAGACTTGCTTACTCGTGAAGATATTCCCCTGTACAACCTCTCGTTTTGGGTTGTTGTTGTGTAGACGGATCTTGAGCTGAAAAACGCTGTAAAGGACAGCTGACTGGAGCATCATGATTTCGGCCTCACATATGCGACTGATTGAAATGAGTATAGACATTCCATATGCTTGCTACATACATACAATCCAAAGCAGCTTCATCTCGAAGTGGCCTGTGCTGCCGCAAACTCGGCCCGCTCGAACAACAGACAAGCGTCTCTCACTTGCTCTTCCTGGTTGCCATCGTAGATCCACCATAGTTTCCCCTCCAAATGTCGATACATTTCGGCTTGACTCGAACCAACGCCCTCCTCCGTACAGCTGAGCAATCGACCCATCTCTGCAGACCTTACTACCACCTTTTGGGTTCTCAGTCTTCTAACTGAGTCAAACGATTGCAGCGCCAGGCGGACGCTTTGTGCCTTGCTGAATTTGTTTCGCGCCAGCCTCTCTGGATCGAGGTATTTTCCTAGGAGAGTATGGAGGACACAGGAGTCCTCGATGGCCATTGCAGCTCCTGCCCCGGAAAACGGGGTCGGGGCATGCGCCGCATCTCCAATTATTACAACCCGGCCTTTCACATACGTTGGCGCCAACGGCATTTCCCAGATTGAAAATCCGGTTGTCGAAGCATCGTCGGGAACCAGGCTCACAAGCTTCTGCACATATGGATCCCAGTCTCCGAACCGTTGTTGCAAATCAGCCGTATCCACGGGAATGCTCCACAAGTCTTCTGTGACACGGTCATGGCTGTTGTTGAACGTCATCACTCCAATGAAGAACATGGTTTTATTGACCATGGGAAACCCGAAAATGAGTCCGTTCTTGCCACATCGGAGGGCAAATTCGGGCTTTACATAATCGTCGCCGAGAACAGCCTGTGCGTCTTCGTATGGGATCGTGGAGCGATATGAAATCACGCCGGTGAAGAAAGCATTGGCGGCCTCATGATGGATCCCGAGGATGTGTTTCCTGACCATAGAATGTATACCATCCGCTCCAACAACGACATCGGCTTTCGCAAACGTGCGATCGCGAAAATGTAATACCATGGGCTCATTGTCATCCCCCGTCGGTTGTATGATGTCAGTAAGCTTCTTCCCAAACTTGGTCTGCGAAGGAGGGACTAATTTAACCAACTCCTCAAGGAAATGAGCTCGATGGATCGTTGACCCTCGTATGTGGTATTTAAATTCGGCTATCACACCACCGACATCAGGCTCCTGTCCTTTAACAGCTCTGACCCAAGTATGCATCCCGTTCTTATCCGGTTCTTCTTCGTGAAAAGCTGCTCGATTTTGAAACCCATGTAGAATTCGGGGATCGATAAGTTCCATGGCACGCTGTGCGCTGGGCCCTAGAACGGCGCTCGCTCCCTGTTCGGAGAACTTCTGGGAGGATTCGTACAAGGTTGCGTCGATATGGGGATACTTTAGGAGACCGATGAGCAGCGTGAGACCTGCAAATCCGCCGCCAATAATGGCCACGCGAATGCGTTCATTATGCGACGTGCCCATTGTGATCTGATAAGTTCAAGTACCAGTCTATAGGTTTGTAGTTTGAATGAAATGAAGTCTTTGCTCACCAAGACGGTTTTTGACGGCTTCTGCGTACTATTTAAAAAAACACACGAGTTCCGGGTGCAGTATCATCAAATACAGTACCTTACCATAACGATGCCCGGAAAGGACAGAATAGTACCATATGCCGTCGCACTGCATCCCTATTGTGACCCGGCAGACGTGCGAAGAGACGGAAAATTGAAAGTCAGCCCGACCTGGAATAGAGCCCGAAGCCCGAAGCCCGAAGCCCAAATACACCGGTACCCTCAATATCCCGGGATTACAAGAAGAGAGAGCAACCGTGCTGATCTAATTCTTGCTTTTGATAATAAATGCCGACGCAGACACCGCCACGTTGGGAAACTGTTCATTGCAATTAGCTCACCGTTAGGATACAATGTTATCCATCACTGCCAATAACATTGCATTCGGCTTCACTCCGCTCATTGGGTCGCTCCTGATATACTCCGGAATAAAAGGCACATTCATCAGTCCACTGGAGTGTACGTGTAATGAGTTTATTTGTAGCCTGCATTCGGAGACTGATTCATGTGGAATAGGGGCCAAAGGCTATGGTCTGCCGACCGCGACTGCAGAAACCGCTGTACTCTTCCCCGCAGCGACAGGTCGAAATTTGGGCGCTGGATTCTTTGTCTGGGCCATGATACTTACTGGTCAAAGGATGACTCTTGGGGTGTTTCTGACATGTTGGGCGTGGGCTGGAGTTGCGGATACGATGATTCTGTATAGGCATCCTCGAGGAACAAATTCAGGCATGCATGCTCGCAACACCATTATACTTCTTATACTTGGCCCCTTCCTTGCATGGCCGTCCCACAAGTAGCAAGAGCTAGATAGAAATTGCAAAAAAGAGACCGAGGGAATGACAAACGACATACAACTCAGGGCTTCCAGGTTGAGACCTCATCGTGGTCTATGTGATTTAGTTTCTCTGTGTCAGAGCAATTACGCCTTCAAACATGAATTAAAGGGTTCTAAAAATAGCACCCGCATAAAATCCTCCTTCAATTATTTTTTAATTCCACATCCAAAACTTGTCATATTGAATCAGGAAATTTTAGCAATAATTATTGGCCTTGGTGCAAGTCAAGGCAAGTCGAAGAATTTTGGTCGGCGCATAATCCGATAGAGGTATCATCCTCAGCAACACGCTGTGTCTGTCCGCTAGGGAGTAGTTTGTTGATGTGTGACGGTAATGGTCGGTAAGCCTGCTTTGCGGCATTTGTAAGGTCGGTAGTAGTGGATAATGGGATCGGGAAATTTCTCGCATCGCAGCACCGGAGGTCGGCGCCGGGATGGTTGAGTTCTTTATGACACTACGCGACCCGATGCGGTGGAAACACATGCTCGCATCAATTTCCTTGGATAAAGAATATCCCGACAAGGAGCTTACTTTTTTTTTCCTCATATATGTCATCAGTGTGGTGGTTCAAGTCGTCGAGAAGCCTGTCAAAAGAGCACGATCTGATAGCAGCAATAAAATGGAGACCAAACACCAATTTGCCACTTACGGTGATCAGGACGAATTCGAACCGGCCAATTGGTCTATGAATATCGCTGCTCGATTACCTACGCGAGCACCGCAAACGAAGCTCAATATATTAATCGTTGGCGCTGGCTTCAGCGGACTTACATCGGCTTTAGAGTGTTGGCGTAATGGACACAATGTCGTCGGAATTTTGGATCGCAACCAGGGTCCTTTATATACTGGTACGAATGCCACAAAGACGTGACTATAAAATCAGCTAACAGCCCGTTGTAGGAGACCTCATCATTCTTCAGCCATCTTCACTCCGATTTCTGGTCCATTGGCCCGATATGCTGCGGGAGTTGGAGGAAGATAGAGTGGATGCCCCTGTCTATTACCGAAAGCATACAGGTGAAGTGATTCTCGGACCTACAACTCCGACATACAACGACCCAGAGTTCCTAGAGGAACGAGACGGCGTCCCATTTGCGGCCCCCGTACAGATTCGGGTCAGATTCTACCGCATGTTATTGCGACAGCTCGCCAAAATCGGGCTCAAGGTCAATTACAATCAACAGGTTGTGAAGTACTTTGAGAATGAAGATGCTGGAGTGGGTGGTGTTGTAACAAACGACGGTTTGATACACGTGGCAGATCTGGTCATTGCCGCGGATGCCTTTCGGTCGGAATCCGAGCTACTGATCGCCGGAAAGCAAATGCCCACGAGGTCCAGTGGCATGTCTGTATACCGCACCTCTTTCCCCACCGAGCTGGCGCTCAAACACGACGTTTTCAGGAACAAGTGGGGAGAGTTTGTGAAGACCAAAGATAAAGGAGTGAAGGAATACTGGCTTGGCCCCGGCATGCATCTAGGGCTGTTTGTCTCCGCGAAAGTGGTTGCCTGGGGGTTTACGCCGCGCGACCAGTTCCTGCTGCCCAACGGGGCAGAACCAGTCGAGTCTTGGGACGCCGACGTCAACCCAGAAAACGTGATCAAAGTGCTTGAAAGCGTACCGGGATGGGACCCTGCTGCAGCTGCTATCATACGTGCGGCTCCGAAAGGAACGGTGGTTCACTGGCCTCTGTTGTGGCGGAACCTTCGGCCTGAGTGGACATCGAAAGGGGCTCGTGTCGTCCAGGTTGGCGACTGTGCGCACTCAAACGTCCCAACGTCGGTGAGCGGTGGTACTATGGCGATCGAAGACGCCGTGACTTTGGCCGCCTGCCTCCGAATCTCTTGCTCGGCGGGCAAAGGCCGTAATGCACCTCTGGGCGCTCGCATCTACAACCTGCTGCGCTACCAGCGCGTGAGCTGCGCGCAGAAGATGGCTTTCGTCAACTCCCAATTGCTGGCTGCCACGGACTGGGCCTCCATCGAGAAAGATCCGCTACAGGTCCGCCTTCGATTTCCTCGTTGGGTCTTTCACCATGATCCAGAGAGCTATGTATATGAGAAATATGGGCAGGCATTTGCTCATATCCTTCAGGGCACGCCTTTCCATAATACCAACTTCCCTCCAGGCCACAATTTCAAGCCATGGACAATAGAGCAGATGCACGAAGACATCGCCGCTGGAAAGAGTGCAGTTGATTTGCTGGATGGCGATTGGTCTTGAGAGTGTAACTTAGTAACCTGCGCAGCTAGGCCACCAATTTGATGACTGTACGGAGTAGCATGTCCCCTTTGCTGAAATAACTAACAGAAATGACCAAGAGTTATTTAAGAGAACTTCCGGGTGATCTGAATACGACTAGGGTTGTATCAATCTATGCATATCACAGTAAACCAGCTCACATTTGATATAGACATACCAAGCATTCTTCATACAACTACAAGTCCAACCTCAAAAGCCACAGTCGGATGGCTATCGGATATCTCTTTCCTCCGTATGACGAGTCGCCAGCTTAAATCCCGGATGTTGCCCAACAGCTGCTCCATTTGATTCATGGCTATGGCATGTTTGTCGATCGTCATCTGCATTAAGAGCAGGTCGTACATACGCACTGCTGCCTCTGCCTTGCTATTCGCCTTGGTTGATCCGAGCAGCCCACTTGCCACGATGATTAACCTTGAGGATCTGTTTTGACGTAAAACATCAAAATGAGCCCACAGCATCTGAGTGGCTTGCGAGAGCATGTCAACCGGTGCTGGCACGATAGAAGGTGTTGGCAGGTGAATGATGTACAACCATGCGTCCGTTATGCGCTGCGCAGACGTTGGGACGCAATGTTGGATGGTGACGTGACCAAAACCAGCATTGTCATGAATGCCCGCACAAGTCGGCTGAGTCTTCATGCTCAGCTGGATGACAAAGTACAGCTGTGGATGTCGACTGGCTACCGCACGGGCTACCGCATCGGACTCGCAGCATATCTGAACAACAGTGGAGTTGTCCGACGACGCATCGGCCATCCACGATTCCAATAGGTCAGCAGTGGCTCTCTCGCTCGACAAAGCCTGCTGAAGCACCTGGCGCTGAAACGCAGCGGCCTGTCGTTTCAGCCTCGGCTGAGGAGAACCGCCGAGTGGGAACGCCGTGATGGGATACGGAAACGCAGGGTTGCGTCCGTGTGCCGTCCGGGTTTGCAGCTGCGTAGTGAGTGGTGTGTTCAATGCCGTACACAAGACAGCGTCACCGAAGAACAGGACGGCATCAGAGAGGGCCGTCTTAAGCAAGAAGTGGCGAGACAGTTTGGTGTGGGCGACGAAATCAGCTTGCGGCTCGCAGATAAATCCAGACATTGCTGTGAAGCGGACGACGCGTCTGAGCTCAGATACCGATACACAGGCCATGTCCGCAACATCCTGGAAGGGGACTGCTTCGTCAGGGGGGACGCAAGCAAGCACTTGTGATCTGTTGAGCCAGTGTATGCTGGCCAATAGCTGCGACTATGTTCTGCGGGTAAGCCTGTGCTCCTCAAATGGTCTCGCGATCTGCGAGTCTATCTGAGGAAACATACCTGGCTGACAAGTGCGCGCAGAAAATGGTCCGCCTCGTGCGGTTCGGCGGAATTGTCTGACGCTACCTGGTCGGTCAGGTCTGTGGAACAGGGCGGTCGAAGCTCAGCCATGGTAGCAGATAGTTGTCGTGCTAGGTCGATTCATTGGCAATTTGGTGAAAACTTAGAGGCCACTTAAGCAGGTTGGTAGGAAACTACGTTGAATGGGTGCCGTAATCCGCTGAATCACAGAGACCCAATGGCCCATCTAGTCAACAAAGCAGTTGCACTTCTATACCACCTACTCATCTTAAACTTCCCGGCGGAGTACCGGCGGAGTATCGGCGGACGGCTCAACAGACCAGCCACTACTGCAGGTGCAGATGCTGATAAAACCCCCTTCCTACTCCGTCTTGATTACGCGTGTTTGCTTACTTCCAACGCATGCGGGCGACCACCGAACCGTTATTGCGTCAGCAGAGGGGTGAGAAGTGACCCACGCAGTACAGGTACGGAATACCTCTTCATCTTATTCAGTCATACCCACACAGCCGAGTAGTCAAACATCAGATATCGTCAAGGTGCAGTTAGCAACCAGCATATAGTACTCAACGCAGCTGGCCTCGTCCTTACGTGTTCTTCAATTTGGCCCTGAAAAGCAGCCCTTTCATGTATGGATCGATTGAGCTTGTGGTCGACTAAGATTTCCGTTCCATCATGGTTAAGTATACGTATCATTCCGACCAATCCCATTATGTGTTTTCTGTGGGGTTCGTTCGGAAGATTACATTATTCTAGACTTCAGCTAACTTTGCTACTATAGCTCTGGAAACGTCCCGGAGGCAAGTTCGCAGTTCACTCTCAAGGCTAATGGCTAGAGCACTCGGTGGACTCGTACCCAAGTTCACGACGCGTTCCATTTCCGGGTCGTGTAAGAGACCGTAAGCCGCTTCCGTCCTGTCACAAAGAAGGATTTGCGACAGACGTTCCACCAAAGTTCGAACCGAATGCATCTTTGAGAGAATAGTCTGGCATATGACACGTTCCTGGGTACCTTCCTCGACGGAGCCGTATCCTGGCATGGTCGCAGAAATCGGCGGCGGTACTTGAGGCAGCTGGGTCCTCTGTCCCAGCGGCAGCCATGACGCTACACATGGCACCCCGGCAGCAGCAGTGTACCACCACAGAATCTGAAAGATGATATGCGAAAGGATGAGGACAACACTACTGTTCATAGAACATTGACACTTTAGTATCGGTCTGATGGCTTCGATGCTTGCTACGTTGCGCTGCATGATGTCGTCAAAGGTATTAATCGCAGAACCGGACGCCCCGGCGTCCGTTCCGACGCTGTCTTGCCGATGTTTGCCCTCGCTGTTGGGCATTCTGGGACACATTGCCAGAGGAGGCGTTAGGGTACCGAGGATGCCCATAGCCAGAGATAGGCAATTGTCCGACAGCGAGATATCAGAAGAGGCACGAATCGACCCAAGGTCAACGGCAGTGCCGATCGGAACAGAAGAAGAATGGTGTGGTGTATAAGCATCTGGTTCGTCTTGCGTGAAAGTGGGAGACCAAAACATCCAATCAGAGTCATCAAAAGGATCCTGGCCACCTGCCTGAGGCGTGAAGGCTTCGGTATTGGTGCCGGCAGAGCCAGCAGGGAGGTTGATAGTGATGTTGTCATTCTCTGCACCACTCGACGATGCCTCCTCGTTGGACCCAATCTGTAGGTCTAAAGGTTCCGGAAATTCGGTTCTGGTGGTATTGCGCTCTTTTGATGGTAGTGGCAGCGTGAAAGCATAGGCTCCATCGATTGCAGGATAGGTGTTTGTAAGGTCTTTGGGATCAAGCATGAAAAGATCAAGAGGCATTGGTTGGCGGCTTGATATGGTGTTTTCGGGAGTCCCGATAACCGTACCACCGTCAGGTGGGGGAAGGGAAACACTGACGCTGCTCAATGGCCGCCTCGATTCGACCGCGCTCTTCCGTGGTGGTTGTCGCTTAGGCGGCTGCTGTGAAGAATCATGCTGCTGCTGCTGCTTCTTCCGCCCCGCACGCTTCATTGGCCCATAGATGCAGACCTCCCCCCGTCGCTCACAGCGTGCGCAAGTGGGTTTCCCTCTACTGCATGCCATCTTGACTTCTGTGCATGCATCGCAACTGCTCCGCAACACGACTGCTCCGTGATTTCGAACCGTATCTGGACGACTGGGTGCGAACATGGCGATCTGAGCTGTCAAACCTCAGAGGGGTGAACGGGCCAGTACGGCCGACCAGAGTATCAACGCAAGGTAGGGTAAAAGAACGACCTCAGAACGAGAGTTGAAGCTTTGGTGACGCGGCATAGCCACGGCCTCAAAGTTGCAGGATAATCATTGCTATAACTATATGATCATTATGACAGTAATCTACAGCTTTACTGCAGCACGTCTAGCAGCACAATGTAAGCTTGGCCGCGTAATGCATCTTTATCGGTATCAAACAGGGAATGCGGATCAGTCAGGATTGCTGGGAATAATCAAAAGCCGACGCTGTAACTATACCACAACGATACGAGCTGGTCTTTGCTGGGTTGCAGCATTATCGGTGCTAGATTTGTAACTCCGACCAATCAGCAATATATGTCATACTTAAAACAGGAAGCTGCAAGTACAGTGCAACACTACCAGCGGCACGGGCTGGCCATGGCTGCATATCGAGTCATCATCTGTATTTTATACGTGGACCTTCCCATTGCAAACGCACGGCATCAGCAAAAAAGAGAAGATAAAGTGTGGTGGGTCTCAAAGATGAACCAGGGCTTGAGACGATTACAAGCCGGTGGGAAACATGGTATTTACACCTCGGGGATTGCCCATCCACAGTCCGGATCTCACGTCAGCAAGTGTCGCACCTCAACAATATGGACCAACCAACGAGGGTCTTACGGCTGCGTAGCACGATGATCGTTGTGCTCTAACGGCCCGGACGGAACCCTACGCTTAGCTTCGGTGCCTGTGCATTAATCCGGCCTTGGTTCCATGGCTTCGACTGATTGTGTAGCAGTTCTCGCCACGGAAATAGCCAGGTCATCATGCGGATTACATACCTCCGTACCCCCGCTAACACCAGCCCGAAACCCCTCCGATATGCTCTTCCCTGCGTCATCTTATTCTTGCTACTCCACGTGGAGCCGTCGCCCCCCAAGAAAGTGCACCAACGAGAATGCAGCATGAGTCAGGCACACATGGCGTGGAGAACAGAATCTTTGAGGATGGGAGGTGAGCATGTGCTGTAGCCAAAGAAGCGGCTTGATTTTAGCTTCTTGCAGTAAACCGGGCCGTCTCGACAAATTGGCGAAGCGTTGGCCTATTTACCGGCAATCATACGGAATACTTGAGCGGATTCCTTGTCCGGATTCTAGATACTGACCGGTCGTTAGCCAATATCGGGTAATGCAGACAACCTACGATAGTGGTATCGTCGCATTTAAGTGCAGTTTCGTCTTTCGTTCCAAACTCTCATCGATGGTCCCGTTTTCCTAAACGGTAAACCGAACGACCATTGCAATGCCTACAGCTGCGGAAGTCCAAACAGATACGTTGCAGCGCTTTATCGACGCTTGGAAAAGATGGAACGCTAAAGAGACCATCAGCTTCTTCGCTGAAAGTACAGACTTCCGGCAAGTTACTATGCCGTTCCAAATGAATGTGCCAGAGCGAACGAGGGCCGAGGTCGAGCAAACCTTGCCATACGTCGTCCGTGCTGTGAGAAAGTACAATGTAAGATACACTACGAGTAATTGAAGTTGAAAACCGCAGTCTGTAACATATTACCACCAGCTTCGAATACACCGAGTGATTCATGACCGCCAAAAGGGCGAGGCGGCTATCTACGCTGTCTCCAAGGGTGACACGCCATTTGGTCCCTGGAGCATGGAATATGCCACATTCCTGACATTCTCGGAATCGGGCGACAGGATCACAAGGATAGAGGAGATGCTAGACTCCAACCATGCGCAATGGTTTGGTCCGCAACTTCAGGGTTGGATTCGGGGTCAGACCGGAACAGACGTGGATCAATGAGAAAAGTTGGCAAATATACCGACCGGCACCCGGCCAGAGCTACAGAAGGGAACCGGGCACGCTGGGGTATTTCCTGTTACTTTAAGATTTAGAGTCCGGCTCTCAGACAAAAACCACAGCCGTTTTCTGCTTCATGCTCCAATCATACTCTGAATGATATACTAAAGATGCAAGCTTCACATACTGCCGAAGGCGTAGCAATCGCTGCCGGGTCTTTTTTGTCTGGTAAGTTTCAAAGCTCCGAAATTTCGGTGGGGAGTAAGCGAAGCTCAACATTCGACGTCATAGGTGCAATGGTAAGCATCTCGCTGCTTGCTGTCCCGACATGTCTGGACACGGCGGTGTCGGCCACACAACTCTGTCGCATGTGGGAGCGAGTTTTCCACTATGGTCACCGAGCTCTGCCGGCACTTGCATTGGCAACTTGTGGGCTCTACATGTCAATTGGCTTCCGGGAAAGGCCCGTACGACGGCAAATGATAATCGCAGGCTTTGCCACTGTGTCAATCATGCCGTTCACATGGATTTTCATGTTTCCTACGAATGATCGGTTGTTTGCGATGGTGGCTGAAGGAGATATCAACCCTCCGGATTTTGATGAAGCCAGGAATCTTGTCCTTAGGTGGTGGCGACTCCATCTAACAAGATCATTGTTTCCTCTGATCGGTGCGATAGTCGGCCTGACGGCCAGAAGATAAAGAAATTGTGGTGCCTACCAAAATCAGTTCTCTACCAGAACTACAACCAAATGATTTGTCCGAGCTGTCCGGAAATTGGCCCCGATGTTTTTCTGTCGAACGGACATGGCCAATATGGGTGGGGTGTGCACGATTGTGCCGCATGATGGAAGAATACATGTACTGTGTGGCACAGGGGGTTTTAGTAAGGGATTTCATGCACGTCGGCATAGCTCAGAAGTACCTAACCATAACAATACACACATGCTCACTGGGCACCCATAATTTGACCTATTCACACGCCCCAGCTCCGGAAAATGGGTTTTGTCTCCAACGGTGTAAGTCCAGTCACTGCCCAATCCCGTCGGCCCGGGGAATTATGCAAAAACATGAGGTGTGCCAGTACCCCATCATTGCGGTGATATATATCTTACCTGCCAGCATCTGTTCCTTGATAGAGTAAGCCACTTCGGAGACCACCACCGCCATCATGTCTATTCTTGCCGCTTCACAGGTCAAACTGAGACCCAATCATCTGGGTCTGGCACGTATTGACAGAAATGCCTCATCGGACTGCTTTCCCATCATCAATGCCTTGCTGCAGAACAATCATGATAACCTGAATATTTTTTTCCGCCCTGTAGGGGGTCATAATCATACAGCACATGCAATCTTGACAACATATGCCATGGGTGGGAACGCGAAGGACCTTAAAAGGGCATTTGAGGACAACGACCACCAGCAAATACCCATTCCTCCGACCGACCCGGCTATCGTGGCCGAGATGAAGAGATCGGAAGGTTTCGTAAAGTATCTGCGAAGCCAGGAAAACTACAACAACTACCTCAAGTTCTTTGAAACAGAGGTCGAGACACATGGATGCAAAGGCGTCCTCTGCCAGTATTTGTTTGCTAGTACTCCAGTAGCTAAAGCTATGTTTGTGCAGCTATACGAGGGCTTGTATCATCCTTTGATCCACATAGGATTCGGCATTGAGTTCGATCAACCAGCGATTGTTGCCGAGGGGTTAGCTCAAGCAGCCTCGCACACTTCGGGAAATATTAGCAACTACTTCGCCCGATGTGATGAGCTTGCCCAAAGCGAAGGGGTACGATCCACACCACTTCGAGAACTGTATCGTAACGTTCGAGCCAGCGACAAGATTCGTACGGCAGTTCAGTTACAACAAGGGCCTAATCGCATCAGAGATGGTCTTATGCCAAATGCGATGGAGGAACTTGCCGTCATTGCAGCGCAGTTCCGTGTTGGAAGGGATAATCTAGATTGGGAACGCGGTCTCATTGAGTCGACCAGTTGTGCTGCATACAATGCAGCAGCAGCACAGAGGGAAAGCAAAGCAACAAAACTCGACTTCTTTTCCATGCACGCGGTCACCAGCTCCATCTTCCTTAGCCTGCTTGTCCGACAGTCGTGGATCGCCAACGAGAACAAAGCCAAGCTAATCGAATGGAAAGGCAGACTGGATCTGGCTTGGTACGCGTCCAGTAGAGCGCCGCAACTGGACCTCCATTTCATCACTTCCTACCAGCCAACCATTAGCAAAGACATGAATTGGCACACTCTGTACGAAGCGATCGTCAACAGTCACGACGATGGCCATGTGGCCAAGTTCGTGAGAGCTCTGTATAATGCAGAGACAGAAATGCGAGATTTTGTAAGCCGTGTTGGCCGGGAGAGTATTACAAGCTTCCCCATCCAGGGCGATTTGTGGTTTCGTGCTGCCCAGATGTGCTTAGACAGCACAACGGACATGCCACTAGATGAGAAATGGCTTATGGGGTCAGGATTCGACACAGTGTGGGACAGAGTCCCGGAGGCACTATAGAACATTCTGTTAGGATACGGCAGTAGCCATTTCAATAAGAGGATCGAAAAAGCTCCGAAAATGAGATTGTGAAGTATGTTGCATGTGGAAAGATGCACTTCGCATGGAATACAGCGTTGTGCAAGCATACGTACACTGTGTAGCGCATCCACCACCTACTTACCGAGAGATTTAGGCACTCACTTCGAGGTACCCTCCCACAACAACAATGGAACAGCTGCTCGTTATATCTATGGTACGCGAGGCTGGAATTCCACTTCAAACATTGTAACTAATGACAAACCCCGTCCTGAGTTGCTCTACTCCTCAACTTTGTTACAGCATTCACTTTCGCTCATATATCTGATCTCTTGGATTCACTATTTGGTCGTTGTTGCTAAGATCAGCTTTGCTGGCCACCAGCCACGAAATCTCTTTGTTGTATTTTCTTCGGCCAGCATGTCGCCTACTTCCTTCAACAATGCATCGATCAACGACGAGCTAGAATCGACGAATGGGAAAGACAGCATATGCTCTAGCACTTCTGATCTATCCATTTCGAATGACCAGCCATCCTCATCTTCAAAACTTTGAACATCATCGGGTCCTGTGTGATAGGGCTCAATATCCAGATGCGCCATCTCTGGTGGCAAGAGCGGTGTTAGGCCACCTTCTTTCATATTTAAATGTATGCGGAGAGCCCCCGGGGAAAACAAACTTGGATCCAGGGGTGCAACATTGTAGAACCCATCCGTCCTGGCCATGACCAATGCAGTGGCCTGTGGAGATCTGGACTTTTTCAAGAGCTCTCGACCCCCTTGATGGCTAATTTGTTCCCACAGATTCTGAAGATTGCTATCAGAAAATCGTGCCGGACCGAAGACGGCACACGCGAAAGTGCCACCTGGCTTGAGTTGCCTCGATATTGCCGCCATGGTTGCTCTTTGGTCTGCGCCGAAGTGCATCACGTTAGATGCGAAGACCATATCGACAGAATTAGCAGCCAAGTCTTCGATCTGGTCCATTCTCGCCGTACGGTAAGTGAAGGCACCTGCACTCCCTAGACGATTTTCTGCTAGATCCATGTTCGACTTTGCAACGTCCGAAAGAATGACATGGACAAATCTGGAAGCCAGAATTGAGGCAAACGGACCGTTTCCGGCGCCAACATCATGAATAGTATTAAAGGATCCCCCTTTAACTTCATGATAATCGAAGATCCGGTGAAACAAAGAGTTGGGAGGCTTCGGTCTGCCTCTTAGATAATTTTCCCAGAAGAACTTATCTTTTTCGAATAGCTTGTCATCGGTGGAGCCCATTGTGTGATTTTAGCTTCGACGATGGGTTTCTTGCCGATGTTGGTATTACACAAACTATTAGGGGGAGGGAGACAGAGTGCACGTATTATGTACGTCTTTTTCTTTGTATGCATTTTATGTACCGAGAGGGACAAAAGTATTCCCCCTAGCTAAGAATGCATAAGAAGATGCTGATTATCGTCCGCACAATATTCCCTCCAGCTTTAGGACTCTGACGTAGCAAATGATTTTTAATTGAAACTCAGCTACTACGGGCTAATACTACGCATATTGGCATGATTACAAATGTTTTGTCGGTTGCCATCAGTAGTAAACATCTCTTCTGACTCCGCTAGTGCTGGACCGGTGGGCTTGACGATGCGCCTCGCCGTGGTACAGCTCAAAGATGTAATCCCCCGGTGGTTCTAACCTCTTCGCTCGAAACTCCTCCGATTGATGGGCCTAATCATGCCGGCCCGGTAGTCGGTAGATATGGGTGTAGGAAGGGTAAAAAATATCGCACTAAGCCGAAAAATATGCACGCTGGAGTTCCGGGTGGAAATTTGGCAGATCCTACGCCAGCAACGTTGCGCACGCTAACGTTTTTCAAGTCCCAGTGCCCATTTGGGTCGTCGCACGCTTCAATCATCCCCGCCGCCACATCGAGGTAAGAGATAAAAGTCTGGTCTTGATCGAGACTGAGCTCGTGACCCCGCTGCACGTCCACCGATATCCCTCCGGGTTTCATGTATATCGCCGTGATCCAATGTTCTTGTTGGCGCAAAATCATCTCTCCCAGACGTAAATCCTCGTAGACGTGAAATGCCGATCGGGACAGGATGTACCTGAAGAATGTTCCCATGTAACGGCTCAAGTGGTCGTCTAATGTAGACGACGATAGGAGGCATAGCTTTGGAAGTGCAACACTAGACTCATTGTCCAATTGGTCTTGGGCGTTCTTCAGCCTTCTGAAGGCTCCGATGATGCTGAGGATGAGATCTTGGCTAATGTGGCAGCCAGGAACGTTGTCGTTCGTACTGGCAACGAGAAAAGCAGCCTTGCAATTTCGCGTACAAGTAGCCAGCAACTCCTCGTCTTCAATACTGCCTTCGTATATGTCCACTCTTTTGTTGTTTTCGACTTCTGGAAGCAGGCGGTAGAGTTTCGCTTGATTGCGGCAGTATGCATTGATCTTGACGCCTTTCTGAGCCAGCAATAGCTGCATTAGAGCCAATCCGCAGTTGCCAGTAGCCCCTAACACGGCATATAATTGATGAGTGCCTTGCATTGCTGATGATTGTTGCGCTGCGTCAAATGGATAGATCTAAGATATGCGTGTTGTAACTGAACAGGGATTCTGTTGTACAATTTATGGAGAAGGGTTTTCATTTACTCCCTTATTCGCCTCTGGGATAAAGATCCGACCGGGTAATTTACACGAAGGCAATCTTCGCCAAATCGTAAGTAATTAGTTGTAAGAAATACGTATAACTGGTAGAAAACAATTGGATTTTATACGAAGAACCGGGTTGGAGATTTGATAGTGCACAATAAGAGAGAACCCTTTAAAAAGTAGTTAAGTATGTACAACTAGGAAGGATCCTAGCCCTGTTTGGTGTACTGGAAGTGATACCACTTTGTCCTCGTACTTTCTGTTTTTAGCAATTATATACAGCTTGCAGTGGATTGTCCACGATATGTTATCTACACGACTGCTTCCTAAGTGGAAAGAAGATAATCGCATGCCGCTGTATTGTCTTAAAGCTTTGTATAACATTCATACAATTCTATTTGTGATGCTAGCAAGTTCAACTTCGGGACAAGCGAACCTAAGATTCGTCCATACACGCTGGAAAAAAATTTAGTCCAGCTTTTCCGCGAACAATTTCTCATAGTCATATTCGGTCCACCACACTCCTGGTTCTAGACCAGAAAACTTCCATTCTCCCTCTACCAACTGGTAATGACTTTTGGAGTTACCATGAGCGTGTCCTTTGAAAGCAACCTCCTTCAATGTATCGTCAGTATACTTTTGATGTGCTACACGCATCTGCTGGTGGCTGATTAGGTGCTCGTCGTCAACCTGAGTCCATTTTGTTGCACCGATGAAATGCTGCGTTTTCAGAGTTGCGTCGCCAAGAAAATGGGCTCCTGATACCTTGGCAACAAACTTTTCAGCCGGCAACGCCTCCCATACTTGACCCTGAGGCATGATCGCTCGGTAATCAAGCTATAAAGCTATCAGAAATTATAGCCAAAAAGATACTGTCGACATACATAGAGAGTAGGCGCAACACATTTCAAAAGGCGCGGCCAGTCCTTGGTGTCGAAACTTTCGGCCCATTCGTACAGAGAAGTTTGGCATTGAGCCACGACTGGAATTTGGTGCAGTATTAATGTGTGCACGAGTCTTGAAGCATCGCCATTCAAATTTACCTTCCCATGGAGGCGGTGCTTGCTTGGAAGACATTGTAATTTTGGTGATGAGATACAAATCCCTTACAGAAACAATCGCTTCTTCTTCTCATCTATCTATCACTCGTCAGCGGAGTCTCGAGGTTCTTGGGGTGGAAATGTCCCGGCTTTTCAGAACGATCCACCCGACCGGGTTGCTATTCCGGCACGTAGACTACTCTGTCGGCCAATAACGTCGTATACGGGGCTTTTTGAGTGTCTAGCCCGGTCCAGATTCTTCTGCGATAATGGAAAGCGTCTCTGGACCTCAAGAGAAGCAACTCGTCTGTCATAGAACACACCGCCGCACCATCTCTCAGAGCGTCTTTTTCCAAAATCGATACAAGCATCCGAGAGCATTTCAACCACGACTATAGTGAACATGAACGAAATGCAGTATGTTCCAGGTCGTTTGGACGGAAAGGTAGCTTTGGTCACAGGATCTGGACGAGGGATCGGTGCAGCTATTGCTATTTACCTCGGCCGACTTGGCGCAAAGGTTGTTATCAACTACGCAAATGCTGAGGAGCCTGCGACCAAGGTAGTCGAAACTATCAAGAGTCTCGGATCGGACGCCATTGCTATCAAGGCCGACATCCGTCAGGTTCCTCAGATCGCGGGTCTTTTCGACAAAGCGGTAGCGCACTTCGGAAAACTCGACATTGCAGTTAGCAATTCTGGAGTTGTGAGCTTCGGTCACTTGAAGGACGTGACAGAAGAAGAATTTGACCGTGTTTTCAGCCTTAACACTCGCGGTCAATACTTTGTTGCGCGTGAAGCCTACCGCGTTTTGTCAGAAGGAGGCCGGATCATCATGACCTCATCCAACACGGCTTTCGACTTTACTGTTCCTAAACATTCGATCTACTCGGGCTCAAAGGCTGCCATTGACTCCTTTGTCCGAATTTTGGCCCGAGACTGCGGTGATAAGAGAATTACGGTGAATGCTGTTGCTCCAGGCGGCACAGTGACGGACATGTTTCATGCGGTGTCTGTCCACTATATTCCCAATGGTGAGGCCTACACTGGGGAGCAGCGGCAGAAGATGGCTGCTATGGCCTCGCCGTTGGGTCGGAACGGCTTCCCGGAGGATGTTGCTCACGTTGTTGGCTTTTTAGCTAGCAAGGAGGGTGAGTGGATTAATGGGAAGAGCATTACGCTGGATGGTGGTGCCAAGTAGCTGCTGATGGAGGCGCTAAATTGTGTGTCGAGATGTAGTTTAATATACATGAGCTACACAACTTCCTTCTATACTTTGACATTTCTGTTACGTGTCTCTCTTGACCGGTGATACCGCTCGTAATACCACCAAAGACGTCTGATCAATCGGGAGATCGTGAAGTTAATCACCAAAGAGTTCATCGTATTTGAGTGCTCGTTCTGCTCGGTCCATAGTCAAAGGAATTCCCAGAAGTTCGACTCGTTAAAATTGGTTTACTCGTCACTAAGAGGTCAATTTCTTACGCGATCATGACATGTCACATCCTCTGTGCTTCCCTCCATAGATGTTATTCTGTTAGAAACCTGATGTTATTGTCAATGTTATGCCATGGTAGATGCACGGTGTAACCGTGCTAATTAGGCCTCTCTTCACAAGCCGGAAGCCTCTTGAGTAAGTTTGAATGTGCCGGTCGGGGGTGATATTGGCACACGCTGCTCGTGTTTTTTTCAGAAAAGGCATAAGCGATTTCCTTGAGCGATAACAGAGGCCCGGAGGTAATCTTTTGGTCGGGTTGTTTACATAAGTTTTATAAGTTTTTTCCGAAACACAGATATATCAGGGGATATAAGTTTGAAACATATGCCATTCCGTGGGTAGGGATTTTCTGAACAGACCATAGTCTTCCTTCGCTTGTCTGAAAAGTTCAACTGTCCGTATCCACTCAAAAGATCCACTCAGCAAGGCTGCCAATATGTCTTGCAGCAAAGTCTACATTCTCGGAGACGACACGTTCAACTATGAAGTTTCGTTGGCACGCATACTCCGTTCGGACGACCAGAATTTGAACAGGTTCTTCCGTGATGCATATACCGCAATTCGAAAAGAGCTTGCCAATTTACCTTTGCATGCACGCGATGCTACACCCAAAATCTCCAGCCTGAGCGATCTGCTCAGTCGAAAACGAGACGGCTCCATTAGTCCTGCTATGGAGCAGGTGACGTGCTTGGTCCATTTGTTTGCATCTTTCATTGTGTGGGTCATAACACATCATCTATTGACGGGAAGGCAAATTGCTGACTATAGTGGTAAGGCAACACTTACCGGGCATGTTGCCATACCCTACAGCGGAAGATAGCAATCTACTGGGCATTGGAATCGGCGCCCTTGCTGCTGCAGCCATCAGCTCGTCCGAAGATGTGACCGGTCTCATTCCGGCAGCAGTCCACGCCGTCGTTGTCGCTCTGCACATGGGGCTGAGAGCTGATCAAGAGGCTAAATCGATACAAGGACGGATAACTTCTCAATCATGGGCCATGACTGTCGTGGGCGTTTCCATGGAGAAAGCCACACAAATTCTCGAACGGTTCAACTTCGAAAATGTAAGAGAACTTCAAATACGACTCTTAAGAAGCTCATTGACAATGATATCTAGAACCTCCCTCTTTCATACCATGCATACGTCAGCAGTATTTCGGAAACTGCTCTTACAATCAGCGGCCCGCCTGAAGTGTTGATAAGGGTGCGCGCGCATGATGACTTTGCGGGTCTCGAGAAGGCTGTGGTTCCAATTTGCAGCCCACGGAATGCCAGCCATCTTTTCGACGGGGAGGACGTAAGCATCATTCTGGAGAAGGCTGCAACGATGACCCCTACCAGGTCGACCGCTTCCATCCCCGTCTTGTCCTGTGGCACGGGTAAATTTCTATGGGCCAATGGCTATCGGAGTGTGATACACAACGCCGTCTATGACGTCTTGTGCCGGCCTATGCTGGTAGACAAATGCACAGAACATCTTGAGTCAACTTTCCAAGCCAACCTTCCTGTCGAGGTTTTGGTAGTCCCTGTGGGTACTGAAGCATCTAGGGCTCTGCAGAGTAGGCTCAGCACTGCCCTTCAAGGTTCTGTTCAGATAAGTGTTCAGCCGCAGTCACCTTCCAACCCCAGCAGTACCTCGTTTAGTCCGAAGGGAAAGTGTAAGATTGCCGTCGTCGGAATGGCAGGCCGCTTCCCAGGAGCCTCGAGTGCCAATGAACTCTGGTCCTTGCTCCAACGAAAAGTGGACATGTGCAGGGAAGTGCCTGCTCTCCGTTGGGATGTCAACACTCACGTTGATGCAGAAGGAAAAAAGAAGAACACAAGCAAAGTTCGATGGGGCTGCTGGCTGGACGAGCCAGACAAATTCGATGCCACGTTTTTTGGAATCTCCCCTCGTGAAGCTCCACAAGTCGATCCAGCGCAACGCCTTGCTCTTCTCACAGCGTACGAAGCCATGGAGCATGCCGGCATCGTTCCTGGCCGTACTCCTTCGACCAGAGAAGATCGAGTGGGCGTCTTCTATGGCGTGACAAGCAACGATTGGTGCGAGTCGAATAGCGGACAAGACATCGACCTCTACTACATCCCAGGAGCTAATAGGGCATTCATCCCCGGTCGAATCAACTACTTTTTCAAGTTTTCAGGACCCAGCTACGCCGTTGATACGGCGTGTTCCTCTAGCCTATCAGCAATTCATATTGCGTGCAACTCGCTTTGGCAAGGCGATATTGACATGGCTGTTGCCGGTGGAACTAATGTAAGGCTTTGATCATCTACACACTATAGCGAGTCTAACGAGAAACTACAAAGGTTTTGACGAACCCTGATATGACGACTGGTCTTGACAAAGGCCACTTCCTCTCTGAAACGGGCAACTGCAAGACATTCGACGCATCTGCCGACGGCTACTGTCGAGGAGAAGGCGTAGCCACTGTCCTGCTCAAGCGGCTAGATGATGCGATTGAAGACGGGGATACGATCCACGGTGTACTGGACAGCGCCTACACAAACCATTCAGCAGAGGCGGAATCCATCACACGTCCTCATGTTGGGGCGCAGAAGGATGTGCTCGAGCGGGTTCTCAACAACTCAGGCACGCATCCAAATGAAGTGTACGTGTGCTCGTACGTACCCATCTGCTGCCGAGAGCTGTACTGAACATTCACAGGTCATATATAGAGATGCATGGGACAGGAACCCAGGCAGGTGACACGCGGGAAATCACATCAGTATGTGAGGTGTTTGCACCCATAAATGAGACTCGCCGTCGACCTAGATCAAAGCCTCTCCATATCGGAGGCTTGAAGGCCAACATTGGACACGGGGAATCGGCTTCGGGAGTCAGCGCTTTAATCAAAGTTTTGCAGATGATGAAGCACAACCAGATTCCACCCCACTGTGGCATCAAGACGAGATTAAACCCTGCATTTCCCAGGGATCTTGCTGAGAGGAATGTTCACATTGATCTCGAGACAGCTGCTTGGCCGAGAGAAGATGGTGTTCCTAGGAAGGTCATCATCAACAACTTCAGCGCAGCAGGGGGGAACAGTTCTATCCTGGTGGAAGACGCACCCCTGCAGCCTCAGGCACTAGACAAAGGGGCGGACAGTCTCAGACCTATTTATCCAGTCGCCATCTCTGCCAGGACTAGCTCGTCGCTAAAAGGCAACGTCAAAGCAATGTTGGACCATCTCGCCAACCACACGGGCACTGTTTCGCTACCTGAGATATCGTATACGACGACCGCTCGCCGCATGCATCACCACTTTCGCTTCATTACTTCTGTTTCCGATCTGCAAGCTCTCAGAGAGAAATTGGAAGCGGTTTTAGAAGCCGGAGATCAGGACAATAGTACAAACAAGCGCGTCGTGCCTCCTAAGGCAGTTCTATTCTCCTTCACAGGGCAGGGAAGTCAATATCCAGGCATGGGAAAGCAGCTCATGGAAAGATTAGGCGTTTTTCGTGACGATATCACAAAGTTCGATCATCTTGCCCGCAAACTTGGGTTCCCGTCCATACTTCCCCTGTTTCAGGCCAGCAATGGTGATGCCATCGCCGACTACGACCCGGTCGTTGTACAGCTTGCGAATACGTGCATGCAGATCGCGCTAGCAAGGATCTGGATCTCATGGGGCGTCAAGCCAAGCGCTGTTGTTGGTCATAGCCTGGGCGAGTATGCAGCATTGAATGTCGCTGGAGTGCTTTCTGACTCGGATACGGTCTATCTGGTTGGTCGCCGGGCACAGCACCTCCAGAACTTTTGCGAGCCATATTCCCACGCGATGCTTGCGGTGGTTGCATCGGTCTCCGAGTTGGAGAACGTCAGCGGCACCATCAGTCGCTTCGAGATTGCTTGCGTCAATGGGCCCAAGGAGACCGTTCTCGCCGGCACTGCGGCTCAAGTGTCAGATTGGAAGAAGACACTGACAGCGGCCGGCATTCACAGCACACATCTACGCGTGCCGTACGCATTTCATTCGTCACAAATTCAGCCGATCTTGTCGGCATACGTCAATAATGCCAAAGGTGTTGCCTTTCACGAGCCTCAAGTTCCTGTTCTCTCACCACTGGAAGGAAGGGTGGTTACAGAAAGCCATGTCTTTGGGCCCGCTTACGTTAGACGACATGCTCGAGAGCCCGTTCAGATGATGAAGTGTTTGGAAGCTGCTTTCTCCGATGGAACCCTTCCAGCCAAAGGAGCATTCGCCATCGAATTTGGACCCCATCCCGTTGTGTCAGGAATGATCAAAGCAACGCTTGGGTCGGCGGTGACTGTTCTTCCAACATTGCGCCGGAAGGCAAACCCATGGGAGGTTCTGACCACCTCGTTGTGCTCATTGTACGCCGCCGGGTCACCTGTTGTGTGGGATGGCTACTTCGCCGATCTGCCATCTGCACGGAGGGTTGTTGAACTGCCAGCTTATACCTGGGACATGAAACCGTATTGGATACCATACAGAAACAACTGGACCCTGACAAAAGGCGACATCCCCTTCGAGGGCTCTAGCCTCGCCCCTCCAAGCGCAAAGCCATCTATTGTGGCAGCTCCCTCGGGATGGGAGCCGCTCCCCATGATCGAGAGCACCAGTATTCACAGCGTCTTGGAAGAGACTGTGATGAGCGACGGACTAAAGATTTCAGTCGACTGTGACGTCAGCCGCGAAGACATCAATCCGTTCATACGAAGCCATATTGTCGAGGGTTACAGCCTTTGCACCCCGGCTGTTTATGCCGACATCGGCTTCTCCCTTGGGACGTATGCCCTCGATCGCTACCAGCCGAACCATGCTGAAAGAGTTGTGTCCATTCGGAACATCGAGATCACGCGGGCCCTGATCGGCTCGGCCGAATGGAAGCAGACACTGCAATGCACAGCCCAGTTCGATTGGGCATCCAAGGGAGGCAAGCTTCGATTCACTGTGCACGACGAGGCGGGCACTGAAGTTGGCCAGGTCTCCACATGTGAAGTCAAGTTTGTTGATGGCTCCACGCGCAAACAGCTGCAAGCAGAATTGGCCACCTTTAAGGGAAATTTCGAACGAATGAGGCAGTCAGAGACGAGTAGTCGATTCAATGGCCCAATGTCGTACCGGTTGGTTTCTGCGCTGGCCGAGTTCAATCCTGACTACCACTGCATCGACGACGTGCTTTACGACAGCGATGCATATGAGGCTGCGTGCCGCGTCAGTTTCGGGCAAATGAAGAAAGGGGGCAGATTCCATGTAAATCCTGCCGCAGTGGATGGCTTGACGCAGTCGGCAGGATTTGTCATGAATGCCAACAACAACACCAACCTGCAGGCAGACGTCTTCGTCAATCACGGCTGGGCCGACTTTCAGCTATTCGAACGGATCCGCGACGATTGCCAATATTCCACGCACGTCAAAATGAGGCAGAGCGATGAGCAGTTGTGGACCGGAGACATTGCAATTTTCGAGGGCGAAAGAGCTGTGGGTTTCGTTCAAGGAGTCAAGGTTAGTCTCTGGCAGGTGCTTCGTGATCTGATTGATATTAGTCGTTGAAACTAATGCTTTTGTGCACAGATCCAAGGTCTTCCTCGAAAATTTCTCAAATTTTTGCTCTCACAAGCAGTCAAGCCACCCAGGGTTAAAGGCAGGACCGTCGGAGCTCCTGCTGGAGGTAAGCCGGTTGTGCAATCTGTTACCGCGGTAAAATCGACTCCGGTCGCGCCGACCAAGGCCTCAGCTGCATCTCCAGTAGCTTTGCCGAGACCCATCCCAGATTCTTATGGGCCTCCGGCCACAACGTTTCCGCCTTCTGGCGACATTTTGGCCGTGAAGAGGGCCCTAGAAATCATCGCCGAGGAGAGCGAAATCCCACTTACCGACTTAAAGGATGATACACATCTCAGCGACGTCGGCATCGACTCACTCATATCCCTCATGGTGGCCAGCAGGTTTGCAGAGGAGCTTGGAATCACCATCGACGCTAGCACGTTCATGGAAAAGCCCACAGTCGCTGACATCAAGCAATTCGTTATTGAAACTGCGACCGGTTGCGCTCCTGGGAGGTTTGCGGAAGTAACACCTGATATAGAAGAGACGCCTACTGTGGATCTGCCTACTCCAGAGGTCCTTACGGAAGTAGCAAGATTCATGGCTTCGGTACCGTCCATGGACTCACTTCAATCTTGGGCACCCATAGGCCAGTCAACAACAGACACGCCTGGCGTCATCAACTTTGATGATGTCTTGAAGATCATGGCTGAGGAAATTGAAGTCTCCTTGGACACAATTACTGACCAGACGTCGCTGCACGACCTAGGGGTAGACTCGCTGCTATCTCTGCTAATTGGCAGTCGTCTACGCGATGAGCTAGACATCGAGATCGACCCGTCTTCTCTACTGGACAGCCTCAGTAGTGTCGGGGAATTGCGGCAGGCTTTGACATCCAGCAGTGGTGAAGGCTGCACACCGTCTTCGACTTCTACAGATACTGGAAATCCTTCCTCATCGAACACGGCCAAGCTGGACAGTGTTGTATCGACTCCGACATCTGGGAGTGATTTCGAAAGTGTGCCGGCTCCAATTCCACGTACCGCCTCAGTTATTCTTCAAGGGACCCCTCGATCAGCCACCAGCAGCTTGTGGTTCTTCCCCGACGGCAGTGGACTTGCTTCTTCGTATATTCCACTTCCCCGAATCAGGAGTGACCTCGTCGTGTACGGAATCAACTCTCCGTACCTCAAAAAGGGCGTGGAAATGACATGCACTTGGGACGAGTTGATTGGAAGTTATATCCAGGAGATCCAACGTCGCCAGCCGCAGGGCCCTTACAGCTTTGCCGGATGGTCTGCAGGCGGAATTGGTGCTTACCATGCAGCTCAGGTACTCATGAACGCAGGTCATAGCGTTCGAGATCTCATTATCATCGATTCACCTCCGCCCTTTCACCTAGCGCCTCTACCAGAACGCTTCTTCCGCTACTGCTCTACGGCCGGACTGTTTGGAGGTCGTGATGGACAGGCTCCTGAGTGGGTCATTAATCATTTCCGCAACATCAACAAAGTGTTGAGCCACTACATCCCGACGCCATTGAAGCGTAGCACGCTGCGAAAGATCAATATTTTATGGGCGTGTGAGAGTTCCGTCGACGATCGATTCGAAAGGCAGCCAGACGATCCAGAAGACATGAAATTCTTGACTACGAAGCGTACGGATTTCACTCCTGGTCGTTGGGGCCCGCTGTTCGGAGACGTGCCAGTACAGGTGGATCGAGTGGAGAATGAGCATCATTGGAGTATCTTGGTAAGCTTGCCTGAAACTCTGTGGCTCTAAGTCAAAACGTGTCCTCAGCATTTTAATTGACACACCGTGCTTCTACAGAAGGGAGATTCGGCTGTCAAAGTTTCACAGTACATTGCTCGAGCGCTAGCCTGAGATGGAACCTAATGGAAGTGAATTGAGAGGGTTGATGTTTGGCATCTCAGAGATCATTCAAATAGCCAATGACTCCAGTATGTACCTTGTGTTGTTATAGGTGGTATTTTTAGTAATTAAAGACTACCCGATGATCAATCAGTCACGGCTCATTCCGATCACGGATGACGTTCTGCATTACGTATGAAATAGCAAAGCCGTCGCGCCCTTTTTCACAAAAAGGATATTAGAATTCTGCTTAGTGAAACTCTGCCCTGTACGTAAGCAATACATATTTCTTGTATTGTTGATGCGCTACTCGTAGGTAGACGGGAAGAAGTACCTTGCAGCAAGGGCATGCTGCTAATTCTAGCTTTCACAACATAAGAAGGCTTGATTCCAACTTAAAGCAGGAAGTCAACACAGGGACAGAGGAGACTGTGTTCTGAGACAAGATGATCGTGCAGCAGCCGCACCGTTGCATGCTTCTGCACAGTGTGGACGACGCGCTTCTGGTTGACGCTTGCTGTGGCGACCTCATCTCGCAAAACAACTCGCTTGCCACAGACATGGAGCGGACCACTGCACCCGAAGCTGCTCTTGCTATGCTGATTCAGGAACCGTCCCCGTCTGTCATTGTGGATACCGACGGTGATCCCACGCGCCTGCGGCGGGTCTGGGAGCGTGTCATTGATGACCTCCGTGCTGGAGCCACAGTTGTACTTAAAGGCTGTTTCTTTTCAATAGCATGGTTAGCCAGGTTGAAAACGATCGCGTTTTCGCCAAGCTCGGCCTTCCCTGGCGTCGAGAATCGTATTTCCGAAGTACGGACAATGTCCGTCGCGGGGTAGTGGGCCACGGCTTAAAAGGCCAATTCTCGCCAGCGTACAGCCAGAAGGCGTTGTTCGTGACGGGCGTGGAGCAGTTGACTGTTTGGTATGCTGAGAGCACAACTCCGCAAAAGACTGCCGTGGTGTGCGGGCTTCTCGACGCTTGATTTCGGCATCGTAGGCAACTAAGGTCGAAGATGCATGTCTAAATTTGAGGGACAAAACACTATTTGGCGAGACGAGACACATTAGTCAAGGTTGTCATCCAATATGCACATAGACATCCGCAATTTGAAAGTTTCAAGCTTCCGGAAGCCGATCGGGTGTCGTTGATAAATCCCACGAGAGATTAGACAAGCAAATCGCCACCATCAGTAAAGGAACGAACGACGTACGGAGTACATGAAGATCGACAGCGTCACACTAGTGTAAGGCTAGCAAAGCGGATAGTTCGGTACTTAACACATCAGTGGAGAAGGGGAATAACGGCGCGTTGATCTATTATCTCGCCTTCCTTTGAACTCCGTGTCAGCCCGCATGTAATATTAGGCATTAGTTTCATGATGTTCTACTCGTGCCCCGCCCCACCCAGGGCGCGCGTTGAAAAACGCGCACCACCATAGGTGGTGCTAGCCAGCCAAATAGTCACACCAGCCAAATGAGCACTATTTCCGTATTATCACCACCTCCTATTTTAACCTCGCTTTAAGCGGCGCATGCGCCTCCCAGCCTCCCGAATTTCATATACGCCTAATCTCCCTTCGATTCTTATCTCCCTAGCCCTTTTCGCGGCAGCCATAGACCACTTCTTTATTGCGCTGTAGTACCTTTTCTCTGCAGCCTTGATTGCCCGCTGCTCTTTAGCCTTCCTCTCTTTATCCTTTTGAACAACTATCTCTTAGGCTGTATTTACGTTAAGGGTTTCTTTTGACTGTAGGCTTGTATTTGCTCTTAATTGTGCTTTTCTTCTTGCTAATTTAGTAAGCTTAGTGCAGCCTAGGTTCTTCTTTATTTAAATTAATTTAGTAGCAATGGTAATTGTCAAGCATTGGAATCCGCCACACTGTGGCCCTTCCGCCCCACTTGGCCGTACGGGCCTGTAATTGGTTAGAAGGCACAAAAGCGGGTCCTGACACTAGTATTAATACGGATCCCTAGAAGGGTCGCGATGTATCTATTTCTTCCTTAGTACACAACACTCTTTCGCCCACACTAGACCCTATTCAGCCTCCTGCTCCTCACAGTGCATCACGTTATATGACCGCTACGTATAGCCTCCTTTAACCTTCACAGGTTATGAGCCCGGCCCAAGAGGACCGGGAGAAGCTGAACAAATAAACCGAAAAGCCTTCACGATACGCTTCGTGAAGCACCTAGTGCTTTGGGCACTGATCTGACGGACGAAAAGAACCTTGTCAAGATCACTAAGGTTATATTTATGACCTCGCCTGGCTGGAACAGAACTCCCAGTGGCAGACTAAGCAGCAGACCTCTGATCGTTGAATTAGAATCAGACGCTAAGTCCGAATCAAGCATCGGAAGCAGCATTTACGTAGCTAACGAAAATAGCATTCACAGGGCTGAGCTTGACGAAGACACTCTAAACAACGAAAACGACGCTGGTGGTGAAGAACCTGATCAGCAGTCACGAACCTCTAAATCCTTTTACAATCTAGAACCAAAACCTAAATCTCCTACCATGTTACAAGATAGTGCAGCGGCGCCTAATCCGATTTAGGTCGACCTAACATGCATTAAGCTGTTTATAAGCTGCTGCTTAAAGCAAGTGCTAACGCTTACTAGCGGCGCAGACTAGAATGAATAGGAGAAGAACGTATTTAAAGGCCTTAGCCTGCTAGGCATTAACGATTTTACTACTATTAGGCAGATGGCTACTAACAACCGTTAATCGATTAAATACGCTATAACCCTACGGGTTAACAACGGCTTGCTTAAGCAGACTAAAGGAAATAACATTAAGATTATATACAAAACGCTTAAACAGCTCTTAAAACTATAGGAAGCTAATCTAGCTATTAATTATAGCACTAAATTTTAAATAACAATGCGCTAGTACAATAGCGAAAAGATAAAAGACTTCTTTTGTAAGGGGCTGGTGTACAATGCGTGGTTACGAAGGCTTAACTGGTTTGTACTGTTGTATTAAGACTTCAACTTAACGAACTATAGGAGATTGGTAGGCGAAGGCCTGCCAGCCAATATATACGTGGCTGGAAGATGCGGTGCAGCGCAAACCCAGTGGGGCGTGGCGCAGCTAAGTGGCTGTGCTAGTCCCGTGCAACGTGTCAAGATAGTTCGTTAAGTCCGCCGCTTGGTAAGCGACTGGTTGCCGAACCGGTGCGTAGGGACGCGTGTGTGGAATACCCTTACACAGGCCGTCGCCTACTAGTCTTTTATAGTTTGTTAAGTTAAAGTCTTAATATAATAGTACAAAACTAGTTAAGCCTTTATAACTACGCATTGTACACTAACCCTTATATTCTTTAACTTCTATTCTATAAGGAGCAATGTTCGATTATAGGGCGGCTACTTTGCGATTAGCACGCGAACTGTTAGAAGCTAAGGACGTGCCGATGCTACCCCCTACGCTAATGCATAGCAGCCACACTTTGCGCGTAGCATTTGCAGGCACCCTAACCTTGTTTGTCGAGTTAGAAACAAGATTAGTATACGTGCCGCTTAATAACACCTTGCCGGCTAAAAAGCAGCTGTAAAGCGATAAATATACTTGTATTATGCAAACGCTAAAGGCATTAACTAACATTATAGCTATAAAGGTTATAGGGCTACTGCCTAGCAGTTAATACTATAATAATAAGCTACTATAATATAGCATTAGAAGGCTAGAAATTAGTGCCTTTGCTATAAAGATAAAAGAGTAGTTAGCGATAATAAAAGACGCCTATAATACTAATGTACGTAGCGACGTATTTAAAATATATAAAGATTATTTAATTAAGTAGGTAGTTAGCTAACTACTATACTAGCAGCTAATTAGTAAAAGTACTATAACTAACTTTACGTTAATAAACCCTTAGTTATACGCCTTATATAAACGCACTTTATTATATTTATTTGTTAAGAACACTTAAACCATAAATTCTAAATGCACTATATTTATAAGGAAAGCTAGACGCTTTAGTAAGGCGGCAAGTTGTTAATAGTATACTAGTAGAAATAAGACTACTTATAATAAAAGATTAGTAATACTTTTAACTAAGTAAGTAAGATTGCTTAAAGGTATTAGTAAAGGCTTAATAACTACTTAGTAAAGTAGTATTAGAATAAAACTATTAGCAAATTTTTTAGTATAGTAATAAAGATTACTAATGCTTATAAAGAGTATTAGTCTTAAGGCTAAGAATAGAAGAAGAGATAAAACAACTAAAAGTAGGCGGTTATAGTTGACGGCATGCTAGCTAGCAGGCTAATAAAGAAACAGCGCTATAATAATAATAAGATAAAGAAATATAGTTTTATAAAGAGCAACCTAAGCTTATAACTAGTTACTAGCTAAGGTTAGTTTACTTCTTAACTTGCTAACCTTAGTAGTTTAAACAATATTAACGTTGCGTTAAAGTGCTAGAATTATAGTAAGAGTAAGCATACCTTTTAAGAGTGCTTTAAGCTTAAAACTTACGTATAAGTTAAAAAGCTTTAAGCAAAACTAAAAGATAGTCTTTAAAAGCTTAACAACTAAAAGGCAACCTACTTTAACTAGGAAAACTAGTAAGGTTAATAAATACGCCTTATCCTTTATTAACTTTACTAGTATAGCTAACTAAGGATGTAATTCCTTACTACTATACCTTAGCTAAGGCATAGACGCCTAGTAATTGCTAGGCTGCTATTATTATAAACTTAGATTTTTATACTAACTTAAACGTAGTTAACCTAGAGGTTATTTAACAGCTTTGTTTAAAGCCGCTTTAGTAGTACTTAAACCTAAACCTAGTCTTTATTAATAGGAAAGCACTATAAGCTTGCAGCCTATATAAGCTAACTATTATACTAATAAAGAATAAAGTCTTTTACGCGTTAATATATGTAAGGGTTGGTGTGCAATGTGTGGTCACGAAGGCTTTAAACGTGTTGGTACTGTTGTATTAAGACTTCAACTTAACGAACTATAGGAGACGGGTAGGCGAAGGCCTGCCAGCTAATTTATACGTGGCTGGAAGATGCAGTGTAGCGCAACCCCAGTGGGGCGTGGCACAGCTAAGTGGCTGTGCTTGTCCCGTGCAACGTGTCAAGATAGTTCGTTAAGTCCGTCGCTTAGTAAGCGACTGGTTGCCGAACCAGTGCGTAGGGACGCGTGTGTGGAATACCCTTACAATATAGGTCTTTATAGCTGTTTGCTAAGTAGGCGCTAACTATAAAGATATTATCTTAAGTTATAAGAGACTAAGGTTTCTAGGCGTTATTATTAATACTATTTAATAGGCCTAGTTATTTGCTATTATAGTTTTTAAGACCTTTAAGCAAATAAGCTAACGCCTATGCAATAGTAAGAAGTTATTTACTATTTGCTTGACGTAGTTAGATTTAAGTTCTTTTAAACTAGACATCCCTACTATAAACAATAATCTAGCTTTACTAGACCCTAGCTAGCAACCGCTATTCTATATATAACCGTTTGCTAAAGTGTTTAACATTAATAAAGTAAAGGAACTACCCTTATTAATAGACGTAAAGCACTTAATTTAGCTAAAAGACGGCGTAAAGGTACTATATAGCCTTTTATACCTACTATCTCTTACCTAGCAAGAGAAGCTTTACTACTTTATTAATAAGTTATTAGCAAACAAGCAGATTGCTTATAGCAATAGTCTAGCTAAAGCCTTAGTAATTTTTGTTTTAAAGAAGAATAGTACTTTGCGTATATATATTAACTACTAGGGTTTAAATTAAGTAACTAAGAAGGACTACTACTCTCTCTTATTAAATAGTAAGCTATTAAATCGCTTAAATAGTATAAAGGTGTTCTTTAAGGTAGATATAAAGAAAGCGTACTATAAGATCTAGATTAAAGCCTTTAATTAGTAAAAGACTACTTTCTAAATAAAATATAGGCTTTTTAAGTTTTATATTATACCTTTTAAACTAACTAACGCGTTAGCTACATTTTAAGCATATATCTACTGTA